AACAACCGGCACCCTAAACCTCAACACCACAAACGGCAACATAACCCTCTCCAGCCTTGCCTCCGGCGCAATCCTCCTCACCACAACTCAAGGCCGTATCGAAGCAACCTCTGTATCCTGCGGCGCCCTCCAAACAACATCAACAAATGGTGCCCTCACATTTGTAGAAATCGAATCAGCAGGTCCCATCGACCTGCAAACCTCTAACGCACAAATCAAGGTCGGCAGTATCGTGAACGCTACACGATGTAAACTTGAATCCAACAATGGGAAAATCACGACTGGGGGTGTAAGTGCGAGATTTATCAAGATGTGTACGCATAATAGCACGATTATTGTGGATGGGAAGGTCGAGTGTCAGACGTTGGAATTGAAGACCAGTAATGCTAAGGTGTTTGTGGGAGCAGTTGAAATACTTGATGGGATTGATATCGAAACTACGAATGCAATGTGTAGCGTCGGCGTCGTCACGGGGCTGACGGATGCCACCATGATTAATGTCAGGTATGTAAAGGCATAGAAAGCTGTATTTGTGAAAGGTGATTTGGTAGCTAACACACTCGCCCATTCACAGAACTTCCAACGCACCCGCAACACTCCGAGTATCAGACTCCTGGGGCGGCCCCTTCTTCATCGCTGGCGGTCCAGCATCCATAGAAGGAGGTACACGCGGGTGGATAGTTGGTCAGCAGAGCAAGAAGATGGTTGCTGGTATCAAGAAGGGGGATGGGGTTAGTGATGGCTCGCATTTGGCGCTATATACGTCGAATGGAGCTGCAAAGCTGGAGTTTGTTTAGTAGTTGTCTTGATGCATGATTTACATATATTGAAATGTCTATTTTCACGATGTTTTATTATCTTACAGTGTGCTTGGCTTTTGACTTCAAACTTCCTACTCCATCACATCTATACTCTCAGCCACCGTGCAGCCTCACTCATCCTTATACGACGCAGCCTTGAACCTCAACAGCTGCCCCGCAACACCATACGCCATCAAATGCCACCCTGAATGCAGCACCGCATACCCAACACTGCTATCCAGCCCACGTTCATGACCAACCAACTCTGATGCAGCCAGTAACGTAAACGTTACCATCACAACCACCAAATGAGATCTCAAATACTGCCAAGTCTTGCTTAAACCGGTGATGTAGACTGCACTGATTCCAGCTGACGTGCTGAAAATCCTGTCGAGCAGGAGCGCGTATTGTTCTTCGTGGTGTGGGAGCAGGGTGGATATGATGTGGGGCCCGGAGAGGTTGTGGCCGCGATAGTTCTATTGAGACGAATGTTGGTTGTTTGTTAGATGTTTTGAATGAAACACGACATTGCGTGATAGCATTAAGCAGACCTTCTCGATAAGGTGATAATATGATGAAAATAGCATGGAAATAGCAAATACAGATACGATGAGCAGTGAATCACGTCGTGCCAGAATGGGGGATAGAGCAGCGAGGTTTGAGACGGTTAGGAGGAAGTTCCTAACGTCCATGTGAGGAATAGATCGAGAATGAATATGAGATTAGTATTGTTGGTTTACGTTTCGCGGCTTTGACCTGAACAGACGTGGTTTGAAGTGCTCGCGTCCTGTGGAACTCTAAAAGTGACGTTTCGAACATCCATCGTCTTTTAAAGTACAGTTGCTGTATAGTATAGGAAGGAATCGAGGTAGTGCATCCATCCATTTTTAAGCGACTTGACTTGTGTCTATCTGTATAGTAACTTTAACACTCGCCTGCCGTCTATAGTCAAACCCCACAACAATTCAAATCCCGAAAAACAACACTTGCTGTATTATTCAACGACAACCCATCCTATAATAATTACCCAACCATGACACCAACAGCAACATCCGAATCACTTCCATCCACCACCATCACCACCATCCAACAACAAACCACACCAACATCAACACCATCATCAACATTAACAAGCTCCAAGAAAAAGAAACACAGCAAGCCCAAACCCAAATCATCCCAATCTACAACATCTCTCGAATCCAATACCACCAAAGCCGGGTTCCCAGTCACGCCCAAAATATCAACATCAAAGGGCCGTCATGCTGTTGCGAGTAGGGATTTGGATGCTGGAGAGCTGGTTGCTGAGGAAGTCGCCGGGCTGAGTATGGCGGCTAGTGGGAATGTTTGTGCGAATTGTTATGGGGTTGTGGCGATGGAGACGGCGAGGAAGCTGGATACTGTGGTGAGTATGTTGTGGTGATGTTTCAGGTTGAATCATACGATATATGATCAATCGCGAGTTTTTTTTCGCTTGGTTGGCATCGTGGTTATCTCAATAGGTGGTCGCTTTCGTATGTACCATCAGTCAATGGACGCAATAGCATCACAATGAAGATTACCCGACCTTGACCGTTTTTGCTCACCACCCTCTTTCACAATCCACAGGAATCATGCCCAAACTGCTCCCGCATAACATACTGCACTCCCAAATGCCGCGAACAGCACTCCAAAATACACACCCACGAATGCTCCATCCTCACCAAACTCCACGAAATCGCTTCTACAAACGACACAACTGTAGATCTCCTCCGATTTATTGTGCAGGTGCTTGGACGACGTGTGGATGATGCAGCTGCTGGTACGACGGACGGTGTGGTAGATGGGACTGGAGCATATATGAGTCCTATTTCGCTGCTGAACGATATTACGACGCATCGTGAGGCGTTTGATAAGAAGTTTGTTAAGAGTATAACTGCTTGTGGTATGTTGGCTGGTTAGCTATATGTTTTTTATCATTGGTTGGCTAAAAAAATGACCTTTTGTTACAGCTAAAGCTATGAAGGAGGTCTTACCTGCTTATTTGGGTGCTATTACGACGGAGAATGAGATTGTTGATATTGCGTGCCGGTAAGTAAAAGTTGATTTCATGTGTTTTATCGATGCAAAAAAACAGAAGGACTGAACCTCTGAATTTTAATTTAGAATTTCAAATCACGTCACCACCCGTCCTGATCCTGATCAACGAATGACTGGTAGGAGCAAATCGAATTCCAAATTTGGTGGTTCTCTAATCCCTGTTTACTCTGGATCTGCACCAAAGAAGGCGTCTAAAACTTGCGACTGATGGCAACTTCTTCACACTCTCATTAGATGCCGCATACGTCTACTACCCCCTAACAATCCAACTATTCAAACACTCATGCACACCAACATGCTCCCTCGTAACCTTCCCAAACGGCCACTGTGTCGTCCGTGCCCTTACACCCATCGCCGCAAACGAAGAACTCACCGTCTGTGTAATCGACCCATACCTCTCCCGTCCAGACCGCCAACGCCAATTAATGGAAAAACATCTCGGCAAATGCGACTGTATAAGATGTCGTGTGCCCTTACGTAAATCGCTGGATCGGTATTTGGACGGTGTTGTATGTGTCGAGTGTAATAATGGAGTGTATTTGGCTGAAGAGGAGGTTACAAAGGATGTTAAAGAGAAGGCGGAAGCGTTGGTGAAGAAGCAGATTGAAGCTGAGAGTGGGGTAGTTGGTAATGGGGATGGGAAGAAGAAGAAGAGTAACAAACATGTTGCGTTTAATTCGCACGTTGAGACGCACTTGCTGACTCCTGATGGGGTTGTGAAGGATGAGGTCAAGGTTTTAGAGGCCGATGAGGGTGAGAAGGATGTAGAGATTGAACTGAAGACTGATGGGATTAAGAAGGATGAGGCTATAGCAGCAGGTGTTTTAGCAGGAGGCGCTTCAGCATCGGGTGGACACGCTCACGTCCATGGCGAAAACTGTAACCACGATCACGAGCACCATACCGCAAACACACACACCCACGCAGATGGATCCTCATGCTCAGACCCATCCCACCACCATAACGGCCACACCCACGACGACGATGCGTCCGATGACGATGACGAAGAGCACGATGCCGATTATGAAGACATGGAACCCGACCAACGCGCCAAAATAAAGGCCCTCCGGGTAGTTGAACGGGAAGGAAAAGCCAAACAGCGGTCCCACAAGTATTATTGTGAATCGTGTGGCCACACGACACACGAATTATACATTCGTAGGAAACTATTCGCAGCTAAAAACGAACTGGATCAAGTAATGCAGATTTTACAAATCCCGCAGTTTAATCCTGCACAGCTCGTGCCTGCGCTTAAGGAATTCTTGGGGAGGTTTGGAGCGCGTGGGATGATTGACATGCCTGTTGCTGCTGTGGCAGGGCATACGAGTAAAGAGAGTATGAGGGGCGCACTGCATCCGCTGAATGCAGTGTTGCGGGATACGAGATTGAATCTGCTACAAATCCTCGTTAATATCGATGACGTATCTCTTGCCGTGCAAGTCGCACGAGACCAACTGGCACTATATACCATCTTGCATAATACCAATAGTACCAATAATGTAAATGTAGGACTACTGGCACCCAGCTGGCACGAAATGGGAGATTTATACCACCATATGGGAGATATGTTATTACGCATCGCTACTGAAAAGGAAGAGTCGAGTTCTGCCACCGCATCTACACGTAATCGGAATACTGGGAGTGGTGGTAAGGGCAGGGGAGAAGAGGTATTGGCGAAACGGTTTGGAAAGGAGGCTAAAGAGGCGTTTAAGAAGGCTTATGATGTTAGGAAGGTGTGCCTGGGTGAGGCCCATCCCAGGACGGTGGAGAGTAAGAGGAAGGTTGGTGGGAAGTGAGTGGTCGAGTGGAGTTGAGGAAGAGGTGAAGTCGGTGGATGGTGGTGGGAGTTAAGTACTACTAAAAAGGTTTTTTTAAGTGATACAGAGGGAAGTTAAGTTGAACGTTTACGATATGTTTAGGAGGTTTTTTTAATGCCTACAATATAAATTGTTGACACAAGAACGTTCTATGACGCTAGACTTGTAAATGACGCGTTTTAACACGTTCAATCTCGATCGCTGTCCTCTCCTTCCTCTTCAAAATCACCCTCTTTGCGTCGCTCGTCGAAAAATCACACCGACAGCACAACCATTCAAATGTATCCTATCGCACGCACACATCCACATGACAACATTTGTCCCATTCCCAACCCTGCCATCAGATCTCTACACTCTAGTCTCCAAACTCGGCTCTGGATCGTCAGGAAACGTGTATCTCGCCAAACTCAATCCGACTAAAAACAAGGCATTCAAGCCTGCAAGAAGGCCGGAACAAGTAGCTGTTAAAGTTGTATTGAGATCTGGTTTGAAGGTTAAGGGGGCTGAAGCTGGAGAGAGGATCTTGCAGGAGGTAAATCGGTGTGGTGTTTGGAAAAGACAATTGAGATCATTGAGTATTTTTTTAGTGATGCTGCTGATGCAGATGAGACGTGTGGGATTCTAAGTTCCTTTTAATTTGAAATAGGTTTCGATACTCAAGAGATTGTCGCATCCTCATATCGTCAAGTTCGTTGATGTTGAGGTAATGTTGCTGGGTTGGAAGTTGGACAACAGCTCCGATTTTTTTTTGTCTCCTTAATCATCTCTGACGCTCACCCTATTTGCTTTCTTATTCTAGTGGGACACACAGCACATCCTCATCCTCACAGAATACTGTGATCTCGGAAACCTCCAGGAATATCTAAACAGGAAACGAAACAAGAGGCTGCCTGAATCGGATGCTAAAGTGCTGTTTAGGCAATTAGTTGCTGGGCTGCATTTCTTGTGGACTAATGGGCTGGTGCATCGGGATTTAAAACGTATGTTGAAGCTTTGTGGAGAGCTGTTTCTCTGGGTAGAATTGGCTTTTTTTGCTTGACTAAACTTTGACTGCTCTTTATTACCCTAGCTGCAAACTTACTACTTTCTGGATCACCAGCATCGCCAACCCTGAAAATAGCTGATTTTGGGATATCACAGTTTGAGGATGCGAGTAATGGTGTTATGACTGATAAAATTGGAACTTTGTTGCAAGTATCATGTCGTTTCTTCGGTCGATTTTTGTACTCCTCACACAACTAATTTTCACAAACTCAGGTACATGGCCCCAGAAGTCTTCACAGGCATCTATGACTCGCGCTGCGACTTATGGAGTATCGGGTGCATATATTACGAAATGCTATCTGGAACACCACCATTCGGCCACGCCACTTCCAAGGATGCTATAATATCTCACCTCAAATCACCAACACCTGAATGCATCGCGCTACCACCATCCATTGAATCAAATACGTCACCCCAAGCATCTGAAATGATTCGCAGACTGCTCACACGTAATCCAGCATCTCGAATCACCTTCCGCGAACTGTTTGAGTCTACGTATTTGGACTTGGAGCATCTGCCATCGCCTGAATCTCTCGGTGTGGGTGTTGAGATGGCGGCTGAGGCTTTGGCGCTTGATAACCAAGTGTTTGCTTCGGACGCTGCGTCGAAAGCGCAGGTTAAGGATGTAGAACAGATTGATAGAGTGGTGTGGCTGTATGCTGAAGCTGTTGCGCATTTGCTGGCACATGTGCAGTGGGTTGGGAATAGTAGTAAAGGTGGCGAAGGAGTCAAGAAACGGATTGTAGAGTACATACAGAGAGCTGAGGCTCTGAAAGAGGAGGCGCAGTTGATGAGGAATAGTGGTGGTGGTGCTGTACGTAGCGAAGTGGATAATAAGAGAAACTGGACACAGTGGAATCGGCCTTCGCAACGGAGTAGTAATAGCATACCACCGTCAACACCACTATCATCCACAACGACACCATCAGCTCTATCATCACAAGGACGCATCGTTCTAGCCCAAGCGCAAGAACTTGTTGATTCGGGACTGCCTGCATCAGCGCTCCCCCTCTTTGATGAAGGCCTTGGGTTTATGATACGCGCGCTTCAGCAGACTGGTAATGGGAGTGAGAAGGAGAAGCTGAGAGGGCAGGTTGATTATTGGTTTGATGTTGCGGAGAGGGTGAAGGAGGTGGTGCATGGTGGTAGTGCTAGTAATGGAGGTAGTAGAAGGGTTGGAAGTGCTGGGAAGAAGGATAGTTTGATTAATATTCACTATCGGGCTTCTGTTGTGGATGGGGGTGAGAGTTTAGATGAGCACAGTGGTGGTGGGAGTACCAGTAAGGATGGTTGTCTCACAATGTAACATAGATTGGCATGCATAAATCTTCTTCTTTTTGCATTCAAATTCATTCAATTTCACACAATTTTTCTTCATTTCTTTGAAAGTGCCACCATTTCATGAAGGTATGTGGGACATCAACTATTAAAACACATTGGACTGATCGTACTAACACGACATCTATTTTCCTACAGTTGAAGAGAGAGCCTGCGAAAACGCAAATACTGGCTGCTTCAACGATGAATACCGACATTATCAAATCGGCAGTCATACAATTGAAGAAAAAAGGCTTGGAGACAGAACCCACATGATTTTATACAACATTCCTCCAATCCTGCTTTATCATCAAGTCCTTGCTGTCTCAAAAGTTCTCCGTCACAACCGTCATTCACCACACACCGTATTGAGAACACCGCGATGAAGCTATTGAACATTCAGCAGCTGCTGGTATTAGACTGTCTAGGAGTCATTTTCCTCGTACGTATTAAAAAAAGGTCAAAGAATTGTGCTCATCAGATTTGTGCTTTGGTGGCTCTGGCTGCGGGTTGATCCCAACAGTGAGCGTGGAGCTGTTATGAGGACTAAAATCCAGCGATCGGTCGAAGTAAGCTTATCCACCACTACGACTAAAAACTTGATTGGTCAAACGATGAGCTTTGAAGATGCAATGCAAGTGCTGTGTGCGGTGTGCAGTACAGGGATCTGATGAGATGACGAATTGGAGATGGTTAGGATGATGTAGACTTACGGTTGTTAGTCACTATATATATATGTGTGTGTGTGTGTGTGTGTGTGTGTGTGTGTGTGTGTGTGTGTGGTTAGGCGCAATTGGACTCCCTGTTCTCCTGCCTTTCTTGGGGGGTTGCGCGGTATACTCGCAAGGTGATTTTTGATACTCATAATATGGTTTTAGACGATTTGTATGCAAAGACAAGAAATAAAACTACCAAACATCTCCAAGACACTATCATGTTTGTTTAAACAAGCGATGTTTTGTTCATTTCATGATACATATATGAGGCTGAAAAAAGAAGAAGCAAAAGAATCCAGTCACCAAGTCACGTTCAATTTCTCTTAAACCGTCTAACCCTCCTAGCCTTCACAACACCAGTAGGCTGCACACCACTAACAACCGTAGTAGCATTCTGGAGCCCAACTTGTCCGTTAGGCGATGCGAAAACTATACCACCTCCAACTCCAAAATTTATAATTACAGCTGGAGCTGTTGTCTGTATTGCTGTTGATGTTGCTGAAGCTGAAAGTCCAGTAGTCAGGGAAGCAGGAACTCCATTGTATCCAGTCAATAGTGTTAATGTGCCCGCAGCGGTAGCTGCAGTTAGAGGAGTCATTCCATATGTAGTCGTTACAGCAGCAGTTGCAGCTACTGTTGTAGTGAATGTCATAGCCTTTACAGTCGTAGCACTTGGAAGAGCACTTGGAGTCACTTGAATTACGGGACTGCTTGGAACCGTATTATTGTTTAGTTGTGGTTGACCGTTTGGTGATGCGAAGACGATGTTGGCTGGTACTGCTACTATAGCTGTAGCACTCAATGTTTCTTGTGCTCCAGTAAGTGAAGCTGGAGTAGCGTGTACAGCCACACTAGAACTTTCGTACACGTGTGCAGTTGAAGTAGCACCAACCCAGTTTATTGGCAAAGTGGCAGGAATTCCACCGGTTCCAGTTGCTGTAGCAGCAGCAGCAGTACCAGTCATCGTAGCAGCATACGTTCCAGTAGCAGTTGCAACAGCTGGAGAAGCAAAATTTATATCCGTAACGCCCGGTACAAGTGCTCCAGACGGTATTTGAGGAGGATACTGGATTGGTGTGAAACCCCATGAAGGAGTATTGCAGCTAAAACCAGTCCAGCCAGGCTTACACACACAGGTTTGTGGAGCCTGAGCTCCCAAGCAACGGCCATGACCACTACATCCATCAACACATTGTTGAGGCACTACGAAACACAAGTCGGTTACTGGTGGACAAGAAATATTCCCACTGGTTCCTGGTACAGTGACGGTAATGTTTCCGACACCACATTGTATCGAAGATCCGTTTACGGTGATCAAGTACGTGGTCAAGCCGGATTGAGCGTCATTGCTGCATATTACAGGGTAGCATATCGGCTGGTAGTCTTGAGTGACGTTCGGGTTTAGAGTCAGGGATGAAGCCATGCAACGTGCTGAAGGATCGAATGACTCCAGAGCATCAGAGTTTGGCAGGTTGAAGAGGTTTCGGCAATCACTGTTGCTTCGTCCAGATTGGAAGTCGCCGGTTGGGATGTAGGTTGGGCAATAGTCCTAAAAGAGAGTGAAGAAACGAAATTAAGTGAGATGGTACTACACACTTGATACAAACAAGCCAAAGAAGAATCATCTCTGTCTGCTTGACATGCAAAAAACGACGAGATACACTTGGATATACATAGCATGCGAAACTCACCATCAATTCAACAACCCCACCAGTCGCATTAACCGAATCAGGCGCTACAATCCCATCAAACCACTGCATATTCTTTGGCACACTTCCAAGACCCAAAGTATTACTCATCCCACAAATCCCTTTAGCGAAACGTCCAGCAACACAAGTCATAGCAGCCTGCGTCGAATTGCAAAACGATGCTGCATCAACAGGTATAACCTCCGCGACAGCCGACGTGTTTGACGGTGTTGACAAACACGAATCAGTGGCAAACGAACAGCCCTTATTGAGACCCCATGCCGAATTAATGGCATAATCGTAATTTACGGCATACCATCCAGAGTCTTGGAAGGCTGCGAGCGAGATATCGTTGAAATCAGGTTCGATGCCGGGGACGGTGGAGCCGGTCATGTAGTCTGGTCCGTAGATACGTTTTTCGAGATGTGAGCCAGCGATTAGCGAGTCTCCTTGGTTTTCTACAGGTGTTTTGAGGTTAGGAAAAAAGAAATTTTGTCTGTTTGATGATACATCGGCGTTTATGTAGAGTGCAGACAACATCACACCAAACCATACCTAATTCAACACCATTCAACGTCCCACATCCAAAATGGCTTCTTGCTTTAGCTAGCATATTAGGCAATACCAGTTTCGTGACATTCGCATTGCGTTCTTGAAAGACTTGCAATGTTGTATTCGATGCAATAAATTTCCCATTGACATCAACAGGAGGCATTCCAAGAGCGTCTCTTGGAGTTCGAGGAATGAGGCCTTGGGTACGGTAGAATGGAAACAGGGAAGACGAGAATGCCAGGATGTGGGATGTTTCGTGTATGACGTTCGATACCTAAAAAAACTCTGAGCAAAAAAACAACCGTGGCAGTCCCTGAGTAGTTAATCATAACTTACAGCTTCAGACGTAATCCACGTATCATTATCCACCGCAAATAGTCCCCAAAACAACGGACACAGATTCAAGCTTCCCACAATAGGCCTATCAAACTGATTCATCCGACAATACGACCCATGAGACAGTGTTGCTCCAGCAGCACATATAGACGTGTTTTTCGATGACAGATACAAGATGGTGTCTGCTGCAACTCCAAGACCGCCTGGAATCACTGTGCACTAAATGACCAAAAAAGTAAGAGGAGCCTTGAAGGTGGACACCACCACAACGTTTGCGTTTTTACATTGGTAGCATCACCAGCGCAAAGCGTGAAGTCTCCAAAATGGTCATCGGGAATTGTCACGACACCACATTGTTCGACGTATGACGGTGATGTGGCATTACAGAGTGTCGAGTCTGGGAGTGCTGATATACACCATGATCTGTCGATGGTTAAATTTCCTGATACCTATATTGAAAATAAAAGAAATATGGTCAGATCAAAGCTCAGGTGTTGTTTGCAAGACCAACCAAAAAGCAGACAGTAAAAGCTCTTTAGTACTCACAGGAGCAGTAACATTAAGCACATTCCCAAACCAGTCTGAAACAATATTCAGCTTGTTTGTAATATTTACTCTTGGATCCACGACGGTAGTCACGTTCGTTCCAGCAACCATACTAGTGGTATTAAATGTCGTGACATTCAGGTCAGTCCAGAGATACCGGTAGTCCAAGAAGATGCGAATAGGGCTCTTGACCACATCTCGTTTGGACATACGTGGTAGACGCGTTTCAGTCCTGACGGTCGATTGAGATGCTGGATTAAATAGCTGCAAATGTTGATCGTGACTACATGATGATGCTACAGATTGCGAGACCAGGGAGGTAGTTAGCAAGGCGAGGAGGAGAGCACGTCCTGCCATTATATGCGGATATCGTTTGGAAGTATAGATCTAGCGTGATCGTGTATGTTTATGAAAAGAACTGCTTGCCAAAACACAAGCGTTTAACATTTCTTGTTGCCTGGATACACAATAATACGCAAAGCACCCTCAAAAGAAAGAAGGAGAGAAGCAAGCGTCATAATGGGTCTCTTATTTACCAAGAACTATTTACAAAATATATATCAAGCTGCCCCGCTGCTTTTCATTTACACCATTCCTCACATCAAATAAATCAGTCACTATCCCCATCTTCATGCCTTCCACCACGCCGTCTAAACGCTACTCTCGGAGAATCAGCAGCTCCAACCATCCCACCCACCCTATTATTACTATACTCTAAAGCCATTGGTGATTCTCGTCCACCAGGAGATATCATGCTGCTTGCTCGATGAGACGGATACGTCATATACGGACCAGGATGGAAGTCAGGTGACGAAGGATGCAGATGTGGTTGGAACTGATATGTAGGAGCAAACACAGGTTGTGGTATACGAGATGCGTTATACATTGGTGAGTATACTGGTTGCGGTGGTATCGGTTGATGCGCACTGTTGTGCGATGAGTCTGCAAATCGTGTTCGTATCATGCTGAGTATGAACAAGGTTATTACTATTGCTAGTAAGGAACCAGTTCCAAAAATCTGTTTAGAAAGCGTGAGGTGTCAGTGTATGTATCATTGTTCTCGAATGATTGAGGATTGTGGGGCTTCAAGAGTTTTTACCATGGTCTTGTATGATAGAGGCTCCATAAAGTGGTTTAGGAAGTGAGCCATGGTTTCTGCTCCCACGTGTAACCTATAAAATGGTACACGACGGCACCCAAATGAGTCCCAAACTCAACACACAAAGACACCAAATCCTCCAAATAAAAATCAAGTTGATGTACTTACTGACGAACGTCATTGGGATCTCTCCTCATGCAAACCTCCCACTCTGTACATACTTGAGCCATGTATGGTACTGGACCGGATCCACAATTATTAGTCTGATACTGTTTTGCGCATTCAAGTACTTGATGCGATACAGCTGATGTAAATATAAAGTGTTAGTGTTTGTACCCTGAAATTATTCCCATTGTTTTGGTTCAGGTTTCGGATACACAACACAAACTTGCCTGTAGCATGCTCCACACTTTTCAACTGCAAGTCGTGTTTTACCATGAATATAACTTTGGCAACTAGCCATAACATGATTCCCATTATGCAACAGCAGAAGAATAGATAGGCCCATCTGACACAAAAAGCATCTCATAAGTCTTCCTCCAGCAAAAAGCAATATCACCATAGACTTTCCATACCCAGTAAGAATATGCGGCAACAGCACATGCCCATACGCTCGACTCCACCAACCTGCCATCCCATTTCCTTGGTGCTGCGATGTATCGTATCCCGTCGATTCGATTTTAGGATGATCTGAAGACCTTAGGCGCTTTCGTCCTCTTGGCAACGACAACTAGGCCCAAAAAACCAGACGTCAGAAACAATCTATGCTCATTCACTCCACAACATTCATAACATACATTGTCGTCATCGCCCTCCTCCCAACCTTCCCCCTCATCGTCAGATCCATAGCTACTCCTCATATTATTTGCATTTCGTCTACGAGTAGTGAGAGCCTTTTTTCGTCGTGATTCGTTCACAACCGCAGTTGGTATTTCTGGCGTTGTTGCGACGGTATCAGCAGCCAACGGTCTATTACTATTACTAGCTCCGAATGCATAGACGGGTGCTAAATAAAACCAAATTGATTATCAGTTTGCAACATTTAGCATGAAACAACACACTTGTTGATGAAACATGTTTGCCCAACTTTTAATGTCAAATGTACATACGAGTTCCAGCACTATTAGTACTCGCCACTGGCCGATCAAACAACGAAAGTGAGGCTACATTCACTCCTCCTCCTTGTCTGTTGCTGTTACTGCGTGCATCTGTTGCTGATGGTGAAGACGGACCTGATGTCGGCGATTGTGTAGTTGATGGTTGAGCTGAGAGCCATTGAATATTTCCATGAGAGTCTCGAGGTCGTTCCCAGTCCATAGGTGCTTCTCTGCCACGATACATTGTTGCTTGTCTTTGCTGAAGCTAGAGTTGAAGCTTTCAAAACATATGCAATACGATCGAACCAACCACGCACGAAAAGACACACTGAGATTTCGTTTTTGAATATGTTGAATTTATAATTTACACGTGTTGTATAAGAACAAAAGACCAAAGGGAAAATATTAAGTGTTTACAGTTCACAGTTTTGCAAACAGACGAGTTCCAGTTCAACACACTTCCCCGAGTATCCCTTCTTTTTACAAGCCCCCCACCTTCCACCACCAATACACCTTCCTTCAGCAGCATGGATAAATATAAACGAAGAACAAATAACGCGAATCACAATTTTATGATTTTTGTACATCTATGAAGAGAGAAAAAAAAGACAACGACGACGACCATAGTGTTGATGAAGATATTTCCTTGTGGTCTCCCTTCTACTAGCTCCTGTCTATGACTCTCCTCCCCAAAACAGCTTGACACACCACTTTTTGTAAATAATTGTTGACTTCCCCTTGTTGTTGGCTATTTTCAAATATGTAAAATAATAAGATGTTCCGAGATTAAGGTTGGGCTTTTCTAAAGTCTCGTTCGTTGGGGTGTATGTAAAGGTCGAGAGAGGAGTGGTGGATTAAAAATATATAAAGTGGAAAGACTCGAAGACGGTGGTTTAAATATGGGAGGTCGAGTTTGTAAATACTGTGAATGTCCAATATGGTCGCGGTACGGGGGTGGTTGGGCTGAAATGGATTGGAGTAATATAGGGAGATAGAGAGAGCGAGACCTTTTTCTTCTAAAAATACTTAGTCCTGAATCGACACAGGTGGCTGGATTGCAACAGGCGTAAACTTGTTGACATCAATATCACGTGCCAGAAGAGCTGCTTCAGCATGTGGTGGCACCAGCTGCCTAATTAGATCTGGCCGAATCGAGAGTTCTAATATCCCAAAAAGGGCGATTAGAGGACCGCAATCTTTGGCAGACAAAAGTCAATGACAAAGATAAACAGTATAATTACCCATGGCAGTAAAGTCAAAGAGTGGCGGTAACTCTTTTCCATTGGGCATTCTTGTCGCCGGGTTTCTCAGCTCATCGAAGAAGTTGTGAGCCATGGCCTCTACGGCAGTCAGTCGTAGAGTTGGCGTGTACTCCAACAACTTCCCAATCAGATCCAGTGATTCGGGTGTGGTTGCTCTTGACCTGAAGACCTGTTATTATGTGTGCAAAAACAAGATCAGCATGCGTAGACTGTCAAATGGCGCCTTGACTCAACCTCAACAAACAACTGTTCTTGAATCTGCTCGATGCTTTACCTTGCTCCAAGGACAGGGCTTGATTTGTGGGAACTTGTATTCCGTATAATTTGGATTCATGGACTTGATTTGTTCTCGTGTGGGTGTACCGAGAACTTTAATGATTTCCACTAGTTGATCAACACCAGTTTCACCAGGAAACAGTGGTTGTCCCAACATCAATTCAGCCATCACGCATCCTGTTGACCACACATCTATTCAAAAGCCAAAAAAAGGTGTAAGTGATGAGAAGTAATAAAACGATTTCGACAAATGCATGTATACGTCACATACCGATGCTGACGTTATAACTTGTGCTTCCAAAGATCAACTCTGGAGCTCTGTAGTACCGTGAGCAGATATAACTGACGTTTGGTTCTCCAGCAACCAACACTTTAGCTGATCCAAAATCACATAGCTTCAGGATACCAGAGTTAGGATCCAGTAGCTAGATGATTAATACAGTTCAGAAATGGTTTGTGTCTGCTTTTGCAACTGCTGTTTGTGCAATGTACAAAAAGCGCGACTCATACCAGATTTTGTGGCTTGATATCTCTGTGGCAGATCCCCAGAGAATGAATGTAGGCAAGGGACCGGAACATTTGATACATATAGAGCTATGCGTTCAGTATGATATGTGAGAATAAGTATGGTCGCAAAAAAAGCCGAGATGATAGATTTGACAACATCTCAACCACATCTCCCCACAAAACCCTCCAAGCTACATCTGAATCAAGTCCGAAACTCATCCTTAATACCCCTTCTTCAACAGCTATCGACTTTTTTTCAACCACGTCACCAACAGAACAACATACCTTGATACAGATCATTGGCATAGCCTGCTTCATCTTAGCATAATGCCTTGACGCACGATAAATTGTTTCTGGAACAAATTCCAGCATAAGATTCAGAAACACTTCATCCTTCTTCTCGCCCGAGCCATTCGAGTAAAAGAAGGCTTTCAAACTAACTATGTTTGGATGGGAGACCAGTCGCATGATTTGCAGTTCACGATTCTAATACATAATATCAGTGTCAATCATACGCTGTCAAGACGTTACGTGAATCCAAACAAGTTTTTTAATTAATATTTACCTTGAATCGCTTGTCCTGCAAGACCTTTTTTATGGCTGTGAGGTCTCCTGTTTCGACAATCTTGGCTTGGAAGACCACACCAAACGATCCGTTTCCAATGACTTTGTAGTTTGTGTATGATAGTTCTATATTTTCTCCTGACTTGCCATCGTTTGCTTGAACCACAACCACCTTGTTGGAATCGGGTTCGTCTAAAAGTGAGAAGACAGAGGAGAAAAGAGATTAGATCATTTAAATAATGGGTATGCGAATAGCATGTGCCCTCTAGTCCGTTGGGGTCTCCAACACAAAAACGCTCTCTCCCAGTGGTAAATCCTCCCGCGCACAACTCGTCCTAAATAACTTAATGGGTGTAGCGAGATGATTCACATAGTGACTGTGTGCGGGAGAGAGTGTAATATGTCGTCTCGTGTGGTATTCTACTAGTTCGTTCGGTGCATATTCGGGTAATAGTACTTACTCGACAACTTTATCCCATTAATCACATTTGTACTGTTTGATGAAGGTGAATCTTTTGACGGTATGTTGCTTTCCATAGACGGGTTGACGACGTTCCTGCGTTTAGATGACATGTTTGGGCACTAACTATCTCCTATAACCTCTTCCTCCGAAACTAGAAATTGCCTCCGTCCTTTGATCAACCGCCTGAAATTTGATGAAGCAGCTGGTTAGAAGGAAAGAAAATAAGAAGCAAGTATTAAAGTTAATATGAATTGGCCGTTGTTTCTTATAGCTGCCATTCAGATACGTCCTACAGACCTTTAGTTCCTCCTCAGTGAAATGACCTTTGTTGTGTCGTTTGCTTGAAGGAGTCCGATGAATCACAAGGTCAACCAGTGCGTTGCTACCGTGTTTTCGGCTGCTATTACTGTTCCAGATACCAATTGTTCGATAATGTCCACTCTACTTGCTTCGACCCTTCGAAAGAAACACGGTCAAGGCTGCTGTTTTGTATGTGTTTTGCTGTTTGAGGTCAAAATTTCGGAGCAGTTGATTTCGACTTGCTTATAGCTCGCTGGCCTTGTTTTGGACTCTACAAGACAATGTTCGCTCGTTGCCAAGTGTGCATGTGGTGTTCTCGGCTTTGGGTATGTTGGAACGGTTGCCAGTGGCGTTTGTACTCTAGAAGGGCTTGTGTCCAAAATGGAACTGCCCGAATGTTCCGTCAAATCTCGATTTGATGATACGCGACATGTTGACTTTTGACATGTAAGATGTCTATATTTGTATTTGTTTGCACCTTGCCAACCTTTACTACAAGACTACAACATGGCGTCAACACACAACAACCACAATCTCTTCCTCGTGATTGGTTGTGGAATTGTGGAGTTCAAGGACACTACTCTCGGCGTACCAAATCTACTCCAACTGTCTCGCAATTCTAGGTTATCAAACGCCACCTCATCGACCACCACGGTCTTGACATTGTTGGGAAGGGCGTTAGAAGAAACACGTATTAAGCAGCCAGAGACATCCAATTCCGTTAAGCTTTCCATCCCACTAATAAACTCCCACTCAGCTAACGTGATATTCCTCTTTACTTGATCAAGTCCACAAGGAGCAGACGGCTTCCCAAATGAAAATCGACGGATTTGCTTCTGGCATGACTGTATTAGATACATCCAATCGGTTCCGTTACCACCAAATTCAAAATCACGTAAGGAATGGAATCTGAGTGTGGCTGGAAATGGATTCGACATTGGTTCGTGTGTTGGAATGCTCCACCATGTCGTTTTAAGCGAAACTAGATGGTCCAGACGGTGTTCCTTGCTCGCATGTATCAGGATTTGCCGGATCGATTCAGATGAAAGGGCAATACCATCAGGTTCAAGTGTTATGTGTCGAAGGGGTTTGAATCTTGTAGTCAAGAGTTCGAGAGCATGTGAAAAGGAAGTTCCACTTCCGAAACATGAAGATACGGTGATGCTAAAGTGAATGCAAAAGTCCATTTAGTTTGTGTCAATAGCATGGTACCAGCACAATTCCACATTTTATGACTGACAGAGCGGTTTCCTCACCATACACGAGACAGATCAATGCTTTTAACAAATCCACAATGGTAATTACTTGAGAATATAGTGTTTGTAAACTTGATGATACTTGAATCCAACAAGAGTAGCGGCTTTCGATACAGAAACGGGATCGTGATATCAGCCAATGCATGGCTAACCAGACAGAGGGAGTATTGCGATTGTTGATCCAGGTGTGAAATGATGTCTAGAATGATATCCGCTGGAACCGACATCAAGTCCATCTTGTCCATATTGATCTTGATCGTGATTTTTGATAATTATCGACTTTGCAATGAAAATTTCCCTTGTAGGAAGTGCTGCGACCACGAAGAAGCATCAAATGACGCGTAAATACACGTCTTGAGCACAATATTCACATCTGGCTTCTTAGTAAGCTGTTACTAAGCTTGAGGAGACTATATAAGCGAACTGTGCTCCGTTTTTTGTTTAGTTGCGAACATGCTTTACAGGTGGGTGGCAGGTGAAAAAGTAGAGTGAAAGGACGGCAAGGACACATCCTATATAGATGGCAGCCATCATATTATGAGGATTCCGTCTTGTTTTGTTTCGTTTGGTGGCTGTCTGGATGTCTTTCAAGCTGTTAAATGTTTTCAAGTTTTTTTTTCATGGGTTTGACGAAAAAAAAAAATTCGAACGTTGAAGCAATCAACAATCCATCTATTCTATTCAATATCTACAATCAACTCATCCATACAATCCCTTCTAACATGCATCCACAACTATCAAATAGGGTCAAATGTAGAGTTTGTTTCCAGTCTTTTGTTTCCACATCAGACGCACTTTTCACCTCGGAGGATGAGAAGTAGAGCCATCACCCCAGCATGAAGTGTTGAACGCACATTTATACCGTGGTATAGATGTGTTGTTTTTTGATGATTGCGTACTTTTTGAATGATGGCGAGTTGATCTCGTCTCTTTGAATTGTAAGGGTGATTGGTTCACTTCTGACGAGTAAATGAAAAGGAGAATGCGTGTTGGATGTGTGAGCTATGAGGGGTGCTGGATGCATGTATTCAATAGTTCTTTCATTGTGTGGATTTTTTTTGTTGAATACATGTACTAGTCTGATCAAAGCAAGCATGTATCACATCCTCTCGAGTTGACTGCAAGCGACAGCTGTTTGGCGTTGTTGTTCCTAATTCAACCACGTCTTGTATGGCGTGCTGTTTGTGCAATCGGTTACACATTCAACCATTGAGCGACTCATCAGGCTACCAAGCACAGCATTCAGGACCGCCGTTAGAAGCTCCTAGTATTGAAATATGGCAGGTGTCATCACAAAGCTTGCAGCGCGTAATTGGAATGGTGCTGCAGTGCCAAACGCGGCAGCAAATCCAAGAACATTGCGTGCTTCTCCTTCTGCAGGTGAGAATTTGTTAAGAGTACTACTAGTTTGCAGATCTTTGGAACTCATCGATCATTCTATGAAATTAGCTGTCGGCACAGCATCAGAAACGTTCAGTTGCAATGGTGTTCAAATAACTTTTTTGATGGGATTTGGAAATGTGACTGTGATCGACACTACTGAAGGTACATTAATACAAAAACAAAGTTTACATGATGCAAGTTGATTCTCGGTATTCTCAAAATCCTCTTTCCAGGCCTGGTGGTTGTCGACACATCCTCTGACAATGGTGCAAAAGCAATCCTCGCAGAACTCCGCAAAACAACCCAAAAACCAGTCCACACCGTCATCTACACTCACGCTCATCTCGACCACGTCGGCGGCATCAAGCACTTTGAAGCACAACAACCAGGACACCCCATTCGTGTCGTAGCTCACGAAAACGTTAACGGTCGATTCGACAGATACCTACTGACGAACGGATACAATTCGAAAATCAATGCCGTGCAGTTTCAAGGCACTGCTGATTTCGTGTTTGAGAGAAACTTTAGGCGTCCTGATGTGACGTATACCCAATATTTGGAGTTGAGTGTTGGAGGTGTTGTGCTTGAATTGCATCATGCAAAGGGGGAGACGGATGATGGGACGTGGATTTATTTGCCTCAAGGTACTTGTGATTATGGTTGTGCAGCTGCCATGGCTCATCGTTTACAGAAATCTAACGCATACTTTTGTGTGCTTTATCGTGATTTCATTATGGTTGATAAATTTCAATGCTTACAGATATCTAACCTCCTTTTGTAACGTCTGCTAGCAAAAGCCGTATTAAGTGGTGATTTAATCATATGGGCGTTTCCAAATTGTGGCAACCCCCAAAAAGTACAAAGGTGGCCGGAAGGATGGCGAGATGCATTACGAGCTATGGACGCCCGAGCACCTGAAATACTGTAAGCTGAGCTTTGCAACGGGAGCGTGCTTTAGTCGTTCCTGACGCTCTTCAAACTAGATTTCCTGGCCATGGAGCACCCGTAATATCTACAGCTCACGTTCACCAACTCTTAAGTGAAACAGCCGAGGCACTTGATATCGTGATCCAGCATTCATTGGCCGGTATATCTCAATTTGTTCTTCCAAGGTAACCTCACTTACATTAAACCATGCACAGGTCTAAACGCCGGAAAGCGACTCAACGAAATCGTCCACTCCCTAAAAGTGCCCGACCATCTAATTCAACGCCCATATCTCAGACCCACTTACGATGAGCCCACGTTCATCGTCCACAACATATGGCGGCTATATGCTGGCTGGTATGATCAAAATCCTGCCCATTTGAAACCACCTAAGGATGCTGATCTCGGTAAAGCTATCTCGGATCTGGCTGGAAGTCCACAAGCTCTCGCGCGAGTAGCTTTAAAGCATGCTGAGAGTAATCCGGCATTGGGTGCCTCGCTGGTACAGTTGGCGTATGATGCTGCACCGAAAGATGCGGTAGTGAATGGGATTCGCGCGCAAGTGTTTGCTATTATGGCGCCCGAGTGTACGAGTTTGATGGCTCAAAGTATATTTTTGAAGGGGGCTGCTGATAGTAGAAAGCTAGCAAACTTGTAAAAGGATGGAAGAGTTTGAAAAATTAAAGTCATTTAGTATCTGAAATGCTTTTGAAAGTTGGTTGGAACTGTTAGAGGACGCAGCACTGACGCAATCAAGAACAGTACACAAGTATGCTTTATATTGGGTTTTATGTTTTTATGATTTTTTTACAGATACAAGATATAGAAAACACGAGAGACAGCAGCTTTATAAGATGACTTTGTTGATAGCACTGGGTGACGTCGGAATCTATCTATGATGATTTATCGGAATTTACTTGGCTTCTGATTGACCAGATACATCAGCAGCAGCAGATGGAGAAGCCGATTGGCTATGACGATGCCCACCTCGATGTCCAAAATGGAATGGCCCTCCTCGACCATGATGGTGATGATGACGACCGTGAGGTGGCTGCTGTGACTGCATGTGTTCGGCCATATATCGGTGGAGGGCTTCAACTAGATATGGAGGGAATTCAGGTGCTGGATGATGAGGGAAGTGATGTGGTGGTGGTGGTCCATAAGGTGGCATATGATGACCATGATGATGTCCTGGGAAGCCAAAGCCTCGATGACCGAAGCCTCTACCACCACGGCCAGGATGATGGTGATGAGGACCTCCACGACCCCAAGGCCCACCACGTCCATGACATGGTGGTCCGAAGGTATAGTCGTCCCATTCATCGTCAGAGCAGCGTTCAGAGTCTCTGGCCTTATCCTTGCCAGCACCACCAGCAGTAGAAGCAGAAGCAGCAGCAGTAGTAGCACCATTCATAGACAGTCCAGCCAAGTTCCCAGCCACATCGTTTACTTGTGCATCAGATGCTGCGGCAACGACTTCATTTGTTGTTGAGCAGCGAGGGCATGGACAGGCTCCATAGCGAGCGGCGAATCGGTCGGCCCAATAGGGAGGAGGCATTCGAAAGTTGTTATAGTAGGAGGCACCAGCTGCCGTATAGTTGGGAAACATTGGTGATGTTTCGTCGTATCCGTAGCCAGAGTCGTAAGCGCTTGGAGTAGTTCCTAGTAGAAGATGAGTTGGCCTGAAGTAGTTCTCGTGCGTGTGCAAATGATATAAACCTGTTCCAGGTCCAGTTTCAGCTTCGTGAGGTTGCATTCCGTTGTTATAAAGATTACTTGGCGATGTTTGATTTTTGTTTGAGGTTGTTGATAGACAGCAGTTGCCACAGGTACAAGAGCACGTTGAAGAGTGAGGAGCCATTGGAGAGAGCTTACGTTGCTTTAAATAGTGTGCTGCAAGGGTGAATGGACGGTTAAAGTTTCGTTGGGAAACTGCTCCGCAGCAAGAGGCACGGCAAAATGGGGGTGAATGGAGTCAATGGGTGAACAACATTGAATTGACGCGTAACCAACCAGCAGTTTCCACGAGGAATTCAGGTCTATACACGCCTTCAAAACACTAGAACAATATCGCGTAGCAAAGAGAAATAACGCTGTACACTACTATCATCATATCTGTAATTCGTATACTTTAAATCTGTCCCACGGTTTCTCCTGATGGAGTTATCCAGCGGTTATAATAAAACTGTTAAAAAAAATCATTATATTTTATGAAAAAATCAAACAACAAAGTCCTTTACAATATCACATCCGAAAAAAGCTCATCATCTCCAGTAACATCTAAAAATCAATTGTATCACTATACTTGACACTCCCGAATCCAAATCACAATGTTACCTATAACTTCAGCATGTGGTTGCTTGAAAAGCTGCCCATCCAGCCCATCCAAAACAATCGGGTTTGCAGGAGATCCATTTGATGCTGATGACAAAGATATAGCACTTATACCCGATGAGACTGAAGATGATCGCTGCATGTTGAGAGATGAGTTGTGGTGGTGGTGGGTTACAGGGTTCATTGGTTGGCTTGCAGATCTGGATGCGAGTGGTTCTAAAGGGGGTAAGATCCCGTATGATGGTGTTCCTGTTCGTGCTGGCATAGGTGCCATTCCTTGTGTTCGTGGAGGTTTGCTGTTTGGTAGTTTCACTAAGTGTGCACGCATCAGAGGTTTTGTCAACAAGTGGAAGGTTGAAGAGCTTATGACGTACGTTTCATAGACTATAGAATAGAAGGAACGATTAGAATCGCTAAGTTATCACCAACAACAAAGCTTTGTAGCAAAAGTATGCATACCACTTTGGCAGGTGATGGACTCTTTGAATTTCTCATATCCCCAGTAGGCATTGGTTCCCATTCATCATCTTCGATTCACATCTAATCAATACAAATTCGAACTAAATCATGGAAACACGAGAACATACCATTTTTGCTCTTCTTTGTCTTGTTGGTAAAAACGAGGTTTAAGCGTCACAATGAATGAATCTCATGCATCACAAAACATACCTTCTTCTTTCCTAATAATTCAAAACATTGTTACATATCAAGCAAACTTACTCACATCATTCCAATTCATACGTACGCTTCCTATCATTAGTAGTCGACCCCTCCTTGTCAGAATCCGAATCTCCGAATGGTGATGACGACGTTCCTCGTCCAGCTGATGATTGCGAGCCACCATTAGCTGCATCATAAATCCTATGTAGAAAGTGATCGAATCAGCAGATTGTGCAATATCTAGCGGACGAAAAAAATATTGCATAGCAATGAATGAGTACCTTCGACTAGCCGCCCGTGCACTCTGCCTCCCAAAACCAGCCAATCCAAGACACCCTTCCAGATGCGCCATAAACTTCATAGCAGTAACAATCTTGGTGCATTTAGGACATGGGATCTTTTCATCAGAGACTTTGGATTGGAGTTCCTGGCCAAACACGTCTCGGCCTGGTGCTTGAACTACCAAAAACGAGTGAGAAGGCAATGCAGAAAGGGGAGATCAACGATCATACCATAGCAGCGACATCTAAAAATAGATAAAGAATCTTAGAGATACAGGGTTGTGAGCAAGGAAAGCAAGCTTGATTACTTTTGCAAACAGATCTGGCATACAGCATTGGCCAATTTCGCTTCTCGATGAGCTTCAAACAGTACTTCCATCATACATTCTTCGACCAAGTCATCATAAAAGGCAATACTCTAAGAGTTTTAAAAAAGGCGTGAATGTTAGTTTTTCGAAAGTGTGACGATTTATGTGATGATTTTTTTAAGAGAATGCGATTCCGAAATCAGAGCTTCCTAAGGACTCAAATTCATATCTCCAAATTTCAAAGACTTACACTCTGTTGGTTCTTGTCTATAGCCGCCATGTTTTCAAAATCAGTTGGCTTTTAGCTCGACACAAGCACACAGGTTCGTTGCGACGACGGCTTCTTCAACAGATTAGATATAACATATGAATATGAATGAGATCTGTAGGTGCAGTCCAGCTGCATAACAAGAAAACGGCGAACAGGAGCGATCGACGCAAAAATGTGATTTGTGACAGTGTTTATCGCGTCGCAAAGAGAAGACCAAGGTCGACACAGCAAAACATTAAAGAAATACGCTAGACTATTAATATATTTTGGCGCCATTTTTCTATACACAATGCTTCTCCAAAGAAAAATAATATGAGGATCGGTTTTTTATGCGCCCACAAGCTCTTTTACTATACATTCAAAATTCTCTTCGCACGGCAACATCCGTATCTGCAATCCACAAACACCTCGACGTGGTTCTTCGTCGTGAAATACAGTTATCCGGTGGGCTTGCAGTCGTTGCACCTGTACTAGCATACATACCAACAGACTGATATTCCTGTTGATTCCTTTCAGCAATCACTTGCATACCCGCTTCCCATCGTTTCCATGCTAGCCTCATACCAGTTTCCAGATTCCGTACCCATCGATCAGCTTCGAATAGTGGCATAGTCGTTCGAGTCAAGAAGAGACGGCGTCGTAATTGCATTGCGGTACCACGAGCTACTAGTATATGGGTTGGATGTGCCCGGGATGGGTAAAAGGGATTTACATTGATGAATCGGATATTACGTTGTTGTGGTGGTGTTTGTTCGCCTGCTGATGCTGATGCTATTGTTCCAGACATTCCTGTTGCTGCTGCTGTTGAAGAGGCTTCCTGCTTTGCCCTAGCCTGTTCAGGTAACAAGGCGAGATTTATCTTCGAGTCAGAGCGAGTGGGTACCGGAAGTGCATTAGCCTTGACTTCAGACTGACGAGACTGTTGTTGATACTGTACATTATTACTACCACTAAACAGACCAGCACTAGCATCGTTTTCATGAGGTAGCGGATTTGGTCGTATCTGTTGCCAGTCCCACCATAAACTCCTTCCGAACTCTACTGCTCGTTCTTCATATTCTTCATACGAGTTGACTACCATTTGATGGCCCAACAACATGGGATCCATTAGACGTTGTGGACCGTTCGCTAACCCACGTTCTCCTTTATCGGCAAATGGATTACCACGTTGTGGATCCCAACTACCAGTGGCATATGCTACTGAAGCTGCGACTCGTGAGCACATCTTAAAGTCATATTTCGGATACGATATTATCGGTGTTCCACTCCATAATATATCAGCAGCCGTGGTATGAGCATTACACTCAGGAGTATCCAAAAAGACATCAGCAATACGACCACGATGAATATGTACATGTTTCAGAGCCACATCTGCGAAAAACAGAAAAGATTTTCAGTTGCATACTCTTCAAAGAATTCAAATCCGGTACAGTTTTGATATACAACTTACCAGTGAAGAGAATACGTTGTGCAACTTCTTCACCTGCATGCTCTTTGGCAAACTTCATAATATGTGCTTCTCCTGCAGCTGGGAACTTGAGCAACCATAACACAGAGTTCGGGACCCGTTTCAAAATATTAAGCCACACTTTAAAGATATCAGGGTCCATCTAAAAATCATCAAGCAAAATACGTCAATACAAAACACGCAATTACGGATTTGTCGTAAGTCAACTCAAACCCAAACACACATGCCTTGTAAAGCTGATTGAAATTAGCATATATAACAGTATCTTCTGGTAAACCAGGAAACAGGTCCTGTCTCATCTTCAACCGCTTTATCTGCTCTCTCCTCCATTTCAACAACTCAGGTTCTGGAAGGTCATCGTCATCACTACCAGATATAGCCATCATACCCATATCTTCAATGGGAGCATGCATGGCATGTAAGAGCATAGCATCGACTTCAGCATCATCCTCTTCTTTAAATCCTTGTCGATGATCATTGACGAAATAGCTGTGCGGCATGTATATCAGACCTTCAGTATACATTCGATTTCGATCATCCTGTGGTACTACTGGACCTCGTACTTGTCTTGACGAGTAAGCAGGTGACGATGGTGCAACTACATCGGGTTCTGCTTCAGTTATAGGTTCACCACATACAAGGTTACGAGGGCATGCTATTTCATCTGCTACGAGATAGTCTATAAATCGGTCTGACAGCGTATCAAAGAATTCCGTATCGTCAAACGTCAGCGTTGAAGGTCTAGACCGAGCTAGCGACGACTCTGATGCAGATCGTCGCAGCGAGTGTTCTGTATTAGCTCTTCCTATATTACGAGCCGAGAAGGCAGATGTGGACGAATCTGCTGCTGCCGCCGCATCAGCATCAACAGTAGGATCATAGACTTTGCCACCGCCCATGGTGCCCGCAAACCCCATGAATGCCATTTGTAGCGGCGCTGGCCTGGCAGCAAAGATCTCATTCCGTCCACCCTTGGTATACCCATTCAGGTTACAAAGGATGTGAATCTTGTCGACAAGGGCGATTCTCTCGACGATATCTCTCAATGACCAGTTGGACACATCTATGAATACATCGGCACCTGCTTCAATCTTACTGCGATACGGTGAATTATCTGATGGCGACAAGGAATAACAGTACACTCTGAATCGGTCCCTGTCGTGTAGTCCAAATACAGATTGCATGAGATGAGCTAATGGATGATTATTAAAGTCGGAGGAGACATATCCTATGCGAATAATAGGAGAAGCTGCTGTGGGTAATGGTGGTAATGTGTATGGGTATGGATAGTGAGCTGATCGATGAATGGCTGCTGACATGGATGCCAACATTTTTGGTGACAGAGTGAGAAAGTTTCCTGGTCTCGCAGGGAAACCAGCAAACCAATCACTCGTCAGTACATTCCAGACCACCCGATCGGCAGTCCTTCTCGATATATCGCGGACCATCCAAGCTTCGAGAGACGAGTATGTAAAGGTATGGAAGGGAAGTACTGTTGGCACTCCCTTGGGTATGGTTTTCACGCCCTCCTGAAGCTGTCGTTCTACAATCTCTCGTATCTTTAGCAGCTTGGCGTCTCTACCGTCCCATTTACAGACAAAGAAGAGAGAATTTACATAATTACAAAAGGCTTCGATAAAGTCTGGTTTGACTCTGAGAGCACGGCGATATAGTTCGATAGCTTCGTCGACACGACCTTGGTCTTTATATACATTTGCCAAGTTGGCCAAGGCAATGTAAAAGTCTGGATGTAATGCGATTGCTCTCTGATAGCACTCAATGCCTTGAGCAAACTAATGATTGGGGAAGTATGTGATGAGAAATTAGGCAGCAAGAAAAAACCAATAGCAGCCCAAGATTGTATTCCTGTAAGGTACTTGCCTGACCACGATCCTTGAGCGCAGATCCCAAATTCGTATACAAGTGTGCGTGATTGTTATCTAGAGCAAGCCCTACTTCATACCATCCTATGCTTTCATTAAGACGATGGCTCGACAACAATATTCCTAAATTGTTGCACACATTGGCAGTAGCATGTACTCCCAACGATACATAATACAATGAAATAGCCATCGAAGTATTTCCCGTATCCTGATATATTTTAGCCAAAGTCTGTAGTACGGATGCGGTTGTAGGAGAGAAGGTTGTTTCACCTGGTGGTTTAGGTTGTTGGACCATCATTAAAACTTGTTGTGGTGACAATGGCGGTTGCGGTATAGATCCTGGTGGTGTTCGTAATATTACTTTGAGCATATCGATACCGACCGCTGCGAGTGCCTTATAATATTCACGTTTTGCACCTAGTACATCGCCTGTAACAAATGACAAGTTACCCTTGGCATAATACAGATCTCGTCGTCTTTCAGACGAATAGCCACTTGCTTCACCAGATGGTACAGTTCCAGCAGCTTTTTGATATGCTATACGTTTCTTCTTTCTCTTTTCACATTCCGCGATGGCAGCAACCAGCACAGATTCATTCTCAGTGACTACAAGTGTAGACAAGAGAGTTTCTATACGTTCCTCTGGTGGGAACTCTTCTTCCATTGCCCGTTCGATTGAAGAGTAGACTTCGAGCCCATCTCTCCATCGTCCTTGGGAACTAAGGAGCCCCGCAAGGTTAATATTGGCGTCCCAGTACTTTGGCCTTATAGCGACTGCCATTCTATAATATCTTTCGGCCATTTCTAGATTATATCCTGGCTGTGATGAAGTTGGAGATGTTGTAGTTCCAGCTGCTGCAGCTTCCATAGCCATCGCTCTATACGTCGTTCCAAGATTCGAATATGCTTCAGCAAATTGCGAATCTAGAGCCAGTATCATATTGTTGTAGTATACTGATAGCTGGTGAAGTCCTAATGAATAACACGTGCAACCAAGCAACAGCAAGGTTGGCAGGTGTTCTGGTTGCAAGTTATGTAGTTCCTGTAGTATAGACAAGGCACCCGAATAGTCCTGAGCATTATATTTTTGATGTGCCATTTGCAAAAGATAATCTAAAATGAATGATTGGCGATTTGATTTGAGCACACAAGTATGAATGATTTGCTTTGAGCAGCACACAGAAGTGACTCGAAAGTGCAGCACAAACAGGTGGCTCAAACCAACAACGCGAACTCACCAAACCAGTCCTTGCGAGCTGGAGCAGTTGACGGCGGTAATAGTTCAGATGGTTGACCGACCATTCCACCAGGTTGCACTCCAGCAAAAGCGCCATTCAGATTATTTAGATTATGATACATGATCGGTGCATAAAACTGCAGAGGGGGCTGAGGCATATGAGCTGTAAACGATCCATAGTACGGAGTTCCGTTGAATAGCGACGAGCCAGGCAATAATGGTGCAGGTGTCTGCGTAGTTACAGGCTGGAAGAAGTGCTGTAGAGTAGATTGCTGAGGTGCCATGTGTGACGTTTGCTGCTGAAGTAGGATAGGATTTAGCGACGTCTGAGACTGCTGAAGCGCAAGAGGTTGTTGCTGTTGCTGCACCACAGCTTCCCCAAATATGGATAAAGCTGTTGCATAATCATGTTGCTGCTGCTGATGATTTTGGATGAGCTGCTGATGTTGTTGCTGTTGCTGCTGTATCAACATATCAGTTTTATTTAGCTCGTGGCGTTGGCGTACGGTTCCAGGCTTAACGACCAAGCTGGAACTTCTCGGCAACAGGGCCCCAACTAACGAGCGAGATGATCAGCAATGATGTCTAGCACTGACGCAAACTGACAAATCTTACAAGCTCCAGGTTCGGACCAGATGCTGTTTTCACTCGGCACTCTTTCATTGTTGATGAAATTGGCTAGATTCATGCTGATTTATGTACCTATTGATCGAAAAACAAGTTAGGAGGTAGTTCCTTTGCAGTTCCAGTTAAGAAATATCCAAGAACCAGTTTGGTGTTTGGTGATCAAGTGCAATCATCAAATGAAGCTGATGAAAGCCAAGAGCCACTGTCAGGATACATACCATATGACGAGAAAGGTGATCTCCAATGCTTGGCACATTCACAAAGAGTGTGCGATGGAAGCAGTCATCAGTGCCCGACAATCTAAAATCAGCCAGCCAGAAAGTTCATATGAGTCAAGTCGCTCGAATGAATAAGATAGCGGGCTCAATCGAAAGCATGCGGCCTTGTATATGATAACGATTGAAGCTCAAGATGTTTGTATCCTCTACCTCCGATTTCAAAAGTCCTCCTGATTTCGACAAGTTTCCAAAACAAGCTTTCGACGGAAGGAGAGACTTCCAAAGAAGAGAGGACGCAGAGAGTAATCTTAGCAGCTTACCGGCGAAGCTTCGAGTTGGTCCTATTTAATAACTTGAGAACAAAAGAAGAGGTCGAATGGTTGATTTGGAGTGGTGTGCTGGCTTGGCTGTTCGAACGAGTTTGCGAGACGTCCAGTTTCGCGTCTTGACTTCGCAACAACGCACATGTCAGTATGATATGTATCATGATGACGTATTCATGTATCTTGTTCTTCCACGTGCCCACGTTTGAAGATCAGATCCTCGAAGAAAAAAACACTTGATGTAACTTGCAACCCTTGTCAAAGTTTTCAACCCGTTCCGTCCTTTCAACATACTTCATTGCTATACATATACGAATTTTCATTGCTTTCATACAAGCCCGTTGCTCATTTTACTCTTCTTTTTCATTTGTAACCTTCTCCTGCAAGACAACTATCGGCAACATCTCCGCATTTTGTGTTGCTTGTTGCTGAGATTCTTTCCTTTTGTTATATGCGGTTTTGCTATGACGAGAAAGAGCAATGAATAATCAATAGAATGAACCTTTGCACTGTGTTTATCTTGCAAACGTACATTGCTCGAAGGACATAGTAGCTGGCAACAATGCCTCCTGAGACGAATGAGATTGTAATTTCAACAGGTACGAGAACAGCCAATGCAATGCCTCCCCTACGACCAACAAAGTCTCGGTCAGAATTGATGGCAATCGTTACCATTATAAACATGCATCAACACGTACCAAATGAATTGTGTAGTGATGAATGCGATTGCTATGACGACAAAAACATGTTATGAGATCGTTCAAGCAACGTATCATGAGATTGGCCAAGCAGAGTATCATGAGCTTTTTGTGAGCTCGTGAAAATTGGCCCAATTAGTCAAGCTCATCATTTCAAGGCGGACAGCAAACGTACCTGCAGGCACCAGCAGAGCGACAGCGAAAATTGAAACTGGAATCAAGCTTTTTCGTTTTTGGCGATGAGTGCATGGTTTCATCACAATCATATATAACATAGAGCTTACGAGAGTAATAGCCAGATGAGAATGTAGGCTCTCAAGGCGGGATATTCAGCAGTAAACACCCAAGTCCTGGTAGCTGATGAAGCAAGCCTATTCCTAAAAAGACACAGTTCAGTCAGTGAATGCATGACAGAAAACGATGATGTATAAGTGCAGGCTGGTATCAAAACAATAGTTTCCGAAGTACAAGCAGTAGATTAATCATCAAATAAACGCAAATAGCCCTCAAGCGTGATAGTTCTAAACTCTCTCGACTGACCAAACTCCAACTAAGTTTCGAGAGGTAGCTTTTATCAAGTTTTCGACATTGACTATTTGCGCATGTGTAGTGTCCATGTGGGTAGTTTTCTTTTGTTCTGAGATTGATATGAAGGAGCCTACTTTACTTGATTTTTCGTCCGCCATCGTGATCCTCGTGAAGAGAGAATGTGTGTGGGAAGAATGCAGCAATAATGCAGCTCATAGTTTGCGAAGCAACACAGCGGGAGGACAGACTACATATTATCAGAGCTTAGTTTGAAGATTTTTACAAATGACAGACACGTAGTTGCTACGAGAAGCACGTGGGTTTCAACACTGAATCGCAATTTAGTTTATTTGTTTCCACCCTCAAGACAAAGGTACTTAGGATTTAAGGCTTGCCTGTTACGCTCAATGGTCCCAACGACCAGATTTCCGACCGAGCGGCAATGAAGAGCGTGTTCATGTCCTTTGCGCCGAAACAAATGTTTTGGACAACCTATACATCGCATGGTTAGTAAGCACTTTGAGCTTCATGCCTCATTTCAAGCACATATCATACCTTTCCGACATCAATACGACCCAGTCGCTAAAAATTTCGTGTGCGTCACGTCATCTTTGTCATTATCAAGTTTGATCAACTTAAAACATACCTGTCCGCTTGGTCTAAAGACTTGGACTCCGTCAGCGCATGACACCCAAAGATTACCTTTCAAGTCCGTTCGTATTCCATCTGGGATACCTGGAAATCGTCAAGTCGTGTTAGGGAGAGTTCCAGTAAACCAAGGAGCTTTATTCATACCTGGATTGATCTCAGCAAACACCCTGGCATCCTCGAGGGACTTGCCATCTCGCGTCACCTTAGCCACTACTACGTGATGAGGAAGCGATTGATCACGTCTTTGGTCCGTCGTTAATGCACCAGAATCGGCAATGTATAGCAGACTCTCGTCTGGGCTGAATGTAAGCCCATTTGGTCTGGTCATTGACGTATTAACTGCGACAATTTCCTAAAGAATTATACAGTAGGATTAGGATCGTTTTTAAACGCTGGTGTTGGTAATACTTCTAATGTGTGCGTACCTTTGTTACTGGATCAAATCTGTATACAGAGCAGACTTGAGTTTTTGGGTAATGATGTCCAGCTACAGGCTCTTCACATCCATAGTCTGGATCTGTAAACCAAATAGAGCTAAAACGAAGGTATGCGTTTGGAGACTGTTCATTCATTCCAACTATCCCAAGAAACGGCATGACGTGGCGAGTGAAACAGAGAGAACTGTATACTTACCCGTCCTTCTTTTCCACGACATCATTCGGAGAGTTGAACGGCTTTCCTTTGAAAGAGTCCACAAGCACCTTGCGATCCAGTAGCTTCCCGTCCTTGTCGACTGTAAGCTGCGACAAGCATCTGCCACCTTGCTCACAAACAAACACCACATCAACGTCCTTGGTTGAAAGTCGTGGAGATCTAAACATTCCATTTCCACCACCGCTGCCATATTGCAACACAGAAGCGTCAGCTTGTTGGGAAAGCTCTGCGACTTTAACGATCATGGTTGCCTTCCGTGGAATATCGCTGAATGTCAAAGAATTTGAGACTGGAAGGTAGGTAGGGCCTTCCGTGAATTGAATCCTACGTGTCACCTACAGAGCATCGGTATTGTTAGCGTTGGCGTGTTGTTAAGACATGACGGTACGCAATGGCAAACCACCGTGAAGAGATGCAGACAAAGAACTGGCAAGTTCATACGAGCCGAATCAGCTCAAAAGCACTTTAAGCGAACTTCATGCGACCAATTGGCGCAATTCTTACCAGTGGTCGCAATGTCGCACTACCAATCAATTGTCCAAAGGTGGCATCCTCGTAAAAGATTTTAGGTGGCCTACGTGTCATGTTCGACTCATATACCAGAGAACAAGGGAATCTCTGATGTACGATTACAAACAACTTGAAGGGTCGAAAGATGTGGTTGCGTTCTGCCAAAACCTAACTAAATGAAGTTGATGGAAGTGAATTTGAGTCAATATATGGTTCTTTACGCGTAAAATACTCTGAATGCATGCATTAGAATCGCGTACCTTTGCGCAACTTGCTTCTTCGCCAACTTTTGCACTTTTGATAATTCAAAACATCTTTGAAACATTTTTAGCGACAATGGCATCAGCTGCAGGAAAGGAAGAACACGACGTGGAGGATACTATACAGACTCCAGCTGCATCGGCCTCTGCATCCAAAAAGAAGGGCAAGAAGAAAGCCGCAACAGCTGCTGCTACAACAGACAGCGCGGCAGATGATGCTTTGGAAGCCAGCAAGCTCATTGAAATGATTAAAGATGGAAATGCATTACAAAAACTAGTAAATTCAGGTGCTGATGCTCTGAAAAGTGCTGGTGGCAGTAGTGACAAGACAACACCTGGAATCTCTGGCGTCTCTACCAAAGATTTGGCAGCTATGGACTCGTTATTAAAACGCTTTAATATGACCGAGATCATGCAAAACTTGCAGTTGGATGCTAGAGGTCGTCCTATAATCAAGGATATGAAGGACCACAAGTTCTGGATGACACAACCTGTGCCGGCTTTTGGTAATTTGACTTCATCTTCTTGTCTGGATTTTACATCAAATTATGAAATGGAACGACTGAAACTATAAGAGTTGAACCGGGCTTCACATCTCCATACCTTTCATTTAGATGATGCCTCAAAAGTGGATGGAGTGATTGAGGATCCTAAAGCTGCCGATGAGATTCGAAAGGAACCATATGCTCTGCCCAAAGACTTTGAATGGTCTACCGTGAATGTTGACAATGACGCCGAGGTGAGTTTTACTACGATAGGACTGTGCTTAAGCACTCACAACATTCACTCTCTCAAAGATCAAAGAGTTGTACGAGCTGCTATCCCTAAATTATGTGGAAGATGACGACAACATGTTTCGATTTGACTATTCTGCCGATTTCTTGAAGTGGTAAGTCCAAATGCATTCCATGATACCAATAAAAGTCGCTAACGAATTTATTAAATAGGGCTTTAAAACCACCAGGTTGGAAGCCACAATGGTTGATTGGAGTAAGAGTTACATCGAACAGAAAATTAGTAGCCTTCATCAGTGGAATTCCTGCTACATTACGAGTTCGAGAGCAGTGAGTCTCGATTTAAGTAAAGTTGAACCACGCTCTCAAGTTGGATGATTGACAACCAAAATCTTTATATAGCTCACAGCAGCTAGTCGAAATCAACTTCCTATGTGTACACAAGAGATTACGAACGAAGCGTCTAGCACCAGTTCTCATCAAGGAAGTGACAAGGAGAGTTCATACGGAGGGCATCTTTCAGGCTGTATATACAGCAGGCGTTGTATTACCAAAACCTATCGCTACCTGCCGGTATGAACTTGCTTGAACTGCATTCAATAACATAAGCTAATAGGTCTCATCACAGATACTATCACCGGTCTCTCAATCCTAAAAAGCTCATTGAGACACAATTCTCTCATTTGGCCAAAAACATGACAATGGCACGAACGATTCGTTTATATAAGCTACCTGATGATCCACAAACTCCTGGTTTACGGGCCATGACGAAAGCAGATGTCCCAGCCGTTACAACTTTATTGAATACCTATTTAACACGTTACAAGATTGCACCCACCATGTCGAAAGCTGAAGTTGGTCATTGGCTGCTACCGTTGCCATCTGTGGTTTCCAGTTTCGTTGTCGAGGTAGGTGTTTATTTCCAATGTGTTTTCATGCAAAGGGTCTGGATTATCAGTGTCATTTATAAAAGGCTGTACCTCAAACCGAAGAAGAGTCAAACAGATCCGTAAAATATTAGTTTGTAGTAGAAGAAGCAGACGACGAAATCGCTGGACATGAAGATGGTGGAATACGTTATTTTTCTCACACGGACCTTAATATACGCTCGTTTCGTTCATTTAGGATCCTGGATCACACAAAATAGTCGAATTCATATCATTCTATTCTCTGCCATCAACAGTCATTGGCAATCCCATACATACACACATCAATGCGGCCTATTTGTTCTATTACGTACCAAAAGAAGGAAACAGTCTGAACTTGATTCGAGATGCCCTGATTATGGCAAAGAAGGCTGACTTTGATGTATTCAACTGGTATGACTTTTCTCCTTATGCCACATTTTTGGTATTGACGGAAGAATTGCGGGACGCATAATTAATCTCATGGCAACTAATTACATCCCTAGTCTCGATTTGATGCAAAACGAAGTGGCATTGAATGAACTCAAGTTTGGTAAAGGAGATGGGTCGTTGAACTATTACTTGTACAATTATCGCGCACAGGACATGAAACCACAAGATGTGGGGCTATTACTTCTGTGAATAAGTGGAGTAAGTAAAAATAAATCCGAGGTCAAGTGCATGCATCGTGCGCGATGCTTTTGGTGCGCTCCGAGTGTTTACACATGTCGCGACGTCATCATGTGAGTAAGCACAGCTGTAGGTTGTACAATTCTGATGTGAACCCTATCAAGGCTGGTCCTGTCGTTTAGATTGGCTTTGGCTGGCCTTTTTACCCATCGACTGGATGAAATCGTGGATATGTCTCTTTGGGATATTGCCGCTAGCTCTTTTCCCCGCTTCGATGTCGACGCATAGACTTTTAGCGAATCCCGGTGCTTTGCACCTGTACGGTTCATAGAAAACTGGTATCTGTAGAAGAAAAATGGGACTTGCATGAATGTGCGGATGTATCCGCATTCAACACGATTCCAATACAACAGACTGAACGATTTCCAGTGTAATCTGGTCTTGTGTCTTTCAAGGCAAAACCATAGAGCTGACACTGCTAGTAAGACCCAACCAAGAAGCATTTTTGATCTGCTTGACCTCCTGAGCAGCTTAAAGAAAATTTGGTGCAAAAAATTTCTGGTAGGTTGGTTTTCCCACCCCCTTTTTATGTTTTAGGCAAAAAGGGACCGAAGTAACTGCCAATGAAATTTTAGTGCTCTCTATCTGGTTTCGCGAGTAAAAGGGCAACTCCTAAAACTTTTAAAAGAAACGTATCTACAAAGCAACTACATGGCGATTAAGCAGTGATCCCAACGTGAGCCTGCTGGGATTAAGTATTTTAACGCCTTTCGTTTTGGGTGTTTGGGGAGGCATTAATGCAGAAGGGAGAACTCTACGCTTACAAGGTCGCCAGGTACGGCATACTATGCATCGCAAGATGTTAATCAATTTGACCTAATGCAGCAGGTTATTCGTATCTCACAGTTTTTCGTGGATCCCAAATCAGGTTTTTGACTCAGGTTATACGCAGATCTGCATTTACAAAAAATGGCCACTTGGAAGGGCATTTGTGAATCCATGGAAGACTGTCTTCGATTAAGCGAGGCAGTGAGACTAGGCCTCTTGCAAAAAGTGACTAGGAGATTGTCTGACAATGAGAGAAACTCGCTCATTGTTTCTGGCAACATTTTTGTGTTTAGTGAGGAAGAGAGCTCGATTAGGAGGTAATTTAGAGAAGTCAAATCGACACCTTCTTTGGCATTCATGTTTACCTAATTTGCTTCCTTAGATGGACGGACTCTAGGTCTTGGAGTGCCAGCAGAACGGTATATCCATTCTTGGCGTATAGAGAGCACCCCATAGGAGATCCAGTACGAGCAGCACAGCCAGTACAACCAGTACAAGTCATCGAAGATGTTCCAGACACTCCGCCTCCGCTTCCACCGATACGCCGAGGTGATAGATTAATCGATGCTCTAGGCACTCTTGGACCAACTCAGGCTACCGAATCTCCCTCCACACGATCTTTAGTTAGCTCACCCTCCAGCATCAGTGGTGCTAGTAATAGTGACTTGGATAATGTCCTCCACAAAAAATCAATGTCACTAAACACAACGATGGGCAAGATTCACATTGTGGGGTACTATCGACAACAGGATTTGCCTAATTTGACGACGCCTTCAGAGTCGCCTCTCATGAAGGACTTACAGATCAATATGGCCTTCTATCCGGAAGTAACCCTTGAGACTCCCGTCGTCCAAACATCAACAGCCGCTAGGGATGGTGATACACCTTCCCTTCCACCCATACCAACTCCCTTAGTATCTAATACTGTCAGCAACCCAACTATACCCCCATATCCTCCAATCAGGTCTAGTAGCCGGGCGTCAGAGGAGAGCTTCGACTATCTTGGAACGGAAGGCATCATTGGACCAACCAGAAGGTCCACTAGAAGGCGAGGAAGGAGTTTCAGTCCAGGTTCAGGCCCAGACGTACCCGCAACTTCACGTCCTGGTAGAGGAAGGAGTGGTAGTGTCCCTGACGTGTATTTTAGTGGTATGGCTCGTGGTCGATTGGTAAATAATCCAAGTAGCTTCAACGCTGGCCCAAGTTTCCCACCTTGGAGTCCTATAGAGACAGCATGGCACCCAACGGCACCAACTCTATCCATGTTTGACAACATGTCGCCCGTACTCCTACCATCACCGTTTTCTCAACAACCACCACCACCACCACTACCACTACCGATATATCCACTTCCGACATATCCACAGACACGATACCAGCCACCATTAGCACCGGATACAAGTACACTCTCGCAGCTGCAAGGAGGACCCCCAGTAATTGAAAACACCGCGCTACGAACTGTTAGAGAACCAGGAAGTATACCACCGTTGTCATCATATCCGCCGACATTCCAATATCAACCACAGAGAGGCTTATATTCTTCCATTTTAACCTATAACAATGTCGATGCTGCCAGTGCCAGTACCGCTACTAGCCCAGCAGTGCAACAACAACAACACCCAAACCCTGCAGAACTCAGCAATACAGATCCCTCACTAAATACAGGAGCTTTTACAGGTCTTCCACCAAAGCCACCAGATCCTTCCTTTTAACGATCGTCTAGCAGCTAGTATTCTTTGGTAGCTAGTAGGAGTGAGCAAACCTAAGTTATAGAGTTGGACGTCAAGCCAAACCCATATTTTTGCATATTTCACAAAGCGCAAAAGACTCTTTAGAGTATATAGATTTAGAAATACAATTGTCTACCAACGCTTCTTGCTTTCGCGTGTTTTTCTTGACAAACGGAAGATCTGGGAGCTAGCTGAGTTACTACCGATTCATCTTGAACCGTTCTCGTACGAATCGAATGGATATTCTGACACGTGAAGATGCGCGTTTCTCTCATACTTATCCTAGTACCAAACATTACACATTTCCTCGTGTCTGACTCAACTCCATTTTTTCTACCAACTAACGTCAAACCAATCGCTCAGATGATAATAGGACGATTGCCGGGCACAAGTGTGCTTAGGCATTGTGCCCGCGTCACGAACAGGACTGTACGTTTCTATGGTGGTCTTACTGGACAAAACTTGCCCATTACCAGATTCTCACCAAACGGAATTCGACGATTTGCTACTGAAGCTCCTGATGCCGACCAGGTAGCTATCCTAAATGGTGAACGTGTCGCTGAGGAAGTGGATGTATGCATCGTTGGAGCTGGTCCTGCTGGTATATCAGCTGCCATCAAATTAAAGCAAATGGCAGACAAGGATGGCAGAGAGCTACGCGTCTTTGTGGTGGAGAAAGGATCTGACATTGGTATTTGAACTACTTTTTGCATTCATATTCGTATTTGTGGTCGATGTACAATTTCAGTTGACGCATAACATGTGCTCTTAGGTGCTCACACGTTATCTGGAGCTGTAATTGAGACCAAAGCTTTAGACGAACTAATTCCTGACTGGAAGGCCAAAGGAGCACCATTAAATCAGCCTGCACTCAAGGATAAGATGCGATTCCTGACTGAAAAGATGTCGATACCCTTCCCTCATCCACCTCAAATGAGCAACAAGGGCAACTATATCGTCAGTCTCAGTAATGTTGTCAAATGGATGGGCGAGCAAGCTGAAGAAATGGGAGTTGAGATATATCCTGGATATGCTGCTAGTGAGGTACCGTACTCTAAGCCTCATATTTATTGCCACGATGATTTCTCGAGGTAACGAAACATATCAGGTCCTGTATACAGATACCGGGGCGGTCAAGGGCATTGCTACGAATGATGTCGGTATTAATAAAGCAGGCTTGCCCAAAGACTCGTTTGAACGTGGTATGGAAATACACGCTAAAGTGACCTTGTTTGCTGAAGGCTGCCACGGATCCTTGACCAAGAAGCTGATTGGCAAGTACGATCTACGAAAGAACTCTGAACCACAAACCTATGGAATTGGTCTGAAAGAGGCATGTCATTTAAAGCTAACGCAAGCTCAAAAAAAAGTCATCATTACCTACAGGGCAAATCATTTCTGACCACCAAATGAAACCTAGGTATGGGAGATTGACCCATCGAAACACGATCCAGGCCTGGTAATGCATACCCTGGGCTGGCCTCTAGACTATCAAACATATGGTGGCTCATTCATGTACCATATGGAGAATAATTTGTGTGCTATTGGCTATGTAGTCGCACTCGACTACTCAAACCCGTATTTGAACCCTTACAAGACCTTTCAAAAGTATAAAACACATCCATATATACGAAACTATCTGGAAGGTGGCACGATTCTCGCTTATGGTGCGAGAGCCTTGAATGAAGGTGGATGGCAAAGTATTCCAAAGTTGACATTCCCTGGTGGTGGTCTTATTGGATGTACGGCTGGATTTTTGAATGTTCCCAAGATTAAGGGGACACATCTTGCTATGAAGAGTGGTATGCCAAACAATTTGGACGGAGTCATCCAGCCACGACGAAAAACAGCTATGCTAATGTTACATCTTCATAGGCATGATAGCCGCTGAAGCTGCATACGACGCTATAGCCAACGCACCAGAAGGCACAACCACACCTCTCGACATATCATCATACGAAGCAGCAGTCAAAGAATCCTGGGTGGGCAAAGAACTATACGAAGTCCGTAACGTCCGTCCGTCCTTCCACAACCCTCTTGGAATGTGGGGTGGTATAGCGTGGACTGGCCTTGATACACTGATACTGAAGGGCCGAGCACCATTCACATTCCACCATCCGGGCCCAGATTACGCAATGTTGAAACCCATAAAGGATTGTAAACCTATTGAGTATCCTAAAGCAGATGGCAAACTCACGTTTGAGTTGCTGGAGAATGTCAGTAGGACGGGTACTGGACATGCTGATGACCAACCTATTCATTTGAAGTTACAGAGGGGTCCAGCAGATCAGTTGGAGAAGAATCTGCCGGTTTACGGTGGTCCTGAAGCCAAGTTTTGTCCAGGTATGTTAATAGTCAAGTCGAAATCCATGGAAAGAAACCAATCTCATTCTTGACCTACTGTTTTGAGCTGGTGTATATGAATACCTAGACGATGATGCCAACCCAGGACAGAAACGCTTCCAAATCAACTCGCAAAACTGCATCCATTGCAAGACATGCGATATCAAAGATCCAAGCCAAAATATTAACTGGACTGGTAAAGTGTCAAATTTTTGCATTTTATCATACATTATACTAATTCTTATTATTTTATTAGTGCCAGAAGGTAGTGGCGGCCCCAAGTACGTTAATACATGAGAGCCGCGAGTATGTGCAGAAAGCTTTGTGTTTACTTTATATAGATAAATCATGTTGGAGTTGAATGTCTCGGATGTTTCCAACAATCATATTCGTGATCTTTAGCAATCCCAACAGCCTGTAAATATGCATACACTATTGTTGGTCCAACGAATTTAAATCCCCTCTTCTTCAAATCCGCAGATATAGCCTCCGACAATTCTGACTTGGCCTGTATTTTATCACCCTTACCCAAACAACTCGGCCTCTCAAACCTAACAGCCCCGTCGTCATCTGCTTCAAAAAACGAGTCCAAGTATGCAGCAAAACTCCCAAACTCGGCCTGTACGTTTTGAAACAAGATAGCATTCGCGACTGCTCCCTCTATTTTGCCTTTATGTTTGACGAGTCCGTGGTCTGGCGATAGTAGACTATTCGTATATGCGGTATCCAGTTTCGCGACCAGAGCGACATCAAAGTTTTTGAATGCCTTCTTGTAGTGCTGCCGTTTTTGTAGGATTGTTGACCATGAGAGACCAGCTTGGGCGCCTGGTAAACAAAACAAATTAGACATTGATTACAATGCATTTTGATAATACAATAAAGTACCTTCAAGTACCAAAAACTCGAAAAGGTAGTCATCTTCCCTCGACGGGACAGCGGGACACCACTCATTATCATGATACTCGAGCTCCAGTTTCGAGTACGGTGTATCTGGATTTGCGACTGATTTAGCTAGCCAGCTACATCGTTGCTTGCCGTCTGTGTGGATTGTCCCTTTGGTTGGTGATTCTGTGGTTGATGTTTGGGTTGGCGTCTCGATTTCCGCTGTTTCTGTTGGTTTGGAGCTACGTTTGGGACGAGATGTAGCATATGCTGTGGGATTGGGAGGGGATTTTGGCTTTTTAGATGCTGGCATGTTGTGTATTGGTCTCCTATGACACGAGTTTTGAAAAGTTAGACAATGTTCAGTTGTGGTGCGAGGGTAAAAGTAATGAGGAAGACAAGGAGAAGTGAGTCTTGAATTACCTGTGATTAATATGTGATCCTCGACAGTTGACGTTCAAAGGTCTCTTGAGAACGATACAGCTGAAACGACGAAACATTCAGTCAAACTGACGCAAGTGACTCGAGCAGTCGGTGCAAAGCTTTCAAAACACGGCTGAGAGCCTAAAAAGTACCGGTTGTTGTATATATTAATTTATTAAACAGTGTCGTTGAATTTTTTATAAGATGAGGTATTTAAAAGTGTGCGTGTGTGTGTCTATCCTGAGACTTAACAAGGCTCTGTAGCAGCTATCTACAAGATCTCTGAACAGTCGTATCTCAAACTGAGAAGTCACGTAATGCTACTTCACCAGTCATCTTCTTGCTCCACGTCACTGAGCTCCTCACGCTCATCGTCCGCATCTGAATCAAACGAAATAGAATATTAACCAACTATGAAAATTACCACTGAAACATATCCAAAGCACCCACCATTTCTATGCCTAATCCTCGGCAAAACCTCATACTCATCCTCCCGCAACGACTCCGCCTCATCCTCCACAATATCCAGATACTCGAGCTTCCTCAACCACTCTGGCACGACTATACAATGCTCTCCCAAAGTATTTACAGCCATCTTGAGCGCAAACACATACTCCACAACAGCCTCCTTCCTTTTCACGTACTTCCACGACCGTTCAAGACATACAAATAGCTTCTCTGCGATAACCTGTCCCTTGATCTTATACAGTGGTGATGATGGAGTGAGAGTACGTGATAACTGGGACGTTACTGTGACGAGGATCTTGAATTGTGGTAATGCTGCGTGTTCACATGCCGCTAGTAGCAAGTCAATCCATTTCTCGACTGTATCGTGTGCCCTTTCGGGGGTTTGGTCTTTGCTGCTAGCAGTATCAAAGTCATGCACTAGTTCAACAACAGCTGCTCTGAACTGGCTTATTGATTGTGGGTTTTGTAGCGACTCGCGATACCGCGTGCGTAGGATACCTCGAGCTTCAGGGTACTTGGCAGTGATTTCTCCTAATATTTTAGTGAGCTGGAGTTCGGTAAGTTTCCTCATCATATCCATACAGTCCTGTATCGACAGATCGGTTATCGACGTTGGTGCAGCAGATCCAGATTTACTGCTAGATTTGACCAATGGCTTCCCGTACGAAGCAGCTGATACACCTCTACTGGTCGTTCTAGGCAAGGTGATATCCTTATCTGGCAGAGGTGGCGGACGATTGGGTGTTGTTGTTGTGCTGGAGCTCCTTGGCAACGTGACGATGGCATTGACACTAGGAGCTTCTTTGATCCGTTTGAGAGTATCGTTTGACTGTGGTAACTGGTGCACGAGCTTGGAGTTATGCCTGCCCAACATCATCTTGATTGTACAATTGGGTTTTGATCAATGCTCTAATCAATTGACAAGAAAACGTATCAGCTCAAGGAAACAGGCTTCACAGGCGTAATCAAGCACGATCTGATTATCGAATAGACAGGACAACGTTTAAAAACCGTTCATCATTATCTTTCCAATGATCCTTTAAATGGTAATGTCCCACCAGGAATCCTTTGTGCAAAATACCAAAGACGCAGTTCAAGATAAGATATTGACATACCTTATAAACTCAGTGCCTTAGAGCCTCAGACAGCACGCGCGCGTCAGATTTATCTTATCCGCAGCTGATTTCTGTTCTCTTTGGCGTCCTCCCCAAAAGGTTTGGAATCAAGTGGTCGGAGTGTTGGCAATCCAAAGCCTTGCTCCTTGACAACCGATGTTTAGGCTATTATTCAGATGAGTTGGCGCGGTCCATCTACACAACAGAATCCGATACTGGCAGGTTTCAAATATACGTGCTCTATGTCTGGTGCAAAGTTTTCTGTACAATATGTGTTTATATGTTTTGTGTAGCTTTAATTACTGGTGAAGGCAGGTCTCATAGACGCTGGCTTCATAATGACTCCATCTTTGGTCTTTTTCACGTTCTTTACTGTAACGTTTCGATCCGCATAGGTTGACTTCCTCAACTTGCAGGGCCGATTGCCAATATACTTGCCTAAGATTTACAAATCTTTAGCGCTACATTCGAAGCTACTAAACAAAGACTTGTACATTACCATTCATTTCACGCATAGCCAACGTAAAGTCATTTGGATCCTTGAAGGAGACAAACCCATAGCCTTTTGTTTTCCCCGACTTTTTGTCTCGTACCACACGTGCTTTTTGGAAGGATGTATACTTATTGAACGTTTTGGTCAGCATATCATCATTGCATTCGTTTCCCAAGTCTCCAACAAACATTCTGAAATCATCTATAAGTGAGGTGTGAGCACGTAGTCCAAACCTCCAGAACGCACAAACATGCAGAGTAGCGTTTTACATACTTGGATCCCACTCTTGCAAAGTCTCATCCTCCCAAAGTTCACCACCAGCAACTCTCAGCGTCTTCTTCTTATTCTTCTTCTTCACATCATCAGCTTGTTCAGCACCTCCTGCTGTTGACGATGATGCTGCAGCAGAAGCTGGATACCCATATGGAGAAGGCCGTGATGGGATATGACTGGTACCATGTATTGGCCCGACTCCTCGTTGTCCAGAGGTAGCAGAAACCAATTCAAGAGCAGCTTGTGATGCTAATGATGGTTTGTATCCGGCAGGATAGGCAGCGGCAGATTGGTAGTGGCTTGAGTCGTCATATCCGTCGTTGCCTACTAGAGTAAAGTCGGGAAATGCTGGTCCAAATGTGCTTGATTGTTGAGAATATACAAAGGGTGCTGCTGATGAGGAAATGCCGTTAGCGTTGCTATTGGTTGGAGGAGCATAGGATGCGGTGGCTGGGTATCCATCGTAGGCATACGAGTTGTCCTCGTAGTAGTTGTTGTTATTGTAATTCGACATTCTTCCAAGAGAGTTGTATTCTTTGGAATGTAGGCAGAGCAATCGCGTTGTTCGCAGCAAGGGTAAAGAGTTGATTAAGAATGTATCTGGCACCATACAGTTCTTTACATTTAAAATCTCAAGCTAGTAGAAAAAGCCGCGTTACTGCGACTATGAAGCTGTCTTTTCGGAGGTGAGGGCATAGATCTTAGATCTCACATAAGTAATACCAAATTGAGGTCCTGTATTTACAATGTATTCAACAGCTACTTGACTACTAACGGCGTACAGTTTTACAAGTCCCGTTTCTTACTCACTGGTGATGTTATTAGTATGAAACCTCCAACTCAGTTCCACCCCCTCCCCAAAACGTCCCTCATTTTCGGCCCTTTACTCAATAAAAAATCCTCAACAAGCTCCCCATTCTACTATCTGTACGATGAGACACGACGGCGATAGCAGGTGGCTCCCGACACCAGATAGATAAAAAAGGCGCAGTAGCCAGCAAATACAAATCCACCATGTAAGACCAAAACCATACTAGATCCCCATGACTGCTCGGTTTGGTCGGAAAAGTCAAAGATAGCGGAGTCTGGTGTTTGTGTTTGGAGGCCGTGATGCCGCAACGTATCGTCGTGCTTTGTAGCAGAGAGAGCAAAGTATATCAGTATGGGGATGAGCAAGTCGATCTGAAGCAGAAGAGGAATTGAGTTAGCGATCTACGTACTTTGTGTGTTGGGGTTAACGAGTACTGATGACGGGTTTGTCCAACATCTTACCAAGAGCAGTATAAGCAAAACTGTGTTCTCCGCAATGAATTCACGTATCGACACACGTGTATAAGTAAGCTGATATATAGCCGTGCAGACAGAGCATCTAGGAGCACCGCTCAAATCCCCTTCCACACGACCGGTTCCAAAAAACCCACTACTACGAGTCACAGCGAAGGGAAACCGTGTCTGCAGACGTAGTTGCGATTCCATCCAGCGGTCGATACACTAGAGACATTCCGGAAGGAAGAAAAGCGTGTCGGGTTAAACATCTGTTGACTTCCGCTTCCGAAATGCATGGAGATCTTACAAGTTGATGAGCAAACTTCAAGTCCGGGTCTCTACAACGACAAGGTTGTATAAATTCACCATGTGTCTCCTACGGTTGTAAAAGTCAAGATCAGTACTAACGCATTTTCACGACCTTTGTCACATGTTTTATGTGGGGCTGATGCATGCCCGTTCAAGCTAAGAAGACTTGCAAAATGCTCTTACCCAGCATACAAAGCACGACTTTCGCGTTGCCACTACACCCTTCTCTTGTATCATCTCGGTTTCTGCAAGATCACCAGTGGAGAAATGTGAGCATAGTGTTTTAAGTTTCAAGATGCAGATGCAGAATCGAAGAATTCAGGCGCCAATGTTATACATACGAATGCGAGACTAACGGTGTCAACTTACCTTATGTCCTATTGTAAGCTCTTAAAAAGCTTATTTTCGTGGTTTTTTTTAATGCAATCAAGTGACCACACTCAATGTGCAATGTGCCCACTTCGCACGTATCGGACTGGCTTGGAACACCAAAGGAGGTGTGTATGAACGTGGTATATGACTATTGACCTAGTCAACTGTCAAGAGTGCGCTTGAACTGCTCGTGTGAAGATGTCAGTTCTCTGTCCCTGGGAACCCGTGTTGTAACTTGCTCACACATTTTGTCATCGTCTTTTGCGGATTGATTTGCTACACGGTCGCCGGTAGTTTGGATGCTAGAACGGTGCATTTGCTCAATGGATTGTTGCTCGTGCATGGCTGAGTTCGATGGAAACGCTCAGTTTCTTCCAAACGGCCTTCTTGGTGATCAGTTTCGACACCAGTTTCACTTCGCTTACAAAAACGAGACCTGATAGTCTTCAAAATCAACGCTTCATTTTGAAAATCAATGACAGCTGGTCTGATTTCCACATTCTTGTTTGACAATTCAACACGCAATGCATTCGATTTCAAGAATGCGCCAAGTATACCAAATGTTCTTGCCAATGAGTCTATTTTCTTGTCAGGTGTTGGGCTGATGGTAGTTAGTAAGTTGACCTTGTGATTTTTTTGTCAGTTCCTGCTTGTTTAATGACAGTCGGTGATTCGAGAACGTGAACTCTCACACAACCTTGTCACACTCATAGCTGCCGTATACAATTACTGCCGTGACAGACTAGCTACTATCCAAGCATTCGTATGGGACTACTTTCACACGTCAGCTGTGATTGACGAAGCAGACGAGACCTTCTACCACGTTGCTCAATATTTGAGCCAACAAGAAACTCTCATGGTATGATTCCAGTTTGATTCTCCAACCCTTTGATCGCCTTTAAGTCGATCTTTCCGTTTCTTAGTCCACCGTTAGACGCCGGCTAGTTCGAACAAACCTACCTCAGGAAAGCGACGAGTACCAAGACCAATCAACCACCAAGCACAGCTACAGCCTCGTCCCCGATTGTGGAGAATACCAATTAGAAATCCGAGGACGCAAGATTGCTATATCTGTGCGAACGGAGGAGAACGAGTCTGGTGGTTTGAATGAAACCAAGTACGGACAAGTCCTTGCAGTCTCTAAAAGGACTCGACGGGTCATTTGCTTGACCACTTTTGGTCGTGATGATAAGGTGCTGAAGGAGTTTATTGATATGGCGTGTGAGTCGTCGCTGATGAAGCAGCAAGGTAATGTGAGAAGAAACACCATATTGCCTATCAACTGACAGTTTGCGATGACTCTCTTTTTTATAGCTGAATACTCATCCACTTTTTCATCTCTTCTATAGGTAAGACATTTATGTTCTCCCCACGCTACGACTCGTGGTATAGGAACTGTTCTCGTGAGCCACGGTAACCAACTTTTGCTTTCTTTGTATTCAAGTGCGCCACTAAATTGCAACCATCTCTTCTTCAACACAGGTCTCTGGACTCTGTGGTCCTGAGAGCAGGATTGAAAGATGAGATCCTTATGGACGTTCAAAAGTTCTTGGGATCTGAGGAGTACTATCGAAATGTCGGGATTCCATACCGACGGGGTTATTTGCTGTACGTATGTGTCACAACCCACATAGTCTTTGTTTGTTCTTACTCACACAATTTGCAAATTTAGATACGGCCCGCCTGGAACAGGAAAGACATCATTCTTGGTAGCTTTGGCTGGAATGCTGAAACGGCCAGTTGCATTGCTGTCATTGAATTCGCCGAGGTATGCGCCAAAGATCCCGCTGTTTGGTTTTACTGACGAATGCAAGTTCTTAACCTCGTTCCTTTCTAGTATGGATGATAACGACTTAGCTAATTTGATGGCATCTGCACCAAAAAATGCCTTGATCGTGTTCGAGGATGTGGACTGCTGTACAGGACCTGCTCTGAGTAACGGACCTACTGGAGCTGCCGCTACATCCAATGTGACTCTCTCTGGTTTACTGAATGCCATTGATGGGATAAGAGCACAGGAGGGGCATATTCTCTTCATGAGTAAGTACGCATTCGTGCTTTTTTTCACGAACGTATGCACGATAAATAAGCACAATTAAGACCTACTTTCGCATAGGCGCCAACCGTCCAGATAAATTACCCTCAAGTCTCTTACGCCCAGGCCGTGTCGACAAAAAGTTTCAATTCGGATTTGCGTCTCGTGAGCAAATCCATCGACTCTTTGTACGCTTCTTTGGCACCGTGATGGAAAGCTACGAGACGTGCAGTGATCACGGCTGGGCGGTTGCCAATAAGCTGAAAGAGGATCGGCTGACTACTGCTCAGTTGCAAGGGCTTTTTATGGCGCATAGGGATACACCAGAGGAGATTATCAACCACGTGGATGATTTCTTGCTTTCTGTTGATCGGGAAGCGGTGGAGATCAAGGAGTCACAGTTGGCTAATGATTTGAGCTGTGGGAAGGTTGGATCGCTTGCTAGCGCTGACGAGATTGAAGTTAATGGTGGAGAAGAAGAAAGAGGTGTTGACGCGGTTGCTATACTGCTTGATTTGCACTACATCTCCTTCATGTAAAAATCTAATTCGATATTAATACACATTTGCGTCCAAACTCAACTTAATGCACATTTTTATCTGTCGTTTCTCAGTATTTTCGGCACTAAACTGCTCTCTGGTATGTTGAATTGAGATCCAGGTCCTGTTACCGTGACTGCACTCACTACTTGAGGCGAGGTGACTTCGCTATACTGAAATTCTGTCAAGCCACACAAATCACATAGCCTTATGAGCATGCAGGATCAACACCATCCAACCCAACTACTAGCACAATACCCAATGGCAACTATGCTTCAACAACTTTACATGTCGGGCTCGTCACTGCTAGCGAACGGATCAAGTAGCTTTGAGGAACGAGTCTTTCCAACTTCGCAGCAACAAGTTTTTGGAGGACAGCAACCTCCTTCGTTTGGATCGGGGCTGTTTAGCGCGGGCGTTGGAATATGGATTTGTAGTGCTTTGCTTAGTATAGTGAGAGATTGGCTGTATAAGGTCGTGTAAGTCAGCATCAATTCAAGATATTCGGTTTTTTGTCAACAACATCACCATTCGAATGCAGACACGATTTGTGACCATTTCTCCTTATTTTTGTATATAGTGCTGCCATTCAAGACCAGTTACATACTCAGATATTATGTGAGGAGGGAGATGAGATTTATGATCAGTTAAGTGAGTACCTTGCGGAAAGCAAGACCTTGATGGTATGTACTGGTGTTGCCCGGTGGTTTGTAAACTTGCACTTTCTTTAAGGTGAACGTTGTTCCCAACCGTCCAACCTCTCTACCCCTATTGTAGTCCTCAGTACGCAGACGTGTCGCCAAATCCAAAGACCCAGACTTCCACGAATACAACAACCTTTTCAAGACACGCCGAGAAATCAACCTGATTCCAGACTGTGGGAACTATGTCCTACGAAACTACCATGGCAAGGATGTCTCTGTCGAAATACTCTTGCAAAAGGACGACGGAACAACTCATGGACTACGATATAAGAATGTAATGAATATGTCAAGTGATGACAAGAATCAGCGGTCAAAGAGAGCTATGAGACTGTCTGTGCTTGGCCGAGATGATCAGGCATTGAGGGCACTTATTGAAGATGCTGCGGATGAAAGTCATAAGAAGTGGGCTGGCAAGATTTGGATGTAAGACATGTTCTTCTTTATAACCACAGTCATTTTTTGGTTGCCGAGAAAGGGCTGCAACTAAATTCTTTCCAATCGTCCTAGATTCACTGCACGGTACGACAGATGGATGCGAACACTACCTAAAGCACCACGACCTCTAGATAGTGTTATATTGAGGGACGGTGTCAAGGAAGATATCATAGAAGACGTGCAATCTTTCTTGAATAGTGAGAGCTGGTACACCGAGACTGGAATTCCATATCGACGGGGTTACTTACTACATGGACCACCTGGTAAGATCAAGTTACTTGAATATGGGCATGGAGAGGCTCCTTTTTTGCGTGATGACCTTGTTTGCTCACCATTTCACTCAATCAAACAGGAACTGGAAAAACATCCTTCATTCTTGCCCTGGCCGGATACCTACGACGACCAGTCTGTATAATGTCTCTCTCTGCACCATCTGGATCTGACCGTGAACTCGCACATCTCCTATCCAGCTCTCCACGTGGCGCCTTCCTCGTCCTCGAAGATGTCGATGTAGGCATGACGAGTGTATCAGGAGGCTCTGGACAGATCAACCGTGTCAACAACACAAGCAGCAGTCCATTCCACGGTGGATCCAACAGCAATAATCAGCAGGGTCTTACACTATCGGGTGTGCTCAATGCTCTGGACGGTGCTGAGGCTCAGGACAATAGAATCATCTTCATGACTGCAAACCGTCCCGATACTCTGCCCCCAGCAATGTTACGACCCGGCAGAGTGGATCGTAAATGTGCCTTCCACTTCGCTGATCGGGATCAGATTATGAAAATGTATACGAGATTCTTTGCCAAGGAGTTGGGTGATGATGTTGCATTGAGGGTTGCGGCGGATGTTGCAGACTTGATTCCTGCTCATAGACTCAGTACTGCTCAGATTCAGGGGTTCTTGATGCTTCATAGAAAGAATCCGTTGGATATGGCCTCGTATGTTGATAGTTTCTTGGAGTCTATCAAGATTGAAGCGAAGGAGATTGCTAGTGCTGCTGAAGCTGAGGCACTTAGCATTAGTGGTGATGGTCTTGTGAAAGCCAAACAATAAGTGGTTTGTGTGGAAGAAATAAGAATTGTTGCATGATTAGCTGTTTTGTTGTTATTATGATGTGCTTCAAATATCTATACACTGACTAAAAACCATGGATTGAAGTTAAAGGAATGCAGCCTCTTGTGAATGTCAGCCTCTACGGGAGAACACTAGACATCGTGGCGTCTGCTGCGAGTCTCGTTTCGTATCTACAAGATGCCAACCCTTTGCCTCAAACATCCCACCCACATTCATTGCCTTTTTAGGTGGCACCTCAACCACAACTATAGTAGAATCTCCCACAGCACCACTATCCAACACTCCATTCAGTATCTTATCATAACCCTCAAGACCCGTCTCACCAGCAACAGTTGCAATCCGAGGCTCGGTATCGAGTTTTAGGAAGTTGGCTCGTGAAGTGTTATGGTAAGGTGGATTGCATAGTATTATACCAAAGGGTGCTATATGTGCTATGTTGAATGGTAGTGTATCATCGGCCATGTCTGATTCAGCAAATGTTATAGATGATAACGGTGGGAGTAATCTCTTCGCGTTTTCACGGGCTATATCTAGGGCTTGTGATGATATGTCGATGCCTGCTCCTAAACATTGATATTGCAGGCCGTGCATGATTGAGATAAGTATACATCCGGATCCTGTTCCAACGTCTAGTATTTTAGGTGTTGGTATGTCTTTTAGCAGCTCTATTGCGGTTGTGACGAGGAGTTCGGTTGGCTGACGAGGTACCATGACATGTTCATTGATTGTGAATGACATACCACAAAATGTCTGAAGACGTGACGAATGACGTGTCAACAAAAAAAATGTACCATAGTGAGAATGAATGAACATACCTGATATCCACGAGTATATGCTAGCGACACAACCTCCAAAGCCTGATCCTCATCATTACCACCATGTGCAGCATACTGTTTTTCCCAAACAAGCTGCTGGCGTTCCCTCATTCTCTTTATGCGTTCAGGCTCTGCCAAATCAACAACGATATCATCACCAGTACACGGATGCTTGAGCTCTATACGTGTCAATGCAATCATGCAGTGCTTTACGGTACTTCCAGCGAGTCCATGAGTGTTTGTAGCATTGCCTATTAGTGCGTTACCCATAGCCAACAGGTGTAGTCTGATATGGTGGTTTGGTTGACGTGGGAATAGCGGAAGTTTTGGTGTAAAAAGCACCGTAGATAGATACTCTAGCTTTCGACATCGTGTAATATTCAGTACGGTTATGGTTGCTGTGCAGGATACGTTGTCAACTACATCGGTGCGAGTCAAACGTTGGCCGACGTGAGCAAACGTGTTACCAACAACGATTCGGCCTTCTATGAGTGCATGATAGGTAGTAATGATGCGAGACTCACTCCAAGCTTCGGTTAGGCCGAGCAGAGCTTGACGCGTCTTTGCTATGACCACCAAACCCCAGCTAGATTTGTCCAATCCGTTAGATATCACGATTGGATTTGGTAGGATGTCATCAATTGAACCATTAGGAGGACGTAATAGCTGTCTTAAGAGCACTTCAAGAGTGTTTTCCTCGTAGTGTCGTAGTGTGAGTCCTCCGGGTTTTTGGACCACAGCGATGTGATCATCGTCATATGGGACCTAGAGGTAGCCAAGTCGTTACATTATAGCATGAAAAAGCGATCGATCACCTTTAATTAGTAGCTTACATGGATGGGAAGCCCGCTAAAGCCATGAGCTCGGTCCAACTTCATCCTATGTCAACTGACGTGTCTTTTTCGAACAAGTGATGTTATTCGTAGCGAAATCCAATAAATGTGCCAATAAAATGATAATAAACGCGCTTCTTACCTCTGTAAATCCCCTTTGTTCTTTATCAGCAAGCAGCAGAAGTGGTAGTGGGCACTTTTGCAGCTTGATTAATTCCAAGCTTCTCTCCAAGCAAGAGAACGACACGAACGATACAAGAACAGGAGCTACAATGCTATCTCACGAGTCTCCAGGACCCATAGTAGACAGATCTACCAAGCTCCACCCATCGCGAGAGCTGTCTGTCGGTCAGCAGGCAGATTCGTCAACAAGCACCTATATTTCGAGCCTAAAACAACAAGTCGAATCACTGCAATATGCAAACGATAAGGCCAACAAAGCACTTCAACAGGCTCAGAATCGAGAACTGGCTGCTCGCAACGAACTCCAGAAATCACTATTCAACTCTCAGCAAATCGAAGTCGCTCATCTCCAACAAACGCATGAATATCAACAAATGACTCAGGGTCGCGAGGCTACTTATCGCAAAACAATCCAGAACTTGCAGCAGGATGTAAGCTCCCTGAGAAACAAGCTAAGGGACTCGAGATTAGAGCTCGATGCTGGATTGCTGCAACTGCCTGTTCTCACGAGAACTATTGCCAACTTGAGACTTGAATTGGATGCTCTTAAATTATCAAATGCTTATAAGCGACCGTCTGTAAGTACGCATGCTATTGCTTCTCTCGCTCTCGCTTTGCCAATAAGGGCGTCATGTGGTAGTTTGTTGACTTTGGGCTTTGATGACTAACCATCACATGATCACTATCAAAGGCCCCTTCGTCATGTTGGTCTTCAACTACTTCGTCAATCGTTGACAGTGGATCAGCTACCGCGGTGCCTACTCGTGCTGGATCTGTCATGAACACTCCTGAAATGGATGGTATGTAGCGTGTCTAGTGTGGTGTAAAAGAATATGATGTGATGCTGCACATGTGGCTAAAGTTTTTAAGTTTCGTTACTCGCCTCTAACTCTTTCTTATTCCTTAATATTTTTAGTGGTCCCAGTAGACGCTCCACACTCAGCTCCTTCAGCAAGTGGCTCTCAATCACCCGTAAAGTACAACCCAATAGTTAAATCACTAATGGACGAACCCGGCCACCGTGATCAAAGCTTGGCTTCGGATTCATATACCGAATCATCTATGGAGTATCAAGAAGAAGACTATGAAGCAGCTCGAATGCTAAAGAGTCTATCCGCCTTTGCTGGACCCATTGTAGCTCCACCACAGGCACCACACAATATGCTCTTGATGCAAGCCTACGACAACAACCGACGTCGCTATACCGATGACTCGTGGTCCAAACGTGGCAGTCCTATCGTGGACGACCACTTTGATACCACGGATGACGAAGAGGATGCCGACTTGCATCACATCTCAGACTGGGATAGTGCTGACGAGTCTGGCGAGGAAGGAGGATATGCTAATGATCATCGTAACAAGAAACGACGACCATCTACCTTTAGTAATAATAGCAGCCATATTTATAGTCAAAAGTCATCATCAGCGTCCAAAGTCAGACAACACAACATCAACACCAATGCCCAGTATATACCAGGCAAGCCATCTGGATTGATTCGTGCGCAAAGTGGGTCTGTAGAACCCCATACGCGATACGAATCAAGTGGTTCTGTAGTTACTGCGGGATCGTCACCCGAATCAATGGCCTTGGCTACTGTCGGTAATGCTCGAGACGGTATACCTCGTTGGATTTGTTCTGGCTGCTCAAAAGTATATAGTATTCAAAGCAAACGATCTTGGACGAACCATATGATTGCTTGCACGGGCGACGCACCGCCGCCAATCAAAAAACGTAAGAGAAGAGGAGCTTAGGCTATTGGATTCCACTTATCTGGCTCATCTTTACTATCTATATACCGACACACCGTCATATTATTTATCCCAAACAACAACAGCAACCCAGTATACCCAATATTCTTAACAGCGCCCCCACAAACTTGTGTAATTGTAAATCTACCAGAGGAAGGGATTATGCAACCAGCATATGTCTCTTCTTTATCCACCTCTTCCTTTTTTATATATATAACCAGCAGCAGCAGAACTTGTCATTGTTATTTTCTTTAAGTAGTAGGGCTCTCGGTGCACATTGATTGTCTTACTTTGTAAACATTTTTGGCTGGTTTGGTTTTGAAATGATGAGTCAAAACGCTATATTTTGTAATATAAGAACTTGTTTAAAACAATTTTGTTTATTCCATATACAACCAGTTGTGGTTTGCGGCGAAAAAAATGATCGGGCAGCTGCTAACATCGACATACTTGTGTGCCGGTATGATAATGTATTTGAATGCTGTTCATGATAATGCTAAAGACTTGTTTAAATTAGACACTTATCTACCCTCTCTCTCTCTACCCGGTCTTCTCTCTCGCTCTCCACACCCAATAAATGCACCCTTCAACTTTCATGTTTCTCTTCTGCATCATCAACAACTCCAAAGAAGGGATGATTGAGCAGCTCTGTTGCAGTAGGTCGTGATTCCTCGTCACTGGAATAAAAGATGAAAAGATGTTAGAAGAGAGAACCCAAAAAAACACTGGTCAGAAGAGCAACCACCATGCTTTGGAATCTCCACATGAATCCCATCATACATGCTTACAGAGTCAGGCACTGTTTCATCAAATCCAGCGCTTCCGGACACGCATTGCTTGGTAGCTGTGGTATGGCCTTGTGACCCAGATTGTATATCGTTTGTGCTTCGTCTGGATTACTTCCCCATGGAAGTTGCCCCGTGTACATCTCAATCATGGTACACGCGAGGCTCCAGATGTCTACTTTGGCGGAGTAGCCTTTGCCTTCGACTACTTCAGGTGCCTAAATGAGGAGAGGTCAACTGTTGAGACCAACAAAAAAAAGGATTGTCGGGATGGGAAATGGTGCATACCATCCAAAAGACACTGCCAGTCATGTTAGTCATTCGAGCATTGTGCTTGTATGGTATGTCTGATCTGCGCGATATGCCGAAATCGGCTATTTTGGCGATGCCTTCCTCCGTTATGAGTACTAGTCGATATGGAGGGCATTATGTAAGCGCTTTGGCAGGGCAAGAACCCAACGGAGTCAGTAAAAAAAAGCAAGAAGGGCAAGTTGAAGATTGACGAAGGCATCAACTTACTATTTGCACCTTGAATGTCAGGAAAAGGAAATTAGTAAGAGATCTGGGGAACAGAACGGAAATAATTCTACCTTTAATATCACGATGCACTATATAATGAGCGTGGATGTATTCAAGACCCAGAAGTATCTGTAACAATGGAGGATGTCAGCGAAAAAAAATCAAGAAGACGCATTAATACATACTTGATACACGATAGATCGGATAAAGTCTTCAGGTAACGGTCCACCCAGTGATTCGATGAGTGAAGCTACCGTGCCGCCATCGACGTATTCCAGAAAGAGATTGAGCCCTGGTAGTGGGTAGTAGTATGAGACACAAGAAAGAATGGGATAGTATCGCACTGGTTCTTACATGCTCCATCGACTTGGAATCCTAAAATCGTAGTAACGAAAGTAAGCGAAAAATGTGGAGGAGATTAGGAACCACAACGTCACGAGATTGATTCAACATACCTAGATATCTGACAATGTTCGGATGATCTAGCCCTTGAAGCAGCGCCACCTCCTTTTCCAAAGTCTCTTGCATCTTGACACGGACATTCTCAGCCTTTTCAGTATCAGAAGAGCGAGGCACGACAATCCCAATCTGTTTGACTGCCATAAACTCTAGTGTATCAAGATCCAAGCCCAAAAACACACTCCCGAACGTTCCACGACCTATAAGCTTCCCCTTCTTCCACCTAATAGTCCTGTTATTATGACACTGGGCATCCATCATCGTGCTAGCGGCAGACGAGTCATGGCGAGGAACTGGTGGGGTACTCGCTGGTGTTGGTGGTACGTCGTGTTCGAATAGGGAAGGCTGGAGTGCACGGAGTTGCCTCCTCCAGGATTTCAATTCATCGGGAGTCTTGATGTCCTCGAACTTCATCCCTAAACGGGCAGTCAATCCTCGTTCGAGTGGTCGCGATGTTTCGAGTTTTGAGGGCGGGTTATGCTGTTCTGCGACTCGTTCTTTGAGTGTTCGTCTACCGCGAGAGAGGCTTGTGGTGCTTGGTGTTGATGGGGATGAGGTACCTGATGGTGATCTGATGGTGATGTCAATGTCTCCTGATGATAATTCCTGTGGACTACTGGTATTAGCGACAGGTTCCTCCACCATTACTACTGGATCTTCTGCTATTGGCTCATCTACTTCATCCAGACCATCAAAGTACTGTGATATGTTTCTGACAATGTTGTGTTTCGATGCACGTTCAAGCGATATGGTATGTACAGTCGATGCCTAAATGATTTGACGTACCGATCAGCTACAAATTGCAACGAGAACGTGATCAATACCAAGAGACAATGTCAAACCTTTCGTAAAACATGTCTTGAGTCCTTCGTTTTCAAGTTTTGAGGCCGCTTCGACATGAGGTTCAACCCCGACATTCGTTCCAATCGCTCCTCATCATCTTTATCCTGGTCAGGATCACGAACACGTCGAAAAGACTTGAAATGGTCTGCCATCATTGCCAGTTGAGTGAAAACTTGCAACGTGTCAAGGATGCACCTGTCAAGTTTGATGTTGCCGGCCAAGGAGTAGATGGTTTGATGCAAGAGCAAAGAATCTACTAGTGAACGTGTATGTAAGAACGTGGAAGTCGAGCCGGACAGGTTCCAGCTATTTTTGATGGCAAACTACTTTAACATACGCTCGACCCAAAAAGTACATACGCCGCAAACACACACCACCAATTCCTCGCATTTCAAACACTTAAATCAAACATACCTTATATGATCATAGTTATATCTGTCTAAATCTAGGCTACGGCCGTAGTTGGCAGCCCAAAGTCAGTTTTTCTTGACGTTTGAAGGTAGCGAGTGGAGCACTCTCGCCACATTTATAGAAGAGGGCACGGAAGACACGCTGGAATCGTTTATTCGTGGTATTTGACACGTTTTGAAAGCCTTTATTTTCTTGGAGCAGTGGAAGTCATGTACTCAAGGACAACTTGGCGAAAGTGCAAGCCGATCACCCCATTCATCGGGACTTGAGACATTGGAAAAAGTCCGTTGTTGACAACTGGTGCATTAAATAAAGCCGTCTACCAAAGAAAACGCGTTGGTCAACCACTCGAAAGAGCTCATTCGTTGACTCAACTTTTGTAAGCGCTCTGGGGTGTGCATGTTGTATTAACTCGACTGAAGAGGAATACAAATTGAACAAATTTCAAGTTTAAATCTATATCTTGCTGAAGCTAAGGTAGCTGATGGTATAGATCTCGAAAAATTAAAGCAATAGCCATAACTCTTTGAGCGTACGTTTAACGCAACCAGCTCTGAGAAATATCACTTCAAAAGACGTATCCTCTAACTAGATACACCTTCACCTTGTACTTGATACTTCTTCATCGTCCATTTGCTTCTCGATCGTTCAGAAACTCTGGAGTTCGCCTAATAACCGTGAACAAGGAGGAAGCAAGAGTAGCCCCATTTAAACTATTCCATCGTATCCAAGGTATCGACAGTCATCATGCTAACAACATTCTGATTCTTTACCACTCATTGAACCGTCTTTTATACTATTCTCGCAGCTCATTTTGCAAACCTTGACTTTGAAAGGCAATTTCAGACTCGCTTCAATCGAGACTGGAGTCATAAAATGCCAAACCTACTGGACTTGCCGGATGAGCTACTCTGGAATTGCTTCATCCAGACAAGTATGTATCTGAATCATCATACCATTTTCATCATTTGCAACATTGTTAAGCAGAAACCCTCTCATGGCACTGTAAACTAACCAACACTATCGTCTCCATTATCTCTCTGTATTAAGCACCCACCACTGTATATCAGAAACTACCTCTAGTATGCAAAGAACTGCACGTCCTTGTAAATGCCAGGAAACCTACTGCTTTGATTGAACTCAAGGTTGTTGATTTCGCTACAGACAGAAGCTTTGGCAAGATGCCTCGCTTCCAATTCAGAAAGTCGTTCTGTGCGAGAGCAAGTTTAGGTCCTCTGAGACCCGCTGCTGTTGCTGTTGAAGTGACAGTGTCGGATCTAATCGTGAAGGCGGTATGTGATGGTTGGCATATATGTTTTGTCTCTCTCCTTTGTTAGCGACGTCCATGATCGAAGACTCATCTCCTACTCATAGTATCTCGAAACCCTTCAAGACTTTTTACGCCCAATCCTCGAAACACAAGCTGGCAGACCATTGCTATTCGAATTTGCATCGCTAGCATTGCAGACTCCATTAGCTGCAGACGTTATTGCACGAATAGCCGAAAACATTAAACCAAACAAGGTCATCCTCCCCAGGTGGGACGTGGATACGCTACGGGCACTACCTGCCACCATGACATACAGTCTAGAAATCGATGAAACTAGTGCCAATTTCATATTAAAGGAGGCTGATGTTGAAGTTTTGACGAGATTCACCAACTTGACCAAGTTGCATTTGACAAACACGAAGTTCAAACAGGTATGTTATAGCTTCCATGACGGTTATTCCTTTTTTTGGCTTGATTGTCAATCATACCTCTAACTCTTTGCTCTTCTTTTCTTTTGTTCTGATGGCACAGTTACGAAATGGCATTCAGGATACCGCATTGATTCCATTACAAAGAACCAAAATCAAGACTTTGACGGTCAACAGTGGATCTCAAGTTGCTGGCAGTGTAGATGGATTATGGAAGACCATTGCTAATATTTCATCATTGGAGCATTTTGATGTTTCTGGTGAGCATGATAATCCATCATATTATGTCGTTTTTGGGTTGGTGGTGTTGTCAATTCGAACAAAAGGTTCAACATGCCAACTAACACGAACTGTCATCGTCTCAACCATTATAGTGTTTGGCCAACCACATGACACCAACGTAGCCTCTCAAAAGACCATGTTTGACTTATTGAAAAAGATGAAGAACTTGGTTCATGCTCGGTTGCCGTCTGTGTTGACTCCAGAGTTCTGGAACTCTGTAAGTTGTGAACGTAGTAGTCTTTTCTGAAGAAATTATCACTCATAGGAGAAAGCCATCTCATAAAAGCCTTACATCCTGCTTTTGTTAGTTGCCATCATACTTTGCAGAGGATAGTTTGATACAGGAGGAAAGGAGGGTATCTTCAGACGCTCTCCAGCTCAAGTCATTGTTCATTCGGCTGAGTAATCCTACGGAAGCAGATTTGATTGTAGTCGTTCACAGTAAGTGAATTATGATTAGCATTTGACATTTTTTTTTGGTTGACGCAAAGACGCAAAAAATCCAACATTGCCAACCTTCAAACACCTCTTATAGGTATAGCACGAGTATTCCCATGTCTAGATTCACTCTCCTTCTGGATTAAAGGTGGAAGCGTAGAGTACCCTGTCTTTTGGACTATGGTCGAAGGCCTTGAAAAGAAGACCCAAGTTGGGAGGCTTACGTATCACTTGCCTGAAGAATTGCATGCCAGGCTAGTACCCATGGTGATTGTTCCTGCAGCGTTTCGAATCAAGCTTGAGATGAAGTCGTAAAAACCACGAAAAAGTAGTAGGATGGTGCAATATAATGGATTGTGAGGATTTGACGCAGTGTTGAGGGAGTATTACGTTTGTGTTAGAGAGAGAGAGTGTGTGTGTGTGGAGAGTAGTAGGACGCTTTTTGCTGTTCAAAAGGTAGTTGTAGTAATGGTTCGGAGTAGAACAAAAAGGAAACTCGCATTGTAACAAGGAGTAAACAAAATAAAATAACCCAGTCAGAACTAAAGGAAATTCTGGGTAGCGATGGAATGCGATCAGTTTCCAGTCCATTCACACTCTGCTGGAGTCGATAAGTCAAGTTCTGGGACGCCAAGAAGCAGAAAGATACGAACGATACAAAACAAGCCCTACTTATACTTTGCGAATTTGTTGATTTTTTATTACAAGTACAAGAAAAAGAGCGATATACTATTCCCCTAAACGGATTCAAGGATTGCTGGTTCCTTGTAATCCCCCTTTGCACCAGGAATCTTTGATCCAACATCTTCTCCCGATTCACCGCCATGTAATTCCATCAATTTACCCAGATCAAATTTGGGAGCCTTGAGGATTTTGACTTTGCGAATATATACGTTTTGCAGAGGGTAGATGCCTCGGCATGCCTTTTCTATTTCCTTGCCAATGGATTCTGGGATGCTATTAAAGGGAGATCGGGAGGTTAGTATCATCACATATCAGCAAAAAAATGCAGAGGTAATGAGGAAATTTGTTTTCACAAGACTCACAATTTCTGTACCAACTCCTTCAAATCACAAGACTGCGCTTCCTTTGTCATGATTTCAAACATCTTTTTGCGAATCATCTTGATTTGCGATGATTGGGCATAAGTTGTCTTTTTAAGCTGGTTTGGCCTTCTCTTTGTGAAGGCAATGGCAAAGATACGTAATAGGTATCCATCAGTTGTCTTTACATCGACGTGTCCTTCAATCAGAGTCTAGTATATATTAGAGGTTGGTGTGAGGATATGAGTACGAGACAAAAAAATGTGGACTGCTTTAGATGTTGTGTCAAGATAAAACGTACCTGCCACTTCTTGACCAAAGACCTCAACTTGTCTGAAGTGAAGTCCATACCATGGAAGTTTGTCAAACAACTCCTTCCTTGTACTTCCTGTACTACGAAACGCATTTTTCTGAACGCATCGGCTTGGTTCTTGTTCAAGTCGGCCAAGGACATTTCTACCACACGATCCTTCAAATAGTCATTGGCGTTTTCTGTGTAACGAAAGATTAGTTTGGAATATATAAAACGATGAAAATACATGTGTTTGACGTACTGGTTCCTTGGGTTCTGTTGACCAAAGTCTTTCCAATGTCTCGAGTAGGGAAGTATGATGGGGCTTTAAGATCGTACCAGTCCTTTCTTGAGAAGGGGTCGACACTAATTGTAATGATATTATTGATGAGCTTTTGTGTTGGGTAGTCGTTTTTGGGGTTTGTGTATATTGAGGTGAAAGTGGAGCATCCCATCCATCCATCATTTCCCTCAATCGATTGACGGGAATAAGACGTGGAATCATTCAATATGGTATCCTAGTCTTATAATATTCATTCTCTTGTAGTCCAATACAACACATATGGGGTTGCACGTCGGGATGTTTTCGAATTGGTTGTGGGGCCAAATGTTGGATGTCCAACACGAGCGAGTAGGAGGAAGGCCGACTGGGCTGCACGATAACAAGAATATCAGAATACGAAAGCTTACATCTTTTTCTTGATACCCTTCTTTCCCTTGGACAATCGCCTAGTTGGCAAGTTTAGAGAAAAAAGTTAGCAAAATTGTGTAGAATAAGCTTGGAATGTAGTAGCTGAAACGAGGATGTAGCAATATAGCATGAGAAATGCGAGTGAATATGTGTCGCTTACTTGTTCTTTCCAACGGCCATGACTTGTTTCTTGTCGAATTGAGTTTTTGCGTTGGGTGAAAGCGCACTTTAATGCGCAACGCCTTCTTGTATGAGGGACCCTCACAAGTCATAACATAATCACACGACACAATCAAACAGAGACAGGTCGTGATATTTTTGGTTGAAATTGATAAGAAATTATGGCACTGAAGGTAGCTGTAATCGTGCTTCTAGCAAATCTAGTCGCAACATCGTACGGCTGGGGTCTTGAAGGTCATCGAGTAACTGCTACGATTGCTCAACACTTTCTGTCCCAAGCTGCGAAGGATGCTGTATACTCTATCCTGGATCCTCGATATAGGGGCCAAGTATGTTATCCTCTATGCCATTCAGGACGCGTCAAACATTATCATCAAACATGTTGCGACACATAACTTCATATCGTCTGACATTTCATGCTTATCGAAATTATTTATTATCTTAGCTGGGTCCTATCGCATCATGGGCCGACGAAATCAAACGAAATCCCGCATATGCATGGTCACGACCATACCACTATGTCGACTCGCACGACAACCCCCCAACAACATGTCTCTTCAAAGCTAGTGACTGTGAAGACGGTGTATGCGTCACTTCGGCTATTGCAAACTATACAAAGATACTGCAGGACTGTCGTGTTACTATGGCGTCAAAGAATGAAGCTTTGAAGTTTCTAAGTATGTGTAATTATCTTGTCATCCGATCACACTCGATCTAACATAATACGCACTTCTATTAGCTCATTATATCGGAGACATTGCCCAACCCCTCCACGTATCAGGTCGCGCCCGCGGCGGTAATGAAGCACACTGCACATTCGACGGCCACTCAACCCAATTCCACGCTGTATGGGACTATATGCTCCTCGAAAAACACGTAAAAACAGATTTCGCATCATCCGAAGATAAATTCACATCCTATCTCATCGAGTCGCTTGAATCCGGCCCCTTATCGCACAATCGTACCGAATGGGAATCATGTATTCCGGATGCTGCCTCGCCGGATGGCATGACATGTATCTTGGAATGGGCTACAGATACAAACCATATCTCGTGTCCCGTATGGGGCGCTTATTCCACGTCAGGCGATATTGGGCGGGGAGCACCATATGATTTGATGGCACAAATCTTGGAACTGCAGCTGGCTAAAGGTGGTGTTAGGTTGGCGGCGTTTTTGAATGAGGCTTTGGGAAAGACGTGTTTTAGTTTGTGGGATTATGTGCCTGGTGGGCGTGTTGGAGTGTGGGGTGTATGAGTTGAAAAGGGTTTATTATTGGGTATGAAAAACAGTCATGAGTGGTATCATCGGGGACTTTGAAGTAGCTGCAGTCAGTCACATAGAAATAGGCACTTAAAAGTAGCATATGTATATTGTATAGTCGGGCTTCATAAGAGATATACCCAGCATTCAATACCATCAAACCCTCTAGTTCAGATGAATCTAGTTTAATTAAATCCATACCACAATTCGAAACAGAAGAGCCATACCTACGAATTTCGTTATTCGAACTATCTTCGAAGAACACTGGATCAACGGTGTGATGCTTTGTGTGACACTTCCTTATAGCTCCACAAAACTCACGACCATTCACAACATCCTATTCCTCTTATAAAGCTATACAAAATGGCCGACGTAACCGTCACACCAGCATACTCGTCCTACAAGACCATAAAAGTCGGCATCGACTCGAACGGAGTCGCAATCATTATGTTTGATCGCCCCAAAGAACTGAACGCCGTAGGCTCAATCGATTTGAACGAAGTACGAAATGCAATCGAACGCTTACAAACTGATGATTCTTGTAAAGTCATTATATGTGAGTTTGCCGTGTGGTTGTGCATAGGTGGTTGTTTTGCGTCATTTGTTTGAGAGGATTACTGATCACATTTTTCTTTGGTAGTGACGGGAAGTGGGCGTGCTTTTAGTGCAGGTAAAATTCCAGTTTATAAAGGATTTTATACCAGCTTTTTAATGGGCTTCAATAGGTGCTACATTGACGGATCCAAACTCGAGGTAAAGACGTCCACGAAAAAAAGCTTATTCAGCAAGTTGAAACCGACAAATCTCACATAGATATGGAGTCCGAATCAATCCTCCAGTTTCAGAATTGGAGCACCGTGATCCTGGTGGACCATTGGCTTTTGCTCTTGAAAACTCCAAGGTGAGAACTTAAAACCTTGACGTTTTACTGTTGACGACGTTCGTATTAACATGTTGGATATAGAAAGTGACTATTGCTGCTGTACAAGGAGTCGCTGTCGGGATCGGCGCCACCATGATCTGCGCCATGGACATCCGAGTCTCATACAAGGAAAACCGAATCGGATTCGTGTTTAATCGTCGTGGAATCGTGCCTGAATCCATGTCGACGTACTTTGTGCCAAAGCTTATTGGTGAGGATATTTGACGTACTTTGTAAGTTCTTGCAATCTAACAACAAAAAAACCTCCAACTACTACATGCACAGGCATGTCACGAGCCCTCGCACTCTTCCTCACCGGCGCAATCCTCCCATGCAGCCACCCAACACTGCAACCACTCTTCCACGAACTGGTCGACAAGCCCGACCAAGTGCTCCCCAAAACAGTCGCCTTAGCGACAGATATTGCCAAGAACTGCAGTGTCCCTGCTAATGCAGCTATTAAAGCGCTTGTGAGGAACGGGGCTGATAGTTCGGAGGAGCAACATGTTTTGGATTCTAGGGTGAGTTGTGGTTGTAGGCCTTTGGTAGACTATCATTGAGGTTTTTTTGGTGTAGGCACTACATGCTCTTGTGGTTGGTAATCCCATTGATGTGAATGAAGGGACAGTGTCGTTTTTGGAGAAGAGGGATGCTGTGTTTAAGGGTACTGTTAAGGATATCCCGTCCTTCATTCCATGGTACGAGGCGTTAAGATGTTGATGCAACTTCAATAATTCATGACGAACTTATGCTTTTTTAGGTGGAAGTCAAAGATCTGAAAGCAGTGTGTGAACGCAAGACTGCCAAATTTTAAAGCTGTGTACCGAAACCCCCACATGAATACAAATGTCAATTATCAAGTATGAGGTCTATGTGTGTATCATGCCTATGTTTACAGGATGCACTAAGTAGAGCCTTTAACAAGGAGTGCCATCTGCGTTTTCATAATCCGGGCTTTGGACTGGCATTGGCAGCACTACACTTTCCTGCATCAATGAGTCAATACCATGTGTTAATCGAAGTGAATATTTGGCATCCTGTGGCAAGTTCCGTAATCAGAGTCTACTCACATCGCCTCTGAACAGTCGAAGGCAACGGGACACTGGCCAACGAGACTCTGTGGAACTTGCCACAGTCAAACCAAAGACCACCCTTCGCAGCTAGAAATGTCCAGGCTTTTCACATTGAAAGTTCCCGTATAAAAAGTTGATCTAGCTGGTGATTTGAATAGTGTTGAGCTCTCGTCATCCTTTGCTGAGCCTTAATCTTGCTACCTAATATATGTCATATGAGTGAGATGATAATCTCGACAGTTCAAATCCAACCCACAAAACGCGCTTGAAACTTACCGAAAGCCACCATTTTCACCGTTCTACGTCAATGAGTCAAGACTGTTTCTAATCCAAGTGGTGAATTAGCAGACTATGGCCAGGTCCCTCAGAGTCTCGACTTTCTGCCCGAAAATCAGAGCAACAAGGCTACCAAACACTGGACCACAGTACAGCAAAAGACTGTACCTGACAGCTAGAATTGGTAAAACATTTCACTTTGAGAATGCCCGGATCAAACCGTGATCTCGCTGGTAATTCGAATACTGCTGGACTCTCTTGACATCGTAGGATGTGACTTATCCACAGTTGTGTTTTGTCTTGCTAAGTTTGTTTGAGGAGCAGTGGTGTTTGTGGTCGCTCTGTCTAATAAAATGTGACAATGAATGTTAGTTTCTCGCTAGATCTAAGCCTCGTTTAAGCGAATGATCATAATTGGATCATATTCATATACGTGCGCTGCGCCGTCAACGCCCTACTTGCAGAGAGTGTGTGGTTTCTGGGGTTGGCGTCTCCAACAAATGTGAAGACGCAGTGTCGTCTTTCTCTAGATTTAGACCTTGCTAAAGCTGATCTGCACAGCACAACAATCGATTGTAAGTTAAGGTATCCATAAAATGATGCTTTAATAGTCCTGTCGCACTTATTCGTGCTGTTCACCAACCTGAAGTTTCTATTAATATGAGAGAAAGTGTCGATTGAACGCAAACAGGCAAAATCGAAGGGCTGAATTTCACTTGGAATGCGTCGAAACGTACTGTTGGGTCTCTGTCTAAAGATGGAAGGTGCTTTCTTTGCTTCTCATGCCTTTGTTGACGAGTTCGTTCATATTGAGGACTCGTATCAAGGCATTCGAAGAATAGAAGACCATTTTTGAAGACAATTTTTTGAGACTAGTTGGTATTCCAATATGTCTCAAAATGCTAGCTCGTCTGTGTCAATTGATTTGCGTCGTGTTCAACGAGGAAGCGAGGGACGTCAACCCTCAGAGTCTGTTTACATCAACTTTGGACTGTCATTCCGTGTCTAGTACCGCTCAGATGTGATGCTAACTGACTGAGGTTCCGAAATGATGTTATTTATTACGAATTCAATTTTCTATTGTGAGATCTCTGTTTTATCATGATTATGTTTTACAACTTACTATATACTATTATTTTATCTTACAGTCCGATCTATCTTCCTTCACTGTAACAGTCTAATAACATCCTTATTCCCCTTCTCTATCGCAATATCCTTTGCAGTGAGATGCATCCCATTCTCAACATCAAACTTAGCTCCACGTCCAATCAGCACCCTCACTACCTGCAAATGACTTTCACGTACAGCCACATGCAATGCAGTATCCCCATCGCAGTTGACTCCATCAACACAGCATCCTAAATCAACCAGCACTTTAACCATAGCCGTATCACCTAATTTAGAAGCTATATGGAGACAATCGTCCTTTGTAGTTGGCAGGGCAGCATGCATATCACTGCCGCGTAGGATAAGCAGTCTAGCGATATCGACACAACGGTATATCACAGCCTTGTGTAGCGCCGTATCTCCCTTTCCTGAGCGTGCATCGACGGACGCACCAGCATCTAGCAACACTTTGACGGCGTTGATGGATACAGCACTACAAGCGAAATGGAGTGCGGTTTGCCGGTTTGAGGATTCTACATTCATGTCTTCGAGTCTGGCGCCTGCGTCTAGCAAGACTTTCATAACACTTATATTGCCTCCGTATGCAGCTAATCCGAGGTTCGTCCAACTATGTACATCCTGATCGTTTTCGAGCACCATGACATTCCGAGAATTTACATCAGCACCTCTTGCAAGTAGAAGTTTACACAACTCGACATTGTTGTGATAACACGCTTGGCCTAGTGCCGAGTACCCCGGTGAATCGTATTCGGCGGGTAACGGTTCCTTTAACGGCGGATGAATTGTCCCAATATGTGGATTTGCACCTGCATCCAACAGCATTTTAGCCATATCATAATGCCCATACATACACGCATGTCCTAATGGAGTCGTCACACCCTCCCACGATGCATTCACATCTGCGCCATGCGCAATCAAGTACTTCGCCATCTCCTGGCAATCGAATGCAGCTGCATGCGATAGCGGTGTTGCTGAGAAAAACGTTGTGGGTGTCGGATATGGTCCTAAGCTGGACAAGTACTCTACTACATCAACCCTACAATCTCTCTCAGATGCCACATGCAGCGGCGTGCTCCATCGAGATTGATGATGGATGCCGGCTAGTGTTGATCGTGATGTGGCGAATGGGTTTGCGTGGTGCTTTACGAGGTATTTCACAATGTCGAGGTGGTCGACGGCGTAGTGCAATGGCGTACACCCATTTTTATCCTGTGAGTTTACAAGAGCGGCCTTTTCGACAAGGTAGACTACTATGTTCATCTGATTGTATTCACAGGCGATGTGGAGGAGAGACTGGCAATGTTTGCGATGACGATGGTTCAGTAAGGTGTTGTCATCGACCTCTCTGAGTCTATCTACTTCGCCATTCATGACAGCCTTATCCAGCTCGTCCTATGATTGATGAGTATGAGTTGAGTCGATGGTATCAGGTTCTCTAGGCAAGCAAAAGAATGCCGTAAAATGGCTAAACACCACGTACAAGAGAGGATATTTACCATTTCAGCCAAGTCTCCATCCGCATATCTCTGCCTCCTCTTAGCAACCAGCAGCCTCATAATCGTACTAGACTTTGCAAAAACATCTATCGGTTGCCCTGTCGTCGACTTTGCATTAAGATCAGCTCCATGAGATGCCAAAACCTCGAAAACATCTCCAGTCTTGAGTCCAGCAGCAATCAGTAGTGGTGTAAAACCAAACTGTGACGGATCTCTGACTTCAACAGAAGCACCGCCGTATCTAATTAAATTCTCTACTGCAGTTGCAGAGTTGCGTGTGGTGGCTTCACATAGTAGTGGAGATGTAAAGTATCTTGAATTATCAGCTTTTTCAAGTAGCGAATGTCCACCACCATATACCAAGAGATGTTTGACGGCATTACCACAGCCTTTAGATACAGCAACAAGTAGAGGAGCGCTAGCCCACATGGATACAAGACGTGATATGCCTACTATTAAATGTCTATCCGGAGCCTGGACTGCATTCAGATGCTCTATAGCATATTGACACACGTATCGCAGATACGGCGCAACACTTTCATCAATTATCCCATTCAGCCGATCTACTTGTGTAGGCAGTTTCGATTGATCTAATGCCAGATTCTTACATAGTAAGTCCAAGCACCGTTCAGCCAACATATTCTCAATGCGTTCCGTATCAATACAATACGGCGCTGCATCACCAACACACCGATTAGATGACGTGATGAAATCCGCTAGTGATTTATGAATCATCTCGACTTTGGTGTCTCCGACATTGATGAGTGGTTCGATACGTGCTAGAGTCGTTTTGGTCCGGCTTAGTGATACGCCGAGTAGAGCAGTCAGGCCTTCGACTGAGAGGGGTTGTCGTAAGGTTACTATGGCACCGACGACTGTGTGGTATAGTTTCATGCTGTCGTCTGAAGCTCCTGCGTGTGATATGATTAAAGCTCGGGCGTATATAGAGCTCATCATTCGTTCTTCAGATTCTCCGAGTACGTGGATTGAGAATTGGTTTACCAGTTCTCCTGGGTCGGTACTACGTACGAGCTCTTCACAAGCTAAAAGCAAAAAACTTCCATTGGAAATCGTACTATTTCATCAACTTTGAAACTTCATAACTTACCTAAGTATAGCCATACAAACAATCCTTGAGACAGCTGAGCCAACTTCTCAGCAAGCGATTCTACCATATCAGGACTAGTCAACCAGCGATTCAGCTTCGACACCCGATCCAGAGCATACAGTTTAATATCCTCCAAATTGTCGTCACTGCCAAGATCAAGCTGTCGAGGCGGTTGAGAGAACTGATGCCGTATATCTCTCATGGGTCGACTGGTCATAAACAGCTTTACTTGTGGTGGTAAACGAGACCAGTTACTAGCTAAAGTATGCAACACCTCTCTACGTAGTCGAGACCCTTCTAATCCACACTCTTCCAGTGCATCAATTACTATAACACACGGCGGACCTGTATATAAAGTCATTGGCCGTACTATTAATGATTCGAAATGGAAGGATACGGAAGTGGGAGCACTCAAAAAATTGGGATCTTCTTTAAACAGTCTCGTCAACTCGTCCTTTGCGCCAGGGAAATATAATGCAAGTTGGAAGGCAATGGTATTTAACATGGTAAATGGGTCGTTTCGTCCTGCTTCATCAAATTTACAAAAAAAGTTTGCAGCAATGTCCTTCTTGCAATCTACGACTAATGAGGCTGCTATTACTGATTTACCAGCTCCGGCTACTCCAGATAACCAGTAAACTTGAGAGTTAGGTTCCTTTATCCAGGCAATGATTTCTCGTATCAGCCAAGACCTAGTAGTACTCAATCTCTTTTGAGAGATAGAATGCACTACTTGTCTCAAATCTAACGGCTTCAGCCAAAACTTTAAATCAGCTTCTGGTGATCGTCTCGTTATTTGCCGACTTGGTGGCCCTTGCGTTGATTGTGTGAGCCTTCGTGGAGATCGTGAACTAGACGGCCACGGATCAACAGATGCGTCACTCATAGCATTCAAAATACTGTCCTTTAAACACTGCATAATCGTCTCTCTAGCCTCTCGCGTGGGCTGATTTGCTAAATCCAAGTGTGGGAAGTCCTTTGTCAATTCCATACAGTCGTTAAAAGGCCCATTATCGAGTTGTACTACTATTATCTTCTTTTCTTTGGCTAGTGCGAATCTCAGCTGTTGCATGGATATGTTTGATGTCTGGTATTTGGCGGTGAGACATAACAGGACTACTTTACTGGATAAGATAGATTGAGCGACTGACTGGAAGATGTCGGCTGTTAGCTGTCTCGTGTCCATCCAAACGTCGAAGCCTTTTGATCTTAGGTAGTCTGCAATGACTGAGGCTTGTTCCATATGCGCCCAACTAGGATGAGTCAATTAGTCAGACTTCAATCAGTCTGCAGTGAATGTCGAGACGATCACATACTTGTAACTCAGCATGACATCGAAAACTCTTCCCTCTGCCGGTTGCAGCGTCTTTTCACCAAGACAGTCCAAAGGAGGTGTGTTTTCGTGCGAGACAAGCGTCAAGATGGTCGTGGCAACCATCCCAAACAGGCCCGTAGTAACATTATGGCCTCGGCCCCAACCTTTAAGTAATAATACAGCCAGTAAGCTCTTGAACAATGTGCAAGCCATGAGCACCAGCTAAACATACCATCAGGGTAAATAGCTTCAATGAGTATGAAATCACCTTCAACAATCTCCAACTCGTCAGGCTGAATTCACAAAAAATTTCGTCAGTCCTTCTGAAACCGTGGCAAAATAAAGCAACAACCCACCTGTTGCGGAAAGTAAGACGCATGCGCCAAATATTCTACCAGAGACCTTCCGGGAAATGTAAGAGAGTTGTACGTCGGCGGCGAAAGGGCAGATCGTTGAGCTTCATATTCGACCATGGCTCTCTGACTACTCGATCGACTTCCAATCGATATGGTGCTCTCTATAGATACTCTCAACCCTCGTGGAGAGCCAGAGCCAGGAACATCGAGTAGCGATTGCACTGGTTGAAAGGGCGTTTCAGGAGAGATCTCTTCAATTGCATCTGGATCTAACGTTACAGCGATTTGTGGCACAGCTTCCGGGGCTGACGTGGGTGCTGTTGTTTGCTGTTGGTGAGTGCTAACAGTTGAATGCCCGCTACGACTAGTTCTGCTCCCAATGAATACATTTGTAACAAACTAAGATAGATCATTGATATAAAGTTTCAGTATCTAGTGTTTCCAAACGTGAAATGATGACGCCTCCATACCGGAAGATCGTGCAAATAATCGAATGGATCCGGCTGGGAGATAGGTTCCTGATGCTTGCTCCTCCAGCGACAGAAGAATTTCCGTGCATTGAATTTTATGGGTCTGCATGCCAATGGCATGGTGATGAGCGTCTGCAAACTTTATCAGACTCTAATTGACAACAAGTAGCCCCCCGACACTGCACTGATTTGCCACCAAAGACCACCAAGATGAACCCACCTAGCAACCAAGTGCTCCCTTCTCGATGCCGGCAACTTGCCACGTCTAGCTTACGGATTTTCGAATATATCATCTTGAGTTTGCAAGTTTTTGCGTCACTGGCCACACCCGACCGCAAATCTTCCAAACTCCCAGTCGCCAACTAAAGCCTACATTCGTTGCATTTCACTAGCAATCGCTCTAGTATCGGACTAAGCAGTACTGCCATTTAAGCTATTTCCAAACATGTCAAAGGATCCATGGGCTTCAATTCCCACTCAAGAGCTTCCTGTAATCGATTATAAAAACTACGCAACTCCACAATTTGACCGGGAGGTCAACCAAGCAGCTACAAAGCTGGGATTCTTCGTGCTCTTGAACGCTCCAGTCAACTCTCGAAGGGTCCAAGCAATGTTTGATCTTGTAAGTGGTCGCTGCAAAAACCGACATTCATTGATTTTTCCACGTTTTGGTGATTCCGAGCCTTGCCAGGTTTATGCTGGTGTTGAAACACGCTCAATTCATTTTTATACATACTCGGTTATGATTAATGCCTTTTCCATGTATTGATTTGATGTTTGATCCGCTGTGAGAGACTCAGCGACACAATGTCAACAACTCTGGTCACCTTCACGAAATCTAGGCCAAGGACACATTCAACTTGCCTTATGCTGAAAAGAACAAGTACAACATGAAGGCCACGTATTTTGGATACAAGGGAATGGGTGAAAGAGTCGCTGATGACAAGGGACGACCAGACGGGAACGAGATGTATAATATTAGCAAGGATCTCCTCAAGGACGAGCATAAAGCCAAGATTCAACAGCCTCATCCACTGGCTCAAGCCTATGAGGACACGAAACTCTTTACCGAGGAGTGTCATTCGCTAGTTTGCAAGATCTTGAAGGTCTGTGCTGACCTTTTGGAGATTCCGCCTAGCTACCTGTTGCAACGTACGTGCTACATGCGTTGCTTTCCGGGATGATTACGTGTACTCATTGATATCGATGTAGGCCACAGATACAATGCTAAAAGTGGTGATCAAATTCGACTGCTGAAATACCCTCCTCCAAGACCAGACTATCATGGTACGTGTCGTGCCATTCCTTGTAAAAGTGTTAACTAACGAAGCAATGATTTAGATGGTCCTTTGATGGGCGCACACACGGACTTTGGTTCCATTACTCTTCTCTTTAATCAGGAAGTCGGAGGCCTTCAAATCCAATCTCCAGATGATGGTATTTGGAGATACGTTAAACCTGTACCGGGGGCTATCATCGTCAATCTTGGAGATGCTATACAGTTTTGGGTGTGTACCATCTCACTGCTATATATATGTATATACATACACGGTGTTTTACCCATCACCCGTCATTGTAGACTCAAGGCTATTGGCGATCCAACATCCACCGCGTGACAATTCCACCACCACATCAACGAAACCTGACCCGATACTCGGTAGTCTACTTCGCTAGACCTGAAGATGATACCATTTTGGAGCCTGTACCATCAAAGCTCATTAAATCCAAGTATACTGGGGAACGTGTCACGGCTGCTGAATGGATTCAAAACAGAGTGAATCAAGGTCTTCGTAAAGGATACGCGTAAACCAGAAGGTCGATAGTGTCCCAGTCCCATATAGTTTGTATGTCTTATTCCCACCTAAATACAACGTAGTAGTACTTTACAGAAATTATTCTATATATAAGGTCTTTATCAGTGTCATTAATTTGTAAACACGTCCGGTGGTTGCTCGTCGTGGATACGACTGATGAGTCCTAATAACTTCAGCAATCCCAAAATATATACGAAGGGCAGCTAATATCGGTAGCCGATTACTCTTTGAAAGCATCCCAATTCCGATTTCAGCAGAAGCACGATACGTATCACCCAATTCCAACAGTCTTAGAGACATAGTCTTTAACATGTCCAAATCGTTATACGGATGCTGCATTAGTGATTTGACGTTATCTTTCCCTAGCCATGTTTCGGGGACGTAGCACCTATGTATCTCTTCAGCGTCTACACCAACGTCCCGAGCACAATTTACAAGCTGGAGTGCGATACCCATGTCTCGAGCACGACGAAGAGCTTGTTTGGCTTCTAGTGTTGTTGAATCCCAATTCGAATCCTCGTTCTTATACATTATATACGCACAGGCCTCTCCAACCGATGCTGCAACTCGTGCTGCATACGTGATCAAATCCTCTTGAGACACAATCCGTGTATGAGACACATCCATATCATATCCGTCTAGCAACTCCAACATGCAACGTTTAGGGACCCGATCTGTGATTTTAGCAAAGCATCGTAGTGCAGATATCTTATCGCATCCCAGTATTCGTGTATGGTGGATGTAGTCAATCTTCCCTTTATATGCATCATCAAGAAATTCCGATACCGCTACAAGCAATCGTTTCTTTTCCGGTGTGCTTATATCGGGATTGTCGGCTATATCGTCTGTGAATCGACATACTGCGTATAGAGCTATAACGTCCTCTCGTACACCTTGTGGGAAGAGAGCTGATGCTACGGCGAACGATTTCGAGCCCAATAGAATTGCATTATATGATTTACTTAGATCTGATAAGTACTCTTGATCTAGCGTACTTTCTGCTGCTAAAGTGGTAGAGACCAGCTCTTGCCAATATGACGAGTATGTCAAATGCGAATGAATCCGTCTCTGCATCCTCATTATAGCCAATGTCCGCTCAATAGCGACAAATCCAAATACGATCATGACATTGCTTAGTGTGAAGAAGAGTACTTCTTCCAATGGTACAGTTTTGGTAATCATCAGTCCTACTATGGCTTCCGATCTAATATGCCACGCTCCATGTTGTAGTGCTACATGGTCTACATATACAAGATATCCCGTAGAGATTCCTACTACTGTTGCGATGGTATGGAGCTGACTGTATATAAAAGGACCTGCAGCGTACCATTGTACGAAGAGTGGAGGAGCCGTCCACCACAGCAAACACCCCAAATAAAATGTCGGCGTTCCAGGTATTGCATTTTTCCAGCCTATAGCAAATTGCAGTGCAAACAGTATACATGGTAGTGCTCGTTGTATCTACGAAAAAATCGATAGTTTCCAGAGTCAGCTCACCTACTTCAACTAGCGGATATTTCCAAAAAGTGAGGCAACAATCTCTAAAATATTACAACTTACCTGCGACGTATTCCTCAATCCCAGTATAAACAAATTCCACCTCCCAATGAGAATCCACAATGCACCAGTTCCCAATGTTTGGATGATGAAGAATGCGTATTCTTCATATGGTACGTAGCCAACCGTGCCAATTACAGATCCTGGCACGTAATCCCACGCGCCGTTAGCTATTATATAGTTGTCCCAGGGTGTGGTATACACGAATGCGATGCAGCATAGCAATACAAGTGATGCAACGTTTGTAGGTGTGAGGAAGGGATAAGCTCCGAATAGGAGGATGCCTAGTGGTGGAAGCGTGTAGTATAGATGGACGTCCAGATACGTTAGAGCCATAGCTTTCAGACGATGGTGGTGTTGGTCATTTTTATGCAAACATTTGCCGAACGACGCAGGGAGGCTTTGCAAAGTCGGGTTAAAGCTCGATGGGCAAGGACAATGAGGATCGTATCTTTTCTAGTGGTTACTACAGCCTTATAATACCACTCGACTGCTCGCTCGATAAGAAATCAACGGAAGACTCGAAATTTCTCGTTCTGACCAGTCTTTGATTAATTGCCATACTAAATGCTTCAGAACAATGGTTTTCTTTTGTAGCTACCCATGGCAAAATGCAGCCAATGATGTATTTTAGCCAGTTCTTAAACCCCACGATCAAATTCCGAGTGGTTTCGACACGATCTAATATTTAACACAATGATAAAAAACTACTTAGAAATACGTGCCAGTCTCCAAATCCTCAAGAAGCCCTTTATGCGTAGGCTTCCAACCAAGGATCTCCTGTGTCTTTTTATTCGAAACTGGTGAATCCATCCCGAAAAAGTGACCCAAGAAGCCCATGTCTTTCATTGCCTCTTCAGGAGTAAGCGATACCACAGGAACGTTCAGCTTACGTCCAAACACTGTGGCAATCTCCTTTGTTGCTACTCCTTCTTCACCAACGCCGTGCAAGATGGTTCCAGCTGGAGCCTTTTCGACGGCAAGTCGGTACAGGACTGCGGCGTCCAATACGTGAATGGCCGACCAACGGCTGGAACCTATAGTTTGAGTGCGTTAGCTAGTTGCGGTTAAGACGCTAAACAAACTCGTTCTGGCCATACCATCGCCAATGTAGCCGGCTTGCTTTTTGCCCTTGGCAACGTTTATAAGAGCGGGAACGAAACCTTGATCGTGGTCACCGTGTACCTGCATTCAGATATGAAAAGTATGAGATCCGGTTGGTTGTAACGACTTGAAGGTGAAACACTTACAGTGGGTGAGAGTCGAATCACACTTGACCTAACACCTTTAGAAGCAAACCCCAAAAGCAATACTTCAGACACGCCACGTCCTTCAGTCCATGCTACGTCCTCAGTTAAAAGTTGCCCAGGTTTGAGACTAATTGTGCCAGAGGTTCCAACGAAGGGCTTGTTCGTGCCTATGTGTAGAGAGAGTTGAAAGCAACGTTTAACGCGATATGAATATCAAGATTTCCCTACCTGCTAGTACCTGACCAATAGCCTCGATAGCTTTCTGATCAGCAGCCATCGCGGTAGCATATTTTGAAAAGTCGTGAATGAAATCGTGAATGAAGGCGAGATGGATTACACCGTCTGACGCAGCAGCTCCAGCTTTAAGACCTGGTGATTTCAAATTGGAAAAAGTTGACATATTGCCACAAATAATTTGCTGAATGTTGGCAGTCAATGTTTGCTTACTTTCAATATCATCAAGAGATCCACGTTGAACAGTAGCACCAGCCTGTTCTAGCTTCTTGGCGCTTTCATCAGAGCGAGCAAGACCAATAACTTGATGGCCAGCGCGGATGAGTTCCGGGACCACACGCGATCCAATAAATCCAGAAGCACCAGTTACAAAAACCTTCATTTCTGTTCGTACAAGATTTAGTTTGAATTCGATAGATGTTTGGTTGCAAAAGTTATGGGGAGCCGTGGGAATAGAAGGTTCTGAGCTTTTGGTATTGTTTTTGGGTCGTTGTGAATGCGACACGTAGCTGACCCAGTGTCAATTTGTAATAAAAATCAGGGCCTGGTAACACGAAGGAGGCATAGCATTGCCAAGGTCGTAACATCAGGCCCTGAACATCTAAAGGTAGTAGAGTACGTTCTCGCTAAGATCAGGCCTTCAAAATCTAAAGGTAGTAGAGTACGTTCTCACTGCAATCGTTGGACAAAATATGGTTCAGCGTGTTTCGGTGAATTTGGACGCACTTGAGAAACGATGGCCAACTTCACTCATTTACAAGACAAGATCATTGTCAAACCCCAATTTAGTCGTTACTACACTGATTTAAGTATTCAATTACCCTTTTGAGGAATGTATGGAGAAATCCATTCTCCAAACACATCTGCGCTTTTGGATTGAAAGTAAACTCGTCCAGGACCTAACCACAAACAATCAGGATGTTGAGCCCTTCTGATTGCTTGAAAGTCACTCCAAACATCATTAACACAGAGTTATACATACCAGTGAATCTACACATCCTAAAGATAGAGCGAGATGGCAGGTCAGCAGAAGCGAGGAAGAGAGCGAAAAACAACCCAATGTCTTGTTTCAGAACGTTCACCACTCTTGACAGGTACTCACCAAAAGTCTCCGGTGGCAAGTTTCGAGAAAAATCCACCTTCAGCCTTGATGGTCTCCACACCATACTACAAAATCAGCGTAATGTTTGCGTCAGCCTGATTTGGAATAGCGACGACAGCACCAGAAACTCGTCTACCTGGCAGTTCCAAGCAACAACAAAGTGGTGGTGAATGAAGTAGTTTTCACCAGGTTGAAGCTACAAGAAAAGGCAAGGTCAACATCGTGTGTGCATAGCATCAAAAAACCTTACATAATGGCTCTCGATGCCTTACATCCTGAAATAAGATCGCTCCAAATGTTTCGAGGAACAGAGTGCCAGTTCCTGTATAATGATGAACCCACAATCCAGCTCCAGACATGAATGTTTTGCCAATTGATTGGGCTTTCGAGTCACGTTGAATACCTTTTGCGGCAAAAAAAACAGTGGTTTGGTCAGAGTGGATGGGCAGAGTCCCATGTCATCTTAGCACTCCATGGAATACAGATGGTATCAAAATCGAGAATGCACATAGTGCTCACCATCAGTCATACAAAGGAATGCATTACGATTCGTAATCCACTGGCTGTTGTTCATATAGAGCACAATAATGTCTCCAAGTCCATGGTTGGATAACGTAGCTTGTCCAGGACCACGTAAGTGCAAGTACGCAGTCTGATCTCCCGTAAAGATATTCTTGAATGTGAAATGGAATGTGCCCTACGCAGTAGTAGCGATGCATATGAGTGCTGCTTCAGTCATGAGTCATAGTCCGATGCAATGTGTGTACATCAGCATGTTTCACGTACTCGGATTACCACCCCTTGCGTATAACTGATCATGGTGCCCGGTTTAGCATGGACCTCGCCTTGCAAGTTCAAGATCAAAATTGTGTTTGTATCGCTGAGCAGCGTGGTGAACGTGTGTCAGACATTTGTCTTGTCCAAACATCGGAAATGCTTCCAACAAATGACGAATAAAGTTCGAAATCATTTACCGGTGTCTGATTTCGAAATTTCCTCCATAGAATTGTCCAAATTCGTCCCGGATGAGTTGAGCACCTGCTGGCGCTGCCATTTGTTTTTGATCTGCTGGGTTCATGTTGCCTAGCAAGTGAGAGGAAATCAGACGATATTGATTATGGCGATAAATGAGACGAAATCAACTTCTTTAAATCGCGCTTACTTCTTATGAGTTGGCAGTGTTGCTTGTGTTCCAGAATCAAAATTGTGATGCACAGCACAGCCTTCCGCTTTGAAGATTCAGACTTAAAACTTCAGACGCGACATACACGTGTTAAGGACGTATAACTGGTATCAAAATATATTCCATTAATTTCTACAACTGCTCTTTACGTCGAAACTCATCAAAACAGAGTCTCAAAGCATCCTTGTCCACCTCACTTCCAAAAATACTATCAATTGAACTCCTAGCCAGCTTTTCAACCTGATCACGATCAAGTCCAAGTACTTTCGACGCGATGTAGTACTCATTCGACAATGTGCATTTGAAAATACCCTTGTCGTCTGTTGATATACAACAGGCGTGATTTGCCTCAAAGCAAGTTTGAATGTGATGGTCGGTGTAAGCTGTGACGGTCTTGCATATGACGTTCGAAGACATGCAGACTTCAATGGGTATGTTCTATAAAACGAGAATTTGAGAAGCTACAAAAAGGGATGAGCAAGACTCAGATATACTCAGATAGCTAACCTTTTCAAACACTTCCTTCTTAACCCGCTCAGACATGAACGTCGCATGTCCAAGTCTATCAGCATCTTGTAACATCAAGATGCTCTCATCTTCAGTTCCCTCGATTTCACAAAAGTGAATGGTGACTGTTATATCAATATGTTAGCATTTTGTAATCGTACTTATAACCACCACCAAAAGCACACCTTTAAGACCATAAGATTTAGCATTCTTGATTGCCTGCGAATACGTCTGATAATGATCTGCAAATGGATCACCAGCCAAATCAATTCCAACAACACCTTCAGACATGTACTTGGCAGCCAGCTGTATCGTGTCTAGCGCATCATCTAGCCCAGCCTTTCTATCAATAGTCAATATTACGCGGACGATAATGTCCAGGTTCTTCCCCTTGCATGCTTCAATTCCTGCAAACATGGCTTGTATATATTCGTCTTTTGACATTCCTAAATCATAGATCATGTAAGCAAAAGCCTTGAAGTAAATCTCTGCGTTCGAATCTAACCTGTCGTGCGTCTCGGGGTCGAACGAAGCTCCAAATAAACAACCCCGTCATCCGCAAACTCCAAAATGACTTGCTCCGTAGCAAACGTTACTGCAGATGGAGTATCCGTCAGTGCATATATCAGCTTGAATAAAGGAAAGAAGTCAGCAATCTGAAAGGACGTTGTGTCCATTTCATATTGTTGTTTGACATCGGCATAGAGTTTTTGATCTTGTTTCCCTACGATAGCAGCATTCGGTGAGATACAAGCATTCTTCATGTTCAATTGATGAATTTTACTTTCAGCGAGCACCAGTGCTGTCCCAATGCCCAAGGATCCATTTAAATGGGCGTGAAGCTCTATCTAGATGATTGACGCGTTTAATGAGTAACCACTTTCGACGTTGTACTGCATCATTCCAATTAGAGCAAGAGCCAAACATTGGGCAATAAGTTGCTCTCTATATCTCTTACCTTTGGCAGCTCCTTGAAGAATGTTGGAGTATCGTCTGTCCTTGTTAAATCAATCATTTTCAAACAGTACCAGGTTTAGTAGAGGTCAAGACAGATAAGGCAAGACAGATCACGAGCATCAATCTCCCAGTTGCAGCCAACCCTGTTTTCTCGCCACAACTCAGACGAAACTAAGCTTAGCTTGTTTTGGCCCAACAACGAACTTGGACGCAACTCATAAGAAGTCGCTCATATTACGGGTTCGCCAAGCAAAGATCTCATCAAACTGCTACAATTTTACTATTACCAGAGTTTTATTGATTTTATGTTGCTTTTGACTACAATTTCATTGGTAGACGCATTCTTTGCTCAATCAATTCAACAAAGAGATACTATTTCGTTTCGACTACAGCTTCATTGGTAGGTTCATTCGCTGTTCAATCAATTCAACGAAGATACTGGATCCGATAAGCATGGCTTGTTCATTGAAATCAAACAATGGAGAATGGTGTGGATGCGATCCGAGATCGGCGGTGGGTGCAGCTCCTAACACATTCAAGTTAAAAAAGTCAGTAAAATGTTTCCGATCATGGTCTTGAATTACATACCAACAAAGAAGAAGTTTCCTGGCTTTTCCAACAACAAGAACGAAAAGTCCTCACTACCCATTTGAGGTGTTTTTACAAGACGGATATGCTCCTTGCCGACAATTTTGGCGGCAGCATCTTGCACCAGTTTGTACGGGCCCTCTCCAACGTTTATAGTAGCTGGATATTGCACGGTATAGTCGACCTAGTCACTGAGTTGTAAGTCAATTGTGCTGAAGTGGAAGCACAACAGAATGACAAGACTTCGCACCTGGCATTTGCAACCATGAGCATGAGCGACACCTTCCGCAACTTCCGTAATTCTCTTCTTCATAATGCTTTGTACTTTAGCATCAACTGTTCGTACTGTAGCCAATAAAGTAGCTTTTGATGCGACAGCATTTCGTACAGATCCTGCACTGACATGACCTAGTTCAGCAAGAGTGGTCAGTGTCCCATCCTACTAAAATTGGTTGGGGTCATACAATACACTACCTATTGTCAAAACTCCTAATTGATCTGGAGCAACATTTCGACTGACAATGGTGTGGAGGCTTTGGACTATGGCAGCTTGGACGAGAACAGCGTCTTTTGTGAGATGAGGGTATGCACCATGTCCTCCTACACCCTGTACGGTCAAATCTACTGCGTCAGAGCCTGTTGTCGAAAGAATGTGTGAGTGTTGGTTCTGAACAATATCGAATGTAAGGCAATCACGGGGTCATTTTTGCCTTACCAGCCATGACTGGACCGATTCCAATCAAAACGTCTCCCAATGCAAAGTTGGAACCCAGATGTAAGCCATACACTTCATCGACTTCGATTCCACCAAGACCAAAGAGACCGTCATCAATCATGGCTTTTGCGCCAGCTCCTCCCTCTAAATTACAATATTGTGGGTTGGTTGAGAGTGTGACGCAATAAAACAGTGATCAGTAGGGAAGAAAGTACGTCTTAATACGTTCTGTGCTGGGTCAAGTTTTGAGACAACTCTTTTGAGTACCTTCTGCAGGCTGAAACATGAATTTGATGCTTCCGTTCAAGGATCTGTCACCAAACTTTTCTGTCAAGATCTATCGATAGAGGGTAAAGTTGAGGCAAGTTCGAGACACGGACGAGCCGAGACCCACCTCGGCCGCAGCTAAGAGCATTGCAACGTGTCCGTCGTGACCACAGGCGTCTATTTCGTAATGATGAGATCGACTCCAAGTGATTGTGCGTTGTCCAAGACATCAAAGTGACTTACGCATGCGACCTACAAGCCGTTATCGAATGAGTCAGACACGAGTTAAACAAGGATATGCGAATCTTTAGGCGAGGAATCCAGCTCTCAGACAGAAAACACACCTGGCTTTCGAGAAACAAACGAGTACTTGCTTGGGTCTTCGTCAATTCCAAGACAATCCATGTCAGCCCGTAATAAGATGCCTAAAGAAGGTAACTGGGCGAGTAAGACGACCGTTTCAGGCACTTGGCATCATATTCAAGTTTGAGTTACGCACAGGGATGATCACGTTTGCCTCTCATCAGGGCAACAACGCCAGTTTGGCCGACTCCCTTGAATATCTCCAGACCCTTCATGGCTTGAAGTTTCTGAACAATAAGCTTGGCAGTCTCGACTTCCTCATAGCCCAATTCAGGATTGGCTAGAAAGGACATGATAGGTTAGTGGATGTTTGGTATTGGTCGAAGTACCCGGCAAATATGGAGGGAAAAGCAAAGACGATGTACGAAGTACAGCCAGATGTTAAATCTGAGCGTGCAGACTGACATCAAACCAACACAAAGTCAAAAACCGTGTTACCATGCAATTCTCGTCTTGTGGCGACCATTTCATTGTAACGAGCAGTTACTTCACGTGGAATGCGACTGGCTATAGTGGATGGGAGCATCATTTGTGCCATCTTTAGTCTTGTTGTTTTGGTTTGAACGTGTGGTGCGTGACTTTGAAGGAATGGTAGCATGGTTGCACTGAAATTCGAGCGGCCAGTTACCGGTGTGTCGTCCCAAGATCTTACGCGAAAATGCTTAGAATACGCGCTATATTGCGCTCAGATCGTCTTTGGTGACCAGAGGAAGGAAACTGTGTACTGTAGACGTGCCTTCTCCAAAAACAAATGTTTGCTGCTCATCAAGTCGCTAACGAGCTATGGAGCCTGGATCTCGGGATAAAATGGTTTATTCTTATATTCTAAACGCATTTGACTCGTGTCCTTCGCCATTGGTCGTCTTTGCTTGATTCCTAGTTCGAGTCTCATTTCTTACAGCTGGCCATGAGTGGCAGAGGCGAGGACATCACTGCGCCGAGGCCGCTCTCATATAAGGATGATCCAAATGTGAGGCTTAGATATGCTAGCAATGTTGAGGAAGCTGTCCGTGTCATGAAAGCTGTCCGGTATGATTTTGAATTCACGACATCTTGCCCATTGTGCTGTTCTGATATAGTCAATGTTCTGATGTAATCGCATTCAATAGGGCAGCACTCAAGGATGAGCCGTCGTATCGCATTGGCAAAAGGGACTACAAAGTTGTGGGGTTTGATCTCGAACATAAACCAAAGTTTCAGAAGGGTGCTGGTAGTAATCCAACTGCTTTGGTACAAATCTCTACTCGAAACATTATCGCACTCTTCCATGTGTCTCGTATGGGTAAGCATCGGATTTGAATTGGTGGATCTGGCTAGCTTTTGCACCAGCTGGCAGACGCAACACAAGTTGCTAACAACGTTCGCGGTTCTAGGTTGGCGATGGGACAAATCTCTGATTGAGCTTATTGAGGATCCAAGCATCATCAAACTCGGTTCTGGAATAACTGGCGATGCTAGGAAGCTGTTCAAGGAGGAGGGTATTGATATGAAAGCTTACTTGGAACTGCACGCTCTCGGACGAAAAGTGTTTCCTGATCTTGTGCGAGCACAAGGAATGGGATTGGCAAAGATGTGTGAAGAACTGGTATGTACTATGTCGTTTCATCAAGCATGCAGCGTTTTTCCCCCCGTTCATTTGTTCCTCGTTGTCTTGCTGTGCATGCTGTGAAATTGACCTCCTAAATCGTTTCAAGACTTGACTCATGTGCCTTCTCTCCGTTAGCTCTATAAAATAATGGACAAAAGCAAGAAGGCACAACTCTTCAATTGGGAGAAGGAGCTGCCAGAAAAACAACGAAACTATGCTGCCAATGACAGTTATGCTGGCATTCTTCTGTTTCTACATATGTGGGATAACAGGCCGTATCCTCTCGATGTTCCACTTCTTGGAGTCGAGACAAAGAGATTACGAGCAGTCGCTAGAGAGGCAGAGCCCTCTATCACGACTCAACCATTGTAAAAATCATTGAACATTTGAAGTTTCTGGAACTTAATATATTCCTCGGAGCCCAGGTTTACAAACGGAATTTACCACTGGTTCAATTGCCATGGACGAACGCTCTTCAATTGATGGAATCGATGTTGGCTGTGACGCTCCCTCTGAAGAACAGAAAAGTGTTCTCTTCGTACGTACTTCAATGGTCGTGCTTCAAGTCTGTCAACTTTCAAAAGCAAACGTCAAGCTTCAGAATGGTTCGAAATGTCCTGATACGTCCAAACGGACGTGTTTAACGCTCCTACAATGAGGAATCTTCCAATGACACGTCCGTCTTCGTTCAATGAAATTTGACAGGAGTTCGCATGACAACACCTTGTGTCTCTTGCACTCAACTTTTACCAAAACCACAACACACTCTCAAGGACACAGACACTCCACAATGTCCAAGAGAGGAGGCCCTCTCATGACGCCTCCACAGTCTCCAAGGAGAGGAGGTCAGCCTTCAGTGGAACGAATCCGTTCACCAGAAGACGTCAAGGTACCAGCTGGCTCAACACTGAGAGACATTATTCTCTCATTGATCTTTGGAGTCGCTTCATGGACGTACCAGTTCATGTTAATTCGACTGGTCGTCTTTTTATTCACCTTTTCGGTCTTTGCCGTGGTATATTCGATCCGACATGTTGGTGATGTGCCATCAAGGATTCGAAAGGTGATGAGGCTATGGAATGCTGAACGATCGCCTGTAAGTATACGACTTCAAAACGCTTTCATAATGAAGGCTTTCATATTCTGGAAAAGAGAATCTCATTTTGACTTGACGTTGGTTGTTAGGAACCACGTGGAAAAGAGCCTGCAGAGAGAAACTTTCCGCAAGGAACATACTTGAGGACACCTCCAGAATGCTTCTCCCATTTTGTAGAATACGATTTTCCAAAGAAGTGGTTTGAATGGAATGGTAAGTATAAGTCAGATAAAACCAGGATTTTTGCAGCTTCATCGGTGATTGTTGACATGTGCTTGTTTTTTTTCACCTAAAGGTATTCGTATTCACTACGTCGAAGCTGGACCAAGGAATGGAGACCGAGACTGGGCTGGAGAGACATTCTTGTTTGTCCATGGAAATCCATCTTGGAGCTTTCTGTTCCGTAAGTTTGGTTGCACATTCGTGAAGATTCTCTCAGTTCATTGCTAAAGATCTTGGACGTCAAGTAAAACGGAGAACTGACCCTCGTCTTCGTCCTTATAGGCAAAGTAGCAGTCTCACCGTTTTGCCCTACTGACTTCTTGAATTCATTCTATCTTTGACTCACTTGTGTTTCTCGAAGGTGATGCACCAACTTGCTGCAGCGAATCACCGTGTCCTTGCCATTGATCTCATTGGCTTTGGAATGAGTGACAAGTTGGTGTTTGAGCCACACTCAATCAAGATCCAGGTGGATATGCTCGCAAGCTTTTGCAACCATGCGAAGCTTGCTGGAGTGACTATGGTGTTGCATGACTGGTATGAGAGTGATTGCTCGTGGTAGCAGTCGTCGTAGCGTTTGTGATAATCTTTTTTTGCAGTTGAACTGTCACTGATCGTTTTCATTCATTAGGGGAGGTGTGATTGGACTGAGTGCACTAGACGGAATCCAATCTCCAAGCTTCCTCAAACACATTGTCCTTATGGATGCCTTCCTTCCAAGTCGAGTCAGTCTTGGTCACGAAGCTGACTTTTCTGCTTCGTTGATGCTCATGACCTTACAAATGGTGCGCATAAACGTTGTTTGGAAAAGTAGAAGCTGTCTGTAACATACTCCACGTCAATTTAGTATACCGCGATTCTCGGTAAACACACTTTCCTGGAACCATTGATCCGCTTTATCACACCAAAGTCTCCAACGAGTGTGGTACATGGGTATACAGCTCCCTACCCATCATCGGTGCTGTCTACGGTATTTGAGACGTAGGCTTTTCATAAATTTTTTTGTTTCGTGGTTATAGACGATTTCTGATCGGCAGCAGTGAATGACACAAGACTCACATTCAAATTTAAACCTCTCTAGATTTCCACGTTTGATTCACCCAATGTTTCCAGGGCGCTTGACACCCTTGTAAACAATAAAGTTTGCTGTTGAGCCAACTCTGCATAAGACTAACCAAAACACCCACCCCTCAACTAGCTTTGCCATCCTCTTCTCCGAACTTGCTGAAGGACTACACAGCGATGAGGATATCCATGCTCGCGTCGATACAATCAAGCACCGTTTGAAGGCCATGAAGCAGCCAGTACTCATTGTCTATGGTGCTCAGGATCAAATCACAATATACTTCAAAGACAAGTGGAAGAAACTTCTTTCATCAGTCTCTATGGAGCGTTGTGATGAGATTGTTATGATTCAGAACGCTGGTGAGTTGCTGTTTGTCCTTGTGAGAGAGGAGGAATGATGTGGAAGAGAGGACTTTAGGAAGAGTCTTTGAAATAAGCTGGGAAATCCCCAACAAAGTGTGCAGAATGATGCTAACATCCCATCTGTATACTTTAGGTCACTTTTCGCCAGAAGACAATTCCGACACCGTCACGGCTGTTATCGAAAGTTTTGTAAAGGGTCAACCGATCAAATATATTGACCACGTTTACTTCGCATAAAAACGATAAAGTGGGTCTCGAAGGAAGTCAAAGCAAGAAACATCAAAGCTACAAAGCAGCAGGATCGTATGATAGCTGAAATATCAAATAAAAGCACATTTTCAGAGCTTAAATTCGTGGTTCCAGCGTCGTTTTGGTCTCTTTCATGGATTTCTCGTCATGTGACTGTTCCCACGATACATGACTTGTGCAAGGGTTTATGAGTAGACGGCGAAGCGGGAACACACTTGCACAGTATAGTACCATCTATACCGGTACATCCTGGTTCGAGCTCCTACGTTGTGACCCCTCATTGAAGACGCGTATCAAATCGATTTACCGAAACTCTGAAACATCCTCGGGAATCTCTCATATCTCATAACTCCAACACAATCCCAACATCCACAAATTCAACATTCAGTTTGAGAGGCAAATGAAACCAAAATCTATATTTTAGCTTCCACTCTCGAATTCCTGATGCCCATAACATGCAAATGTAGTATCAAATGTCGTTATTTTTCATATTCTTTTCTCAAGACACGTCTTGGAAGCCTTCACCCCCTCTCCTGTAGCATTAACATATCCCAGCTTGTTGAATAAGGCGATTGTTGATTCATCCGATGCTTCCAGTTCGATATAGAATTGTTTGGTAGAGGGTGTTGTTTGTTGATGTATGTGCTCGACGAGCATGGTCTCTATTATGACATATTCGTTAGCCACCATTCTCAAGACACTAATGTCAACGGCATGTAAAATGTTTACCTAAATCCAGATTCCTATACACTGGCAAAGTATTTAAAAGCAGAATCCGTAACTTGGTTTTTGGTGATGATGGTGCTGAAGAAGGTAGTTCGGCCTCTCGACGTGATATTATAGCGGCAACGGGTATATCATTATAATACACTAACAAGAAATGCAAAAGTCAGTCTACACGCATCTTCAGCCAACTTGCATCCATTTCGTAAAATGCCTAGCATTTCTCTAAAAACAAGCTAGAAGATACATCCACATACATAGCTTAGCCAGCTCCCCGGACTCTATAACATCCTTCCAGAACTTGTCGTCCACTTTCAATTCTTCCTGTAACGAACTCCAATGTTCTGAATTTTCACAAATCACTTTGAGCTGCTTGATGTTGTTGACAGTCACATCTCCTAGACCTGTCCGCACGCCTGTTGAGGTGCCTGAGTGACCTGCAACACCATTCATCTTGTTCCTTGGTTCGAAATCAACCTGTTGATGCAAGTGTGTCTAATAAAATTTTGAAGCAGTGTCGGAATGGTGCAAGATGCGAGCGTGGTTTTATTTACACAACTTTTAACGTCTATCTAATCATATAGTCCTTCTACAAATTGATCGTTCTTGGCTTGAGCTAAAATAACGCGTGAGATAAACCAAGGGCAAAAAAACCTCAATGTCAAGGCACAACGACTTACTATTTGCAGCCATCTCAAACCGAGCTCCAACTTCACAGTCCTTGAGCACAGTATTCATGCCAATCTTGGCATTCAAGCAAATCACACAATTCGTCAAACTAACACTATGGGACAGAGGAAATAAGATATCAGACACCTGCAACAAGGCTATGAAATCCACCTCTCGAACACCTTCACTCACTTGTCATCCAAAACAACATAATCCATAATCACAGAATTCGTAATCTTACAATTCTTGCCAATGCCACAATGAGCTCCCACAATACTCTTTTTAAAGATTGACTTTTCACCAACTTTGGTACCATCACCAACCATAGAATCAGGTCCAACAGTAGTTCGTTGTGATATTTCAGCAGTGGCAGCTATTCGAGCATCACCTACAACTTTGGTCATTTGACGATTCATTTCACTATAACTGCTTATGGTGTTTGCTCGCGCCGTATATCCGTCTCGAGTTACGAGCGCTGTGACTCGTACGTGGTTTGATATGGATATTGTGGGTGTTGGTGTTGGGGTTACTCGTGTTTGGGATGTGGTTGGGAGGCGGTGATGTGGGAAGATTGCTATAGGAAGGGACGAATGTTAGAAAGTTGATTCAGGACGACTGGAACGCCTGAAGCATAAAGCAAAAAACGAGATTGATGTCTTTTATATGTGGACATTGCTGTACCTTTATCGACTTGAGCGGCCCTCGCAGCCTTCTCCGAATACTGACACTTGACCAGCAACGGCAGCATCTCCGCCCTCAAACTAGCAATCTTTGGATTCAGCACCAGCAAATCCAACACCCAATGTTTACACACATACAAATGCGCATCCCGTAACCCCGTATGTAGATGAAATACAGGAAACTTGCGAATCAGGGATGTCTGAATAGGCAGTTCACTTCTTATTTCGGCTCTTGGTGCTAGCACTAGCCGAGCATCCAATGGTGATATGCCGACGTATTCAACAGCATCTTCTTTCACGACTTTTTCTAGTGACGATCCGGCATCTGGTTTTAAAGATTCGTAGAATAGGACCGACATGGCTGGATGCGTGAGCCTGAATGCGTCTAGGACGCGATGGGCGGGTATGTCTGTGATCAGGTCGGATGACAAGACTATAAAGTCCCTCTATTAAAGAGTTCAGCGTGTAAGTTTGAGACGTGACTGAATTAATATCCATTATCCGATTGATTGAAGCTAATTACTTTGATCTTGTCCTTGATGTATCGTAACGCATCAGCAGTTCCGTCATAGTTTTGCAGAGCGACGACCTCAGCCTTAGTTTCAGGAGCACCTTCATACATTTTCTCCATATAATCTCGGACGTGTTGCTTTGCTTCTGGATGAGTGACTATGATGATGTCTATGTGCAAAAAGGAGGGTCATTAACACACTGTCATCACAAAACTAGAGTTGATGTCTTTTTCCTGACCATAAACACCAGCATTTTCAAGCCAATTCAGCTGATAGTATAACATGGGCTTGTTTGCGACTGGAAGTAATGCTTTCGTGACGCCTTCATCGGCTGCTAATGGGTATAATCTATGACATATAGGTGAGCTTTCTTTGTTGTAGCTTTCTATCATTATATGAGGAAGAAGACTTACCTGCTGCCATATCCGCATAGAACAATAGCTTGGAATTCAGGAACTCGTGGTGGACGCGGTGTCTTCTCACTGATGGAAAACATTGGTGCAAACGTTGCGGGATTTATCCTGATTTTGTGTTGAAGATTGTAGCAACATAGATTTGCATGGAACGACTTAATGATTGCTTCAGGATCTATTGAAAAGCTTCAAATCATACAGAACTATTGTGGTCATGCCCATAGATCAAGTACCGTTCAAGTATCAAAAACGTGTTTGTCAAGAAAGTCGCCTTTCATGTATTTAAGCGCAAGAATCAGGTAAGCAGAAGGCGGATTTTCTTTGGTATTGCCAGAAAGTTTGACTTTCATATATGGTCCGGTACGTTCCTTCTGTCTCAAAGTGCTGATTATACCCGCTCAGTTCCCCTTGAGATCTACAGCCTAACGTTGCCTAATCATGACACCTCCCACGTCACAGGTCGGAGTAGTAAGCGGTAGACCCCAACGTTCTTGTTCTTTCTTCTTCTTCGATTCATAGAAAACGGAGCTTTTTTCGTGAACTTGCGTTTTGTCTTTTTCAAACCCAAGTTTGCCGTTCTTGGAACTTTTGACTGTCTAAAGGATCAAGCGAGATCTATAGCGATCCAGATCAAACTATGGCAGCAACTATGAATTCGTCTCCCTGGATGTGGGCTGTTGTTGGAGGTAACCCGTCGTAGCCTTCACTATTTTACAAAAATGCTTGAAAAACTGACTTCTTCCACGTCATGACGGACATTATATACAGTTGCTGCAGTAACAGGTCTGACAACGTACGAGTACTGGGATCGAGCAATTGGAACTCGTAAACGAAACGATATACCTAAGCTTCCAAAACACTTGACGACACCAATGTTGGGGAATGCCCCTGCTGTGCTGAAGCGGTTTACTACCGATCACCTGGACGCTCTGAATGAGAAACGTAAAATGTCAGTGTTGTCATAACATATCTGGCTTCTTTTGGGTTGATCAGCGGCTGATTCCTGATGTTTCCATAGGATTGGAAACGTTTGGTTGCTGAGTTTGCCAGGTCGACAAATGGTCATAACGTACAACGTGGCTGATGTTGAATGCAGTAAGTATTGATCTTTTGAACCGTATGTGATGTTTATGTGAAGCTGTGGTGTAACTCCTTGAACGTTTTTTCGATAGTCATGAAGGATCCATACCTCTTTGTGAAGGGTGAAGCATCACACAAGATGGTATTCCCATTCTTTGGACATGGAATCTTTGCTGTAGATGGCGAAGAATGGTATGCATTGAAAAGCAGCAGATGCATGCTGGCTGATTTGCCAGCTGTTCCAGCTTTCGGTAAACCTTCTTTTCGCCATGTAGGAAGATTCAACGTAAAACAGGCTCAAACATCTTTACAGTCAAGAACTTTAAAGAGTGAGTTAATTTATCATGGCTGAATCTTGCAGAGCAAAGCCCGTACATGCCCACATTACTGACCTCGCTCTCATAGTCACTTTGGCCCTGTCTTCCTCGAAGAATCCGACCTAATGTGCAAACACATGTCTGAATCCGCATCCCAAAACCTCCCCATCGACATGCAAGACCTCCTCCTCCGCTGCACCATCGACGGATTCGCCCGCATCGCTCTCGGCACAGACGTACAAGCCCTCCGCACACAAGGCTCCAACGTCAATGGGAAATACCGCCTCCCGGACGTGGATTTCATGATTGCATTCGATGGTCTCCTCGCCATCCTCACAAAAAGATTCATCAACCCCTTGTATCATATCAGTGAAATGTTTGATGGGACGTATGGCGAGATATTGAAGCACAAGTCCGTGCTGGATGAGTTTGCGTTGAAGATGATTCGTGAGAGGACGGAGAAACCGCTTGATAAGGATCGGTTGAGTCGGCCGATGGACTTGCTGGATTTCTTTTTGGCTGCAGAGGTTGATGCTAATTCGGAAGAGTATTTGAGGGATGTTATGCTTAATTATATTATTGGTAAGCTTTGGAGTGCTGTGTTGTAATATTTCAGGGAGTTTCTCGTGTTTGAGACGCTTTATCTCAGTCTTTTCTCCTTTAATCATCTAGCTGGTCGAGACACAACAGCACGTAAGTTAGACAGGCAGCGCGTCTCTTGAGAGCCTCCATTGGAAGCAGTCTTTAAAACAGTTTTCAGCAAAAAAAAAAAACACATTTTCAGATCAATATTTGTTCTCTCTCAACTTTAGAAACCTGCTCATGGCTGTTATGGGAAGTAGCGAAACACCCTCACGTCGAGGAACGACTTCGAGAAGAATTCACTCGAATCTTGGGTGATGGACCGCTGGACTATTCCAACCTCAAGGATATGAGGTTTTCTGTTGCTGTATGGCATGAGACTTTACGTTTACATGGTAAAATTGACATCACCTTGGTCGCCGTTTTTTGTTGCACGACTCTGACCTAATATTAAACCAAATAGGAAACGTCCCCAACGCAATCCGAGTAGCTACAGACGACGTAACACTTCCAAGCGGCACTAAACTCCTGAAGGGAGATATTGTGCAGTGGAGTTCGTGGTGTATGGCTAGGAATGAGGAGATTTGGGGAGAGGTAAGCGATTTGCTGAATCAAAGCTTGTGTTGTCCCATGTTGTGGTGTTTTGTGCCTCAGGTATCTCATTGTTTTTCAAACAGGACGCAAACGAATTCAAACCAGAGCGCTGGTTGAATGAAGAGGGGAACTTGATTCGAGTTTCTCAATACCAATGGCCTGTTTTCAAGTATGAAGGACTCATCGGTTGTCGCAGTGTATCTGGATTGCAATCATACACCTTACTAATGTCGTTCTTCTCTGATATGTAGCTGTGGTCCAAGAATCTGCCTTGGAATGAACATGGCAACGGTAAGCATGCAATATACTGCGTTAGCTTATCCACATGCCAATGTATTCAATACAATTTCGCCTTCATTTTTTAGCACGAAGCACTAATCCTAATGTCAGACATATATCGACGCTTCCACCTCGAACTGGTGAATGAAGACGATAAATCCAAATGGGGTGTTTGGAATGAGGATCCAGCCAAGAGGCGTGGGAGATATGGGCTTGGTGTTACGGTATGTTGTCAGTATGTGGGTTTCAAACTTGGTTGGTATATGGGACTCATCTGTTGCGTTTCTTTTTGCTTGTAGTTGAGCATGCGTGGAGGTGTTGAATTCAAGGTTCATCATGTGTCTAAATAATCTGTAGAGTATGTATATCTTTGGTGGGGATGTGTATAGGCTCAATTGAGTGCAAATCGGGGAGTGTGAAATTGTGTATATTATAACTGGGAGTTCTTTGACTGCATCTATGTAAAATAAAACCATAAAGTTGAACCATATTCAAAGCATCTTGTACTAGTATGATGTTCAGAATTTCTGTATATATATATATGTTTTATAAACAAACCAAACAAAGAGAGAATGCTAGCAAGTTTTATTGAAATGCAAAATGGATGAAAGCAAAGTACTGGGAGACTTCCATCATTCCCTCCTGAGATTATCCAATCTAGCTTGCAGTGCAGCATCATCTGCCAGTTCTGGTTCTTTGCCAGCTGGTTCTTTGCCAGCACTGAGTTTGGTATTTGGTGCTGATGCCATCTAAGGGGAAAGGAGATGTGGTTAGGTGTGAGTGTGACCAACAACAGAAAAACATTGCTAAAGAAGTTCTCATAACGTACCGTTTGTTCAAGATTTATACCAATTTCATCGAGCACCTAGTCGAAGTACACGTAGAACGTTAGCCTTCTAACATACAGCAATCGACGCAACGCCAAACAAAAGACTGTACATTGGTCTTGTCACTTGCCTGGTTGACAATCTCATCACTCTCCGTCTCATCCTCCTCCTCATCCATAACATCATCAATAGCATCCGACATCATTTCTTCCTTCATATCCATCATTTCCGATTCCTTTTCAAACTCCATCATGATTTTCGTAATGGCTTGCAAGTTGACTTGTTTGTTCATTGTCCTCATTGCTTTTGTTACACCCTTCATGGCATCTGACATTGCTTGTGTTGATTGTAGTGTCTAATTATAGGTGAGTTGGTATGTGTGGTAGTGAGCGGCATGTACGATTGACGCCTGCTTGCAGAGTGTTAAAATGCTTTTTGGCTGTTACCTGCATTCTAAGCCCAACAGCTTGCAACTGTGTCCTCATATTGTAGAACTTCTGAATGTATCTCCTTGTTCGTACCAGATCTTTAGCCATGACTTTACATGCTCCCTACCATTGTTGAAAATGTGTTGTTGGTGATCCGCCAATGTGTTTGAATCTCAGTCGCACCACAGATATAACCTACAGTTTGACCCTTTTTTGCAGTAGCCTTGATATCATTGATGAGTTTCTTTTCTGAATTCTCCAGTTTCTGCCTCTCTCGGTCCAAATCTCGAACAGCTATTTTGGAAAGTGTGATGTTAGTTTGAAGACTAGAACGAAAACAATGCAAGTAAACAGACATGCCTCTATCTAATGATCGTTTGTGCTGCCTCAGCATTTCAGCTGGCGTCTTGCGTGTCCCAAATATATAGTCCATCTTTGATATAGCGTTGGTTTGTTGGAATTGAATGACCAAAATGTGATGGTGGAAGCTGGTGCCAAGATGTTTTTGAATCAAAAAGGAAAAAGTCCAAATACCATCAAACATGCGATTTTACCATGTCAGCTCTCATATCTTTATGCTTCTGAACTGGTTCAGCGATGAAAACACGAAATCTAGTCTGGATATATTTCTGATCTGATGATCCCAACACCTGATTAAGATTTCGCGTACAGATATACGTGACGATAGCCACGAAGAATTCATTAGAGTATTAGCTTCTCTCCTCCACTCTTACAAGTGACTAATTCGCGATTCGTCGAATCTCGCAACCACAAAACTTGTTCAATTGTTCGTGTCGTGTTTTATAGCAAAAGCAGTTACTATTACGCATCAAGGCACGTGTTGTTAATACACGATGAAGTGGACTAGGATACTCCTCTTCCTTGCCATAATCTTTGTATCCATCTCTTTGGTCAAGGGTGCAGCCAAAGATTTAGACGACGAAGATGATGACGAAGAGCTACAGGTCAAAGGAGATGGCAAAGTGCCGAAAGCAATCCCAATTTCGTCTTCAGGAATGGGCATTACATGGTACGCGAAAAGATATATCTCATGTGCTGTGGTCGAAACATCAAATTCTATTCACGAAATGCAGCATATAGCAGAAGCCGATGCTAACCGCACATACCTATTTATTACAACAGGTCAAACTTGAATCCATTGGATTTTGTGGGTGAAGCTTTTGTGCTAGTGTTTTTCGCTGGAATGTTTTGGTTGTATCGTACTGGCCGAGCTACCAATAACGAGATTGCAAAGAACTGGTTAGTAGCAACCATCGTTGACGTGCAGAGTAGCCAGTGTTGATGGTAGTTTGATTGCATGAGTGCTCAACTCGTGTTCTGGTTACTGTAGCTCTTGTTTTTCCCCTCAAGTGTTGATAACCATCTCGTTCATCTATATTGACACTATCCTCTCTTTGATGTCTAGGTATCGAGCTACTGGTCCAGTGTGGGAAAAGAACTTTGCCCAAGTTGGTAACGACAAGGGTCATAAACTCATTCGTGACGGTGCAAAGGACTTTATCTTTTATGCTACTGGTCGTGTTAATGTTGAAATGATATATGCTTTTGTTGAGGTAAAAACTTCGTGCTTGTCTATTCTTGACGCCATCCCGTGCTATTTTTGGCCGACGTTGAGATCTGATGGTTCTCACTCGTTTAGACAAGTCCACGACACGATGTCATGAAAAACATTGCGCAATACCTGCCAAACAACACTTTTGACACCATTGGTATCAAATGGACCGAGGATAAGCTGGTACGTGTGTTTTGGTGCTTCATACAAACAACACTGTCCAATTCGCTTATATGGCTTTTTTGGGTATAGGTTATGCGAGCATACCTGGACGAAACGGCATCCGATGACTTTATACTGGCGATACTACCAAAGAAGACATCTGCCACTTTTATAAAATCACGATACGATCTAGTAAGCGCCATCTAAATTTAGCTGAACTCAGTATTCATAGTGAGGTATACTTAATACGGTTTTTTTGTACTGTAGAAAACATTCACAAAGGAACTCAAAGAACCAGCCATAAAAAATTTCCCATTTAGACACTATACTCTAGCTTCAGATTGTCCCGAGTTTGCAGGAATTTTGACTCAAGATGGTCACCTACAGAAAGTCTTGTATGCTGCCATGGGTCTGACCGATGAAGGTGAAGGGACAGCCAAATCATCGTTGATTGAGAGCATCATTATTTCCGATCAGGTAAACGGGCAAAAAAAGCACCTAAGAATTAATGACATTCATCTTCATTGGAAAACTAACACCTTCTCACACACACTCTATACCAAACTTAGCCCAAAACAGCACCAGAAAAGCTCAACGACCTTGAAAACACATCCAAAACCATCACCTTCACATTCAAGCTCCCAAAAGGCATGGAAATCAAGGACCAAATCACCAAACACCAGCCCACCTTAATAATGATGACTGAATGTTTTATCGATATAATCGACTATGTTGGCCAGTTTGGTAAACTCTCTAACGACGTTAATGCTCGATTGGAGAGAATCAGGGAAGCAGCTACTGCCGAGTTAGAAAAGAAAAAATCTAAAGAGGTCAAGGAGGAGCTTGACAAGAAAAAGTTTGAAGAGTTGAAAAAGAGGAAGGAGGCTGCTGAGAAGGCTGGTCCTGAGGCCCTAAAACGTTTTGAGGAGAAGGAACGGAAAACTACTTTGAAGAAGCAGTTGAAGAAGCGTAAAAAGTTGATTGTTTAAAAGAAAAGGCATATGACATATAACAAGGAGAGATATTTTCATATATTTCAAAGCAAGAACAAGTAAATATAGTTTTTACAAGGATACAATAACGTGCTAGTATTCTACTTTACAGTTTCGTGGTATGTGCTTCCCATTCTTCATCTTCTCGTCGAGTCCATCATAAACTTTTGGAATTGCAGTGACCTCTCTGCTTGATTTTGCTGCTGTTGGTTCGTCCCTATTATTTTATGTGCTGATGATGATGGTGTTGGTTTTCTGTGGCGCGTATGTTCTACCTTCTTGAGCAGATCAGACCACTGAGATGATAATGTCGTATCTTCTGAAGACGACTGTGACGATATACTAGTATTTGACTGTTGGTATTGTTGCTGTGTTGTCTTATTCTCAACCACATCATCATCCTCGTTCGTTGCATTGACAACACCTACACCACGACCCTTCACGGACAACACCCCAACATCAACACGATCAGTTTGAACTGATACATTCCTCTGTTCAACCTGTTTACCACTACCACTATCTCCAACAACAGACTCCAAAGCCTTAAGCCTCTGCGTCCGCGCATCCAGCGTATCAGACAAGACTCCCAGCTGACTTTTATAATCCAGCTCACGTCCCTTCCTCTCAGCCTTCAAGCGAGCGACCTGACCTTCCAGAGCTCGTACCTTGGCCTTCAGTGCAGCGACTTCCTCCGTATCCCGTAATATCGATGATGGTGCTGGTGCAAGACCACGATCGCCCTTTAAATGAGGGAATAATGCACGTACGGATGGTGGTGTTTCGTCTAATACTTTTGTATTCCTTGTTGTTACTGCTGGTGTTTGTAGTAGTATCGACGTTCTTTTGATGTTTCGATTAGCGGCATCATACGACATGTTTGCGATCTGGTTCTTTAGTTGGATTAATTGGGCATCCTGTTCCTGGGTTATTCGGGCTAGGAGATCTAGACGTTCGTTGTATGGAACGGTTTCGTAGTCGACACCGAGTTTGGATTTGAGGGTTTCGTGGATGGGAGAGCTGGTCGGTTCGTTTATGAGGCCTGTGAGAGAGATGCGACGTTTCGGAGTGGGGTGGAGCCAGTCCCTTAGGTCGTCGTCGGTTGCTGTTAACATTGTTGATAGTAGCTGGTCGTGAGATCAAGTTTCTTGTCATTGGATGGAATGCACTTGGAGGAGTCTTGTTAAACGAAGCTTGATGTGGACCATATCAAGTGTAAATGGCAATGATTTACATCATTTGCTATATGGGCGCAGCCATGTCGCTTACTGGATCAAGCAAGATCTACTGCGATTGTGACGGAGCAATCACGACCGAAGCCAGGTGTCGATCAAGAAATCAACATGGACCTATGATTTCAATGATTTTAAAGGAAGAATTCGTTTGCTTTGACCGCTCTACTGCTGTTCCTCATACAGCCTCTATGGGTAAACTTTCTCCTTCGCTTTTGTCCCACCTCACGTTTCCAAGCTTGCTCCACCTAACTCTTCACCACGTAACCAACGAAGTAGTTCTCATCATCCAACACTAAATTTGAAAGCTATGGAAGCTACCAAAGTCGAGTTTGCCGCTTTGAGCAAGCAGGATCCTCCAAACACTGCCTGGACTCTGTTTCGTAAGTCAACACATTAAAGTGGATGGTTGATTGACGGTGGATTTGGTGTATTGGTGGAACCGTATTGGTGGAGTGTGATGATTCTTAACGATTCATGGTGCTCCGCCGACATGGATCGTGTCTTGTGTTGTTTCAACATTGCAACCCCCACGATTCGTACATTGGGGTTTGAAACATTCACGAACTAACGCCATTCAACGTATTAGCTAAAAATGGTCTTGGAACTCTCAACTTGCAGACTCCGGAACTCACTGCACAAGCTGCCAAGCTGGTTAAAACTGGTCGTCAATTCCCATTAAACTGGAAGCTTGAACTTCCATTCCCAGTGAGAATGAAATTTATCGGTTTCTGGATACTATCGTTTGCTCAATAGTTCCATTTTCAACATTAGCCACTGTTCCATCGTGCTGAAATGAGACACGAGATTGTCCACACTGTGGAAACACCCTCGGTGTTTGATGATCTGTACCATAACTGGAACACACAAGCTTCCAGTCAGGCACGTTTGCAATATTCTACTCGATTTGGGATTCTTTCGCTGATCGTGTCGTCATGTCCTTAGTGGGATTCACCCGGACATTTTGGTGGTATGCATGGCTGCCATTTCGAAGGACTGAAACCCGCAGACGTACCAACGTATGTTATGTATTCGGCATCAATCAGTGTTTGGCAAGGCACTCATTAACGGTATTTCTCGTTTAGTGACTTGGGTGTTGCGCGAATGGCCCGTAAAGGAATTTCTGGGCGTGCTGTCTTGATCGAGTGGGTTGAGATTGTTTAAATTTATAGGCGTTTCTTAGTAATTCTAAGGCTCTTTCACTTTTACTATTTAGCTACCGAAGATGGGCATTGAAGAACGGAATTACATACTCTCCTGGTAAAACTATCGGACAGGTTGAGCGGATGGAGTCGACAACTTTACTGACCTTTCCGTTGTTGCCTAAATAACAGGATCAAGACACGAAATCACCGTCGAGAACATTAAAGCCGTAGCAAAAGACCAAAAGGTTGAATTCAAGACCGGTGATATCCTCCTTCTGAGATCTGGGTGGACTGAATGGTATGAATCTCTCACTACCGATGAGAGAGTAAAACTTGCTAGTGATCCTACCGGACATGAGATATGCGGAGTCAAAAACAATAACGATACTCTTGGTACGTGTTCAAAACTGTGGGGTTGATTAGTGTTGATAATCACGTATTAATGTTGATAATAACCTAACAAACGTTTTCTTGCCTGGCAGAATTCTTATGGAACAACCACTTCTCAGCAGTCGCTGGTGACACTGTCGCGTTTGAAGCTGTGGGCCCGGACGTCCCCTCAGGTAAACTGTCGTTCACTGTTTATTACTTTGTTTTCTTCGAAGCTTCCAACTCAGTTACAATTCCTTTCAATCGTAGATTCATCTCCATGGTTGATTCATTTGACGATTCTCTCCGGATGGGGCTGCCCTATAGGAGAAATGTGGTATTTGGATGAACTCGCTGCTTACTGCGCGGAAACTGGTATCTATGAGATGATGATCCCTTGGGTGAGAACTTGGGACTAATGACTCGTGTCAATTAGGTGTCTATGAAATGTTTATCACCAGTGCTCCTCTGAATAAGGTACGTCATTGGGTTCTTAAATGAGAACTTGACTGACGACTCGTCATTTTAGGAACACGGCATTGCTTCACCACCAAATGCCTTGGCCATTCTTTAAGCAGTGATCAGGACACTTGACGACGACATTCAATATCTCAACAAGCCCCAACATCGAGCATTCGTCATATTTTATGTAACGTCGGATGATCCCAAAAAACAATCACGTATCCCAAAACTCGAAAGGTTGCTATGTGATCGCCCAGTAGAAGGATCATTAAATTCTTTATTCAGTTTGAATGGTGTCGGCCGCTGGTGATTAACACTGAGCCGGAGTTTAGGAGAAGAGTTTGTAGCAAACTGTTGCCCGACACCGGTTTTCACAATTTTCGAGCAATCAAAACGGAACGATGCGCGTTGCAGCGAGCTGATACGTCGAAGTTCAATTGGAAGCAATCGATCATTCCCCAAAAAGCGGGTAAAGAAGGCGTCAATCCGAAACTTGAGCGACAAAGAACAGGAATTTAAGAAGAATGCAGTAGGGCGCGACTAGAGAGTTCCTAATAATTTTGCATCGAACAGCAGTCATCTAGATTCTGATCGTTTAGTTGTTTATGTCTCCGCTCTGTATTTAGGGTCCTCGTCTTGCTCGCTTTCGATTTTTTTTCCAACAAAACATCACTCACACAGACGGCAATATTTCTTGAAGGAATTGAATAAAACAACTGTTTGGCTACAATAAGGTAAGAGCCAGTATCAAGCATACAAGATACAATATGCATTTTCCCCTCTCTTTTGGGAGCTTGATGCACAAAACATTACGTTGACTGAACGAATTTTTCATGCATTTTTGTCTTGTAGGAAGAGCTCCAAGCTTACCAACCCAGCCTTTTAAGAGTCATATGCATATACAGCATCAAGACCCGCAGCGCTTACATATAAAACATCTCAATTGGAATCAAGAAATTCCGAATCAACGAACAGAACATTCAGCCTTGTTTGGAAACACTTTGGTCAGAAAACACGTGTATCGGATACGACTGTGACCTCCCGGCTCTGATTTATTCGCATATCAACCTTATTAAAAGCCCCCCTCTACCTTTTACCTGCCTCATTACAACCTCGACACATCCTTGATATATTTTTGGGGCTAAAGTCACTTTGCACCTAAAACACACACAAACCCACTACTACATAAAAAGCCAAAAATAGTATAGACCTCTCTATCGTCATGGCTGCTGCAAATTCAAGGTACATTCCTTATTTTTCAAGCATGGCCACTCACGTTTTGTTTGTGTTGGCTTATGGTTTTCAAGTCAAAGTGACACGCTCGCAAACTTCACATGTCAATCCCAAAAACATCATCTAACCTCGCCTCATTTATTAGTAGAAAGAAGCGCAAAACACAGGAACCAACACCATCAACCACTCAACCGATAATGCCCTTCCCCGCAAACCATTCTCATCCAAACACACCGACATCATCAACAACATCAACGGCTGGACTCGCGTCCCAACTCCCGCAACTCGACGCGCCAGCATTCAACCCGAAAGATCTCCTGCTGTATCCACATCAACCCGTCGAAGCTTCGCCACGTGGTAATAGAGTCCGAACTCGTGGTGGTCGATATGCAAATGAAGCCAGAGCTCCACATCCTAAAACACGAGATGCGAGTTGTTTATGTGGATTGGGATTTGACGGTGTTGAGTTTGTTATTACGTGTCATACTTGTCATGGTATATACTGTTGTTTGGAGAGTTTGGAAATGTTTCGGGGCTAAACTCGAAAATCATATTTTATAGATTGGTTTCATGGACGATGTGTTGGAATAAGTAGTACGACAGCACCTTTTGAATGGATTTGTCCTCATTGTAGGCCGGCCAATGCGAGGTATGTGTGATAGACTGTCTGCGTCATTGTAACCCGCACCTTCATCGTTTTTTTGTTGACGCCTTGTTTTCTGCCCCCCCCCCCCTAGTACTGTGCCTGTTGAAGCATCCGGTCAGAAACGAAAGAAACCATCACCTCCTGCTGGTAAGGACATCTCGAAACAAAAAAGAATTGAGTTTACTCATACTCGTTTCTAAATAGTATCAAAGCCAGCTACACCCATACTGAATATACCGCCAACACCTTCGCGAACACCTACTCGAAAGATTGCTGAAGAGGTTGATGACGACGATGACCTGTGTCCTGTATGTGATGGTGAATGTACATGCAACACTAAGCAGAGCTTCATAGTCACTCCCATTATTGAAGTCGAAACTGCTACCATGCAAATGACTGCTATTGGATCACCGCAAACCATATCTCCAGCTCGTCGTGGTTCGCCCAAAACACCACGTGGTACTCGATCGACGCGAGGCAGATCAACGACTGCTCGAAAGCCAAAAGCAACTGCCAGTACTAGCACTAGTAGCACTCGTCGAGATCGTAAATCGACTAGTAGAACACCAGCAAGAAACTCGTCCAGTATTGTCATAGTAGAAGGATACGATTCGTCTGAAGATGGTACAGAACAATCTTTTGCTGCCGATATTGTGTCCGCCATGGTTGGTTTATCCGAGGAAGAAGACGATGATATTGTAATGGCAGACAATCATAATGGTACTCCAAATGAAGGTGTATCAAATCTAGATCAATCCATGCTGCAAATCTTGATTATGAATAGTGATGGTGCGTCGTCGACAGATGATGATGCCATGGATTATTACGAAGATGCATTGGATCATCCAACTGGTGGTAAAAGTAGTAGTAATACTCATCATCAAATGGGACAAATGGATCTGGACGATACAATGTCATCGGACTTTGCTGATGCTATGAATGGTGATGCATTCGGCAGCAATAAGAAGATCCAAATCAAATTTGAATTAAAGGATGAAGCATATGATTGGTCGTCAGAGTCTGAAGTTGAATCGAGGCCACAGCAAGCTGGTGGGAAAATATTATCGTCATTACGCAAGACTGTTGTTGCAGTTGGGAAACAAAAGAAGACACCTAAAGGTAGCAAAGGTGCTGCTTCAGCTGCTGGTAGCAGTAATAGTGGGAAGGATATGGCATTGTTATCATCTCTAGTCAAGGAAGAAGAATTGGTATCATCTGCATCGTCGACCTCGCCTTCAGTTGCATCGCCACCACCAAAGTCACCCAATATGAATGGGACGGCTAGTAAAGCTGCAGATGGTGGCAATAAGACGCCTTCGACCAAACAAGTCGACTTTAAACAAACTCATGTTGCACCGAATGGAGACATTACCACCACAACAAAGAGCTTGACTGTTTCTGTAGCTAGTAATCAGAAAAAGAAACCAGCTACACCAAGGAAGACTCCTAGTAGTGTCAGTAAAAGTAAAAAGAATAAGAGTAAAAAGACGGATCAAAATGCTGCTTCCTCATCATCAACAAACAACAGTGCTAGTAATACTGCCAATAATACTCCAGCACTACCGCAACCTCCACCACTCGCTGTTTCTGCATTCTTGGCTGCCTTGCTAGAATCTACAGGGAGTGCACCACTACCAATGCCTGATGCTATACGTATCAAGTCTGAAGAAGAAAATGGGCATGGGAATAATAGTAATGCTACTGGTATATTAAATGGCACTCTTCCAAATGGTACTTCTTCGAACGATACAACTTCTCTGGATGGTATTGTCGCTGGTGTGCAGGCTGCACTACAAGCGTCGCCAATGTCAAGTGTGCTAGCCACATTTGCTGCCATTGCCAACGCAACTGGTAACCCAGGACTGATTGCTGCCTTGACGACTGTAGCAGAGCTATTGATGGCCAATGGAACTAGTGTAGATAATGGAGGTGATGTTAATCGAATGGAGGATGGTATCGAGAATGATGTCAGTGGTGATGATACCTCCAACAACATGAACACATCAGATGAAACTCCTGCTGCCATTACGAAGGAAGACTCTGTATCATCATCTGTATCGTCTGCTGATAATCTAGGACTCTCTATAGAAACCAGTACTGAAAGTACAACAACAACAGACAGCACTCCACATACTCCCGCTACTATAATTACGGCTGAATCACCCTTCATGTCTGCACCCTTGAAGCTCGATGAAGTGCTAGACACTGATAGACTCGAATCCGATAATTCTGAATCTGTGGTTCGAGACACACCATTATCACCAGTAGCAGTAGCTATAGCGCGATGGAAGACTGTGCCAATAGGATCATTCCGACGATCACGTCGCACATCAGTCCATGGACGAACATCAGCAGCTGCATTAGCCACCGCAGTACGTCCCACTGTCGAATCACCAACCATGGGAAGCAGTCTCGGAGTAAACTCGACACTAGCAGATCTTGGAGGATCACCAGGCCTCGCCCCACTTCGAAACACGATGATTTATTATAAAAACGCAAACAACAATAACATCAATCATACTGGAACTGGTGGTGTTAGTATGATGGGATATGATGCAGCACCGTCTGTAGCATTAGGTGGATTGCTGAATGCATCACCACTGTTTGCACCATTGGATAATCGAGCATTGAGTCATGATGAGGATAATTGTATGCTGGTGTTCGAACCACCACCATTGTCGTTGCCTGAATCCATGTCTACTACTACCACTTTTAGTGGTACTACAGGCTCGACTAGTATGATCCCGTTGAGTCCGCCACCTAGTGCGACCAATAGCCCCGTACGTAATGGTGCGAAGGGGAAGGGAAAAGTCTACTAGTATAAGAAGTGAGGGAAAAGAAAACGTTTGGGATGGCCTACACAAATTTTAAAACGGGAAGGAAGGAGGAAAATATAGTTTTGAGGAAAGATAGTCAAATCAGTAGGAGTTGGCTTCTTTTATTATTTTGCTTTGTTGGGAGGAATGGTTGTTTTTAGGGCTGGATGGTTTGGTTTTATTGTGTATGATTTTTGTTGGGCTGGCGTATGTGGAATTAGTATATAATCATAAACGTTGTCCCTCAATCCCCTGTAACATAAAAAGAATGGAAAAAACAGTGTCTTGCTTCAGAAATATAAAGGAAATTTTATTATGAGATATACGTGTGTTTATGCTTGAAGTGTTATAGTACAAAGAGAAGGATTATGTGCCTCTAGAATATAATACGTTTCCCATCTCCGTCTAGTATATCTCATCAAACGGCGCCGTATCTGCAAAACACCTGCTCCAAACATTCCTCACAGCATCTTCCGCCAACACGCCCTGACACTGCGGCACATGCGACAGCGCCAACGTAGCCCGTCTCTTAACACAGCTCTGATGGCCCTTATTAAATCCAACAAACCCTCGCCTCACTTCCCTCATAAACCGACACTCACCACTCAGACTGGCCGCCCGGATCTCACTGCACGCGTACTGCTCACACGAGTCCCATTTCACACTCGTCGTCTCGTGATCGTATACATGCACCAGCTCGTGTGCGAGCGTGTCTTCTAGATGCCGTTGCGAGACGAGCCGGTTTTGGCAGAGGACTATCCCTATTGATGGTGCGAAGCCGCCCGATATTGTTGGTGGGCATGGCATGCATACGAAATGGGATGGCGTGAGTGGGGCTGGGAGGGATGTGTGGAGGAATGTTATTACTGGGCCTGTTTGCAAAAAAGTGTGTGTGGTTAATGACACGTTGACAAAGTCAAAGGTTGTTTGATACGAGGGATCACGTACTGTTTTTTAAGAGATATTCCTTCCATTTCTCGCATCTCTCATGATCTTTGGCTGTTTTGGATGGGTCGTCTGTGGTTTCGTCTTTTAGGAGTGGTGATGGTGATGGTGTTAGCAGTGACGAGAGGGCGTTTCTCCAGCGTGTGAATGCCGCGTCGGTCTCTGGGGGTGCTGATGTAGGCTCCTCTGGTGTAGCTGCCATCTTGTTAATAGATATTTATAGCTTGCAATTCGCAGTTTTGTGCTTTTCGTGGTTTTGAGGAGTTGAACGTTCAAAGCTTTGCGGAGAGAGCGAGATAGACAGAGATGGCTACACTAGCGATAGAGAACTTGTTTAGCGTGAAAGGAAAAGTCGCCCTGGTACGTTCCTTTGCTTTGAAACTTGCACAAGAAACTTGATCTTTTTCGTGGACAGAATTACGTGCATTCACGACAAGCACTCGCTTAAGATGCTAGTTGTATCAATGATTCTTGATAGGTTACCGGCGGAGGAACTGGAATTGGGCGTATGATTGCAGCAGGTCTGACTCAAAATGGTGCCAAAGTGTACATTGCATCACGCAAACGGGACGTTGTGGAGAAGACTGCTGCTGAGCTTAGTGTCAATGGCGGTAAATGTATCGCTCTGGTGGCAGATTTGAGCTCGAAGGCTGGGTGTCTGAAGCTTGCTGCTGAGCTACAGGCACGAGAGCCGATTCTACACATACTGGTCAACAAGTAAGCTGTTGCTGTTGCAGTACAATTTTTGCCGACATGTCGCTGACTGACAACATTTGCAATATAGTTCTGGCGGTGCTTGGGGTGGTAAGCTGGAGGATTTCCCTGAACAAGGATGGGACAAGCTCGTTGCACTGAATGTGAAGAATCTGTTTTACATGACCGTCGCGTAAGTCTTTGATCTAATGGCGATAATGCAAGTACGTGTTTAGCTGACGCTCTTTCGTTTTCTAGCTGTCTACCAATGCTGGAGAAGGGAGCTAACGGAAACATTGATCCCAGTCGAGTCATCAATGTAACGTCTATCGCAGGATACACAAACCATTCAGGTATGAGACAGGTGCAGAACCGCTTCAAACTGCAATACTCTGATGTTCAACTATAGAGAATGTTACCACTGGAATTGGTGAAGGATCATGGAGTTGTGAGTCCGCAGCAGCCTGTGTTGCCTTGCGATTTTACCCATCTAACATTTTCTTACTACCAGACAATCCAACCAAGGCTGCTGCTAATCACCTAACACGTATTATGGCGGTGACGCTTGCCAAGCGGAATATCACAGTGAATGCCATCGCGCCAGGTGTTTACTTGACGAATATGACGTCTTATGGGTACTCTGTTCATAAAGAGAAGTTCCAATCAGGACAACCAATGGGCAGAATAGGTATGTTTTTGCAAATTGTGTGCTTTCCCAATTGTCGTTGCTGCCGTAGAATACTGAAACGGTTCATTTGTGCAGGTTCTGTGGATGATATGGCTGGCTTGGCGCTCTATTTGAGCTCAAAGGCTTCCGCTCATCTTACCGGTGCTATTGTTGATACATCGGGAGGGCAAAGCTTATTGTCTAGTGCTTCGTCCAAGTTTTAGAAAGCATCAATACAGCTTTGATAACATTACGCATCAAAAATGAAGATTCGATTAGTCGTTTCTGAGTTGACGACGTAGAGATTAAGGTCCATTGATGGCATTTCTAAAGGAAAGACGAGGACCGCGTTGCTGTGATAATGCATTGAGGATATGGTTGGTTGCCAAGACGTCAAACCTGGCATTCACGAGGCGCAACCTCCATGTTACAGCTTTGAACTTTGAAGCGTCCTCGAGAAGACTTGACGTGTCCTCGCTCTCTTCAACATCGAACCGCCGCATGTTCTCACAGCATCAACAACTAATACTCCTCATCGTATTCATACCACACCACCAAAGTATCTAGCACAAACTTTAGATCATGCACTATGTTATTGGAGTCGTCGTCTTGTCTGTTGTTGCTCTAGCCTATGGTGTGCAAACTTGTGGCTACGTGTTTGTCCAATATCGCCGAAGCCTTCTGACTAAGTCTGTTGTCCTAAATCATTTAGGTGCTCCATCAAAGGCTTGGTTTGCACAAGGCGACAATGTCTACATTTCTGAAACAGGTCCTGATGGATCCGAAGTATGGGTGTTCCGCAATGGCATCCCTGTATATGTAGCTAAATCAGGAGGACCTGATAGTAATCAAGTCTATTACGACTTTGATTCCGCCAAGGATACTCTCTACTCAAAGCCTGATTGGCGTGAATATATGGTTGATGGCTGTAAGAGGAATTATTCGTTCGGGATTGAAACCGATGCAATGTCTTCATATGCGTCGAGATTGATCTAACATATTCATCACTTTTTGCATGATTTTAGATTCAGATATTGGCTATGAAGGCGATTATGGTACTCGAGGCTTGTCAAACCCCACCCTCACATCATTGTCCCCATTGGCACCAACCCCAACGTCATTGGAACCAACCCCAACAGCTCCTTATGAACCCACTGCAACCTATAGTTCTACTACAGCAAGCTCCGAGCCAACTGGACCTGCTTCTACTGCTTGAGTTTGTTAAAGGTGTAACGTCGATCTAACCGTACTAGTTGTTTAGAGGGTTTGTGCTTCAGCATTTGTTATAACGAATTGCAAATATGAATTAGATAGTTCTCTAAAACAAAATGTTGCATTTTTGGAGGCAGACGGTGGGGCTTTTGTCGCCGTTGAACTTTATCAACTTTGAAGATTTCAATTCCAACGAAATGCACCATACTTACGCGTTGAACTCGAGGAATATGAACATTATGAATTTTATTGAAGCGATGGAAGGATCTTTGTCGCTATTACACAAACACGTGACTCCTTCAACACTATAAAAGGAGAGGTTTTCGTTCCTGAAAATTCCATCGACCACTAAAAACAATAAGTGAATTTAGCAAGGTTTAGAAGTCCAGGAAGGCCCATACGTTGCAGGCACACACATACTCGATCGTAAAATTCTAGTCTGGCTGGTTTCTATTACCAAGGTTCGTCTTCGTTACATCTTTCTGAAAGCGTTTGCTTTGGATGGGTGTTTTGAATTTTGTGGGCCGCCAACTCGAATTGCACTTGTTGCGTCGACTAATCCCTAATAATTTGTATCTATTTACCTTTGAATCTCTACAGGAAGAACTAGAGGATCACCCCCTCAAGTTAAATGGAAATCTCAACGTAAACATGATGACAACCCATTATATGGAGACTGAAGGCTCCAATCTGGTCGAAACCAATAAAAGATTGTCATATGATGGTCATGATATAAATCAGCCTATCGTGATTCCCATTCACCCGTCAACGATGGTCGATGAGCCAGCCGAAATCACAGATGTGGCGTCCCTTTTACTTCAACTCAAAGACTATCCCGTCATAAAGCAGGTCCCTCCATCAGACACACGAACAGATAGTGGATCCGACGGTCAAAACACAACAACAATGGAAACGTCAGAATCACCTGAAACGTCATCAACCACTACGAATAAGAAGAAGGTAGAAAAGAAGAAGGTCCTCAAGAAGGAATACGAGCCACTGCGCATCAAACTTATACACTGGTGTCAGAAACTGTCACTGGAAAGCCCCACCATTGACAAGGCAGTCGAGTTACTTGACACTCTGGTGCACAATACTAGAACTACTTCAGATGGTACGTTGAGGACAATATTAGCAGCATGAATACAGTTGTTCAGGTTCACCCGAAGTTGGGAGGACTAACATATAATCTGTTTTTGAATAGATGCTGCTGTTGGAGCGGTAATGTTTGCAGTGTGCAGACGGTGTGGCAGTGAACGCACATACAAGGAAATATCGGATATGACAGGTGTCGTCATAAAAGCAATAGCAAAGCAAAGCAAGACATTGAAAGAATTATGTCCCGAGGAACTTGCACCAGTCTCGGATATATTCTCAATGCTACCAAGATACACAACGTTACTAAACCTGCCTGAACCCGTCAAAGATCTCGCTACGATATTGGTAAAACGTGTCAAACAAAGTGGAATCTTGGAAGCCCGTCATATCGCAAGTGTAGCTGGTGGTTGTATATGGTTGGCAGTAGTAATGTCACATCCCTCAGTAGGGCCCTTCGTCACCTCAACTCAAATAGGAAATGTAGTAGGTGCCACGACAATGACTGTCGAAAAGGTATACGATATGATTCTCGTCAACTGGGATGCAATCATAAAGGACGAAGACCTCGAACTACCAGACGGCTTCCACCATGTTGGTAAAATCACATCCCGTCCATACTTGAAGCTCCTGATGCGCCTATCGATGCCGGCACGTCGCTTCTCGTATGTATTGTCAAACAGGATGCTGGAACATAATCTCATACCCGAAGAAGAGAGACCATTGGAACGCTGGCTAGCTCTTCATATTGCAACACGGTTAGATCCCAATGAACCAATGATAGTCCAGCCGCATGAAGTTATGCCTTATCTTGGGATTAAGAACGCATTCCATCTAAGGTATGCCCAAGTCAAGGAGAAGTGGCAGCAGTTGTTGAAGGACGGTGATCTGCCGCCAGGCTTCCGTACATTCGCAGATCAACGTCTGCGATAGAAAAGGACAGATCGTAGAGCTGGTAGTACATATAGTGTTTGTATAGTAGGCAGTCGCAGTGGGAAATCGCATCTGACAATGTAAATCGTAAATCGGAAGGAAATGTTTCATCATGCATGTCAAGTAGTATCCATATCGAAGTGAAATAAAACATGTAATCGTTATTTAAAAGATTTACAATTTGGGTGTTGTTTCAAAGCTATGTACCATAAGAGCCAAGATAAATCACGCATTATTTTCGCATTACGTTAAAAGATATTGGATTTTGAACCAGTGGTCTGCGAAAGTTCCTGCGTGTATAAGACTTTCAACAAAAATCTGAGTCAAGAATGGTAGCGAAAAAACGCCATCACGCATGCCAAGTTATATATATAAGCCAAACTATACAAACGCTTTTTATTTTCGATTACCTTCCTCCCCATTCTACTATATTTACTCCCGCTTCCCCCTTCACTATGTCTTCTGTCCTTCACCGCGTCTCCCTTCAAACTCCTCCCACTCATCCTTTTCACCTTTGACGATGCGATCTAGCATCAATCAAATTCCTTCTACGGTACGCAGTAGCGAAATCTTGCACCACTCGTTTCAACGGCGACCATTCCTCATCATTGACGGCACCCTGAAACTTGGTCATGAATACATCCCCATTCAATGCACCACGACCAGCAACCGTCCCTACATCCGGCAGACTTTCAATAACAGTACGAGTCCATGCTATACTATCTGGTACGACATCACCCAATACTTTGAGTATACTGCCACCTTCTGATACAGATGTACGTGGCCAGTCGAATAAGATGCCCCGCCATACTTGTTCTACAAGTTGTTTTCCGTGTTGGCGAGCCATTTCTGTTATTCCTTTTGCGTATGTGAGTGGCAGACGATGTGCATGATATCGTGCTGACGCCATTGAGAGCAGGTCTCGTATAAACCGGAGGACTGAGAGAAGGGGATCTGGTTGTGTCAGGCCAAAACATCCTTGTGCTAGACCGAGTAAGGTTGGGAGTGCTGTTGATGACATGACTAGTATGGGGCAGACATCGATACATTCCAGCAGTAATCGGAAAAAGTCTTCGACAGCTAAAAGAGAAGATTCCTGTGAGGTTAGCAAAATAGTAAAACAACGCAAAACCATTGGGACTAATCACAGAAGTTTTTGTTCTTTACGAAAAAGCACCCCGTCCCTCAAAACGAGGGCATACCTTCCGCTTGAGAATCAATATTGGGAGAAGCAGCACTCAAGACTCGTAATGTGGTCACAGCCATACGTTCAATCATAGCAAACACTGCCCTTCCTTCTGGAGTATCCGGATTTCCCAAATTGGCAGTACAAGCTTTAGCCACCCATAAATAACAAGCCAGACCCGTCTCATCATAAGCAGTATACAGTACATCCAGTATTTGAGGAGTCAGAGCAGCTATATGATATTTACATGATTCAATAGCGTGTCGTAGCAGTCTACATAGAGCTTCGGATAGACGTGTGCCCTTGTAGTTATCAAACAGGGCTTTAATCACAGGCCACAAGTCTGATAATAAGATTACTAGTGGATGTGGTGTATTCGGCGGTATTTCTGCAGATGGCTTTACGACTTGGAAGAAGACTGTGAGGACGTCTAGTTGATCTTCAGCTGCTAATATAATCTTTACTTCAGCATCCGGATCATTTGCTGGTCGACCCATCATGGCGACTGAGTGTAATTGTTGGGCGACGGGTAGACAAAATGACTGTAATACTTCCAAGAGTCGAGCTAGTGGTACAGCAGCAATAACATGACCTATAGCTTCAGCCACGTCTCGTCGATCAGATCGATCAAGACGTGTCATGAGCTGATTATAAAAGGGATGTAATTCATTCAGATAGTCTACTAGCAAAACTCCACATGACTCGCACAAGAATTTCATGGCTTGAGCGGCAGCAGCTGTACTCTCAGCATCATCGAATCCTTTACTTATAAAGTTCAGCTGATACGGTATGTAATTCGGATGTAGACGGGTCCACTCAGCATAGCGACCAATAACCAGTATGGCAGCATACTTCACTTTTGAGTGGGAGGGCAGTTGTGGCAACCATGACATGATTTCAGGCAAATATACGTTTTCAGTGTGAGATATGCAGGTACCCATAGTTCGTAATGCGAATAATGGTGCTTCTATAGATTGCCACGGTATGGATGGATCTAGAGTGGGTGGTTGATCTCCGCCCTGAGTTGATGTCAACATAAATCCTTTGAGCATGGCATGAGGTCGCGCCAGCGCTGGCCCTTCTCCTACTACTCGTACACAATCCTTCAAGACATCGCCCATTACATGGCGAAAATCTCGAAATTCGTCTCGTTCTAGTGCCGTCCATCTACCCAGATCCGACGGATACTTTAAATGCTTGATCATAATATCAGTCAACCTTATGTATGTCGGTATGAGGAACGTACGTGCTGCTGCATATTGTTCCATGATGACCATTTCCGACAAGTGATACCAGAATGGGAAGGTCACACGTACTACCTCCAAGTCGTCTATAGCTGTACATATGATATTGGCCTCTATCAATCCAGCAAATGGCTGTGGGTTGAGCATCATTTGCTCAACGTAGGCTGCTCCAGCATCTGCAAAGATTCGTGTCAAGGTCTTTATCTTTTCAGTATCTTCTTCTTTTATAGATTCGTCCAGCATGGGGTGTAGTGCCAACAGTCTCGGATACATGCTATTTGCCACTATAGACGGGGTGACTGTATCTTTTATATTGGATGCGACGGATCGGTTTACAATCTCACAAATGACGTCTGCGGCCACGTCGAATAGCTCTTCTATTTGCAGAGCGCCAAAGGCATAGTCTATTATAGGTGTTCCTACTATCGTTGCAACATCGACTTCTCCAAATCTTAGCCATGAGCACAAGCATGAAAACATTCGTTGCTTCATTCCATTCGTCATTGCTAAATGATTAAAGGATGGTGAGCAAACGAGTTGCATGGATCGGACTAAAGTTCCTGGTTTAGTTACCCGGAGTTTGAGCGTATACCAGAAGCAGCGACAAGACATCCTTAGATTTATGAGTCAGCAGCGAATCCTGTCTATTCTTGAAATCGTCCTTCTGTAGCAAGGAAGTGAGAGTAAGAAGACTAGCTTGTAGATTTAGCCAAAAGAATTGCAGAATTGCGTCGATCGCACCTCTATCGGGATTTTGATGTTCTCAAACAGCTCTTCAGGCAAGACACTCAAAAAATCCAACAAGACAGCAACCATTTCAGGATCAGATCCGTACGTGCTCATCATCTGTCCCACAGGGTCCGTCCATTCGAGATACTGTATGGCCAAGTCAGCCAATGCTAGACACAGCTGTGTTGTCAAACTTCGTGGAGCTTGACGATAGGTATGGAGCAGCGAGACAATGGAATCACGTAACGAAGCACGTGAATCTGATGGTAATTGCTCCAAGTCATACACAATCTAGAGAAATGGAAAAGTTTCAGTTGCGATTGAGCTCATCAAGAGTATATTTGTTCGATTTTTTTGCGCAGGCGTCTTGCTTCCAACAGCTACCTTTTGCCTAAATGTCTGTCCAGCGAAAGTATGCGCTTCCAGTCCTACAGATGGTGATCTCAGCAAGGCATCAGCTACAGCCCACGCCGAAGCCTAAATCCAATTGGTTAGCAATGTTTTTCTTTGACGAAATGTATGGAAGAGCACAATGACAGTGCGAGCAACGACTAGATTGCTGAGAAAAATACTGTATAATTTTCTGAATCAGACGTACCGTCTTTTGGAAGTCTTCGAGCCATACACTAGCTTCGCGTTGTTTGGTCTTGTCACTTGTTGGTTGATACAATTGCTGGATTGCAGCTAGCACTTGCTCTGTGCTCGGAGGACCGATGGGAGTCACCATGGCCATAACCAAAATTATGTGAAAATGCTACTTGAAGCTTGAAGAATGAACTTTTTGATTCTACTAACGTTTCAAGAATGTGATGATAGAAGAGGATGGCCTGCTGGTGGGCGGTGACTTGTAAAAGTGATCGAGTGGTCAAATCTATTATGAAATGAAAAAAATATGACCGATGCTGTAAAGAAATACGTCCAGAGAAAAATCGAAAAAACCGTCGAAAAGCAATGGAGGGGCTATAGACGAAAACACAGAGCAAATTCACGTGTTTTGCGAAGTGTTTTCGGTTGATAGAGTATATTTACACGTCAACATTTCATCGTCATCTCCTTACAGGTCCTTACAACTGGTAAACGCTCCTTCACCAAATTTCCAAACTCGGTTCACAAAGCACAAACGACGACGTATTGGACGAGAAAAGCAAGGTTGTTTAGCAGTTCCACGAGTGCATCGTACGCGACTAGTATAGTAAGCGCGAGTTCTCAGTTGTAGTCTCTCTTTCATCCTTGCATCAGTTTGCTCGAAACAGTGCCGTAATATCTAACATCTCAACGTTTATCTGCAAACAGAACAATGGACGGCGAACTAAGTGGAGCAGCAGTGCCCGTTGTGATCATTGTTGGATATGCTGTCGGCTTTTATTTGACTCTGGTTGGACATCAAATGGAAATCGTCAAGAACTACGTCCTCCCTGACTTCATGAGAGTCTTTGCTGGCTTGGGGATTGGTATGTGGTATTAATTCACTTTAATCGTTCCTTCACTCTTTTGAGGGCGTACTCGTTCTTCATTTTTAATTGTCTGTACGTGTAACTTACCTCTATCCCGTCGAATCCCTTCCAGGACCAAAGGACGTTCCATTTGCATGTTTGGCACTCGCCGGTGTCTTTACATACTGTATCGTGGCCATTCCTACTGCAACATTGCAAGCTTTTGATCCTAATGTCAGGCTCAACAACAAGGTATTCAACCAGAGACTGGCAATCTGAGGGAACCACTTGTCACCAACAGTCTCATTCTTCCATAGCTTCCTCGCGCAAACCGTGAGGCTCTCACTGGAATGGCAGCAAGGGCTAGGGCAGGGACACAGAACTTGATTGAGACCTATCCTTTAATGGTTGCTGCCATCGTTGTAGCTCATCTCACAAACGTTCCTCTTCAAGTTCAAACCCAGTAAGTGCTTGTTCTTCAAACTCATGTTATTTGATCGCTAAGCTCGTTTTCCTTCGACAGCTTCGCTCTAGCTGCTGTATCTCTCAAAGTTATATACTTTGTTGCATACTTGGTGGATCTTGATCCAATCCGGTCGCTCTCATGGGGACTCTGTCAAATGGGACTTTTGATATTGCTCTCACATGCAATGCCACAGTTTCCACTGTTATATAAGACTCTGCAAAGAGATGTCAACACTCATATCAGTGGCAATATTCGTAGTCTTATGGAACCTATCAGGTCCTTCTTGTCCAAGACGTTTTTGAAGGCAAGTAATGTTGAACCTGATTGTAGATCATATACAGACGGACTGACATGTTTTGATTTAGGGAGTCATTTGATCTGAATGTTTGGGAGAGCTTTGACTGGATGATGTGGCGATATCTGTATAATTTTGCTTATATTCTTCCATATATTTCTTGACAAGGTTGATTTGTACAGGATCGCGCGAGTTCCTCGCGTTGCTCCAGTCCCTCGCGTCCCTTCGCTTCAGTCTGCTTCAGAAAGATACACACTTTTTGTTCAAAAATTCAAAACTTCGAAAGATCTTCAAGAACAAGATGGACAGCCAGGATGTAGGCCATGACAGCAAAGCTAGCGATGGGAGCACACTTGATCAAGTCATGGCATGGAAGCCACCTCAATATTTGCTGCCTCCATCAACGAGACAAACTGTATTGCTGTCATCAGAGAATGGCAACGGCATTAATAACGCATCTTCAGACAGGGACTCTGCAACGGGCGAATATGACAGTGACAACTACAGCTTGATGCACTTTGCATCAACCGATGCTGTCCTCGATGCAAACGCTGAAAACATCGACATCGAGTCGCCGCAGCTGGACGGACAGACGTATCTTAATAATACTTTGCCTAACGAAAAGCAAGCCGAATATGAGGATGAAGATATCGACATCTTTATGCCAGATTTCGACATCTCGCCATCGCCTGCCACCACTACGAAAGCTACAAAAGGACAAAGGAGAACTCGAAGAAGGAGGAAGGCTCTTGCTAAGAATGATGCTGAAGTTATACATTGTATTATATGTGGCAGGCCATTGAGAGAGCCTGTCGAGGTTCATTCGGTATTCGTCAAACACGTCAAGGTGAGACTTGCAGGTGTTCGCAGTTTCTTTTTTTCGCTGGGATGTCCATTAGACATTGATCCAACCGGATTTATCTCTCACCTCTTCATCAACTCATCAGCCACCTATTGTGAGGCATATGAAACGCATGAACAACATCTTGGACTTTCCATCACATGCCCGAGTCTGCATGTATGACCTTCAACGAGCCATGCAAGCACGTATAGATGAAATGATGAATGAAGATGAAGACGAAACTGCTGAATTGCAGGCTTCTGTTATGAAGAATCTTGGAGAGTTTGAACTTGTTGAACCAAACTGGCAGGCAAGCCTTTCCACCAATTTTTGAGAATTTGTTTCGTCTGAGCGTCAAAGTGTCGCATAGTGAGCATATTATTTCGTAACACGTACTATCATATTTAGGAACCATTTCAAAAGACGAGAACATTAGGACAGAAAGCTGCTGATGCCGTAGCGAGATTTGGTGGAAGTTGGGGATTTGTCATTGTTTGTATTTCATTTATCGCTGTATGGGCCTTCCTCAATGAAATCTTGGAGAACTATGTTGGTAGCACGTAAGTCCATGTGTTGAGTGATGGATCAATTGGTGGTCCATTCATATACTTGGCATGACCTGTTTTTGCTCACCTCGTCCCTCCCAACCCTTTAGATGGGATCCATATCCCTTCATTCTCCTCAATTTCTTCCTTTCTATGATTGCTTCTATTCAAGTAAGGTTCAATGCTCCCAACAAAAGAAAAGTCGGAAAGTGAAGTCGAAAATGACGAAGACGACATCCTTCTTATCTTGAGGTCTTATCCTTAAGTAATTAACATCAGTTTAATCAATTAAAGATTAACAATAGGCTCCTATTATTATGATGTCTCAAAACCGTCAAAGTGAAATCGATCACGAAGTGAATGACTATGTCAGTACTATAATGCTTCGAGCCGAAAACCTCATCCGTCATGCCCAAGCTAAAACTGACCTCTTGGTTGGTCCCACATTCCGTCGCCTACTCGAAATCCAAGAAATAGAAGTCGACTTGATACAAACACTCCATCAACAACATCGTCGTTTCATACATCGTAATACCGTCAACGATGATGCCCAATCTCCTGATGGAAGTGGCACGATAACACCATCCACAGCAGCAGCAACATGGACGGTTGAAACACATCCTGATCCACATGCTAGAATGTTGTTGCATCGCTACTTTAACATCTTTTTAGAACAAGACCAACTTATCTTTTCTCGTGCTCATGGTGATGGAGATAATTATATTGGGAGTGTTGAGAATGTGAAGCTTGAGTTCCGAGAAGGGCCTGGTCGAGATCGTGGTCGATTAAGGAGGATTACGTATGATTTGGTGTTTCCTCTATCGGTGGGTGGTACGTTGGATGATGTGTTGTCTGGTGATGGACATGTCAGTTTGAGGAATGCTTTTGATATACCCCAACTCGTCATGCCAGGTATGTCTTGCAAAAATGCTTTTAGGAATTGCTTGTCTATTGAGGTATCTCTTATCGACTGCGCCCCATCTGTGATGTTTTAACACTTTTTCACTTTTCAAGGTCGATTGTACTCCATGACTGTACACTTTGCCAATGAAGTCGTCACCTTCCAGAATGGTGACTTGCCACCTAGATACCTCCCTACTTTTGCACCAAAGCGTGTAGATAAAGTAGCAGAACTATGGAAGCGTAGTGTCTCTAAAATCTCGTTTACATACGCTCCACCGGCTCAGGTCGCGGTAGTCCACCTTACAGAACGTCAAGTATTGAAAAGAGGATCTATTCGATTCTTCCCTCCATTGGGCAAAACAGAAGCTAAAGTATCTACTGCATTCTTGTATCAAGGAGATTTTGTGTCTGAGGTACGTCTTTGCAATTTGGTTGAGGACACAAAAAGGTCGAGCCGTCATCCTTCTGTATTGACATTCAATTTTGTCTTTCAAGGATGTCCTCCAACAGATTGTGGGTCCACGACCATTACCTCCAACATGGAAGAAGATAGCAGAGGTTGATTGGGCGTCTTCAACAGTAGTTTCTTCTCAGGCTGGTGATAGAACCTCTGCTGCACCTATACAAGAACAACAGCAGATGGAAGTACATCTCGAAGATCTACAAGGACCTGGTGTCTTTGTATTCACCTGTGACGAGGTTAGAGCATCGTTCCATGGGCATTTGGCTTCCGTTGGTCGTGAACAGTGACAACATGAGAGAGATAGAGAGAGAGAGCAGGAGAGGAAGAGGGTGTTGATCACGCTGTGAACATCTACTTTTGAGTTAATTTCATACATCATATTTTTATCACCCATTTTTATCATATACATTCACTAGATTTAAAGATTTCAAAACCCCAACGACCCGCTCTGTCGTTGTGTTGCTCGTGTCTAACGCGACGAGGAACGAGAATCTCCCTTTTAGATCAGATGTAGAACTCTCCCCAATGTTTTTTCTTCATCATATAAGCGATTGGTACTGGTGATGTCACCCTGTTAAACGGCCTTCACTTTTGCCTTGTTTGCTGACTTTCTCACTCTACAACTCAACCACACACAGAAGAACTAGAAACCAAACTAAATCCAATAAGTAAATCATGAGTTCTGCCAAAGACTTCAGAAAGGTAAGAGCTTGCTTCCTGCCAGTTCTCTCTTTGTTGGTGGTTTGTCGTCTAATTGGCCGTGGGAGCAACGAGAAGTGTCACATTGCCTTGAAAGGAAGCGTTCGAAGCCCAGCACTGGACAAAGAAGACTCTACATAACTTGTCCTTGCTCTATACAATCATGATAACTAATTGACCGACCACAATTCTAGGCCTACGTCGTCGGACTTGGTATGTGTTTGAAACTTGTGATGACGATTTCTTTTTTGGAAGCTTTGCGAACGTTTTTGAGAAACCGTTCGAGAGATATGGCAAGCTCACGTTATGAACTGCAATGATGATTAGGCATGACCTCGTTCGATAAACCTGGCAAAAACAGCAAAGGTATGTCTTTGTGAAGTTTTTCAAATAGTGCGACTTGACTTTGGCCGAAAAAGTTTTCTGGTTTATTGGTCTAACTGGTTCGGTTTGTATTGAATAGATTACGTTGACTACGCTTTGGAATCTGGTACCAAGGCTCTCTTGGATGCGTGAGTTCTATTGGCGTAACTGCTCCTTCAGTTTTGGAAGTTTGTTGTTCTCACACTAGGATGATTTATATAGTGGTTTGACTTACGACTCAGTCGAATTCGCAGCTGTCGGATACGTTTACGGTATGTATACCTCATCCTCTCTGAATTTGAATGTTCCAAAAAGACCTCAATGCTGACGTGTCATCGGTCAATAGGTGACTCAACCTGTGGACAAGTACGACTTCATCCCTAATCATACGTCGCATTACAGCAAACTAATCTTGCTCTCCTAACAGCGTGCCCTCTACCAATTGGGTTTGACTCAAATCCCAATCATGAACGTTAACAACAACTGTTCTACTGGATCTACTGCCTTGTTCTTGGCTCGTCAAGCCGTTGCTGGTGGTATGGCTGAATGTGCCATGGCTCTCGGTTTTGAAAAGATGGCACCTGGAAGTCTCCCAGCTTCTCGATTCCCTGTGAGTCAAAACTTTTGAGTTTGGTGCGGTCAAAGAACAAGTTTCCTGATACCTTTCGTTTTCATGTTTATAGGACCGTGAAAACCCCGGTGCAGTCGGTGGTCGTTTGATGGCTGGTAAGTCATCCTTGTTTCGTGTATTTGTAATTTTTTCTCTTGCCCAAGCTAAAAGTCTCCCTCCCATTACAGAAATCTTCACCATGAACCCCAAGGCCCCTGGTGCTCCCCAAATCTTTGGTAACGCCGGTATTGAATACTGTAACGAGCACCCAACCACCAAAAACGAACACATGGACATGATTGCCCAAAAGAACCATGCTCACTCGTAAGTGTTACATTCAGAGGCCATACGCTCGCCCTTTTGTTTATTTGGAATCAAATCTCACCATTTTCATTTATTCCATTGTAGAACCTTGAACCCGTAAGTTTCATTGGCAAACGTCGCAGACATTTCTTTTTGCCTTGCAAACTTACCCAAACATTCCACCCAGATACTCTCAATTCAAGGACTTCTGGACCTTGGAACAAGTCCACAACGCCCGTACCATCCACCCACCTCTCACTCTCCTCCACTGCTCCCCAACATCCGATGGTTCAGCTTGTGCCATCGTATGTTCCGAAGCTTTCGTCAAGAAGCACGGTTTGGAACCCCAAGCTGTTGAAATCTCGGCTCAAGTAATGGCTACCGACTCTGGCCGTGCTTTCGCTGTCTCTGGCAAACCAATCAGCGCTCAAGAAATCGCTGGTGCTGACATGACCAGAAGGGCTGCCAAGGATGCATTCAAGATTGCAAAGATCCAGGCCAAGGATATTGATATTGTTGAATTACATGGTATGTTTATTTTTGTGGAAAGAAAAACAAGATAGTTATTAATCAATGCATCGCCCCATGATAATAGACTGTTTCTCTGCTAACGAGCTCATCACTTACGATGCTCTTGGAATCTGCCCACCTGGAGGTGCTGGTCCATGGGTCGCTTCTGGTGCTCCATACCACCCCAAGTATGTAATTGAACTTTGGAGAAATGTTTCCAGTGGGAACGCTGGTATCTAACGACACTTTTACTCAACAGGTTCTCTCCAGCTGGCTCCAAGCTCGGTGCCAACAAGCGAGTACCAGTCAACGTTTCTGGTGGTTTGATCTCCAAGGTATTTTAACGATTGCCATCCTTTCCTTTCTTGTTTTATTTCTTTTGTTTGAATGATGCAAAACATGTATTTATAAGCTATAAGGCAAATCTATTCGCCAAAAAGCATCACACACTTTGGATTCACACAGTTTGTTAACTCTCCTCCTGTTAATTAGGGACACCCTCTCGGAGCTACTGGATTAGCCCAATGCTGTGAACTCAACTGGCAATTACGTGGATGGGCCGGTGAACGTCAAATCCAAAACGTGAAGTACGCTTTACAACACAACGTTGGTCTCGGTGGTGCCGTCGTCGTAACTGTAAGTACCAGATGCCAGTCTTTTAATGAAACTCTTTTCTTACCTTCTTTTCTGTGGATAGGTATACTCCAAGGCCTTCCCCAACGCCAAACCCAGCGCCAGCTACGTTGACCCTCGAGCCCGTGTCGGATACAACCCTGCCACTGAATGCCGCACCATCTCCAAGGAAGACGTTGCCAAGGTCGTCTCAAAGACTGGTGCCATTGCTCCTCGTAAACAATTTGTCATGAGAGGAGAACAAGCTTCCTTGTAAAGAAGAAAGGACAGACTTTAAAATGAATTTTACATTTGTCATTTGTCTCTTCTTTTTTCGTGTCTTGCTCATAGAATCCCTAGTGTGTTTGCTTGCTTGTTCAAGTAAGAATTCAAAAAAATATAAACTCTTCTTCTAGTTGATATTGAATGTGTATTTCGTTTATGTCGGTATGAGTTTGGCGTCTTCTGGTGTGTATGAGGCTATTTCGACCAGGTTGCCGTCTGGATCACTACATGAAGTTAGCATTAAATGAGGTATGCGTCCGTCACAGTGTCATGAACATACCGAAAATAGACACTCGACATGGCTCCTCGAGCACCATTCCTCTTCACAGGTCCCACCTCTATACTTACATTCTCACGTCTCAACACAGTTATACACCTCTTCAGATCGTCAGTGATCAAGCAAAAATCAGCACTACCTGTCAGACAAAAAGCCACAAACAGTATCAGAAACTATTCATTCACATACACTTCATAGCTTTAAACTGCATACCAACAGCAGGAACTCGTGAATGAGGTTTAAACTCAGCACCAGTTTGATGCAGATTGATCTTGTAATTTGCGAAACTTAAACCGTGGGCAATACGGCCATCTGATGCTGGCGCTTCAATATGCTTAAAATTCAGGACTCGGGTGTAGAATTCGACTACGGAGGGGACGTGTTTGCAGTAGAGGACTATGTGGTCGAGTGCTTTGATGTTCATGCTTTGGGGGAAGCTCTGTGAGGGAGGAGCCTATGGAAAGAAGAGTTGTTAAACTGGAATTAGATGGAATTGATCAACGAATGTACGTCTGGTACCGAACAATTAGCTTCTGGTTTCCTTGTAACGCGATTCTTAGAGTACCAAAACTTCAAAATCTGTCGCAAGGTGAGTTGCAGTTGCAAAGCTTGATTCTCACGCGCCAAACAAGTAAATCCACTTTTAAATACCAACATCTGATTCGATCTTCATTATGCTACCCAACCAAATATCTACAAATTACAACAAAAGGGTATCATACAAAACATCACAAACTCCTCAAAATATAAGCGTCAGTCTCGTCTCTCCATCCCACTCAACCAGCATATCACTCCCATCCTCAATTTCCTGCACCGTATCATCCTCCACTTCGACTTCTAGACCCCGTTCTTTGGTCATTCGTACACACTCAATGTGGTGACGTGGTATCGTATTATTGGTTGTGGTGATTGTATTGGTATTTGGGGTAGTAGACGCTGAAGATCCTGACGGTGATGCAGCAGATGGTGACAGTTTTTCGTATATTCTGGATGTGAGTTCGTTGACTGTGCGTTCGTTTAGGTATATGGCCTTGTATCTGGTATCGTCTGGGCGTTTTATGTATATACATGTAGCTAGAAAAAATGCAACAATGAGATTTATGTTGGATTCAAAATGACGCATAAAAATCTGCAACTTCCATATATCCAAGTCAACAATTCAATCACTTCAACTTACACGTTCTAGGTCTCTTGACCACTGGAAAGTACATGACACTATCGTCATCCTGCATAGCGTCATTCACACTACCTACATCATTGGGAGGCCCCTGAAACCTCACAGGCATTGGGACAGCTGGTCTCCATGAATTCAGCAATACTTCTAAACTCTCATTAGATCCACGAGGAGTCATTTCAAAGGTCTTGACGACCGGTATTAGTGATGGCACTAGCCCATTAGGTGTACCAACAGGCACACTTCCTCCTCTGACTTGACCAGACTCTTGTATCACAGGTGATGAGACACGAGACTGATTACTATTATTACTGTTATTATTACTCATGTTTCCATTGTCATTCATTCGATTCCAGTCATGAGTTGGTGCTAGTTTACCGGTTGCTAACTCAGCACTGATTTTAACAATGAATTCTTCATTCATCAGGTCTGATTCTGTGAATGTGTCGGGTGCTGGTGTGAATACAGTCGTGGGTAGCACTGGTAGGAAACCGTCCGGTATCATTGAGGTTGACGCTGTATCCTCGTCCATGTTATGAGGTGATCCGGGCGTCGTTGGAGGAGATCCAGGTTTGCTATTAGGTTGCTGTGATACGGCATTAACGGTCTGGTTACGTGGAGCTTCACCGCTACGTGTCCGTTTCTTCATCTCGTTACGGTTTTTGCGGTTTGCTCCTTTATCTCTAAAGAGCTTGATTTTAGAGTATTGACGGTCTACGATGACACCGTTTGTCAGACATGTTTCCATCACGATTCGAAGTGGTAGGCCACGTATTCCTTTTGTCGGTGAGAAATCTGTTGATAAGAGATTGAATCTCACACATATCCGTATGGGTGTATCGGATCTCCAGCGAAACTGGATGCGGTCGAATGCTGGCGTTTGGGATTCTATAGGTACGATGAGCGATGTTTCCGGATCGTCCGCTAAATTAAAAGTTGATATTAGTCCTTGCCATCAACATGTACCTTTTTTTTTAAGTTTCATGGATAATATTTGGGAACCCGGAAAAGATGATCCATTCGTCACTTGCCTAGTTCTAGCGCTCGTGCTTCAATAGACGGTTGCGTTGATAACCAATACCTCCAATTCGAGGCTGCCATCCGTCTATCATTGTCATTATGGAATTCCAGCTTGAGCAAAGATACAAGTTCTAAATCACTCGGCGCCTTGTCTGCCATCGTTATAGCATACCATTGTCCTACGAAATGTTAAAAACGGATGATGAGCCATGCATCTCACAAGATTTAAACCCAACAAGACTCAGCCAACATTTCTGAGCACTAACCTTTATTCAGATACGTTGTATGTCCTTCTTGGATCCGCTGAGCAGGAGCTGTAGGAGCCTCTAGTACAGTTTCTAATGTACCCATATGCATTCCAACAGCCTTGTTTCTCGAATTGTCCATCATTAGGGTTTGCGTTCTAGCTGAAGATGACGCCGAACTGGATGACGGTGAAGGCGATGACGATATCATGGTATTTCTATGATCTTTGGGTATATTTATAGGTGTAGCAGTGGTCGGGCCACTCGATTGTATCGGTTTCATCGTTATCGGTGCAGGTGCACCATTCCAACGTTGGTAAGGCATGCCCACAAACGGTAACTGTGGCACATATCCATACGGATTCATCATCGTAGATGGAATCGAGCCAATGGGCGCTCCGTGTTGTATTGGTTGGGATTGGAGTCCGTTGCTGGTTATCTGTTGTCCAGGATTGTGAATAGGTAAAGGGAAGAATCGTATTGGATCAAAACCTGGCTCCTGCCGCGTTTCCCATGGTGTTCTGTTATCTAAGTGCATCCAAGCAACATGCCTATCCCGTTCTGCTGTTGATGACGACGATTCGCCTTGCTGCTGATGCAGAGTCGATTGCATCGCATTTGGTGACGATATCTCAGAGTCATCCTGGGAGAGATGTCTTTTTGCAGCTGCTTCTTTTTCTTCTGCTAGCCGGCGAGCACCTATTTGTAGTACGGTTAGCTCAAGATCTTTGGTGGACGCCAAGGGTAACTTGCAAAACAACACTAGAAACAAAATCAGGTAAAAAGGCGACAAGTTTCCATCGATCGGTGCTCACCGTTCTGCAGCATGGCAAGGGAAGCCAATATGTCATCGATTTTGGGGCTGTTGTTCATGATCCCCCGAGCTGCTCGTCCTTTATCATCGATTCGCTGATGTTTTGTGAGAAAAGATAGCGAGTGCTTCAGTCACACCGACGATAAAACATCCGGAAACACGCCAGGAAGAGAGTTCTAGTGCTCTGGAAGAGAAATCTATGCGTCTCGTTGTATGTAAATCGTTGATGCTTTATAGTCTTATCGGAAGTTTGGCCGACACATTAATAAATCGATGGTGACTTGCTGTGAACGTATGATCAACAGGTCTTTGAGGAGTTGGATACGTTTACATAACCGTTCCCGTGTGAGATCCACGAAAACGGTCCGTAAAATTGGTAGAATATTTGCCAAATTCGAAAATGCCTGCTCAGAAAGCGAGACGCGTAAAAATGTCGCTGATTTGAACAGGAACCCCAAGTTCCAAAGACAAGACATCAGTTCTCGTATAGATCGAGCTCATTAAACACTTGCTCTCCCTGCTCGCAAAGTTCTTTGATCGTCATGAGGTGTATTCACGTGTCTGTCTTAATTCCGACTCTACATTTTTAAGCCGGCCAGTTGAGAGGGCTGTATATCAATGAGACGATATCGAGCTATACCACTATTACCGATACTATGCCGTCCTTCTACTACAATCCATGGCCTCCATCAACTACCATACCACAGAAGCTTAACAACGATAGCCAACAAATCCCAACGACGACGATCTCCCTTCTTCCAGTTATTCACCACTAGAACAAAAACCGGAATACTATTAGCTGGAGGTCTACTAGCTGCCGTGAGTCTCGCCATACCGACCACATCACCATTGCCGCTCTCATCAACAGCTTCATCACCCACAATCGAACGTGATATTTTATCATCATCTCGGCCATATAGCACTAAATCAATCACAGAAATATTGAACTCCCTACTCGTATTCAAGCTATGCCAAATGCACACGCTGGTCTCGTGGACACCAACACTACTCAAATGGAGTCATGCACTGCACATAGATCCACTCGTGCATGGATTCATAAGGAATACATTCTTCAAGCACTTTTGTGGAGGTGAAGAAATGGGGGAGGTGAACTCTACAATGGCCAAGTTTGCTTCGTTAGGGATTGGATCTATCTTGGACTATGCGATCGAAGCTGATTCTGATGCGCCACAACCAACTGCTGATGAAGCCCGAGCATATGCTAGTAGATGTGCAAAGATACTGAAGGAGTGTATTGATGTAGCTGCTTCTATACCCGGGTCTCTAATCGCCGTTAAAGTCACTGCCCTAGTACCTCCTCAAACACTCATGGACTGGTCTACGGCTCTGAATTCCGTACACGCAGCTATACAATCTACCAAAGATACCATCACCCGAGACGATATCCTCACGGGCGTACAATCAGTTGGCGCTACTCGTGACGAAGCAATCAAGATATACAATTCACTCAACAATCAACATGCAGTCGACAATGTCTCGCTATCGCAAGTCTTTTCTGTCTGGCATCCAGAAGGACGGAAACTGTTGAGTAGAATAGCTAAATCAGATCTAGAGATGTTTGATGATATATTGATGGATTTAAAGGGTGTATGTCTGTATGCTCGAGAACGGAATGTGAGAGTGTTGATTGATGCGGAGCAGACGTACTTCCAGCCTGCTGTAAGTGGTTTTTATATGGTAGTCTTCGAATGTTTTCTAGTGTCTTAATGTGTTTAATTGTTTAGATTGATGATGTGGCGAATGGACTTGCTGAACGTATAAATCCACCTGCTGATGCTAATCGTGGACCAGTTGTCTTTAATGTGAGTTGCACTCTCCATCCATCGAGTTCCACTCCATCCAGTTCGACTTTTTTATGTTTCGCTCCTGTTTATCTCAGGCTCACCACGACCTCTTTTCGTTTCGCAGACATACCAACTATACCTAAAAGACGCCCTCCCCCGCCTAAAACGCGACGTCGAGCGCTCCATGCGCTCCAACTACTCCTTTGCCATCAAAATGGTGCGCGGCGCATACATGAACTCTGAACGTCGTCGCGCCCACGAAAACTCTTACCCAGATCCCATAAACCCATCCGCAGACGCAACACACACACAATACGATACCGCATTATCATACCTCATATCCCATATATCTCGTCACCCAACATCGGTGTCCCTTGTCGTCGCATCGCACAATCGAGACTCAATCCGCCATGCGATATCACTTATGGATGAGTATGGAGTTGATAGGAGGAGTGGGGGAGTTTGTTTTGCACAGCTGATGGGGATGCAGGATGGGGTGTCGAGTGGGCTGGCTGTGGGTGGGTTTGCGAGTTTCAAGTATATTCCCTGGGGCAAGAGTATAGATGCAATTCCGTATCTGTTGAGACGGGCACAAGAGAATAGTGCGTTGCTGGGAGGTGTTGCTGAGGATGTAAGGAATTTGGAGGAGGAGTTGTGGAGGAGGGTGAGCGAGGTGGCTCTAGAAGCAAGAGGGAGGGTTGCTGAGGCTGCTCTTGTTGATGGTATATAGATTAGATTAATATGAATTGGACTAGAGTGAGATTTGATATGGGATTGCATGGGTACCAAACCTAGACTGCACACACAAAATGTAATAAACACAACAATATAAACTGAAACACCTCACATATTTTTACCCCCAATGGAATAAACCAAAGCTTATTTTTGAATGAAGGAAATACCAAGATGACTACACATATAAAAGGGGTAATAGACACCAAAAGACATTACAGCTGTTTGTTTTTAGTTGTTGCAATTATACGACACATCATGCTTTTTTTCCTTCCTTCCTTCTTACGACGGAGACTTCCTGCTATCAAAACCAACTCTTTCACGCTCCACATTCTCACTCCCATTTGGATTCCACCACGTACTGCGATCGCGGGGTTGCGACGCTACATCTACTAGTGCAGCGGCCGCAGCTACATGGGCGGCCTCAGCAGCTCGTCGATCTTCCTCACTCTGTTGATGTGGTTGCTGGTGTATCGTCGTCCCATTGCCATTATTATACCCATTATGATAATCACCACCCTGTTGTGGTGGTGGCCCGCGTAACGGCGTTCCATTCCCACTCTTTGAAGCAGATGACGGACGTGACCTCGCATCATTCATGCTACTACCATTAAGAGTGTTGTTTGGGGGTGGATAACTTCCAGTTGGACTATGAATGTGCTGCGACGACAGAGGTGCCAAGTGTACTCCATTGCCACTCATGTCTTCGTCACTGTATGACGAGACAGTTGACGAGGGATGATGTTGTTGCTGCGGCTGCTGTATATGAGGAGAAGCATTATTATGATGGTGATGAGGGGGAGGAGGGTATGGTGATTCTATTCGTGGTTTTGGCGAGTGGGTGTTTCGGCCAGAGTCACGAGCGTCTATGGGTTTAAGGCCTGGGAGAGATGATGCTGTTGGTGGTGTATTCAAACCGTTGTTTTGCCGATTTATGATTGATGGTAAGTTATGTTGCTGTTGTTGTTGTTGACTATCAATGGTATAGTGTAGTGATGGTACTGGGTTTACAGAGTGAGGTGGATATGAGGATGATGGTGGTGGCGGTACCTGTTGTTGTGGTGGTGGTTGCTGTTGTTGCTGCTGCTGGATCATTGGCAATTCACGCCTTTCATGATCGTGAGACTAAAATGACCAGCAAATGAATTAGTAAGAGCCGCGGAGATTCGTATAAACTTGTGTGTGAGAAACTCCACTAGCAAACATTCGATTGGCTCTGCTCAGCCTCCAAACAATCCAGGCTAAATACCCAACTTCCACCACTTGGGTCTCGGACGCTTTTCACTTGCCCCAGACTTCCGCCCGTATACCATAAATGAGCAAAACACATGGCTCAAGCGTCGATTGATGTCATTTTGGACAGTGCAAACAATCGACCGTCCGACAAAACGAAGGATGTGGAACAATTTCCCCGAGACACAAAACTCTAAATAAAGCAAAAAAGGTGGAGAGTGACTTACACTAACGGAAGATGAGCGAGAGTCTTGTCTTGCATAGTCCATTTGAGTGGGTGGTGTAGGCCCTTGATAGAATGGTGTCGGGCCAGCAGCGACATGGTTTCCATTTGTTTTTGGTGGTGCTGCTGTGACATTGTTGGACGTTGTATCTGGTGGCGATGGATGCGGCGATTGATGACCAGTAGTAGTAGTAGTACCAGCCGCTTGATTCCTGAGCATTTGCAACCTTTGCTTTATGTGTGGATTGTTTGGATCTAGTTCTAGGGCTCGGCTGTATGCGTCCAATGCGTCATGAACTTGGTTGTTGCACTGCATAGAATAACCTGTTAGTAAGGTTCGTATGACTCGGAAACTTCCGATACTTCATATCTGGGTTGAATCTGCGCATCAAACATCAAACCACATTTCTGGGGGAAAGACTCACCGACTCGTAAAGGGTTCCCAGGTCATACCAGACTTCCGATATGTATGGATTGAGCCGTATAGCTCGAGAATATGCATCGAGAGCATCCCGATACTGGTTGATTTGATAGTATAATACACCAATTGAGCACCAGAAGGTTGGGTTCCGACCATCTCGATATACTGCTTGCTGATAGGCGTCATAGGCCTTGTTGTACTTTTGTTGGGCCATATAGCACCTTCCGAGCAAGTACCACGTCTGGGCATCCGTTTGATCTAGGTTGAAATCATATTTGGTCATTCGCGTGGCGAAAAAAAAAGTAAAAAATCAATTTACCTGCTTCGATAGATCTAGTCAAAAAGGAGATGGCCAGCTCCTGATTTGAGAATGTACTAGGTTGTTGATGATACAGCCATCCCAGTTGCTGCAAGACTTTGGCATGGTTTGGGTTTTCAGCCAACACCTTTTCATATGCTTCTCTAGCTCGTTGATACTCTTTCTGCTGTTCATATACATGGCCGATCTGAAACCATATGTCGATTTCAGTTAGTGGTTTGGGCGGGCAAGTCAATATATACTGGAAGCATTGTAGCGAGAGTTCGTGTTTTCCTTGTTGTTTGTATATGATGCCCAGTCGAAAGTAGATCTCATTGGCCTTTTCGAATTTCTGGTCCATGCGTATTACAGCCGAGAATGCTTCCTCCGCATGATCGTAGGATCCATATCGGTCGTAAAGTATACCTATGCCATACCATAACTTGGGTTCTTTTGGATTCGGTAAATGATACAATGCTTGTTGATAGGCGGTGTATGCTTTTTGCAGATCTTCCATCATCAGGTAGCAGTATCCTAACGCGCCCCATACTTCTCCGTTATCACCATTGATGTTTAAGACACGTTGATAAAACTCGACAGCCTGTTGAAAAACAAGATGCGAGTTTAGAAGAGATCGATCGAGGCAGCATGCAAGTGTAGTGTAAAGAGATAAAAATAAAATAAAACTTGTTTACCTTTCCGTATTGTTCTTTAGCTCGGCACAGAGCGGCCGCTCCAGTCAGAGCAGGTATTGAGTACGGGTTGTGACGAAGCGCACTTTCATATGCACTCATTGCCTTGTCTAATTCGTTCACGGTTTCTGCGAGGGTACCTTAAAAACGGCATTTTTCAGTTTTAAGGAGTCATAAGTTGAAACCACAAACATCACATCATTTGTTAATGGGGAAGCCGAGTTTCAAGAAACAGACAATCAAGGGCAAGGTTGACCGGATAGATCGAATTCGATTGCATATGTTTCCATACGATGTAGACTGTGAGGTGGGGGGAACTCACCTATTTGCATCCAGAGGCCTTCATTCATAGACGCTAATCGTTGTTGTGCAGGGACACTGGCATTGGATGAAACCACCGTGCTGGCCATCATATATGGCGGGATTGGCTAGAGTCAAGATTGGGAATGGATGATATGTGTCTGCAAGTACCTACAAGTCAATGCTGCCTTGGCTCTCTTCGTCTGGATTTTGAAAGTGGTAGTGGTAAGGTTGAAGGGAATCGACAAACAAAACAAGCCAGTGGTCTACGTACGTAAGCAACTATTCTCTCGGAAGTTTGGGCAACACTTCGATCATTTATTTGAGTTGGTCCGATATGCGTATATCTTTCATCGGTGTAAATATGATGCCAAAAACACTACAACCCCCAACTAGATCACCGTAAGAATAATCGTCATTCTTCTGCTGTTTGATTTTCTCTGAATTCGCGGTTTTTGCTCATCGACCTTCAACCATGACGGCCTCCTCTACTTCATGTAGAGACAAGGTGCAGCATCAGACGCGCTAATTTCGAATCGTTCAAATCGAATGAGCGAGAATCGTCCGAGACATCCGAAGAAAGAAACAACCACCTCATCGTTTATCACATTGTATGTATCTCAATGGACATGCATTTTGAGGGGTTCATTGTTAGATTTCAGTGTCAAAATAGTAAATACGCGTGATTTCAATAGATACTATTCAGTCTAAAAGGGTCTAGTATTCGACAATCCGCCATCCGTCCTTCGTCCATCATCAAAACAAACAGTCAAATGTCAATTCTCAGAAATGGCACAGAATGACAAGTCGGCAGCTCATCTGACGATAACCAGCGACCAGGTCAATTATTTGGTCTATCGCTACTTATTAGAGTCGGGTATGTTAACACGTATTCCTGTATTTCGCATCACCGGTTTTCGTCTGAAAATGTTAAACGGAAGACCTCATATACCTGACTATATATGTACTTGGTAGGCTTCACTCACTCTACATTTAGCTTCCAACAAGAGGCCGCCATCCAGAAATCAGAGATAAAGGGGGCTCTAGTTAGACCTGGAACATTAATTGCATTTCTTCAAAAAGGATTGCAATATACTGAAGTCGAAACTCACATCAACGAGGTTGGCCGACCACAATCACTCATTCAAACCCTGTAAATGCAACACCTCTAAAACAGATTTTATTCATTCTGATAGGATGGAAGTGAAAAGAGATGTAATGCCCCATTCTCGCTAGTACTGCCACATAAATGTGCAATATTACCTGACGAACCCGAAACAAGGAAGAGACCAGTCAAGCCTGCACCATCCCAGCATCAACCCTCCCCACAGCAATCATCAAATCAGCCTGCTTCAGCTATACCGCAACAGCAACAACCATCTTCATCGTCCTCGTCCTCATCAACGACAAACAATAACAATGGTAATAACATAACATCCAACAACAACAACAATGCACCGCCCATCAACATAAAACCACAACCTGCTATACCGCCAAATCAATCAAATCATCGCCCGAGCATTAGTGGTGGAGGTGATTCAGACAAGGAAGTCAATACCAACAAGAGGGAGAGAGAGAGGACGAGAAAGTCGGATCAAGGTACTGGAGACCGAACCAATGCTAAGAGAATAAGGAGGGATGCCGAAACTGGCTGTGAGTAGTTTTGTATCGTTGACACATTCGTCGATATGAACTGATTTGGAGGTCAATTCTTTTAGCACCAACAAACACAAATGCACCAAACAAACAAAACCAATCATCAAACTTTGATCGAGAAGATGTCATAGTGGATGTAATGGAAACAAATGGTGATCGAATGGCCATAGATCTGCCGGAAGAACCTGACTACCTGACCATTCCAGAAAACGCAATCACCAGACTTGAAGGTCATGGAGGTGTCGTGGCTGCATGTAGTTGGAATTCTACTTATTCTGCTTCTCTTGCTACTGGGTGTGTGTTTTGATGACAGGATGATCACCGCGTATTATGTACTCCAAATGGGCTTTTGTACTAATCCGCCTCCTTCTGCGCAGATCCGCCGATGGAACTACCAAAATTTGGAGTATACCAGATAGGCCTGGTCAATTGAGTCAGCCGCCTACTACACTTGTAAATAAGGAGGGCAACATTGCTGAAACACAACATGTGATATCATTGGACTGGAATGTAAGATCTCACGCCGATGCAGATTCTTCTAAGCGAGTTCAAATCAACTTCCTAATGCTTGTTTACATTAGCCTGGTGGTGACAAATTGGCAACTGGGTCAATGGATGGAGTAGCTAGAATATGGTCGCGCCAAGGTGGACTGCTGCATGTCTTTACAAAACATACAGAGCCGATCTTGTCAATCAAGTGGAACAAGAAGGGCGACCTCCTGTTGACGGGATGCAGAGATAAAAGTGCCATTGTGTGGGACTCTGCAACTGGAGAGTGTCGACAGCAGTTCGAGTTCCATACAGGTAAACAAAGTTACCGAGACAACAGGTGTATGTGTTTTAGTCAATAAGCATCCATCTCACTATTCGTAATTCTTAACTAGATTCTGTCTTGGATGTGGATTGGAAGGACGACACCACTTTTGCAACCAGCTCAGCCGACCATACCATATTTGTATGTCAGTTGGGTATGCTCGAACCACTACAGCAGTTTAGAGGGCATGACATGGACGTGAGTTCCATAAAATGGGATCCCACATACACATATCTAGCTTCAGGTTCCGAGGACAAGACTGCCAAAGTCTGGCATATTGATCAAGAAGAGCCGTATAGAGACTTTAGAGATCACGCTGGTGAAGTTTATACTGTAAGATGGTCCCCTGGAAGTGGAACAATGCAACGGGATGGAATTAAACCGAGGTTGTTGGCTACTGCCAGTTTTGACACCACTGCACGTATTTGGGATGTAGACAAGGGCACTTGTTTGTATTCATTTGCGAAGCATACTGGTGATATCTATGGACTCAGTTTTAGTCCTGGTGGGTTGTTTTTAGCAACGGGATCGCAGGATGGGACGATCAAAGTTTGGTCTATGAAGGTACGAGGTGGCGACATACTTTATGAAGATTGCTGTTTTTTGCATCTTCGCGTTTTGTACTCGTATCTAATACAGTATTTGTTGGTTTAGGACGGTTCCTTGTTAAAGAATGTCGATGCTCAAGGACTCATATACGACATTGCATGGAATTCGAGGGGGGATAAGTTAGCAGCCATCTTTTCGAACATTGGGGTAAGAATTTCGTGCGTGTATTTGCGAAATGCTATGATCGCCCTGACGTCTTTTTTTGGCACGTGTTTAGCACGTAATGATAGCACATTTACCAGCGAGCGTGTTAAATGCTAGATAGACTTGCATTGTATCTTGTGTTTGGATGTATATATCTGATTATAATTTTTAGTGAAACTGATTTAAGCGCTTTCTCGTGTCTCTACTTTTCTTCGTGTCTCTACTTCCCAAGCACAAAAAACAGGCGACCCTTGTTGCTGCGATTGGGTGAAAAAGCAGGCAGTTGCTCACAAGGTCAAAATTCAATACCAAATTTTAGGTCTGGAGTGTATACGTGAGCCGGCCTCATCGTCGTCTACTCGAGCTATACCCTTGGACTGTCGGAGTTCCTTGACTACCGTTTCTTGAGACGCCGTGAGTAAAAACCAGCAATGAACGTGTTTTCCCATAGAAAAGCCCATCTCATATCATTTTATTAGAGTATCTATTTATTTTGTCTATTTATTCTACACCGACCGCTCATCAAAAACGAGCCTAAACAATCTCAAACCCAACACGAAACACACAACACACATAAAAACATGCCTTCATCATTCTCCAAAAACCTCGCAACTCTAATGCCGGGCTCATCAACAAGCGACTCGACACGTGTGAGTCGATCTGCTGCGGGATCAGCTGTTTCATCACCTACAAATCCAACATTGGGCAAGGACGATGTGGAGGGTGTTGATGATACTGAGGTTCTGGATGAAGCTCAGGGGTCTATTATTTTGAGTATTATAGGTAGATTTGTCTGTGATTAGTTGGATTTTGGTTGGAGACGTTCGCTAATATGTCTAAAACATTGCAGGACAATTGGGAAAAGGCGCTGATTTCCATCGTGTTACGCTGCCTACGTTTGTGCTGGAGCCACGTAGTATGCTGGAGAAGCTCACTGATAATATATCGCATCCTGAGATTTTGTTCAGGTGAGGACTGGTAAAGATTGCTTTTTTTGGATAAAATTTTCAATGGATATCATAAAATGATCAATGGTTATGAAGCAGCACCAATTATACCAAGCTTCTTTCTCTTGTTTTCGCTGTTCGCCTTCTCACGACTTTGTTGTGTGCTCGTTTTCTCTAGTGCCGTAACGAAACAAGATCCCTTGGAGCGTTTCGTCGAAGTAGTACGATACTACTTGTCTGGATGGCACGTAAAGCCCAAGGGTGTAAAGAAACCCTATAATCCTGTCTTGGGAGAGATTTTCAGGTGTCAGTGGAATCATCCGTCTCACAACAATGCTACATCGATATATGTCGCTGAGCAGATATCTCATCATCCTCCAATCTCTACGTATTACTATACGTGTCCGGAGGTTGGGGTGGAGATTCAGGGCGATTTGAGGCCAAAATCAAAGGTTTGTATACCACCTACATAGTATTTTTTGGGCATGACCAATGTGAGAACTCACCAATACTCCTTATCATAGTATCTAGGCAACTCGGCAGCAGTAATGTTCCATGGAGGTGCTCGTGTCAAGTTCTCAGCCTTTCCTGAGGAAGAATACGAGGCTACTTTCCCAACAATGTATGCTCGTGGTATTCTTTTCGGAACCCTGTTTCTGGAATTGGGTGATGTTATCACGATAAAGTGTCCCCAGAATGATTTGGTTTGTGAGATTGAGTTTAAAGTTAAGGTGAGTTTCGTTGGTGCTCATACTTGGTTCAAAAGTTTTTGATCAGGGGCATTATTGAGTGCGTAAAGATGATGTGTTTCAATCAGCTAACTGTCCTCATACTTTGTTTACAATTCAGGGCTTCTTTACAGGAACATACAACGGCATATCAGGCAAAATCCGCAACGAATCCACCAACGAAACCCTCTACACCATATCCGGAAAATGGACTGACGAAATCTTCCTGTCTCCATCATCTTCAGCCAACTCATCCCCATCATCAGCCTCTCCCACTCGTGGCAGCAACGGTTCTGAAAAGAAGAATCTATTCTTTGACGCCACGTCACACCCCGTATCTCATAAAAGCGTACATCCTGAGATCCAACAAGAAGAGTACGAGTCACGTCGATTGTGGCATCAGGTCACGAAAGCTATTCATACGAAAGATTTGGATGCTGCTACGGATGAGAAGTCGGCTATTGAGGATAATCAACGCAGGTTGCAAAAGGAGCGTTGTGAGAGTGGTGCGCCGTGGGTGCCGAGGTTCTTTGTGCATGATAAGGAGGCGGATCAGTATAATTTTAAGCTGAATAACGAGTAAGTGTTTGGATACAATGAGTCAATGGTAGACTTTTTTTTGCCAGCTCACACCAAATACCCTGATAGATTACCAGCTGATCCCAAGCAAGCGCTCGACGCTCTCACTCATAGGATATTTGATGCGCCTGAATCTGATACGTACAAGCACTTTTGGCCAAAAGCAGAAAATTAGTAGTTGGACATCTTGTCATTTGAACGTGTTCGTAGTCTGAGACTTTTTGTTTATCTTTAATATTTATCAGCAAGCGCCTCATTTGAAAAATATATTATTTGTGAATGTGAAGATAAACCCGTCTGATTATTCGATGCCTTGTTAAAAGGTGTGCAGCTTGCTCTGATACAACGGCACGGAAAGCAAAGGACACTGGTTAGGGAAGAGATGGTCAAAGGTCTGTACCTACTAATATGTGCGTTTCTGCTGATATGTCAGTCCTCAGCAAAGTAAGTGTCTCTCACTTTTTTCCCAACATCAAACGGACGCCAACCCAAAAACACATTTCTTTTTAGAATGCCTAAGGGGAGAATTGGTACTATATCGAATGCCTCGAATATAAATCATCATAAACGCAGCGAATCTGGCGACTTTATCACGTATGTTGTTGACGTTGATCGCAAAAACGTACACCTCGTGCTTTTACTAATAATACGATCGCTGATTTCAGAATACCGCTGTACAAGCGTGAAGTGGATTATATACGCTTACGAGCACGTCAAGCGCAAACTGGGGTGTCTAACTTGGGATCTGATATGAGGTACGAACCACAACTTGGTTGTCGTTGATTTGATATGTGGTCTGGTATTTACTGACGCTTCAACATAGGCTGGTGCTGTTCTCTTACTTTGGAAACGTAAACTTTGGCAGTCCTGCACAGACCTTTACTGTGTTGTTCGATACAGGTTCTAGTGTAGCGTATGTGTGCATTTCGACCAGACGTTTTTTTTGCTTGAAATGCATTAAGACCTAATTCTTATTCTAAATAGATGGATTCGATCGAAAATGTGCGCTTTCTGCACCGGCAAGAGATACGATGCTCAACAATCTCTAACCAGCTTTGCATCATCGACTAAGACTGGACCAATTAGCTACGCCGATGGTACACAAGTAAACGGGATCAGCACAAAGGACACTGTGTCCATTGCGGGGCTATCTGTAAACCAATTCTCGTTCGTGGAAGCGACTAACATGACGAATTTTCAACCTGATGGTATTGATGATTTTCTCCATTGGAGTGTCTTTTTCGCCAACAAGTGTGACTAATATCTTTCTTGATTCCAGATCCTACGGATGGCATCATGGGATTTTCGTTACCTATAGCTTCCACATCGACTTGGTTTAGTTCATTGGTAGCTCAGAAACGTGTTGCGGCTCCGATCTTTAGTTACTGGATTGATAATACTTCGAATAATGGACAGCTTATTCGTAAGTTGCTGATGTCTGGTTTCAAACGCAATTCTCCGGGATTGCCAGCTGACTTTTTCCTTGATTAGTGGGTGGTGTTGATCCAACTAAATACATTGGAAATATCAGTACTCTTCCTGTATCGACTACGTGAGTTATCACAAATACGTTTTGGCATCATTCACATTAGCTGACATGCAACTTTGGCTCTAGTACAGCACCAGCTCAATTTTGGTCAAATCTCTTGACCAGCATATCAGTAGGCAACAGCACCACTAAAACCAACACCACCAAGGCCAAAACCACCACTAAAAGCAATAAACTAAACACGCCCACGCCCATCTCACTGCAGCAACCAATAACCGTAGTATTCGACACTGGCACATCCTTCATTATCCTACCATCAGACATCGCAACCCAAATCCACTCCCAAATCCCAGGCTCCAACCCATCAAACACACAAGGAGGTGGCTACGCCCTCTGGAGCGTCCCCTGCGACCAAATAAACAATCTCCCACCCATATCATTCACATTCGCCAACCAAGTAACCATGGTTACAAACGGTAACGATTACGCATACACGCTGCCCAATGACGGAACATGTATGAGTGGTATTGCTGGTGTGAATCTTGGGAATGCGATTGGCGGGTTGATGGGGAATGTGTTTTTGAGGTCATTTTATACGGTTTGGGATATACAGCAAAGGACTGTAGGGTTTGCTGTTGCGAATAGGACTGCTACGGGGCAGAATACGATCAAGGTTTCGACGAGTGCGGGGAGGAAGTTGGGAGTTGGGGGACTGATGGTTGGGTTGTTGGGAATTGTGGTTGGAGGTGTTGTGCTATGAGAGGGTGTACATTGATGCTTTTTGGCTCACTTTAGCTATAACCTCTTGAAAATAAATGCACACATATGAAGTCACTGTGTCGTGATATATCAGTGCCCCATATCGTCTAAATTCTTGATGTTGAAGCATGTGCTGTTCCAATTCTTGGACTTGCTTGTAACGTTTCACCAACTCAAACGAGAAACACGCACAAAATGCAGAGCGGTTGAATATGCTAAATATGATCATTCGTTTGAAAACATTTCACTTGTAATTGGACCTAAACCTTGATTGACATACGTGAGACGGATACTAGTGACAAAATTAACAGTTAGCCATATATGATGTGGAGTTTTTTGCATGAACCAAATTCACCTCATTCCACCGTCAACTGAATATGGGCTACAATCCAAAAGTGGCGGGAGTGCAGATCCTGACGTTCCCCTTTTCGAAATATTTGTTGTTGATCTCAAACTAATTCGTTCAGCTAAAAAAAACCACAAAACATGGTCCTATACTTGTGCCACTGTTTACCGTTCTCCATATCGTCGTCATAATCCAAAGCATATGGTGTACAGTCTTGTCATCGTCTGGGACTCTTGAATTATTCTGGCCACAAAAGATGATTCCAACAGTGAATGTGTCAGTACCACCAGGAGCTTCGATACTATCAGATCCTCTCCTCACTCCAACGGGCCTACCGGAGATGGACAAACGGGTATAAACCATTGATATACAATCTCATTCAATACCCACATACCAGGCAACATTGTGTTTCATATTTCTAAAGTCTGCCGAGCTCACCAGCAACAGACATAGTCAATCCCAAACACCTTCTTTTTTTTGGGTAGTACTCTCTCTACTCTTTGTAAATGAAAGCACACAGATGCTTGTGGACTTGCCAAATTTTCATGGCTCCTTGGGTTATGATGCTAAGGAAGGTCTTGTCTCGATTGTGTCGTCCTTGGAGCAGCATACATACACAACGTTGCAACAAACCAAAATCACAAACACAGAGCGATAATTTGAATATACCACATATATTCATTTCGATTCTTTTACTTGTAATTGATACTGAAACTTGTGTGTCTTACGTGTGACGGATGCTAATTGACAAAATGTTCAGTCAGTACTGCTGCAATTTCATGCTGTTCTCTTTTGGATGATCCAACTCACCTCATTCCACCATCGACTGGAATATGAGCTCCATTCAAGAATGAGAAAGCAGGAGTGCAGATACTGACGGTAACCTATTTGAATACAGTTTATGAGATCTAATTCTTTGACGCCAAAAAGGCAACGTTTCAAGAGCTACACCTGAGCGACTTCTTCAGGTTCACCGTATCGTCGTAATGGTACACGACGCTTGGCGTAGAGAGCCTTGTCGTTGTCTGGGACACGGGCAGTCATTCCAGCTAGAAGAAGATGGAATTCCCAGTGAATATTTCAATGTGGAGAGTGAGCGCGTTCGGAATTATAAGCAGTTTCAGCACTATCATATCCAATGCTTACTTCGAATGGGTCTATATCGGGAGCAAAAACAGTCATTAAAAATCGGCTATTGAACATTGAAACTCCATCTAGGCCCAACAACGACCTACCCAGGCATAACAGCATTACAAGTAATATTCTGAAGTCTGCCCAACTCGACAGCAAAAGACCTAGTCAATCCCAAAACACCTGCTTTTGTAGCATTGTAAGCAGCGTTTCCGGCAGAAGCCAATAGAGCCTCGGTAGAAGCAATGTTGACGATTCGTGCTGAATCGCTCTTCATCATGTAGGGCAATGCAGCTCGAATTAAAGTCGCATGGGAAGTCAAGTTGATTGCAACGGTTTTGGTCCATGTTTCTTCGAATGAGGCATCGGGGGTTTGGGCACCTCCGCCGAGGGATACTCCGGCATTGTTCTGGTGGGAATGGAGAGTGGTAAGAATCAGAATGATGATGGATTCATAAGACAAATGTGCCGCTCTTGTTGCAGGTACCTACCACAAGGATATCAATCTGGCCAAACCTCTTGACAACGTCTAAATTGGAGCATGTAAGTCATTTGGCTGAGCTGATACACAAGGATTACATCCATATGCCCAAACCTCCAGGAAGTCTCTTCAAAGCAGCAGAGTCCGACACATCGACGACAAAGCCTGCAGCACGTCCAGGATACTCGGTATTGATTTCAGCGACGACGGCATTGACTCTGTCTTCGCCAATATCAACAACAGCAACTCTGGCACCCTGCAAAGTTCTTGTGCGTCAGTGTCTTGTTTTAATGACGTAGAAGAAATGTGGTTGATTTCCGACCTCATCAGCAAAGAGTTGAGCGGTGGCTCTTCCCATACCACTGGCAGCTCCCTACAAGATGTTTGGAGATATTTAGCATGGTGAAGTAAAGCGTGGTGCGGTATGTTGACCAAACATACAGTTACGATGGCTACTCGTCCAGCTACCGAACGGTCCAATTGCGTAAGACGCTTGGTGGCATTTACAGTGGCAACAGACTCAGATGAGTCGCCTGAGCCGGCCAATTGTCTCGCTAAAGCGTTGATTCGTTCCATATTTTGTTTCGTTTGTGTTTTTAAAGTTCAACGTTGCACTAACCGTGACACTGCTCTGACATTCGCGAAAAAGGTTTGCAAACACGGACTCTTTTCCAGTAAAATATGTATTACTATTGTAGTTAAGAAATGTGCAAAACCCGTATTACTATCACTCGCTATTATATGTGTGTGTGTGTTGATGAGATCCTCATGCAAACATTGCGACAAGGCCGGCAATCAAGGCCAGAGAAACCGAGTTTGCCAGCAAACTCTGTGGTGCATTGTTGCTGCTAGTAGATGTCGATGTAGTATTTGGTGCTGAAGCGGCTGTGAGGTTTGAGCCACAAGCACTGCTGAGGTACATCTTGTAGACCGTCAGTTTAGCTCCCCTGTATGATATTACGGTTAGTGCCATTGTCAAAACAATTGTATTGTTAGAAGGCAACATACATTGGGTTCATGTTGACAAAGGTCAAGTCCTTGATGTGACTTAGATCGTATGCACCTCCAACGAGATTCTTGGTAAAGAGGCTGAAGGGCAATATGAGGGTTTGGCGAGCGCCCGTTGGCTTGATGAACTTTGAGAACGGGTAGTATACCGAGTCTGCGGTGATCAAGAACAGAGTTAATAACGCGAGCAAAAGAGAATCGTGCTACTGAATTCATACCAATGGTTCTGGTCAGACAATCCGAAGCATGCTGAGTATACGTAATGTTAAAGTCCAAGCCAGGATCGGCACTGAATTCCATGACCAGTGATACGTATTTGGTAGCATCGAAACACGCACATGGGTTGTATTTGCTAAACCTGTGTTTCACAAATATGTTAGAAGGTCGGTTCACTCGACCCAACGACCAAAACCTTACCAGTAGTTGTATGTAGGAGCAGTGCCCGGGTGAGAAGCAAACTCTCCATCGACAGACGAGTCACTGTTTGCGGTGATTGTCATGGATCCATTTGTGACATAGAATGGGGCAGCTCCTTCTCCATAGTCACCCCCATTCAAATTGTAGTATACAGCTCCTGTAATGTTCTTTGGTGGTTGTGGTAACCTAGTCACGCCGGATTCCCCTGTTCAAGAAAGTGCTGGTCAGAAATTGTGGCTTACTAGAAATAGACTACAAGGAGTCGGTTCATTCATACCAGTCGTCGGCCTGGATGCATCGTTAATGTTGAAATCATCGAGGAAGAGATCTTTCGAGGCCCCACATGCAGCTGCTGCTGTAGGCAGGGCTCCGCTTGCATAGGCACAGGAGGTCGAAACTGGTGCAGTGGTTGTCGTTTGTGCTGATACGATGGAAAACAAGGACAACGACAGGCTAACTGCTGCTATGATACCCTTCATGATGTACACCTTCCTTTACTGGATGACCTGGCGCTTCCCTCTTCTCTGTATCGACTTGTTGACAGACAAGTGGAGTTTGAAAAATCGAAATGCAATTTACGTGATTGGAACGCAATTCATTGATTTGGACGGAAATTCGAGTCAAAAGACATTAATACGCCTCGAAAATGTCGCATCGCTCACCACCAGCTCCATTCAACGTGAGTTTGTACGAAAAAATTGGACACCGAGCGAGGCTCAACGCGTTTGTTTTGATTGTTATTAAACTGAAAAGAAGAAAGCACAACTAAAGTACTACTACAACCTTCAAAACGCGTCCCCCTTCCTCATGCGAGCTGCGTTTTCAACATGACCTACTGTTTTTTCAACTAATTGAAGTTATACGACTTATGGAGTATTTAATGTTTGGCTGGTAGGGGAACGTCCTTTGGCAGATCCGCTTTTAGAGGCTCTGTCGCCTTCACGCCATCGGGCCTTCCCTCATATGCGATTGCAGTCCGATTCTCGCCAATGGCTCTACAGAATGCCTCCACCATTATATCCATAGGAACCGGCATGTTCCAAGCTCCTCTTTTCGGTGTATCCTTTACTCCTGGCCGCGACAGTCCAGCATTTGCCATATCCGTTTGCACGAGCCATGGACAGACTGCGTTGATACGGATTCCTTCACCTCGCTTGTAGAGGTAGAACAATGATCGTATGAATCCAATCACACCGTATTTGCTCGCCCCGTATACGGGGTTTGAGGCATGGTAGAGCCCAGCATAGCTTGATGTACATACAACGACGCCGCCCTTGACGTTGTGTTGTTTGAAGTGGCGGATGGCGATGAACGTTGATTCGATTACGGCTATGAGAAACAATCATATGGTAAGCTAGAGAAAGATGAGGGAACAAGCAAGTAGAGTACACAACTAAGACACAAACCTGTAAGATTGACATCCAACATCTTCTTCCAAGCGTTGCTCTCATCGTCAATTTGCTCCGGGTTGCTCCAGATCCCTTATAACAGAGATAAAACTTGAGCACATTCCTCACGTTCGTAGTGTTTGCCGGACTTCGTTGGAGCGTACCAGCATTATTCACAACAATGGAAACAACACCAAACGTCTTGTACGCAGTATCATACAAGTTCAGTAGATCGGCAGTTTTCGTAACGTCAGTCTTGACGAATATGGCATGCCCTTTACCGTGCTTCTTTTCGATTTCAGCTAATGCTTGATCTAAATAGTTCGCCGGTCAAAATTGGATTTGAGAAGATGTGTTTGGAGTGCGAATGGTTCACCTCCAGAATTCAAATCAGCGAGTACCACATTACACCTACGACAATCCAGATTCAGTGAAGTGGTGCAAATTAAGTGATCTTGGCACGTAGCTACCCTTTCGACACCAAATGTATCGACAGATTGAATCCCATGCCAATCAAGCTGGAACTTCCCGTGACAATTGCACATTTTCCTAATAGTTGCTGAATAACATTAGATGTCAGGTTGGAATCCGATAATATAGTAAAGCTTACCTGCGACACCTTCTAGCTCGTACATCTTTACGATTGAAACCACGAATTGCCGTGACCAAACGTGATACAAACTTCTCAGGAGTGATATGAAGATTTTAGATTCGGCTTCATAGACGTCATGATTATCCATTTCCGTGATTATCATATTTCATGACACGTTGGAAAGGAAAGAAAACTACTTATGATATTGGAAATGCATGTGTCTTGGGTTGGCTATTCTTCTGATTTCAATTACCGTTTTCTCAAGATTTTGTCTACTGATCGCTGTCAGTTAAAGCAGCTTACTCTAAGAAAAGCGTATTTCAGCAAAACGTTTCCAGCTTGCAAATGGCACCATGTGTTGTGGATGCTGTTGGGTCGTTCCATAAACCTGTCGCAAATCGATAGACAACAACCACAAGATGATGTTGCACAGTGTGATTTGCTTTGTTTGAATACCATTATATTTCCTTAGATATTGTTTTATAATGAGGCCTTGTTTTGTAAACATTATTTCAATGTCCCAAAAATATCTTTACACACCACACTACGAGTGGCTTTACAATACCACGTGAGGCCTATGAGCCAGCAGCATGATCCCAATAACCAGACAAGCACACCCGACAAGCAGCAATGCAGCAGCGAGTACATACGTCAAGACACGTCGACTAACCCCACATCGACTCAACCCCCTCTTTTCAACACCATAATCATCTCGTAATTGTTGCTGTTGCTCCTGCAGTTGCCGCTGCTCATCACGCAACTGTCTCTGATACTCATCATACTGCTCCATAAAATCATCAGCATGCGGAATCAAATTAACAACACCCATAACATACTGCGACAACTTTTCTAGCGAAATCATCTCCTCCACACCCGACTCCATAAGGTTAAGCGTATCATCGTACCCCACAGCTGAAGGAACCACAACGTCTCTGAATACATGCCTGTCTGGCCTCATAGACGACAACGCCAGCTCCAGCTCTTGAGCCGAAGCAGACGGGCGAAATTTCAGATAGTGTGTCTTCATGACACTTTTGATTAAATCGATACGACAATTGATGGAATGCCATAGTGATGCGATGATGGGCATCAATTCATCGATTTTGGCATCATTCCATACTATTTGGCTATTGGTTTCGTCTATGGATTGTGTACGTGCTGCTGCTGCTGTGCGTCGTGTATCGTCATACTCGGTGTAGAGCGATGCACGGCGGACAAGCGTATCGGTGTCAGTAGACTCGTCTCTGGAAGCTAGTTCCAGCAAAATGTCTAGATCCTTCTTGCCTTCGTTGACAGTGTACACGAGATGCGGCGTCCAGCCTGGAAACATGAGGTCTTTCAGTGTCGTTGATAGTGCGGCCAGTGCATTACGGTAATGGTTCCATGATTGTGGTGATGGACGGCCAGTGGACGACGATGCGGCTGATGCCATCTCGTAATCGTACGACTGGTCGCGGTTATTATTATACGGTACCGTGTTCGAAGAGAGGTTTGATAAGAGACTCACGTCTCGGTTTGGCGCTACTACTCGTGTTGCCTGGAGAGACGATCTGGGTATGTTGGTATTGTCGAATGATGCTTGAGCAGCATTACGAATATTATAGACTGCGGAATCATCGGGTATAGATTGTAGTGGAGATATTGGGACTGTATGGGAGCGGTAATGCGTTTGAGAGTAATGGTAAGTATTGGTATTGTTGTTGTTGCGACTTGCCAACATTGTGTTCACTAGTCCAATATCTGCCATTAGATTTGGTGGTGGAAACAGGAGTGCAGCAGTGGGACTTGGTGGTGGCGCATCTGGAAATGTCTATTGGAAAAACGGGAATGTAAGTTTGACATATCCCAAAACACACGATTGAAACATGATAAAACATCCAGTTCTAGATGACAAAGGTACCCACATCTCGAGTAGGACTAGCATAATAGCGATGAGGCGATGATGGCAAGACTTTTGGTTCAGCATCACGAACCTAATCATATGTTTGACATTAATCAAGCAATACATCTGCAAAAAACACCACAATAACCTTACATTTCTAAAGTAACGAGAATCCAATTCAGCTCCATTCCAGTCATCGTCCTCGTGATCCTGTTGAGTATTCCAACGAGTTTTTAATCGTAGTCCAAGGTCTCGAGAAGTTGTTGCAGCAGCTGCTGCAGCAGCATTAGCTTCAACACGGCGACGAGCATCGATTTCTTCCAGTGCAGATATAGTATTGTTTGCAAAATCGTCTTCAGATTTGTTGCTTGACCCATCACTCAGTATTGACCATAACACGTCAGATGCTGTGGTGTCGACGCGAGCTGGTGAAGCAGAGGAATCACTATAAATAAGAGGAGAAGAATTAATATACTTTGAAATGGATTTTGATTTCTTTGGTATTGTCTTACGGTGCTCTTGTAGTAGCTGTAGCCTTGTTGGCAGGAATTGACTTTGACATCGAAATTGATGATAATTTAATGGCACGGTCGCTCTGTTTGGAGAGGTCCAAAATATGTCTTAATATTAATTTTAATGGTCCAAACTGGTTTCAGCTCTCTCAACTGGTCTCGATTTTAAAGGAAAGATAGATATTGTGTCTTCAAACTGGCGCAGTTTGCAGACCTCGAGTTTGAAAGATATCTTGGGGCAAACACGCAAAGCAGTCCTGGATCTTAGATCAAGATGTAGTGAATTGTATCAGACAATGCACTGTTTTGAAAGTTTGAAGGTGATGAAGCGTGAAACATTTTCTTAGCTACAAAACAAGTCTTGTTTCAAACCTCAGTTTCAAACATACGCCGACTTAAATGTAACGCGACTTTTGATGATAATATAAGTGCAGCCTCTATTTGAACATGTTTGTTGACTTACAGCTATCTACTTTGTTGACTACACTGTTTTTACGCTTTGGTACGTTTGTTGGTTGAAGAGGAGGAAGACCCGACAGAGTACTCTTCGTCCGAGTCTTCTGACTCGTCGCTCTTTGAAGAGCGAGCAGCACGATTTCTCTTTCGGGTTACATGAGAAGCACCTGCCAACCCGTTGGCAGGTCTAGCTCGGTGATGCAATTTATAAAACAGACCACATGCGTTCTGTGAAATGTATTTAAGGGAGGTCAGTTAAGGGATACCTTGAACGTCTGATATAATCAAGATTGAGCAACTTACACATAACGGTTTCCCTTGGTCATTCTTTCTCCAAAGTGGTGTACTGAGCGTCTCACAGTTACTGCACTTGGTAGCAGGAGCATCTACCACAGGGGCTGTTACGGCGCTCTTAACCAACGTCTGAGGCCTATGTCTCCCATGTAGTTTGAGACTAAATGACGAAGAAAAATGTCAATTTCCTGTCCAAAAGTATCGAAAAATCATACAATGTCACGTACTATAAACCACAAGCATTACAAAGAAGCTCATCATGAACCGACCGTCGCCAAAAAGGCGTACTTGTTATGAGACAATTCTTGCAAATCATCTTTCTAGGGGTATCAACCGTATCAATTGCAGACGGGGTAGCCGAGAATGGAGCTGTAGGTGGTGCAAAGTACTCTTCAGCTACTACAGAATCTCCTAGTGGTTCTCGATCGTCTTCAGACGGAGATACGGAGGCTCTACTTGGTGATGGCGATGATTCACTGGAAGCCGGAGATGCGACAACCGCAGTTTTTCTCGATACTCTTCGTGAGGCTCTTTGACGAGGTACTGTATGAGGAGGCGATGCAGGGCTGGAGTGCTGTTCCTTCTTGAGTGGGACGGGTAGAGATGATGGTTCATTTTGTGATTTGGCTTCCTGGACATGGACGCATGGTTCCTGTTTGACTACTGGTGCTGCTGTTGCTGATTCGGGCATTATCAAGGCTTGTGCCAAACTTGATGCCTTTGACGGTTCGGGTACTGCTGCTATATTTGGTCTACTAATACTTGGAATCTGAGGTCGTTGTGGTTGCTGTGGTAGTTGAGGGGCGACTGGTAAAGTCACCATTGGCTTCCATGCATCCAGTATCGAGTTTCCGTATGGCATCTGCGAGTACGTCTGCTCGGGAGTAAAGAGATGCTCCAGACCACCCCAAGACGGCAGTTGTGGTGGAAAGTTGTAGTCTTGTTGCTGCAGTGTCGGGCCGTTGTCAAACATCAGATCTTCTAAATCTATGTACGAGCTACTACTGCTACGACGAGATTTAGAAAACATAATGTCAGCTTGTTAAAAGAGTTTCAAAAAGCATCGGTTTGAAAACTCATTTGAAATTTAGGCAGAACCTTACCTGGCAAGGTTTTGGAAATCGTACATGGTTGGTACAGTTTGGGTCAGTTCTGGATTGATCTGCGATGCAAACCATTGATCTTGCACTAGAGTCGACTCTGAGTAACTTTTCTGGTGAGGAACGGCGTGTTGTTGTGGTGGTTGTTGTGTAGCATTATAAACGTTGGGAAGTGAGCTAGCCAATGAGCTAGTACTCAAGGTCTTTGCAGAATAATCCATGCGATCCAAAGAAGTGGCACTAACACGTCGTAGACTCCAGCGTCTTCGGGGAGTGGAGTTTTCTTGATTGATCTGCATTACAAACAGAGCCAAAGGTTCAGCAACGTGAGGTAGTAAAACGCATACAGCGATTGGATCGTCTTTAACGTACCGAAGATATCAGTTTCCAGCTCTCTGCCAAGTCGTCGACACTGTACGTTTTGCCAAGAGTAGTTGCTGAATCACCAGCAAAGGTTCGAGAGGCGGACATTTTGGATTTTGAAGGTTATGTATAGTATATGGTTTAGCGGTGGGCTCCAAAGTCAAAATTGCAGTTACAACAGTGTGCTGTCTCCCAAGTTGTCACTATTATTTGATAAGAGGAAGTTTTTGTTGGGCTGAATTCGCTGTGTTGTCAGCAAGGAAGGATTATTTCTGCTGAACCGAAAAAACGTAAGCTCACCACAACGAGTGTAATTATAGGCAAAAGGCTATTACGCCTCCTACCTAAAAAGTGCTGAGGAGCAGATCATCGTCTTATCGTCTTCATTCTTCTCACACCGCCGTTCGCGTTTCTTTTGGTTCGCCGGCGTTCTAGTGGTTTTCAAACCAAAATCCGTTGACGAAGCAGAAGCAGAAGACGTCTAGGATGTTAATACTTGGGAGTGTATCACTATAACTTTGATTCTGTCCCTTCTCCAACTTCAGAGACCTTCAAAAAGTTTGTAGAGTCGCTGCAAACAAGCGAGAGGGAGTATTTTCGATCTCCTTCACCAGATGGATCTTCATTCTCCGGCGAAGGTGATAGTTATTTATTATGTATGCAATGCATTATTACATTTTATTCCAATTCGTCTTCATGAGCTTCTATACCATTATTGAAACAATCCCTTCGTCTTGCAGGCGCTATTATTGAGCAAAGATTTGGACACAGTAATCCTGACAAGGAACGGTTTGTTTTGCCCGGACCAGCTCACCTGCTTCTCTTGAGCACTCGAATTCTTGAACCTTTGCTGCACAGGCTTCGTTATATCTGGAGGGGACCAACCTGCATTCATGCTCCAATTTCATTTGTTCTGTCGAGAATATACCATAGGTTTGACGACGGTTTTTGCGAGTTGGTTCACGTGTAACTCGTTTTAATGGATTATTGTTTACAGTACAATCAGTATCTCTGCTCTTGCGTTTAATTGCGAGGTTTCTACTTGGAGATGTATCGGAATCATAGTCAATATTAGTACTAGCAGCAGAAGGAAATTTGGCTGAGTCATATGCATCACATCCAATGGGTTCAGCCTTCGCTTTACCCTTCGTACAAATTGAATCGTGGTAGCTTCTTGATCTCCAGGGATATCACACCGCGTAGTGGGCATTACGAGACCATGTTCGAGATTGTCCATGTCCAATGTACCTCCTTCGATAAAAGATTTGTCAAGCTGTACCTTTGTAGCTGCAGTATCTCTATGGCAATAGCTCCAATTGTCATGATTTTTGCATATGTAGCGTAACAGCAAAATTGCTGGCGTTGCCGCGGCTCAACCCTGAAATAGGACCACGATCCAAACAAGAATGAAATGGATATTGAAATCTCGATGGAGACTTTCACGTGGGGATGCATCTGAGTCCAGCCGCAGTCAGTTTCTGCCATCTTGTGATGGGGTTGAGGGCCCCATCAGAGTAGGTAAAGGTATTTAACGTCCGTAGTCACTTTTCCTGGCCTTTTCTAGTGCCAATCGTTATAATGGTCCAGCGCGTCGGTCTAAACAGCTGCTGCCAATGTAACGCGTTAGTGAACGTGTCATAGATGTATATCCAATTAGTTGATTTTTGAAATATATCAATCATCAATTGTTACAATTCCTTGGTTGCTGGATTGCATTCCACCACAACACGAGTCTTTACGAGTTTCAAACGTTTCAAGTCAACATGTCAAAACTGTCATCGTTTTTGAACGTTCTAAGTGACTGACAACTTTTTCCTGAGACGTCACAGATTGATGCAAGTGCATGCAATGCATCTTTGAATCATTCCGTTGATTGCTTGATTACTCACCTTCTGTCTCGAACGTTGAATAGATCTGTCACAAACTTCGAAAACCGATGATGACAATGAACCCCATGAATTCCAATGGGATGCTGCCAAAGGCCAAAGATTTTACTTCCTTTCTCAGCAAGGAGAGCTCTGGGCGTGAACGATCTGGTGGGTCTGGCTTCTCTCTAGAAGATCTGTTTAAAAAACGGATTTGGTTCAGTATTAACTCAACTCATCTTAACTAGGACTGAAATCATATATACAATACACTCGACGTGATGGAATGCGCTCACTGGGTGGTGGATTACCTCATCCAAGTCTGTTCTCATTTGGTAAGCGAGGCAACCTCGTCAAAACGTGCAGTGACGAACTGAAGCCAATATAATAACAGGATTGAATCTACATTTTTCTGCATTTTCAAACTGCCACACTATGACATGCAAAGCTTTGCAGCAACGTCTAACCTCGAATCACACCACCTTGAATTGTAGCCAGTGTGGACGTGGCAGTCACTGATTATACTCCCCCTGCACCAGTCAATGGAGCTAAACTGAGTAAAGCTGCTGAATCCAATAGCAAACAGCTACCATTACCGTTATCTTCCGGGCCATCTCAAAAACCAAAACCCACGAAAAACATTCACATACCACTCTTTCCTGATTTAAAAGCCAGCATCACGTTAGCAGAATCTCTGCAATATGGCCAGGGTCAAGGCTCACAGAAGTTAATCAATATCCTACACGATACAGTCCAGCATACCCACAAACCCAAGTACTCGGACTTCAATATTATCGTAACAGCTGGCAACACGGATGCGATGGACAAGTCGTTGCGTCTCTTATGTGAGCGTGGTGACGCTGTCCTGGTCGAAGAATGGTCATATCCGAGCGCCATGGAACAAATGAGACCAATGGGCGTCCAACTCGTACCGGTCAAGGTCGATTCAGAAGGAATGGTGCCAGAGGATCTCATCCGTGCCACAAACGAATACAGAATGGCAAACTCGGAATTAAGATTGAATATTGTGTATTGTGTGCCTACTGGTCAAAATCCTCTTGGTACCAACATGTCGATTGAGAGACGTCAGGCGTTTTATAATGCTTGTCAGCAGTTGGATTTGATTATTTTAGAGGATGATCCTTATTGTGAGTGTAGACAAGAATCGTTTACGCTGCAAATGTGATCCCGAGGGCTGAACCATTCGTATCTGACATGTTTCAACTGTCTGCTAAAGTCATTCTTATCGTAAATGTTTGGGTGTATTTCTGACCTCATTCTTATCATCCCTCTTTAGCGGTGCTGCAACTGCCACCATTCACTGAAGAAGACGCTGACAAGGACTTGGAAGCTTTGGAATCAACATACTCGTATCCTGGAACAACAGGACTGATGCCTAGTCTGTTCTCAATGGATACAGACGGAAGGGTTATCTACATGTACACGTACAGCAAAGTGCTTGCGCCTGTAAGTTGGCGTTTGAGGTACAGACGAAAGAAGTCAGGGTTTCAAACTCGCACAACGTTGTAGGGCTGTCGACTTGGCTACGTTGTACTCAACGCAGGCTTTTACGAACGCTTCACTTGGCTCACTGAGGTGACCACACAGGGCGCTTCTGGCTTCTCACAATCCATCGTAACCGAAATGCTATCCAAGTGGACTCCCAACGATCATTATAATCTCGCCATTAACCTCCAGAAACATTATACCCATAAGAGAAATATTATCGTCAAAGCGGCTATGAAGGCCCTTCACAAATCGGTGACACAGCCTCAACTGGCGAGCTTCGTTGTGCCGACAAGTGGGATGTTTTTATGGATAAAGGTCAACCTGCCAGAATCGTACAAGGCTGGAATCATGAAGCGTATTTTTGATTCACTCATTCAGCAGAACGTCTTGTTGGTATGTTTAAATCTTCCGTTGCAAGCTTGAAAGCAAATATTGAAGATAATTTTCTCCCCCACATTAGGTACCTGGCATGGAATTTTCTCCCTTTGGCAAGAAGGGGAATGAGGATGCTCCATACTTCCGTGCAGCTTTTTGTTTTGCCACTGATGAAGCTTTGGAACAGGCTATGATCACGCTCGGAAAGGTTTTAAAAGATTTTGGTTGTGGACAGTCATAAATTTTAATTTTAGAGAGCCATGAAATGTTGCACTTATAGACTACAATCTCGCACTATATATCTTAATAGAGTTTTTACACCAAGTAACAAAATCGGTTGGATGATGATGTTTTGTCTTGCTACAGAACACGACTATTACACTACAATTTATGAAGTACAGCAGCTTTACCACACCCAAACTCTCTCAACACGATAGCAAATATCTCCATAGCCTCCGTCAACGCCTGTTTCGAAGCCATACTAAACGATGCCCTAAGATACGGAGTCTCCAACGACCCAGGCTGCCTCTCAGCATCAAAAGCGTCCCCCGGAATCATCAACACATTAGCCTCCAACATCTTGTCAAATATCTGCTTCATGATTCCGTGTTGTCGTTGCAAGGCCGGTGGCAGGTTGACTTTAAACCATACAAACATCCCAGATGTGGGGATTGCGAAGTCCGATAGGTGGTTTGGCGTAAGGTATTTGATTGCCGCGTGCATTAGCACGTTACGTTGTTCGGCATAGTATTTTTGTAGGATTTGGATGTGCGTTTCGAGGCCACTGAGTGTCCATGTGTGAAGGAGTTGGGATACGAGGGCTTGGGAGAAGCCAGCAGGCTGGAGTTGAGGGATTTTATGGTCAGATTTGTAATGTTGAAGGAAGGTGCAAGGTAGACTTACTGTACCGGCCAATTCAATAACCGTAATCATCCTGTCGATAAATAAGGGGTTTGCAATGACATAGCCAAGTCGCAGTCCGGGTGCAATTAGCTTTGAGAAGGTATACATCTAAGAAAGTCGTGTTGGTGAGCTCCACTGTTTCAAGAGAGCAAAAAAATACCGAGATAGTACATACATATATCACTCTACCGTCAGTATCCAAAGTGACAATCGGTGGTATAAGACCAGACATCCCAGGATACTGCTCTTGCGGCAGCGTAAGGTTGTTTGGATCATACGGAGGGAATTGCATCGGTGCATATGGATCTAAAAAATTCCAATGTTTTACCAAATTTTACCAAAGTACGAGCTGACCAAAAACAGAATTCAATACCATCTTCAAGAATAACCAAATCCAATTCCTGAGCAACCGCATAAATGTCCTTTCGCCGTTGCAACGACATTAATGTGCCTGTCGGATTGCCTCCTGTTGGCACTACATAGACAAGTCGGCACACATTGCCTGCTGCTCGTTGCTCTAAACAGACTCTACGCCAAAACATCAGTCGAAAGATGTACAAGATGAAACCAATCATGGCTAGACGTACTTGCGTAAAGATTTCGGACACATTCCTTCCCCATCAGATTCAACAATCGCCGGTTTCCCATCGAATGGAGCCATTTGTCGAAGCAACGGCGTCCACGTATACTTTTCCATCAGTACGTAATCGCCCTGGTTTAGCAGCATTCGACAACAGGTATCCGCAGCGTGCACGTTTCCTAACACAAAAGTTCTCAGTCGGCGTGGTTGCTGTTTGCGATCATAACGTTTCTCACCACAAGCTATATAAAGCAACTGTTAGCATGAATACTGAATTATTTGAGTTTTTTAATAGTTCTTACATAGATACGCATCCCAGTTCGAATACAATGGTGGGTTGTAAGTTTGGATCATGTCCTTCACTTGAGTTAACAGTCTTGCGATTCCTTCCGCGTCAGCATACTATCAAATTAGCGCTTTAAGAGAATACTTTGTCACTTGGGTAAGCGTATTCCACATACCTGCATCATAGGAACGAGAGAAACAGCCTCACTTATGGGATTCGCTGGCACAGAAACTGATATAGGCGGAGATGACGGTTTTGATGGATCCGTTACTGAAAAACGAATTGTATATTCAGTATTCTGTGCTTCAGCATTGATCTGCAACAGGATACATACTCCTGCTATCGATTGACAAGAATGGGAACAATCCTGGTGATGGAAGACCTAAAACACGAATTGTCAGCGTTGAAATGATAAATACATCAAGCATCGTCTCGTCGATTTGATAGAAACCGAACAATGCAACCAAACTCAAATTTCGATGACTGACAAACTTGATGTTGACCAAACTACCACGATTACCGAAACCAGCAAGCTTACCTCCACCAAGCGATCTCATGTTGGGTTTTGCTGCATCGGCATAATAGGCTTTAAGTGTCGATCTTTGTCTCTTTTTCACTTGTTCACTTAAAAAGTGTTGGAAATCACGAGCGACGAGTTTGGATGAGGATGATGAGACCATCTTGTAGACTTGTTTGACTCGTAAGTGAATAATGTGATGCTCCGCTTGCAGTTTCCGATTTATCAATCAGGTCGTAATTCACGAATGCGTCACCGAAAAATGACAAGTAGGGTTTCTAACGAATTTCACAACGACTGGACATATGAGCGTCACCTGATATGCTGGGAGCTATTCAACGAACTTCCGCACGTAAGGATGTACAAACATTACAAACCTAAATAATCTCCTATTCGTTGTTTACATACAAGTTTGCTATAATGAGTTTTTGTTTCTTAAAGACTTGAAAATCCCTCCCCAATTCACATATTTCGCTGACTAAAACAAATCTGGCAAATCATACACGCTCTTCCTCCTCTTCCCGTATCTTCACCTTCCCATCCTCGATATACGCATTCTCCGTCTTGACCTCCAACCCAGCCTTCTCAAGTTCATTCTTCACGGCCTCACCTCTTTCTCCACCACCAACAGGAATCCATATACAAGAATCAATATCAGGCTGGGCAAGCCAGTTCTGGATTCGTCGTTCGGCATCAACTGCTTGTTTCAGTTCTTCATCGGATATAGCAGGACTTTTTTCAGGGCTACTAGTTATTTCTGGCGAGCTGGCTTCTGGTGAATGAAGGGTTGGAGATTCACTAGCTATTGCAGTGCTGGTAACACTGTTGCCGCTGCCACGTATTCGTGGTAAGGGATTGGCATGAGGGAGGGGGAATAGTTTCTTCAATGACGAGTGCGCCAGCGCAGTATTGACCAATACCTAAATAGAACATACATAGTCAGCTCCGGTAAAGTCAAAGAGATTGCGAAAAATTAAGATCTCGCTTACGATGACTTCCAGGACTAGAAGAGCGACACCCACTTGTCCTCTCAAAGCTACGCGGGAAAAACATGATCAGCACTGGCTAAGGATGTTCTCCTGCTATCAATATTTGGTTTGTATCATTTTCTAGGGGTTTTTGGAAAACTCACAAAACAAGCCAATCATCACGATCTGGTGAATATACAAGCCAACAAAAAGCTGATTCGCTAATATGTTCATCAGTTTGTGCCCTATCTCGGTTGCTGGAGGTGGTGCTAGAGATAATGTGGAAGAAAATGGATGTATTGGTCCATATTTTTGACATCGTTTACAAAACACACAATCTTACCAGCAAAGACGTAAACAAACTTGAAGCAATGAACAATGGTGTAGATTCCAAAGTATAAAGCGACAAAGACGGAAACCAATGGCGCAATGCACATGTATGTAATGCCTATGACTGCCACGAGGGCTGATAAAAAACGGAAAGCAAAGTTAGCCTATGTATAGCTCCATGGAGGATTCGATGATTCGTCTTACCATGATTTGCAAAGAAGACACTTGGTTGAAAGGGCTCTGGCTTTGATGCTTCTTCGACCTCTCTCGCAGTCTTGCTGCTGAAGAGAGGCATCACTTTCCCGATGATCAATCCAAATATATCCAGCAGGTAGCCAGACGGTTCTCCGAATGCTCCTAGTAGTACAAAGTTGACAAAGAAGGTGGAGACTGTCGGAATCGAGGTTGACAGTGATGAGATTACTGATGGTGGATTGTTTACGATGGTGTTGAGGGAGCTAAAGACACTGCTTCCAATAGAAGTCACCAACAGGATGTTGACGACTATGAAAACAAAGTAGCGGACGTTTACTCTTATTTGGATTCGTGATTTTAGGGAATGGCCTTCAATAGTGAGCAACGCTCCCAATATCGTCGGAACTACAAAACAGGTCGTGTCAGTGTAACGCTCCATAAAAGGATACCGTATCTTTCCAACATACTGAGAGAAAAGACAATTGAAACCACAAGTGGAGGCAGTAAACCAGTCAGTAGACCCTTTATGACAGGAGATGCATTCAGTATTGGAGATAGGAATGGCAGTAATTTCGTCAACGTCGGTATATTGGCTATCGAAGCAATGAAGACTGCAAGTATTCCCCATAAAAGAATAAGCACGGCGGTGACACTTTGAGAGGCAAGACGTCTTATCATTATTGTGTAATTTGAAATTTTCAAATTACTCCAGATGATATCTTCCTGGACATTCACGAATCTGTATCGTTTGAAGATATTGGCTCTAAGTGCTACACCTTCGGCGATAGATGCTGCCAACGAGGTTTCAAATAGTAAAGTCGCAGCTGTTATTGGGCTTGGTTCTTTCTCAGGACGCATCTCCTTGAGCAGTTTCTCTATAAGCTTATATTGTTAGCTGCTTTCAATGGATTGAAGAAAATCAGTTTCTTACTCGAGTCATAAGTGAGGGCATCAACCTTTTTGAATCCATCCAGCCATAGCCGTTTCTCTGGCCGTTTCTTGAGCTCTTCATACTCTCCAGACTTTTTATCCTTGACTCCTACAATCATATTTGTTGCTGTATGTTCTATAGCATTACGAAGCTTCTCGACTTTGGATACAGTTTCGAGATTATTCACTACCATGGCTATGGCTGTATACTGTGGACTGAGAATCTTGAAGATCTCAGTTACAGTACTCTGTTTGAATCCCTTGGGTATTCTTACACAGAGAACTGTTCGGTATGCAAGATGTTTGGAAGCCATGATCTTGGAGAACAACTCTTCGGATATGTTCATCAGCACAAAAGCTGCAAAGACAACTAGTGCTGAGAAGATTGTGGAGAAGACCCAAGCCGCCCAGATTGCTTTAGAATCGAGATCCAGATTGGCAATCGTAAGTGTAACGAGTCCAGATACGTTCGGAGCGCTTCCACGGGAGTAAATTGGGATGAGAATGATGGCTCCAAGCAATGCAACTATTGTGAAGACTAACGCAAGAGTTCCTTTGAGAATTGAAAGTGATTTGTGAGATTCTCACGTTTGGTTGAAAGATCAAGATGCTCTACCGTCTGGTAAGCTCGTACTCACGAGTAACATAGATCGTTGACGCCCCTGATGTTGATGATAACCAAGTTAGCGATGTAGGATATGCTAGTGAAGAGGAAGAAGAAAACAATACTCGGAACATACCATCCCAATTTCTTGTTTTCTCAGGATTCTAAAGATCTTGAATCGTTAAATCCCATCAAAATACCATTAAAAGATTCCAAATCACACCTCAAGTGCATCCATTGGTGTGATTCCCAACTTCTTGTTGGGATAGTAAAACTCATCATTCGACTTGAAACGTGATGCAACGATATATCCAGCATAGAAAACAGCTGCAGTAACGAGCGATACAACCTAGTTTCACGTGTTGAGTATGATCAGGTTAGCGATGGAACAGAAATGGCAAGCGGCACTTCATGTATTTATGTTTGGAATGCATGTGTTATACAGCAACATGTCCAGGAACTAGAGCATGGCAATAATGTATCTGATCGAAATAATCGAAAATAAAATTGATAGATCCAGTTATACGTACCAAAGTAGTAACAAATGCGGAAGTTGATACATCGCTATTCGTTTGAGCTGTACTATTCGTATCGCCTATAGAATGGAAGACGCGGATCAATCGAAATTATACATTTGTGATCTTAAACAACAGATATCTTGCCTGAAGACATCGTGATCCACCTTCACCGTTGCCAAGTTTGCGACAAATTCGAATATGTGGGAACGAAGGTCGGATTGAACTTTCCTGAACCCCTGATATTTACGCATATTGTCACGACGCAAATGACCTATTTGAGATATGTGAAGTTTTGCGGCTTTCCGTGGCTTCCGTGGTGCTTTTGACTGTCTCCTCATTAGTCGCTTTACAACATGTCGCTCCCTTCTAAATTGTTTCTATCTATAATTGGGACTGTGTATTTTACAAAAGCAAAGTACTATAGATAACGCTATTCACCGTCAGCTCTGAGTAGTCAGAGCGTGTAGCAGGATGCCAGCTGAAACACTAACGTTCAAGGAATCTACGCGATCCCGATCGCCAACACCAGGAATTATCAAGTGTTCGTCACAGCATTCACTAATACCAGGTCTAGATTCTCAAATTAGAACTGCTCAACATCACAGGAGCTCACAAAGTTCAGCATACCTGATTCCTTCACCTTCAGATCCCAAGACAAGGATCTTTGGTCGATCGTTTACAAGGCGAGTGTCACTAGCCTTAACAGAGATGTGTGTCTTGGAAGATGAGAGATCAGTCCCGTATACATGCCACCCATTTTCCTTGCTTTGTCTGAGAAAGCTACCGAGACCAGAAGTAGAGTGAATTGTCATCATTTCGAGAGCTCCTCCACTGGCTCTCGACACTACAGAACTGAGCGGTGCTGTATCTCGTTCCGTCAAGACTATACAATCAACGCCAAAAAAGTAGGCACTTCGTAAAATGGCTCCCATGTTCTGCGGATCAACCACTTGATCCAAACACAGACAAACAGGCGATAACCCTCTTGACTGATCTGCGAGTAGTATCCTGAATACATCCTTCTTAGAAACGATACCCTCTATATACCATTCAGAGTCCTGCATCACAAAACCGAGGCTTTTTATAGCTGCAGTATGGAATTGGCTGACTTCTAGTACCACTCCTTGATGTGGTCGATCACCAGAGAGTTTGTTCAGCTCGTTCACACTGCATTCTTTTACTTCGACACGTCGTCTTCGAAGATGTTCGGCATAGGGTTTGGCGTCTTTCGTGTCTCTTACGTGCAAGCGATATACTGTTCGATTTTCAGAAATCAAGCAGTTCTGGACCGACGCGTGAGAGTATAGATAGTCTCGTCTATGAGAAAAGTGAATCAGCGTCACGGTTATCAAAACACAGTTTGCAACTCTTGATGTTTAATGACTAGAGCAGACCCCATCAAACGGAACTTACTTGCGAGGAGCTGATGCATAGGTTCGTCTGAATTCCACTATATTTGTAACTTTCTTCGGCCTGTTTGACCGTAAACTGATCGAGCTTACACCTTGCAAACTAGATCAAAAAGTTGACAATTGGTCAATAACATCCACAGACGATGAAACTACAAACAACAGACGAGCAAATCGAAGTCTCTACTCGTACCAAAGTCCTTAATAATCTTACCAGTCTCTTGCAAATCGCAAAGTTTGAACAATACGACACGACATTGCAGCATGAAATTGCACATTTGATGAGCATTTCTGGAAGGGACATGTTCATGCTTGATGTGGCACGACTTGGTGTACATGTGCTATCTGGTGGTGATCTTGGATCACTTAAATCTGAAGAGCTGGCGGACTTGGACGATCAGTCAAGGATCAAGGTCGCAAAGGGCAGGAAAATCATCAACTTTCTGGAAGCTTTGGTCGCTGCTAATGAGAAGACTAGATTGAATCGAAACCACATTGCTCCTCCAGAGGTTGGTTATGTTTCCAAGCTTCAGGTTGATTTCAACACCGTTGCTGACTTCAACAACATAGATGATACCTCTTGTTAAAGAGCTCATTGCACACTATTTACGAATTGGAATGCTCGACGAGGCTTACCTTCGTCTGCAGCCATTCACGGATCTGAATCCGTTCTCGGAAGATGCTGGGATATTGGGTCTAATGGGGCTCATTACTTTCCGGTTGTGGAAGGCACGCTGGGATCGTCGGTTCGACGATGATATTGCTCTTCCAGGTAAGTTAAAAAGATGGGCTTTCTCTAGACGGTATTCGCCAACGCACAACTTCGGTTTTTTTTAAGCCGAACAAGTACAGTACTATAGTGAGGCTATTGTGTTTTTCGAAAAGTCCTTTGCCATTGACACAAAGCGTGTCAACTACATGTCTTGCTTCATCGAGGTATGAATATTACAGCTTTTCATCTCATGACGAAAAAAATCACAAACTAATTCCTCACCATAGATGCTGAAGGCATCGAACCCAAGCCACCCAGACATCCTGCCACTTCTACGATCAGCCCTGCAAGAAGACGAATCCAACATTGGCATTCTCAAGCTCCTTGTCAACCACCACCAACAGATTGGCTCAGATGCTAAACGAGTCGCTCCACTCGTAAAAAAATGGCTCAAAATAGACCCTATGGCAGATGAACCTATACAGCTGCTTTCCAACCTTGTACCGGAATTGGAGAACAGGTTGTCTTATTTAGAAGCACTGGCCATACGAATTGAATACGGTGCTGACGACAAGTGGGTGTGGGCTGCATTGGCTTCTGAGTTGGGTCATAGCATGTATGTGGATTGTTTTAGCTAGTCTGAGATATTGAGTTATAATAACTTGCGTGATCGTTATAGAAATGAAGGAACTTTTGATGACTTTTGGCAAGATCGTCAAAACTGGTGGCCTCGTTATTTGTATTCACTGCCTAAAACACCTGGTGAAATTCGTTATGGTCAGCTGTTTGTTTTCACGTGTATGGCTTGTTCACATTGATTGTTACTAGAAATTGATGTTTTGAAGGGTATCGTAGCCATAATTCTGTTTGGTGAAGAGTATCCGATGCTGAATTGGGTGAGTATACGTTGTTCCAAATACGATTTCGTGTCGCTCAAGACTGATAACAAATCATTTGCATAGCCTCAGCGATGTCATCTCACTTGGCCTGTGGATTCTGATACTGAGGAACTTATGGCTGCTCTCGACATAAGACCTGAACAACTTTTTGGTGATTGAATTTGATATTGATCTGTAAAGCAATTTAGTATAGTCCTGTTTAATGTGTAAATCCAGCACCTAATCAAACAATAATATAAAGCTTCGCAGTACGCAACGGAATGCTTTTACAGTTTTCTTTGTCAGGACGCGAAAGCAAAGAAACAAACATCAAGCCTTCAAACGGTACGTGGCAACGTCTGAAATGGCCGACGTAGTACTCGATGCGTGCATCCTCTTCCTCCAGCCCACAGATCTTGGCAAGTGGATGACAGTTTGTCGATCTTGGAAGGAGTTGATTGAATCTGCCGTAAGCTGTTGTATGCGTCTTAACCAAAAAGTCAGCCCGAGCTCAGCTTTTTTATAAATTAGAACCGTAGATACTGGAGACGTTATGCTCTTCAACGGTGGAAGCACTGGACGTTTAACATCAACGACGAGAACGTCGAACGTGTTTGGTTGCAACAATATGCCAGACGACACAACATTGATAAACAAATTTGTCGATTATTGGACCTAATCGTGACGAAATCGAGGGCTCGCTATGAACGATTCCATGAAATCGCTCGTTATACCGTGGAAGGTGAGTACAGACACTACACTTGCTGCAAGAGATAGTTCGCTAACACTTAATCAACAGCTAGAGACATCCTAGACGCTCCATACCCAGAATCACAAACTCTCAGCCGCATGTTTCTAGTCCCCCGAATCAAGGCACTCAACGAACGAAGCATCGCATTCTCAACCTTATACAAGATCAGTTCAAACCCACACGCCAAGAATCCGTCCGTATCATTGGAGGAAGCCGTCTGCATGTTCTCAAAGGCGTTTACGGGAGGTGCTGATTACGGTGATGTGAAAAGGGAGTTGGATCGTTGGGCTGAATTGTCGAGACCCATTGTGGAGAATATACCAAAGGAATCCAGTATTGCGAGATTGATGGCGTTGAGGCATTATTTGTTTAGTGATGGGCCGTTAAGGCCGGTTGGTGTAAGCTATATCGCTATGTGTGGTGTCATGGTCAACAATGCTCAACTATTTGTTGTTTTTTTAGAGTGAGGACTACTATCAATACAACAATTCATTCATTGACCGTGTATTGAGTGGAAAAAACGGTGGTATACCTATAATGTTAGCTCTGATTTTCCAATCAATTGCTAAACGATTGTGAGTAGACATATCCAGCTCCCTTTTTTACGCCCATGTGTTCTCACAAACACATTTATCGTTCAAAAACAGAGGTCTACAAGTCGACTTGATATCCTTCCCAGGCCATTTCCTTACCCGTCACAAAAACCACTACATTGACGTGTTTGATGGCAAAGTGAGGACGCGCCAAACTATTATCCAAACATTACGAGACTTAGGATACCCAATCGTCCCAGAAGTCATGGATGCATGCAGTGATTTCACGGTTCTTCAACGAGTAAGTGTTTCCAGCATCTTCAACCTTCACCATAATGCTCACATTCGCTCCAACCAGATGATATCAAACTTTTATGAAATAGGACGCCGCTACATCGGCACACCACCACGACCACTTTACACTACAATGTATGTGGTCGGTGCTCTCGGACGCATGTTTCTGGGTGACCGTCAACCCGTCGACGATTTCGAGCTGGCGTTAATCAAGGCCGCACCAGAAGATTCGTATTACTGTACCAAATATTTCGCGTGTCCGAATATGGAGAAGATTTTACGGGTTGCTGATTTGGAGGATTCGTTCAAGGTGCTGCCGAATCCGACATACGGGATTCCGCTGGGGAGTACTGTTAGAGTTAGTGGTGCGGAGAGTGGTGAGGAATATGGTGTTGTTGCCGGTGAGTCTTCCACGATATGAGATTGTTTTGCATGGGGAACGAGTCGCTAACTCAATTTACATAGCACATGTTGCAACACCAATCAACAAGAAATACTACTGTGTAATGACGAATGGACTCGCCGAATCCATACTCGAATCCAACCTAAAAGTCATACCAGCAAATCCAGAAATCTTCAAAGACGTTACAGCACAGCTCGGGATGTATTTCTTTAGGTTTGATGCAAAGACGCAAATGTATATTTCAAATCCTGAAGCTACTGGGCCGAGAGCTATTGATATGGATGAGATGAAGTATTGACATTGGCCAAGTCTGCTCCGAAGACTACTGTAACATAGCTGTAAAGCCCAGTTGATGATGTGTGTAATTAATACAAATTTAATTCTGATACAAAATAAAACAAATCTCATTTCTATATCGGTGCCAAAGTGATTCCAAGGGATGCATCCGGCCTGGTTTGAATCACTATCTACCAATTCAATTATTTCAGCTTCCATATCAATAAAAAACCATCAGCCCTGTCATTGTATGCATGCCTTACGAGTCACACTTCTCCCTCTAAGCACCCCCAGCGAATCCACGCATACTCATAAGCGGCATCATGAGCATGTTCTGAATTCCCACTACTCGTATTCCTATGCTCTTCCACGCCGCCTGTTGTATTCCGCGCTCCCCTAGGAGCTTCCTCATCTCATGCTCGTAAGGTAAGGATCGACTGCAATCGGTTTTGCAACACGTCCCGTCGTCCTCTCAGTAAACACGACACGAACAGTTCTGTGAAATCAATGGCAATAAGTAGATGCTGAGTGCTTCCTGGACAGAGTAGCCGAATGGTGGTGTTTATGTTACTGTTGTCCTTCCATCACCCAGCAGTCCAGAATACACGAGACAGAATACATAATTGCACACAGCATTACCAGGGCTGTTGCCGGTAGCTCTAGCATTGAGTCCAAGATGCAGATAAATTCGTCGGTAGCAAAATTCCATATAATTTCCGATGTATTCCATGTGGCACATTGGCCGAGAGCAGGAAATGCTGATGCGATGAAAATCCTGAAAAATAAATCTCATCACAAAGACTCTGTAAAATCAAATTCAAATCAAAGCAGCGATTCAAGTGATGCCAATGTTAGTGTAATTAATGCAAATCAATCTCGATACAAAATAATACAAACTGTACTCTATATCGGTGTAATGTGGTCTTTGAATTGCGATCCGTCCAGTGAGAAACTGCGTGATGACAGCGTCCGCGACGTAAGCCATGTTGTTCCATCACCTAATAAAAGAAAGTTGTCAAACGATTACACAAAAACGAAAAGAGATGAAAAAAATATGTAGAAACAACTGTTTTGCGACTAACCTAACGGCGGCACCCGCATAGGCAGCAAAATAGTCCACCACTTGTACTTTTTACCAATGTTGAAGAATATGGCAAAGTTACGCCGTCTCCCGAGATCGTATTCGTTGATGAAGACCTATGCGAATAAAAGGGCTCAACTCTGCTGTATGCATAACTTAAAGTTCAATATGATCTTACCTCTCCACGAGCTCTAGCAACTTTATTCAGGTACTGATTCTCATAAAACTCGATTGTAGTTTGTGCTACAAGGGGTAAAGATCCATGTCAGAGCTGCATTAATATTACTCAATTCATACGACCTCACCAGTAAGTATGAGGAAGGTGTGAAACGACACCAACAGAGCCAGCGCAATACTAATGGTTCCAGCCAACAAGAACGAAAACAGGAACATCACTGCCCAATTCGCTGACGGCCACGGTATCTACAAGAGAAGAATGAAGTGAGGAAGCCAAACCAAAAAAACCCAAATACATTCTGCCATGATGCACTTACTGATTCATGCTTGACAAACGCTGCCCAGAACAGATTAAATCCACTAATGAAATAGTAGACTGCTGCAAACAGCAGGTAGCACATAAATAGGTAGAAATACCGATGGTTGAAGTGGCCGACTATTTGATTGTTGGTGAAAAAAAGGAATCAACTTCCGTCGTGGGATTGCAAGCGATGGCATTAACTTTCAACATTCATACCACATCTAAAAACATGGACAAGTTAGCGGGGCATCCAAAATCGGGGCGATACAATCAAATCGTACCTTCCAACCCACTACAGCAACCAAGTCAAGAACAATTCCAAGTCAGGTTAGAAACAATTCGACTCTGCAGTCAGCAATGGCGCTGTGTGCTTACCGGACAGTGGTGATCTAGCCTCTTCACACATCTAAGGGCAACCAAAAAAAGCGGATTTAGAGCGTGTTGGAAGACGTTGCCCATTCCACGTTGAACTCACTTTTTACAGATACTACAGTGATGCGTCCTCTCTGGTTTAGGGCCATTACCTAACATTTTAGATCTATCAGCTTCCGTTTCTTTACGTAGCAAAAAAGCCCTCATCTACAGCAACGTACACTTTTTACAAGTTCTCATACTCCTCTCTCCCTCCCCAGCCGATCCATTCGTACTCATAAGCGGCTCCATGAGTATCGTATGCTCTGAATTCCCATTACTCGTATTCCTATGCTCGTCCTCATGGTCATGCTCATGAGGAATGCGACTCTCCAACTGTTTCCTCAGCACATCCGTCCCTCCCGCATCTGTAAACACGACACAGGCATAGTTCTGTGCTATGAGAAGCAGCACATAGATACTGAGCGCGATCTGGAAGTAGTAGCTGAATGGCAGACTCTGATTGTCCTGATTTATAACTTTTGCACCATCGTCCAATTTAGTCAAGAAGCCGTATTCCCATGGCAGCAGCACGAGATAGAATACATAAGCACAGAGCGTTACGAGTGCTGTTGCTGACACTACTAGTATGGGGCCTAGGATCCATATGAAGCAGTCACCAGCAAACTCCAGGCAGGTGCCAATCTTGTTCCATGAGGAAGCTGCCAGGATCTTCTGATACAGATGATGAGGAAATAGGTTAGGAATGTAAATCAAATTGTGTATAATGTGGCGAGAAGCTTATTGACAAACCATTGCGTGAAGCCTTGCAAGTCGCTTGTAAAGTTTTTGTGGAGAAATCGAAAGTTGAAGGAAAGCTGAAATTGTGCGGTGATTCGACGCGAAAGGGAGGGCATTCAACGCGATTTAGATACTAGATTTACATGTATTAGTACATATGTTGCTCATCTAAGCTCTACAGAGTACTGCTGTACAAGCTTCTGTCTTATTATTTCGTGAATAGAATCACACTCTTCATTTGTCAATGTCCTATGTGAGACTGCATAATTAGCTACTATCCTGAGTATACATCACGTTGAAACTCTTACCGATCCAGTGATCGATAGTTGATTCGATAGCAATGACTTGTCCGCTTTGTTTTCGGATGTTGGAAGGAATCAATCTATGTCACAGCAAAAAACTTGGTTCAGACCGGATTCGAATGTGTTTAGCGACACCGCCACTACCAAACAACACACATACCAGCGTAACATCCTCAACCAAATCACCACCAGCATCCCTCACAATCTCCATCACCTCGTTCTGAGGAACCTCTTGAGATCCCATCCAAAACGAAACATCTTTATAGCACGCTGGATATCGTGATATTGGCACGTATTTAGGTAGTGGTTTTCCAGGTATCACACGTTTGAATTGATCAGTGACGCGTGGATCTTGACTCCAAAAGAGACGAATGTCAGGAATGTTGAAGAGTGGCATGGCGATTCGCTCGAGACCTAGGCCAAATGCCCATCCTACTTTGTCAGAGTTGCCTTGTTTGGGGGAGAGTGTTGGGTGAGAAATGGTTGATTTAACCCAAAAAAAAAACTCCTGAAAGATAACGCTGATGGAACGATGCACTTTCTTCGTTCGTTAAGCCAAAGACTGTCTGATGTGCTTCATCTGAAAATGTCATGCTCATTGCGAAAGAAAAAAAGCAAAGCTTGCAGTATAACAGGAGAAGTATGCGCCGCTCACACATCTCCATCTCATCACACAAGACATTACCCCATTCACCACACTTGAGTTGTCCACTCTTGGGTACAAACCCACTCCTTCCAAATGATCAAATTGCTTGTACTCGTACCTGATCTATTCACAATCTCCTGCCTCGTAACCCCACATCCAAATACCTCCAGCCATTTCCCCTGATACAGCACCTCCATCTCCCAGCTCGGAGACGTGAATGGGAAGTACGCTTCAATCCACCGCACCTGTAACGTCTGTCCATCCAATTCATGTCTAAACAATTCAATAAACAGGGATTCAAGACTCTTTTTCAAATGCATGGCCAGCAGTTCCGATTCTCGAGCTGTATGGTGACCTTGTTGGATTGGGTTTGTTGGTCCAATAGTCGTGTCGTCTACAAACGTAGCGATGGTGCGTCCTTTCGAGTCTACGAGTGTTGGGTTTGGCATGCTTTTAGAAATCTCAGACTCGAGATTATCTCGTGAGAATATACGAAGCGATTCCATCTGATGGAATATCGGGTAGTGCGATATGTTGATCTCGTCACGTCTGTATACATCTGCACTCAACAAGTACTTGTCTGCTTGCTTTGACGACAGGACTTCTAATTGATGGTTTGATGTATGTGTCCGCAGTATATTGTCCTTGTTTATGTAATACGTGTCTGTGGGACCTTTAGATGGATGATCTGTCGGAAACAACAGGTCGTCAAAGTTTTTCACAAGGGTTGTTACAGGGGTGAAGGAGTCCATTACGTGGAAGTCGTTAAAGTGGGATTCTATGCGTTTCTTTAGGATGTTGAGTGGATTGTGCGGTTGTCGGTGTATTTGGCGAGGGATTTTGGATAGCAGGGTTGGAGTTATGTTTGTGACTCCATCTGGTTGGTACTTTTGACCATAGATTTCGATTGTTTCCGTAGCTGTGGATGTAAAATACATGAGTTGGAGTGATATAGGCGAGTGGTTGGCGATGCAAAACGAGCTCTAATGTAACTATTGTGTACCTTTTGTTCGAGCTTGTATTCGAAGATACAGAGCTTGACCTATAGTGAATATATTAGTTTCTTTTATATTCTAAGTAGCTCTAGACAATGATCTCCAGAATAAAATAAAGCTCACTGCGATAGCTTTACAAAGCTTTGAAGTTGCATCAAATGTTGCCTCAAACACGTCCAACCTCATCCCACAACAGGTTTAAGATGCACAGTTACCGTTTTTTCATCAATGAAAGCTGATGAATTTTTGCTCCTTCCAGCCTCAAACAGCCTCATCACCACAGAACACCACACATTCATTCTCAAATACAAAAGTCACCTTAACACCAAAACTTACGCGTTCCATACCCAGACACGTGTCTCACACACGTACAATTAGCAAGCATAATACACGCCTTCCCCTCCCTTTCGATCCAGACTCTCTCCTTCCTAAAATTTGTATTGACACGCTAAAACAAAAAAAAATCAACTCATCCGAACAGACATCAACATATACCCAAATAATAATGCAAAGAATCGCACAACGAGCAGCCCTGGTGTCATCCCGACGAGCACCATGCCAATCTGTAATAATATCACAGACATCTGCTATGCAATGGAGCTCATTGAGCGTCAGTCAACGACGATGGCAGACAACTGAAAAACAATGGCAGACAACTGAAAAACAATCGACGGAGGAGACTACTACTACTGCTGCTAGCAAGGAGGCTGCTCCGGCTACGGAGGAAGAAAAGTTTAAGGCGGATTTGGTCAAGAAGGATAAGCAGATTGCTGAATTACAGGTGTGTAAAGACATCAAAGTGTTGGGAGTTTGCATCGCGTTTAAGATGCATTGTCTGGATATTTCATGTCGTTTGGCTCGTATCATTCGAATCTCTGACCTCGCAACGAATGTACATATATCTAACATCATCTGTCTTTTCACCCAGGATGCATTCAGACGCTCACTCGCAGAACAAGAAAACCTGCGCCAACGCACCCGCAAAGAAGTAGAGTCCGCATCAGTCTACAGCATCCAGAAATTCGCCAAAGATATACTGGAAACCGTCGACGTCCTCGGCATGGCTCTCAACGCAGTCCCCGCATCAGAACGTACCGAATTCTCAGGTGTAAAGCCATTCAAAGACTTGTATTCCGGTATATCCATGACAAGGATTGAGCTGCTAAAGACATTGAAGAGACATGGGGTGGAAAGCTTTGGTGCGGTTGGGGATGTGTTTGATCCAAATATTCATCAGGCGCTCTTCCAGGTGCCTGCGCCAGATAAGGAGGCTGGCACGGTTGTGAGTGTGCAGAAGGAAGGGTTTATGATTAAAGACCGAGTCCTGAGGCCAGCCCAAGTCGGGGTCAGTAAAGAGTAGAAGACACAGTCAAGTAGATATAATATATTCCCCAATTTTGTTGTTTGCATCTTGGCCTTGTGCTGCATAAGAAAATAGAATGTCTCCTGCACTCAGTATAACAAGTGTGTGAAAGTTTATGCTATCTATATGTTCATATTACAAATGCGCTTACAGGTAATAATGCTATATACGTGCTATATGCTCTTATTCTCATGTACTTGACGTCGATTGAGACGTGGTGGGCCTTGATTGTCTCAAGAGATTTGATAACAGATTATCTGCTTCTTTGACCTAACAAAGAACAAAAAAGCTGAAGTTACAGACACAAGATTCCCGTCTAGTCGGCGAATTAGCAGATCATACGATACCTTGGATAAGACATCACTTGATGCGATTCTCGACGTTGTGGGTGAACTCTTGCTTCCTGAGCTCAGCAAGGAATCCAACGTAACCTGCCATCCTGTTTTGCCCGTGTAGCCTTTCGATATCCATGGACAGAATGATCTAAAATCAGCATGGTTAGTCGCGTGCCAAAAAAATTCATTTTATACATGCACTATGTCTCGCAAACATGTACCGATGCTGAGACAAGACATCAAACGATTCAGCATCATCCTCAACATCATCAATCTTGACTCGTTTAGTCCTAGGTGCAGAACTAGTACTACCAGGCACGACAGATTCAAAGTTCCATAGTCCTGCACTCCTCATACACAACAAGCATTTAGCGAATCGTAGACCTCCTTGCTCCTCGGCTAGCCATCCATATAGTGATAGCGTTATACACGACTTTTCTACGTCTAATATCGTCGAAGTGGTTGTCGTTGTAGTATGATTGTGTATTTGGGCGATGGTGTCTTGATCAAGTGAACAAGCAGTTTGTGGGATGCTGGAGGGTGGTAGAGCCACAAAACTCTTGAATCGGTTTTGGAAGGCACTTCGTGTGCTAGATGATGACTTTAAAGGGAAACGGTACAAAGACTCTAGGGTTGAAAGCACTGTGAGTTGGCCAAAAAAAATAAACGCAGCATACCATCAATAGCAGTCAATCTCCAAATACAAGCACGCCCATGCTGACTCGTTAATTGTTCCACGAATTTAGATGTCATGGCCTTGACTATGATCAGAAATCATCGTGGTGAGCAAAAGCAACAAAACAAGCTCGTAACGTACAAACTGGAAACGAGTTTACCTCCATCGTCATCAAGCAACGTATTGAATGCACATATCAAACGATGCTGGCATTCTGTACATGCTAGAGTATCAGCAGCGTGGTTGATCCATCCATGTCGAGCACAGGTCACAGGTGATAGATCGGTTGGTTTGTTGAACCACGTCAACTCGTAAAGAATTCGTATAAGTTACTCGTTTGAGTAATTTGTAGCAAATACATCAACGTGGAGACATATCTTAAAAGTGGATAAGCGAGCAGCTAGTCCATCATCCGATAATTTGATGATGTCGTTTTCTGTGACATTACCATTCAGTGCGGTTGAAGCTTCGTCCAATTGTCGTTTCGTACGTGTAGACATTGGATTTTAGGCAGTATTCTCTATAGCAAGAGTGTGAGATGTTGGTCAAATTGTCAGGAAAAGCTTGAAATCGTGCTTGTTTGTGCATCGCAGCGAAGAAACAAGGGATTGAATAAGGACTTACGTGATACAGAGGTCAAATTCACGCTGTTCAAGACCGCGTGAATAGGGTAGGTCAAGTTCTGCCTGCCTCTGAAGAATGAAAAGATTGATATTCCTAAACTAGCCTGTAAAACCACGGATCTGCTCTGTGACAAGAATTTCGAAACTTTCTGCATGAACAGAGCCAGAAGAGACCTTTCTGGATCAGAAATGTCTTCTTATATGTTCATTCTCCTAGTCAGCTCCTTTCAAATCGAACTCGCAACACCCAACTCGAAAAGCACAGATCTCCTTGATTCTTGTCCGTCACAAGTTGGCAACGGTTATAAAGAACCCTGTCTTGATCAAGATGTCATCTTCTTTGTCTCTAAACTGTCTAAACTACGGAATGTTTGCATCTGATTTCCGACAATCACCAAACCTGAGAAACATCTGCCAGGTCATCAATCCCAGCGGCCTCGGACACACCTTCATACAAATCGCTCACGGCTACTAAGAAGAGTGGTCATGCTGGATTAGTAGCTCACATTCTGATAGTATCCAATCAAGATCCGGCGGCTGCTTGGACATTCGGGTGATGAGGATATAGAAAGATAGTTCCATTGGTTTTTTATATTGCACCTGCGGGGATTTGACCGAGTGGTTAAGGTGTTGCGTTCAGGCCGCAATTTGGAAACAAGCACGAGTTCGAATCTCGTAGTCCTCACTTCTTTTTACCCCGTGACACAAACTCAGCACAAATAGGTGGGCCTTTTTGCTAGGGCATCGACGGTCACAGCTTTACTATGAGGTGGTTGATGCTGTGTCGGAAACTTTGATACCATTCAGGATTGAGTAAGACGGGTACCAACAGCAGGGCTTCATCTGGGCCTTTGCTATTGTGGCATCGACGTCACAGGACTTTTCTGCGACGTGGCTGACGGTGTGTAAACCAATAAACCCTGATACCATTCAGCATTGAGGGGGACGGGTACCAACAGCAGGGCTTCGTGAATAACACCTAAGGAAACATCAGGTGTCAGATACTAGTACGTGATGTATCACTGATATATAGACGATTGCTCTACGGTACCATCTCTTCGAGCGACCTTGCTTCAAATCTTTCCTCCAAAGAATTCACAACATCCTCTCACATTTTATGGATTTTGCCTGCTTTCTCTCGCCTCCAAGGAACGAGATGGATTTTTTGGCTGCTTTCTCTACGCCCCAATGGAAGTATACCAGTCTAGTAGGTCAGGAAGTAGTGGAGGCTCCAGGGGTCCAAAAGCTTGCCGGTCAACTTCACATATTGGAGCCAAACTGCCAGAACTGAGCTCGGAGCACCAATAGAACACTAGCTACTTAACGAATCAGGTTATCTCAGATCTATCAGAGGTGGTTTCTGAAGTTCGGAACGTTCGCTCTTGTGTATATGTCTTTGGGATTGTCATGACCGTATAATCACCATTGAACCTGATACGTTCGAAAAAATGGCATGCAAAGAGAAAGGAAATGGGTAAAGAGGGAGGATTGGAATCGTGAGAAATGGGAACTGCCAAGGCTGTTTTGTCTAGATGTATGGCTTGTAATTTTGTTGGCCTTTGTCCATGCCACGCACTGAAGTTCATGTGAGCCAGCAAATTGATGAATACAAGAATATGAAATATGAATGAAATTACGAGTGAATGTGCTTTTTGATCTTCCAGTTCGTGCTAATGATACGCCAGCAAAGAGTGCTGAAGCTCTGCAAACCCCAGTGGTGACCTTGTCAAACAAGCTTCCACAACAGATGGCAGAAGGGAACTATAGAGGTTGCATTGCTCGTCCATAATCTTACATATAACATCGCCGAACTAGGTAGGTGCCATCTTCTTATTGGTCAGAACAAGGCAGTCTTCTGTTTTGCACACAATCCAAACGCCTTGTTATAAGCTTATTTTCTTACAGCCAGTACATTAGATTAATAGTGTTAAGAGCATATATTTACACTCATGGAGGCCACTCTTCTTGCCCAGATTGATGAAGGTAAACCGAAGCAAATTCCAGCAGCATCATTTGTTACATTTTCTGGGATATTTTTGGGCGTGTCATCTTTCGAGCTCTGAAGAAACAAGCAACCCCAAATAATCACCATTCATAGCAATCTCATTATTCTCTCACTTTATTCGCTTCTAAACAGCTTGCTACCGCTTGTACAATCCTCGAGGCCCAAATGATCGACTTGCTGCTGAACAAGTCTTGTCGCCTCTCTTCCCTACTTTTGCTGAATCTACCTTCGGAACCGTATCGAATGCAAACCCATCTGTACCTACAAGCCCATACGAAACTGTCATACATTGTGAAATGGTCTTGGATCAATCCTCCTCGCCATACGCTCACACTTTCGTGACGGGTCATCTCAAGACGCTCGTGGCTGGTCACTTTGCTCTCTTTACTCCGTCACAGAAGATTGAGCTGAGTATGTCATCAAGTGGTGGCTGTGAGATCAGTTATGCGTAGTATTAACCATGATCGTTTTTGCCCTCAAGGAAACTTTGTATTGAACTTCCTGGGTCGAAATGTCAATATTCCTCAATTTGTGGAGACAAGTCTAGCACAGCTATTCTGTATTGTTACGAAATTGGGATGGTTTAATGATGAAGTCTTTCGAGAGGCTCTCAGTGATGTTTCTAGATTTAGTACAGTGAGTTTGCAACGGAGACAAAATCTTTGGTGCAAATTCAATCATTCTTACAGAGCGTCTCTACTGTAGGCTTCATCACACCATCAAATCATTGGTGTCCAGATATTGGGCTTGCTGGTGGCAGAGATGAATCAACCGTCATCAACAAAAAACATGACACGGCATCGAAAAACAGGTATAGACTCGCATCTGATAAAGATACATTGTTATTGATGCTTACGCGGCGTTTCTTAATCAATAGCCGTCAATTTTCGTGATACGCAATTGATGAACATATTCCAGATATCCCTGACTGTGCTGAAACAGTTGGTTACCAAACAGATTCGAATAGAAAAACGTATGTTGCACCAAAATGTACGCTTGATGCTAGAAGAATTTAATCACATAGTTGATTATTAGTGGCCGATGAATCAAGGATGCAGGAAGCAGTATTGACTTTGATGAGGAATTGTTTACAATTTGATTTCATTGGTATGCGTGTTTTGAATGTATCGTAGATTGTAGCTACACGCAAACGGGCTAACTGCTGTGAATGTCTTTAGGAACGAATCCTGATGAATCGTCTGATGACGTTGGAAGCATACAAGTGCAATATTCCCTCTTGAGGTTCAACCCGTTGCTTTATCTTTACTGACTCCTATTTTGTTTACAGCTCCCAGCACAATGGCAACCACTGATATGTGATGGCGATACTCTCCAAACGATATACGATGCATATAAATCATTCCCATCACCACAATCGAGTATTGCTATGGAATGTCTATCCATGCTTTCGTCAACAAGGCGATCCATATTCTCTGACGAAAACAGAGCCAAGTTCTTGTCGTGGGTGTTGGATGCTACAGGTGATACTTTAAGGACTCAGGTTGGATTGGGGGATGCCAACAATTATCATGGTAAACCTTTTGGGTGCTGCATTGCAGTGATAATCCAATCTTCAGAAGGATTCGCGGTAATGTCTGTTATTTTGCTTAGAATTCTGTCGAATGCTCGCTCGCTTGAAAATGGTGCATCAGCTGGCGGAGCTGGCAGACAAACCGCAGTTTCCAGATTGGATTGAAATGGTGACAAGATTCACAATCAAGAGTTTTGAACCAGCTAATGTAAGTTCGGTTGTGTAGAAGAATTTGAGTCCGTTTTTTCGCGTGCGACCTTTTATTTTCTGACATGTTGTTATTTGTAGTGGAGGACACATAGTGTTCTCTATTTGATGCAGTTCTGGGCTCGCATGGTCGCCACATTTCCAAGCACTGGTAGTGGGCAGAAACAGATGCCATACGAAAAATTAGAGAATATGACACTTGAGGTACACTTTGCAAAAGAAACCATGTTTTCACTCTTTGAGGCTGATGAAGAATCCGTGTAAACTTCAGGTGACGAAAGGCTTCATTGAGTCCAGGATACAATCTGTCGATGCTGGAGTCGAAGATGATGGAGGTATACAATCCATTGCAGCTTACGACGTGGACCTCGTTTTGCTCAAAGACTAAACCATACTTGAATATAATTAGGCTTATTTTCGGGTGATGAAGGCTCCCTATCATCAATCCTCGAACATTTAGCTAATATGGCGAGATTAAGATACGAAGATTCAAGTGCTTTCATTGGCAATGTTTTTGAAGCACTAGCGAGAGAATATCAAGATGCCATAAAGATTGCTTCAAGTGGAATAGTTTCAAAAGAAGTCAAGGCTAGATTAGATACAGTAGAAGGTATGCAGACCTTGGAGGGTTGTTAATATCTCGATGAGTTGCTGACAATTGTTTTGTATAGCGAAATTTACATGGTGTGTACATATAATGGGAGCATGTATATGTGCGAGGTAAGAACCATTAGTGCCTTGCAATAGTGTTTCTTTTGCTCATACACTCGTATTTGTTAGGACGCCGTATCAGGTATCAAATATCAATCTACTGCATTTGTCTTTCTCTAACTGGAAATCATTGTGACGCTGATTTTATTTACAATCACTTAGAGTGCAGAAGAGCACGATTTCATTGATGGAGGCAAGCTCATTGCGGTTATGTTGCATTTTCTTTATGGCTCACATTCATAACACTTTTAGATTTGGTGAGCAAGATATTTCAACTCATGAACGTCAATCAAACATGGGTTGGACAAAGCGGAGCTGCCTTTGGAAACGAGAAGCTGGATTTGAGCTTTGTTTATTTCTTCCAGCAATTCAGAAAGAGTTATATATGTAAGCCTTGAGCATTTCTCTTACACCCTTTTTTGGAAACTTCATCTCACACGCAAGATGTCTCACGAATAGCACTTGGAGAGAGTGTACAGCGACAGTCCAAAGTGTACCAAAGGCTTCAAGAAGTATTCAATTTGGGAGATCAGAACTCCGTGTTGAATGTGATTGTTCAGAAGCTGTAAGCTTTTGATTTGGTTGCACATTTGCATCGTTGCATGACATCGTACTCAAGTATTTTTTTGTCTTTTTAGAGGACACAATCTTAGATTCTGGGCTCATAGCCAGGGCATTATCAAGGGCACCTTGGAGTTGTTGCAGGACTTGGCTAGTGGATATAGTAGTGTCAAGCTCCTACGCAAGGCAGAAACCACCCAACTCATCCTTGCCAACCACAACTCTGACAATTTCCCATTCTTGAACGTCCCTGCAAACTTTCCATCGCGTGTGCTAGTAAGTTCAGTACACGTCGTTTCATGAATCATTGGAGATACGACATCTAATGCATGGAATCGTTTTTCTCTCCGCTAGTACTACTCAGCGTTGTGTCGGCTCCTGTTTGCATCTGACGATGATCAGGACGTACAATTCTTTGAGTTTGTGAGTCCCTGGACGAGAAGATTCGATGAATTCTTACCAATTATCGATATATCTGTGTATAATCAACCACAGTGTAGGGTAAGCCATGTGTCTGATGCCTCCACATTTGCTCCCTTTTTTCTCCGTCCGTTCTCACTCTCAAATACCATAGACAATGCTTGAAGGTCTCTTCAGAGATTTACGAGGCTTCGTCAGTGCCTGCAGCACAAAACGCCAATATATGCTATTTTTCGACTGGTTTTATCCCTACTCTCCCGTGCTGATTCGAGGACTTGAAGCCAACTATGACCACCCTTGTGCACAAGCCATTCTCAAATTCTTTAATGAATTTGTGCAAAACAAGAGTCAGCGGTTGAACTTTGATATATCATCGCCAAATGGGATACTCTTGTTTCGTGAAACTAGTCGAGTGATTTCTACTTATGGTAAAGAAAAGACGGTTCATGAGTCGTATATCATCGATAATGGTACTGATACGCTGATCTCTCTTATTCTAGGTCGATTGGCACTTTCACGAACTGTTATGGATGATAATGCCAAATGGACTCAAAAGTATAAGGGATTCACGATGTGTTTGTAAGTGCATTGACACGTGTTTGACTGCATCGACCAGGATTTTGATCATTTTCCCCCTCTACTTAGCAACATCATACGGTGGTCGTTATCAGGCAAATACGTCAACTTTGGAGTCTTTGGCTTGTATGACGATCCTGCATTGAGAGATACCCTCGACGTCATCTTCCAACTCATGTTGTCTACACCACAATCTGATTTGTTACAATATCCTAAACTTGCTGTTGTATGTTTTGAGTGATGTCACAGATGGGGGCTGTATCCTTCCTTTTCTTTGTCCGTTACAAAAATCACTCACAAATACGATCTTTGTAGGCATTCTTTGCATTCCTGGACATATTCTCATCCGAACAATTGCAAAGTCTAACCGACTTGCCAGCACCTGCATTTACATACATATTACGAGCATCAGCAGAAGGATTACGTTCACTCGACACGATGATATCGTCGCAAGCATGCTCAACTATAGACCATATTGCCTCGTATGTATTCAAGCAAACTGTCACTGGCAAACCATCGAATCATTTCTTGGTGCAACGAGCACAAGAAATACCAAGCATGTTCCCACACTTGTTGATGAAGTTGTTGGAAGTGGTATTGTTTGAGGATTCGCCGAATCAATGGAGTTTGAGTAGGCCTTTGTTGCCTTTAATATTGTTGCAAAAGGAGGTAAGAGGCTTGTGTGTGGTGTTCGTCGGTGGTGGTAGCACCTTCTGATGATGGTAACTCACCATAAGTCATAACTTGACGATAGCATTTTAATTACTATACTGCTCAATTGGTGTTAAGTCAGCTACCAGAGCGTCAAGAGATCTTGAGCAAGGTAATGCCTCAAGTATTCGGTGTTTGTGGTGAGCTTTTGTTGTCTGGGGAATTGATCTCACACTACCGTTGCTTCAATTGTATCACATGACAGGCACTACAACAACTGATGGAAGGGGTCGAATTCAACCTTTTACCCAAAAACCGTGATCGATTCACTCAACAATTACTCAACTTTCGTCGGGAAATGTCGAATAATTTCGTTGTTCTGCTGTCTCTACCGCAGAACGGGAATCTCCAATTCTAGAACGGGAGTGAAATGATTCAACGAGGATGGAAGCTGGTCTTGACCAAGAAAAAATATAGTGTACACAAATGGACTTTGTTCCTGCTATTAGAATCATCTAGTGAAGGAATTAAACACCATAAAAAGACCTTGCATATAAACGAAAATAAAATCTCTCTTTGCTCTCAAAATCCTCCTCGTCTGGCGAATCCTCTCAACTCCCGTTTATCCTCTCTTCCACAATGTAACAATAGCATTCTCATATCCGCTAAACTTGTGCGCGAATTGTTGATTGTGTGCCACTACACCAACAAAATGTCAAGAGTTAAAACCAAAAAAGGAAACTACCTAGGAATGGAGGATTGAGTTAGATCAATCACGGCATCGTCATAAAGCATGCTACTCAACTCGAAATACGTGTCCATTCGAGTCTCAAAAGTGCGACGATCTCGAGGTGGTGAGGCTGCTTTTTGTTTAAACTATTAGGCAAATGATGCGAATTGGGACATTGCGTCCATGGCCTGTGTGTGAGTTGAGAGATAATCAGAGCATTGTTCAGACAACTTGTGAAAGATCTTGGATTGCCAAAACGAGGGTGGATGTAAACGTCAGATGCCGTATGATCTCCATCTTCCCATCTTGTTCTGATATTGTAACGGACCTTTCTTAAACATGCAGAGAACGTGACAGTAAATAAAACAGCCGTTATGCATTGGACAATCAGAAAGTGCTTGCCAGATTCTGTGGGATGAGCCACATACGCTAAATACAGCGACACTCCACAGATTCAAGACATCTGATCAAAGAACAACTCCACAACCGACCCAAGCACAAATCTCCTGTGACCGATAATGTCATCAACACGTTTTTACGATCTCCGTGTCCTCTCACCGCCATCCAGGACCTTCTGAATATACTCAATCATGACTGCACTGCCACCATAACTCTGAATAACATGACCTTGATGTCCTGCAGCACTCGATTAGCAAACAAGACCAAGTTTTTCTTGGATCGGTAGTTGCTTTTGGGATTTTGTTATGCGGTGATGAGACATGAGACAGCAAGCGCCGTCATGAGAGCCTGTGAGACCGACTTGTGCATATTTGTGGGTTGTCGCTGCAACACCAAATATATCCTGATGCATGCGTAGAAAATTCTAGCCTAGTACCTTCATTGGCTGGTCCGTGCAGAAACAGTGAATCCACGAAACATCATTGCCGGTTTTTTGTTGTCCGTGTACAAGCGCGTTTGAAATGGGCGTCAATCCAGAGGCTCTGTCAAAGCTATTTGAAAAAGGTTGTCAAAGGAACGACGGGGCAAACCACAGATGTGAATGGTCATCGTGGGGGCCTTCTTTCGTTGAATGGCAAAATAGTGACGGGACACATACCAAAGACACAATACCCGTCTTTAGATCCAACACCAGACGTACCACCACGAGATCCGGGGAGTAAGAGTACAGCATGAGTAGGAGTCAATTCAGACGTCTCAGACGCATCAAATCCTTCGCATAGGAAATTCGATAACGGCGAATGACATCGCTATGCCAAGAAAGGACGGCAGGAAGGTTGAATCATTATGCCTTCCATACGTGTTTAGACTCCAGTTGCAAGTAACTTTCCATGCTGGTGGTGAAGTGGTAGTAATGGTGGAAGAGGTTGTAACTCGTGATGTACAGGGAAAAGTCTACGTGTTCATTCATATCCATGTTGGTAGTTGGGTTGTGGGATGTAGCTGGCATGATTTTATCAAGCAGGTCAGACATTGTTTCAAAGAAAGGATCCGTATCCACATGTATTTGCGAGAATCAACATAATCCACAAACACGAACATGGTCAGATCACTTCATCCAAATGGTGAACTTGTTATGCTTGAATAAGAATATGTACACGATGTGCCTGTCAAGTAGCAGATATGTTCTCACGAGAGTCATGCTTCCTCAGGTGGTTGAGGTTTAAGAAAGCAAAACACAAATCCTGTGAATGCACATGAGAAATAATAAGGAAAAGCGAAAAAAGGCAAAGTTTCTTCTTTACATACCTTCTTGTTGCAAAATCTGCTTCACCCTCCTCGTCTGACGAATTCTTTCAACCGCATCATCTCCTCCCTTCCACAATCCAATCACAGCGTTACCTGAACCGCTGAATTTAGCTGCGAATCCTTGACTGCGTGCCACTAAAAAATCAAGAGTTCAGAGACCTTGACGAACTAAAAAAGGAGATATGTATTATCGACCAATACCTTCAATCATCCGCAAATTAGCAACCCCAATAACACCATCTCCATATAGCGATCTTCTTAAATTGAAATTCGAGTCCATTAGAGTGGCAAATGTGTGTCGATCACCAGCTAGTAATGCTGTTTTGGCTTGCGATGCGAAAGATGCGAATGCCGACATTGCATCAAGGACCTGTTGTGATTTAAGGAGATAGTCAAAATGATCTGAAAACAACTTCACAGCCATGAGAGTTGGTGCAAAAAAAGGACACCCATTTATTCTCATACCGTTCGATCTCCATCCTGCCATCTTGCTCTCACATTGTTATGGACCTTTCCTAAAGATGCATAACCAGAGGCATTCAGTAAGCCGTTCAAATGACTGTCATGCATGTCCTACAGAATCCACTCACCAGATTCTTTCGGCTGAGCCACATACGCTAAAAAAAGGAGCATTAGCGAATTTTTGCAAACAGCACAACGCAAAAAGTCCTCTCAACTTACCCAACCACAAATCCCCCCACACCATCCCCTCATCAACACTTTCATACTCGCCGTAGCCTCTACCCTCCATCAGCTCCTTCCTGAAATCCATAAACACACAGCCACCATACGCTTGAATGACACGATCCTGATGTCCAGCAGCGATCCCTAGCTCGTCGCGTTCAGCAGACAAGACCAAGTTTGCTTGGATTGGTAGTGGGATTTGGGTTGTGGTCAAGCAGTGATGGGACATGAGACAGCGAAGGAGGCCTGTGGCGAGGGCTGAGCTTCCAGCGAGGCCGACTTGTCTATATTGTTGCGTTACAAGTCGTTAAGAATAAGGTTTACTCCAGCCACAAAATAAAAGCTTGGACAACCAGAACAATCCACATATCTGACCAGTGTGTTTATCTCACCTTGGGATATTAGTCTCTGCGGCAACAGTGAAGCCAGTCTTGCTTAATGGCAGACGTTCTTTTCGTATAAAGTCAACAAACACCTTCGACATTGCCATGAATAATCTCGCTGCTCCATCAAACCTATTTGAAACGAAAAGTTAGCAACTGAATATGCAAAGACTTCATTCGAGTGAAAGCAAACATCTGGCCAATAATTTCTCACAATCAAAAAAAGGAACATCCAATGGTGAATAATGACTCACCCATCTTTAGCCCCAACATCAGATATAACACCGAGTGATCCAAAGGAGAATGCATCATTAGTCGGGTTCAAAATAAACGTAACCGACGCATCAACCACGTTTGCATTAGGCCGTAGCGTCACTTCAGCATAGAAATTCGATATAAGCAATGACAGTGTCTTTCCATAAAACCCATCAGATGGGTTGCCCATGAGGCCAACACGTGCATATGCTCGTTTCGTGATTATTTTAGGTGCTGATGATGGTGGTATAGATGGCGGGACGGTTGTTTGTTGTGATGGTACGAAATCCCTCCATTTACTTAGATACGTGGATGAGGGCAAGTCATCGTTCATGTATTCCCATGCTGCAATATGGGAATTCGGATCTACATATCGTATCTTTACTGATGCTAATAGTCCAGATACCATTCGCATCAGTTGATTTCCAGATGACAGCGTCGACACGTCCATTTCGGCATACATGCGAGAATCGACATCCTCCCATAGCCGCTTCACAGCTGTTTCTCCAACGAGTTTTATAATCGCAGGCTCGTATATATTCGAGTTTGAATGCATCGTGTCTAAATGACCTGATACAGATACAGTGACATGTGATGCCGACATACAGCACCAACTATCAGCAGACTCCCATAGATTCGGCAAGTCACCCGCATCGAAAATGTAGTCAGCCGGTAATATCAACACACTATTCGTCGAGCTCGACGAAACGAGTCTCGTCCTAACTAAATCCATGGCTTCTAGAAACACGGATGCGTGACGATCTGCACCGGTAGTGCCCGTGTTCAGAATATTTCGTAGAGGAAAGCCGGTATGCATTGCCCAGCGTTCGTAAGCCTTGAAGCTATATATTGCAAAGGATTCAGTACATGGTACTTCAGCAACACATGCATCACCCAATGGGCAAACCTTCTCGCATCGGTAACGAGATACGTATTTGAACCCATATCACGTCGTCCAAGCTCTTCCCACCTACAACGAAAAGCTAGGTGTCACATTTCATCACTTTAAGTCAAATGTCGCGTCCAACATTATTACATCCAAGTAAGACACGGTATTCCCCCAATAGGCAATAATCCTTTTGGAATGCCCAAGAATGGAGATAGTTTCTCATCGAATATGTTCTATATCAATACAAATGAGTTGGGTTAAAAACAAGAACAGACGCGAAGCAGCAAAACATTCCAATGCAAGCCTTACTTGTCTGACTTCTGTTTCGAGAGCCGAGACTCCAGTCGCGAGAACTATACAAACTGCCATGGTATCTCCTTGATGCTGACACCGAGACAGGTTTGCGATCGCCGAAGAACTGTTGGGATTGGTTGGAGACGGACTTTCATGAACCGATCAAACGTTTGCACGTTAATAGTGGTCTCCATACTCCATACGCAAATTATACGCGCTAAACTAATATTCCCGATGTTTTAATATAGGCAGTAAACCGTGTGGTTGTTCGTTGCTCTTTGCAACACCACAAAAAATAACCGACCATGGTATGCCAGTTGCCGCGATTCAAACCAACGAAACAAGCTATAACCACTACATTTCATCTATAGGTATCCGAAAAACTAGTTCCCGTTGTCGCAAGATACTCTGGCGTAATCGACGCTGATGTAGCCAAAGTCTGGACTGTCGCTCGAGACTTTGCAAAGTTAGCTTGAATCCAAACCGCATCAACCTTGTCATATTCCCATTATACTCATTCTTATTGAAATTTAGAGTGCCTTCCATCCTTGGGGTTGCCTGTACGCTTGAAAATACGAATGGTGTGGGTAATGAAGTTGGTGGTAGCATCCGTGTTATTGATTTTGGTGAGGCGTCATAGTTGCATATTGTATATGCCAAAGAACATTGCCAATTGACGTACGGTTAACTCCTAGGTAATGGAAAATCCATCCGGGAACTCTTGGTAGCGCTCGATGATCAAGACCACATTGTGAAATACGCCCTTTTGAGTACGTCGATCATAGGATTCCATGACACGCCAAATGTGACTAAATAGCAATCTGTTTTCTCAAACATAGACTTGGCTCCCCATGAGAAATCCAAAAATCCGTGAGCCTACATGTTTAGATCTTATTACGTACATCTTCCAGGCTAACACAAGCCCTACCCAAATCAGCTTCCCTGGCGCAACAGTCGACTATATCGGAAGATGGCAATTCACCAAGGGTATCGATGGGAATGTAACGTTCGCGACCTTTGAATCCAGGTTCCTGACGAACGAGTCAATGAAGGATGCCATGGAAGAGGCTATTTCCATTGGTATCTTTAAAATGGCTCTTGATGCTATGAGAGCTAAATTGGGTCGATCACCTTCAAAGCTCTGATTTGTTTGGTATACTTTGTTTTTGCACAAAAGTTGCTGTAGTCTCTTTGAAAACGCGTCAAATTGTCGATTATCGATTATCGGTTGTTAATGCTTTATAAATTGTGCCGTCTCTCCTTTGCGACGTGATACCTCCGACTCGCCGCACCAAAAACGCCTGCCTTCAACAGTTTCCAAGTTTGAACGTTAGTACCGGTCGCTTACGCCAATTAAACGTGCCAAATGCCAAATAAATATTCCCAATGGTTTCAATTCCAAATTCCACATACAGGCAAATCTTTTATCATAATCTTGAAAGAGAGAGAGAGAGAGTACAGCTACGCGTCATTTCATTACAAGCTACGCTCTACTACAACAACTATCAACCGTTCTCATACGAGCTGTAAGCTACACCCTTCAATGGCATTCAATGGCGCGCAAAACGTGGGTCCTCTCATCACACGACTGTGCACCACGACAAAAACCGTAACAAATCATGGTCTGCCAGTTGCCGCCACCAAACAAACGAAAACAAGCTCTAACCCTTAACATTCTCACCTATAGGTATCCGAAAAACTAGTCCCCGTAGTCGCAAGATACTCTGGTGTAATCGATGCCGATATAGAGACGGTCTGGAAAGTCGGTCGAGACTTTGGAGGGTAATATACATATCCAAACTGCATCAACCTTCATAGTCTTATACGCATTCTCATTTAAGTTGTTAGTTTACCAGCCTTCCTGGGAGTTCCCAGTACGCTTGAGAATAAGAATGGCGTGAGTACTGAAGTTGGTGGTAGCATCCGTGTTGTTACTCTGGGTAAGGACGTATTTATAGTTGCTTTTTTTGCATGCCCAAGATCAATGGGCCTGATATGCCGGTTGACCTGCTAACTAGGTGAGGGAAAGTCAATCCGCGAACTGTTGAAGGAAGGAGATGAACGCTTGAGAGCGCAAGTGTGCATGTAATGTGGCGATTATTCAACCCCCCTCCATTTGACATGGAACAATCATTGTCATGCCATTAGATTGATTCGAAGGGCCTTTGGAATCGAAATAGATGAGGACATGGGACAATTCCGTTCAAGCGCAGAATCAATAATGGAATTAGCAACAACAACCAGAAAGTAGTAGAATCAGTATACAAAAATGGAATTATACGACGTGCTATGTGTAACCTGTACGGAGCATATACTAGCAATATCAATGGCTATCGCTGTTGTCTTGTTAATACAAATTCACATTATGCTGACAATAGCACAATATTGTAACAATCTTCGAGACGGGAACCGTGGCTTAAGATGTGGAGCAACACACGCGTTCCCTTGGTCGACTTTTTTATTGAGTCATCAAGGTGGACTTGATACATCCTACTCCCAACGCAGTGACCAAACGAGACAGGTTTTCAATCTAGCGATAAACGATTTGCTGAAATTCTGTCCATCAGCGCTAACGACTCCTTTACAGTTGCAACTTGTTTTTCCAGGTACGTTTCCTCTGGTTGCCAAGAAAGCTCTCTCATTCCCAACTTGCCAGCATATTCTGGAGAAGCCTTCCGTTGACCATTTGCAGCTGCAAAAATACCGCGCACTCGAATATGTCCTTGACAGTTCATTAATGATCTCTTTAATTCTAGGTGTGAAGTTATCCTTGTTGGTGCTTCGAATCTCGGAGACCTCTGGGATTCCCTCCCATTCACGAGCTGCGACATCAGATCTCTCTCAACTTTCTTCTTGTATTGGACACTTTCATTTTTGCAATAGTCAATCATACTCTAGCAAAATGTTCACATTGGAGTTTGAACTCTTTGTTTGATCGTAGCCATAATTCTGTTACGCTGCTCTCAGGTACAACTGCTAGTTCAGCATCGGTATATGGGGTTGCAGCTGCCATTCTGTTTTGACAAACTGTTACAAAATACCCAATACAAAATACCGACCGAATAATCCAGAAGAGCAACATTTATCGTTTGAGGATGGTCTACCTGTTTACATGTCTATACAGACGTTTTATGCGTCATTGTTATGTGTATACTAGTTTATATGCTTTTATCACAAATTGTGGAGGCTACTATCAAACTAAGAGTTCATACCGATCCAATAATCGTTTCCGCGTGGTTAGTATTGCTTACGAATGTTACATAACATCCTATAAACAATCCAACTAACGCACCAAAGCATACAGTTGCTTTTCGACAAGCTAAATATAACCCGTTTGTACCAATACTCTGCATCGTAGCAACAAAACCACCAATTGGGACATATCCACGGTGGAATGCCATACAAAATGCAGCAATCGATCCTGATGCGATTCCTCCAACAGTAAATCCCAATAAAAATGGGATTGTCGCAATGATAAGAGGCAATCCTATAGCGCCAATGACTATTCCCATACAACCATTTTTTAACAGTTCCATTGCGAGGATCCCAGCATAGAGTAACCATTCAAACGCAAAGTCCTTTGTACTTGATAGCCATTCAAATACAACTTCCTCGGTACTTGATAGCCATTCAACTAACCGTTGAATGAAGTCTTGCATATTAATTCTATGGAGAGGAGTAGACGCTGTATGAGCTAATAGCAATATAACTAAACAGAGAACGAATCAAGCGACTGAAAATCTCAGAAGAGCAAAGAAAAGGCTGTTTGCCTTTAGAGATTCTCACCCCATCGACTTTTGCTGGCTATATTGAGGATCAAGAGTCAAAGACAACTGCATCTGTTAAATGTGTCTCCCTTGTCAAAAGGAAGGACACTGAAAAGGCAAGACTTGCTTTGTTTTGATTGGAAACCGAGACATGGTGTCAGTGGAAACGGGCGATTGGGCAGTTACAGACATACAACAGCACGTTGCAGAAACAACGGATGCAGATTTGGTTCTTTGGACCACGACATATCCAACGGTTCCGCTATGAACGACAAAGTAAAGGCAGGAACAGTCGAATTGCTCATTTGGCTCCTTTGCGAATGGGGGACTAGCTTGTATTTGACTCTGGTAGGACATCAGCTGGATATCATAAACAAATATGGTTTGCCAGGTTTTATGAGAATTTTTGGTGTTTTGGGCCTTGGTAAGTGGTTAGTTTCGTTAACATTTATGAGTTTAACTCAATAAGTCAATTCGTTCCGTTCATCATGTTTGAAGTATCTAACCTTATAACTTTCATAATGTCACTTTACAACACAAATCAACACAACAATGCAACAACACAACACAACACAGGTCCGGAGAATGTTCCATTCGCTTGTTTGGCACTCGCCGGGCTGTTTCAACACGTTATTATGGACCACCTTTCTGTGTCATTGGAAGTTCGGGATGTCGTAGGTTACACGCATCAAGGTATTGAAACTGAGAGAAACAGGGAGAGAGAGAGAGCTATAGGGAAGGAGAGAAAGGCAGATAGAGACGAATTGAGAGCCACTTCCCACTAACAGTCACATTGTTTGATAGCTAACTGGGAGGATTTAACTGGAATGGCAGCAAGGGCGAGCGCTGGCACACAGAATTTGTTGGAAACATATCCATTGATGATAGCTGCCATTATTGTCGCTCATCTTACAAAGGTTCCTCTACAAGTTCAAACACAGTAAGTGAATCACGTATTAAAGCTCTTGTTTGTTGGTGATTGCTGGAACTAGAGTGTTTGCTGACTCGCTTTGATTTGACGCTGTGTAAATTCTGAATTCGACGTCCGAAAATGCTAAATTTAACTTTCAAATAGTTTTTCTTTATGGACTCTATCTCTCAAAGTTATTTACGCCGTTGCCTATCTGCTTGATCTGGAAGGAATTCGGGCCATGTCATGGCTTTTGTGTCAAATGGGCCTCTTCGTCCTGCTTTCACATGGCGTGATGCCCCGATTTCCAGTGGTTTATTCATCAATGCAGAAGGGCGTCAACATTTATGTTGGAATTTTCATAGCCTGGCTGGTGTTTTAGGTTTTTAAATAGAATCTGGTTATGATTTTTTCTTTTTTTGAAACAAGTCGTATATTAATATTATTCGAGATGTGTTTTAACAATATTATACACAGGCTGGGCGCAAGGCGCCCTAAAAATCTAGCTAGCTGTGCAGACAACGCTGTTTGAAAGACGCTGTTAGAAAGGCAAATCCCCGTTCATCTGGGACTTTTTAGATCTGATCAGCACTTCGAGTTGGTAGATGACCTTGAGAGAACAATCAAAAGATAGGTTTGAAAGCGACCACAAGCAAATATTTAAATATCTCAACATCTTAATTACAGCAGGTCCGGAAAATATCTACCAGTTAGCTGAATGTTGAAACTGGACGTGTCTGGCATCCAACATTGTACTATTGTACTGTGCGTTCTCACACATCCAGAGTTCGAACACAATAGAGCCAAGTTATACTTAAAAGAGATGTAGTTCTCTGAAAAATGTGGTAGATATGTCTGCCAACTACAGACTCTATTTAAACCAGCAATAACCATTCTACGTTTACAGCATATGATTCAAAATCCATGCTTTTACCTCAGCATACATTGTAGTGGTGTTCCTTCAATCTGTTTCAGATTTGTAATTGTAAGTACCAAGTTGCCTCTTTGTACTCTTATATGTCACTAAAGGCACGATGGGACAGTTGAATGTAACATATGCTGGGATTGTTTCTGTGGCTGAATTGGATATAAATGTTGAACTGTGGGAGACACTTTAATAAGAACTAGGAACTAGAAAATTATTGAAGGCCCTTGTAGACGCTCTTGGAAGCAATTGTTGCTGGTTCGAAGTATGTACTGGATAGCTGCAGAAAAAGTGCTCTGTCTATTTGTTGTGCCACCAACTTTGGATAATCTGTTTCTGGGAGTTGTAGGACCTTGAAAGCGTCGACGTGGTTCCCTCTTGTTTCTTGTCTCAGATTTCTGGTATCTACTTGGTACTATGGACGGTTCTCGATACATTTAACGCATCTCATGCAATTGCTTTCATAGAAATCCCAATGGAGCAAATCCTACGTCAAGATGCTGAGCTACGCAACAAAATATCTTGCCGCTACGATTGCAAACTTCATGGGCCTTCTATTAAGGAACACGAATTGGTCAAATTCATTTTAGAGCAACCAGACGAATGCATACTCAGATTCCCTTATGTCTGGCGCTATGAATGGGAACCTTTTCCAAGGAGGCCCGACTTGGGGAAAGGTGATCTTGTCGTGACAGATGGGTATGATACGTATCTGGTATTAGAAGTAAGGCCGCAGTTGCGATCTACAATGACCACGAGTTTGCCTATGAGTTTTCTTATCTTAGGTGAAGTATCTGAGTACCGCAAATGCTCGCCAGCAACGAAAGGAGGTCATAGATCAAGCAGAGAAATATCGGAAACAAGTTCAAAGACTTTATCCGCATGCGGCAGTCCAGGCCGGTACGGTGACGTCAGACGGCCAGTTGGCCTACTATGACATAGCGTTGCTTGACGGTAAGAGAATAGTTGATGTCTTTGAAATGTCTTGTATGATATACTCATGTATGTATTAGGCGATGCAGAACATGCATTGCATGGTCATTTGTACCCACAGACAAGGTCTCTATCTGTGTCGTCAAATCCTGGAGACGCTCCAACCGAACTGACCACTGACAGTTCTTGGAGTACTGAAACACGATTCGTTGCAGCTGCTTTGGCGGCAGCATCCATTTCTCTTGGCCTCTTCTCAGCTCGAAACAGCAATAATAACCATGGGAACTAGTCGATCATTTGTAATTTCCTAAAGATAGACTTGCTTCACCAGACTATTCTCTTGCACCAATCGTGTCTCACAGGTGTCGGACAACAAGGCACAAACATCGTCTTCACCCAGGTTCCCCGACAAGTTGTCCAACGGCGGAATGTGGACCTGTTATTTCAAGAGCTTAAACTTCATTACCACCGAGCGACAACAGTCATGGATATGCAAAGATTTATCGTTAGGCGGACTTGTTTTCTCAACATTTGGCAAGAGTGGAAGGAAGCTGGTGAAGCTTGCCTGGCGGGGGCCTTCATACTTGACAAAACAAGAAATGAATTTTTGAAGGAGATTCCTCTGTTATATCCACCGTTGTTTATGTCAAGCACATCCTACAACAACCGAAATTTCACACACAGTATGGGTGCTCTACTTTCCATACCAATACAATGCTTGCCCTTGGAGAAGCGCTCAGTCTTGCTGCTGGGACCACCTTCAAGAGTTTTAGTGGTGGTAGTGGTTTGGTGGTGGTCTAAATGCTTGTTTCGTTACCCTATACACCATATCCTGTACGAAGGCCATAGCAGTCATCTCTGTAGTACTCACTTACAAAATTTGGTAAGCTTGTCAGCTCATGGAAATGGTGTTTTTTTGCCAGCGTTGGGACACAAGTACTCTGTTACTTGCAAAGTCTTCCAATGTTGCCTAGTAGAGTCTGCTTTTCATGTAATTGAGTTGACCAAATTCACCGATTCCTAAGTGAAATCTAACATCGACGCACATTGAAGTAAGGTAGGTATCGTTGTTGGACCAACATTGACTAAACTGAAAAATTTGGACGCGAATTGGAGCACCACAGTGCACCTGCACATAACAAATTGAATAGAGTTATAAAATGGTGCATCTGGTAATCTGCTGGGTCTTCTTGTTTCTTGCGAGTTCTTCACGTATTTCGGTAGGACTTGATGACCAAGATCACATTGTGAAATACGCCCTCTTGAGTACGTTCAACAGCACTGAATTCCATTCACGTCTAAACACTAAAATTTCACTCTTCCTCTCGGAAATAGGCGCGGGCCCCGATGAGAAATCCAAGAATCCGTGAGCCGACTCCAACGTATTGCCTTTTGTTTACATCTTTCAGGCTAACACAGCTCTTACCCCAAATTAGCTTCCCTGGTGAAACAGTCGACTATTTCGGAAGGTGGCAATTCACTGAGGGTTTGAGGGTATTGATCGGAATGTAACGTTCGCGACCTTTGAATCCAAGTTCTTCACGAACGAGTCAATGAAGGAAGCCATGGAAGAGGCTATTTTGATTGGTATTTTTAAGATGACTCTTGATGCTATGAGAGCTAAATTGGGTCGACCACCTTCAAAGCTCTGATTTGTTTGGTATACTTTGTTTTTGAACAAAAGCTGCTGTAGTCTCTTTGAAAACGCGTTCAAATTGTCGATTATCGGTTGTTAACGCTTTATAAATTGTGCCGTCTCTCCTTTGCGACGTGATACCTCCGACTCGCCGCACCAAAACGCCTGCCTTCAACAGCTTTCCAAGTTTGAACGTTAGTACCGGTCGCTAACGCCAATTGAACGTGCCAAATGCCAAATGAATATTCCCAATGGTTTCAATTCCAAATTCCACATACAGGCAAATCTTTTATCATAATCTTGAAAGAGAGAGAGAGAGAGTACAACTACGCGTCATATCATTACAAGCTACGCTACTACAACAACTAAAGCCTTTCTCACTTTCTCATACGAGCTGTAAGCTACACCCTTCAATGGCATTCAATGGCGCGCAAAACGTGTTTCCTCAACGTGGGTCCAACTGGGTCCTCTCATCACACGACTGTGCACCATGACAAAAACCGTAACAAATCATGGTCTGCCAGTTGCCGCCACCAAACAAACGAAAACAAGCTCTAACCCTCAACATTCTCACCTATAGGTATCCGAAAAACTAGTCCCCGTAGTCGCAAGATACTCTGGTGTAATCGATGCCGATATAGAGACGGTCTGGAAAGTCGGTCGAGACTTTGGAGGGTAATGTACATATTCAAACTGCATCAACCTTCATAGTCGTATACGCATTCTCATTTAACTTGTTAGTTTACCAGCCTTCCTGGGAGTTCCCAGTACGCTTGAGAATAAGAATGGTGTGAGTACTGAAGTTGGTGGTAGCATCCGTGTTGTTACTTTGGGTAAGGGCGTATTTAGTAGTTGCTTTTTTTGCATGCCCAAGATCAATTGGCCTGATATGACGGTTGACCTGCTAACTAGGTGAGGGAAAGTCAATCCGCGAACTCTTGGTAGGACTTGATGACCAAGACCACATTGTGAAATACGCCCTCTTGAGTACGTCCAACAGCACTGAATTCCATTCACGTCTAAACACTAATATTTCACTCTTCCTCTCGGAAATAGGCGCGGGCCCCGATGAGAAATCCAAGAATCCGTGAGCTCGACTCCAACGTATCACCTTTTGTTTACATCTTTCAGGCTAACACAGCCCTTACCCCAAATTAGCTTCCCTGGTGAAACAGTCGACTATTTCGGAAGATGGCAATTCACTGAGGGTATTGATGGGAATGTAACGTTCGCGACCTTTGAATCCAAGTTCCTCACGAACGAGTCAATGAAGGAAGCCATGGAAGAGGCTATTTCGATTGGTATTTTTAAGATGACTCTTGATGCTATGAGAGCTAAATTGGGTCGATCACCCTCAAAGGTTTGATCGCTACAACGTACAGTAGTTTTTGTTTTCTTGACATAAAATGTAGTAACCTGTTTCAATACGCGTTTGAAACGTCGATTATCGTTCGTTGATGCCTGAGACTCTGTACTTGCTCTTATTTGCGACGTGATACCTCCACATAGCTCCAAAACGCCTTCCCTGAAACTTCTTCTTGGTTTTGATCTATTCCAGTTTTGCAAGCTGCCTAGCACATCCCCTCTCCAAAGATGAGTTCAGCAATGACGCCCGAAGAAGAGGAAGCCTCCAGACTGTACAGGATCTTCAAGACGCTCCTTGAAATGGTGTCTGACCGAGTAAGTTTCGTTTCCTTTTCTGACCTCAAGCTTTTTGTGATTGACACATTTGTCATAGGGATATCAAGTATCTCAAGCACAATCAGGTCAATCATTAGAAGAATTCAAACAGATTTATTGTCCAAATGGCAAACCAGAGTATGTGTGAATGAAGACATTATATTGTTTGTGGGAATCACAAAAAACATGATTGTGAGCAAAGAAGCTGACGGTTGTTATGATGTAGTCGTCCAAACATGTCTTTTATTGTCAAGTATCCTGATGAGAGGGGAGGCGATGAGTTACTGGTGGTGTTTCATGATGAGAAAGTTGGGAAGGAAATCATTAAAATGTGAGTGCGGTATTCCATTCTTGTGCTTTTTTTAGCATTCGATTCATAGCCTAATTTTGCTCTTGTTTCTCATCAGGATATTCAAAAGAATGGAAGAAATGAGATACTCTCGAGGCATCCTTGTCTTTCAGAAATCACTCACTTCTCAAGCGGCTCAGGTACGTATTGAGCTCTTGATTACTCCACATAGTCTAACACGCACATTTTGTATAACATAGATCGTACAAGAAATGCAACAAACCTACCACCTCGAACTTTTCAAGGAAAACGAACTATTGGTCAACATTACACGACACATTTTGGTACCTGCTCATGAGGTCATGAGTGATGCTGAAAAGAAGCAGTTGCTGCAACGATAGTATGTAATATGCCTACTTCCCTCTTTCCCCATCTACTCTAACTTCTTTTTTTCATCCTAGTCGATTGAAAGAACAACAACTCCCACGAATCCAACTTGGAGATCCAATAGCAAAATATTATGGATTGAAACGTGGACAGGTTGTGCGTATTATTCGGCCTAGTGAGACTGCTGGAAAGTAAGTGGTCATCCAAGAGCCGATCTTGCTTCTTTTTTTGTTGCTATTCACTGATTTCCTCATGTCGACCTAGATATGTCACATATCGTCTATGCTGGTAGAAGGAGTAGTTATTCGTTATTAGTTGTTGTTTTTAGCTTTCACACATTCGTACAAATCAAAACTTGCATATAGCCGTCTTGGAATTGTGCGTCTGCTAGTTTGTTGAAACGTTTCGAAAACACGATGCGACTTCTTTTTTAATAGTGATTTATATATTTTTGATAGCGATACCTAAAAGTTCAAAGGGTGTCAGCCATACTGAATCAAAACATACTACATTGGACACAACGCACTTACAACAAGATTCTTCTTAATGTCCTTCTTCAGCAGAAGGAGCAGCAGCCTTCTGTTCAGGGTATCTGAATGGCACAATCCAGCCATCCTTTGCAGCCCGCAGCAAATCCAGGTATTGTGTAGTCAAGTGCCGACACTAAGTGTTATTTGTGCTGTGTCAGAAGCTAAACCGTCGAGCATCCGCAACCATCAAGAGCAGCCAGAGATGCCAAATACAGTTCATAACTCTCTGCATCCACTCCACTTAGAACACAAAACTACATTTTCAACAACAACCTACATTTTGCAAATGATTGACACCTTCACGTCGATAACACCATCTCATCTTGTCCCGTAATACAATAATCTCTTCAGTACGCACTAACTGTTCACGGAAAAAGTCTTCTTTGGCCTTGAGGACTGCTGTTCGGTCTATTGTGAAGGTGTTGGTCAAGAAGTGATGATTTGGGCTAGGAAAACACCAGTTTTTGACTTACCGAATCTATCCAAATCTGGATCGACACTGGGAAGTGGTGAAATTTGGAAACTACTTGTGGCCATGGCACTTGGTTATATATAGCGTTCTTCTACTTTTACCCGTTCGCAAGAGGTTTGAGTTTTTCGAACGTATGTTGTAACTGGATGGAGGATGGCGTATAAGAGTTAGCGACGCGTTTTTTTAGCCACCCGTATCGCTGTCACGTAGTCTGAAGCCGCTTCGATTCCTATATCGCTTCCAATGTATGGTCCAAATTCCAACAATTTCAAAAACTTGTACAAACACGAACTAAGCATGGCGCAAGCAGCTGGACGGCTCTCCATGGCATCTACTGGATCTTCATTATCGCGAAGACCTCCTATTCTAGAGCGTAACTTGGGCAAAGGAAAAGCTGGTGAAGTGAGATATCCCAACATTTCGTGACATTGACGAGCTTCTATACTTGATGTGATTGCTAATTAAACCCAATTACTTATTATTTTGCAGATCAGCCTATCAGCATACGCATTCCTCTTCTCTGAAATGATGCAGTATACCCAGAAACGTGTCAATGGCATTCAAGATTTTGAGAAAAAGTAAATCACGACAGTGGGACATTCATTCAAAGACATTATTACCATATTTCTCACGCAATCTTACATCTAGACTAAGCGACTTTGGCTACCGAGTCGGCGTCCGTGTCCTCGAACTAACAGTCTGGCGAGAACGCAACGCTCGTCGAGAAACACGGGTACTGGGTGTCCTCTCATTCATTCACTCAAATATATGGAAGACCCTGTTTGGCAAACAGGCCGATGCGCTCGAGAAGAGTACCGAGCAGGAAGATGAATGTAAGATGTGGTATACAATTTTTGGGGTTTGCTCGCAAGTAACTGACTTTTTCTGGTTTGAAACAGACATGATATCAGATAACGAGCCCCCGATATCGAAATTCATTGCCATACCAAAGGAAATGTCGCAGTTGAATGCTAGTGCGTTTGTTGCTGGGATTGTGGAGGGGATACTGGATGGGTGTGGGTTTGTAAGTCTCACGGCATTTCACTCGACATGGACATTCGTTTTTGGGCCTTACGTGTTTATCACTGAGTCATAGCCACTTACATTGCAATCACACCAACTTAGCCATCAAGAGTCTCGGCACATTCAACTGCTACGGATGCTTTTCCATTACGAACTACCATCTTGATCAAGTTTGATCCTACTGGTATGGTCTCCCTCTTCTTACACTATCAACCGAGCCTGATAATTGACCATATCCTCCTTTCCTAGTGATTGCAAGGGAAAGGACATTCACCGCCTAAGCTTGACACCCTCTTGCATCTTGAACACTTTTGTACATAACAGAGCAATTTCTCATATACGATTTAATGAAAAGGAGTTATTATATCTATAATAGTAGTGTTTGATTTATACAAAATGAGGTTGTGAGCGTCGACTATCATGAGCAAAAAAACTGAGGACGCTATCCTTGGATACCGTCTCAATCAGCAATCCTATCTCTTTTTCTTCTTGCCACCTTCAACTCTCTTCTGCGGTCCATTCATAACTATTCAAGGATTGTCGTCAGTAACCTCCAACAAAAAAACCAAGCATCAAATGTTCATCATACATACCAGACACCCTAACCAGCTTCCCCCTGGCATTAAACCTCAATTCCCGTTCCTTCAACTCCTGATACCTCACATCGACGAGGTCCAATAGCTTCAAGTCTGGATCCTGGTTTGCTAGTCGTAGATTACTGACATTGGGAGGATAGTGTGTGAGGAATTTGACTCGTTGCGATGGTTGGGCTAGGACGCGTGCTTTGGGCGTTGTTATCAGCGGGATGGACAGGATGGAAGACCGGATGGATGCGAGGTGCGCTAGTTTGGCTGCTATTGTCGACATGTTTGAAGTTTTGTTATGTCGGCGTGTTGAAGAGTTTGTAAGAGAGCCTGGAGGTGTTGGGAACGCGTCTATATCGAAAGTTTTACGTGTTTTGAGCTTGGTCATTGGTTGCGTTGCTATAAGATTCACCGTCCAGCGAAAGTTATCTGTTTCTTCTCTTATCATTTGTTCTAAATAAAATCTCTTATATATAAGACGACGGAAGAATTCCAAACTTGACATATTTCTGGTGAAACGTAGTCTGGAGCTGGTTTCTATTGACTTATATACAAACTTGCTACTTATATACAAACTATGAATTTTCCAGTAGTTTTGGGTACTACAGTAACTGCGTAACCAGCTTTCTTGCATATTGCGTTTAGTAGACACGCATCATGAGTGGCGATATGTTCCAGAGAGAGCTCTACCCCGAAATCCCTTTTTGTATATTGATGTACTCGAGCAGATAATACATCAGAGAGTCGAGTCATCTGATCGGCTACATCTCGAGGTGACAAGGTGGACGAGCCACAACTTGATAGCATGGTCACCAAATCCTTGCCAATGTTTGATTCAGCATAGAGTTGCCATTTTTGATGGCGAGTTCCTGAGTAGCGAAACAAGGAGGCAGTTTCTAGATCCTCTACAATGTCCAGAGTGTATGGAGTTGTCAAACTGCCAAGAATGCTCCAATATCAGCATCCATACCATATATCGAACGAAGCGAGAGAGTGCCATCGTTCAGGGCCAAATGGGCCTTCAATGTTGCAGTTTGACGATCTAGTCGTGCAATCAACTCATCCATCCTCTTCAGAGTATCCTCCATCCTTTTGAGAGAATCATCTTTTGCTTTTATAATCTGATCAAAATATGAAGCGACCGCTGCTTCTCGTGCCTTTATCAATGATTCCAACTGTGATAAATCAATCGTTGCTGTAGGGAGCTGCTTGTTTATAGTATTATTGTGTCTTAGGGGCGGTATAAAATGTCTCAACTCGATGCATGGGCGGCGCACTCTTGTCAAGTGGTATACCGATATCATTTTGTTCTCATAATGGAAGGCGTTGTTCCTTGGACTTAGTGCATCAAAACGAACCTCCTGACAAACTGATACAATCCATGATACTAGCTATGTGGAATGGAGTGAAGAAACGTAGAAACGCATTGCTGTTCTGTCATCTCAATTTTTTGAAAGATGGGAATTTAAGGTGGGAGACAGAGGGACTGGGAAGATAGAAAACATAGAAGTCAACGCGTATCGATATTCCATAATTCCATACGCGTAATATATTTGCTGGACTTCTTCTCTACACGTCTTCCTTTCCTGCAAAGTCTCGCATTTGTGCCATTTTACTCTTACCAAACATCGAATCCAACAATATGGCCTCAACATCCCCAATGCAATCCAAATTCGAGGCTGAAGTAGATGTATTCAATGCTCTCCAAAAAGGTACATCATATACCATACAAATATTCAAGGCATTCGAACCATGTTACTTAGGCAAATCCTTACCATCCTTTTTCTCATAGACTACTCGAAAGCAGTATCAGCACGAACACAACTAGAAGCTCAATTATCTGAAAATGAGGCTGTTAAAAAGGTAGCCATTGCCTTCTTCACATTTTGTGTGTTTTAAAACATTTGGCAACATTCTGCGCATTCATCGCAATGCTAACATGCACTATATGAACACTAGGAATTCGAACTCTTAAAAGACGACACAGTTGTATACAAACTAATTGGTCCTGTGCTTGTCAAGCATGATCGAGTCGAGGCTGCTGATAATGTCATCAAGAGGATTGAGTTTATTCGTGTTGAAATGTACAAGGTTTTTTTTGGTGTTGAATTGGATTACATTCTGACGTATTGTTGTATTGATAGATCCAGGCTCGAAAATCAAATCAAGGACTTGAATGAGAAGCAAGATAAGAAGAAAGAGGTATGAGAACCATTCTGTTGGTTACTGCAGATATAGATACTTACTCGTAACGGTTTTTTGTCGTATCAGGAACTCGTCAAGATGCAGCAGATGGTTCAACAAGCCGCTGCTGCTGGTGGAAAACAGTAAATATGTAGTTGATGCATTGTACACCACTTTCTCTCGCTGAACATATGTCAATACACAGGCTTGCTGCAACATATCACAAGAACTGCATGAAGCGAAAAGAAAATAGGCGTGGAAAGCGCCCATATTAAGCGAAAAAACAAGGCAAAAGGACGACACATCTTGTTGCTAAACTACGGTTACTATATTTCGTTTTTTACAGGAATGCTCATTCTACTTTTCTAAATCCTTCTTCATGGTTCCGTAATGACTCTTTTTCTCAGCAGCAGTTTGGAAGCGACCGTGACCAAACTTGGATGATGTGTCAATGAACTAGTGGGAAGGAGCGTGAGTCATTTGTTGCGAATCATGCCATTATATAATGACTTGCTGGCAATTCTTTCTTTGATAAAGACGATGTATCATACCTTCAAGTCAATTTTCTCCAAAGCAGACCTCTTGGTATGAGTCAACAACGACTTTCTCAAAGTCAAGACACGCTTCTTGACACCAACAGTCGACCCCTTAACCATAATAAAGTCCTCATTGACAATACCAAATCGAGGGAATCCACCCAAAGGAGTAATACTCTTTTCAGTCAAATCATATTCCGTAGCTCCATTCTTTACATCACCAGTAGCACCAACACGGTAAATCTTCTTGTTGATTTCAGTACGATGATGGAATCCATCTTGACCTGCACGGGGCACTGCTCGTTGGACACGAGATGGATGCCATGCACCAATACAAGCTACTTTACGGAGACCTTTATGGGTTTTACGTGGGAGTTTCTTGGTGCCCCAACGATGAGTGACACCTTCGAAACCTTTACCGTGGGTGACGCCGATAATGTCAATCATTTCGTCTTGGGAGAAGATCGAAGATACTTTTACTTCCTTTTCAAAGTGGGACTTGGCCCAGTCGACTTTTTGGGCTACGGTGCCACCGTTCAATTGGACTTCCATGATGTGTGCCTACAAGTGGGGATGATGAGCGGGTGTGAGATTGTGAAGGGAAAAAACCGCCAACCATTAGCTGGAAAATGGGTTCCATTTGCCAACATCACCACCACAGACATACCTTCTTTACACCAATCTTAACTTTCCTAATCTGTGTATGGGCAATAACACGTACAACCTGGCAATACTTTTTGATACGTTCCAATTGCTCAGCAATAGGTTTACCATTATCCTTGGCATACTTCAATGCATAGTTGGTAAAAGCCTTCTTCTTTGAGTGGTACCAGTTCTTGTAGAAGCGACGCTTGACTTCATCAGACAAGTGCTCAGCCCATACAGTGACGAGAGATCGTAATCCACGTGGGGTTGCAACGTATCCGACAACACCGACAATCACCATAGGTGGACATTCAATGATGGTTACGGCTTCAACGACTTCCTTCTTGTGCATCTCTATAGTAAGAATATGAATTAGGTATGTTCCGACGCCATGTTGGTTCACATATATGACAAAGCAATGTTTTCGTTGAAACTCACTTGAACCAGGACGATCCATTTCTCTGACGATATGAGTCATACCAGCCTTGTAACCCATGAATGCAGTGATGTGGACTGGTTTGGATGCATCGTCTTTAGGGAAGGACTTGACTTTGCCTCTGACTCTTCGTGCTCTCTTTCGTGGGAGGAATCCAAGGGATCCGTGACGTGGATGTTCGAATTTACAGTGAGACTAATGATTAGAAAGATAAATGAGTTAGTTCTATGTTGTAATTGAACTTGTTCCATCAAATATTGAATGTTGGTTTTTTGTAGCTTTTGAGATTCATCGTAGCCATCCATCCATTTCTTTATGTAAAGGGGTCAAGGAAACGAGAGGAATTGATTCAAATGATGCGTGCGAATGCGTCAATTAAGTCTGTCTATCCTCTTTCCATGAAACTTACCATCTGGTATAGCCTTCTCTGCAATATGTGTTCTTGATGTTTGCAAGTTTTAGGGGTTGCACCAAACAAGGTGTTTTGATTTTCTCAAATCAACCCCATTCACCACGCGTCGAGGGAGTCGTCGCATAGTCATAGTCTTTGCAGTCACTATTTCCTTTCCTTTGTGATAGTTTCCTTTATACAGAACATCCCTTGTCGCTCTAATCAACGCGAGGGAGCGTAACGCTACAAATTCACCATTAAAGTGATAAGTCGATAACGTCGAATTCCAACCATGGCAAGTCTCGAACTACCGCATTCTATATGAAACTACATATATACTAACAGTATTCATACTTACCTAGTCCTCAGCCGGCATTCAAACACTCCTAGAAGCTGAAAAGGAAGCAGCAAAGATTGTGGCAAAAGCACGACAATGTACGTCCTTGATATCAATTTATTTACATATTATTTACATCATACTCCATTATCTTACTCTTATCATGTCTGTATAGACAGGACACAGAGATTAAAAGACGCGAGATCAGAAGCAGTTAAAGAGATTGAAGCATTAAAGGCTGAAAAGAATGCAGAGTTTGTCAACTTTGAAAAGCAGGTACTATTATAATGCCATTGCACATCATTCACTGTCAGCTTTTTTTGCTTCTTATCTCACTCTCAACCACACACCATAGTATGGAGGATCATCAGACGAAGCAGTATCCAAAGTGAATGCTGAAACCGAGGTAGCACTTAAAGGGATTCAGGATTCTCTTAGGCAAAGTAAAGATGCTGTTATTGCGAAATTGTTGAGTGCTACTGCTACAGTCAAACCAGAGGTAATTTGAGATCTTGTCGTTACAGTTTTTTGATTATCTTGCCAGTATCAGAACTCATATCATGTTTGTCATAGGTCCATGCCAACTTGAAGTTCGCTGGTGCTTTATAAAATCATGTATCGAAAAACTATGGCTGTTTGTATTATTTACACAAACAAGACTTGGGATTTATATCATTATACTGATCGTACAAATGGTTTTTGGTTCTACAAGTCCTCCTCATTGAGCATCGGAATCACTTGAGATAAAGTGTGGAGTTGTGCTGTTGATATCTTGGTCTAGAACGATTTGGAATGTGAGAAATTCGAAGAACAAAAAACGCTATCATACAACACTCGAAAATACCTTGACGTGTTGCAACTCCACACCACCACAAGCCTCTATTGTGATTCCACCAGCTACACCTCTAGGATACGACGATGATACAAGCAACTTCCATTTCTTACCAGACTTTTTCCCCAATCCTTCAATAATCAGTCCAAAGTCATCATATACAATATCCTTGCCGTCCATTCCTCTCAATTCACGCATCTTCAATACATGTCGACGTGCCAGATCAATAGATTTACGTATCAAGAGGGGTACCAAGTCATCGAGTCTCTTGCCAGCGTAGTGTCGACATTCTCGAATTGTTTCCTGTAGAGGTAGCGTCAAATCCAGAAACTGAGAATAGAGTGAGGTTGATGTTAAAATTGTGATTCGAAATGGGGATTGATGCAAAAAAAAGGACTCAAAGAAACTCAAACAAAAAATGTGGTGTCTTCCACAACGTTTACCTTGGCATCAACATCGGCAACACCTTCACCCAACGATACTTGCAGAGTTGCATCCTGTTCAGGCTCACTGCTAGCAACCTGAAACACCATCTGCATACACGTTGTACTCGTGGATTTCACAGACTTGAGTCCCAACATCGTCATGAGCAGAGGAGTCATTCTCTTGTACCAACTACAAACTTCTTCAACCGACTTGTCCTGAAGTTGAGTAGCACGTATAGCATCTTCTGCTTGTTGTTGGGCTGTTACTTTTTGTGGATTTAGTACAGATAGTTTGTCCTGCATGTCTTGGACTTTTGACTGTGTAGATTCGATTTCGGCTGTGACTGCAGACATTTGTGTTTGAATGGATTTCATCTTTGTGTTCTAAGAGGATGGAGTGATTGGTTTAGTGATGAGACATGATAGTTCATAAGAAAGCTATTTTGTTGTCACTGATGATTCAACTTTACCTCTTTTTGTATCGACGATTCAAGTTCTTGAATCTGACTCGACTAACGCAAAAGTTTGGAGTTTGAGAATGTGTCGATTGACAGTTTTCTGATTTTTGATTCAACTTACTTGAAGACCTTCATCGTCTGCTTCGATTTCGTTCAATTGCTGTTGCTAATAGCAGAACAAAGTATAAGAAGAAGTCCGTATGACCAGACGACTCTCGCAACACCACATTACATACCAATGCTGATACATCAGTAGACGACCTCAAAAGCTGTTGGACGTCGTTCTTCAACGTTTCATATGCTAAGAACCACAAGAGAGCATGTTAGATGGGTAGTTGAAGGAAAAAAAATCGTTAAGCTGTTACCAGCAAATACCTGTGTAGATCTCCCTCGCCATTTCTTCTACCTCCTTCTTGGTATCTTCAACCGCCACTTTAGCAAGCTTCTTGGTCTCGATAGTTTGCTGTACTCTTGTCTCTGTATAAGAAGTGGAGGAGATGTCAGCCACCAAAGAGCTAGGCTCTGAACATCTGCCATGATGCTCATACCTAGATCCAACACATCCTGCTGCTTGGCCAACTCCGGAGGAAAAGCCAATATGCGTTCCAGGAGGAGCTTCTTGTGTGCGATATGTAGATACTGTGATTTGAGATTTGAGAACACGTCCTACATTGAGGTGTTAGATATCATTCCTCGAGGAGCGAAGCCAATGCCAAAGCCCCATGTAGGATACCTTTTGATGTAGTACTTCATGAGCAGCATCTCTCGGATGGCTCTTAATCAAGTCCCTGAATGCCACATCTGCGGGCAGTAGCGATGTTGATGCTGATGTTGAGAATGTTGATTGGTTGAAGATGAAGGCAGCGTTTGAGATTTCGTTGGCGAGTCTATGTAGAATACGATACGCATAATTAGATCATGTAAATTGAATAAGTATTCGAGTATGGAACTACTAAATTGAGGTATAGAACGAAATGTAAAACATTCAACATTGAATCAAATACGATCTTTCGCGTCGGAACTTGCCTGCTTGCTTCATTGATGAGTTGAGCCGTTTGCTGGCTCCTTATAGATGAGTCTGCTGCTAGCATGGTGTCCTCTTTGGCCACTATCGTGTCAAAGCGCGAAGAGGTGGTTTTGTTGGAAGTGTTTGAGCGTGCACAGTTGGAGCTGATCAGATGCTAAAGACCTTATTTTACGCGCTCATTGGTATAATACACGTAACTGAAAAAGATATCACCTGACTGCTTCTGCTCTCCTCGTCGATCGTTGAATTTCCAAAAATTTATTCGCAGCAACAAACACGAAATCAGGCAAGATGCCACCTCTATTCGACCACGAATCCCTAGTAGGGCTACCTACCGCTATATTTGTTGGACTACAAGTACTTTCTTTACTTTCACTTTCCATGAAAAGCTTGCCAGTTTAACAATCCTGTTTCTTGCTCTAGTGCATCAAGGTCTACCAGTGGAATTTCGGGGTGCTAGACTTATGGACTTGGACATTTACAGACATTGCCTTCTTCGTTGCCCTCTACTATACAAGAGTACCTCATCGTCATGTGGAATTTCCTTCTCGCACCACTGGTCTGGCCTTGATCTCTACCCACGCCATAAACTTGCTGTGGGCGAATCTGCCTTCATTCTATGTAATGCCATTTATCCAGTTGCATCTCATTCCTTTTGTTAATCAAAGTATGCGAACGTGATGCGTAATTGCATAGGGTGGTTTGGTACTCAGTATATGGGAACGTGTCTGGTGGATCTTGTTTTCCTTCTCAGGTCGGTACTCATATGATCAAACTTGCTTTGTTTCGACATCTCGTTTCTCACATTCTTCCAAATTCCAGCGATATTACTACTGATGGCATTCGTCGACCCCACCACACCGACTAGGACAGAGCCTCGCTTTGTACGCAAGCTTAAAAAAGGATCTTCCAATGAACTCTCGCCCAGTGCTAATATAATGGATCGTCAAGATATCGGCATGCTCTGCATGCTCGGTATTGTGTTTGCCACGTAAGCAGCTTGACACGGGCCGCATAGCAAATTCTTTAAACGGTGGACACTATCATATTGTTACAAACCGACTACTTTGATCTATAAACCGAAACCAAAGCACTCATATACTCTCTTCATTCCAAACACAGGATCGTATACGCTGGTCTGGGAACATGGCATGGGACAGTCCCTGGATTTGTTCTTGTGCTTGCCGTTTCATATCTCAAGTCGCAACGATGTCGGTATCATCGCTTGTTATTGATTTTGAGCACCGTCCTCGAATACTTCTGACCGTTTTTTGTTTTCAAACATAGCCTTCACCGTATGCTTCCTATTCGTATTCTCCTGGGTCCTTATAAATGTGGTCTTGTGTATTTTCAGTGGTGTTGATGCCGTCAACACTGGTTTGTTGCCTTGTTTTCAGGGCGTTATCTTAAGGTACAGAAAATCTAATATCTCTCTTACGCTTTATTCAAGAACATATCTTGGCGGGACAAAAAAACAAGTCATATACCCTACTCGATGCACTCAGCAATGATCAAGTATTGTCACTATATGCGTCAGCAGTCAAACACATATACGAATTTGTTCCCCTTGACTTGATCTCCTTGGCTGTAGTGATTGATCGATGTGACAATCTCACAGACATTGAACTCGGCCAAGCTACCTTGACACTTCAGGCTTTAGCTGGTACTATTGCCAACCGTGTCATAAACGGACCCTTGAATTATCATGAACTACCACGTCTGCTCGACAAAGTCAGTCCCTATGGCCGTATAGTCGAATTGGCTGGTTCCACTTCCGCTCCGCTTATCCGTAGTAGTAAGAGTAGCAGTAGAGCAAAAAGTGGGATATCAACTATGTTGTATCGCATGCCACATCATCTCGCCACGCTTCTCCTTCTCCTTGTCGATGGAGGCATGCCTTCTTGGACAACGTTTACGGTTAAAGCTTACTGGCTAAACCAGTATATCGTATATACCGTAAACCTCCATGATGTCGATTTGCTAGGATTGGAGAATGCACCAACGGAGGTATTGAGCATGCTATTGCAAACATGCAATCAGCTAGTGCTCTCCTTTGCGCTACAAGAACCGTCAGATTGTGAACTGGCAGGTCTCCCTTCCTTGCCAATGCATCCATGTAAATGAAGCATCCAAAATTACTGTTGAAAATGGGAAAGGAAATGTGGACCTGAGCAGAAATTTGAATATTCAACTTTGTATATGGCAGTTGATGTTGTTTTACATATTGGCCCTGCATGTATAGAAGAAAATGTCTGAACACTGAACTCTGGTTGGATAATCTTGGGTAGCAGATTGCATAGTTCTCTGATAACGCGTAACGAAGACCAAAGCGTCGTAAATCACCCTTTCAGGCAAAAAAAGTATTAACCAAGAACCCAGCACAGCACACACACACAGAGTAGGCTATAACGAAACTTGGATTTCTAACTCTATTTTCTCTTTTCATCAAAAATTAGTATACGACATTTTGGGTCTTTTTTTGCAAAAATACTCTTTTATGTGTGATATTGATGTTGTTGTGTGTGTTGTGTGCGTGGTGGTTTTTTAAATCATTTTACACAAGTTCGAGAAGAGGCTCTTCATAATCTAGTTGAGCCTCCCCTCATAACTCTCTCTCTCGCTCTCTTGTCTACAAAACTCGTCTCTCTCTCTCCCCCCTCTCCTCCTTTTTGTTGTTTCTACAGGCCGGTATCAAAAAAATCAATATCTCTCTCCTTCTCTTCTCCTAGCTCCCCCCCCCCTAAACATGACTAAAACTAAATAATATTTGTTCTTCATCTTCAAGCAATCTGTTGTTGTTGCTGCTGTTGCTGTTGATCCTGCATTGGACTGACGGCGCACCTACAAGTAAAATTAAGTCAGAATTTGTCCAATGGCAAAAAATCCGTTCAAGAGCATGCGCCAACATACATCCAAATACGAGTCTTGTATATCTTGAACAATTCACGAACAAGTTCTCGGAAATCAATACGTCGATCAGCCACAAAATAGAATGTGAGTTTGCGACGATCCCTATAATCAAAAGCGTAATTGGGCATCAGCTCGCGGCACAAAGAAGAGCAAACATATCAGTCCAAACAATTACCATTGGTATTCAGCATCAACAATCTCCATAGGCAGCTTGCGCTGACGAATCTTGGCCTGACACAACGACTGCGCCCGGGCCTCATCAGCATTCTTGGACACCAACTGAGAGACTTCTCCCTGTTGCGCAACCCGATAAATCCTTTTCGGATGTATATCCTTGGGACCCAGCTGTCCACCATTGGCAGGTACATTTGATCCATCACTGCCCGACAATGCATTAACTCCAGACAAGAGCCCATCACCAAGCACACTCTGATGCATGGCTAACTGCTGTGGATTCAAGATTCCTTCTACAACGACTTTTCCCAAATCTTTACCACGATCAGCTTCGACAATAACCAGATCTCCCTTTCGGATGATGAGACCGGTTTGCTCGCCAACGTAAAAGTAGTCCATTCTGCCGGCCTTGAATTCGACAATGTACAATGGCCAGTGGACTAGATGGCTCGTTGCCATTTGTAGGTTTTTGCCGGCTTCGACCCATGCTCGAGTACGGTGCTCTGTGTTTTCGAAATAATCGTTGATTTCGTCGTATAATGGTGCATCCGCTAGACTCGGGACTGTATGTACACCACCAGTATTACTAGGGTTTCCCATACCCAATCCTGCAGATACTAGTTCGTCTGCAGATTGTCGCATGCCGTTAAAATCATTGATGCCATTATAGTCATTGGACGTTCGTAGTGAATTGGATGGCATATTATAATCATTCGATGTTCGTAATGGTGTTGGATTCGAATAGTCGTTGGATGTTCGTAATGGTTGTGTTACTATTGGAGTTGGTTTTGGTAGTATTTCTCGAATGCTATCTTCTAAATGTAATGATTCGAGTGCGTCGTTTAGGTATCGAGATGCTGCAGATGATTGCTGTTGCTGTGGATACATGGGCGGTCCAGCCAAAGAATGACGACGACGTGAATCTAGAGCTCCTGGTGACAGATGTTGTAAATCGTATTCTTGGTCTAATGCTCCAGTCCTAGATTTTTGAAAGTGAAAGTGATCAATATGATGTAGTTGCAGATAGTCCGAAAAGGGGAGCTTTCATTAATCAGTATTAAGATCCATAACATTTTTTTAGCATTAAATTTGAACAATTTACCTGTCCACATGTGGATTGTGCCAGTCTTGATACAGAGTAGGAGCATGACTGAATCGACGTCCTTGACGATAGTATTGCTGTACAGGGTCCTCCATAACAGGAGGCGTTCGTTCCATCAATGATGAAGTAGCTGATGGAGTATCCCACAAGCCTGGATATACAGTAGGTACGGTCGACGCCCGACGATGCATACCAGGTGCACGATCGTCGCCCCATAATAATTCAGGGAATTCAGCAGAAGACACAGACCCAGACTGTCCAACCCCATTATTACCATTCGGCCTTATTAAGGATTCACCATATAACAAATCTTCATTTACGTATCCATATGAAGCCGAATTGAATGATTTTGACCTGACTCGTGATGATGACGATATTGCTGTTGGTAGCGACGATGATTTTGAATATGCGAGTCCACCTGCATTACGTAAATCATTGGAGGTGTCGTCTCGAAGCGGTTGATGGGTAATTACGTTCTTGAAGGTGATCATGTTTAGATCATCATGATCATCGTCTGATGGTGATGAGCCATCATACCCTCCAGAGAAGGATACGCGCTTTGAATAGCCCTCTTCGTCTGGAGTAATCGCGTCTCTACCATTCTGGTTGTTTGGACTAGCAGTGACCATACCACCAGCTTTATCCCATATTGACGATGGCGATGGTGAGTTACCCTTCCATGGAGTATGTGCCGACATGGATGATTGCCAGGCAGACGAGTTTGTAGTTGCCGTCCTACTTCCGTTATTGTCATCGTGCTGTAGTATATGCATGCCTGGAGGTACAGGAGTCAGCATCAGGCCGTCTTTAGAGTAGCCAGGCGTTGGATTACTGGTAGCTCTGTTACGGGCGTTTCGCTCGAGTGATGTTGTGCCATTGGGATTGTTGTTTCCAAAGGCAATGTCTTCTACTTCGGATGGGCCCATGGGTATCGAGGATAGGGAATACGGCGAAGCATCTAGAGTCATTGATATGTGACTTGTGGGCTGATGTGATATAGGTGTACTTGGTAGAGAAGTTATGCTAGTTCTATGAGTTGGAGAACCTATAGTCTTCCAGGTGTGGTCGTCCGTAACGGCACCGAGGAATGCAGTAGATGGCGACAGTTTGGAAGGAGAGTTAGGTATGTTTACAGATTGTGGTTGTCTTCCAAATGGTTCTGAGGAGAGGGACAAAGGAGTCAGTTGGGACGTTTGAGTAGCAGTTCTAAATAGATTGATGAGGGCAGTACAATAAAGAAAGAGATCGTGTTTAGGAATGTTGCGACTGATTGCAGCCGCCTTGTAGTGTCAGTCTTGAAGTTTTCCCTTTCGAGGAATGTGGGTGTGGTTGTATAATCACAGCAAGAAAACAAGAGGGGTGATTGTTTCCTTCAATCTTGCAGTGTAACGGCTCCATGAATCATTTCTCCTCCCAAGTTGCAAGTCTGTTCAAGTTCTTACCTATATGTTTGCTTGAGAATGCATTCTGGCCTTGTTGTTGTGCATTATTGTTATTTGATGGAGACAGATACTGATTCATCATAGTTGGGCCTATGACCCAAGCTACCAGCTTATGTGAACGCTCAAATCCGCTTCGCTAGTATTGTCTACTGCCAAACTTTTACTCTGACTTCTTAAGCCCTTGCTGGTCGTCGCACACACATCACATGAGATGTCGTTGAAGCCCGAATGACTATTGTTTCTCAAAAAATATCGTGACGCGCACTAGTTCTAAATGACCGCTTAGCCAACCTGTCGCTGTCTCTACTGTTTCATCAACACGTCCTGTCGCCAACAACCCCAAAACTTTGTCTTTGAGTGGCACTGCACATAATTTGTCACATGTCATGCCGTAGAACATTGTTGTATTCGAATCTATATACATAAAAGTTAGTAATTGACCCTTTTAAAACCTGCGTCAACCCCTGTTCCTTCGTCAATTCACACTTGCTCCATTGCTAAACATTCGCATTCAACTCAAGATGCCGAGAACGCAACATTTCACCGAGGAACGAATACAAGATCATGATGAAGTTTGCGTTGCAGATCTACCAGCAAACATACATATCCCACCTGCTGTGAGACTGCAACTGTACCAAGCCGAGAAAGAGTCTGTATTTTTGTGGTGTTTGAATCAACCCAATTGATCAACATATACTAACTCCATTCATTTAATTGTAGCAATCTTCTAGGACTAGTACACTTATACTCGGCCACCGAATCCACAAAGGACTCCTTCCTAGCATCACAGTTATTTGCCCGCGCGGCCTTCCTCATACCAAACGAACCTTCCTACTTGCTCCACAGAGCATTAGCTTTACTACGCCTCGGAGACGTGCTGCTAGCTCTACCAGTTGCCATTGCTGCACGTGAATTGGCGAAACAGCAATTTCCAAATCACGGCGGTGTCTTTCTCGGACGCATCTTGGCCCAGATATATCTATGTCATGCTGGCAAGAGGCTGAAGGCAAACAAGTTTCGAGAAGTGCTCGATGCTATTGAGAAGGCTTCTCAAGTGTCGCCATTGTCGTTTGATGCTTTGTGGATGCGGTCAGTCGCTGTTAACACAATATTCAGCATAAAATTACTGACTCAATTCGTTCCATAGAGCTCAGTCGTATATTGCACTAGACGTGCGGGCACCATGCATCGAAACTCTCAGCCTCCTAATCGCAATGCGGCCATCAAACCCAGAACTATACGCCCAACGAGCCACGATGCACAAGGCCATGAACAATCCAGTCTCAGCCTTTCATGATATTTGCAGCTTGATCAGTCTTTTCCCGCAACATCCAGATATCAGGGATTTACAGATCTACATGTCTGAGTCTATCGTGGCTCTCAAGAATCGTGCTTCTGCGTGTGAAATACAGGACGATTTGCCTGGTGCTATTGCTGCATTGTCGCTGATATTGGAAATGGACGGAGGGGATCGGATGTCTTTGCTGAAACGGTATACGATTCCCGTATGTACTTTTTTGCCCATTGTGCTGATGTTTTTTCGCTTAGCGGAATACTGTACGCAAGAACGGGACTCGGAAACCAAGCTGTGAATGATTTGGGTCGCTTCTTATCTGATCCAACACGAGATTCTACACGAGATGCCGAAGCTAAACTGGAGCTGTCGAAAATCTGTGTGTTTCGTGCTCAACAGTCTCTTCAGTACGTGCAAAAACTCCCAAGTCAAACAACGAATTCCATTAACTTGATTCTGGAATATAGGACCCATGACAAGGGCACTGCAATGCAATTTTGTAACAAGGCCGTTGAATTCGATTCACACTACCCTGATGCGCTGAGATTACGAGCCGGTACTGTTTTCCTCAGTCCTATAATCACCCAAACGACATATACTAACAGCTCCAAACTATAGAACTATTTCACGGTCGAAAAGAACTAGAACGAGCAATCCAAGACATGCGAGCAGCTCACATCCTAAGCAACAAAACCGACAAGACAATCAACGAAAGACTCGCGACATTCTATTCCGAGTCTGGAGACTACAAGCTCGCTCATGGAGATTTTTCGAATGCTCTAGTCGAGTATACTCTTGCCATCGACATTGATCAGAAACATGTGCATGCGTTTTGGGGGAGAGCGAAAGCTAGTCTTGGGTTACAGGTACGATGATGATTGTTCTCCAAGAGAATTGGTCTTCTTTACTATCGTGCTTATTTGTCAATAGGATCCAGAGGCAGCCCGACGTGACGTTCAACAAGTACTAATGCTTGAACCACGTCATCCAGCAGCTGTCGCAGCGTCAAACGCATTAAATGAGCGAACGACACTTACACGTCCATTCCCGACTCGCAAGCTAAACAAGCTGCAACCGGCACGCGAAGTAGGTGTTTAGGCCCGTGAAGAACCACTTCTCCTAGTCCACTAGTTAAATAATCCAAGATCTTACACAATTCCAATACAAAATCTCATATTCCAAACGCTTCCTCACGCGAATTGACCTTCTGCGGCAGTACCAGTTCCAACTTTCCCAAAACAACATGATTATCGAACTAACCCTCCTAGCCCTCCTCATACTCATCCTATACCTCTTATCCCGCCGCACACCACGCACCAACAATGCTATTGTGCTCCTCGTCCTAGGCGATCTAGGCCACTCGCCACGTATGCAGCACCACGCACTCACGTTCGCGAATCTTGGGTACCACGTCTATTTCATTGGATATGCCGGATCGCTCCCATCGCAGGAAATAATACACCATGATGAAATCGAGTGTGTGTATATCCCGGCTCCTGTGCGTATGCAGGATGGGATGAGTTTCATCATGTATGTTCTTGTTGGTGTCAAGAGGGTGCTGGTGCAGGCGTGGGATGTGTGGAGCGTGCTGATGAGGGAGCCGGTGGGGAGTGCTGGGATTGTGTTGGTGCAGGTGTGTATCGTATTGTGCTTTGTGTTTTTACAACGTTGTATATGTGGTCACTACATATATTCCTCTTTTGGTGATAGAATCCACCAGCACTGCCAACACTAGGAATCATAACTCTTATATCATGGTACACGGCCTGTAAATTCATTATCGACTGGCATAATTTCGGGTTTACGATCATGGCTATGAGGTTGAGGAAGGGACATGTGTTGGTGCGGATTGCGAAATGGCAAGGTCTTGCACTTTGACGTCGATTTCTTTTGCATTACTGATAAGTGTATAATATCTAGGTACGAAATGCTATTCGCCAGATTCGCTCACGGCCATCTAACCGTAACGCGTGCAATGAAGAACGTGCTTGTAAAAGACTGGAGAGTTAGGTAAACCCTTACTTGGACCTTTTCCCCTTTTTTCCGTTTATATTTTCTCACTCTCATATTTCAAGCTCACCAATCCACATATACTACGACCGCCCCCTACCCACCTTCCACCCTCTCACCACTTCCCAAAAAACCACATTCAAAACCACCCACCTCATCCCCCTCACATCCCCACTCCTCATCTCCTCCACGTCATGGACGGAAGACGAAGATTTCTCCCTCCTATACAACGCGCTCGCCCTCTACGAAGCATCGCCAGATCCACTACCACACATAACAGTAATCATAACAGGTAAAGGACCATTACGTGCATCCTTTGAATCCAAAATCGCAATTCAGGAATGGGAGAAGGTGGAATTTAGATTCGAGTGGTTGACGCGTGAAGAATACCCATTGTTGGTTGGATGCGCTGATGTGGGTGTGTGTTTGCATACGAGTTCGAGCGGGTTGGATTTGCCAATGAAGGTAGTGGATATGTTTGGCATGGGGGTGCCGGTTTGTGCTGTTGGGTATGAGTGGTATGTGTATTTGTTACTGTGTTAGCATTGGTGGACTTTAACTAATGTGGGTTTTTTTGCGGTAGTTTGGATGAACTAGTTAAACATGATGTGAATGGGTTTGTGTTTACGAGTTCTGAGGAGCTGTTTGAGCGTATCAAGGTATGTGCATCGTCTCAACCCACCCTTTCGAGGTCTTATTGGCTAAAACACGCAAATATATAGGAACTCCTCTCAGGCTGGCCAAACAAGACACGGACACTATCTCGCCTCACGAACGGCGTAAGCATGACACGAACAGAGACATGGGGCCAAGAAACTGACTCGCAGCAAGAATTACATGCATTCATCAAAACTGTATCATCATAAATGTAAGATATCAAAGGCAAAAATGTATTTTAAAGACACAGCTTTTTATAATCAAGACAATATAAGACTTATAGTAAGTAGTTAAACTAGTTAAGGTGGGGGCGCGAGTTATAGTGTACATGTTTTTTTGTTGTTGAGCTTTTTGACAAAACTTTTTCCAAGAGATCCCAGGAAAGTATTTATGGATATACGAGAGACAGATAGAGCAAGTTTTTACTGTGTTTTGTCCATTTGACAATATTTAGAATGGGCCGAATAACATCCCTGATTGCGCTGCCTTCAGTAACACCGACGTTTGGTCCAGGGACCTTGATGGTGGTTGTTGTGGTACACCCATAAAGTACTGAAGCCTGGCATCTAAGCGAAACACGAAGAGATGAGTCTTTGTCTTTGAGATTCAAGGTTTGCAACTAGATAGTGGCACATCCTCAAAAGAAAAAGGTACTACAACTCACTCTTCTCTCGTGGCCTATTATCATGCGTAGTTACACTAGCTACTGACGCACGACGGTATTTATTAGGTCCTTGTGGCAATGCGATCTATAACATGAAAAAAGTTAAGCATATATGCTAAAGATAAACGCCGACCCACACAAAACTTACAGGTTGAGCTGGCCTTTCCGCGCACCTCCTCACAACACCAGGTGCCTCATCAATAAACCGTATCTTTGGACAAAAGTGCGATTCACTTCGTTCCTCAGCAGCGTTTGTGTTTTTACCCAAAATTGGAGGTGCGGTATTTGTTCGACGAAGATGGTGAGTGGTTTCTGGTACAGATGGGAGGTTTAGATGTATATTCTGTGGTGGAGTGGTTCCAGGCGAGCTAGATGTTTCTGATGGTGCATTGTTTTCTCCATCGTCGCTAGAGTCGGCATCTTGGTCGTGTGATTTCTGTGTGTTGAGATCCATTTCGAGTAACTTGGCAGAGATGAGAGCTTCCTGGGATTCAGACATGTGGTTGGAGGCAGTTATAGAGGTAGAGTAGCCCATCATATTGGTTTGGTAGGTCGTATCTTGTTGGTTGAAAAGAGATTTTAGATTTCTTGTGTTTTCGAGCCACCACATGATCAAAAGAGAAAAGATCAGTGTTGTACAGTGGAAGATCACGATAGGGGCAAGAAGGGCAGGGGTGTTTTGCCAGCTTTGCGGCAATAGGCGTGTGGTTCAGGTCTCTGCATCCTATTGGCTGTGGCAACGCCTCATGAAACCTTCCTGCTTGGTGCGTGCGTGATACTGAAAGGCCGTAACATCGTAAACGGTGAAGGAAGATTCGATGTGCGGTATGCCAACTATGTTGTATTTACATTTAAATAATACTTACAAAAGCAAAATCAAGTCTTCAATGGCGCAAGTCCAAGTGATATTCGAAGTTTGTTGGTTTCTTCGATACTAAGCTGATCATCACCTGCACCACCTTTACTTGCTCCTCCGCCTCCACTATTACTGCTCTTACTATTACTCGCAGCGGGTGGTTGTTGTGATGATGAAGCTGTTATGCCTGAAGTTGCTTTTTTCTTGAATAGAGAATCCACCTTAGATTTACTCCACCCCTTCTTTGGATTTCTCGACAGTGAAGAATCTTCAGCATCCATTCCACGCTCTTCACGACTAGATCGTTCATCATCACGTTTGTTATAGTCTCTGCTACTACTTGGACGGTGTCCATCATCACCGTCTCGTCTATCTCTGTCGTAATCACGGTCTCGTCGTGAATCGTAATCACGGTCTCGTCTATTATAATCACGATCACGATGGTCACGGTCTCTGTCTCGTCTGCTGTCGTATGAGTCTCGTCTACTACTACTACTACTATCGTGATCTCGTTTATCATAGTCTCTCCTATCACGATCTCTTCTATGGTCTGAAGATTCACGACGACGTTCAGCAGGAGAGCGATGACGAGGAGAGACTGAACGACGGCGTTCACCTTCATCATCATGATGCCGTCTCTCAATACGGGTACTATGTTTATCATCCCTGCTACTACTTTCTCGTTCTTTATAGTCACGATGACGACCATTAGATGATGACGGTATTTCCTTTTCTTCACCATCTTCTACATCATCGTCGTCATGATCACCGTTACGAGAATGCCTTGTACGTTCAGCGTCACCATTACCATCATTTTCTTCTTTTGGTTTATCATCGTCAGCATCCATAGCGTCCAGTTCATCTTCTAGAGCGGAGACACGAGGTTCTAATTGCTTCAAGTCTTCAAGGACGTGTCGTTTTGTTAGACGTGGTAGAATGGTATCGCAGACACGTTCTTCTTTAAGTAGCGAGTCGACGAAATCATCCATATATGTCAAAGTATATGATCCAGCTATCGGGGGAAATGATTAATGTAAGCTATTAACTCATCCAAAAAACCGTTCACAGTAGACCATCAACAGGGCTTTACCTGTCGTAATAGCACGTATCTTTCGAAAATCATCTAGCAGTGGTTCCAGATATCGATATACATCCAAAGCAGAGGCCGTAAGCCTCAAATAAAAGGCACCCAAGGCTCGTAGATACTTGAAGTCCTCATTCAAAATATACTCGACAATAATCTCCTTTTCTGGTTGCAGTTGCAGTAGCTTGAGAGTCAAACATAAGAACTCTGTTGGTTTTTGGTTTCCGAATTGACCTCCTATACAGTTTAGTTGGACTGCCTTGTCGATGAGAGTTTCAGCTTGTAAAAGAAGGTGTTCAGTTTGATGTGGTTTGAAGGGATGACATTGCTACGCAAACGAAGGAAGAAATGAAATGCTTTACCAGTCAGACCAAAACAAGATTCCTTCCAGTATATGGATTCGTATATCCGAGTTCGAACGATCTTCTCCAATAAGTACTGGGGGTTTGTTCCGTGGATTTGGCGAGCTTCAGTGACTAGTATAAAGCGACAACGAGGTTAGATTATTGCGATGCACTATGTAATAGATGAGAACCAGACTTACTTGTCCTGTTTGCCATTCCTTACTGATGGTCGTATTTTTTTTGGGATTCAGGAAATGGAAAATCGGTGCTATACTACTGGGAGGTGGATAAAGCCGCTTCAGGAATCTCGCAATGCGCCAATTGAACGTGATGACACGTGCTGGCTGTCGGAAATTCGTGATTTGAAACAATATAGATCCATTATTTGAGCCTGCATTAGAAGCTCAAACTACAGCCAAGCTACCGTATTGACGTGGCCATAGATAGATCCAGAGGATACATACCACTACAATAGCGATGAGTGTACTTCCTTTCCAATTAAACTATCTGTTCGTAAAGCTTTCGTCATCGTCATTCCATCCAACCACACGTCACTTAGAGCATAGAGTCGACTCGATTAAAGCAACATGGACGCAGTAACGAGGAGGCTCATGAAGGAGCTCAAGGACTTTCAAAAGTCGGGCGGTGAAGGGATACTGGCTCTTGCGCCCGTGAATGACCATGATATGCTCATGTGGAGAGCAACGATTTCTGGTCAGGAAGGTTCTTCTTATGACGGTAAGCTAGTAGAGCTTTGTCTGTCTATTGCGGATCTGAGAGCCTGAGTGAAGCAGATCCATTGGTTGATTGCAAAATTTGCTCACAATCCCAACACAATTTGCAACAACAGGTGGAATCTTTCATTTAATGATTGAAGTCCCCAAACAATACCCCATTCACCCTCCAAAGATACATTTCATAACGACCGTTTGTCATCCAAACATTCACTTGAAGGTACTATACATACAGTGTTCGTTGGTTTCAAGGATCTAACTCAAGCTCGTAGACTGGTGAAATCTGTCTGGATTTACTCAAATCCGCGTGGTCGCCTGCGTGGACGTTACAGGCTGCTTGTTTAGCTATAAGGGTGCTCTTACTCGTACGTACTTCATTACTGATGTGGATGGCAAGAGTCTCACAATCTCCAACATAGCACCCAGAACCTAACTCACCACTGAATTGTGATGCCGCCAACCTGCTACGGTGTAACGATGACAGAGGATATGACTCTCTCGTCAAGATGTATACATCCTTATACGCTGCTGATAATCAGAAGCTGAGGGGGAGTTGATACGCTGTAACTTGGTTCCTCTTTTCGGAAGGACGATTGGTTTGCATAGAAACACAGTTACAAAACATGCACACCACTTTCTAGTAGTAATACAGTTTTGCATTTTTTCCATATCATTTGCTCTACTTTGTGCAAAAAGAATCATGGAACAACTTTTCCCTCACCAACAAACAAAAAGATATTATTGTTTTGAAGACTTGAATCATGATTTCATGACCTCAAGAAGCTGATCAAGTAGATTGCAAACACGAATGGAATACTGAGGATCTGTTGATGCAAGAAGGGGCTTGACAGAGTCATCGATTTTGTTTCCGAATTGTGATTCAATAACGAGACGAGGAGTGAATCTCAGAACTGTCATTCTTACCATCAAAGCACCATGAATCACTTCAGAGGAAGTGAAGATTGCTGAAAGTACCCAGATGAGTGCAAGCAATACAAAGATCCAAGTAACGATTTCCTGGGTGTAGGTTGCTCCAACTAGTTTCAAACAGCAACGTTGGTCAGAGCATGATCTTACAGAACTGTCAGAAGTTATAGTTTAGTTTGACATGTGGTTCTTACCGGCTGTTGCCAAAATGACAGCGCCAATCAAGAACAGGAAGGAATCACGAGCAGCTTTTGTGGCATATTCAAACCTATCAGTCTGCAAAAACGTATCTCACTTGAAGCGTATGGTATGTCGTTTTGACTCGACATGACGTCTTTACATACCCAAGTAGTTTCCACTCGACCTTCAGCACCCAATTGGATGGGAGGGTTGCGAGCCTTCTTGCCTAACATGGCAACTTGAGCGACGTACCTAACATTGCAGTGTATTTGTCAACGAATGTCAAACCGAGTGATTGCAAAGGGATCGAATGGGAACATACATGACAACAAACAATGCAAACAACCCCAACCACATATTGTATTCGGCCCTATCAAAGGCTCCATGTGCAGGTGCCGAATAGTTCAAACCCGGTGGGAGCTTTGGAATAGGTGGGATGCCAGGTACCTTTGTTGGCAAGATGCCAGTTGGAGATGGAGTTGGTGCAGTAGGTTCAGTAGGAGTTGGAGCCTCAGTTGGGCTAGGAGTCTTGGGCTTTTTGTGCTTGTGGCTCTTTGTCATTGTTGATGTAATGTATACTGTACTTGTTTCTGTTGTGGTTGTTACTGATGTGAGAGTTTGAGTCTTGGTTATAGGTGGTAGCGTAGTACTCTTTGTCAGAGTTGCAGTTACCGTCCTTGTTTTCGTTTTAATGTGTGTGTGTGTATGACTTGTATGAGTGCACGGTTCTTTCAGCGGGAGCATGATAGTTGGGGCATTTTGACATCGTGTGAAGAAGAATTTTACTTGGAAGCAAAAATCAATAAAAAAGTATTTTCATACCTGTATTTCACGTGTTCGTCCTGTTTAATCACGTAGATCTTGCGTTTCGTCTTCACTAGAAAGCTCCGAGTTCCCATAAACGTTTAATACTGCATCGTTCCTTTGAAGAAACCATGAATGGCTCAAAAAGGAAGATGCATCGCACCTCTACCGCCACCAAGAGCGCTTCAAGTGCTTGCATTCCGCCCTGCTGATGTTCGTTGGCCTCAAAATCTGAAACCTGGAAGTCCATCACCGCAAATCGACTTATATCCATCGAATACCGTATGGGAGCAAGAACCATTCAAGTATCCAGACCAAGATTCAGAATCGGATTCGAATCGTGGTCCGACTGTTGCGAAGAGAAAACGCCGTGATGTCAACATTGGTGCTTCTGCGGCAGCACAAAACCAACAGCCTCCCATTCCACGTATAGAGATCTATGAATCTCCCAATCTCGCTGTAGAAAAGTCTTCAACTGTGCCGCCGAGCATCCTGGGCCAAGCACGAGTACCTCTACCTGAAGGTGCTATTCGACCACCGGAAGCCTTAATTTTTGACTCACATTTCGAATCTGGGAACCTCGCATACGTAACTCTCGATACTACCACCAGCCATTATTCCCATTATTTCCTGTCTATTCGGCCAGACATTGATACTATTGGGCACTGTCAATGGTTTTGGGTCCGAATACGAAACATGAAGAAAGACATGAAATACAGATTCAGCATCGTGAATTTCATGAAAAAGAAAACACTGTATTCAAAGGGTATGAGACCGCTAGGATATTCTTCCAAGAAACGCAGGTGGAGTCGTATTGGGAGTGATGTTCGTTATGTGGAGAATGTCGAGGCGAGGAGTCTGGGGGCACTTCCTGGCAGGCTGTGGTGTTTAGAGTTTAGTTTTGTCTTTCCAGATGATGATGATGTGTTTTACTTTGCACATTGTTATCCGTATACGTATTCTTATCTTCAGCAGTAGGTGGCAAACAAAGAGAAAAGCTGAAAATGATAACGCGTTTAACTTTGTCATTCTGTTTTTAGAACACTCAGTGGTATATTAAGCCATCCAGTACAGTCTCTACATGTCCGGCATACAGTAGTTGGACGGACTATAGCCGGGAACAAGTAAGTGCACTTGTATTTAACCCAATGTGACAGTTACCAACACGATTTATAGTCTAGACATGCTCACAATAACAGCACGCTGCGATGACCCTCAGGAACTGGCAAAACGCTGTTGCATCTTCCTAACAGCAAGAGTGCACCCTGGCGAAACAAACTCTTCATTCGTCTTGCACGGTTTCATGAAATTCATCCTCTCAGAGCACCCTGAAGCACGCTTTCTTCGAGAACACTTTGTCATCAAACTAATTCCCATGCTGAACCCCGATGGAGTTATCATTGGAAATCATCGGACGAATTTGAATGCGTGGGATATGAATCGCACATGGGGGCTAGAGAATCTCAAGCAAGAGGTTCGAGCACCTGAAATATATCTGGCAAAGCAGTGTATTCTGAAGACACAAGAGAAGAGAAGGGTGGTGTTTTACATGGATTTGCATGGGCACATGAAGAAGCTGGCTACGTTCATATATGGGTGTCGTGGGCAGGATATGAGGTGAGGAAGGATGCTTCGAAGTTCAAGCAAAATACTGTCCTGAATTGTGTTATGCTAGGTATCCCGAACGAGTCTTTCCCTATATGATGAACACTTCAGCACCAGACACATTCTTTTATCGACGTTCGACTTTCAGAATGGATAAAGGAAAAGCAGGAACATCTAGAATAGTGCTCTACAATCAAGGCATGACAAACTCCTTCACTCTCGAGACTTCTTTTTGTGGAGTCGATACATCAAACCATGGTGGATATCACTACTCTGTACCAGATTTGGAACGTATCGGACTTGAAATTGCCAAAACACTCTTTCAATACTATAAAGAGACGAAATCTATTGAGAAAATAGAGCGTGTGCTTGCGGCACGCATCGAATCTGGAGAGCAAGGATATGCTGATAACGACAAGGAAGGATCTGATGATGATGATACAGATTCTGATGATGAGCAGTTACGAACTGTTGTTGAGAAAAAGAAGAAAAAGAGGAAGAAGAGGCAGCCCGGGAAACTGAAACCGGCATCTACGAATGATGTTCGTAGTGACGCGGTGACCAAGGATACGAATGTTGTAAGTGCTTCATCCAAAGCAGTTTTCTCCTGATTTTTCTCGCATGCGGCTTGACCTGACTTTTTGTATCTCAAATAGCCAAAACGATACACAGCTTCAGCACCAGCCTCCCTCCTACCACCCATACCATCCAAAGAAATGACACCGAATCGAAGACAATCTGTCATTCGTGTCTTTAATCTTACAACCTGTGATTCCATCCTACCATCAGCAGCCTCGCCACACATACCATCAACAGAGACAATACAAGAACCACCAAAACGAGCCTTTACCATCAAAGTCGCCAAAACGCCAACACGACTCGCAAGTATACCTTCAGCGCAACCACCTCACCAAAACAAAAGCCAATCAGAAGAACATCAGCACACAAACCCAAACCTGAACAGCTCTGAAGCTATCTCTACCCGACAGATAGTCGCAACACCCACACAATCCCCATCCACAACACCACACGACTCAACAGATGCAATCACGTCCGAAGACTCATACGACGTAAGAGCTACCCAGATCAATATTGAGGGCCCGCCACCAGCTGGAACGGCACTGTCTCCGTATGAGAGGTCGGTCAAGATTGATATGAAGGGGCATGTTGATTTTAGGAATCGTAGACGGGTGACTGACATACCGTCGTCTTTGTTGCTGCCTGCTTTGCTACCAAAATAGTCAGTTATTGTATCGAATAAACTAAAGTGTTTCGGTACAAAAGATGACTCCGGTGTTGTTGTGTTGGTGTCGTTTGTGTTTAAGAGAGTTCGAGGAAAGTATCAAACATGTACAGTGGTTACAGTGATTTACCGCATTCCTTTAGAACGCTTATTGTGTCTTCATTCGTACGTTTTTTCTGCTGACAGGGCGTGATTTTCGCAACTGAATATTGAGCAACAGGAAAAGACAGCAAATGTCCTCTTCTGGAAGCGTTAAACTCTTTATTGGAAGGCCATAACGCGTAAACGAACTCGTACTCCTTCCTGCAATAGGGTGGCGTAGTCCTCACTAAGCCGTCAACTTCAAAAAACGGCAATCACAATCAAGACACAAGGGATTTGACGATGGCGGACGGGGACTACGGCAGACAAAAGAAGCTCGCTACAGTCTATGTAGTCGTAGTTGGCGGTGGTGGAGTCGGAAAAGTATGCTCTTGTGCACGTTGGTTGGTTTCAAAGAAAATGGCTATAGGACAGCGATTATAAACTTACTTGCAACCTGCTTACTACATAGTCTGCCCTGACAATCCAGTTTATACAAGCTTATTTCGTTGACGAATATGTAAGTTTGCTTTCCATCAAGGAGTCGGTGTGAGACTTGTTTGAAATCCACCATCTCAGTCCGTCTCGTCGAACGAGAAAGCGACTATGTGGAGAGGCTCGAGACACGGTTTACAAGTGTTATTGATTTAGGAAGTTGAGTTTGACTTTATTTTCTTGGCTTTTAGGATCCAACAATCGAAGACTCGTACCGAAAACAATGTACCGTAGACGATGAACTCGCCTTATTGGATGTCCTGGATACAGCCGGCCAAGAAGAATACAGTGCAATGCGAGGTACATATATGTTTGGGGTGCTGCACTTAGCTAGAGACATGTAGCAGATAGAACAGAGATACAGACCAACATGAACAACCACACAATCGTAACTAACATACCAAATCTCTCTTCCGCTCATAAATCAACACACAGAACAATACATGAGGACAGGAGAAGGATTCCTATGCGTCTACTCAATCACAAACCGAAACTCTTTTGAAGAAATAACCACCTTCTACCAACAAATCCTACGAGTAAAAGACCGAGACTATTTCCCATGTGTTCTAGTTGGCAACAAGGCTGATTTAGAATCGGAACGACAAGTGTCTGTTGAAGAGGGCAGGAAACTGGCCCGAGATATTGGGTGCAAGTTTATAGAGACGTCTGCTAAGAAGAGGTTGAATGTGGATGAGGCTTTTTATGCGTTGGTTCGTGAAGTGAGTACAGTTCTTTGGCGTTATACCTCGTTTAGTGCTATGTGATCCTAGACTGACAGAAGGTGCTTGTTTTGTTGTTAGATACGAAGGTATACACGTGAGCTTGAAAACCGCTCAGTGCATGGAAGAGCTTCGCCACATAAGAAGAAACAAAGGGACAGCAGGGTGAGGGTCAGGGCGCGACTGTTGACGAAAGTTTGAACGATCATGGACCCTGAGCTAACTTCTCGTCGTCCTTTATTAGGAACGCAAATGCCTGATCATGTAAATCTTTTTCTAGCCATAATTCATATATTTTTCTCACTTTTATTGCATAATATAATGACTCTTAGGCCAGCCGACACGTCGTTCATGTTTCGCTTCGCAGCAACGTAGAGCTTACGTGCCAACACAGCTCGCAAACATGGCAGCAACAGCAACCATTGAGATACCAATCCGTATACGACAGCTGTTATCTGTTGGATCTATTCGCGTTGTCATTGATGAACTGCTGAAATTCGTATTATTTACTAGGTCGCAAGTGCCATCGTAAGCAACGACGAAAGCATTGAAACTGACATATCCAAGCTATGCTTTACAATATTGTCTGCTTGAAACTAACAAATTGCGCTCTCTCTAGTACTGTAGATCAACTCATCAAACGCACCACCACAAATCAACCCAACAACAGTCGAAACACCAAAGCTTTACAAGTGAGCTAGTATACACCATTTTCATGCCGAGTATCATTCTAAAACTTCATTTAAACCTAGTTTTCAAACTCTTTTCAATCCGTAGCTGAGACATTGCATAATGCTCTACACGAATTCTTACATCAACCTACTGACGATACCACCACCACTACAACATCACAACTACCTACAGTATTACTGGTCTTTGGATCCAGCATCACAATGCCGAAAGAAATCTGGAGGATCTCATTACGTGACTGCTTCAAACGCGACATGCAAATCGCAGATATAAGTGAAGGCGATGTGAGGAAGATGATGATGGGGTTGGTGGATTCGTGTAGTGGGATTGACAGTCTTGAAGATCTTGGTATGTATAAATATCATGTTTGGTAAGTTGTGAATGTGTTCTGACGTTGATACAGGTCTATCAAAATGCCATATCGTAATCCATGCACCGCGTGTGCCAGATACGTGCCCAGAAGGACTGGTGACTATGGAACGATTCGCGATCAGGAAGCAGACTGTTGTGCTGGATTTGGTTTTGAGTTGTCTGGATTTGGAAGATGAGTATCCTGGTGGGGTTGAGGAGGCTGAGATGGAAGATTGGTTATATTATCGAGTCAAGATGGGGATATCTGGTATATCGAATTGAGAAGATTGTCGAAAGGGAAGTCAGGGCTTCGTTTAGAGTCGGAGGGCAGCAACAGACTAGAGTAACTTATCGTATTCACTTTGTACAGATGTATTTACTACTTTATTTGATACAAGAATGCAGTTTATTTAAAGAGTTGAGGGTGTTTGCTGCGGATATATGCTTGGAATTTGTCATTGCCTCCTATAAAGGACTTGCCACCGTCGTCACATCCTTGCCACGTGAATGGCGATGTTCGATGGGAGCTTGCTCCTGGTATCTCCTACGAAAGTAGACAGAGGGCGTTTGAGCTTCCAATTCTATATCTCCCTGTCAAGACGATCCAAACCCCGTTTTGACAGAATCTCACAATCACAGCGATGGTATATTCACCTTCTGCCAGTTAGATCTCGTAAAATCCCACGCAGGTCTACTAACTCCAATAACCTCAACCTTGACATTCGGCAGCTTTTTAAGTCTCTCGCCTAGATGTTTGGCACCCTGGAAGTGTGGGCACGAATCGAATCCGGATATGTAATAGCATGTTGGAGTGGACGATGTGTCTACCGGCGTGGTTGAGGTAGTATTTGTCAATACAGGTTGCTGTTTGGTAATCTTTGATGCTCCGATTTGAATTTCTGGTTGGTGCTGTTGAGGCTGGTCGACAGACACCACTACAGGATGAGAGTCTTGCAAGACGATACCTTTTTGGAAGATGTATGAGCCGGTATAATACACAACGACTGGGAGAATGAAAGGCAATGAGATGAAAATGTGAGTTGATGAGAATTGTGAAGGTATAACAGTTTGGCAAGGTACGGTACCGGCTGCGAATATGAGGGCTCCTATTCTAGTTAGTGTTCTTGCAGACATGCTGATTTAGTTGCTTGTTGTATATGTCTCTCGAGGTGGTGTCTTTGGAGTTTTGCAAGTCAAGTTTGGGAAGCCTGCTCGCTTCTTAGACGTAAGGCAAACTGTGACGCGTCCAATGAGCAAATGAGATTTAGTTTTGAAATTAAGCTGAACTCGCCTTCACTTCGCGGTTCCAGTTCGTGTCAGGTCTCAAGCAAGCTCTGTGCTTTAAGTATTTTTGGTGATTTTAGCAGTATGGACTAGCAGAGGACTTCCCCCTTGCGTTCGCTGAATATACGACCTGATTGAGCTTCCTTGACGCGAAAAATAGGGAGAACGATGACAACGTTGGCAGTTTGACCGTTCCATTCATTCTGAGTTTCTCGGAACGTCGTTCTTCCTGTTTTTTGAAACACAGCTTTAACAAAGATACAATACAAGGTGGAAGCTATGGGACTCAACTTGACTGGCCAAGTAGCTGTAATCACTGGAGCTTCGTCTCCTGGAGGTAAATGATGGACAAATGCTTCCCAGTGTTACAGTGTTGTTTGTGACTTTGAACGTGAATTGTGGTGGCGATGCAGTATAAATCAATGATCAAAACTGACTGCTATGCCTTATTTAGGAATCGGTTTCAATGTTGCCAAGAAACTGGTTAGCCTCGGGGCATCAGTCGTAATGACGGATGTGTTGCAAGTACGCTACTACATTTTGCCACAAGACATTCTGCGTCTGGACTAGATCAAACACTTCAACGCTTTGCATTTTCTTGTTTTCTTTTGTAGAAAGTCGGTTTGGAATCTCAAGCTGCCCTGGAAAAGGAGTTTGGTGCCAAACGTGCTCTGTTTTTACGGGCTGATATTACCCAACCTCATGAACTTGAAGGTACTTTGCGAGGCCTCAAAAATCATTAAATCAAATGCACTCAGTGACCTTATGCTTTACTTTGTGTTTGCCTTTGGATTGAATGACTTGAATGCTCAAAGCGATTTCTTGTATATAGGAGTAATTAAGGAAACGATTGCTAGATATGGACGCCTCGACATTATGATCAACAACGCAGGAGTGACGCCTATCCTGAGCCAAGAGACTCCAGGTAAACGGCTCCATCTACAGAGGAACAAAACGAAAATTATGACTTTACTAACTGAAACTTTTCTCATATCAATTACCGAAAATAAGTCTACCAGTGGAAGCGCTCAATGGACATTAATATCACGGCTGTGTATGTTTGTATTGTCGTCAAAGTTTTCCTTTTGTGAGTTTCTTTGTCACTGACGCAGTTGTTTGTTTAGAATTCACGGAACTTGGTTGGCTCTTGAAGAATCTCGTAAATCAGGTCGAAAAGTAACTATCTTGAGTACCGCAAGTGCGGCTGGGTAAGTATATTCCGGATTGTTTGTTTTTCAAGAAAACTTTTTGACGATTATTTTTCTTGAACTCGCAGCACTCTACCAACTGGTTTGACTGTATACACTGCAGGGAAATTTGGTATGGAATTCTCGTTCGTCCAGTTGATGCTGATTTGTTCAATGACTGGTTTTGGCACTTGCTCAATAATTGACAGTCTTGACCAATATTTCCTTCTCTTACAGCTGTTGTTGGATTCATGGGTAGCATGCCTCTCTACGTACATGCCTCAAAAGCCGGTGGAATTCCGTACCCTGACGGTATCAGGTTTGGATCAGTGTGTCCAGGCTCAATATTCACGCCGATCACAAATCCCCCCGTTCCAAACGGCGTGGATCCAGTTTTATTCAAAGCAAGACAGAAAGCCTACTATGACGGCATCGAGGCATTTGGAGGATGGTTGCCCATGGAGAACATTGTCGGCTGCTACATTAAACTACTCGAAGATCAGACTTTAAACGGTGCTGCATGGTAAGACAGTGCCGCTTGTTTACAAGGCCCTTTAAAAGTGCAATGAAAAGTTAACTAGATAATCGTTTACCAACCGATTTCTACCCTTTTTCAGTGAAATCACAAACCCAAAGACAAAGGAAGTCATTGTCTTGCGACACCCACATATTGATGGAACTGCGTCCGAGCGAGTACAGCAATTCTATTTGCCCGATATGAAGCCGGATTTGAATAAGCCTCTTGTCAGCAACAAGGTTGATAGAGCTAGTTTGAATTTAAAGGGCCAGGTTGCGCTAGTTACTGGATGCTCTGATCCCAATGGAATTGGATATAATGTTGCTGAAGCTTTGTTGAAGGCTGGGTGAGCTTGTATTTTTGGGTTTGGATTTTAGCGTCTCAAAGATGCCTCTGATCTAAAGGTGTTTTGTTTCTCGAATTACTAAAACATCCCAATTCTCTACTCTAGTGCCATTGTCGTAATGACTGACCTTTTAGACGCTGCAGGTCTTGAAGCTCAAGCCCACTTTGAAAAAATCTATGGATCTGGTCGTGCTCTATTCATTCGAGCAGACGTGACCCAGATTCACGAAGTCGAGGGTGTCTTCCGTGAAATCCTTCGTCGCTACAACCGTCTGGACCAAGTGATTAATAACGCAGGCCTGTTTGGCAACTTTGGAGGTATGAGCCTGATGTAATGACTTGTTTTTTGCGTATGTTCTTGCTGATTGAAAGTGATTCTTTAGACAATGTTCCATTCAGTCGATGGAAGAGAATCATTGACGTCAACTCAACGTCTGTAATTCATGTTGCATGGGAAGCGATGCAGGTTGCGCTGAAACTCAACAAGCCTGTTGTAAGTTGAAGGCATTCAAAATCTTCCTAGTCCTGTCTTTTTTTTGGTAGGTTAAAAAACTAAACTAATTCTATTGATCGCATTCAGAACATTGTCTCAACTGCGTCAGTAGCTGGAACTCATTGTTCACCTGCAGCTATCTAGTAAGTGCAAAAGAACAGCACATCGAAAATTGACCAATTGTGAACAAATCGACTGCTCACTAAATGGAATGATACTCACAATCTTTATCTATTCAGCCATGCATCGAAATGGGCTGTTACTGGTACGAACCGTTCCTTTCCGAATCAACACATTTACAACACCAAGTCTTGCAGTAGTCTCACATCTTACACATAGGAATCACTCTCTCACTCCCAATTTTCGTCCACCAACAAAAATTGATGGGATTGGCCAACTACCCCGAGGGAATGAGGTTCAACTGCGTATGTCCTGGTGTTGTGGACACGCCCATGACTCAGCCAAAATCACAGCCAGTTGTTGGCGATGGTGCTGAAGTCATGGAAGGTCTTAATACTTCTTTCTCTGCTGGTACGAATTTGATATTGCGACGACGGTAAATAATTCAAGCCATCAATGATGATTTACTGAGCACCTCTTTTTAAACTTTTTTAGGAGCCGCAACTTTTGGCGGATTCTGTCCCATGAATGAAATCGTGGACTGCTTTCTAATGGCCATACAAGATAAATCATTGAATGGATCTGCAATTCAGTATTCGGATCCTCAAGCTGGTGAGCACTTGTGGCTCTTCCTGTTTCTGAGTCTTCTGGTTTTTTTGTTTGTACCAAAATTTCTATAAGAAAGCAACTGATATCCGACTTCTGTTGACTAGGCCGAATCGTTCACAAGTACCCTCACGTCGAGGGAAACCCTACCAAGGCTGCTCTTCGTTACTACCCTGAAGAGTTAAAAGACCTCATTGCTGCTGGAAAAGCTCATTTGTGAGGATCTCACAGTAGTATTTGCCTTGTCTTTCAATAAAACAACGGATCGTGGACAAAAACAGACAATGGTTGACTCGTTGCAATTGTGTGTTCGTGTTCTCACATGCAAACGATGTTCTATTTCTACCAAGCTATCCAAAAGACCATCTTTTCACACAGGACCACACAGAACAATTCTATAGTACCAACGCTCACACTCTTCTCTTTGATTCCAGGCAAACTAGCAACATCATCCTCACCATACTAATAAATAGGACGACTTCTTTGCAACAAAAAGGCGACGGCCCTTCTCATGGCGTTGCCAGAGCATCAGCAGCTGTAATGGTGTCCTTCATGCATTCAAATAACCAAAAAAACCGTCCACAGATACCCTAATCGAACGACGACATTCAACACCGTCACTCGATGATTTCTGAACTGGTGTTGAATAAAGATGATGTGCCTTGAGACCATTTTCTGAGATTATGCGACGGTTAGTCAGCAGCAAGATACGAAGGCTAGAAGTAAAAACAATTAGCCGTGACCTGGTCGTAGAGTAGTTTGCCCACACTGATCAATCATGAGCCATCTTTATTAGATCACAAAATCAGACGTTAGAAAAGACCAGTCTTTTAAACGTACCTCCATCAATCAAACCCACAGCAATAAGCAGTCCACAGCCCACATCCAATTGAACAACACCAAACACAACCAAACCCTATTAAAGCACATGCAAACAATTCTATATTATGTAGTAAGCTATACAAATAACACCCTTCACCCAACACGAGAATTCAACTGTCCCAACGCTTCCCCACTCTTCTCCTTAATATCCGGCAAACCAGCAACAACCCTCACCAATACACGAGCTTCAATACTCTCATCCTTACTCACTTCCACATTCGTTCGTCTCGACGGTGCAGCCATACTACTGGTACTGCTACCACCCATCCCCAACAATCGTCTCAAAACACCAACATGAGCGGATAATCCCAATATTGTCTCACTACCTGATACCATATATTGCGTTGCAAGACCAGCAGCGGCGGTAATGTGCCCTGCGACAGTCAAATCCGCAATCGTTGCTGATACGATGGCACGACGACATTCAATAGTGTCACTCATTTGTGGAGTGGTGTCTAATAGCGAGGTTGTGACTAGAGACCATAGTGGTGATATGACTAGTTGAGATGCTAGACCACGTCCACATGCCATCAAGAATACGAGACGTGTGAACATATTTCTGGGTGGCAATGACTTTGACGTGGACGTGGTCTTGTATGCTCCAAGGGCTTCGACCGTCGTAGATACTATTGATTGTCGATCAGACAAGAAGCCATGTAAGAGATGCTGAATTGGATCTTGACCATTCAGCAAATTCAAGAGTTGCGCTTCAACCTATATCGAGTGAAGAGGAGTGTTATGTAGGGACGTTGCCGTTTCACTTCCACTTGAGATATCTTTTTTTACCTCTTCGGACAAAATACCATCAGACGGCAGCGACAACCTAGCTTCCAGCAAGAGCTGATACTCTGACCCCTCAGCGAACTTGAGCAATACATCACGCCAACAATTTATAATATACTCGGCATTGACTGATTCTGTCTGTGACCACCCTTCCAGTAAAGTCAACAGAGACTGAGAAGTCGACGTGTTTCGTGCTGACTGTAGCAAATTTACAAACAAGGCACGACGTGACTCGGGTGTCTCAGCATCAGTGGACGAGATCTATCATTGCTGGTGGTTAGCTTGATGTTTTTTGGGGACTGGCGATCAAAACTTACATCCATTCCAAATGATTCTTTTACAAGTGCGGCCATCTTAGCCTGCTGCAGCTTCTGAACAACAGATGTATCTCCTGGATAGTTCTGCGAATCAAAGCCAATAATTAAAAAGCGCCCAAAAATGCTTGCTCATTTCTAAAGCAATCACCTTTTCAATAATATCAGCACAAGCCAGCTTAACACCTGGATCCACATTCGAATCCTCCATCAACCTGACAACCTCATCACGCATTATGAGTTCAACTTTAGTCAACGACGCTTCAATACCAGACTCTGTATTCCATCCTCCTCCTTCGACATCATCATCTCCAAACACAACGCATTGAGTGACGGCTTGAATGACCCCCTCGGCTCTTTCCACATCCTCCAGAGATTTAGATTTAAGAATATCTCGCAGTACTCGTTGATATATTTGGCATACATCTATGGGTACGTCCAGAGTAGAGGCTAATGTGGCCAAACCGTAGACGAGATGAGGTGACGTTTTATCCAGAATCAGGGACACGATCACTTCTGAAAGCTGAATGAGAAAAAAATGAGCACAGGTTGCTACAAAAACGCGAAGACGCTAAGTTGCTTACATTCTCTCGATTATTCGTAGCAGTCCATTCAATCTTTTCCATCATCATGGCCGAAAGCTTTTCCTCCGTCGATGGATCAGAAAGTTTGGACACGGAATGAATAAAATGCAATTGCTGATATATGGAATGAAGCGAGTCCAAATCTGCAGTCTCGCCATCAGACAAGGTCAAGGCATGCTCGATGAGTTGAAGACGAGCAGAAACCGACAATACACGAGTGAGAGCAAGGTCGTGTACTACTTCACCGGCGTCGTGAAGAGATAGTTGAGGTAGCATTTCGTCGATCTCATCGATGATCCTGTAACAAAAAAAGTCAATGGTGACTGAAAGAATGTCCATATGACGAGGTAAATTCTCTTACACATTCGAATCGTTGGCACTCCCTATAGCAGCTTGCAAATTGGCAACATGTGCGCGATAAAGCAGATGCGCTACATCCTTGACTTGTGTATCAGATCGAGCATATTCAGCTTCATCAGGAAACACGGATTCGGGTTGCAAATCCAACATCCTAGAGCCAAAAAACAAGGTTTGTGAGAAGCATGTATTACAAGGTTCCACAATCCTTGTATACCTTGGAAGCAACTCTACAAGCGCATCAGCAAACTCTCTAGTTGGAGTCGTCTTCCACAAATCCAAATATCCCGATGCGCCCGTCGAATTGAGTTTGATAACCAATCGCAAATCCTTTTGCACAAAGTCTGTACGTGCAGCAAGATCTTCAGCAAGAGCAACTCTCCATGCAAGTCGTGCAGAGAGGTCAGGATCCTATCAAAACATTACACAATATGTTAGAAAGTAAAAAAGCACTCATCACCAGTCTCAACACTCACAGTTGAGTCGACACAACGTCTAATTAGTCCATATAACAGCACTAGACGTTCATGATCATTCACAGCGATATCAGAATGAAGCACTCTCAAACATTGCAACGTCTGAGCAGTATCTCTCATAAGCCGTTCTCGAACAGCATTGATTCGTGATCTTAGAACCGATACCGGCAATTGCTTCTGACGAAAGAGCCAGCAAATGTGGTGAATGCATATCTATAGAGTGTGCGATAACTGAGGTGAGTAAATGATAAGAAACGTAGCAAAGAATAATTTACTCACATCGTAAATCCCAACACCAAACTGCTCTGCAGACTTAATCGCATCCGCGAGACCACTAACTTCCACAGTCTCAGCCAGTGCTAACAAAGATTCTCGACGGTATTGTGGATCATTGGAAAACTTGTCAGCATCTACACCCTTCCTACTTGCGACTTCCTAAGACATTGAATATAGTGTGAGAATCACTGTATGAAGAGACGAGATGAGATTCACCTTCACAACAGACTGCTGGCGCCGATCTTTAGCACGTTCAGAACATATTAACCCATGATCTAAACTCTCCTTAGCCATCTTCCACGCATCAACCGGCTGCTCAGATTTGCCAGCAAGTACTTGCTTTAAAGCTTGACCAGCCAAAGCAATTGCAGAAGGTGTATATAATGCGATATCTTGAATCGCTGATGGTGATTCGGCTGAGGTCAAGCCCAGTACAGCTCGTAAAGCATAAGCGTATATAGCGAATTGCTCGTTATAGGTTGTTGGAGGAATTGTATCAAAGAAGGAATCCATTTGTGATATCTAAGCCACAAAAAACGGTGATATACACGCAACAAGCGGAATGAAAGTAATTGCATCCTACCTCGATATTCAGAAGAGACACCAACGCCAAAGCAGCATCCGACTTCCATGCAGCCTGAGCCAAATCAAGTGCACTAATACGTGATGATGCTCCAGTCTCCAGTGACCCGGCTTGAATGAATTTGGCCACCGATTTAGAATCCTCACTTTGAGCAAGAGACTCGATTCTCGTCAACAATTTAATCATATTAAGACGTCGAATTCTCTTGTCGTCTCGATCAGCATCACAGGTATACACATCCACACTGGAGGTTGTGAGTGGTTTTTGATAGAATTCGTTTATGATCAGCCCATCAGACTGAGGACTAGTGTCTGACGGTAACGCATTCAAGACTTTGTCTGCCATATCTGTAAAATCGGTGGGAGCGTCATACCCTAGATATTTCACAAACTCCGATTCAACAGCTGCCCGACTCCAAGAATCCAGAGCATCGCCAATTCGAGATGGCGGACACAGTGCAGTTACATGGCCAAGAAGTTTAATCTTGTCATTAACGTCAGGATATTTAGGATGCGTTGATAGTCGATAACAGACCTGCCAAACAGCATCAATGACTTGCGTTTCAGGAACCATAAGTACTAGCCCGTTACATTGGGTTGTAGCGACTTCCCAATTTTCGGAATCTATGGCTGTATCAGCTATATATGATCGTACTCGGATTTCCGTCAACAATGAATCTGATTTCGGAGGGGACAGTTTACGGGCTATGTCAAGCCATTTTTCAGCGTTTCCAATCGTATTGGGAGAAGCCTTGAGAGCTTTTGGTATCAAGGCGATACGATCGGTCGACATGCGAATCTGCATAGGTAGAATCTCGAGATCGGCTATACGGGATAAAGCATGGGTGGCTTCAATCAAGTCCATTTCTGATCTTATCCGCGATTTACTTGGCAAGATACGAAGGCTAAAAATGAAAACGTCAGACATCTTAGCGACTTAGTGATCGCTATTTTTTTTTGTTTCGTCACTCACCAATCATAAGCCATCTTCATCAAACCCAGCGTCATATCACCGGACTCTGCATTATCATAAAATTCACGACTAGCATCCAATATCAGAGTTTCAATTTCTTCCTCTGATAATGGTGGCATGTCCTTGACTCCAGAAACCAAGTCTCGTACTAGTCCAAAGCCTAATTTTCGAGCAAACAAAACATCAATCAGATGAGAACTATATATCATCGTATCACCGCATAACTTACGTCCAGCACTAAGAGCAACAGCAATAAACTGCCGATAAATCTCATCCAACTCAACAAGACCCAATACACCCAAAGCTCTCAACTCCATCATATCGTCAAACAAGGCCTTCCAGACAGTATCACTAACATCCGTCTTTCCCAACGCAGATGCAGAATCATCTCTAGCAAAACGACGTACAAGTTGTGTACAAAGTGCCTTTTGTTGAGCGACATGATCACTGACAGATGACAGCCAAGATAGAGCTTTGGGGACCTTGTGTCGGGCTAGGATACGAATAGCAGCAAGATGACATTTCAAGACTTCTAGCCGGACATTCAAGTCATCTAGAAGTGCTTCATCTTGAGAGTCGTCAACCGAGCCAATCTCGTTCAGTGCACCGATTTCATATAAATCAGGTGCACATGCTGCGAGGCGTTCTAGCATAGATAGCGGGACCGTCTCCGTAGCTAAATATGCGGTTTCAAGGACAATTTGGGCTTGAATGATTCGTGACTGAATTACTCGTTTGTCTATAGGCGCTTCATCTGCTGAAATTTCTAGGATTCGTACAGCTAAATCCATCCCTTCTTTACCCTCTGTAGCTTTGGAGACAATCCAATCACCAAAGACTCGAGCGCTATCTCCTGCAATACCTCGTTTTCGTCGTTTGAGGTTTGCTCGTTGTAAGAAGGGAGCTACAAATCGACGAGCTACTTCTAGCAATTCAAATCCGAGACTCATAAACATTCCGATTATATCAAGTTCAGAAGCAGTTTCCATTGTTGACAGATTCAGGTTGACTACGTCGCTGGAGCCTGGCGAGTATCGTTCGTATATAAGTGTGGATAGATTCGTCAAATCCCAGACCAGTTCATTCAAATCATATCGACTGGTGCTCATTTTAGCTAATTCCAAAGCTAGATTGGGCAATCCTGCTGCTTCTACGAACCGAATTCTACCGACAAGCCAATCTCGTACATTCGGTACGGTTATTTGAGTACGTTGAATGACTGATAGCGTTAAAGGAGGCTTCCAGTCGACTATAGACAACACCGAAGGAGACTCAGACCAATCGGATTTACGCCAAGGCATGACGATATACGGTACTTCAACAGTATTCTGGAATTGAGGTAGCAGACGATAATAGCTAGTTGGTGCGGTACTTCCAGGTAACAATTCCAGTAATGACATGCGATAAGGTAATATTTGATGACCATGCCGAGTCAGCAAGGCTTCCAATGCTGTACAATTCCCATCTAGGGCAAATCCCACAGCAAGATCAAGTATAGAGAGACCACGAAACCAGCCATAGTGCTCGCCATAGTCAGGAAGACCAGCGTCGACGTATATAGACTCGTGCGTATCGAGAAGGTCGAGGAAATACCATAATTGGATACGATGTCCACACATTTCTATGCTATTTGGTAGTCGTCTCAATACATCGTCTGCGTTGAAGGCACTGGTTATTTTGATGCCATGTTTTAACAGAGCTCGTGTGGCACCAGGTGTTGTGCCTACTCGTGATTTACAAGTGTTCAACACCCACTCGACATCCTTGATTCGAGCTAAATATGATTTTATAGTTGTTTCGTCAACTGGAGCATCCAGCCATTGAGCTTTTCGTAATGACTCTTCACTTAGGCCAAATCGTTTGACTAGTTCTGAGGCTAGTTCGTATTGTTTCCTATCTATACATTTCGTCAAGCAATCTAGTGGGGTCAATGTAGTCAACCTGACCAGATTAAATCTTCTTTGAGTGACGGTAATCAATTCTCCCTCCTGATCTTTTTCTTTTCCGTCTAGATTTTCATCATTGAGTCGCAAATCTGATTGGATGACTTCCATTTTGGCTCCATGAATCCTCAATAATGTACACGCTGTTTGCACCTCTAGCACGAGCAAGCCATTGGAAGTTGGTCCTGATATACTGCAGTGAGGCAGGAATCGTTCTCGAGATACGAGTGACAAGGACGGTACATGATTAAAGGTAACGGCCCCGTCATCGAATACCAGACCTACTACAGATTCTGACATCCATGATATAGACGATACTTTGGAGTTATCATTGACATCAGCCATCTTTGACAATTCTGATGTCGTCCATTCCTTTACAAGTCTAAAGTGTCGTGCTTCCCATAATCGTACATAGCCACCAGCATCGACTGCAAACAAGCGACTACAGTCTGGTGACAAGGCGAGATGATGCACCATATCTGCAATAACCTCTTTGATGGCCGGAGCGCCCCTAAATGCGTTTTTGAGACTAGAGAACAAACTACGTCCGTCACTTCTTTCACTGGATTTCGTGCCATCTGATTCTTGAGAGTATGGTGCTGTGGGTATCAAGCTCCAAGCAGATACAGATTTTGATGATTCATGAGGTGCATTATGTTGGTGTTGTATTTGTGAGGTTGTTGCGTCCAGGTGGGTTCGAGGAGGTTGACCTCCTAGATATAATATAAACGTATCTGGATCAAATACAACTGCAGCAATCCATGCATGACGGTGTCTAAAGGATAATTTACGCCAGTATACTATGGACGATGGTCGACCTTGACTTCGTTTAGAGATTCGAACTACGTCCTGCTTGGTTTCTATCAGGCCGTCCAAGTTGATGAGATAGCTTCTGGCCGATGCCATATACGATACGACGACGAGCTGATGATCATAAGTGGCTCCGTCATGTGATACTGGTTGTTGCAATTTAAAGAATGCAAACCCAGCGACTGGATCCGAGATCTTTTCATGTTTTATAACGGCAACTTCTGTGGCATCATCCAGTAAGACATGTATGGTACCATTACTCTCTGAGCAGGCTACTATTTGAGAGTCAGACGACCATGCCAGCTGTCTCCAAGCAAGCGCCGAGTCTTTGACACCGAATTCTCTGACATGGACATTGGAAGCTGGATTTAAGCACGATCTTATTTCAATACGATCGTCTAGCAAGACAGCGACTTTGGCTCCATCAGGAGAAACAGCCAACTTCCATGGTCCCCTCTGCGATTCTATGAGACTGACTACACCAGGCGATATACTACCAAACTGACTAGTTATGGTATCGTTTGTTGTGAATAATATACGCGTAAACCAAGCTACAATGTAGTGGAAGAGCGAGACTAAAAATACCCAAATGTCGTGATCTCTTATGATAGAAGGGAGTGATGCTGGTGATGCTGTGGTGTATTTCGTGGAAGTAGGATGCCGATCACCATCAGGGAGCCATTCCGTGACTGGAACAAGCTCGTATAATAGTTCAGACATGTCTTGAAGTGCCTATTCTTCACAAAGATCGGATGTTGTGAAAGTGTTAGTTTTGTTCTGACCTTGCACGAGAACATTGGAAGCTCAATAACACGTAAACTGGTGCTTACCAATGCTCTGAATATATTGGAATCTACTCCAACCTCTTGGATTTACTCTCTTCGTGAGCTTTCATTGTTTTCATTTGACTTGAACGGTTTCAGGAAATTGGCAGCGGAAGCACGTTGGACGTGATTCAGCTAGTTTACATCTTTATTCCGCGTGTATTGTGTGTACGCGTACGTAGTCCGAGAACTATTGAGCTTAGCATGCTCTCTCACTCGTCCAAGTGACAGCTCATATGAGCTCCACGAAACAATTCTGGTCATTGGGCAATCGAGTTTGCTTAATGGACGCTATTGCGTGAGAGTTTACAGCTTTTGCGATCGTAAGTGAAGCGTATTTTATTGTTATTATGATCTTGAAAGTAACATATTTGCAATATTAGGATCTCCTGTGTTTTTTGGAGTTGGAACGGCCTTCTTGTTCCCAGTTCTACTGCTTGGAGAGTTCAGAATACTCCAATACGATGGACGTTATGATTCATAACAAAATAATTTCAAATTGTCGCCAACTTTGCATCCAGGATATTTTTTGCTGTGTCTCAACACAGAATCACCTTTTTTGATAGAATTCAGACCCTAGACATTCATAAGAATTCACTGCATCAGGATTGCAGACTCTCAAACACTCCAAGGCTTTGGGAGTACGATCTCTCAGGAGCCAGCAGCATCGATTCGTGACTTGAAAACCGAGAGAGCCAATTGTTTCCGACGGAATGTGGGGTATGAAAATCCGCACATAAGCAACAGGTGTCCACCAGCAAATGAGCGAGGAGCAAAAAAAAAATACTCGTCTTGTTGGAGCTCAAAAATAATGCACCGTCAGCCAGTCCATTAACTTGCACCCTCTCAACCCCTGTTAACCGAGATTATCAATGGTATTGTGGATCATTCGAGAACTAGGTCACCATCTAAACCCTTATATGCAACGTCCCAAGGATTATTTGGGAATGTGTGATATTTTGACATGTTTGTCAACGTTCATAACAACTTGCTGACGCCGATTTTGAGAGCGTTCAGCGAATTGTACTGAATAATCTAAGCTCTCGTTGGCCACCTTCCAAACATTACTGGATTTATCAACGAGTGATTGTTTTAGAAGGTGAGAAGTGACAAGGCAAAGCAACATTCGAATCTCAATAAGACGTCAACTAGTGCTTACCAGTGCTCTGAATATAATGAGATCTTACTCCAGCCGCATACATTTACACTTTCCTTGGTTTCAATAGATTCAGATTTTGAAGAGTTGGAGGAAACGTGCAGTAAAAGCTCTATCAGTTGGACGTGATTTACCTGGATTAAATCCATTTGCCGCGTATTTACACGTACAATTGCGAGAACCGGTTACTGTTCACTGTTCACTCTGCTTTTCCTCAAAGTGACAGCTCAGTGCTCTCATCCGTTCTCGATCATTGTCATTGAGTTGACTTATTGGAGGCTGCTGAGTGATTGAGACCTAGTTTACTATGGTAAGCAAAGCCCCGAAATCACTTGTCGCTTATGCCTTGTTCCGTATAAGTGACTGCCAGAATCGAGCTGAACTAGTTTTCGATTAAGTCGATCTTGAAAAGTAACCCTGTTCCCTATCTAGGATCTCGCGTATTTGCTCGTCTTTTATGGAGTTGGAACGGCCTTGTTGATTACTGTTCTGCTGTTTGGAGAGTCTTCCTACTTTAGAAATACTCCAATCGGTTGGACATTTCGATTCATTACTGAGACAATACCTGGCATCTCATGGCAAGTACCACGCATCGAATCCAACATGCACAATTTGGGTTAGCTTGGCTGGTTATGAGGATCATCGCTGAACTTTGCCATTGTTGGAGACCTTCACAATTCGTCAGTTTTGGGGGAGAGGATCGTTGCTGAACTTTCACCATCTTAATATTGCTTTCAGGAAGGTATTCTCGACAATCTTTGGAACGAGGTGCACACAGCGTGTCTCTGATTGTGGAAGTGCAATTGTTGAGACTCGACACCCTGGTTTACAGGTACTACGACCTCTGCGAGCCTTTCTTTTTTCGCCTGTTGCTCAACTTTGCACTTTAGATATTCTACTTGACTCTCATAACTGGAGGCATCGGTATCTTCTTATACCAGACATGGCATCGAATACCTAACGAATATCTAGGTCGAATTCACTTGTGAGGCCTGACTTGTTTTGGATCCCACGTATTTCCTGACTCTAAAACTTTCTTAAAACAATTCAGATTTGGTATTCCTGCTACCATATCAACTGTATACTACTCCTTCATCAAGGCTTCCATCACGGATGCAGGAACCATCACGAAAAAGAATATGGAGAAGGCTGGTCGTATATGGGATTTCGACTATATATTGTATACTCCGAAAGAGTGCTCGACGTGTAAAGTGGATCGGTTAGTGATTTCTTCATGCAAAGGGACTACTATATTGTCACTAAAGGCACCATCTGAATTTTAGGCCGGCACGATCCAAACACTGTTCAGTATGCAAGAAATGTGTAGCTCGATTTGAGTAGGTCGGCATTATGAACCCGGCTTTTCGAGGCTTTTTTGCTAACTTTCGTAAATTTCTAGTCACCACTGTGCTTGGAGTAAGAGCAAAAAAGTGAACAGACAAAGATGAGTTTCAGATTATTGACTCAATTCTTCACTCCCTAGTAAACAACTGCGTCGGCCACAACAACTACCGATACTTTCTCCTCTTCCTCGTCTCCACATTCTGGCTTTGTGTCTATGGAGTCTACTTGATGACCTTCATCATGATAGACTCTGCAAAAAAGCACAACTACTTCCAAGCCATGACATATGACTTTGAAACCCGCTCACGAAGGAAGCTCTTTATGCAAGAGATTGTGATGCTCATGATGGCACAAGAGATTGCCTTGTTTGGATTGAATCTGTTTGCTGCCATGGCATGCCTTGTAGTTGGTGGCTTTTCAATGTATCAGATTAGCATGGTCCTGAATGGAGTGACGAGTAAGTGTTGATGTAGAAAAGTCGAACATTCTGCTATCTTACGATAGGCGGTTTTTTGCTAGCAAACGAGAGCTTCAAATGGGACGATCTAAAAGGAGCCATAAACTCCAAGGAATTAAAAGTGGTCGATTCACTACTCTTATCATATAATCAAAACTACGGGGCTCTGGTGGGAGAACAGTATGCCAAGGGACTACGAGTCACGAATCCTGAAGCTGGTCTTGTCGCCGCCTCTCGATTAGGAATACATACATCCACTACACCAGAATCACCACCTCCCAAATCAAAAGCTACTGATGGTGGAATCCATCATAGAGGAGCATCGGCCAAGAAACGTGTTAAGGGCATTGCTCCAGAAAGTGGTGATACTCAAATACTGGATGAGAAGGATGCCATTCCAATCAAGACGACAGCATTGACGAGTGTCAAACAGATACGTAATATTTATAACCGTGGCATGTGGAATAATCTCATGGAAGTCATACTTCCAACACCAATATAGATATAACTTGTTTGATATTTGTCTCAGTGATATTCTTTTGAAAGACTTTGTTCGCTGCCATGATACGCCGACTGAAAGGAAGAGCAACGTTACAAGATTCAAGCAAGGATACATAGAACCACACATTGGTTGAACTTTAAAGGAGCTTTAGATTGATTTACAAGCTGACAAGCAACACAGTTATACATTCATGGTCATTGAAGAGCTCAAACTCATAAATTTTCAGAAGAATGATGGACCAAATGGAGCCTTGTCTTTCCGTCTCACCACTACTCGAAAACACTTTATCAGACACGTCGAGATTTGGTCTCACACTTGACAAAGATGCTTACCGCAATACAGGCCTTCCCATCTGAGTCCCCCAGTACCCAAATCCATAAGCATACGCTCCGGACGGGCGTCAAGTTCTTCAAGAGCACGCATCACAGTCACAATTTGAGCTTCAGTGACTCCATACCGCTCAAGGAAGACCTTCATAGTGGCAACCGAGACTTGGATTCCAAGACCATTGGGTGAGGTTTGGAGAGCAAAGTATTGCTCACCGCCCCATTTCTCGTTGGCTACAGCGCCGATGTAACCAGAGCTTCCGTATTCGTCGTGAATGCGTTTGTCCTTGAGCCACAATAAGATGCCACATAGTACACCTGTGCCATATGCGACGATGGTTTTGTCGTCCTCAATTTCGTATCTTGTTATTGTTTGATATTGATGGTTTGGTGCCTAATTGGAGAGGAGATGTTGGATTTAGCGTTTGACTGGTTTACAACATACATTCTCGTCGTAATGGTATCAGGACCAACGCCCAAGGAAGATGTGCTTGATGGGAATCCTCGTGTTTCTTCAGGAAGGGATCTTTGACAGGAGCCAACACCAAAGGAGAATCGGTTTTTGATGGCCTCGTTTCTAAAGTAGCTTGTATAGAGAGTTTCAATGGTTTCACCTGTTTCTTCTTGAACCGTACGGCAAGCTCTTGGAGTTGCGAAAATGTTGTCTCTTTTAGGAAGAAGATGGAAAATAGGACTTCATTTCGCGTTAAGACGCGTCAATCTGCAGCTATTTGGTATTTAATGATAATAATTATAGTCACCTAGTAGCGTTCTGAACGTGCACTTCGCCCGTGAGGGTTGCCAAACTGTTACCGCCTTTTCACGCGACAAAACAAATATAATGCTTTACTTTCTGATGATTTCTAATATACACAAAACGGTTTTTTTATTGTGGCTCTCTGTTTTTACTCCACGGGTTGTTCTTTCCGAACTCGCCTCATATCAAAACATCGTTGATAACTATATCTACATAATCTCACTCACTCGAGTATCCCACGTCCATTCTCTATATTACATAATGTGGAACCACGAACTCCAAAAGTACAGTCTTTTCAATTCCATCGTTCATATGGTTTTGCCCGTCTTCTGGAGGTACTAGTCCCATGGCCACCTTCAGCATTGTGGGATGCCATATGTCGTTGAAGATCACCAGATCTAACGAAAGCCTTTGGACATCCTTCATGAGTGCAAGGGAATGGTTTGACACGGTTTGGATTATGTGTTGCTTCGTGAGTCTATGGATACAAATAGGGTGGCACTTAGAAAGAGTTCACACATGATAACGAAAACAAGAGAGAGAAAAAACTGCAGTATGGATACCTTCAAGTTGAATTTCCTCGTAAACGTCTTGTGACAGGTCTCACATACATACGACTTTGAAATCCGACGCTTCCTTCCACGGTTTGTCTGTTCCGGTGCTTCTTCTGCCGGCTCATCATCCAAGTCATCGTCATAGCCGTGTTGCTTTTCTTCATCATTGCCATTCATTCGGGTATTCTGAACCCTCATTTGATTGTCCACCTCATAAACACTTCGGACAGTGTTTTCCAAAATGCTGATTACGGTGTTTATATCCAGGTTGGCATCCTTTGCCGCTTGTACCTAGAAAGGAAAATACAGGTGTCAGGGGCAGCGTTTGAGCAAATGAGATTGTAATGTTGACTTGCAAACTCACTGGACCAGTAATCAAAGTTTGAAGTGTGTTGGCATCCATTACGCGTTGACGTGGTTGACGCATAAAGCGCCTTTGAGATGGTGCAGGGCCTTCATTTCCACTTTCTGATGATGGAGGAGGCCTAAAAAGAGCATTCATTAGAAAAGCTCACATCTTGATTGTGCTTGATCAACAAATCCGACATTCATGCATTCCTGGAACTTAATCACTACCACAGCACAATCACCAGCATAATATTTACCTGTGTGCAAAGTCAACCTCATCATACATTCTTTCATCATCAACTTGTACAGAATGTTCAGATCCTTCCTCAGAAGCCCAGTCACTATGCGGACTGACGTTCGAAGTCGTCGTGAAAGCCGATGCAGGAGACGGGATGGCCTCTTCGCGTTGATGCGTAATAAAAGGTATAGACAGCTGTTCTCGTATTGGATGTGAAGGTATTTGTGGCTCGTAATCTTCATACAATGGAACCAGTGACTTTTGAGATGACTGGGACGTTTGGGATACTTGGCTTAGAGCGGTATCGGTTCTAGATAGCTGTGATAGTTTGAAGAGGTTGTGCTCATCGTTGGGCCATGAATGGGTTCTAACGTTTTCCGGCTGTTGATGTCGTTGTACTTCAGAAGACATTTTCAAAGGTTGGTATATATTTGAGCGGAAGACAGGGCTTTCCTGTAAAGAGCAGAATGGATGCGTTAGTTGATCTCATCGACTTGAAATGCAAGAAACGACAAGGTTTGTTTGATGAGGCATTTTTGTTGACTTTTGTGCGCTTTCCTCCAAGGAAGAGCTCCCTAGACTATGGACTATTCCATTATTACTTACCGTGAACAGTACTGTTGGTTCCGTACGGTTCTGAGAACTAGTGATTTGGGCCTATCTCCTCCAGTCGCTGAAGAAAAATGTTGACCAAAACAACTCCGTCAAGAACCTCGGTAAACATACAGTAATCGGTCTTTCTGACAAGAAGAGAGCTGCGAGACCGTGAAAAAACACGTTATACACGAATCCGGATGAGGGTATATATATTTGCGAATTACGTAGTGCAAGTTTATCAGTGTACAAAAAATGCTGGCATGCCTTAATCTTCCATATCAAAACTGGGCTCAGACACCTTCAATGGGGTTCGAGTGTTCATCAAATCCACATCCTTCTCCACGAAACTAGTGATATCCTATTACACGATACAAACAAAAAGTTACTTCTTTTCAACGAATGCTTGAACCAACGTGTTACCTGCATTTCAGTATCCCCTTCGGGCGATGATGCTGGCGATGATCCTGTATTGATCCGACACAGAACAACAGGAGTCTGACATGCGCAACATTGATTAACTGTGAATGATTATTCCCAACACAAATTCATGAGGCTTACCTTTGGCGTTGTTGACTCACTTGTAGATTGATTTGAGGAAATCATACGTCCTGAATGACTTGTGGGACTATAAAAAATATCGAGAATCAGTAAGCGTCCATTGTGATTGCATTTGTCTTTCACCTATAGGCGTTTTTATACCTAGAAAACAACGCAGAAACCGGATTTGAAGCAGGCGCAAGTAGCGCATTCTCCTTCTTCACTTTCACGTCAATATCCATCATGACGGTTTCTGCTTGTGTTACTGGAGGCTGCGTGGATTGTGTTGACAATCGTGTTGGTAGGCTATTACTTGACATTGATAGTTCAGCGCTTTCAGTATCCTTCCTAGTATCTACAGTAATTGCATTTGTGCTTCCAACATCACTACGAGTGTCTTGCTTATGTACATTTTCTGCTCCAATTGGTGTTGGTGTAGTTGATCGATTATTTACAGATGGTATTGCAGGTTGCGATGGAGCGGGCGGTGACATTACTACTTTGATTGGTATTGCTGATGACGGATCACCCTTTTTGTTGACATGATTCTGATTCGGAACTGTCTGCGATTGGTTGATGATGGTTCCTTCGTCTTTAGGTTGCACAGGCTGTGATACAGCTACTTTTACTGCTGCTATTGATGATCCATCGTCTTGCGTATTCACATCGGTCTGATCTGGAGCTGCCAATTGATTAATAATGGTTTCTCCCAGCCCTTTAGCTGCCACCGGTTGTGAAGGAGCCGGCGATGTTACTACTTTTGCTTGTACTGGCGACGATGCATCACCTCTTTTGCCGATACATTTCTGATCGGGAACTGTCTGCGATTGGTTGACGATGGTCTTGGTTGCCTCTTTAGCTATCGTTCGTCGAGTTGAATACTGCTGTAATAGATTCAACCATTCCTGGGAGGTAGTACTGATTGGATCTAGATTAACGTCCTTTCTTCGTTTTGATTCCTCTGCGAAAATGGTATACGGTGAAGGACGATTCAGTTCGAGTTGGGCGTTTGGAAAGCGACTGGGTTCGTGCACGAGAGGATAGAAGCCTTCTGATGGTATAAATGGTAAAATCCGTAGTTTCATGATATCAGAGTTTGAATTATAAGGGTCATTGTGATCGTGGGAGTATGCCTTCAAAGGCCCTCTAGTCCTGTTAATGTCTCGGGGTGATGACGATGAGCGTTGGCTCATGATTGAGATCCAGTATTTAGAACGAGCTAATCATTCCTAAAATAACAAGAACAATTAGCTTAAAGTCATAAACTATCAGTGCACCGTGTCAACAGTAAGCTTTCGTTTCTTGGACAACATTTTGCAAACAAGTGAACAAAACAAGCTTAAAAAGAAACCGTAATAATCAAGAGAACAGAGCACTGATTAAAGTCACCTTTACTCTTGCTCTAGCTACCTACTAGGTTGCTCTCCTTTAGATGCAAAGATGATTGATCTCACCATCGACGAAGACGACAATGATCAAATTGAAATTGTTGAAACCGTTGCTACCAGCAATAGTAGTATCCCACAACAAGAACGTGCTATTCAGCCTGATATGATGAACTGGGAATTGAATTCCTCCGTGCTAGTCGGTTCTTACAAGACGTCAAACATTCCAAACGCTCATATCGCCAGCTTTGATCTCGACCATACTCTCTTCCGGCCAAAGAATGATAGGACTCATTTTCGTGGAAGTCATGAATTCAAGGTATATTGATCGTTTTGATAGAGGTGAACGGTATTGTTTTGGTAATCGCTTGGAAAGGCACTACAGTAACTGCCGTATTTTCCGGCAACCGGATCGTGTCGTCGTTTCTTACTCTTGAATTCTTATATGCTTTCAAGATTCTCGTCGTTTTCTCCTCTTTCTCGCAGCGAACACTCAATACAGGACACTCACTACAACCCTTGTTTTTGCGCCAGCTCACCTATCAAAATGTACCTCAACGATTGAGGGAAATACACAATTCTGGACACAGGATCATTATATTCTCAAATCAAGTCAACCTACGAAAGACTCTATCGGACGAGAAGGCCTTCAAACATAGAGTTGAAGCATTCTGCAAGATGGTTGATATTCCGATTTTGGTTTTTGCTGCTACTGAGCATGATCTGAACCGTAAACCTGATCCAAATATGTTCAATGTAAGCACATGTTACAGGTTTACTCCACAAACCCCGATGAGATACCAATTTGGTGCACATTCTTGTCTCGAACTGAACCGATGATATTTCTTTAGATCTTCATCAATGACTATAATGGTGGCGTTGATGCTGATCGAACAGTGTCATTCTTTGTCGGTGACGCATTTGGTAAAATCTTGGAAGCTGGTGACAAGTCCGTCCCAGAGACCGATGCTCTGTTTGCAAGAAATGTAAATCTAGCGTTCCTCACACCAGCTCACGTATTTGAATCCAATACCGTAATCGCTCGATACAGAATAATTGTTGATACTCCATCTCCTACGGTTGTTGTAGACAGTAGACCATCCTGGAGTATTAGAAGTACCAGTAGCAGTGCCAAAAGGAAGGCAGCAGCTCAATCTACTTCTCCACCCTCCAAAAAGGCTCGTACTAATGATCGAAAAGCCGATAATAAGCCTAAGAAATCAAGAATGGAACGGTCTTTGGAAACTATGACACTACCTGTTACTGTTGGCACCTTCATCAAACCTCTCTTTCAGGCACGAATCGCCGATATAAACGAAATGAGAGCTCCTCCCATCGATGTAGACGAGGAGACACGAAAGCAATACAACTGCGAACGACTAAACAGGCTCGTACGTCACTTGTTTGACGTTGTGGCACAATTTCGATTGTTGCGACAGGAAGATTGGAGAGGTTTTGCAGCTTCGTTATGGGAACTCATTGGAACAGAATGTTTTAATGAGCGATATAATGGAGAAATCGCAAAGGAAACATGGAGGAAAGGTCAAAATATGGACCCCGAAGAAGAAATCGTCAAGGTATATGAGAATCTATTGATCTCTCGAAACCTTGTCACTGGTAAAGACGACTTGTTTGGGACTTGTCGTTTTATGCTTGTAGGTGTCAATGTTCATCATCCTGAACTGAAGAGCACTATATTCTCTCGTGGTGAGTAAGCAATTGAATATATGCGATAAAGCGATAAAGATGCATGTGATTCTCAAACTGATTTGCTTTTGATGTGATAACTCAAGGTGGTACTGTTGTGGAAGCATGGGATTCAGCAGTCAACTATATTTTGACCAAGGCTACAGCTTCTTACCCAGAGGTACTGGCGGCGATAGGAGTTAAATCTCTATCGGTACGTGAAAGCATTCGCTTGGAGAGATTCTGAACACTCCATAAACTCGCTAACAAATCAAACACCACTCATTACTTTAGCGTGATGTCGCAGTAGTCGACAAAAACTGGCTTGGAACGTGTGTCTCTGCCCGCCAACTAGTAGATGTCGTACCATTTCTTAAAGATTTGGATCCAAACAAGCGACTCTTGCCACCACCGAAGCCCAAACTTGGTAAAGCTGTACATTCAGACACAGACACAGACCCAGGCAGTGATGATGCAGATGATGAGGACGATAGTAAACATTCATCTCGTGGGAAATCAAAGTCTTCGCCAAAACGCTCGAAAGTGGTAACCGGAAGTGATAAATCCGATAAACCCATTTCCAATGCCTTTGCTACTCGATCATCCAGGCCTGGTAATAGTAATAGTAGTAGGCAGGACGATCCACCACGAAAAGTCCCAGCATTTGTCAAGAAGAGACAGGAAAAGTATATAAAAAAGAAGGATAAAGCCAAACAAGCTGCTGATCGGTTACGACAAGAATTGACAGATGACGAAGATGAAGATTACGACAGTATCAAAATGGGCTTTGACAACTTTGATCCAACTCGTCGATCAAGTTTAGATACAGAACCGGATAGTGATCATGATGAACGTGCTCCTTCACGACCAACCACATCATCAAAATCAGCATCAGTGGTGTTGAGCAAGGAAGAACGTGAAGCTGAAAAGACTGCTAAAGCTTTACGTTTTGAATTGGCAAGTGATTCTTCAGATAGTGATGCTGGAATGGTGAGTTCGTAAATTCAAGTCGTAATATTTTTTGCAGTTAGCTAATCAGTTGGTTCTGGTGTATTTTAGTATCCTCATGATAAAGAAACGGAAGACACCGATGAAGAATCTGAAGTTGAAGTACCTGCAAGCAAGGAAGTTGGGAAAAAGGTAGATTGTTTGTAGCTGAATACTCGAAAATGTCTCAACATTATATAAAATAGCTCTCTCATTTTTGGTGTCTCGTGACTTTCTTTCTAGATTCGTTACCAGGCCTCGTTTCAATGCATGAAGGATTCACCAGCAGGTGTAAGCAAGAATGCATGTGCCAATGAAGCTCTGGTTCAAGAACTCGAACGCATCTTGGCTCGAGCGAAAATAAGTTGGGATAAGAGTAGTCAATTCAGGGTTTTGCAATACCAAAAAGGTAAATGCTTTGACACCTGCTGATCGTTTCTTTAGGTTGTTCACAACACACCGTTTCTAACCTAATTCCCGTCTTCTATCTTCTATTCAGCTATTAATTCTATCAAGAAGCATCCCAAACAGATAGAGACTTATGAAGAAGCTCGAGCAATTCGTAAGCATGATTTAACTTCTCTTTCTGGTTAACGATCAACTTTTTTTGGTACTGACTCTAACTACTACTTTTTCGCAACTCAGCGAATATTGGAGACGGAATCGGCAAGAAGATTAAGGAGTTTATTTCGAAAGGAACGATTGCTAAGGCCAACTATGTTGCAGAAGATGAAGCTTCCATTGCAATCTTCACTTCAATCACTGGTGCGTGCCGTGATATCACCCTGGTTTGCTAAAAAAAATCCTTGCTACGACTTGATGTTTCTGAAAATGTTTTTAGGAACTGGAGTTTTAACTGCTCGAAAATGGTATAGCCTCGGCGCCCGCACAATAGAAGACGTCCGTCGCTTATCCTCTACTCTCCCAAAACCAACCATAAACCTAACCTCAGAACAAAAAATCGGCGTCACATACTATGAAGAACTCAAAGAAAAAATGCCACGCTCCGAATGTGGGCTTATCGGAGACACCATCATCAAGATTGCAAAAGAAGCTATTCCCAACTTAGAATGCTACATTACCGGATCCTATCGCCGTGGTCTTCCCCAGAATGGAGACGTGGATATACTTGTGACGCATCCGAGACGAAATATGGATGAGATGATCTTGACCAAGATTATACCACCATTGAAGGCATCTGGTGTTGTGACTGATGAGATTGTTACGTCCATGACGTCTGCTGGCGAGGAACATTCATTGTGGAGGGGTGTTGCTCAGTTGAAGGGGGGCATGCATCGTAGAGTTGATATCTTGATTGTGGAATACGAGGAGCTCGGTGCTGCCTGTGAGTCCAGTTTCGTCTGCTCGTTTTGCATCATTGAAGTTACTCTGATTTTTGAACAGTGCTTTACTTTACCGGAAACGATGTCTTCAATCGTTCTTTGAGGAAATTGGCAAGAGTCAAAGGCTTACGTTTAAATCAGGTAATTTGAGTGGTTGGCTCTATTTTCAGTTCGTTTTCAAATATGCTCACACAATCTTCCTCCAATCTAGTATGGTCTTTACTCTAACGTGGTCAGAGATGGTGCAAAGAAGCTCAATGTTGGAACTCGTGTAGCTGGCAAGACTGAAATTGGGGTCAGTAAACAATCAATTGGCATCGACCGTTGTTCCTTTTTTGTTGCTCAAGCCCTTCTTGTTGTTCAAACCCTGTTTTTTTTAGATTTTTGAAGCACTTGGAGTTCCATTCCGTGAGCCTGATCGCCGAAATTGCGGCATTTGAAGTTTATAAGAGATATTTTGCTATCATGTAAAAGAGAATGTAGATATTGTATAACACGAAAACACAGCAACAGAAAACAAACGCATATTTTAAAACTAAATTGATCACTAGAATGCTATTTACATGAGCGACGGTTTTAAAACATAGTAAGTGCAAATTGCGATAAGCTCCTAGATTCCTGAGGGCAACTCAACTATTACCAACAAAACGAAGTCATAGGGGATGTTGGTATATCGTCCAGCTAAGACACCACCACACTGCATGGTTCACTACAGAGTTGAAGCACAAGTCCCCTCATTCAAAATCATCATCATGACTTCCTCCACCTCATCTTCAACCACCTTCTTCATCTTGTCCTTTTGCTTCCGAATAACAATCTTACTACCCCATTCAGACGCACTAGCTCTCGAATTGATTTTGGGATCAAAGACCCTCGCAATCCCTGTTCTTCCCAAAATCATAATCTCACCATCGATGGTGCGATGTAGATTAAAGAACTAGGGAAATGGCATACAGCATAATTAGTAAGCGATTTTTTTGTCCGTCCAAACTTTCCAAAAAGAGCACCCCTTGAGTGTGCAGCAGGATGCTTACCTGGAAAGGCGCTTCTCCATTCCCACCAATCCCAGGCCCACTATCCAAATTCCCCACAGAAGTAGCACTGAACAAGATACTGCCCGCCTCCAAATCAATCACACTAAACACGCCATTATACGACAAGGAATACATGACAGGCCCAAACACGTAAAAGGTAGCAATGAGGTCTCGTGGTCCAACTCTCATATGATGGCGAGCTATAACAGGTGATGCCGAGACAGGTCGGTATCCATTAAAATCGTTGTGTTGCTGCATGCCATGAATACCATTATTCACAATGGCAGGACTAGCTCCATTTCCAATCAAATCAGCAGCAATAGACTTCCAAGAAGGCTGATGACCACGATTCCATAACTCCAGTCGTCTAAATTCGAATTCGTGGATTGTTTGGCGGTATATATCGTCTATATCCCATACAAGGATTTCGGCTACGCCGTCTGCGGCATCTTGATGCCGGTCTGGATCATCGCCTAGTGATACCATTGTTAGGCCTCGAGGACGATTCCATGTGTTGTTTGGGCCTCGGTCGTCTGCTTCGTCGATGAATGCCATTCCCCATACTAATATCGTGTGGTGAGACAGTGTGAGTTCATGTGAATGCAATATCAAATCAAAATCATCACAGCGAAAAAAGTGATAGAGTCTATCGACAGATGTACCTGGATGAGTATGACCATTCAACTCTAACAATGGTATACCACAAACAAAGTCCCAAAAGACAATTCGTCCATCATCATGTCCGGTCATCAGAGTCGAAGGATCGTATGGTGCCGTTTCACTTAAACAACTATTGAGACATGTAAAACAGATGATTTAGATGCGAGTTTTTTCCATCCTCACTTTCAGTAATGATCAACTCAACCAACACTTACAAGACACGGCTCCCATAATCAATCCTCCTCACAACCTTCCCCGAAACCAGATCACACACCAGCCCAAGCCCCCTCCTGGCATCATCCCATCCCAAAATAACCAAACAATCCTGATACCGAACCCCTTCCTCCTCAAACACCCTATCGGGCAGCGGATACGGTATAACTCGTTGCCCTTGTAACCCATCAGGCAACTCAACAGCTTGATATCCTATTGCCGATTCAGATAAATCGAAACTTGAATCGTCTCGTATCGAGTCACTAGATGGTAGTCTGAAGGCTTCAAGAGTCTTCCATGTACGTTCAGGGAACTCTTCGACTATGGATGCAAAGAGACCGCGTTTCTCGTCTACGTAGTGGAGCACGTTTGTGGAGTCGGCATTCCATGATGGGAAGGTGGTGTATGATACGAGTTCGAGAGATGGGATGCGGATGAAGAGGATTGACGATTTGATTTCGTCCGTCATTAGTTTTGGGGGTGCGTGAAGGACTGATATGCCCAAGAGATTCTATATTGTGTTGGGCACCAAAAAAGGGATTAGGCCATGGCAAATGACTCGCTTCAAGAGTGCGACTCAAATGCAATTGCAAGTCCATACACCAATTCCCCTCTACAATAATTTCGCCCACACTTACCGATGGATTATCAGCCAACTCGAAATTCGCATCCGGACACATACTACTGACAGCAATATTCAACGGCCTCGCCTGCAGCAGCTCCTCCAAACACGAAATCAACGATCCGTGGCCCACACTCCTAGCAGTCCTCGTCTTGAGCGCAAACCTAACATTTAAATTTCGATGAATAACGATGATTTTATCAGGAAATTATTTAAATTACCAATGTGTCCTGTCTGGCCTCGACACCAAATTAGTCAAAGGTGTCAATCCACCATGTGAGAATTGCGACGATGCAGGCCATGGGGTATCTGGAGACACAGATATAGTAGCAGTTCTATTGTTGTATGACTGGCCTAGCGTGTCCCATGCGTGACGCGTAAGTGTTGCTTCAATGTGTTTGCGTCTCCAGTCGGGAGGAGATGGTTCATCGTGTCTGCGGTATGCGTGGCTGTTGTTTAAGATTGGGAAGGCCTATAACGAGACATATATGGTCTTTAATAAGACAGCTTCGTGGAGTTCAATGGTCATGTGTTTTGGGCGAAACTATACCTTTTGGTATGTAGTAAACCATAAGTCGTTGGAGGAGGCCAGCCTAGCGGTAAATGAGAGTTTTTCATGTTAGGAACACTTGCTCTAACCTCTTTCAGTTATCATTTGTAATGTGTGCGCCTTCCATCAACAACCAAACAACAATGTGTGTCATGTACCTGTGGCATTTGCGGCTGCAAGCAGCAAATTGAAGCAAGTCTCTGGCAGAACTCTCAGCTACATAGAGCAGTACGTTCTGCCATATCGATTCGAATAGTTCTGGTAGTTCATCGACCTCCATAACCTGAGTTGCCAGAAACTCTAGATATTGTAAGACAGATTAGAGCTCGACCAGAGTGTCCAATTCCTTTAAAGCTGATAGATATCACTTTACGGCAGTCCTTGTTATGAGATAGCTTTGAAATTTCTTGAACGTTGGTGAGAAGAGAGAGCTTGTCACGAGTTTGTGCTGGTGGTGGGTTTTGTCGGAAACTTCATTGAGTTACAGAACATACAAGGAGTCGCGAATTATACACTTTATAAATGATATGACGCGTCACTTTATTTGAGGAAGGGAACAGTTAAGGTTTACAATACAAGTCGTACGCTAGGTGTGTGTCCGTCACCACTCAAGCAGTAGCATTCTTAAGCGACTCTTCAAGCTTCTTGAATTCACGATCATTTATAGCATCCACTTCATCCATAACTTGCTCCACCCCTTCCACCTCTGGTACATAATGCTACGTGGCAAATGAAGCAAGTGTTAGATTACAACGTAGTATGACTTCTAATATTTCGATTGTCCTGTTTGCTTGTGCTTCGAAAGCAACAGAAAAAGAAGATTCAATGAAAAGGAAGTATGCTCACCATAAGCATATTCTCAATCCCATTCTTGAGCGTCACGACACTCGAATCACAAGTACGACACGACCCCTTAAGCTTCAACTTCACAATCCCATTATCAAACCCCTTATATTCTACATCTCCGCCATCATCTTGAATGGTGGGTCTGATTCGAGTATCCAGAAGTTCCTTGATCATGGCCACCACTTCTGAATCTTCAGGCAGGATCTAGTGAATAGAGCAGCGGGGCGTATCAATACTTTTGAAACGAATCCATAATGTGAAAAGCAGCAAAAAAAACGACGCCCAAAAGTGCTCTCCATTACCTCAGTATCACTCGGCCCCCCAACAAACCCATCCTCCAGCACCTGTCTCCCACTGGTAAAGAAATCCATAATCGATGCATATATATCCGGCTTCATAAGCTGCCACGGCGTATCCTCGTCCTTTGATATGGTGATAAAGTCTCGTCCCAGCATTACACCTTTAACACCATCGATCTGGAAGATCTTGAATGCGAGTGGGGATGACGATTTGGCGTCTCGTCCGGAAGTGTATTCGAGTGTCGAGGACGAGTCTGAGAGGACGGGAACTCCGGGCTTGAATTTGAGGGAGTGGGCGTTTGGTGTTGGTTCTGTTTGGATGAACATTGTGCGAGCTGGTTTGGTAGTAGATTTATTGTAGTTAGTCAATCAAACATATCTTCATTCACATCATATTTACTTTATCACACACTTGCCTGATGTCAGTCGAAATGGTGATGATCTTGGAAATGTGGTGCTCTTGTCCATGCCGATTCGAGACTTGGTTGGTATTGTAGTAGATATAGAGCGTTTTTGTATTGATGGCTTGCATCGTTGGCATGTTACTGCCACTCTCTGAAACACTCTGGTTGCCTTCATTGTGTGTTGAGCTTGAACTTTTGAATTGACCAAAAAATGTGTATGATGCATACTGATCCATGCTGACAAACACAACCATGAGAGATCAAACCCATCCAGGAAGCTGCTATTACGCCAACAAATCAAATGGTTTGCAATTTGAGGTATATCTATTCGCGCTGTATACAAATTTCTTTTCCGGATTTTTTATATATCTATTCTACTACTTACTATTATAGACGCTAGTTTTGATTTTGATTTGCTCTCATGACCACCTACTGTGATTTTCTTACCCAAAATAAGCTTACTCTGATCACCTTTCAACAATACGCACCACACATCAAGCCCTCAAACCCCCCAACATTCCTCTCTTAACAAATCCACCTATACAAACTCCTCATATGGAAGGACACCGGTAGCTGATTCGGTATATGTGTGTTGTCGTTCTGGCATAATTCGATAAAAGAGGGTAAAGGTGGGATCAAAAACGAGAAAGTATCCTCGATTTTGAAGTATGGCATTATGATTGCATTTTCCTCGTTTCCCACATGGACATGACGTCGTGCTTTTGCTACGATGACCTCCTTCTCCTTCTCCATCATCGATATCAGAATATATACACATCCCTCCTGATCCTACTTCTCCCTCCTTGACATCTCGAAAGGTTCGCAATACCATGGTGACGAGTTTCATTTCATCGAGCTCTGGCTCCAAGTCTCTCAAATAGCATAAGAGTGACTTGGCTGGTACAAGCTGCTTGCGTTCCGGCACTAATACTGATACATCTATGGCACCATCGTACGATCGATTCAAGATGAGAACTCGCTCGTCATCGGGATCATCACTATAGCTCGGATGTATCGATATTTTCAGGTGACCGTGCGGTGTAATAAAGGCTTCGATTTCAGTTGCTAGTGCGTCAAGAGTAGCGAACTCAACTTGATGGTCGTTGAATACGTTTCGTACTTCGTCTGCTGTTCGTGGGTGTGGATGATTATGGATATTATTACCACCACCACCATTATCGTTGTTGGCAGCAGTAACAGCACCAACACCGGGAGCCTCACTACTATTGCGTTGTAGTCGTTGTGTAGGAGCACGTGGCTTTGGTTGACGGATGGCATCAGTCATTTCAACATCTTCTATATCACGTTTGGTTGGCGTCAAGTCGTCAATCTCCACTATCTTATCGTCATCATCATCTAGCACTATAATTGGAGAGATGATGCTACCTGTACGATTGTTTCGATTATGGTTGCGACGATTGTTGCTGATGATGTCGTTGTAGCGATATGGGTATAGATGAGATGGTCCTCCAGAACGACGCGTACGACTAACTGCATTGCTGTTACTATGAGTACGGTAGTCTTCATCGTCATCATCCAGAATGCGTGGAGAAGGTGAAGGATGGTGCGAGAGAGAAGCATTCATGGCTGAAGGTCGTATCGCTATGGATACTTTGGGAGCTAGTCGTGGCCAGTACTTGCTCCTTGCCTTTGCGACTCGCAATCGGCGTCCAGCATACATTCGTCCGTCCATCTCCCTCGTTGCTATTTTGGCTTCATCCACCTATGTAAAGGTTTTAAACATTTAAGCCTCACTGACATGCATCCTCTAAAATTGGCTGAATATGAAATATCATACCTTTTCATATGTCACAAAACCAAAAGTAGTATGAGGTGATTGCGGTATCCAATATTTTTCGATCCTGCCGTAGCGAGAAAATGCACCTCGCAATTCTTCTCTGCTTGCGAATGCCATATTGCCGACTAGGATGAAACGGCCATGAAAATGGTAAGATGCAAGTTTGTCACGATGATAAATGATGTAAAGATCAACATAATCAATGCTTCATATGAGCGTACGTACCATATCTGTCAAAGAGCGGGGGAAAAAGTAGCCAATCGAAACGATCAGTCCAGTGTCAATGTTAGACCATCACACCAAAAAAGCAACTATCAATCAACGAAACAAGCAACAAATCACTCACATAGTAGAATCTTGCTTCTTCTTGTCTTGTGGCATGTGTTCCAAAACAGCTTCAATATCCATCGGAGTTCCTTGTGACCCAGCTGTAACACCACCCAGTTGGATGCGTACTTCGCCAGAGTCCAAATTCTCAGCGACCTTGAGCAGTCCAGAAATGTATTCACAAGCTTCTTGTTCAGTGGCATACTGCTGATACTGAGACCTTGAAACAGGAGGAGGAGTTGACCTTGAACGAGATACATGACGAGAAGAGGCTGGTTCCACACTCATCAACTCAGGTCCATTGTTATTGGTATTGTTGTTTTCGTTGTTGATATGGCCAGTCCTTCTGGTGTTTATGGAAGGTTGGTTGAACATCCTTGAAGTTGGGCAATTTGATGTCTGGTGTTTGCTGTTCCTAAAGAGGGAGGGAGATGTAAGATTACTTTAGTTCTGTGTGCCTTGCTATGCGATGCTCAGACTTTTTTTACCTTGCCTGATATACCGAGGCTTGAGAATATCGATACGAGGTTGGATGTGACGAATGTCAAGAATCTGAGGGCGTACAAGTTGTGGGCGTTGATAGGAGAGACACGGAAGAAGCTCAACGCGTATATGAAGGTCAGGAAATATCTCATTTACGTGATTATCGCGTATCTGATTGCCAGCAAAAGTTTGTGGCGTCTTTTTGATGTGAGCTTTGAGAACACATAAAACTTGATCTAGACATCAGGCACTGCAGCATTTCTAGTTTCAGTGTATATTATCTTTCAATCTATAAATCTAAATATAATGTTATGTTGATAAAATAATGTTATGTTTAAGGAGTTATATCCCAAACTCTCATTGTCGTTCCTAATGAAGCAGAAAACATTAAATTACTCGGCAGCAGGCAGAAGATAGAGGTGAGGTAATTTGTGTGTCCTAGTTTTCAAGTATAAGTTTGTGAGCGAAAAATGAATTCTGACGATCGCTTGAATCTGCCACAAATCACAATCCAAACACTCGTTTCTTACCTATGTATTGTCGAACCACCTGTCCTGTATTGATATCCCATTCACGTATAGACCTAAAGAGAGTAAATTATCAACGTTAGTCATTGAACCTGAGAACCACAAGTTCGTCAGTTGTTTTGTAATCTTCTCACCTATCGTGAGATCCACTGTATAATCTAAAATTTGGTGCTCCCAGTACACACAACGTGGATACGGAACCTGTATGGCCGGAGTATACTCGTACACAATCTCCCGTAACAGTATTCCATTCACGAATGGTCTCGTCCCATGATCCAGACCACATCCGATTCAGCTCTGAAAGAGCCTTGACTGAATAAACAGAATTTGTATGTCCAAGATAGGTTTTCACTTGCTTGCCACTTTGTATGTTCCATTCGATGATACTGATGGACAAGGAAAAAGTCAGTAGGAGTCGAATATTAGAAACTTTTTTTTCTCTCTAATTCATACCGTTTATCTTGACTAGCACTAAACATCCTATTCACAGTCCCATCCACCCAAACCGTGAAAACCTCATTCGTATGCCCCGTATAAACTTTAACCAGCTGCCCAGAATTCGTATCGTATTCACGAATCGTCTTATCTGCTGAAGCCGTAAACAGCCTCTGAGGTATCACATGCAAACCCCATACGGGCCCGGTGTGCCCTTTATACGTTCTAATCACTTTACCAGTCTTGAGATCCCACTGTTTCGCAGTCTTGTCACGGGATGCTGAGTACAGGACTCCCTGAAACACAAAGACTGAATCTACAGAGTTTAAGAAGCCGGTGTGGCCTGAGAAAGTCATTTCGCCTGTTCAACAAAAAAACGGCGTTATTACAGATCAGAGTAGCGTCGATAAACAATGACAGACGGTGCTTACATTGATTGGTCATAAATGACCACTTCTTAATTGTGTTGTCACCAGAACCACTGAAAACACAATTGTCAGGAGATGGTAAAGCGAAAAGTGCTAAAAATGGAAAGTTATCGGTCACGCTGAGACAGCAAACAAAAAGGACAAGCTGAGTACTAAATATGCTCTTACAGTAAACACTCTTAGCATGACCGGTCAACGTGATAATCTCCCTTCGAGTCTCAAGAGGCCCGCTTGTCACTGGCAATACTGGTGATATTGGCGTCACCGGTGATATAGGTGGACCAACGGCAGAAGACGTAACAGCAACAGCCACTCCTTGATTTGGACTCGACGATGCGTCCTCTGGAGAATCAATAGCAACAGCCAATACATCCGCGACAGAACTAGCAGGAGTAGCCTTGTGCTCTCGTAAAAATAACAACAGGTCGTGAATCCATACTCTGTCCACAGCACTCTGACATATCATTGCTCGAAACGCTTTCGTTTCGACTGAATCGGTTTTCAGACGTCTGAGCATGATATCGTCCGATTCCAGCCGAACAGCGTTTACGAATTTCTGGAATTCCACTTCTTCCACGAGTCCAAAGTTTTCCGTCCAGAATGATTGTGCTTTGGGGAAGCCCGAGAGCTTTTGGATTGCCTTGGTAGTTTTACTATTGGCGTCATCTGCATAGCTCAAAAAAGTTAAAGCCCAACACAGAATCATGCCAGTGATTTGAACCGCATCTTACCACTCGACAAAACACCCATCGAGGATGTAGCAGAAGATCCAGCGCTGGACGGATTGCTAGTCGTTTGGAGCGATGACCTACAAAAGGTGGTGGAAAGCAGAGTGAGACGACGCGAGCAAAACATTCTTCGATTCATCAATTCAAACTCACCGACTCTGCAAGTATATCCTAGCGTCCATACTGCCACGCTCCGAAGCCTTCTGAAACTGTTCAGAGGCCAGCGCTGTATTCTTGCTTTCACCACCAGACCCATCCTCCAAGCACAATCCGTATATGTAATGTCCGGTAGCATGAGACGTTAGGTCAATACACATCTTGGCCCAGTATACTGCCTTTTCGAACTCTCCCTTTTGATATTGTAGTTGGGCTAGTTCTGCGGCTCGATCGGAATCAACTGCAATTTGTGATTGCAGGACGATCTTCAGGCCTGGAATCATGTTTCTAGAATCAAAGTAGTTGGTTACGTCTCGAGTTTCTGTTTTCTCTTTTTGCATTGCGCTGCAATCAATCGTACCTATCAACTTTGAAAACTTTGGTTCCTTCTATAGCAAACATTCGTTGAACTGTCTCTCGAATCGTCAGCTGAGTCTTGCTCATAGGGTGAGCATGTTTGACATTTGGAAAGACAGAGATATCAAAGTCAGTAAATTCGACCCATTTCCCTTGCTTGTCTTGACTAGCTACAAAGACTGGGTATACTCGTGATTGCTTCGAGTTCTTGGCTTCCAGAGCATTTTCCCACTACACGAAACAAGGACTTAGACCATCATATGTATGGTTAGATACCTTCTACATCGGAAACAGCCTCTTCAATACCTCAAGAAGCATATTATCTGGCTTCTTATCAGCCTCTCTAAAAGGCAATATTGCGTGTTTGGACACTATCAACACTATAATCCTTGATCGAAGCAGACCAGCCAAGAATGATGCTTCAAAGGACATAGATGGTTGGAGGCATTCTTCATCCAAATACCCGTGGAGCTCGTTATTTCGGAGCTCGTACCACAGTAACTTTGCGGATAGGGAATCAGATGAGACACGGTAACTGAAAGAGGTTTGAGAGATGGTCAGATTGAATACCACGAAACTTTCGTTTCTTGTTTTTGCACAATAGACTTCCTGCTCACCTGATAAAAAAAGAATGAGCCTTGAACTTGAGATTGCATTGCCACGAAGTAGGACCAAAGCGCTGAGCAAAGTTATCCAGCGCCGATTGCGGTGGATTTGGCGCTAATGGACATAGACTTAGTAAGTTCAAGGCTCCAAATGATACTGCTGCATCGAAGGTGGAGCCCTTACCGAGTAAGCTTGCAGATGATCCAGTCTTGACTAATCCATACTGGAGCATTTCATCCTGATAAAGTTGCATATATTCCATGACTTGATTCGCAGTAGGTCGCGATTCCGGCTGAATAGACAGGCACCGAACAATCAACTCTTTGAATGGAATAGGGCATGGCCACCGATCCATTTTAGGAGTATTTCCCTAATTCAAAATTGAGTTGATTTTGACGTCGTTACAACGTTTGGTTGAACTGCTTACCAGCCAAAACCACTTGATATTGCCACTCGTAATCTTCTCAAGCGGCACTCCGTATGGCCCAATACATGATCCGATCTCACATAGCAAGACACCGAGAGAATATACATCTGTAGCTTCCGTAGCCTGTGATGTACCGGCGTTTAATTCAGGAGCCATGTAGGCCATTGTACCAATCTTTCCAGCAGAAGCCAAATCAGCAGCACTCTGCGATGCGAGCCCAAAATCAGCTAGTTTGGCTCGTCCAGTCCCGTCCAGCAAAATATTCGCTGACTTAAGATCCCTATGTAATATTTTACGGAAGTGTATGTGCAAAAGTCCACGAACGACATCCATAGCAATTTTAAATCGTTCCTTCCAATCCGTCATGCTAGTTATACGACCATCTAGAGACCCTCCCTCCATGTACTCCATAACAAGATATCGGCGTCGATGCAGGTTTGTAGTTTCCGTGATACCATAGAAATACACAATGTTTGGGTGTCGTAAAGAGATCAAGACTCCGGCTTCTTTGCGAAGATTGAGCACATTCTGCCGTTGTCCGTTGACGTCGATTGATTTTACGGCTACTTCTGCCCCATTGTAGTAAGCCTTTTCCACAGCACCTACAGCGATGAGTTACGTTAGCTATATATGGCATTGGATTGTTACGGTTACGGCGATTTGACAATTACATCAAGATATGAAGCCATTCAAAGAGTAAGTTTTCACGTAATTAACTTCAAATGGTCTATTCTTCTGCTTGATGTCAAAATCCAAGCGCCCTGAACAAATGTCCCGACGATTTCGACCAATCCAACCATCCAAATTCGAACTTTCTGCAGCAAATGGCCTTCCATCAAAGCATAAAGTAGCATACTTCTTCCACCGATACCGATTGGCATCTCCTCACAAGGAATGCACAATCTTATTTTCTGAGCTTTCAAATACGCACCTTGAGCTCCAAGACCAAGAGGTGTACGAGGGGACGGGAACGTTAGAGACCTTTCATCTAAAATGTATTCCTCCATACGACGAGAGTTTGATCTCGATCTCTGATTAATGTTAGAAGGCAATAGGTTGCACGTTTGTGGCGATGTCGGTTGAAATCACCTAAAACTGAACGTATCCTCAAAGTCACGGGATTACGTGTCAAGCTGCTATTTACAGTCAACAGATCGCCTGAAGCTACTTGTGATCCAGTTAAACCACAAAATTGCATGTCTATATATATGAAAACCGTCTGTACAGTCCACTAAAGTGCAATTACAGCAAAACACTGTTCATCATAGAAAGGTAGGCCTTGTCGATATGGACAAGAAGGACAAATTAGCACCATCTAGTACCACTAGTTTGACTGGTATATCAGGTACTTGAGACTGTAGATGCTCGAATTCACTAGATATAGGAATTGAATCGGTCGACCTGTGACGAAAAGAAGGGATCAGCATCGAGCACAATGTTTCCAAACTCGACTCTTGTGGACTTACTTGATGACAGTGAAACTAAACGATGGAGGCCCTGGATTTGACTTTTTGAAATGGCTTCGAGGCTTGTACGCGTCAAAGTCTAAAGCCCATGTAGCACTTAGAGGTGATTCCAGAATGGGTAGCGGTATCACTCGAAGCTGTTTATAAATATCATCTACAAATTCAACGAAGACAAGTGTTGGAGCGAGAGACTTTGCAACTGGTTCAACAGTCGTACTCACCAAATGATATGCATTCGGACGTATTCACTAGTGCATCATATACATTTGACTTTCGTGGTGGTTTCCACCAGCTCGTGAATCGAGATAGCAAGAAGGACAAGACTTGATTTACTACAAAATGAGCAAGCTACTGAGCGAAGTATTCAACTTGACGACGAAACAAAGCCTTACGTGGCTTCCACACTATCACAGTCGATTTTGTGGGTTCTAAATCGTTCAGGGCCTTGTCTGCTTGTGGTATTATCAAGTCTGATTCTTTCAGCAGACTATGCCGATACACGCAGTACCCAAGCCGTCTCAGGTACATGTACGCCTGATTTGAAAAGATTCAAATATTAGCAAATTCGACTCAGAGAAAGTGCCATAAAAGTGTAACAACTCACTTGGCACTTTTCTAACGTGCACCACGAATCCAGCAATAAGAGATATGCTTGCTGTAGCGACACGAGTCCAGCACCGACTCTTAATACAACGACACTACGTTCCATCAAGTACAAAGTCTCTTCGGGAAACAGTCGAAGCTTTCCCTTGACTGTTAGTCGTCCTGTCGTCATAAAGTGTACTCCTGTTGGTTGAATGATCTCGGCCATGCGTTCTTTAGGTAGCCACGTAGCTTCCACGATCGTCCTCCTATGACGAGGAGTGTGCGAAATTGTGAGAAAAGGAGGACTTTGATATTCTGTTGCTCAATATAACCATTACTTGGCTGCACGACGTTCTTCAGACAGTACGAGCATATAAGCGTCCATGGATTCTTGTAATTTAGTCCGATGTTCATCAGAACCGTTTGGTTCACCGAGCTTTAATCCTCGAATGGCCATCGTGTGTCTATAAAAAAGTTGATGTCAAGCTCAAATTCTTACTACAAGACGCGTAAAAGATCACCGATCACGACGATCAAACGTACTCTCTTGAGAGTAGTAATGCACTAAAATCTGGTATGCCTTCTTCCTCATCCTCCTCGTCAACCTCGTTTTTCACAAGCTTCGACTTTGCAAGCTTCACATCAGCTTCCTCGTCAGAGAAACGCTCTTCGTCTTCCAAATCAGGCACTAGCTCTAGGTCAGGCTCCGCATCAACGAACTCGCAATCTTTACTGAGCGATTGGTCGATTGTCGCCATCGCAAACAATCTTGGACTAGCTGAGTTTTTTGTTTTTTGAAGGTGACTGCTTTGGCAGGTGCTGTTAGATTTGATTTTTGAGAGTTGGATCAATCTAATATCTATATATTTGCTAGATTCCAGCTATTTATTCATACCGAACGACAATGACCATCGAAGAAGACATCTTCATATTGGATGACATTGACGTGCTTGACAGGAGCTCCACAAACACAAGCTCTGATGAAAGAATCAAGTTCACCACCCTATCAAATTCATATGGCGCGAAGGAATTGCTCATCAGGTCTTATACTCGAGTAAGATAACTCATCACGTCACACTCCTCAACCATACATTATTGGTGGAGCAGTCACTCAACGACAACTTCTACATTTAGTATTAGTTGAAGCCGTACGCTGTCGAAAACTGTACTGCTTGGAAATCCAGGAGGTCCTCCCGCAAAAGATCAAAGTTGGTGGTAAACAGGAGCCAGTGCGCTCATGTACGACACAAGCATTTCATGAAGAGCCATTCATTACACATGAGGAGGCTGTTACTATAATGAACTCATCGGCTTCAAACCTCTTATAGACAACCGAAACAAGGGCGCAATCATCTATATCGTCCTGCGTCAATCACGAGATGTTCAGTCTGGATTTCGAGATTTCGAGCGTATAACCAAGGACCTTCTCTTTGAGCTCGTCCATTGCAAGCATGTTGAAAAGAATAAGGACTATTGGGACTTGACCAACATGGTATGTGTTGTGTCAAGCCATCCTTTGTATTTGTCAGTGGCAGTGTTACGATAACACTGAATCATTTCATAAAACAATTGCTCAAACAATACAAGGAAAAGTACGATCCAGAAGTACCAACTTACATTGGCGGAACTGGCAGTGTACGAGACTCGTCCTCCCAAGATATCGCAGACAATGAGTAACGGGAAAGAAACGAAACAAAGCAGCAAGTGTGTCATTTACAATTCTCACTGACAATTCGACCGAATAAACATAGGACGAACAGGATTCTGCACGAAAACGTCGTCTTATATCCATCTTTGATACGGGCGTCGAGTCGTTGCAATGTCTCTGGACTGAGTTGATGCCAAATCATTCAAGACATCAGCGATCTGAAATGAAATGGTGGAAAACTTGACTAACTTCGTTGAAAGTTCAATATCTCAATCAATGAACAATATTATGTATACTGAGTTTCTTATGCTTTTATGTCGTAGACTAGATACAAGAGGGTCCAGTTAAGCAGGCTGATTGATTTCCATGTGGCCTACGCAGCGTACAACTAAGATGCGTAAAGAAGTCAGTCTCTTTTATAAATGTTGCAAATCGTTGGAGGCTCAGACGGGCGTGTCACGAATATCATTTTGAGAGTCTGTCGCAATATGGAAGGTCTGCGGGGCAATCCTCCTCAGTCTAAATCCTTATTTAATTTGAAGAATGATGTCTGGAGATGGTCTAACGCGGTCTTGCAAGGGTGCCTTGCGTCAAAATGTCAAAAGCAACGGAATGTTTTGTGCAGGCGGCTCTCGCCTTACCTCAAGATAGTCGAATCATTTGTTGAGTGGTCTAGGAACGTGGCAAGTAATCATTTCAGAGCAATTTAGATACTGTGACGGGCCTATTTGCAGTCCCAGCTTCACCTTCAACAAAAATACGGATGGAAAGAGAACAAAGAAGACTATGATATTGACTAACACCCTCATTTACAGGAGACACTGTCAAGCCGACTGTTTGGAGATGTATTACCTTAAAATCAGGTAGGTCTTCGTCCTCCTTTGCGTCGTGGTTCACAAGCTTTGCAACGGGAGGGTTTCGACGTTATGAAATCTAACTTATACAATGTAAAAAGGTACACTTAGAACGTTTCAATCCTTCTTGTAGTTCTTGTAGCTCAATATATTGATCAGCCGCATATTCCTTGGTTTGTGTTTGCAGTAGTTTCAACGAACTGTTTGGAACATCAGAACCCGGTCCTTTGGTTCACGCAACGAGAAAACTACATACGATTTACAAGGCCACCAAATATGTATTTCTATATGTCGACATGAGTGTCAGAGTGCAAAAAAAACCAGACAAAGATATATTTGCCAAAGCGAGGTAATGGCTATTATCAGAACTTGAAGACCTGATTCTGCCCATATCCCAGTTGTCCGAGTATCCCGCTAATCGGGCCTTGAGATTCCTCGCTTCTCTTTGTCCCAGCAACATGCCTCACCATCCTATGTTGACGCAATTGAATCAGCTCACCACCACTCAAATCCTACATAACGAAGCTCGACTATTACCCTTCAGGTCCACAAACAAGCACTAGAGACTTCTGTAGTGTCGGCGGAGGCATGTACTTTTGAATCATGGCTTGAGACACAAAGCCTCGTTCACCCTTCCATTCTGTAGCTTCTAATGGCTCATCTACTATATAGTGTACTTTAAAGCGATCAGGATGAGCGGATTGTAGGATTTCCAGCTCATTGTGTAGCAGGATGTCCTTTTCTGACTTGGATCCATATAGTAGTGTGATTCGAGTTCTCTCATCTGGATTTCGTAGTATCCGTTTGATGAGTTGATACATGGCTATTTGTGAGGGCGTATACAGGTAAGTAAGTATGTTCTTGATGAAGGTCGGTAGTACTTGAAACGATCACTGCTGATACTTACGAGTGATACCAGTTCCACCAGCAATCTATTAAAGCAAAAACTAATGAGTGCTCAGATTCGTATTCTTCCTCACAAAAGCAATCTTCATACCATTCCAATTTCATCAGCCATATTAGACTCATACGGCATACTGACTAACGGGCCTCTTATGTACACCTTATCACCCGCCAACTGCTTTCCTAAGAACCGACTAACAGACCCTTCCGGATACACCTTAACCACCACATCAAAGTGATTGGTTGCATAAGTTACAGGAGTATACTTGCGTCCAATCTCGCAAGTATGATCTTTAATCACCACATGGGATGGAATCGGTATTCCCTTTTCATCCCATGGTGCTCTCCTTGCTATCGGCATATCGGTACAAAACCTCATGAGCATCGAGTCATGGGTTAATGGTATGACTTCTTGTACCATCATGGGTCTAAAGTCGTCTGGTATCAGCGACTGAATCTCGGGTACATGAGTGACGATCATGTAGATGTAAAACACCATGGAGGATGCGAAGACTGCGAAATATATCATATTATCGGTTTTTTGGTTTGGCGTGTCCTCTGTCGTAAGAAGCTTCATGTGGTTTACGGGTGTTAGTGCATCGTTTTCGTGTTGATGCTTGATGTCGATGTTGGCAGGGTCAGGTATTATTATTTCGGAGCGTGGTGGTGATCTGATGATGGGAGGCCGTCTAGAATATGATGCCCGTGTCGGTGTGGATGTCTCTATGGTGGGTATTGGAGATGGCAAGCTGCCACTACTACTAGAAGAATATCGATTCGTTTGCCCATTCCTGAAGGCTATAGGTCTTGTACAGGTGGCGATACGGCTGCTAGCCAATCTCCTACAGCATATAGTTAAAGCTGACCGTGCCATCATGGCTACTTCAGCGAATCTTTGAGCTTGTCCAGTTTCTTTCAAAAGCCAGAAAATCGAATCGGCGCATACGCAAACATGGAAAAGGGAGAGCTAATCGACGCGTCCCGACGTGTTCACCTGTGATTGTCTATGATAACTTACTCAATCGGCTCACTAACGCTTCTGATCGTATTGTAAAAGACTACAAAACGTGACAATGTGACAATAAAATCAAATCATGGAGAATTTCGAGAGGAACTTTGTAACTTTGTAATTACGGGAATACAATCAAATTTATCTAAAACTTCGAGAGAAACTTTGTAATTACAGGGTTGACAACTTCAGGCTTTTCACAGTGTGACCAGTGCCCAGCACCGGCTACATGTAAGTGTTCCATGTCTGTAACCTTCTCCTTCATGATCTCGATGACGCCAGGTACGAAACAGATATCGTACTCTCTACCAATCGAGAAATGCGTCAGTCAGTTGCTACAACACGTCTTGATCTTGCTTATCACTCACCCTGTAATCATAAGCACGGGTAAATCCAACACTTTGCCTGCAATAGGCCGTTCCTGATTATAATTTACCTCCTCTTTACGATACCACGAGAAAGCTCCATTGAATCCGCTCACTTTGAAGGCAGAAACATAAGCATCATAAACCTCGGGCTTCAAGAACCCAATGTTTTTCCATGCTCCCCAACCGTATTCGGCCAGCGATTTGATCTTTTCACCCTTAATGGTGTTGACAATGATATCACCAAGCCCAACATAGTTTGCTGGTTCTTCCGTATTGGGGATCGTCCTGAAGAGTGTTTTGAACAAGGCTTCTGGATTCGCATCACAAGCGGCTTCCCAATCGCGATGACGAAACAGGAATTGGTATGCCAAGTTTGAGTACTTGGTCACTCGTTGCTCCAAAGTTTGGTAGGTGGATTCAGTTTGTGGAGACCATGGTGCTGCATATGGCACTACATTCGAAACGGGTTTATGTTAAAATGGAGGATTTTAATGTTTGTAGTAATGAGCAACCAACCTGAAACAGCGATGAAAGCGCGAATTCGCTTTGGGTAGAAGCCACAGAATCTCCATGTTAAGAACGCACCCCAGTCTAACCAAAGTATGGAATCAGTGATAGTCCAAGGTTGAATAATGCGTCAATGCACCTTACCATGTCCCATAAAGATGGCTGAATCAATCTTCCACACATTTCCCATCAGGAAATCAATATCATCGCATAGCTTCTTTGTCCCAAACCTAGTGATAACATTCAGCTGACAATACTAGCGGCGCGATGTTGCAGCAAAGTTGAAACCTCTCCAATCCAGCATCAACTTCAGCCTGTGATGCACCATGCTCGGGATGAGGGACGTATGGAGCGTAAGTTTCGCCCATACCACGTTGGTCCAGCAAAATGCATCGATAGTTCAAGTTCAGCAGCATGTCAAGCTGTGCTTCGTAGCACGTATATCCCAAATCGGGCCAACCTTTACCAAATAAACCGGTAAGCTTGACATGAAAGTTGGAGTATCAACGCGCACGTGAAAGTTGAAGCATCAACGTGTACAAGTTGTTTGATTTACCAGGCACCATAACAATCACATCCTTTGGGTTTGATGTTTTGCATTCGTCCATATAATCTATAACAAAGCATCGTGCGGAAGGAGTTAAATGACAGAAATAGCCACCTGGACTGAATTTAAAGCAGATTCATAGTGTGAAAGGTATGATGTTCATAGGCTGTTGCCGATTACATCTGCAGGGCGGCCAATTAGTAGCCAGACAAAACGTACGGTATCTTTGTCCGTTTGCGACTGCATATTGATGATTTAGACCGGGAGGGAATTTGACGGGCATGGCTGCAGATTTAAAAGCTCTCCGTTCGATGGTGGTGCTGTTTTGACGAAAATTGTGGAAGAACGGTTTTGACACCATAGCGATGGTGTTCCACAAGAGAGAATCGAAAATTCAAGGTATATCCCGCCATTATGTTGTATGCTATAATGGCAACACGTGGTTTAAATGTCAAGAAACCTAGTGAAAAACTGAGATATCGGGCGATCGGTTGACGTGTCGACTTTTTTAAGGCATTCGAAGATCAAGATCCCAAATGGTTGTAAATAAAACGATCAAAAATCTATAGATCTTACATAGGTATTGTATTTTCAAATAATTTGGATCTGAATCATTTCCTTGAACGTGACGGAGATTTACATGCGTCCAATAGAAAAAGTGAGCGGTGAGCAGCAAGCCATTCGCAAACAGAACAAGACAGGCACAAATGTCTAGAAAACTGTCTAGATTCAAGCGAGGACCATTAACGCTCGCAGATGTGGGACACTCTTCAACGTCCCTATCTTCATTATCATCACTCCACGGGTCGACGAATGCATTGGCAGCACCTTCAAATGGCACTACAAACCAATTCAATGGAAAGGGAGTCGCTGCAGCCCCCGAAACTGTATATAAGATGAGCAAGAAAATAGCTCAATTGACACGTGTAGTGTATTACCTGAATACCAAGCATGAAGATCATCAAGTTGAATTGGATGGACTTAGGGAGGCTTATGAGGAAGAGTGCTCAAGAGTATGAATAGGCTGCTGTTTGAATCTTCTATTGCTTCTCTGCTCTGACATGGGTTTCCAATTATAGATAATCCAAGATGCAAAATCAAAGATAACGGCTTTAGATTCTGCTCGTCTAGCTGGCGAAGCTGAAATCAACGCTACGAAAACTGAATTAGATATATACAGGGAATCCGAATCTATGGTCAAAACACAATTAGCAGAGGCTATGAACACTGTTGACAAATTGCAACATGATTTGAAGATGCAATCAGATCGATTTGGAGCTTCACAAGCCGACATCAACAAGGCTGGTCAAGAGGCTGCTCATTTACGAGCTGAATTTGAGAACACGCTTCAGGCTTTAGAAGAATCTCATAAGGCTAGTGTAGCTGGATTGACGAAACGATACGAGGAGGAGCTCAAGAGTGTTAGGAAGGATCGGGATAGAATAGATAAAGAGGGAAAAGCTGAAAAGGAATCTATGAAGCGGAAGGTTGGAGCTCAGTATTCTTGGATGTCAGAGACACTCTTGTCGCTTACACACATTTGACACATAGTATGAAACGGATCTCTCTTCGAAGGACGAAGAGATTGAACGGCTACGGAAGGCAGCTGCTTCCAGCCAAATAGCGTTTGAGCAAGCAGAGCAGCTTCGAATCGCCGAGGCTGAAAAGAAATTAGAAGAAGCTGTTGACGTTGAACGGCAGCGGATTGCCGATAGAGAGTTTACGATAAAGAAACTCAATCTCACTTGCGAAGAGTATGTTTCCAGTTTCTCGTGCAGTCGGAATCGCTGTATAGCTGATCGAATGCTCATAAATTTAGATACCAGAAAAAAGTGAATGAACGAGATACGCAAATATCGAATCTTAAGCTGGATATCAAGCAGCAACAAACAGAGCTTTCAGCTGCATTAGCTAAAGCTGAACGTGCTCAAGCTGATGTAGAAGCAGCTGATATACGAGTCAGAGCGGCTGGTAATGAATCGATATACGTGTAATGATTTTTTTTCTCTTAGTACCATTCTGACAGACTTCTATTAGATGAGCGCGAAGAAAACATTAAAAGGGAGCTAGCGAGAACTGGTGATCTAGCCACCGAGCTCTCGAATGCTCATGAAGCACATCGGCAAGCATGCGTTGATGCTGACAAGTACATGAAGGACTTGGTTGTGGCATCTAGGTAAAGTGAATGACAAAAGACGTCTCGATGTGACAAGAAATCAGCTCACCACGGATCAATATAGATCTGTGACGGAATTGAAGGAAAAGATAAAGTCGTTAGAGAGTAGTAAATCCAGTTTAGGTATCAAATACTTCGACATAAGTCTTTTTGTGTTTGGGTAGTTTTACAGAAACTCTTGCATATAGAAAAGAAGCTCAAGGAGGCAGCAGAGACGTTAAAAATGACAGTACAAACACATGAAGAGGTAGATTTACTGTTTGGGTGTGAGAATTTGAAATCTCGAAACTGAAAGAATATTATCCATAATACTTGCAGAATGCCAAGAAGGCTCTCTCATCGCAAAAGGCAGATTTAGTATCAAATGCCGAATTCGAATCTCAGAAGCGGATTCATGAACTTCAGGACGAGCATCGACTTGCCATAGATTCCAAGATCAGGGTATGCAAAAGAGTTGAACGATGCATTCACGAGAATTTTGTTGAGTTTTTTGCTCACCACAACCTCATTTTCATTCTATTTCTGTATAGGACATTAAAGAACTAAAAGTAGCTCTCCAAACCAAAACTATCGCTTACGAAACCCTCGAGTCCGAGTACGAAGACACTCGTCGTAAACTTTCCTCCAAAATCGACTCTGTCGAATCTTCACGAGGTGTCTTGTCGTCAAGGCTAGCAAGTACGCAAAAGGAACTGGACGCTGCGAGGAATGAGATTGATTTACGGATGTCTGAGATCAAGAAGCTGGAAGTGCAGGTCAAGACGATACAAGAGGAGCAAGCCACTGCTGCAGCAAGAATGGCCACCATGGCAAGCAAGATTGGGTCTAGAATGAGGGATGAGTTTAAGAAGGAGAAAGAGGGGATTGAGCATCATTGGTATGTATAGGTTCCTTTTCGTAGTTTTTTGGCATTTACTGAACTCGATTTTCGAAAACACATAACAGGTCCAAGAAAGTAAAGGACCAAATGAACGAGCTCCGAACAAACCTCACCTCGCAATCCAGCCTCGAGCTCACATCGACCCTCTCTCAAGTCGAGCGAGACCACAACGAGGAAATAGAACGTCTCCAAACATCTCACGAAACCGAACGCAAATCATGGGCATCCCAGAAGAGCATGCTGGAACGAAGGTTATTGGAAGTCGCAACGACCTTATCAGAGCTAGAAATCAAGACAGAGAGTGTTGCTAAACAGCATCAAGACGCTATGCAACGACTTGTTATGCGGAATGACGAACGAATGAGAAACGTCAAGGACAGTTGGGATCAAGAATGGCAGTTACGTGAGCAGGAAGCTAAGAAGGAGGCTGAGAAGCTTGTGTGTCAAGCTGATGAGCGTGCTGCTATACATTTGAAGGAGGTGGAAGGGAGGTGGGCTGTGCTGATTGAGAATATGACGGGGCTTCGTGATCAGATGAGAGAGAAATACGAGCAGGTATGAGAAAGCAACCCTATCCTGAGAGACACTTGACCTCTTTTTTGTTGGACTGAAAAAGCCTTCTCTGTTTGTAGGAAGTCGAAAAGACAAACAGTCTTGAATCGGCCTATACATCCCTCCAAGAATCTCAAGCTCACGAATTGCTAAAACAAGCGGCCGAATACGAAGTCAAGATAACAGAAGCTGTTCAAGTAGCAAGACTAGAATGCGACTCGGTAGCCAAGATTGTGGCTGAAGAACACAAGGAGATTATAAATCGAAAAGTGCAAGATGTTATTCGTCTTGTGAGGGAGGTTGATGCTCATTTGGTGAGTGATTCGCAATCAGCACGTTCAATTTTTTCATCTCAAACTCTGGATTTTGCTTTCTTTAGGCTACAGCAGCAGATCTGAAATCCAAAATAAAGGATTTGCAAGTGCTGTTAGAGGAATCAAAAAAGGAAATTACTAATCGTGATGATGACATTACTCAACTCAAGCAAGTTCTCCGAGATTGTACATTCGTTTTTTGGCCTTCTCACCAACCCATTCGTTTCTGAACAAAAGGGAGGATCACAAGAAGGCTCTAAAAGACCTCCAAAACGATCTGGAAGTACGACACGCCGTTCGTACCGAAGTCGTCAACAATGATCATCTGGGAGAAACCCAACGAATGTTGAAAGATTTCGATATGGCTCAAAATTTCCTTAAGAGGCAGATTGCGAGTCTTGAGAAAAGGTAACTTGTTGATGGTGTTATTTGAACTCACGCAGAATACGTCGCCTTTGACGCGTTGTGTTTTGCATCACTGTCTTATACCTTTCACTTCGTATTTCCAGATTACAAGAAGCAGACATCAAATACCAAAACCGTGAACCACGCGAAATGGACATTCAAAGAATATCAGACCTCGAAGTTGAAGTCGAGAAGAAAAAGAGGAGGATAATGGCTCTGGAAGGGGAGCTTGAGTACTGTAAGCTCGAGTTACTGAATCGAGAAGTTAATTACAACAAGGTGTTTGGAACTACGACGAGGACGGGTGTTCTCGGGTCGTTTGATAGCAAGAATTCATCCAAGGTGAGCAAAAGAAGCGTGTGAAGCTTGCTTTCGGAAGCATTACAAGTATGGGACCGACTTTTGTTGTCTCTTAGAGCAAGCCATTCTTCAAGTCTGAAACAAGTCTTTCAAAACTCCCACCACTACCAAATCCACCACTGGCACCAGCAGCAAATCCTTCTTAATCTGTGTGTATACTCTAGTACCAAGTGAAAAAAAATATATAAGAAAACAAAAATATCAAACATTAGCAGGTGGATTGGACTTTCTGCACTCCTACAACGTTTCATGTATTTCCAATCCTCTGAAATACCTTTCTTCGTTTGTTGGACCATTAACATGCGCAGATGGCGGACATTGTTTCAACCTCGCCATTTTCAGATCGTCACTTTATATCTTAATTTACTGAAGGCCGCTTCTCCAGAAACTGGTTGTGGCATGAGCTCAATCGAGCTCAATCGAAGTATGCTGCCTATGCTGTGAATACGAAGCATGAAGATCATCATGCTGATTTGGATGGCTCATGCTCTTTTCTTCATGGACACAGAGGGGAGCACCAAAACGACTTTCTGGACTTGCGAGCCGATTTAAACGTGCAACTCGTCGTTTGTCCCAACGAATAGTGAAAGGACTCAGAGATGGCACAGAGCTTCCTCAAGAGACAAATATCTCGTTTTTGACAGAAGATTGTCGTTGTTGAGGTATTTGATCTCTTACCGAGTCTATATGGAGTCATGTTCTAAATTTTCTTTCTCGTCACAGTCTTTTGTATACGCAAGTACCACAACGAGAATCCCGAGAGACGGATCATGCAAAGAATATTCGGGTCTGGAAGTCGAACTTGAAAAGAAAAAGGGGAGGGATTAAAGGCTATCCAGTTGGTCCGTCGAACCACAGTGTGTCAGTATGTTTGGAACTGCTACGAGGACGGGGGTTCTGACGTCTGCAATACCAAGTAGCAAGAACTCATCTTCGAGGAATTTGGACAGAGTGTTGGAACTTTGGATTGAAAGGGAAGGTTCGAGACGGGGTTGTTTTTGGCGTCCCTCAACCCATTCTTCAAGGCCGAGCACAGTTTCAGAATTTTCATGACCTCCAATTTCATTACTGGCAATAGCCCCTAACCTATTCTTTAAACTGCATGAACATCTTAGTCAATAAAAACCTTGAAGGACAACAGAAAAACCCTTCACTTGTGTCAAGCAACACAAGTGAAACAAGATATACACGAATACGCGAAGAACATATAGAGCTATATTCTTCCCGTTTGTATCGTGTTTCGGCACTGAAGTAAGGGATCCTTTTCTGTTTGTTCATTGCATTCCTAAACCTGGCAAGGAGATGTCAGAATTTTCCAAAGTTCAGCATCAGACGAAAGTCGTACTTCTTTTAATCCATTCAAGAAGAATGGGCTTCTCAATCTCTCCGTTTTGCCACAGATAGACGACGGTAAGCAAAAACAAAGACCAAAACAACCACCAAACTTTGAATAATATACACCAAAACGGCCTGAGGGGTCAGATACGTCGAGACAATTGTGCCGTCTCTATTTATCTCAATTTTCTCTAATATTGATCCCATTGTAAGACTTGCGTGGTGAATTGTTTCCCTACTTTCACGTCTTATATATTTGCCAATGCTACAAAAAATACTTTTCACTACTCTTGTATATCACAGCAAGTATAGCCCACCCACTCGAATGCGAATTCACAATATAGAATTATACACAAAACACAGCCCGTTCATCCCCCCTCATAATAGTCTCACACACGTTCATAATAAACACTGCCCAGCGCCAATCCACCACAATACAAGCAAAATAGTTCAGCGAAAAGAAAATACATAATAATTGTATCATCATGGTTATGATGACGATGACGAGCCTCCGGACTGATGCTGAGGTCGTCGTAAATTCAAGTTCAATGCATCATCATCAGACTAGTATAGTGATGGAAATCAGCAAAGTGTTCGAGATGCCATATTCAACACAAGACTACGCAAAAAAGACAGCATATTGCTCGGAATACTCACTGAATCGTCTGAATCACTATCAACGTCACGTAAATGTCCACGTAATCGAGTAGCTTTAGCCTTCAAATCCGTCTTGGTTTGTAATAATGTCTTGACGTAACCCAAAGCTATAAAGAGTGAAGGAAACAAATAAATTACGTTCCTGACAAGAGCTGTGCCATTCAGCAATGACATTTACTCACCATGTTGCAATATCTCAGCTTCACTCAACCTCGGCTGACGTCTCACATTAGGCACCAAATCAAGTAATTGATCAAACCCAGTCCTAATATTCTGTCGTCTCTTCTTCTCCGATTCGATATGATTGTTGCGTTTCTCTTCTTCACTTAGTAGTCCTTTTGCTGCGTTTCGACTACGGCTACTGCTGCTAGCACCACCACCACTTCTTGAATCGGCATTTGTGTCATCTGGTGCGTCTTCATCATCCTCTCGTTGATTTGATGACGTTTTAGTAGATTTAGATGAGGATGGCTCGTTATCCTTTGGTGAAGGCCAATCGCCTGTACCGATAGCAGCAGCAGCGACTTTCTTGGTGCTAGGTGCTTCTATGGTTGAAGAAGCTTTACGTTTCCTGGATGTAGAAGCCGTAGAGCTTCGTCGACGTGATGATGATTGTGTTGTTGGTGGTGGTAGAGGTGACGAGGACGTATTGTGATTGACTGATGGTGTAGCAGATTCTGCTACTGTTGGAATCGCCACCTGTAGTGGTGGTTGACTAGGTACTATGATACTTGACGTGACAGGGGTACAACTATTATTTTTTGCCGCTTTGCCGATAGGTGGTACTTGTTTCGGCTGTGACTGCTGTTGTTGTTGAAACGGTATTGATGGTGCATTACTAACTAGCGGAACATGTGGTTGGGTTGGAGCAGCATTATTATTATTATCAATAGCCGTCGTGATTATTTCGTTTGACGTTGACTGTCGTCGCTGTTGATGATGTTGAGCAGCAAGTTGAGCTTCAATCTGTCGTAGTGTCGTGTTGCTCGATATGGCTGCTGAGTATGGAGGATAGTAGAGCTGACTCGGGTAGGCTCTCGGAGGTGAGGCTGGGATGGTCATACTACGAGAAACACAGGGTTCTACAGGAAGATACATCCTGGCTGATGCGGATGCTGCCGTAGTATGTGCAGGGGGTTCTTTACGGTCGTGCGTATGACCTAATAGAGCGAACGGGAGCGTGTCAGTACACGACCATGCAAAAATCAAACCCTGTTTTCCTCTAGATCTCGACAGTCAGAGCAGCAAGTTGCGGTAGAATAAGATGATGTACCATGATTGGATAAAATAGAAGTGGGCCCAGGATGCAATTCATTCGAGTTCTGTGTCGTTTTTGATGTTGGGCTGCCAGCCAGTGAATCTAGAAAGTTTCCAAAGAAGGTTCTCTCTTGTTCAGAGAGTATATGGCCTTCCGGGAGATAATTGTCACTTTCAAATGGCACTATAAAAGCATAAATCGAATGTCAGATGAATGCGTCAGAAATAGGAGAAAATGTTTGACGATACGAAGAATGGATCGCACTAGATGAGTAGAAGCAGCAAGGCCATACCGGTTGGATTCGTCTTGAGATTATTAGTCAACATTCTGCTTCACCAGTCAATTACAAGCTAGTTCTCCTTGTTCTTTTCTCTAGTGCATAAAGGTTGGGCGTTTGGATTGTGTGAAAATATCACGAGGAAGGACATGTAACGAATGGAGACGCGTCTGGAGCAAGCGAACAATATCTTAAACATATGGGCAATATGGGCATATTTCGGTTCAAAAACGAAACCTGACACATGCCCATTCAGCAGGGCTTATAAGATTAATGAGTAGCGGAATTGTGCTACCAATTTAGCTACCAATACAATACGCGTCTGAAATACAAGATTGATCCCAAATGACACGTTTTCTGTATTCTCCATGAGGCTTCCTGCGCTTCCCGTCAACATAAGCAAGATGCAGAAGCAGCCATGCTTCCTACTGAGCTGATTGATAAAGTACTTTAATACTTAGTGAATGATCATGGAATTATCGGTTTCAAGACTCTAGCTCGCAATCAAAAGAAATGAACGAATCTGTCGGTTTGGAATGCACAAACTGCTACCAAAACTACTTGACATGATACTGTCGTCATCCTCATTTGACTTATTATTTGACTTATGATTAGGCTCTTCGCATTCTTTACAAGGAATTGCCTCTTGATTACTATGACTTTCACGCCCATCATTATCAATAAAATGATGGCGTCCTTACTATTGGCACTGAGGATCAATAGTACTGCTAGCTTGAAGAGCTTTACTTTCAACCGTCGTGACGATGAGGCTCCCATCATGAAATACTGGAATGACTGCTGGGACTTGTTCTCAATATGCAACTCTCAAACACGTAACGTTTGGTAGTGTCGATATCGCGTTGATGGATCGTCGTGCACTGACGTCTCTGGCTTCAGCCAAGGCAAATGCAGTCTCTCGAAACGTTAATAATAGATTATGGTACAGCGATAGGTATTGAAGCAATTGGTCAAGTCATTGAACACCACGCCACCACTCTTCGTCGTTTGTCCATTCTGGGCTTGTGGTTTGCTCCGTCCATGTATACCTATCGTATGCCCAACCTTACCGATTTACGTATACCATTCGATTCTCCAGCCGCTGCCACGATAGTGTGTAATACTGGAAGTCTACTATCGTAGTCACGTCAATGCACGACTATCCGTAACGTGTAGAGATTTGAAAAGGCTTGACTACGATAGTAGACTACAGCCCAAATCTCAAGGAATTGTCTCTGGACACTATGTGTGTCCATACCATCAAGCTTGTGGCCACGAAACTTGAAAAGCTGGAATATCTCTTTTCGAGTGGTAATCGAGAGCTTGCGAACGATGTTGCTACTGAACGAGCTCAGATCTATATGTCAATGCCACGCCTAAACTAGTGTCAGCGTGAAATGGAGGTTACAGATGAAGCTACACTTCTAGCTTCACGTATTGGAAGTTTATCACAGGTCGAATGGTAACCCTTTGTGGGCAAATCACTACTTCTCTCCTATATATTCTCGCGAGTCTCACTTTGAAGCCCCGGGCTGCTCACTCACCCAATATATGGTCAAAGAGTTGTGCAATGATGAAACAGATTGTAAGGGGCTTGGTAGATTATCATGGCATGGTAGTTGATTAGATGCTCTGCTCATTGTATTGATGTAGTTGTATGTGTAGCTCAAACATTTGTCGCAATGGTAAAAAACAATAGATCGTCTACACATTTTACTTGAAACGTGTCAAACGTAGTAAAATAATGATATTTACATGCGGAGTCACCAGAGTCTCCTCGACTTTAGAAACATTCCTGGACTATTCAAAGTGCTTCTACGTCAAAAAAGACGCGTACTTGCACTATGCTTATGCGACCGATCGCCTATGAGACGAATGTGTATTTTCTTGTGTTGCTGCAGATTCCGGCCACCAGAAATCACAACGATACATTCAAGTTCGCCAAAGAACTCTAGGAATGACTTCAACTACATCAGACAACGGCACAAAAGTTCGTAAGTAATCCATTGCAATTGCAAGAAGAGACAGCGCTGCACTTTGTACTAAGGCCGCTAAACATCAGGTTGCACACGAAGAACCGGATGGGTCTCTGATGAAAGGTGAATACTCTGCTTCGGGGGATGAAACTTATTATTACGTTGCTCTTTCTGTTTCTCTATTACTCGAAATGTGTCTTGACAACTCTCGTTGGATGCATGTTGGAGCTTGCTTTATGACTCACATCATGAACTTCATGGTCAACGTACAAGGAGGATACAATCGCTGCCTTTCAAAGACTAATTGAATCACTCTGAATCGCAAAAGAACAGTGGCCGTAGTGTGTTTGTTCAGTTTGAAACAAACCCAACCATTATTTCTTAACAATCATGGCTATGAAGCACCGTGTATCTTTGAAGCTCTAACCAAATGGCTCTCCTAGATATTTCTGGCACGCGACTGGACAAGCAGCCTTCTCCCATCCGCATTCACTGGAAGCCGGTCTCGAAATGGGCGAACACATCGAATCAGTCGCCTCCAAACGTAGATTCCGAAACTTGATTGACGTCGTTTCCCTACTCGACGAACTCGTAATTATAAAACCACGATTCGCCAGAGTCGATGAAATCAAGTACTTTCATACCGACAAGTATATTGAACATGTAAAGACATGCTCAGATTTGGGGTTTGGTGACGGTGGTGAATTGGCTCCTATTGGGAAAAACTCGTATGAAATTGCGCTGTTGGCTGCTGGTGGATGCATTACTGCTGTTGATGCTGTTATGGATGGCAAGATTGATAATGCATATGTGCTGTGCCGACCTCCAGGGCATCATGCGGAATCTGATATTGGAAGGGGTTTCTGTTTGTTTGGGAATGCGGTGATTGCCGCGGAACATCTGAGACGAAAGCGTGGACTTAAACGGGTCATGGTGTTTGATTGGGATGTGCATCATGGGGTAAGTGATCATCACTTGTTCTTAAAACACATACCAGTTTCTCTGAATTTAGACACGTTTCAATAGAATGGAACCCAGAAGGCCTTTTACGAAGACAGTGGTGTCCTCTTCATATCTGTTCATCAATCGGACTGGTATCCGCCACAATCGGGTTTGTTGGAAGAGACCGGAGCTGGCGCTGGACTTGGATACAATGTAAAGCACATCCTTTCAATTGAAGACCTTTCGCGATTTCTAACGAAATACCCTCTATGTACTAAGATCAACGTGCCTCTACCTCCAGGAAGTGGCCATGGCGCATATATGGATATGATGAACCGTGTTGTGGCGCCGGCTGTCAATGCCTTCAAACCTGGTATACATTCTTACCAATCAGAAACTAGGCGGCCAACAAATTGATTGATCTCCTTCTCACACGTAGAATTCATTCTGGTTTCTTCCGGATTTGATGGTTCGGCCTGTGATCCTCTCGGCCGTATGATGGCATATTCAGAGACGTATCGTGGCATGACCAAGATACTGGTTGAGTTGGCTCAAGAGACCTGTCATGGTCGACTAGCCATGTTTCATGAGGGAGGGTATAATCAATACTATGTTCCCTTCTGTGGACTGGCGGTACTTGAAGAGCTTAGTAAAGCAGACTCGGTCTTCCCGGATCCATACTTGGGTAAGAAAGAACTGGTCTGTCTTGAATTTTCAAAACTTGTATGCTCATCTCTCTCTTCTTTGCTTCTATCTTCAACACTTTTCAGGTATGTACTCTGCTATGGGAGGCCAAGAACTTCAACCTTGGCAAGCTGCCATCATTGATAAAGCTTCAGCTCTGGCAAAGATTTTGAAGATGCCTCAATTTCACAAACTCTGAAAACAACCCAGAGACTTTTACAAAGAACCTCGTTTCGTTTTGGAACTCTACTACTAAATGTCTAACTATTACACTCTACTATTGTTTCCAAATAAAAATCGTTTACACTACAACACAACGTTCAAAACTCCTCGATACTCGTGAATCGTATTTATACAATGCACTGTGAACAGACATGGTCACGGCTGATCGAGCCTTGGCTTTCTGTTGAGCCATTAATTCGTCCTCTTGCTTGACTTGTAAGTGAAATAGCAGCAAGACAGACATGGGTGCAATCACGGCCAACATTATGATGCCTCCCAGTTGAAGCAACCAACCCAAACTCAATGTTTGGAATATCACTCCCCACCAAACTAGCACTCCAGTATGCATGGTTCCTATGAAAGATTGAAGGAGAAGGTTGAAGAAGCAATGAAAATGTATTCCTACATGACAAAGAAAGATCCCAAGAGAACGATTCATACCTAGTAAGGCACTGAATACACAAGTATCCATGACATAGGAATTCCAGCGCATGTATAAATCAACCAGCATAACACCCAATATGAAACATAAGATGGCAAGGATTCTCCATGACACGAAATCATCAAAGCGCCATGCAATCAATACACAATCTACAATTCAATATAAGCAGAACACTTATATTCAGCCATTAAAGTAGATCCGATCACTTTAATCGAGAAAAGACAGTACCTTCATCGTTAACAGCAAATTGAGACACATAACTTGCATTCGTCCATTTCTGAATAGTATCAGACGATAATGGAACAGCAGCACCGGCAGCTCCAAACATATAATTGCTACCCGCGATATCAATACTTCTGGTAGCATTCAGTACTGCCGGCTTTATACAAAGTTGCCACATTCCCACCCGAGCAACTTGATTGATTGAATAGTATGGCAGGCCTCCATTTGCAGTTAGGCCCATCAAAGTAATCAAGACCAGTATGATTGGAATATTACGTGCACAGCGTCTTAATAGGGAAGGCTTATAAGATGCGTAAGAGACCGTTCTGCTTGGAAGTTTCTTGGGATGATTTTTCAGTGCTGCTGATGTCAGAGGCCAGACTTGGTTTGACGTTGGCTCTTTCATGGTCCACAGGTAGTAATTCGAAGTATGTAAGTTGCCAGAAACTAACAGTTTTCTTTCAGATCTTGTTATTTTGTAGGGTGATGTGAAAATACTCTCCGTGTTTTGAAACGAGAGGAAAGGTCGAAATGTTTCTGTTGGGAGAGCAAAAGTTGAGATATCGTAGCGAAAATTATCGTACTGAGCTGCTACGGCCACCATTCCCGAAAGTATTCCTGGAAATTTTCGTCTGAGTTTTCATCACTTTTTTGCCGCAATAGGATAGTTCATACCATGTAACCAAAACTGGAATCTGTGACACTTCATAAACTTATTCTCGTAAATGATTAAAGGTTTTATTTGGATTTTCTAAGCCCTTAAATTATTTTTATATTCAGATATATACGAAGTGTGTACTATTGTAAGATTGTTTTTTCAAACAGGGACAACAGCATTATATTTACTACTACGTCTACTAGCTGGATTACTAATGATCTTCTCATCCTTTAGCGATTCAACTACGACAAGACTTAGAATTCTCGGTCTTACAATCAAGTAGACAAAGGGTGCTATTAGCATTATTCCAGTAGAAGCTATAAGACAATACCAAAGAATTCCGACTATTTGAAAGTATTGTATCCATAGTATGATTACGGTTGCCTCGAATCCTGCTGCAAATAGCGGAAGAGCGATGGATTCTAATATCGGTTGGTGTTTTCGACAATACACTTCGATGGTGAGTAATCTGAGAGCTATAGCGACCAGCATCAGGATCCTCCAGAATGTAAATTGAGAAGCCCATTCTATCTGCACACATACTACAAGGAGAGTGGTTGGTCAAACAGCAACAAAGTCTTGATATTCAACATCACTCACCTTCATTGGTGCTTCCCAAACTAGCAATATAAACGGAATTATTCCAATTTTGCACCGTATTATACGTGACGGGCACAGATCCATTATTCGGTCCAACAAGTATAGCGTTGGATATTCCATCGGCCACCAGATTTGAACTCAAGTTGACATTTTCTAAGTTTTGGCAGACTTGCCATAGGCCAAGATTCGTACCATTTGCAGGATCAAGTGTCCAGAATGGTAGACCGACGCAGACACATGTTCCTGCTACAGACAGTAAGAGGATCAAAAGAGGCAACCATTTGACCAAGTTCCCTTGTGGTTGGGGGGTTGATGTTGGTGCTGGGACTTGGTCACGATGACGAGAAGGCATTATATCTGTTCCGGCTCTCGTTATAAATGCAGTCTCTCGTTGCCCTCTTTTGAGCTAGGTGGTGCTGTTCACTAAAAGTGCTGGTGGTTTCCAGTGCTATTTTGGGAAGGAGTTCCGGTGGATGATTCACGCAAAGTACGTTTGGCAGACAGATGGATGCGCTTGATGAGACTAAAGAATTGAATGTCGACACTACTCTTAGCAAGCGACCGGTACAAGAAACTGGAGTTTGCAAGATCCCTTTCTCTCGGTGGATGAGCAACTGCTTTGTTACAAATACATCATGGTTCTCAAGAATAATGAGGGACCGGATACGACGAAGCAATGAAAGTATATTCACGGTTAAAACTTTGCTTAAAAATTATCTTTCAAAACTATGAACTTTTCAGATCCTTACAACCCGACACCTTAAAACTTGACTATGTTCAGACGTATTCATTCCAATATGTACGGAATCGACGTGATTGCGACATTCTACGTTGACTTTTGGTCTAGAAGCCCTGTCTTGATAGCATGGCTCGATGACATTGGTTGGTTGACAATAATCAAAATGGACTTCTGCTACCATTGAATTGAAGACAACGAACGCACTCTCCAGTTCAGGTGTGTAATGTCTCTGTCGATGTTAAATGTTGACTTTGTAACTCTTTTGCTAACGTCTTTGCAGAAATTCGTGGCAGCCGAGTCCATATCTACCATGAAATAGGACAAAAATTGCAAACAGAGCATTCAGCCATTAAAGTAGATCCAATCACTGTAATCGAGACGAGACAGTACCTTCATCATTAGCAATACCAAAAGTTGAGAAATCCAATTTCGACGGCTTCTTCCTTCATCAATGAAGCCATTGCCATGAACCATGAACGAATCTTACATGAACTCTAAAGAACTGGTCTTGACGAGAAGGTGAAATCGTTCAGAGTCGTTGGAACGAATGCCAGCCAAAAAGAGTATCTGATGCAGCAGTCCGATCCCATTGCAAAAGTAGACAGATGCTGTATACCAAACCAAACAATAATCACGTGGTGGACCTGAAGAACTGATTACATTGTTACGAAGGCTGAAACGAAATCTGTACTATGTTAACAAGGCCAAAGAAGCCTTTCACCATACCACTGGTGAGATTTTGGTACATTGGCAGCTAGTATTTCCTTCTGAGTCAGGACTTTAAGAGGATCACAATTCAATTGTGCTGAGGAATCTCGAGTTCTACAACAACTTCAGCACAAGAAGGACATCTGCTGCGTCCATGTGCTGATTTGATGACTCGCCTAGGACAAAAGCCAGCTGTATGCAGGTTTCTCAAGTTTGATGTCAATGAGGGTGACGATCTGTCGTCGAGGAACAACTCACACTCGAAAACGGTGCTAATCGAAAAAGACTGGACTTTTAATTTGAAGCCCCTCGAAAAAAACAAAGCTACGATGCAAACCGAGACATAGTCGTCGATGGAGACAGGCTGACAAACCTCAAAACGTCTCAGTGGTTGCTCAAAGCTCTTTTAGCCTTTCAACACTCCGCTCTCATTTCGACTTCCTTCGATTTTACGTATGCATTCGCACTCTGGTGCAGCTTTACCTATTCTTTCTTTTGGGCTTGCACTATGAACTATTACATCCCACACACGCTCTCGAAGACCTCCTTCTACCAATGGCTGCAGACTTGTGATCTGTAGAGTATACCACGCAACTCAAGGCACATCATCCTCATGTTCTTAACCTACTTTAGTTTTAGTTTAGTGCTCATTAATATCATCTTGTAGGTCTGATACCCTTTGCAGCGACCCAGAAGGTTGGAATCCTAGTCTGTATCAAGAATCAAGTATAGTGCTTATCAGGGCTGATTGGAAAGGAAGGGCTCATCCAGTGTATGATGTCATATTGGAAGAAGTTAGACGAGTGCTTCAGCAACCGGGTGTAAATCATCAGGACGTATATGAAAATCATATGTTGTGGTGGTGTATGTGAATCATACGACATGACTGAACAAATCCGCAAAGTTGTCTCTGACACCAGTGAACTTGTCGAAAAAATTTCAGTCTTTAGGGTTGCCATAGTGATAGCCGCAACAAGAGCTGAGAATCCCCCTGCTGCTATCAGAAACCTTTTCGTCTCTGACGAAGACCACAATACATTTGCTACTCCCAATCCTCGACATGCAGAGCTTCGTGCATATATAGACCGAATCGACCGCACGAGCTGCAGAGTCTACGACCAAAACAGCTGTGTCAATGGATCTCACCAGTGATTATGAATTCTTCAAGAGTATCCTGCCAACCTCAACACATGTCAAAAGTGGGCATACCTTTGGTTCATTGAGAAACCAACATCACACGGATATTCAGACGTCTTTGTTTGCAAGGTATCGTCAGCATGTCCAAGTTGCGTCTCTACCGTCTCAAGTTGGTCACGTTGTTGGTAAGTTTAATACTGGCATCGTGGTCTGCATCACTGAAAGAAAAGTTTTAACATCAATTAGTCATTCAACAATCAGTGGGAGAAGCTGGTGATGCACTAGGAGCTGATGGAAAAGAGCGTGAAGAAGGTGAAATTGGTGATATTGATAGTGGTGGCGGTCAAGCGCATGAAGGTGCCCATTGAACGAAATTCATTTCTCGAGGTTCCGATGGTAAAGTGAGGAGGAGATACCGTAACATATTTCGCGAGGCTCTTTTGTTTAGAAGAATTTGATGCTATGGTTATCAAAGACAACGGAAAAGAAAGTTTCTTGTGTGCAATATGTTGTTCGTCTATAAAAGTTTACAATATACAAATCCTCAATCGCTATTTATCACATCTTCATCTTCCTCCTCTTGCATTTCTTCTTCGTCCTCTTCTGGCACCTCCTCTACCTCGTGCGGCTCATCTTCAGTCTCTTCAACCTTTATACGTTTTGCATCTCCTAAACTTATGAGAGTTCTATAACAAGGGGATCGTTTAGGTTTGCATCGAAAGTGTAATAGACATTTTCTTTCATATAATGGTTTATTTGCTTACCGATCATCTTCAAGTTCATCCCTCTCACGGTCTGAGTCATCAAAATTACCAGCACCACCTTCTTCCTCCTCATCAGCATCTCCCATTTCCTCATCTCCTTCTTCAGCTTCATCATCGTGAAACTGGAGTCGAGCTGAAGCTGGTGGCGCATTGCTACGACTTTTTCTCTTCTTCTGATGATGCTTTCCACCATTACCAGAATCGCCGTCATCTTCAACATCGTCTTCGAGTTCATCTTGCTCTTCCTCCTCCTGTTCTTCGTCGGAAGCACGTTTCTGCTTCTTTTTTGGAGGAGCTTTTGATGACGAGTTTGACTTTTTGGCAGCACGTTTTTTTGCGCCACGTTTTTTACGGGGAGAAGCCTCTTCCTCGTCTCCTTCAGATGAAGAGCCTGAATGTGAGGGTCTCCCTCTTCGTTTCTATAAATCGAGATGTCCACTGTGAGTGTGGATCGTACCATGAAATGCAACAACCAATTGTGCCTTACTGTCTTTTCAGCAGGGAACGGCATCTGACTTGACACAACTTGTCCCGCGACGTTCTTGTGCTTGAGGTTTGCAATTCTGAATGCACCTCTCGACTTGTTTGCTTTCATCATCTGTAGCAAAAAATGCCAAGTGTATGAGACTCAAATTCACAACGAAACGATTCAATACTGTGCGTATTACATACATGCTTGACACCTTCAATAAGCGTTTCCAACACTTTACGTAGTTGAGGTGCAAGACTCATGAACGTCTTTTCCTGACTGGTCTTGACGTCGTTGCAAAGTGCCTATGCAAAAGGGAAGCCGTTAAGCGTTGATTCATTCTGCAAACTGTGCTTGTCATTTTTGCTTCGAATTTTTATCTCACCTGCAAAGTCCTTGTAGGCTTTTGAACTAATTTCAGAATCTCCACAATCCTGAAATGATGCTGGGCAAACTTGCTGGCAAAGACCTTCATGACAATCTTGTTGAATAGGTTCAAGAAAGTCTTGGATTCCCTCATCACTGCTAAGAATACTGGTCGAGTATCCTTATTATCCTTGAGGCCCTTGATTTTCAAGGATTCAGTAATGCACTTGAAGATGGTTGTTGCTTCTTCAATCTCATCCAATTGAGTTTCGATTTCTGCTGTCCGTTCACACGCTGATTCGAGGTCCTTGTTTAGTTCTGATAAGACCACCTGTGGACAGCAAAAACAGGAGTTGAATGAGGCAATGTTTCAAATGCGGAACATCTCAATCACAACCAACCACAATACCTTGTAGTAGGATATAGCAGTAGTCTTATCAAGGAACGCATGCTGAGCAAGAACTCCAAGATTCTCATCAGCGTCCTCTGCATCATCTGCTTTAGCCCACAACGCACTAAAGACATTGAAGACAAAGTCTCTCAAGATTGAAGCAGCATTATCAGACAGTGATATCCTTTTCTGTAACAGGTATACCAAGCTATCGGGCTAAGAGACAGAAATCAAAAGAGGTCAGTATTCTGCGCCAAAAAACTCTCATTTTAAACAATACCTTGAGTTTACGTTTATCAGACCATTCAAAGGACAAGAAATCAGCAGCGACATCACAGATAGGCTTTTGCAGGGCCTTCCGATAGTCATCAGTTGCGTCTACAGGAGCCATACTAGTGACACCTTCGATTACGTGGAGTAGCAACACACCAGCTTCGATTGTGGGCATGTGAGCAGCATGTCCAACAAAGTATTCAAAGGCTCGTTGGACCAGAGAGGATAGTCGATGTGGTGTGTTGGCTCCATTCCTTCGCAAGACTGCTGTCAAGAATTTCTACAACATTGATTCAATGTTGTTAGAATTAAATTAAGCATAGTTTCTGTCAAAGAATAAATATAACATACCTGGTGAAGAACTCGAGCGTCTGGATTCATTACCAAATGATGGAAGCATCTCAGTGTAAGCTTGAGAGTTTCAATAGTTGCCGAGCGCTAGATGACGATCAAGTATAGTGTCAATGTAAGAGCTTCAATGGCCTGAAGAATTGCACAGACTTCTTTCACCTGATCGTCTGGCCCTTTTTCTACAGGTTCCTAAGTCAACGAAGAAAAAAGTTCCATTTAGTCCGCTAATATGTCTCAGATGAAAGTCTAAAACCAATACACATACAGGAGGAGCTCTCGGTCCTAAACTCTCCACAAGACGATCCAGAGTAGCACAGAGAGGAGACACCAGTTTCATCATGATTTCTAGAAACTCTTTGGTTTTCATACGCGACAATAAATCAAATCCAGTCTGTCGAGCACTACTGCTAGATGATGTCGTGCTAGTATTAGCAGCAGCAGCTCCTGTTCGTGATGCATCAGCTTTAGCAGGTCTGGTTGGTATAGGGAGCATAAAGACGACCTTTTGAGTCAACTCTTGCATGAGGAATTGCAAGGTGGGTGTCGTCAAGACTTCCATGTCTTCTTCAGATTCGTTGAGATTTAGTAGGCTGAATACGCACATCTGATAAGAAAGTAATGTGCATGAGGTTGATGCACAAAAAAAGGTACCGAGAAGATATGGATGCTCACCTCAAGCTCTCTAAAATGCGACCGAGCTTGTGCTACGCTAGTCAGTACCAGCACTTCACCATCAGCAATCAGTTTTGGCTTTTTGGCTTTACGACCAGCACCAGTACTACTCTTACTACCCTTTTCAGCACTTTCCTTCCCCTTCTTACCAGCAGCATTCTTTTTCGAAGTACCAGCACCACTCTTACTAGAGGCAGATGCTTTACCCTTCCCTTTTGCTACTTTTGACGTCGTGGATCGACTACCACTAGACTCTTCTTCGTCGTCATCTTCAACATTACTGTAATTACTTTTACGACGATTATTAGTAGAAGACGTCTCATATTCCTCTTCTTCTTCGTCTTCATCGTCAGAAGGCGGAGTCTTTCGTTTAGACGGTCCACCCGCTCTACTAGCACCAGCTTGGCCATAATTACCGGCAGAGCCAGGGTATTGAGATGGAGTTTCTTGAGACAGGCTCATGGCTCCACCATTAAACCCTCCGGTAGTCCATTCGACGGTTCTAATTTCGTTTGCACGATCAATGTCAAGTCCTTGAGGTGTAAATGCCTTGAGAGAGGTAAAGATTTTACTGAATTCCTCCTCAAGGACCAGGATGTGGTCGATACGAGTGACACAGTTACGAATTGTGTCCTTGTTATCGGTTTCAGTGAATGCATTCAAGAGTTCTCGCAACCTATTGTGCAACGTAGGATAAATCATCTGCCACGCTCTTTTTCGGTTGTTGCGAACTTACCATCCAATACCATAAAACAGCGAGGAATAGATTTGCTTTCTTCGTGCGCCTTCAGCATTGGTGACAGAAGTCTACGAAAACATACAAAAGTCAGAACCAACAGAAAAAGACTCTACATATGAGAGCGTATTACTCAAAACCAACGAGCAAACACATCCAACATCAACTCACCCCAAGCTCTTCAAGTTGACCAGGCATAACAAGTCCCAATTTCAACAAATCCGCAACACCATCTCGATTCTTGTTGAGAGATGCTTCAATAGTCTGAGCCAACTTGAAGAGTGGACAGAGCAATACAATCATGGCTGGATTTTCGGTAGCCAAGTTGAGCAATTTTTTGCTTATCTCGTCTCTGCCTTCTCCTACAGTTCCTGTAGGCAATACACCACATACGCGTGGAAAGATGGCTATACCGGCGTCGGGCATCTACCGGAGGCAACAAAAGATGAAAAGCTTGCGAACACGAAGACTACCTCGTGGCTAAGTCCTTACATCAATAGCCATCCATAGGGTTTGGGGTATTGGTACAATATCCACCATCTCCTCCATGTTCGGAATTAGAAAGAGACCCGGCAACGATTCAGCGACATGGGCGAACAGCCATTCAACAATTACCATGTCGAGGTTGTTTTGAGAGATCATGTAGGCTAGTTCATGATATGCTAAGCCCAGACATGACTGCAAAGAGCGAGGGGAAAAAATGTTAAGCCCATTCACTGTACAGAGTATCATATGAGCCCAAAGCTCAGCTCATACCATAGATTCTTTGCAAGACTCCATAATCTGCTTCAAGATCTCAATGGCTTGCCTGATCCCAGTCTCATCTGTGGAAAAAGGACAGTTCGATTTCAGCAAAAAAAAGACAGTATCAAACAAGAATCCAATCAGTTCTCACCATGTTGTTCTAAGTCCTCCTCATCATCAGCATTCGGATCCAGAGGTTTGCCAAGTCGACGGACAAGAGCGAGAGCACAAAAGATACCGATGCGTTTGTGTCTTTCGGAATTGTAGGTCAATTCCTTCTTCATGATGATACGCATGTCTGATAAGAGTGATGACTCATACGTCACCACCGTTTCATTTACGTCCATGGCTCGAGACTAAATGGATGTAACGGGAGGGGTGAGCAATCATGGCATTACAAACAGAAGTACAAAAGCGGGGGGTAAAAATACCACAAATCGAGCCCCCGAGATGCCAAAGACTCACTTCGATGGCAAGGCCACTGTACACATCGAATAGCAACCGCACTTGATTCTCCGTTAATGAATCCAGAGATTCGAGCAAACTCTTGATAAAAATTGAAAACTCGTTTACTTCACGTGAATGCTTGTCCACCAGTTGGTAGAGCACTTGGAAGGTCGAGTCCACCTCTGCGATAAAAGACGAGGTTACATTGGTCTTTTTCGCATTAATTCACAAGGCTTACCAGCTTCAATACCACTCCCAACATTCGTCACCAAGGACGCAATGACTTCCTGTCTGAATGTATGATCAAACACAACGAAGGAATTACAATATATGACTTCGGCTATAGCCACATTCGAAGACTGGTTTGTTCGTAACAACATTGCTGGTAGTTCAAGCAATGATGCTCGATACCTTGAAGTAAAAGAACAATTGATTAGTGCTTCACATCGATCTTGCTGGCAAAAGTACGAGCACTTTCCTGAAAAATACGCTGGGCATCAAACTTACATTTGCAATCCTTCGAAATGATTTTCAATGGTATCTGCAATCAATTGACGCGAAAAGAGACCACTAGCAATTTTACTCCTAAATATTCGTTCAGCCTCCTTTCGAGTCTTGCGATCAAAGCCCAGGGCAATGATGAGAATCAAGATATCTAAAGCTTGATGCCCCTCCTAAATTTTTTTGAACAAACTACAGTGAGTAAAAAAAACCCTCGCATCAGGCGAGCGTACCATGTTTAGAATACTTACGGTTGCTTCAATCACTTTGAACCAGCCAGCACATAAATATGTTGCTGCATTCAACATTCCGACTTTGAATGCATCTATCTTGGGCTTTCTGGTCAGATCTCGACAGACACATGCAGAAAAACTGAAGAGTACCTAAGATGACAGCTTGAGATATAGCAGCCTTCTTTCCTTTAGGATCCGAGAGGTTCTTGTTTCGTAATACTTCAGCAATACTCTCAAATTTAAGATATTTGCGAAGGTCTTTGACTAGGAGTTCTGCAGCTTCCCCAGAGTCCGATGAGGCATGCAGATATTTTAACACGACTGGAATGACTTCCAATTCCATCTTATCAAGTTGGCGAATCATTGTTTTTCGATTTGCCTCCTAATAACGAAACAGTGGGGGAAAATGTTATTCAAAATGAACACTAGTGGTCTCACAAACTTCAGCCCCAGCGATGTACGATTGTGCGAGCTTACCCTAGTCTCATCGTCAACTTGTAGACTGCCAAGAATGTCCATTATCGGTATCATTAAATCAGACTTTGACTTCATCAGGTCCATGACACAAGCAGCTACCAACTGTTGATAGAGCAGAGGAGAGTAAAGAGTCAGAATATGTCCACGAGTACTCCTCCATTTAGTAGAAGCAGCTTTACCTTGTGCTCGGACTCAAGTATAACCTCTGGCAGGCAAGAGATGATTTCTCGTTGAATGTTGATTGCTGGAGCAGCTTCCAACATTTCCGAGATGGATTTCCACATGTCCTTTGGGCTTACGACATGATCCAAGAACCTAAATTGGTTCATGATGAGACGTGGCATGTTTTCAGAGAGGTCAAGCCTATGTTGTTGGTGATGAGGTGTCAGATAACATTGCTGTGAATACATCTGCGTTACTACTTTGAAATCAATTGAATGACGCGTACCCTTCAGAAGGAAGATCAATGTAGTGAGGTAGACAATACACGAGTATTTCTACTAGTCGAACTTGAAGGCAATCGATTCTCAAGAGGACACGAATCAGCGAGTTTTCTGAATTCCAGCTATAGAGTCGGTGTAATCGTGTCAATCAAGTGGTTCGCCTGTGGTTCGCCTGATACGAAATATATATCCAATCAATAAACCCACCTTGTAGAGGGCCCATCAAGCTTCAGAGGCAACAAGGCACTCTTGAGAAATACTTGGGCATCCAGATATTCCTGTAGCGAGTCCAAGAAGGTCTTTATTGAAGCGTCCTTTCCATTTAGTTCGGCGGCGACTCTGTCTCTAAAGACAGCTTGATCTACAGCTGTTCGCGTGTAAAGAATGTCAGCGTGTTTGACGTTGTGATGTTCAATAAGTAGCGAGCTATGTCCAAGCTTACTCAAGTTTTCTACAGCTTGTGAAGTTATTTTGAGGCCACAGCGGGCTAGGATGTCTATAGCTTTGTCCCGTTGCGTTGAACGCTGCGAGCTTCCTGCTTGCGATGGCATGTTTCCTACCAAAAGCAATATAAATGAGTATCGAAGATAGATCAATAATAAACTATTGCTCTTACCATTTCCCAACATGAGATCATGCAAATCGACTGTCTCTGTTTCTGAAGGCTTTTGATCAAGTTGCTGAAGATGTTTTCAGTCAAGTCTGTGACCATGTGGAGAGGACGTAATAGTAGTGGAACTATATTTAATACGCGTAAAACCAGCTATAGCTGCTATAGCTCGTGAATTGACTGTACTATTGTCAGATCAAGTCTTAGCTGGTCAAACTTGTTAAGCTGAATCGCGAGTTGGGGATATTCCAGGCGGTCGGAAGGCAGTTTCTACCATCACCGCAATATGGTATAGGTAATACTTATGAATTTACGTGTTCAACACGTCCTTTCATCGAATGGGTGTGTTCTCCGACCTGTTAAATTGCAAGAATTTCATAGCAGAGTGATAATAGACTCGAAAAGGAAGGACGACTACTATTCGTCGTATTGTAACCGCCATGAAACTGATAATATCGGTAGACAAGAAAAGACGTAAGTTCTTTCATAGAAACACAATTTCCTACTTGTTGCATCTTGCCAACATCGTAGATCAACTAAATGCACTATATGTTCGTATAGATTCTGACATAGTCTCGTGCGTCGCATGGTCGGGGAACAATGAACTATACTCTTGCGGGTACGCATCATCCACTAGATCAAGTGTATTGTTGAACATTGGAATGTTGCAGACCTGTTATGACACAACACAATGTACAATCTAACGAAACATCAACCGCATTCCGCTAAATCTTACATACATTTAGTGACGACAACAAGATAATACGATGGTCGGGTGACGGAGACTATCTCGGAAACATGGTCACCACGCTCTTCAACAATCCAACTCAAACCAACAAGAAACCAACAGAAAATGATCCTGCCAGTCAACTATATTTGACTGAATTCCAATGGCTGTCACCGAGTAATAGTGCTCCTTCAAAGGGAGGTCAACCAAACACGAATCTGGATGTGCTGGTTGCTGGTGGAACGGATGGTAAATTGTTGGAATTGTTTCACTTTAGATACTTTCAAATGCACGATAATAACAGTGTCTTTCAACACCAGGACGATTCTACTTGTGTTCTAAAGGTGGAAGGGTTGAAAAGGCTGTAGAGGCACATAAAGGTGCTCTTCTCGCATTGAGGTGGAATTATGAAGGGAGTGCTCTTGTCACTGGTAATGTTCTTGTCCAGCAGAGTTCGCTCGTCACCGGATTGCTGATTCTCACTCTGTCCTATTAGCTGGAGAAGACGGACAAGTCAAGATTTGGTCGAGAAGTGGCATGCTGAGATCGTCTCTCGCTCAAGCCGGTACGTTCTTACGTTAGGTCTTGAACGACGAACCTCAAGTACTGAAGCTAACAGAGCCACTGTAATAGCACACTCTGTATATTCAGTCGCATGGTCGCCGGACAATGACCAAGTACTATATACAAACGGGAAGAGCCTGGTCATAAAACCTCTGCAACCGGCCAGCAAACCCATACAGGTAAAAAAAGAATGCAGTGTATTACTTCTTGTAGGTGTAACTGACAAACTTTTCAAACCCCACATGATCTGCCACTCAGTGGAAGGCACACGACGCTCCAATCCTGAAGGTCGATTGGAATCTGGCCAATAATTTAATCATATCAGCGTCAGAAGATAAAAAGTATCGTATATGGGATTCTTTTGGACGACAACTGTATTCATCGGCACCTCACGACCATGCTATTACTTCCTTGGCATGGAGTCCCAATGGAGAAGCTTTTGCTGTGGGAAGTTATGATCTGATAAGAGTTTGCGATCGTGCCGGTGTAAGCTTGCATCGCTTAGTGTGTATTTGAAGCCATTCTGACCGCGTTTTTTTGCCTTTGGTCAGTGGTCGTATGCAATGGAACAACCAAATTGTGGATCTGTTTATTCTATCGCTTGGACAACCGATGGAACACAGTTCGCGTGTGCTGGTGGTCAGGGAGCTGTTGTGTTTGCTCATTTTGTCAATAGGCAAGTCCATTTTTGGATCTGTTCCGTCTTTTGTTGTTGCCAACCCTCACGTGATATGTAGGCGATACGAATGGCAACATTATGAAGTCACACAGCTCGACAAGAAGATACGTGTTCACGATGTGCTGAATGGATTTGATGAAGTGCTTGGTAAGTCGATTGTAGAGACAAATAAATTCAAATTAAAAGGCACTCACACAACGTTCTTCTCAAACAGACTTCAGAGATCGGGTGGTGAAGCTTTCGCTAGGATTTGGTCATCTAGTAGCAGCGACACCAACACAGTGCTACATATACTCTGACAAGAACTGGAACACACCTGCGGTGTTTGACTTGGCTTCGCAAGGCCGTGTGGTCTGTATCGTGCAGAGTCTCGAGTAAGCATAACATTGGACGACAAGATTGCTTTTTTTGGCTGATTTGTCATCAATTTTTAGCTTGTTCTCCATTGTGGATAACTCAAATGGCATTCAGATCTATTCGTATGATGGACGACTCGTTTCGTCTCCAAGATATCCTGGATTACGTCCGGAATTCCTCACTCCGAGTACAATGTCGTTGGTTGCTGATGTATTTGCCATTAAGGATCGAGCTGATGAGAAGGGTAATACCATCATTCCTTCTTGTTTATTGTCTATTTTAGCTCACATAGTTTACACCCCTCTTTTAGCCATCTACGTGTTCGACACAACAACAGGCAAACTCCTCACACCAACCCCACTACGGCACTCAGCAGACATTTTAGAAATCTCAATATCAAACACAACACCGTCATCTACATCATCGTATGGTCGCCTCCTAGCCATTCTCGATAAGAATCACGATTTGTATATCATGCCAATCACGATAGGGAGCTCATTGCATTTACCTAAGAAATTGGGTACCATGGTTGAAACGTTTTGTTGGAACGAGGACTCTGATGTTTTGGCGGCCATGGTTGATGGGAGGTTTATAGTGTGGTATCATCCTGCCAGTGTGTTTATCGATGAGGATCTAGTGTCGATTGCGAGGTTGGATCAAGATGGAAGGTACAGTAGAAAATGCAGGAAAATAACCTCAAACTATTGGAAAGTATGGGTTGCCATATATAACCTCACACCATTTTTAGCAACTTTGGAAAACAGGCTCAGATTATTGGTTTATATGGCAATCAATGCACGATACGGCGTGCTGATGGCGCTGTTGTGACTGTCAGGTAGTTCTGCAAAAAAATTCGTTAGGACGGACAATAATCTCAACACTTCTTGGTTGAATTTAGTGATATCTCACCATTTCCTGCGCTACTTCATGAGCAAGGCAGAAAGAGGAAGTGGGAGGAAGCTGTGCGATTGTGTCGTTATTCAAAGGTGAGTTCAAATTCACTGTGGAAGACTTTGAAGGAAATGGTAAAGCATTAAAACAACATCTTTGTCCAACACACTAGTCAAAAGAGCTATGGGCGTGTTTGGCAGCTGTAGCTATCGCATCTGGAGAACTGAATACTGCCGAAGTTGGATATGCTGCCATTGACGAGGTGAGAAAGAAAAGGCAAACTGCCAAAAAGCTAATGAGTGTCAATGTGATTCTACTCTTACAATTTCTTTCAGATTCAAAAAGTTCAATACATATCCTATATTCGGGATATTCCAACGCCAGAAGGCCGTGCTGCTGAACTAGCACTATTGGCACGATGCCCACAACAGGCTGAATCGATACTGTTATCTGCTGGACTGGTGTTTAGAGCTATTCAGATGTGGATTTCGCTGTTTCATTGGGATAAGTAAGAACTTCAGTTTCTTTGTTGACATCACGACGTCCTGCTGATTCGTTATTTTTTGGGCTTGCTAGAGCACTGGATCTAGCGCTGAAATCACGCAACCATGTTGATGTTGTGTTGTGGTATCGAGCCAAATGGCTCAAATCTATTGGAATGAGTGAAGGGAATGCTAAATTTGAAAAGTTAAATCATGAGGTGCTGTGTATGCGTTTTGTCGAAATGAGATTACCCAAGTGTATAGCAAGCTTTACGAAACAAATTCTCGCTACAATAGGTTGAGCTAGATTGGGAAACCATTAACTCCAAGATGGAAATGGAGTATGAGATGGAGAGGAAGCGACCTGGTGCTAGACCATATGCTTCTAGTAGCTAGGTGATGAAGATGTATATAGGTGCGCTTTATGTAGCACTATGTAATGTGATCAAGATCCGAGGAAATGGAAGTCTTGGTATGATCATTTGCATGGGTCTTGTTGTTTGTTTTGTGAACGAGAGTGATAGACGAGCGCAACCAGAATTAAGTACTGTCGGGCCGAAAACAAAGTGTTTACGTGTGTTCCTGAAAGCTATGGTATCTTCTTTAAGTCTGGCAAACGCAAACGCAGCCCCGCCAAGTTCATAGCAACTAAACGACGGCTCTTGATGCTGATTGAAGTGAGTCAGACCACTCGGCGTACTATTTCATGTATAAAAGTGTGGCTTTCACAGACTATAAATACGATTTGCCTTGTTTCTTCAACTTCAAATCGTGACTTGCGGCAATGACCGGTTTGGGGGTTACAAACCTCATCAGAGTCTGCAGTTCAACATATCAGCCCAGCACCCAGCTGTGATAATCATGGATTGCACTTTAAGATGGTCACATTATTGCTTCCTGCCTCTATTGAACAGCGATTGTGTACTTCAGTCAATAGGTGGGGTCAGGCGGTATCTTGCGTCGGGTGCTGGTGTGGTAGTTGCTGTATCTCTTCATCTGGTTGAGACAACTTTGGCCTCTTTATATATATCCTGTGGGGATGAATGTTGTCAATTTTGTTGTTTCCTCAAGGAATGAAGGCGCCCAAGTAGTTCTCAGGCTATCAGCATTAGATTTCTACTGATGGTCCCACAGAGTTGAAAATGTGGATGAGTATTTCAAATGTGTGTTCTGTTCACATAGTCTAGTGAAGGACTGTCCACTAACTTTATCATCATGCTGGACAACTAGCTGCTTTGTATCAGAAATTATTGCTCTCTTCTGCACTATCCAACAGCATAGCTACATGATATATCAGGACTGAAATCGTGTATAATTGTCTTTAGATGAGCCCGTCGACTGCAGATACTCACCAAAGGACTTCTGGTATCAGTCTTGTGTAGGGTTGCGTCAAATCTGAAGCCACAAATTACGAAGGATGTTAAGCAGACAAGGTTTACTGTACTGTCCAACCATTGGGATTACTTTTAAGCTCTTTAAGCAGCAATTCGTCTGAAAGCAAGACTTGGAACCGAACCATCCAGTCAAAATACCAACACCAGACAGGATCACATCCAAAGTTCGAAAATGCACCACATTCCAACTCTTCTCAAATATGCTCTATATGAAGTTACAAAAAACACCTAACTACAAACAATTTACATTTTTAACCACCAGTGAACCCACAACACTTCAATCTAGGACAATGGTATCATCATCGTCGACATAGATAACTTCAGTTTCAGTTACTTGATTTGATGCTGCACCATCATCAACCTTGGGTTTCTTGCCCTTGGTATCAGCAGCTTTGTCTTCTTCAGCTTTACGTTTCAATGAAGCTTCATCAGGTTGTGTCAAAGCTGGAATCGGTTTACGTCGTTTATTATAGTCTCGGTTTCCTTGCACTTCGAAGTTTGATTGTAGAGTTCTACAAAAGTGGTAAAGTTCGAGTCAAAACAACCATAGAGTGTCATGCGCCGGATGTCATCGAGCAACAGAAGCTTTCTCTCCACCAACAAACCAACTACAATCAAACCACACTTACGCATCCACCATAAGGGAAACCGAAATCTGATACTCTCCCTCCTCATCTTCACCATCACACACAACCGACACCAATTTACCACCTTTAATACCCAACCCCTCAAGACTCGTATCCACATTATCGTCGAAATCTACGTCATATAACAGCCTTCCATTCTCTTGAATACTGATTTCTCCTTTTCCTGCCATCCCTAATCCAGGCTTATCGGCACTGATAATGTCTTGAAGTAGGAATCCCAACGTTATTTTGGATGGGTCGAGTTTCAGAATGTGGTAGGTTGTCGAGCAAACTGTGCATTCCGGATTGGGTTTTGGTAGTGCGTTTGGAGCAATGTATGTTTCTTTAGCGTATGTAAGGAATGTCTATAGGCGAGAAAAAAAGGGTTAGCAAACATAGCATTCACATAATGGCTTACTTGCGGACGAGTTTCTACCATGCACTTACATATTTACAAGCCGATATATTTCCAGCACTCAACACTTGAAAGGCCTTCAACACAATAGCTCCAGCAATAATAGCATTCGTGGTAGCAATAGCTGGTATGATGTTGCCAGCCAACTCTAAAACATCAATTGAGGAGGTGAGCGGCTTTGCTTTTTGCCCCTCGATCATAGACAACAACACTCACCCTTCACTTTGAACCGACTCTGCGGTTCAATTCCATATATTATAGCTCTCAGATTACATATAGCAGTAACGAAATCCAGAGCATCATCATCATCCTTGTCGAATGCGATGGTTGCTTCTGGATCAGCCTTTTGGTCTTCTATACATCGTGTAGCCAGTTTATCCAGACTAGAGTTGTGATGCATGATGTTAGACATTGAACGTATTGCAAGAGAAACCTGCAAGTCTGTTTCTGTCTTTCCCTTCTTTCTGAACCTCAAAAGCCCCGGCCCCCCCCCTCCCCGGGACTCAATCAGAGTAAGACTTTACCTTTGCATAAACACAGCAACATTCTCAACCAAACTCCACACGTTCTGATCCCGTTCCAACCCAGCCCTTGGTGCAGCATCACGTACATCCATCTCGCCGCTGCTAGCCACAATCTCTTCGAATTTGAGTGGTGTGGGTGGTTTACGTGACTTCCACATATCGTCCATGCTGATGAGTCGTTCAATGTCTTGTGTAAAGACCTAAAGAAGAAACGAGAATGTTGGTTGTGAGCAAAAAGAAAATCACACGAGGACTCAGACGTGCAAGTTCACCTTCTTGAAGACACTCTCTGCGTATTCAGGGCTTCCAGCAGACGCTTTTAACCTTTTTAGTGCTGAAGCTTCCTTTTTGAGGGTTTCGATCTCCTTGCCTACGGTTGGAAAGTGGTTGGTCAGAGTTCCATTAGAGCTGATAGTACTCTCTGAAACAACGGAATACTCACTGTTTTCAGCATCTTCCTTTGAGTCAATACTATCTTCCATCTCTTCACGTCCAAATAGTTGTCTATGGCAAAGAATTCGTATCAGTCAAGTACAATCTCGAAAACAGACTCCGCAGTCGTTCATCCTTCTATCGAGTCAATTGCTTTTTTCGCTGATACTCACGTAAAGAGATAACTCTTCCCCCACACAATACAATGTATAGGCGCTGATGGCGTTGATCGTATAGTACAAACAGGGAACGTCTTTTGTACTGGTTTGGCTTCACAATCCCAGCATTCTGTTACTCCCTAATCGGAAGAGCAAAGCGAGTCAGTTACCAAAAAATTCCCTAAACACAAATTATGGCAAATGTGAATCACCTTCTTGTGCACAGTAACCTGCCCCAAATACCCAGCAGTCCCACTTTCAATCAATATCCTGTTTGATGCGAGACACATCATATTCACATATGATCGTGCCGCTAGAGAAAAACACGAAAACGAAATGTGAGTTGTCGATCGTAAGTGTGCAAACACAATGGTTTCCAATCCCAACGTATCTTGCCAACACAAGATAAGATACATACCCTTGTTATCCAGCGCATTCATAACAATATCAAAGGATTTAAACCACTTGATATCAAACTGAGCATCCATAATGTTTGCATGGTGCGCTTTGATTGTGACTGATGGGTTGAATTTGAGGGCTGATTCTCGTGCGACCTATCAGTTGATTCGAGTTCGTTAAGCAGAGCAAGATAGCAATTTATAAAGTCATGAAACTCTTCCAGATTGCAAGCTTCAAGTTGCACTTCGCAGCAATGCAGCAACAACACACACACATACCTGAGCTTTACTCTTTGATATATGATGTTTCTGAAACAAGAATTGGCGATTCAGATTTGAAAGATCGATTGTATCTAGATCCACCTATACCAAAAAGAGCGTATCAGCACCTGTCCAAATGTCAACATCAAATGCCACCAAGTACATACAATCTCAATATCTCCAAACCCACTCAGCACTAAATTCTTCAATAATTCGCATCCAATTCCACCAGCTCCAACCATTAGGACTCGAGCAGATGAGATTTTAGTAAGTGTTGAGCTTCCAAGTGCTGCTTCGAGGTGTGCGAGGCGATGATGCGACATGCTGTTGATGTTATTTTTGTCGGTATTATTGGGTGATAGTGGCTGGTATGTGTCGTCTTGGTCGTTGGTGAGTGCACTCAGCATCGGTGCTGTTTTGAGGGCTTGTTGGGAAGCTTGGAGATGCGTGAATAAAAGCACGGACAGAGGCTTTCTGAACAGTCCTTCGCAATATGATATATGTGAATGCTATATTACGCGTTATTGACACGTCTGGAACCCGATTCAATCTGTTCAAACTACTCAAAGTTCACTTGAACACCGTCCATCACGCTCTTTCAAGCCTATGTCATGTTTTTTTGTATTTTTCCAAATTTCTTCAAAACTTTTTAATACTAAATTTTAGCTATTCCTCTCAAAACGGTTATACTAAGATTTTTGGCGTGTGTATCGACCCCAACCAGGAAAACTGGTGTTCCTCTCGTGGTTCCGAATATAAAAGGGATGATGATGGTGGTGGTGGTAATGTACGTGTTATGATGGTGTGTTCTTCTTGTAGTTTGCTGGCTTCTTCTTTCCTGTTGCTTCACATGGGAGACGAGTACCTTGTATTATCAGGACACTTGGCATAGCAGGTATCACAGACTCGCACAGGGATTCCTTGTGGATGAGGCTGAAGGTTGCCAGTCAGTCTAGTAATGAACAGGAGAAAGTTAGCCATCATCACATCCTAATATCGATTCCCCCTGTTTTTACGCATCAATAAACACAGCACTCACCTAACACAGTCCGAAGAGCAAGCATGACAAACGACATCTCCACACATACGACAATGATGCTTCCTTCTATACCAATAATTGAAGGGTCGACTACATAATGTGCAAGCAGTAGCTGTTGAATCGGGTTTCCAATTCCTTCGGTGAGGCAGCAAACCAAGACCAGCAGCAGCAGATACACCAGTCTCCAAAAAGTTGGGTGGAAGATCGACACCAGCATCAGAATCAACCAGACCTCGTTCCTGCTGTTGTTGTCTCTCTTGCTGCTGTTGTTGTGAAAGCGGCGGTGGTGTTTGTGATGCAGCGACACTACTACTACCACCAAGATTATAACGACCATTACCACGATCTCCCAAATCCAATCCACTTCCATTATCTATTGACACTAGTTGTTGTGGCGACGGTTTGCCCAATCCAAAATACTGCATCGTGACCTCCTTGGTTCTCATCCTTCCACCATGTAATGACATGCTAATTACACTACCAGCTGGTGGACGTGGAAACATTGGCAATCCACCGCCCGCTGGTTGTACTTGATCTAATGGCGTTGCATCGGCTGGTGATATACTATTGCTTATGCTTGTCGTTGCCGCCGTGCTACTGCTACTATGAGTGTGATGCTCCCGACTAATATTATTGCTCATACTAGAAGGCGGATGTATCATTCCATGTTCGGTAGGCATATACGTATTCGAAGCATCAAATCCACCTTTCAATGTCTTTACATTCTGCAAGTATGAGGGCACGTCTCGTTGTGATCGATTCGACCTTCTTCCAGTTCCCCGTCGAGCAGCATTATAAGGCTGCTGTTGTTGTTGCTGTTGACTGACTTGCTGTTGCTGTTGTGGTTGATTTACAAACTGCTGCTGGTTGTTTACTACAGGATTTACAGGCTGCTGCTGATTTACATATTGTTGTTGCTGATTGAGTACTTGTTGAGTAGCTCCAATAGGACGTGCTGGATGTACAGGTCTACCGGATGTAGACGCCCGTCTTCCTTGCTGCTGGGGAAGTGGTCCTTGAGAAAGCACCGGTTGCTGTGGTGCTCCATCAAGAGGATACAATGCAGCAGTGGTAGATACAACACCTAATATATTACTAGCCTGTGGCGCAACTACTCCACTACTACTGCTTTTACTCGACACTTTGGCAGCCTTTTGTTGTTGAGCTCGCATCGTAGCTTGTAATTGGGCATTCACGGCCGGTTGTTGCTGTGGTGGCGGCTGCATTTGCTGAATCTCGGCATGCTGGGTGCCCATTGCTTGTTGCTGCTGCTGTTGCTTTTGTAGTGCTTGTTGTTGAGTATAGAATTCTAAGGCATTCTGTAATAGAGTTTGTTGAGCGGCCGTCATTTCCTGACCACTTATAGCAGCTTGTTGTAGTCCTCTGGCAGCCTTCACCAGATTTTCTCGTGATGTACTGGTAGTTACACCTTTGAACGATAAGGATGTCGTAGTGGTGGGCTGTTGTAGGTAACCAGCGTATGGATCTAGTGCTAATGAGTGAGGCAGTTAAACAACTAGTTCGATCTACCATTAGCATCAACTTGCGTTATACCTGACAGGGCAGTGAGGGAAGTCTGCCTTTGCTGGATTAATGGCCGTATGAGTTGGTCTCCGTTATTGTTGCTATTGTTTGTGGTGTTTATGATTGTAATGCTATTAACATCGGTTGTTGAGATGTTGTTTGTGGTAGTAGAAGCACTATTGGATGTTTTCGAGTTTCGTGGGGATAGTTGAGCGACAAAGTTGCCACCAAAGTATTCTTGTGGAGTATCGTCTTCGTCGGGTAGATTGGGAGCATCTCTCGGTCGACCGAATGAATCACCTCGTTTGATTACTTTCTTATGTATATGGTGGTGCTGCTGTTGTTGCTGTTGCGGTTGCGGCGGTTGTTGATCATTCGTAGTGCTATTACCAACACCACCACTCATAGCGGACTTGATAGTAGACTCAGCTATCTGCTTCTGAGCAACCTGCCGTTCTCTATTCCTCTTGTCTACACCCATGACTAGTCCCTCGTCTTCTTCCTCGTCACTGCTACTGGTACTATCCTCGTCATCATCGGCAGTATCCTCGGCATCCATACGACGCGTATTCGTATTGGATCGTTGTGATGATACTATAAGCGTCTTTCCATTCGGGGCAGGATTAGTCGTGGTTGACGGAGAATGATGACGAGATATTTTGGATTGAGAGTCGGTCATTTGCTGAGTAGTGGATATGGGCATGAGGGCATCAGGAGCAGCGATACTAAGTCCAGACAGCCTTCTCTTTAGAGAGGTAGGTGAGGTACTTAAAATGCTATTGGGATTCTCGTTCACAGACGGAGACATTGAACCTGTGATTGAAGGAGGTCGATACCGCACCATTCCCTATGATCAAATAATGAGTTTACGTAGTATTTCAATGTCGTTCTTCCATGTACGAAGGGGATGAATTTGCTTCTGTCCCAACCACGTGAGGGTGTAATTGGTCGATGACGATCTGGAGCCGCTTCATTGCCAGCAGTCATGTACGCTCCCATCCCGGATATATGAGAGCGTAAGGGAAATGCATTCTCTACGCGTTAAATCGCGTAATTTATTCAATACTCTACTGGTCCGCATCAGACGATAGAGCTGATATTCTGCAAAATGTGGTCGATTTTGTTAAAACGTGTGTTTATTATTGATCACTGTACGGTCACACGGTGAATCGATACATTTATGTAGAGCGTAATGATTCCACTCCTCTTTCTCTCCCTGCATGTAACTTCATCGTCCTCAAACACTCTGTGTCGTCAATATTTTCACACAGGGCTCATGCCGAAATAATGGAAGCCAAACCAGGACCACCAGCTATGGAACGAGTCGGGAGTCGTGGAAGCGTATCCAGCTCGCCCTCTGGTCCTCCAAAGTGTATGTCATCGTGTTGCTATTGTCTGGACTTGAATCTTGAGCTAAAAATGTTTTTGCGCTATCTAGTTGTCATTGGAATATGTGCCATGGACAGTAAAGGTACTCTTCTTGAATTCAGCTCTAATTTCTCATCAATATGCTTACACAATTCCATCTTGATCCATCGCCAGCGAGATCCAAACCCATGCGCAACATTTTAAACATCTTGCTGCAAAAAGGAGAATTCGAAATGATTGTCTTTGGTGATAAAGTCATTCTCGATGAAGGTAATCATACGGATTCATTGTTTAAAAGGGTTCAGGAAGGTGGAAAATTAGAATGCAGGCACACAAACAACAAAAGAAATGTGGTGTCCCGCTATATTGCCAATTGTTTGCTGCCGGCATCTACTTTGCTCCTATCTTCGCTATTGCAATGACTATCAGAAGCACCAGAGAAGTGGTTGGAGGGGCAGGCAGGCTATGAATGCGGACACACTGCAGTGAGAGATGGAAGGATTCAATCCTCATCACAATTGTTTGCTCGCGGGTCATGTACCGCAAAGCATCGTCATCGTATCGGCTGCCGATCTTATCAAGGAAACCTTTGGAGGGGAGGGGACGCAGACGCTCTGCAAAGGAAAAACCAAGCTGGAAACGTTGGAGGATAACCAGTCTGCTTTCATGTCGCAGAAGCGTTAATCAAATCGTCGGAAATGTTGGAGGCGAGGGAGGGCGTAGACGCAGATACGTGCACTGAAGATTCCCGACGAGTCCCGGAGCATTCCCCAACTGTTGCCCGCCACCATCCATTTGCTGCACTCTTTTCACCCAATTGAAAACAACGATATACATATTGACTCACAAAGTCTTCTCTCACAACCTTAGACGTTGAAAACTGGCCATACTGTGACTTTCTCATCTCCTTCTTCTCAACGGGCTTCCCACTCAACAAGGCAATCGACTATGTAAAGAAACGTAAACCATACTGTGTGAACAACCTCCCCATGCAACAACTCTTACTAGACAGACGTCTAGTCTTGAGCGTTCTCGACGCCATCCACGTGCCATCTCCACAACGCCTCACTGTAAACCGAGACATACCCGCTGTATCCAAGGACGTTATTGATCTAATACGTAAAGTCACAGGCGCAGATATATCTGCTAATGCCTTCAAGTTCAATGAGGCTGTTAAAGTCGATGTGGATACCATAGAGGTTAATGGTGTGAGATTGACTAAACCGTTTGTGGAGAAGCCTGTATCTGGTGAAGATCATAATATCTATATCTATTATCCGCAGTCTGCTGGTGGTGGTTGTAGGAGGCTGTTCAGGAAGGTATGTGTATGGAAGGAATATGAGCGCGTGGAAAGCAGCATACGGAGACGAATATTGACTTTTTCTGCCTCGAATTTGATTAACCGTTATCCTTTACTTTACAGATCGGGAACAAGTCAAGTGATTTTGATTCAAACTTGACTGATATACGCCAGGAAGGATCTTATATATATGAGAAATTTGTCAGTGTCGACAATGCTGAAGATGTCAAGGTCTACACGATTGGTGATAGCTATGTGCATGCAGAGACTCGCAAGTAAGGCTCTATGGAAGCTCGAGTTTGAGGCGGATGATTATTTTCCATTGGGGCTGTTGCTAAAAGTCGGATGTCTATCGCAAAAAGATCCCATTTCCGATACGTTCGCACATTCCTCTGAACGAAATCCACTCACAACAATCCTACTTCCTAGGTCACCAGTAGTAGATGGTGTCGTAAGCCGGACACCAGAAGGAAAAGAAATCCGATACATCACCCCCCTCTCACCAGAAGAGCAAGACATGGCTCGTCGAATCACCAAAGCATTCAGACAATCGGTCTGTGGATTCGACCTACTACGAGCCAACGGCAAATCATATTGTATAGATGTCAATGGATGGTCGTTCGTCAAGGGCAATCAGGTCTATTACGAGAACTGTGCTAATATTATGCGAAACTCGTTTTTCGAAGCTTCGAAACGACGACGTTTCGTACTAGATCGGAATAATGGTGTCGAGTCTCAGTGGCAGTTGAAGGCTTCACTTACTGTTATGAGACATGGTGATCGGACGCCAAAGCAGAAGATGAAGGTATATGTTGTGTTTGCGACACAAGGAGTACCCTGGAATTCTTCGAATTGTTATTCCATATTTTTTTTCGCTGACAGTACTGACACATCTTATCAAACCACACTGTCTAGTTCTCTTTCAAAAGCAAACCCTTTGTGGCGTTACTTAATGGTGGCGACGATGAAGTCGTCTTAAAGAAACCAGAACAAGTGAGACGAGTTCGAGACGCTTGCTATGAAGCTATAGAGCAGAACGCGGAAGATCCCGTCGCTCTGGAACAGATGAGAGGGGTACTGGAAGCTAAAGGTGACTTGCCAGAGACCAAGGTGCAAATACGTAAGTACAAGCGGAACTGTGAGGCTTTTTGGCGTTCTCTCGACTAGCAGAGAAAGTCTCGAATTTCGACATATGGTCTTGCTAACATCAACCTTTGATATTTAGGCCCAACATACAACAAATCAGACAAGACAATCCTAGATAAACTCCAGCTCATTGTGAAATGGGGAGGAGAATTCACTCACGGAGGCCAACTACAATCTCAGGACCTAGCCGAAAACTACCGCAAAGACCTCCTCATTATAAACCGCTCCCTCCTCGACGACGTAAAGATGTACTCGTCCTCTGAGCGTCGAGTTCTCTCAACAGCCTCTATCTTCTCGAAAGCCTTCCTTGCCTTAGAATCCGAATCAGCAATCCCAGCAGACCTAATTACCATCTCCAAGGAAATGCTGGACGACTCAAATGCTGCCAAGGAGCAAATGGACGCTGTAAAGCTACGATTGCAAGCTATCTTAAATCGTCAAGAGGACTATACGTTTGCTCCATCACCTGCATTAGACTCGTCACGAGATACGAGTGCGGGTGTAAACAGGAATTATGATTTCTTTGGACCGCCGAGAGCGTTGGGTGATCCTGCAGATTTGGTGGATGAGGTTATCGAGTTGATGGGAAAGCTCAGGGTGATTATGAATGATAATTATAAGGAAAAGGATGTGGCGGGTATTGCATCCAAGTGGTGTTGTTTTGAGAATCCTACTTTGTTCAAGGTATTTCCTGCCTTCCATAGCTTATCTTTTGCATAAGATGATCATACTTATGTTTTCTTAGGAACGCTGGGAGCGTCTTTTCCGAGACTTTTGTGATGTGCAGAGACTGTCGTTTGATCCGTCCAAGGTCTCGGAACTGTACGATTCCCTCAAATATGACCTGCTGCATAATTTGACGTTCTGTGATGGTCAGTCTTCCGACCGATGAAAGTCTTTTTTGCCATTGAAATGCTCATAGTCGCTCTTCCTTTAGGCATATTCACATCCGAGGCTGACGGCCGAGAAGTCTTACGAGCCCTGTATGCCAAGTCTAAAGTCTTGTTTGACTTTGTTGGACCTCAAGAGTATGGTATTGGGGTATGTGAAAGAACAGCAATCCGATTAGTTGTCCAATGTTGTTTGTTCTGATACTGGGTCTCAATCAAAACAGGCACGCGAAAAGCTGGAGATTGGAAACCTCCATTCGCACGACCTTCTACGCCAACTACGAGATGACTTGCAAGCTGCAAGTTCATCAACGAGTCCATTAACTCGGATCTACTTCACCAAGGAATCGAAAGTCATCACGTTGCTAAATATCGTGTTGCTGTGTGGACTGCCTACAAAGATGACTGGCTTTGAGGTTGATAACGAATTGGATTGTGAGTGGTGTTATAGGCTGTTGTTATGCATGCTGATGATGGCGTTCTGAGCTCAACAAACCCGCTTTTTTTGGTGCTCAACAATTAATTCTAATATTCTTAGATTTAACGCAAATCACGTTCGAACTTTACGAAAGTGTACGAGGAAATGGCAGTGAGGACTTTGATTCACGAGAGCACTCATTGAGAATTGGATTCAGTCAAGGTGACGTATATGAGCCTCGTGGATATTTCTTTGTGGTTGAATTTCAAACTCAAGACACGTCCTTACATTTCTCTCTTTCAATCTCTTTCAGGTGCTCATGATCCAAACCTGGTGGATTTGAGATTGGATGATCGGCATTCAATTACTGTAGCCCCCAGAAGGCATGTTGTCCAATCATCCAGCTGGTGTTCTAATTATTTTTTTGGCTGACCGACATGTTTTCACCAATATCCAGATTCCTTTCCGATCACATTGGACTAGATGAGGCCTTGAATTGCTGGCCGTTACCTCCCAAGTAACATATTATCATATTTAGCTATACCGACCTCATACCCCATTTTCATCTTTAACCCAAATAAGGAACCATATTATATAATCATAACAAACTAGATCATTTTTGCATTTTTGTTCAAAACGAGATGCATTCTATTCCCTTGAAACAATCTAAACATTCCAAAAAAACTTACAAAGCGAGTAGCAACCTTGATATTTTGATATTTCCACAGTGATGGGATTTCTTTGACAATATAGCGAATCGATCAGTATCAATCTCTGCACTAGCAGCATCTTTATCAGCAGAAGCAGTGGTGGCTCTGTTTAGACTGGCTGCACCTTCTTTCCACCAAATACGAAACAGTTATCAAGTGGAGGGCAGTGTGGAGCATAGCAGACGACAGCTAGGACACTCTATCTCATGGATCTACTCACACTGGCTTGATTCTGCTCTATTTGTTGAATGTTTTCACCGTGATCTAGCAATTTCAAAACTTTTGATGGTCAGATCAAGACCCTGCCAGTACGGACCAACATAAGACAATACGCCACACCGCTGGGCCGACGACGCACCCAGAGCACATACCCCTCCGTTCTGGATGACGAGATAAAGCGAAGGCTCCTGAAGCACCGGAGTGATTCCAGGATCGGGCTGCTCGAATACATCTTGAGGTGGATACTGCAGCATTCTGGATATCGAAAGATGTCGTTTCGTCGTAGGTTCATGATATTGTATGACATGTGCTCTGATGGATCGTGGTCTCGCTCCTCGTGCTCTCTCTGGATATTAGACTGTTCGCTGGCATGGCATCCTTCTCTCTACTTCTGGATGGCTCTTCATCTCTTTGAGCACAATCATTCAATGAGTCTTCAGGACTACGCAATGACATATTGTCTGTAAAGCATTTTGTAACGTCATTGGATGGTGTTTCAACAATTGAAATCAACCCTATTATGAGATTGTGTAAATGGTACTCGGGACTCGCTTTTTTAACCATGGGAACGACCACCCTTTGTTTTGAATCGGATTTAGTCACTTGAAGGTAGCCAATTGTTGCGAGGCATAGGAACAGCTGCCAAGTAGACGAGCAAGGATATGATTTTGAGATTACATACTAGGGACTGCTCAGTACGTTTTTCGGATCAGGTACTGAGCTGGCCTAATGCAAACTTTCTAGTTCTCATTATTTCAAAACAAACCGTTTGTGGCACTTCTGAAAGGAGGTGGTGAATAGACCCCTGAGTTCATGAGTTACTGTTTCCTGTTCTGAAGCTATGGAGAAGAATTTGGAGATCTCAGGCCCACGTTTGCATCGGCAGCCAAAGGTGATTAACTCGAGCGAAAGGTCTTGTAGCTTTCTATTTTGCTTGAACCGTGGGAGCGAGCAAAGTGATAAATGTTTCAGGTCTTGCTCCCAAAACTTGCCGCCTTTTTAGGTCCAAGGTACCCTAGCTCACATCCCGTCTTGTATTTTTTTGGATATGATCGTCATTTTTAAAGCAGAACTTTTCTCCGTCACTTAGACACCGTCGGGGTGTCTTGCTCAAGCTCTTTGTAATGTACCGAGACTGGCTTTTGATAGTCCCGATTGCTTTTATATAAGCAATTACCGCTTTGCTGTGATTTGACTCTCTTCGATGGCCAGCAACTTGAAAATATGTGAGGACCGAAAATCTCGAAAGGTTCTTACATTCTACCTCAATCCTGATTACCCGGCTGACTTGCAAGCAGACCTGTGATGAGGACCGACAACCTCGAAAAGGTCTCATCATTCTACCTCAATCCTGATTACCTGCTGACTTGCAAGCAGACAGGTCGATCGACTCAAATCTGTTTCCACCGGAGACTCTAAACTGACAAGTTCGTTGAATTCTGTCTTCCTGTGTGGTTTGTTTGCCAGCATGACATGAATTATGAATTGTGAGTGTAGTTGTATGCAATGGTTGTGAATGTAGTTGGCTGGCATTCGCATCTTGAATTTGAGATGCACTCTTTGTTCGTGCTCAACCATCAATTCCATTTATTAAGTTAGGTTTGACTCGAATCACATTGAAACTATGGGAGTATGTACGAAATGGTATCATGTACTGTGCTTCCGAGAGCATTTGTTGATATTTGGGGCTAGTCAAGGTGTGGTAACGTTGAGTTCCGCGTTATTCAATTGTTCTTTTTTTGGCTGATGCACCTTAATCGTACACTCCAGTAAGATTCTCATTATCCGAGTCTTGGGACTGTGAGACTGGATTGTCGCCACTCTGTTTCTCGAGATTCCTCGAGGCTTGTTACAGTAATCGTCTGAGGATCTTTGTTTTCGCCGAACAACATCTCTGTAGCAAACCATAAGAAGTCCTCTTACTTAATATTGCATTACTCGAGCCTGGGATTGTTGGCCTAATGGACAACGTGTGCATTGGAAGCTAAGGTCATACGGTCGAAGTAGGGGTTTAGCACTGATTGATCCGTGTGAATGAACGCGAAGAATGTTTTCTGCATTTCTATCAAAACAACACGTTTTGAGAATCAGCAATACTGTGATCGTTTGTGACATTCACAACGTGAGATTTGATCCCTCCAAAGGATTAGCATACATGATTTCTTCTCAAATTACATCTTTTGCATGACTCTCTTCAGTGGTGAGTAACTAGAACAAAGTGAAGATTCTTTTTTAGCTGCTGTATTTCTTACTCTGTTTTGCCTCCTTTTAGGAAGCCGATCGATGCGGATTCTTGCGAGCCTCAAATGCGAATCTCAAGTCTTTTCTGACTTCGTTGGATTTAATAGTATGGCATTATATACGTGAACAGAAGGACACAATGGGCACATAATCCCTGAATCCGGGTGTGCTTTTCTGTCCTGATGGTCTCTTCAAGAAAGAACATCTGATCCCATGGCCTCGTTTGTGAGATACCCGCGGTTTCAAGAGCCATCTCATAAACAAAGTCCCTCACCTTGAATCTACATTCACCAGGGGCTCTAAAGTGACGAAGTTGCTGAATAATTCTTTATTGTTTTTCTGGTGTGATGACTGGATTTGAAATGGGTGATGAATTGGACCGTGAGGTTTGTTAGCTGAGATTTGCATGTAATTGCTGATGGATTACTTTGTTTGGTGCTCAACCATACATACGTTTTTTAGGTTTGACCTCGAATTACATCTAAAGTACGTGACTGTGTGCGAGAATGCAGTGCCGAGACCGAGGGCTCACTGGCGAGAGCATTCAGAGCTGAGGTGGGCTTAGTCAAGGTGTGGTGACCTTGAGTTCGTCATTATTGGTTTTTTTTTTGCTAAAATATGTTGCCTCACCTCCTCCACTTACTACCTCTTAAGGTGCTCATGATCTGAATTTCTTGATATGATGTTGGATTGTCGACGTGCTGGCTTTCTACCCTCCGGGGCCTTGGTACAGCAACAGGCGTTCAATGTTTTCTGCTCAACCACATGACCATCGCGAACCAAATTCAACTGCATCAAACCTTGAATTGTTGGCATGTACCTCCTAAGTGCACTTTTAACCTGATAATTTCCAACCCATCAGAATTCGAACATTAACCAGATAGAAATCATCTGTACCAATCCTTTATTGTTTGTATTGCAATCACTACAATCCTATGTATCCGTTTCTATACTCCTCCGTCTCACCATATTTATATATAAGACTCGACGTGTTAACGAGGTCCAAACACTTGTGGCGGTTGAGGAGGTGGACCGCCTTGCCAAGTCTGCCCAGATTGCATTGGAGGCGTAGTGTTTTGTTGCGGTATGCCTTGCTGCTGCTGTTGTTGTCTTTGTTGAGTTGCTTGCAATTGACTTTCTGCTGCCCGTTCAACTAATCGTTTGATGGCAGGTACCCAACTTAGGTCCAGTCCGGTAGCAGAAGTAGTTCTTGCTAGAATGTCACCATGAATTTCACGGCTGGCTGTGAAGTCTCTTGCTTCCACAGCTAACACACCAAGAAAAAAGTTCAGCATCATTGGCACAACCAAAAATGGACATCATGATGATCACCTTGAACTAGAGCGACTAACTTTTCAGTCAAGTCACTCTTGAGATCAGCATTGTTCAACTGGTCGAACAATGTGTTTAGCCGTTTTTCTGTATCTTCTGCAACTCTCTTTCCATGGGTCTAATGTGAAATAATCATCAATATTCAATACCCACAAGCTGCGTCAGCCAGTGCTCAGATACTTACCCCTGGCAACTGCTTCATCAAAATCAAAACGCGACTTAGGACATTGACTATCGGCATATGATGAGGAGGGATCTTTGATCGATCTCCAGGTGCTAAAATAGCCAAGATTGGATGTTAGTAGAAGCTCTCAAAGAGCAACACAAATAACTTACGGAGTCGATTTGAGGGAGCAGCACCAGACGCTTGAGGCCCTGGCGCAGTTCTCGGGAGTGCTGGGCTGTTGACAGTACTAGAAGGTGCAGGCCCTTGACCAGCTCCAACAGATCCTCCAACAGATGGAGGTCTGCTCAGCCCTTGACCAATAGCTTCCGCTTGTTGAGCATTCGATGGAGGCGGAGGAGTTGTCATGGGTGGTTGACCTGTAGGAGGCATCATCTGGTGAGGTGCAGGTGGTCGACCTTGCATTCCCATCACTTGGGGTGGATGCTGCATACTGCCTCCTGGTTGTTGGGTTGGTGTTGGTTGATAATATTGTTGTGGAGGTTGACCACTCATCTGTGGTGGTGGGGCTACTATAGGAGGAGTTGGCCTTCGGAAGGGAGCAGGCATCGGTGGAGGCTGCTGTTGTTGACCTGCGTATCCTCCTGTTGGTGGTGGTGGTATTGGTGCTGGAGTGGGTGGCTTGGATATCGATGGTGGTGGTCCAGCTTGCTGCTGTTGCACCTGCTGCTGCTGCTGAGTCCACTGTTGTCCCATTGTAGGTGCCATTGTAGGTGGCGGCATCATGGTAGGTGGAGGATTGTTTTGATTATTCATCATACCATGACTGATGGGTGTTGAATTATTCATAGAAGGTTGTTGAGAACCTCCCATTGGCGGGGCTGCATTCCATGCTGCTTGTTGCTGAGCAGCAGCTTGCTGTTGCTGTTGACCAAATCCAGGAGTAAAGGTACCTATTGGTTTGGGTGTTGGTCGTCTAGACTCCGAGCTCAACAATCCCGCTGGCAAGTCGTTGAATCCAGAAGCTGGAGCTAAAAAAGGTCAGGAATCAGAAATGAAAATGCTGCGAACGGCCAAAAAAGTGAGCATGCTTTCTGCACTTACCAATCTTTTGAGTAGAAGGAGGCAACGGAGTCTGTTGATAATTAGAACCAGACGCGGTAGGAGGTGGATTGACCATGCTAGCAGCTACAGGAGCTTGGTAGCCATACTGCTGAGTTTGAGGTGCACTTGGTTGTGGTTGCTGTCCATAATAACCTGGTTTAGATACAGGTTGTTGCTGTTGCGGCTGTTGCCATTGATTGGCATATTGTTGTTGTTGCTGTTGATTACCATATTGCTGTTGCTGCTGAGTTTGCTGCTGGATTACTGGTTGTTGAGAGTATCCAGGTGCGATATACGTAGGTGTACCATAAACAGGAGCAGCAGTAGGATATTGAGTGTTTTGATATACTTGCTGCTGCTGTTGTTGTGCCTGACCTGGTATGCCATTCACATACCCAGCTTGCTCCTGTGTGTAACCAGACGATTCGTACGTTTGTATTGTTTCATATTCCATAGCTCGTCCGGTTACATCGTCAAATACATATGGCACTTTTGGATCCTGAGCTTGTAAAGCTGACGACAAACCGCCGGATCGATATAGGCGATCTCGAAGCAATTCAAGTGGGTCGACTTCTCCACTTTTATATTTTATCACCCATTTGAATGCTTCGGGTATGAGAGACAGGAAGCTCCAAGCTAGGTTCATACGTCCTTGAGCAGAAGCCTGTTCAGCAAAGTCAGCGTAATATTCATACAAGACAGATAATTTAAATATTGTTGGTTGACTCGTGAATTCAGAGTCAACAAATGAGGCAGCACGTCTATACAATGTGACTTTTTCGATAAAGGATTGTAATGCGGTCACATGGGAATTATGTCTGGAGGCATTAGGTTGGGACAGTACTTCTCTTTCTTCTTCAGACATCCTCGATGCCCAAATCTCTACTAGTCGATTGAGATTCCCAGCAGACAAGTAACATAATACTGCTGCTGAGGCTCTTTCTTTTACGACCTGATCAGATACTTTTTTTGGAATGAATGACGGTGCACTGGCATCCTTTGTTGTGGGATATGAATAGATGCCTTCTAGTCGATTACCCAAAATGCCAAAAAGCGTGGCAAATTCTTCAGGTTTGGCGTACATACATATGAGAGCCAAAATATCTCGCCAACCACTATCTTTGGACGTATCACCTAATTCAGCATTCTCCACTACATCCTTCAAGTCACTGGATGCAACACCTTGCAAGATACGAACATATGATTTAGAATCACGAGTCTTGGCAAAGTACTCGTCGCGTGCCTTTGCTATTAGATCAGGACCTCCACATACAGCCAATACCATGGCATCGGCATATCGGTTGACGGCCATACATGCTTGTACGGCGACGGAATAGTTTCCAAGAATTATAGCACGACTAATCAAACTATCTACATCTATATCTTCATTCCTGGATGACACGGTGGAAGCGTATAGTTTAAATGGTGATGCAGGCACAGCACTAGTACTGCCCATGCCGCTGCCTTCTTGTGATTGGATACCTAAACCATCGTCACCACTCATACCACCAAACAATCCAGATACTCCATTCGTGTCTTTGGCTGAAGAATCTTCAGCATTTACTGGCGGTATGGAGAGCGGCGAGCTTTTACTGAGCTTGGATGATGTTGGTGGTGGAGCGAGTTCGTCGCCATGTTCTCCATTCTCTTCTGTTGATGATATATTCAGCTTTTTCAATAATTCTTGAAAAGCTGCACCTCCTACATCTTTCCGATCAAACCCTAGATATTCTAATGCTCGTTCTCTGGCATCACCTTCAAACATGAGCCTCAAAAACTTCCAGACTTCTGTATCTTTTGAAGCATCTGTCGACCTAGTTTCACAAAATGCCACACATTCTTCCTTGGAAGAATCACCCATCAATTTGTTTAACTCATCTAGACGATGCGCGAATTCTGGATCTGTGGGTACTGTACGTATAGATATAGGCACGGGTCGGCGTTCACCAGTATTTACAGGTTGTGGCGTTATGTGAGAGCGAGAGAAGGTGACGAGTCTTCCGCCAAATGCCCAAGTAGCACCAACTGGACGTCGCATCCATTTAGGAGGCTGCACCAATTGGAACTTTGCGTCAGACGAGTGACTTGTGCTCATCTGGTATGCAGGAGAGAATGGATCTGCTGTCGTTGGTGACGATGGTTTCGATTGCGATTCTTCAAGGCCTGTTGATGTGCCTTGCAACGAATGAACAACAACTTGTCCATCAAAGCTCGCAACACCGACTAGATCGGGGTTTCGAGTGCACCATTGCAAATCGAAGGCCCAATTGGACGATTGTTCCAATTCACCAATTACGTCTCCTGTTGATGGATTCCATACTAGAGTACGATTATCTTTGGCGCTACTCATCAACAGATCTGAGTCTCTTGGACACCAAGACACAGATAATATGCCTTTCGAGTGGCCCGTCAATTGCTAAGAAATGCACGAAAAACGGTGTGAACAGTTCAGGTCTGACGAAAAAGACGATACGCCATTTCGAAGTTACCTTTTCAGGAGCTCTCGAGTTTCTCAAGTCCCAAATCAAGATGACAGGAGAAATGTCATCATCGCCTGCTGTAACAAGTTGAGTAGCCTAGATGCGTAAATAAACGCCCAATGAGCAAGATGAAAGTTCGCGAAGTCACTGTACGCCAAAAAATGAAGCAACTGCCACGGAACACCCTTACCACATCAGGATTCCAAGCAACACCTGATACAGGCACCCTTCCACCAGGTCCACTACCCAAATGCCTCAGCTGTGTGACTTCTCTCTTGTTTCGTAAATCCCAGACTACGGTATATCCATTATTGCTGGAGGTGGCTAATATATGTGCAGCATGTCGATTCCAACTGAGTGCTGTAATATCTTCCAATCTCTGACTACGATTACCGGGCGAGTATGGTAGTGCTGGATTTGTCAAATCCCATACGAATATTTCACCTTCGGTAGCTGCTGAAGCAAGCAAGTTTGCTTGTGATGGGTTAAAGTCGAGACCTCGTACAGGTCCACTGTGAGCAGCTTTACGTAATATTAATGGATCTGGTGAATCGGGAGATGGTATGGTGGTTCCAGCAGCAGCGTTTGCGAGTAATATATCGGGAGACCAGAGGTCTAGTTGTCCATCTTCCATACCACCAGCAATAATGCCACGAGGTTTGGAGGCATCAGTTGGAGCTGGACCCCAAGCCAGGCGATTGAATCTGCAGGAAATATAGTGGATTTGAATATGAGGTTGAATTTGGCATGAATTTCGTGTAAGCGAACTGCTGCGTTGAACAAGGAACAAATCTCTGATCGAAATCCCAAATGTTTTGACAATTACCTGACATGACCTTTTGCGACAGCGAGTCTCTTCATGGAGCCTGAAGTAGTGTTTGCCAAGTCCAAATCCCATATTTCTAGCTCTGTAGTAGTAGAGAAGGACGCGTCCAATGCACCCGCCACAGTTCCAGTTGCAAGTAATGGAATGTGCTGGCCTGGAGACCAGGCTATAGTAGATGTACGAGCAATCTTCCGTAACTTCATGATGGATTTATATTCGATTCAATAGCAATCCAATCGATCCTTGATGGCAAATCCAACGAGTGTGTAAGTGAAAGCTGTTTCCTAATGTGGGATTGAATTTTGGTTAGAACGACAAATAGCTTCATCTGAAACGAACAAGACGAGTGCACGTACTGTATGCTTTACAAGTTCCTGATGCACCTGTCGACTTCTAATGATAATGTACTTTCAGTCTCGTTTGCTCTCAAAGCTGACTTTTTGTGAAAGTGAACGGGATCGAATGAACGAAAGTATGTTCAAACGCGACAGTTCTACAATGAGTTCGCGATAATATCGCGTATTCGTCGTGCATCGAATGTGAATACCAATTGCCTTTATCCGGTAAGGACTATTGAGCATCGTGTTATAAACATCTCATTCGCGCGACTTTCGAGACAATATGCAGTGAAAAGGCAGTGTATTCAATACAAAAAATGATTAAAATGACTGTTAAAGCGCTCATTGTTAACCAGTGAGGAAAACACCCCAAGGTTATACCGTCGACAAAAGGAAGTCCAGCAAGAGCTTGCCTTACAGAGAAAAGGTCCAGCACCCATCTTCAACGTCATTTCAAGCAGAGATTCAGCAGTAACAGATTCATCAAGCACTCACAATTTGGTGTGCTCCCTTTGTTCAATATGGCAAAGCCAAATTCAAAAACTGTCCTCAAACTACACTAGGACAATGACATGAGCATCTTCTCCATCATTTTGAAATGATCATCTTCTCCATCATTTTAATGTGATATTTCCATTCCGAATTGCATCCTCCCGATACAGAGGGGTTTCCACCTTTCTCACCATCGAAATAGATCATAGGCCTAGCGGAAATAGTTGAGGCGCTATAAAAGGGAAAGAAGGAGAGAGATTTGATCCTTGAGAGAGGGAAGAAAGCCTATTGGATTGGAGGTGGCGTGGTTAAATCATGACGTAAAATGCAAAATCAAAGTATAGCAATGTGATACTTGCTATACATATCTGCCAGATCAAAGCAGCGAGCTTGTAAGCCAATCCTTCTACCGACCATCATTTAACCAATCCTAGACCTGCAAGGTGAGCTTCAGGGACGCCGGTTCATAGGTCAGTTGACGCTATTCCCAGCTGCCCCCATCCATTAGAGAAGAGCGTGCCTCTGATGTTTTTACAATTGGGGAGCAACCACGCGATTCTCAACGTGAAAGATACAGACAACTGAGTTCAGTTGTCTTATGCGACGAGGTGTTGTCTAACGGTGATGGCGAATTGTTGAATGGTCTCGGTGGATTGTTGATGATGGGGGAGTGCTGAATGTTGGCGTGGCCAGTAGCATAGAAGTGCATCCTTATATAGCACTTCCAGTGGTGCAATTATAGTAGCAAATTACTTGCCAGTCAATCAACAACTTCGACAAACTATCGAATTGATTGAGCACACCGTTGGTACTGCAGTTCCCCCCGGCCATGAGGCATCCACCTTTCTCAATATCCAAGTAAGTACCCGATGTACTCTTGAATGGATCATTGGTCCAGTAGGAGAGGGCATTACTGGCCTGAGCCCCTACAAGACTGACAGGCAACCTATTTGAACTTGCCAGATCCATCAGAGATGTGCTAGACCTATTAGCAGTTGGATGGCGAAAGCTAGGTCATTGGCGGCAAGTTCCAAAAATACAATGAAACAGCAAGGGGCTTATCTGAATGAGTGCAGCAAGCATAGATCCATGTCTTGTAGTGTCTTGGCCATCGTCTACTGCTCTCCACACATCCGTTTGCTAGATAATCGTGTGTGGACCGGTTTAAAGAATGGAGGAAGTTGCAACAAGAATCGAGACTTTAAATAGGCACATTTGAGTGCAGGAGACAATAGAAGACGAGAGTATCGTCACGTGTCGGATGTCATTTGTGTTCGAATGCCGCTTTCTATCACGTCCAAGGACTCTGCCGTCATCAGCAAATCGTCTTGAACTTTGCCAAATTTCTGAAAATCGTAGTCGACGGTGTTGTAACGAAGGATACAACATACTCACGCATTGCGTCGCATCATCAACAATGCTGCATCAGTGTTCTCTATCTCCAACACGAAGTGTACTTGCTCGAGTCAATCCCGTAAACCTCATTGGCCAAAACCAACCATTGCGGGTGCTAGACAGCATTTCACGATCAAAGTCGCATACAGTCACCTCTAAATCAAGGTATGTCTTGAGTTGATATCTCCTTTTTACTTGTTTGTATGCAAGAACATCAGCATTTGATTGACATTTGTCTTCAACTTAGGATATCTCAGTCATGGTTTCTTTCTCATGCTTCCAATATTCGGCATCCTATGCATTTATCTTGTACAAGAACCTTAAGCTCCCAACCGACAAAACCACTAACACCATCCAAAGCTCGTGAAGCTGCGAGGAAACTCATTCGACAGGCAACCAAAATACCTGCTATTTTAACAAGCCTACGTATAGTAACAATTCTATTGAACTCCCGTTTATGTAGGTCCGAGAAGATATCTACACCATCCCAAACTTGCTGACACTGGGCCGTCTGGTTCTCTCACCATACATTGGATACCTCATCGTCACCGAATCATACAGCTCAGCACTCGCATTTCTGGCCCTAGCATCAGTGTCAGATTGGGTTGATGGCTGGTATGCACGTACCTTCAACGCCAAGACTGTGTTGGGATCAGCTCTAGATCCAGCGGCAGACAAGGTCCTCATGACGATCTTGACTGTGTCGTTGTCTACTGCTGGATTACTGCCAGGTAACCTTGCCTCCTCCTCATTGTTCTTCCGTCTTGCAAGGTTCAAAGCTAAGCATTATTACATCCAGGTCCTCTGGCAGTACTAATAGTCGGACGAGACGTTGGACTAGTGATTGGAACAGCATACTACAGATATGCTACACTACCACCACCAAAGACAGCGGCCCGATATTTTGATGTAGCGTTACCGTCAGCTGAAGTTAGGCCTCCTTTTATTAGCAAGGTATACTCTCTCTCAATGATTGCTCATGATACATTGTGCTGACACCGCTGTCATCTTCCACTCTAGCTAAACACATTCCTGCAGCTGGTGCTCATGGGTACATCTCTAATGTCACCGCTCTATGGATTTGAACAGCATGTGCTAATGGAGGGATTGCGCTGGACAGTTGCCTTGACCACGACATGGTCGACATTTGTATATATGTTTGATCGTAGTACCATAGTTAAAATAATGAATAAATCAAAGTAAAGAAACCCAAACGATAGCTCAAGATTGTCTAGGGGTATGATATAGCGAACACAAAGCCACATATCGCGAGAACTCCCAGGTGCTACATTCTTGCTATACCTCGTGGATCTAAATAATTTAGGCAACTATACAAATCATTTATATGATACAAGACTAAGTCAGCCTCGCGGTGAACGTGACCGCCGATTGTAATCCCTATCATAGTCATCACGACGACGATAGTCCCTACGATCAGAATCACGATTGTAATCACGTCGATCATCGGATCGTCGAGACTGATCTGGTGATCTTTTACGTGGTGGGGATTTTCGTCTACTCCTACTGTCCCTCTCTCGTGATCTAGACCTCGGTCGTTGACGAGGCGAGTCACGCTCTCGGGCTTCCTGTGGCGGTTGTACGGATGCTCCGTTTGATGTTTTCGGAGACTGTTTAAATGGAAATCTTGAATTCAGAATGTGGCAAAAACAGTTCTGTGATTGCAATACTCACTGTCAGTTTGTCAAGATACGCATTCAGTTCTGATACCGTCACCGGAAGATTCTTTACGGTTGGTCTTTGATACAGGCACATGATATGCCCAGCAATGTTGTCCATATCTTCAATGTCAGCATCAAATAGAGTATACCATGGTGGATGCCGAGGCAATGGTACAGCTCTTTTACGGGCAACCAGGTATATTACGGCACAAGCTATAGTCCATGGCTGATAGCATACCGACACATTCGTTCGATAACTAGAGGGGCAAGTAGCGTGAGGTTGACGTAGTGGTTCGTAGCGCAATAGTCATTTGTGCTTTACCTATCGTTCAAGTAATTCCACGCCATCTGCGAAAACTCTTCATCATCAGCTAGCCCGAGACTCTGCAGATAGTTAATCATATATCCGTAGGGATGTTCCACGCGAACATTGAATCCCAATTTGGCCAGGATGTTGATTTCACCCATTATCATGCCTTCCTTCATATCCAAGGAGACCTAATTTCACGCAAAACGACATTCAACGCGACTTTCATGGAAAATATAAGCCAACGTATGAACGTACGGAAGCAAACATGTTCTCTGGCGTCTTGTAATTGACGACTCCTTGAGCTTTGGATACTGAATAGTGGAATGCCAAGATGATTTGGTTTAACCTTCTCGGGCATTCTTCCACTTTTGAGGCAAGGAATATGGATGCCATTGCCATATCCTGTTTTGATACTGTCAGCACAATGGCTCCGTAGCAAAAGACATTAGGTCGTTCTTACTCGAATTCCAAACTTTTTCAAAGAAGAAGTATAATAAAATCGATGGAATAATGTCTCTGCAGTTGATATTGCTACTTGAGGTCTAATAAAAGTAAGCTGTCAGCTCACTGTTGATGTTGGTCGTCAATCCAATGTCGATGTTTGGCTCACAATTTAAGCAAGATTCCCGCCGATTCAATCAGTTCGCATCCAAAAGCACGCAAATCCATCTCAAAATCTATGAGCACATCGTGTTATATGAGCTTTGTTGAATGGGAGAAGCTGCATTAGTGCAAACAGGTCTTGAACGCACCTTTACTGATTCCATCTCGTTGCGATGGCGTCTCCTGAAGCTGCTCATAGCTTGCTACCGTATTCTGTAACGATAAGACGACACTCACATCTGTCATCTTCGGTTGCAAATTGCAAATATAAATTCGAGCTTCAAGTGTATTGATTTTGCTATAAGAAAGAACATTCGACATGCCAGAGCCTATACAAGCTAGTACGAAATATATTAAAGGACGTGTATTTCCTTCTTCCGTATATCAAAAGTTTGGAAAGAGATTGGACGTCGCAACCCACCATTCGTGAAAACATAGCAATTGCATTTTGCGAGGGAGTTAGAGGAAGAAAGGCCGGAGGTAACTTGAAAATGACATGTGTGTGCCTTGGGCAATTGAATGTAGTTGATGCCGTTGGACGCGGGTCGCAATTCACTGAGGTTGCAATAAACTTTGACCACATTCAACTGCCATGTATTATGATCCTCATCCACATAGTACTAAACAAGGCTTGGGTCTGTCAAAGTGTACTGCTTGATCCGGAATGTTAACTAGGACCTTGCTTGACTGTGAATTATTGCTATTGAATGGACATCAAACAGCCATTTGATAGCTGGCATTTATGGTTGAGCAAGTGCGCCTTTGGTCGACCGGGCAGTAACGAAGGTGGACAACCCTTTCTCTTCTATCGGCAATAGAAGCTAGTAATGGAATGGAAGATTGCAAAGTGCTGGCTAGTATCAAGGTCTATATGTTTCTGCATTTCACAGCTTTCTTGGAGACCCTCTCAACTAACTATATTACCCTCACGTATCTCTAGACTACAAGACTGTACGCATGGCATATATGCATGCGGGTGCAAAGGGCTGGCTAGTTCCTTCGTATGTGTGATGTCGTTGATGTCATGGTAGAAGACATTCTTGCTAACCATATTACTCTCACGCTTCACCAGACCAAGACTGTACGCATGGCATTCATGCATGTGGATGCTATGTTCCCTCAATGCCAAGGTATGTTCTGTCGGTTTTGTCAAGAACTCGGCCGCTGTATACTTATTCATTGTAAACCACTGTGCATAGATCACGTAAAAACACTTTGTAATCGACCAGCGTGTATATAATAATATCGTATCGCCGTGAAATGTGTTTGCAGTTGTGAATGTTTTGACAGTGCTATCGAAACTTCGGGACTTTGGGCGACGTTATATCATCTTCGAGTCGAACCTGGTTTGAAATGATCTCAAGACGTCTCTTGCAACGAGAAGATCCAAAACGAGAAGAATTCATATCAGCCCTCATAGAGCTCTATTCTGTCTCTTGGAGGTTTGGTTTGAAGGAAGATGAGCAGTTCGCGGCGAAGACATGTGTATTTGACGTGATCTTGAGCCCAACGGATCCCATAGAGTCATAGTCACGGCGAAACCTCAGAAAGCGGATACTGAGCTTCGCTTCGTCTGGGCTGCGTGTACCGCAACCATAATCTTTTCCTTGCCTCACAACCTCAACCACTCAGATTTCGCAGTCGCAGTCAAAAGAACTCCCGGCAGCAAGATTCGGTTCCCTCACAACGAATTTCATTTTCTGCATGCTTGCCGGGATTCGCGACTTGCGTCTCCATTGCAATTATCTTGTAGAGACACGTCGCTCATTTTCGTTAGGATTGATTGGGTCTGGTTATTGTTACTGGTTTTTCTGATTTCTCATATCGACACCCTCAAATCCACAAGATTGTTTTGCCCGTCATCTTGGGAATGCAAGTATCGTTACGATCTGCCGCAACTTTGACTCATTCTTTGCTTGCATTGCTGTTAAAACTTGCATTAACTCACACCTATTAAATTATCCTAACAGTATTGTCGCTATGAGTGACCAAAAGGTGGAATCACGTCGACATCGTTATACTTTACCGGCAGCAATTTCAACAGCCGGGCTATCTCCACCAACCTCGAATGGGATCATCGCGGTAAATAATGTGTATTCCTATGTGCAATATTTAGTTGCTCTTGTCCGCATTTTTCGTGTGTTTTGTATTTACGATTTCTAAATTATTATTTCATTACATTTTTGTTAGCCTTTTATGTACACTCCAATCTCACCTACCTCGTATCGGTCCACATCATCACCGACTAATTCCGCATACTCTGCTCCTATACCATCTCCAACGAGCACTCCGTATGTGCCAACTGGCCCGAAACGATCTCTGGAAGACAGTGATGATGCAGAAACGCAAGCTGATACCAGAGATCGGAAACGTGTTCGACCACCGCCGATAATCGGGATGCCTATTGCAGCTGTGAAACCGGAGCAATTCACAGTATCGAGGCGATTGTCTGCCACGATGACACAACCACCTCATCAACAACAATCAAGACGTGATTATCCCGTCCCAGTATCACCAACACGGATTTCATCCTCAACGAATTCGAATGTCGTGCAATACCTTTTGGAGCCATTTACACCAAGTAGTTTGGTACCAATGGATGCAATCGCACGTCCAACAAGTCGTGGTCCTACCATTATACAGCATCGCCAGCAGCAAGCACAACAGCAGTCACAACAGCAACCAAATTTTCTTCAGTTTCATTATTATTCTCAACAACAGTACCTTCAGCCTCCTCATCACCACCATCACCATCAATTGCATCATCACCAGCACCAGCATCTCCAACAGCAACAGCAGAATCGATGGAACTTTTCATTGTCGCCTATAGATACTCGTTCCATCATGTCGGCTCCAGTCATGCCTTCAACATTGACACCCATTTCGGACATCTTTACTGTACATCCTCTTGCATCTGAAGCTGCTTCGTGTCAGGATTCCGGAAAGGATGTTTCAGAGGTAGTGTAAATCATCTATGTCCAGCAAGCATTCGTTTTTTTTGCCTGGCAATGATGTAACGTCGGTTCATCAAAAAGGTAATTTCTGACAACGGAACACGTAAATGGGTCTTGCTCAAGCCTTTGGGTAAAGGCGGATGTGGTGAAGTCTTTCTAGGTGAGATTAGGGTTTGCATATTCGTAGTAGATGAAAATAGTGGTTTTGACCCTTGTTATTCTAGGACGTGAATATACCACTGAAAGTAGAGCTACAGCTGGACCATTGGTTGCACTCAAGTTTGTCAAGGTGTGTTTCCCTCTATCAATACCAGCTCAAGTGTCTTAACACTTTCTTTGCAAACAGGATCGCAAACAATACAATGCAGAATTAACCACCATGAAACTCTTAAACTACCACAAGAATGGACGTGGTCGAACTCCTCAATTGATTCACGCATGTCGAAAAGATCGTGTATTGGTCATGGAATACTTGTCTGAATCTCTAGGCAAAAAGTTTGAGACACTTGCATTCAAGTTTTCACTCAAGACCATTTTGATGCTGGGACTCAATATCGTAAGATTTGAAACAGCGTCTATTATTGGCAAAAAAACCACGAAATGCAGTCTAACAGTATGACAACCTACAGATCAACCTGACCAAGGACTTTCATGAACGTACTGGCTTGGTACATGTCGATATCAAGCCTTCCAATTTTATGACCCGAGATCGTGAACTCTTCATGATTGATTTCGGGTATGCTGCACTTCCTCATGCGCGACTGCCCGGTCAGACCGGAACACCACTGTTTATGAGTTGGACTATTCAGACTTATGGTTCAACTTGTAAGTCTCTTGTTCTGGTTGCCTGAAGAGATTGTCGATGACAGACAACACGTAGTCAGTCCTAACGGATGTATTTTTTTTGCATTATTCAGATCCCTGTTTCATGGACGACTTGGAATCCATCGGTTACTGCATAATGTTTTGGATTGCCAGCGGCAAAAAAGGTCTACCATGGGGCCATTTACGCTCACATCGAGATATAGCAGCCGCCAAAACCGACCTAGCAATCACAACGTTTTGCAACTCGTTGGCTGGAACCGAGTACTCTCCCATTGGACCAACGCTAGAGAAATATATCTTGTTTACTCGTGATCGAGTACGTGCTTTTGCGCCCGAGACGGACTATGACTACTTGTCGGGATTGTTGAATGGAGTGCTTGATCTTTGTGGGATGAAGAATGATGGGCTTTATGATTGGCTCTTTTGAGTTTCCGTTGAACTGGACTATTTGGATGACCTCTATCTCGCTGGAGTCTACGCGACTCGTATACCTCAGGACATTTTTCAAACTATTTATATTCCTTCCTCATATTAAACGAAGTGGATCTCAGATTGATCTTATAGATCTTTTAACTAGAACAATAGAACATGCGCTATTTAATACCTCAAGCTTGAGTTAACGTCGGCGGCCAGCAGGGTTCACGTTTGAAGGTCTTTGAAGTCATCAACAGTAGATTTGGCGACATATCGCGTGCTGAAATATATCTAAAGCGCGTTTCAATAGGTCTTCTGTTGAGTGGCCCTTCATAAGTGTGAGTGTCTCCAACTCCAAACTCCTTCAACAATTCGAGCAACACAGGGAAGGCTGAGATGAGACAATAACTGAATAGTTCCCACTTTTTCAAGGACAAGGACACCAAATCATGTCCAGCTCAGTAAGTTCCTCCTTCCATCCCATCATTACTTGACTATCTCAACCTATTTTCCATGTAGATTCAAGCCCAACTACGGAACTTGCCACCTGCTACCCGAATCCTAGCTGGCACTTTCATTGGCATATCAGCACTAGGTCTCCTCTTGTCGATATTCAGCAGCTCATCAGATGATAGCGATGAGCAAACTGGACTCAAATTGTTGCCTCTGCTTGCTATGGTACCTGGATCTTCCATTTATCTTGTTTGGACTTTTATGACGGTATTTCAAACGTGGTTGATACTGTTTGAAGTGATGGTGGAAGTGTGTGTCTCTGAGATTGAAAGTTTTAGGCTGGATTTTTGGAAACTTCTCTTTTGCCTGTATGTTGTAACTTGATAGATTGCAAGTTGAAGAAATACGATGAGATTGCTCAAGTTGCTTACGTCCTCTATAGTTCCTTATCGACGGGTTTGCATTCATAATGATGTCTCGATATATGGAACATGCATGGGGAATGAGGTTTGTTGCTCCTCAAGTCAAATTCAACCCTTCCGAACTCTTGCTCACGTGTACGTAACTAGGGAGTTTCTCAAGTTTGTTGCAATCGTGAACGTGTCTGCCTATTTTGGAGCTTGGGTCATGGCATTGATCGAGTATGCTGGAACTCTAGAGCCTGCATACTTGTAAGTGTCATGCTCTGATTCATTTGAAACGATTTGGCATGAACTGATCGCTCTGAGTATAATAGCTTCGAAACGCAAGTGTGTGGTCTAGGAGGCATCCTGTGTGCTTTTGTGGTTGCCTACAAACAGGTTGCAAAGTGGCGTGTGATGATTCTCGTCTGGATCAGTTATAAATATCGTATCCTCAATTGTTAGATGGTTCCAGAGCACACCATAACGTTCATGCAATTCTTCAGCTTCCGTGTCAAGGTACTCAGATGTTGTTGACAGAAGCATCTCGACAACACGTGGAACTCATTTGAACACTCTGATACTTAGCATTTACCATCAGTGGTCATACTGGGTCATTTGATAATGTGCCTGCTAAGGCTAGAAGGCCATCTACAATTCTGGGTAGCATTATACGGATCGTTATCAGCTTGGGTCTACATTCGATTTTACAAGGTTCAAGATGGAATACGTGGTGATAGATCAGAAACGTTCTCACTGTCATCCTTCTTCCCTGAAATAATACAGTATGTGGCAAAACGAAGGCAAACAGTCTGGAAGAAAATCACATTTCATATGCTAACACATCATTCTATTTATTAGTCCAATCATAAAACCAATCTCAAATTCAACATTCAACCTAATGGTGAGATTAAAACTATGTCCGCCACTAGTCGGGACAGCGTCTGGTGGATATACGGATTTGGAGACTGGGAAATCAAGAGTATCTGGCAATAGCGGGAATGCTACTGCTGAAGCAGAACGACGTAGAGCATTAGCTTTACGGGCGCTAGATGAGCGCTCAAAGGATAGATCAAATGGTATACCCGCTATACCAACGCCGACATCATTGCAACAAACACCAGCATCACAATCATCAGGATCGTCTTCTGCTGCCGCTGCGCCGGCAGCTATAATGATGGAAGAGGTTGATGATGATGGTGGGAAGAAAGAAGTGGGTGCAGAACTGTAAAGGGTTTCTGTTTAAAAAAATCATTATATTGCAGTCATTACATACATTTTGTGGAAAATGAAACGGATTTGGTTACTTGGTTATTTGGTTCATTAGGGCGTTGTAGCGTGTGTAGCTTTCCGAACCTGGAAAGTAGTCGGTTTGTAGCTTCCAGCTTCAAGCAGAATAAGTTTCGCTAAATCTCGTAAGCGGTCGCTCACTGTTTAGAACGAGCTCCCCTACACTATGGATCAAAGCACGTCCGATGATAGAAATCGTCGTGAACTGAACGATTTCGTTCGACAACATTCCGAACAGCTGAAACCAATTCCATCAAAACTTTGGAGGTTGCTTTTCACCCAACTTCGATTTGCAAATACCATAGAAATACCATTTGCATATCGGGAAATCCGTGCTGGTGATTCTAAAGCTGAAGAAGGTGTCGCGGATGTCGTGTATGATTTACATCAAACTCATTCAATTCCAGCTGAAGCTGGATTATGGATAGTACGCAAAACAGTTCGCTTGAATCAAGAGACGTTTGAATTCGTGTTTGAATGAAATTTTAAATGGCTTATACCATGACTTTAGGCTCCCATGATCCTCCAATTCCGTCAAGGCACCCTACACGAACTCTTAAAAGCCGACACGGCCTTACAAACCAAGATCAAATCCCTACTACAGCGGCGTGAAGGGACTCATTTCGTGCCTAACGATGTACATGGTCTAGCTACCGCAGCATGGAGTTGCTCTGACGCATTCACGGCGCAAACTGTGCAGGAAGACGGGAGTTACAGAACAGAGTTTGTGTGGTTTATACGGGACGAGATGCTGTGTACTGTGAGGCACACGAATGATGGTGGAGACGTCAATGTTAGGATGGTTGAGTTTTTGGATTTTGTGACCGGGAAGGTTTGGAGTGTATTGTGGAATGTTAGAGAGCTGCAGAGTGGAGATGTGCTGAAGAGGGATCATCTTACGAGTAGGTGACTCTGCCGTTTTCTCTCTTTGACGGTTGACAAACTTGGGATCTATATAGAGGACAGCGTACGGAATCGAAAACTGTTATACCTGGCGTATTTCCCAAACTCTGTATTCAAGCCTGAAACACGGGCCTTCCTACAAGACGAAGCATCTAAACCACGCTTTTCTATTACCACCGACATATCCACTCCAGCTCTAAACCCGTTATCTCTCACCGACTCGAACCCCTACTTCCTAACACCACATCAAACGAAATTCAAAGTATTCGCTCCCGAAGTATCACAACACCTCTTCGGCGACTCTCTCAAGGGTTCACCCTTTGAATCAACAGACTCGCTAGAGGATGCTCATGTCGTCTTCACACGGCCTAAATCCGAACAGCATTTAGCTGCTCCCGATAAATCGATATGCATGGGATTTGAAGGTGAATCCACCTTCACTGTTAAATTTCTCTTCTTGAAGGCTATATATGCAACGTATGGAAGGGATGCGAATATGTGGTTTATGGAGTCGTATGATTTGAATAACGAGTGGCCATATTTTGTCGGAGAGTGGGTTAGGAGGTTTGTGGAAGGACAGGAAAATTCGTGGATTGTTAAACCTTGGTAAGAAGAGAGATTGAACAGTTGTTTTTTCTCCCTGTTTATGTTTTTGAATATGGTTTTAGGAACGATGTGAGAAGTCAAAACATGACCATTTCGAATGGATTGGCTGCTATACTGAAGCAGATTGCTACTGGGCCAAAGATTGTTTCCAAATGTATGTCTTTGAGTATTTTGAGTTGAACGAAAAAAGCACCGTGATAACAGAAATCATGACCACACTCGTTTAGACATTCATCCACCTGGTTTGATTCAAGGCAAGAAGTTTGATATGCGAGTCCTGGTATTAGTCGACAGCATCAGTCCTCTCGTCATGCATTGCATGAAGGATGCTATATACGCTCGTATTGCCAATTTGGAGTACGATGTTGACTTGTCAGATACTGAGAACTTTGAGAAACATTTCACGGTACGGCATCCGTCACTATAAAGTTGAATCCATGTCAACGCTCAAATCTTTTTTTCCCAAATGCAGGTCATGAAGTACAAAGGCTTTAGTGTAAATTCTGTGTCATCAACCGACCTTCCGCAAATCCTATCAACCGAATCTGGCAAACCATACGACGAACTCCTGCAAAGTATCTTCAAGGTCATTCGATTGGCTATGAGTGCTTGTACGGAGAGCCCGAAACATGCTGATCCTTCTTTGAAGTATCCGATTCAAAATCAGCATCGACGGGGCTTCTATGGGATTGATATCATGTTTAGTGGTGATTGGAATCCTTATATCTTGGAGGTGAATGGTATCCCCGATACGGGACGTGTATTGAATGAGCATCCGACGCTGTATGGAGATGTCTTATCGTTTCTTTGTTTGGAGGAGGGGAGGAAGGACGAGAGGTTGAAGAAGTTGTTTGTGCCCATTTGAAATGGTAATGATTCTTTTTGGCACCTTTGTAGAATAATTTAAAACGACCTAACATGCATCACATTTTTATATTCCACAATTACAAAGACGACTATGGTTTGCCGCGAACACCCAATCCAGTAACTCGCCAGACTTGATGTCTAGCAGTTATAAACAACTCATCATAGTTTTTACCACCAAAGCACAGATTCGCTGGCTGAAGACCAACATGAATCTTGGCAATTAGTTCACCGCTTGGTGAGTAGATGTGAACGCCATCACCGGCTGATGACCATATGTTTCCCAGTGTGTCACATCTGATGCCATCAGGGACACCTTTGTGGAATTCGAGTGTGTTTTAATATGCAGTGGCGGTATAGCAAAGGTGTGCATTGAGAGCTCACCTGGCTTCACACGAACAAACAGCTCAGAGGGTTGAACGGTGCCATCTGCATTTAATTTGGATAATCGAATCTCAGACTTGAATTTGTCTCGAGTGTATCCTCCAGAATCAGCTCTGATAGATTTGTCTCATCGTCAGCATTTGCGGTAATCTTAAGCTACGGAGCAAGACATACATGTACAACAGCTTCTCATCAGGCGACAACGTCAATCCATTCGGACCGACACAACAGTCATCTGCAATAGAGATCTCCTTGGTGTTTGGATTGACCATGTAGACACGGTTTGGCATTTGAGCAGGGTATACGTGTCCTGTAAGTGACTCACAGCCGTAGTTTGGATCTAAGATGGGGAGATAAACCTGGTTCAAAACCAGTACAGGTTTTAAGCAAGCGTCCAGCTCTTTTCTTTTTTACCAGTAAAGAAGATTGTCCCATCGGACTTCTCGATGATATCATTTGGCGAATTTAACGGCACGCCTTTGTAATTATCAGCAATAACCTCCCTTTTAACGACACTTGCATTCTTATCCAGTGTCAATCGAACGACACGTCGTCCACCACCTTCACAAACCAGAATAACCTCTCCCTCAGATACCTTCTCACTAGCAATCTTGGATCGAAACATCCCATTAGAATGGTTTGAGCTATACGTAATAACAGATGCTCGTGGTGACGGTGATGCTGCCGACAGATCGGAGCTCATGATTGCTGCTGCAGGAATATCAACGAATGCGAGACGGTTCAAGCGTGGCAGGTATACGGGGCCCTCCGTAAATGTCAGGGCTTGCGTGGCGAGAGGGGATAATGTCGCTGTTGCTGGAAGGAGCTTGTTGGCGACTGGGTTAATGATGTTGATGCCGATGGGTGGTTGAGACCGTGTTGTTGTTGGCGGGACGCCGGGTTTGGTTGACATGGTTGGCTATAGGTGGATGAGCATGTTAAACTGTGAAGATATGGTTGATTTTGCTGTCGTGTTGAAAGTGTCACCAACTAAACCCACGCTTCGAGATTCTCATTATCCCATATTTGATGCGGGGAGTAGGACGTCAAATCAGCGTATTTCATATATGCGATTAAGCATGATTGACTGTAACTTACCTCTGGATTGATGAGATTCGCCAAACTTGGGTGTTTGTGATGTTGAGGAGTGAAGGTTGGGATTGCGCATACAGCGAGGACTGCATATTACAAAGGAGGACAACTGGAAACTTGTCAAAGACATGGAAAGCTACTTTGGCGTTTGCGATGGGTATGATATGAGAAGATACGACTCAAACAAACAACAAGAACTCAACAAGTTGAATTACACCGCACGAGGCACTTTACGACAAGAGTTGGACACCATGATGCCTCACTCTCCGTATCAAAGTCTATTTTATGTCATTCAGTAGTACCATAACAACCGCTTGTTCAGCTTCATTCGTGATTTGCGGCAACACTACACATATGGCGTCCGTCGAGTCGATTTCCAAACGAGGTACTAATAGAAATGAAGCGGCTGCGAGAACCCATAACGAACAGCCTACTTTTGACCGTCCACCCATTCTTGTATTGTTCAAATGTTGGCGAGGTTGAGTTTGGGGGAGTTCGGGTGCAAAAGAGGGCAATGACACAAACAAGAGAGAGGCAGTGGTAGGACCGTGAGCATTTCAAAATGTATTAATCACAAGCAAGAATTCGTTCTTGGGCTACAATGATGCTGCAGGAGCAACAGATTCTCTAATTGCACTTCCCTCCGGAGAAGCAAAGAATTTAGGCACTGATTCAACAGCCTCTAATTGATCCCTAATTCCTTCCTTCACCAACATGGAAGTGGTGACTCGTTTCGTTAATCCTCCTTCGTTTACAGCTGGTCGATAGATGCGTTTCTTGATGTGACTCTTGGGGACATGGCTAGCACTTGGTTTTACAATAATATCAGAATGTGATCCACTGGCGTGAGGTTTGACTGGATATCGGACCAATTGTCGAGTCCACTCTAGTCGACCGTCTATTGGTGCATACGATGCTATGTTTACTCCTACAGCACCAGTTCCGTCCTTGAGATCTTCTTCAGAGACCTCCAAATTCGAATTCGAGTATGCTTCCTTGATTATTCGAGCAGAATCATCATCTTTTAATAGTTCTATGGCTGTTCCGTTATCAAAGAGAAGAAACAGCCGAGGGGCATTGAGCATACGGCTCTGAACTTGATGTGACTGTTTGATCAGAGTTTGTGACAGTGTCCCGGCTACCAGCGAGTCTAGCGTTGTTGAGACCTTTGGTGATACATAATTGTAGGATATTGGCTCTGTCGTCGTCGGCAAGGTGATTGTCGTACCATCGGAATCTACTAGTCGCATGCTGCCCTGCATCCAGTTCATCTCACACATGGCAGATCTGAAGCGTTCTACACGAATTACAGCCGTTCCATCAAGATTTATAGTAACCGTTGAATCAGCCTAAGATTATGTGGTTGGTAGCAGTCAGCTATAGTGTTCCAAATTGCGTTCATGGTTTCCAAAAATCTCAAAGAGCGAGAACTTGCCTGTTGTATCAAGATTTGATCATTCTGGATGGCGGTTATCTTGATTTGGTCAGGGAGCGAGATTGCTATAGAGCTATCATCCTGCGAGACAGACACAGTGGCAAACCCAATTTGAGAAACAGTACATGTCTCTGGTTTAGGCCATTCTTCTCCATCCATTAATCGCTTGAATTCTGCAAGCATGTCACACGTGTAACTCGACTCCATACGAGTCCCATCAGCAAAAGTGACGATAGAAGTGTTTCCTTCAAATGTAGTAGTGACCAAATCCTCTCTTGTAGCCGTTATTTGAGACTTATGCAAATCACGATGAGATTCACGTGCTATTCTCAGTTTCTCTGGAAGACTTGTAACTGAGCCGTCTGCTTCAAAACGAGAACGTTGGCCTGTAAATCCAGTATGAGAAGTTACCCCGCCTTGCAGGGTGCAGATAGCACCAGACGGAAAGTATGTTGTCGAGCTACCATCTGCGTAAATACACATAACAGAGCCCTGTATATGATATCTGATTAAGCATATGTGACGCAAGCATGAATTACATCAAAACCTCTTACGTCAGAATTCAACGTTCGCCGCAGTTCTTCCGAGACCTTGTCTTGAATGCTTAGGGTCATCTTGTTCTTTTTCTGGATACTTGGAACTGACTGTGATATTGCAACTCCTGCCTTGACTACCACACATTTCCCATCAGCAGATATTGCAGTTGCGCAGATGGTTCCACTATCAGTGGAAACGGATATGTTTACGGTTCCAATGGCCAATTTCAGAGCAGGAGAAGACGTTCGTAAACCATCAAGTACAATGTGAATGCCACACCAGTCCACATGATTGCGCTCATCTGACATATGAACGGCGTGAGTGTGTGGAGTAATGAATGTGCGACAGAAATAGAACCTACCAGAGGCTGGAGTACCCTCACTTCCGACTGGAACTGCGACATGAAGGCCGTCAGATGTGTAATAGTGGTCGATAAGCTGTTTGTGTCGGATGGCGAGACCATTGGCTTGGTATATCGGTTTCTTGATAAGCAAGACATCGTTCAAGGTACCGTTCCTATACATCTGGTAGAATTTTCCGAATCCTATCTTGGTTGGTACGACTGTCTCTCGAATCTGCCGATCCATTCGTATGTTTACTTTTTCTGAATGAGAGACAGAGGCCAACAGACTCCCATAAAATGGAGTAACTGTGGAATGATGCAGGTAAAGCCTGGCAGAGTCCAGCACTTGTACTGTAGCTCGTTCATCCAATCTTTCAGTCCAGCAATATGAGTCCAAGCTGTTTGATTCCAGACCTAGAATGGTTTCGAATTCCGTTCTCCATCGTTTAAGTGACATGCTGCTAGATCCTATAACGCCCGTAGTCTTGCGGAATTCTTCTGACTCTAGCACGGCAGCTTTCTCGTCGTCCGCCTTCCATTGCAACGATTTTACGGCTTGCTGAAGCTTTTTCGACAAAGTGATGGATGCGGGGTCGACTAGTCCATTATCTGAAGACCTGGACACTACAGCGGATGGAGCGAAGGACATTTTTGCTACTCTATCGGCCAGATGCTGATGGAGACGACGTACGACATCGCCACTCTTGTCAATCTCAACAGCATCTTGTTCCTCCAGTGGTGCTACTTCGGCGACCATTGCAGATACGACAGATGCGAGGTCCTGTCCAGTTCCCGATAATGGGCGCTTGTTTACAGATTTAATTTTCGGAATTTCAATCGTGGCAACCTTGAATGCATTTTCGAAAGCCTTGCGTTGGGCCAAAATTGTGTAGATTTCTCGTGCCATAGTATTAAAAGCATCTAAACTGTCTTTTGCGTCGGAAATCTTAACTTGACAAATAGCAGTGTCTGCCCACTTTGGATTGGCTTCAGGTGATGCGGACAGTTGCATCACTTCGTTTAACAAGGCGTGCTTGACATTGGCTAGATTGGTTGCTGGTTTCGGTAGGCCTCCCATTGACGCTGGCATTCCATCCAGGATAACTAGAGCGTCCACTTTTTGGATGTTATCACGAGCGAATAGCTTAATCGTTTCAGGTCGAAGTTTTCGCTGTAGAGAAATTGAATTCAGTAAATGTTGGAGAGTAGATCAACATTAACCTTACCAATAATATGTAACAATCGGGTCCGTCACTGGGCTCATCCGCTGAGGAAAGATTCGTTAGATTTGAGCCTGAACAAAAGGTGCTTCAACCAAATACCTATGGCAGAGCTTTTGGCACCAGCCCTTCCAGCTTTACGATCTCGTAATTTGTTGCCTCTCTTGGATGCATCCTTTGAAGGTGATGCGGTAGGTGGCCTAGAAGATTCCTTTACAGGAGCACCTGAAGAGATGCCAAGAATGAACTTGGCCAAACTTTTCAAATGAGTGGTGTAATATCGAAGTACCAACCTTTTGGATCGAGCTTTTTTCCTCCTTTCGGATCAGCTGCAGGAGTTGCAGCAGGCATTAAAGCGGTTGTTACAGCAGGATCTTCAGCCTAGGTGCAAGCACACTTTTGAGTAAGTTCTCAATAATGGTTGTCAGAGTGCAAACAAGAGTACCTTTGCGTTTCTGGCAGCTGAAGTTTCTTCAATAACCCGTTGAATATATGACTTGAGTGCTTTCGCACATAGATCATCATTGTTGACATCAAATGTTTTTGACGATTCTTGACCGTGAGCAACCACATCTTCCGCTTCAACTACCGTAAACCTCTGTCTGCCAGTGCTAAAAACATCGAACAATGGATCATAGGCTGTAGAATTCTCTGGAGCAACGTCGTTGTCTGAAGTTGGCACCGCGACTACAACAGCAAGGAAAACCGAGAGAGCCTGAATTGAAAAGAAGGTCACTTTAGACACTTGTCGACTGCTCCAAATGCGACGATCACTTTACTTCTGAAGCCGCCATGTCCGTAGTGAAAGTCTGGTTCAATGCAGAAACACGAAACATCAGAGTATTCGGTAATCGACTACGCGAAATTGATAAATGACAACTGGAATTAGCTTTGGAATCTATTGATACATATTTGCATCTACCGCCTGTTCCTCTATTACTGTGCTGGCGATTGATGATGCTGAGTTTCAAAAAAATCACGTTTGCCAAATAGGCCTCCATCATCCCGTCAAAACAACCCTGGTAACTGTCAACGCCTAGGTTTCTCACCAAACAACATGGCACTATACAAGTTGGCCTATACCCATTCAGATAAGTCCATTGCTGATTCGCTCTATGTTTTGTAACTTGCCGCCAATGATCTAACCATCCCTGTTCAACGTCTAATAGGTCCAGCACATCTCCGATGGATCTGATACATTGTCTGTCAGTCTATCAGACAACCTATAAATGGCCTGTTGGGGCTCAAGTCATCTATGCTCGCTCCCACTGGGCCAATTATCCCTTCAAGGGGCACATGAGACAATTAACTACTCTTGAATGGTGAGAAAGGGGATGCCTCATCCCCGGGGGCCCTTGAAGCTCACCTTGCAGGACTAGGGTGGGGTGAATGCTGGGTGGTGGAGGAATTGGCTTACAAGCCTGCTGCTTTGATCTGGCAGGTATGCATTGTTGCAACAGGCTTCTATGTGATTTGCATATTAAGTTCTCTAACATTTGCTGCGTTTACTAGATATTGATGGGTGAAATCTGACTGTGCTTCATGCGCGGACGGAGGACGCTTTTTGGTAGCTGTTGAGGAGGAGGAGTGGACTTATATCATCACCAAAAGCTGTGCGTGGCGCTGGCTGTTCACACGCTTATACATTTCCAGGACGAGGTATTTGCTCATGTCGTTTTCAACTGCACGATCTAACCACTCCACCTCCACTAGGTATCTTCCTCTCTCGAAGATCAAGACTTTCTCCTGTAAGGATCCTTCTTCTTTCCCTCTTTTATAGCGCCTCCTGGCTTCCGCTAGGCCTATGTATATATATGATCCATTTCGGTGGTGAGAAAAGCGGAAACCCAACCCCTCTGTATCGGGGAGACTTGCTTGGATGGCCCCAGCAGTCGGTAAAAGATACAGGTCGTGACGTCGTATTTGGAAATAGGTCGTCCCTTGTCAGTCTTTCTTTCCTGTTAGGGTGTCTATGGGTGACTCCTTCTAGTGACGTGCCTCTTAAATCATATTGTATTGCGGAATTGCATGGCTGTTGTATGCTGAAATGAATTCGACTCCTTCTACATACATCAGTTGCTGGTCGCAAGTGTTATGAGCAAAAATTATTCGATTTATGGCCACTCCCTCGTTTTGCCATGAGAACACATCTCCCATTCCTTTACACCCAATAAGGAGTTCATGACAGTATTTATAAACTGATCAGGTCGATTTTCTTATTTCAGTTGCAATTCTATTTCATCACTATGACACACCTCTCAAACTACTTTTTAACTATTCTCGAACTCCTCTGAGACTTATCAACAGACGCACTATTCGATACAAAACTTAAATTGCCCACTTGTCTTCTAGCATGCGGGAACTCTTCATCGAAATCCGGCGCAACAAAAGTGGCAATTGTGACAGCAGGACTAGACACAATATCATCTTCATCTTCCGGACGCCATCCACCGTGCCTTTCACCCTTCATAACAAGCGGCATCAGCTCTTCAGTTTGCATCAACCGTTCCAATTGTTGCTTGAGCAATCGACTAGCTTCATCAAAGGAATGATCACGGGCACGGCATATGGATATCCTATCAGCTTGCCGAACTTCAGATTGGTATCCAACTACACATAGTGTAGATTCCAGTGATTCTCGTTTGGTTTTCTCGTATTCGCATTCAAGACGGAGCTGCTGGAGTTTGGCCTCACAGCGTTGACGGCCGTGGATTTCGGATTTGAGGTCGACTCGCGCTACTTCCAACGATGCCTTGACACGATCCATTTCAATACGGTGTGGTTCGAATTGGTCTATTGCTTGGCGGCCCTCCGTACGAGCATGGTGTAAATCCTTGGTGAGGTTGAAGATGAGGGCTTCTTTTTCTCGAATGGTGGATGCGGATTCCTTTTCGACATTGCCGAGATGGGCTGAGAGTTCACGGCATTTGATTTGGATTGAGTCGAGATGTCGTCTCATGTCTTCTTGTTCTCGTTGCAGGCCAGCGTGCAAGTCATTCAGTTTGGCATGTTGGGATTCTAAATCTGCCAGTGTTTGCTTCAAATCAGCACATTCTTGATTCCTGGCAGCTAGTTCGGCAGTAGTGGCCGCATGATCGGCTCGTAAATGGGATTCCGTATCATTCAATCCGTAATGAGCCTCCAGTAGTGAATTGTGCTGTTGCTGCAAGGCCATATGAGCCTGTGTAGACATCAACAGCTCCTTCTTGAGAGCTGTAATCGTATCTTCACATTCGGCCTTAAATCTGGCATACTCGTTCTCTAATTCCACAATTGTTTCTGCTCGTCTGTCTAACTCAGCCTGCATATCAACCTTATTATGCTCCAGAGCTTCGATATTAGCAGCCATTTCTTCCATCTTCTTCTTCATCTCGTCTATTCTGTCTTCGAGCTTGAGTCGTTGCTCGTCAGCAGCTCGTCGTCCCTTGTTGACATCAAACTTGAGAGACTTGACTTCGGCTGTTTCGTGCTCTAAACCATTCATCAAGTCTGTACATTGACTCATCAAAGACTCGTTCTTGTCCTTGAGTTGTCGAAGAACTCGAGAGTCTTCAGCACTCTTGAACTGTAGTTCTCGGATAGTGGAATCTCGGGAAGACACATCGGCCGCTAATCTACCTATATCTTCTCCACTGGTACGTTCTAACGTCTCCTTGGCTCTGGTGACGTGATCGAGATTTTGTTTCAGTTTTTTGCATTCAGCACGCAACTGTGTTGCTTCGGTATCTAGTGTCTGTCTGGCTTTCGTCATGACGTCGAGGCTGGTGGTGAGGTCTTCTATTTGGCTGGTGAGGGATGTCTTGGTTGTAGCTTGTAGTTGTGTCATGAGAGTTAACTCTCGATCCAGCTTGACATTTAACGATGTCGAAGAATCCAAATCCGATTTCAGTTTCTTCATTTCTGCAGATGCCTTGATACACTCTGCGTTTAATCGATCACATTCTCTATCGGCTCCAGTTCTGGCATTACCCATTCGATCAAATTGGCGTTGCATTTCTGCCAATTCAAACTCCAAATCTCGGACTCGGGTTTTACATTCTATAGCTTCGGATTGGGCTTTCTCGTAGTCCTGAGACATTCGTTCTAAACCTTGCTGTAGTAATTCGTTTCGTTTGGCGACAACTTCACCACCTCGGTCCACTAGCTCTTGCAATTTAACTATAGATTCGTTCATGGCCAATGTTTCCTTGAATGAAGCATGCAGCCGTACTTTGAAATCGTCTCGGGCTAATTCAACTTCCCGTATTCTGCCATCTTTGGAGTGGATGACTTGCTGCAATTCCTCCATTTGGGCTAGCACCTGTCGAGTAGAAAGATGTCAATTAAGTGCTCTACTAGGACTCCATTCGCCGATAGCACACTATTATACATACTTTACGACGCTCTTCTTCAGCACTAACGAGAAACGCCATCAGAGACGATATTTCAGCCTTCAGCAGCCTCACATCCCGTTGCAACCTAGAGCTCTCCTGTTGCTGCCACTCTTCGGCATACACATAAAACCTCATACTCTTTCCTAAAGCATGCCGTAGCTTGTCTGCATTATCTCGTTCATACCGTTCCGCCCTGTCCTTGTCAAACAGCTTCTCTCTCAGCATGCGAATCTCACGATCCCTCGCGGCCAATTGCCTTTTATACAGTATGCCCGAGAACATTGGCATGGAACCATTGCCTATATACATATTTGATGGGTCTTCCCGTTCTGCATCTTTACGAGCTTCCAGCCACGCATATCGTTCTCTGGCAACTTTGGTAGCTGGATCCTCCCATAATGGTGGTTTGTTGGTTTTTAACGTTGGATCGGGGACTACTTCGAAATATGGTGGTGGTTGCAATTGAGTTGCGTCCGCTACTTCGTCGATCTGGTGAATGGATTCGATGGTTGGTATTACGGATTCAGACTCGGCCAGGCCAGTCCGACGAGACAGGCAATGTTCGAATGCAGATGTGAGGGCGTTACGACACTGTATACATATTCCATCTACTAGTTCGTGTTCTTGATGTTGAGTGTGATTATTAGTTGATGATGGTGCTAATATGGGAGGTAGAGGAGGATTGTTTGTGACAAAGTTCCTATTGAAGTAAAGAATTCGTTTTAAATTCATCATAAAAGAGTAGAAGTTCAAGCACTCATTAAGAGAGTTCAAAAAATCCCCCAGAAAATGGAGAAAAGAATAAGTAAATACCAAGAGTGATCGCGTCGATGATTATTTCTTTGAAGCTCAGCTGCAGGTGCAGCAGGGGACTCATAAGCTGCCGCTTCCATTCAGCTTTATGATTGTTTGAGCTTTTGTGTTTTCTGCGGAAATTTGATCCGTATTCTGAATAACACAGGGTGGATGATGGAATAGTAGATCCCTACCTCTTAAAATCGATTGAAATATGAGCTGTGTATTACTATTTTTGTTGTGAGAAATGCTCTCAATATTGGATTGTCACGTAGACATGTCCAGCAGAAGTGCTACGTTGGAAGATCTCTGCACTAGCGATTGGCCGAGTGCTCTTCTCGTACCATCACGAATGATCTTGTGTATATTTTCCTATAGGACTTGAGCTTGTCGAGAAAAGCAAGTTGTTTGAACACCACTCCACTCTCATGACGCAAACGAGAAGCTTTGGCTTTCGACACCTTGTTTCACAACAAGAATGCTAAAGATGGACTCGCTACTATCGTTTCTGGCTCTTTGTCTAGTTTCGCTTGCTTTGGTTGTCCACTCTCATGCTAATGGTCGTTTGCCAAAGTCTTTTGGATTGCAAAGTGCTTCAAGTGTGTCTGAAACATTCCAACCAACATCATAGCTCACTCTTTCTAATGTCTTAATTGTAGATACTGGAGCAGGAAACGCACTTTACAACTCTTCTATATCATTGGACGATGCTATAGACGACCTGCTACGACTCATTGGTGAAGCATCCATGAAACCAACATCCTCAATATGGGCCACTACCGAAAAGGATTCTATAGTTAAAGAAATGGCAACAAAGTCACCATGTTATCATTCAGCTGCTGAGCAGGTGCTGAAAACTGGGTGTAGAACGCTCGAGACAAATGCTTGGATGCAGGCTTCGTGTACGAGGATATGCTGTTTTGTTGTTAACCTTCATTTAAGTACTCATCACTTTATAATAATAGTTGCCATTGAACTGGCCAGATGTGAACTGGAAATGGCAAACATTTCTCTTCCAACAGCATGCGAACCAGTTTCAGTAGCATCAGAAACAAGTGTCTCGGACTGCATGAAGGCCATAATAATTATAGGATCTGGCCAGTTTTGGACTACGTTTGACGGCTACTTTAGAAATATTTTTGTGCTCTGCTCGTCTTTGAGCGTAGATTTAGCAATAGGTACTTGGTAGTGGCTGATGTTTTGTCGCTTATTGAAGGCTAAAAGTATTCAATTTCATTAAACTACAGAGAAAATGTATACTTCCATGAGGGAGATGGGTCACTCGCAGGCCATTATGCATCATACCGTGAAGGAACAACATATGGAAGACATGAAGCGCTTGAATGTAATTGCTTCTACAACGAAGGCTGTGATTACTGGATTGAATGGTCTGAGAACTCAAAGCGACCATATCTTTGATAAGAATGCTGAGCTTCTCGTAAGTTTGTTGTTATTTTTGCAACCTTTTCATCGACTAACATTCCTCTCAATAGAAACGAGTATCTGGATTCGAAGTCCAGATGGAAACAATCGTCACCATCATGCAGTCTACACTGAAAAACATGGACTCGCTCGAAAAGTCTCAGCAAGACATTGTACTTGCTTCAGAATATCTAGGAGACAATTTGAGTGCGGCAGGTCTTGCACTTTCAAACAAGACTTCAGAGTTGACTAGTGACATTGAAGACATGAGTAATCATATCAGGAGTCTGAATGATATGATTCTGCATGTTATGGAAATGGTTGAAGCACAAGGAATAACGTTGGTGAATCAGATGGCTGTGTCTCAGGACAATTTGGTAGCATTGAACGGTTTTGTTTGGTTTATCTTCGAATCCTGATAAGGTTCTTTTTTCATGCAGGAACTGACTCAAGTTTTGAATCGGGACATTCGTGACGCTAGCTCTGAATTACAATCACTGCACGCTGAGCTTCAAGATATTACAGATGCTGTGAAGAATGTCACCGTTATCTTTACCAACATGAAAGACAATACAGTACTACTAATCGGATGGTTGGTTGATCCTGCAGGTAAAACGCTGGGACGAGTGTAGTGCTTTTTTGCGTGTTGACCCAATATCAATCTCTTCTGTTTCAACTAGGAATTTTAACTCAAGCAGCTCCAATAATGGGCTCCTCGGCCGTTCTCTATGTGGTTCGCTTCTTTATGCCTTCTGTGGGATTGGTTTATTTCATCGTTCAGGCTGCATGTGAGAATTATTTGACCGATGCAAAAAAGTTCGTAGCCATTGATCTCACGATATCTCTCAAATCTTCAAAGACGTCACGATTGTCTCCTCTATAGTCTTATACTACCTCCTACCCTTCTGGACAACTTTCTTCCCCGAACTGGCATACTTTTCAACTCGCTTCATTCTTGGTGTATTGATGGCGACAGTATGCCTAATTCTTTGGACTAGTGTACCTAAAATGAGTCGAATGGTCATAAAGAATGATCCGCATGAGGAATCACCACGCCAAGAGGAATCGACTCTGGTTGAACCGGCTGTTGAATTGTCTCCTAGACAAAGTAGACGTACCAAACAGCAGTATTTAAACAAGAACCTCATCTGATGTACAGGATTTCTCACTTATTTATACACAAGTTTTTGATGAGACCAACACGTTTCGAGTTCCAAGAACCTTTACATCTTTTCGTTTTCAACTGTGGGCAATCTTTTAATACCGACTGAACCCAAATTCTTGATTGTCTTGTTACTGCAAGGTGTAATAAGCCAAAATCCGGATATGGCATTTGAACTATGTTCATTATGGTACAGAGTAGGAGAGGCACAATACTACTTTTCTGTATCACTGCACGTATCTATAGAGCGCCTGCTACAACATCGAGGAGGCTCATGAAACCCACTTCTTTAGTAAGGTTAAACTCTGAAACAACAATTGGTTGTTGAAGTATTGGTATCAAAGTCACCTTGCTATAATGGTGCTCGCTTTAGAAGCTCTAGGAAGCATTCTCAGTGTAGCAGGTTCTGCATTGTCAAGCAAAACACTGGATATGGCTCCTGACATTGAGCTCATGAGTAATTACATCAAGAACCTCGATAATACGATCTAAAACGTTATGGAAAAGGCTGAAGCATGAGGAGTGACATTTTGGGATCACATGTCTGTTTCTCAAGACAGCATGGACCTTGGCGAACTTCATGTTTTGCTTCTCCAGACTTCAAGTTTCGAATCTTGACATCCAGACGCTACTATACCCCCACGCTGTGCTGAATGTCAGTGCTGTATTTCCCGATATGTAGGTCAGCAGTATTATTGGATGGTTTGTTGATGCAGAAGGCAAAAGCATCAGGTGCTTTTGTGCTTTTGTTTTTTTGCTGGAAGATCCTAGGGCTCAACAAAAAACACAAACGAATTCCGTTGTTCTCTACAAAAACCTCTTTAAATCCGCAATATCCACCATGTCTTACTACTATGAAGTTGTTATAAGCACACTTTTCAACAGGCTTCGTGCTGGGTGTCCCGGAAAGGCATTCGGAGTTAAAGAATGATGTCAAAGTCACCTTGCTATAATAATGCTGGCGTCAAAATCTCTAGGAGACCCCAATCTCGGTGTTATGGGTCTTGCACGGTCAATCAAGACATTTAATTTGGCTCATGGCATCAAGAATCTCTATGATACGACTCGTAAGTATGGAAATGGCTGAAGCACAAGGTGAGTCTTGGATCACATATCTGTTTCTCAGGAAAACATGTAACTTCGCCAGCAGAATCGTTTTGCTTCTTCGGACCTCAAGTCTCGAATCGTGATATCCAAGACGCCAGATCTGACGTACAATCACCCCACCCCGTGCGTCAAAATATTATTGATGTTGTGAGGAATATGACTGGGGTGTTAAAAAGCATGAAGGACAAGACTGTTACTCTTGATTGGATGGTTGGTTGACGCAGAAGGTAAAAGAGCATGAGCACGGTTTTTCATGAATTTTTGTTGGTTAACGTCGACCACTCTGTCCTTCCTTAGTAACTCTGACTCAATCAGCTCCGAAACTTGTGGCTTGTTATTCGTTCGCTATGTGGTTTCCTTCTCTGTGCCTTCTGTGGGATTGCTTCCTTTCGTGTTTCAGTCTGCAAGTAAGAAATCATATTGGTTGCAGTGCTGAAGATGATTCAGATAGTGTGGATTGACGTGTTCTTTCGAAACATTTCTTTAGAAGTCCTACCTTTCGGCACCACAGGTCTCCATAGTTTGAAGTAGGTGTATGCGTACCGTTGCACCTGCCTCCTACTGTGTGTTTTGATGGACACTAGTGATTCCTCAGACGGGCGGGCCTGACATGAGTGGAATGTTTTATGAAACCAGGAAATGGCTTTAGCTGCGTCCGTTGTCGAGTTGACACCCTGACCAACGAGACCACACAAGGGATTCAAGTCGTGTCGAAATCAGTCTGGCACTTTAAATTTTACACGACTCTCTAACAAGAACACGTCTCATATCAAAATAACCATCATTTATTCATTTTCAACTATTGGGTCCTTTACACCTTCTTCGAATCCCAGTTGTTTTTACATATTGTTACCACCCTCAAACACATGAAACTACCTTGCCAAGCAAACTACATCTTGGACTTTGGATCCTCATCAACACGGTCAGGATATATGAATTCACCCCTGAGATTGAAGAATGCGTCAAAATTTCTAAGCTCTTCAAAGGACAAGCACACCCACAAATATATACTCACGAGTCAGAAATCTTATTCAACGGATGTCTTCCATCCACATGCCCAATATTCGGGGGATGAATACTATATCCAAGCAGGGATTGCAGTCGCTTGCTAAACCCTTTGATGTATTTCGGATGGACCGACAAGAACTGGTTTTCAAGCGGTCGGATGAATGGCTGGCAGTACTAAAGGAGTACAAATCGAGTGAGTCTCGTCGCAACAAAACGAGTCTCTAGAGAATGATTCATACTTGAGCAGTTACAGCCAACCTCTGTTTGTCTTTTGAGATGTTGGGTCCACCTCCGTGCCATATCGTCCCGAAACTAAAGTGCAAGAGGATATTAGTCCCATTGAATTGAATTCTAATGATGGAATAATGAACTTACTAGACAATAACACTCCCAGATTTCATGACGGCACGATCAGGAACGTCTGTGTCCTCCGGGAGACGATCACCCCATTTATGCGAGCCCTTATATACCACTGTCGCCCCATTCTCGATTTCGAAGTCGTCGATTGCAAAGATACTCGTCATGGAAAATGGGTCGTGCTAATGCGCAACAAATCTGAATAAGCTAGACGATTTTTTTTGCCTCTTCACGTTCAAGCAAGATACTTACTGGCCTTGCAACTCTGACTTGCGAGTCATCAGTATGAATCGGCTGTGGTGTCTCTGTAATGTAAAGCTACCAGTCAACAAAAAAACATATATGTGATGGTCTCAACCGATCAAACTCTCAAATCACTATACCTCCAGGATAAATCTCAATAGACTGATACAATTGCAACAAGAAATTGGGCAGCAATGTACGTTCAACGAGTTTCAACACTCTGGGGTGCTGAACCATGCCTTCGAATGCACGGTGCTTTCCCAAGAGTCCATGGATCCGTATAGTCTTTTCACCCTCAAAGTTGTTTCGCCCAAAGTTCTGCTTGCAGGCTTGTAAGGCTGCTCGAACCTTGGCTACTTCGGCTTGTGATAGAGCGTTTGGGATTACTAAATGTTGAGGTGTGGTGTCAAATTCCAAAAAACAATCAATATTAGACGCAGCAAGTTTTTCAGCTTACTTATGTAACCATCGCGTTTCAGGACTTCCATATCCTTAACAGTTTGATCGTCCATTGGTGGAAGCGACACTATTTGGAAGTATGAGTCAGAATTGTTGATGTTGCAATCACTTTGTGTCGAAGGGCAAACAAACAGCCCAAATAGGTAGATACGATTGCTCACATAGTGTATCAGCTTCATAGTTCTTGATTACTTTGACTTCATTCAAGTAGCTGTGTTGACGAATGAATGTCAGGATGTAGATCGTGGAGAATTCAAAACCACACACAATCAGCAATAACACGACAGCTTACTCCTTGATATAGGCTCTTTGGGTGTTTGGGTCAATGTGCTCCTTAGACATGACTATGGCAGATATACGCTAATTGACGAGAAATCAGTGTTGCATCACCGAGTTTCACAGAACCAGTGACCAGACGTTTAAATGCCCACTTTTTTGGTAATGCAGGAACTCTAGAATGAAGTTAAAATCTAAACGCTTTCAAGTGTTTTGCTGGTAATTTCGGTGTTGATAGTCTCGTGTCAAATGAAACAAAGTTGAGCATCATAAGTTTCGTATTGAAGCGATTGGTTTAACGAGTCAAGCTACTGCACGATAAATGTGATTTTACGCGTCAAGATACAGGATATGAGAATTCTTTAGATCAAATGTGTCTATGGTAGTGTAGGAATGATCTGCTGTCTAAGAAAATTGAATCTTCCCACAATATTCAAACTTTTAGCGGTCGCTGACAGTAGATCATCACTCCAATACCTACTATATCACAGTCCACGCAATCTCAGCTCTTTCAAGCCTCAACCTTACCTCCTTCTTATCGGCATCCCAACTCAACAAAATCTGCACAAATCGATGACTTTAGGGCGAATCCAATGACAGCCGATATTAGTCCATCGAGTGACAAGCCTCTAGTCGAGGAGAGTCACGAGGCAGATCTCCTATCTCTGCCAACAGAGCTAATCGCACACATTTTCAGCTTTGTCACCCACAAGAAGGACTTGTATCAGTTAGCTCTCGCTTGTAATGGAAAGCTACATGAACTGGTGCTGGACTGCATATGGGAAGCTCCATGGGCCAGGTAAGTCCTTCAGCTGCTCGTTGACTTCAAGTGTAATCAGGTGGTTAATCATTCATCAAAAATTGTCGACATAGATCATTTTCAAGTTGGACGTCGATAGTAAAGGCTTTAAGTCGGACCTGTCTGGCCAGTAGAGTAAAGGTACTTGATCTGTCGTACCTCTATTATATTGTGAACGATTCCATCATGGTATGTTTCATATTCGCTACAGCAACAACAGCCTCCAACAGCCATGCATTTGTTATGGACCGACTAGCAGCAGGACATCATTCCATCACAATCAGCAGCTGCTCATCCCCCCGTTTCCGTATCCTTACTCACAACACACATCTCATAGCACGAAATATGTAAAGCAACACCCCATTTGCACACTCTGAAACTGGCCCGACCCAAACAGTTCACCAATAACGCGCTGAACTTTATTCTTACCGCCTGCCCCGAGATGAAGTCACTGTCACTCGAAGGATGTACTAAGATAACCCACACATCGCTAAAGAATCTGAATGTAGCATCTCAGCTATCTACACTGTCACTGGCACATGGGCCCCGAGTAACGGACGAGACTCTGCAGCAATTAGGTGAATGTGGCCAGCTCCAGCATTTAAACTTGAGTGGGTGTGATATCTCGGACGCAGGACTCTTGTGTCTATGTAAACTGGCCAAGCTAAGAACGTTTGAGATACGTTCATGTCCGCTGCTGACTGATACGGGACTGTCGGAATACATTGCCAACGCAGAGAGTAGTGTGTCACTAAAAGTCTTGAACTTGGGCAAGGTAATTGGATTACGTGATGGAGCCCTGATGTCTATATCTCAGCACTGTAAATCCTTAAAGACATTGGATTTGGAAGGGTGTTTGATGGTATCCGATGTTGGAGTACGTGCTGTCGTCGAATCGTGTCCTAAACTGACACTGATGTGGATTGATGACGTGTATAACGTGAATGTTGGACGGTGGTTTCTGGATCGGTTAGCAGCTGAAAAGCCCGAGCTGATGCTCATGAGGACATCAACTCTAATGGAGCTTGGATCAGGCGGATGAGACGTGTTTGTAGAGATTGGGAGGAATACCATGGTCTATAGATTTCAATAATATAAATAATAATATGGTTTGTCACGTAAAATACTAAAATATAATAGAATCTCATGATAGAAAGCACCAGAAAGCAAATAGAAAGCGTGTACTGTTTTGGATCGTGACTGAACTTTGAATTTCAAATTTTCGAGCAGCTGCAAGCACATACCACGACAACAAGCAGCTACATACAATGGCTCGTATAGTGACGCCATCGAATCAAGTCAAGCTGACGAACGTCTCGATAGTCCGTCTCAAGAAGGGAGGCAAGAGGTTTGAAATTGCTTGCTACAAGAACAAGGTCTTGGAATGGAGGAATAACGTGTGAGTTTGTGGTTAAAGATTGTAGCCCTGTGTTTGAAACCAGATAAAAATGCATTTACCGTCCTTCTCTACTTTCGCTTTATGCTAATCTGCACACTCACAACCGACATCAAATTACAGCGAAACTGATTTGGACGAAGTGCTGCAAGCCGAACAAGTATTCATGAATGTCTCCAAGGGCCAAGTAGCAAACAAGGAGGATTTACAGGCTGCATTCAAAACTGACGAGATCAGGACTATTGTGCTCGAAGTACGTATCCTGTCGACATGTTGTAAAGTGCAGCAAAAACATAGGTATGCCTTGGTTGAGAATTCACATATACTGACTATAATTCACTTCTAGATTCTCAAAAAGGGAGAACTACAAGTCGGCGACAAGGAACGCTCCAACCAACTGGAAACACTGCACAAGGATATAGCCCAAACAGTGGCAGACAAGTGTGTCAATCCAGACACAAAGCGACCATATCCTATAACCATGATTGAAAAGTGTATGGCTGATCTACACTTTTCGGTGCATCCTAATCGGAGTGCGAAACAGCAGGTATGCGGGAACGAAAATACTCTAGTCGCGCAGGTCCAAATGAGGTTAACACTCGTTTTCGACTGTTAGGCATTAGAAGTAATCAAACAATTACAGGAAGCCAAAACAATACCCATCGCACGAGCACAAATGCGATTGAGATTGCTTGTGCCTGGCAAAGATGGGAAACGAGTTAAGGATAAATTGGCTGGGTTGATTGCTAGCATCGAGGATGAAGACTGGGGTGATGAATATGAACTGGTAGGTGAAAAGCAAATTGCGTGAGTATCTTATAGTTTATGGTCGTAATTCTGACTGGTTTTTTTTTTTGCTTGTACAGATATGTTTGATTGACCCAGGCCAATTCAGGGCTATTACAGAAACGCTACAATCTGAAACTAAAGGTCGTGGAACCATGGAAGTGTTGAGTTTACGAGAGGCTGAAGGAGGGGATGAGAGGTTAGAGTAGAGTAGAGCGAAGAACGAGTGCTTTTGGAAAGGTTGACCTCTTCAGGTTTTCTGTCTTCTGTTCTGAGATTTTGAACAGCTACAAATGTGTATATATCATAGCATACATGAAAATGAACGATTCTTCAAGACGCAGAACCAAAGGTGGACTTGAGAACGACTTTATTTAGGCCCAATGTTGTCTTTATATTAGTTCACAGTTTTGATCCCATTATTATTCAAACTGACGGAGCTTCTTCGAGGAGACTTCTTCCTTCTCCATCAGTCAGTTTAAAAGTGACTGCTTTATCACTGGTCACGAATGCCTCTAGTTTACAGGTACGAAGTTCGTGTCCGTCATGATCTAGAATCCTCAACGTTACAGAACCTGGTACCTATAATTATTTTAATTTTGTTTAAGGTGATGTTAGAAATTGACCTGAATTCAATATACACTCATTTTTTTGCAACTTGCGATTTACCTGCTGAATAGTCTCACCACGTCCCATGGCAGGCTTGACACTAAAAGCCAATTCAGCACGCTGAGGCTGGAGCCGTGAGGTATCCGATGATGCGCCTGGACGGCTGTCATCGACATCGGGTGACCTCGGAGTAGGATATGGATCCAATGTTCTGGTTTTTGGTGGTGCTGTCTCCACACTTGCTTCCTTTTCAGAGGAAACAGGAGATCTAAACGGATTGCCTTGGCTGTCGTCCTCGCCACTTTTAGCAGGGGACGGAGCGTTGTCTGGTCGCGTTGCTGCTCCGCTGGTACTAAACAATTTTCTATTTACCGGTGGCACTTCCTTTGAAGGAGAAGAAGTAGGAGATCCAGTTAATGGCAAACTTCCTGCTGATGAAGGTGATTTCACTTGAGTAGGCGTTCCTGCAACGGACGATCCTGATGGTGATGAGTTCTCCGATCGTGTTGATTTTCCTGTAGACGATGATCCAGATCGTGGAGAGCTTTCTGTTGTAGCTACCGCTGTTCCTAATCGAGGTGGAGTTGCAAATGTAGTGATGGTGGGTGCTGATGGAGTCCTTGTTGGTCTTCTATCAGTGTCGTCTTCATCTGAAGATGAAGTCGGTGCAAGGAGTCCATCCGTGAGCCTACCTGTTCAAATGAACAAAATTCTGTTGGCTTGTGCATTTCTTGAGATGTTGGAGGCCACCAGTCACCTGGGTGCTTGTCATCCATATGTCTTATGAATGCCGATAATTTCCCTAATCGAAAAGTTGAATCAGCACGTTGAAAAGTACTTGGAAACAATGGAGCTTTAGTAAAACATGAATGCCTTACATCCAACTACAGTACATCCAGGGTTCCTGGCTTGGAAAGGCCCAGAAAAGTGCAGATAATCAATCTTGAGATCCCGATTCGCAAAATAATGGTCACAATATACGCATTTGGCTACAATGCGATAATCGTCCCCTCGCCATTCTGGGACTTTGCCATTCCAGTACGGGTGTCGTTCAAAGTGGTCTTCGAGTCCCCTGCCAATCCTGTGACATGCGGGCAGCCCAGGAGGGTCATGAAGAGGCTCCATTTTGTGTTGGTATTGCGATAAGTTGAAAGTTGAAGTGCTTTGAATCGGAGTTTGGAACGTGGCTGGTTCCCAAGGTCGTACCAAATGTTGGGCTGCAGCTAACAGCGGGGATGAGGAAGGGGGACGCGTTTTGATGGTTATAGTAGTACTGTAATTTGCAGTTGTGCTTTCTTCTTTTCAGTTCAATAAAAAACAAGAATGAGTTTCCAGGATCAAAACTCACACAAGTATCAGCAAAGCAGTGGAAACGGTTTAATCGTTGGGATGCTGCATTACATATTCTTGGAGGCGGAAACTACGACACTTCAACCACGTTGTTCTCGTTCAACGAAATCACGTTGAAGAACGTCCCAAAGCTTGAAAGTCCAGGTCTGTTCCATTCTGGTCCACATAGTATTCTAGCTGTTGGTAAAATCCATAGTAGTTACAGTCCAGAAAAGTGCCAAACTAGTGCCCAAACAAATAGATTCATTGGAAGCATCGCTACATCGTAACCCAGCTTCTAGAGCAACCAGTCGAGACAGATATCGAGCCAAGTCGGCAGCTCAATGTATTTCTCATTGAGGTGCTGATGCAGATAACTCCTTGCTCTGGTGCTTTCTGAGATTCGTTCGTGAAAGAATTACCAACCCCAACAGTCCAACGATCTTCACTGATGAAGACCTGCTTCACGTCAAAATACAGGTCTAACGGTAGCAGATTCACCATGTTTTCACAACTTGGTTCATTTCCGTTGCCTCACCATGCAACATGGAAAATCTGATATTGTTTCCAAAACAGCCTACACTTTGTCCAATAAATGAAGACGGAACACGTATCAAAGGGCAACCTTTCGACTGCTGACTAATTCCAGCAATACCTCCGGTACCCGAAGAGCTTCGCTCTGCCTCGCCAAAGATCAGAAAAGCAATGCTCATGTCTTTCTGAAGTGGCCCATTGGCCCAGCGGGCGAGGCTTTCCTTGTCCAGATAGACATATTTCAAAGAAGGAAGAAGATGCCATAGAAGGGGAGGCCCTGATCCTCGCGAGACCTGTTAGACGTAATTGGTGAGAGTTATATCAAAAGCCGCAAGTTACGACAGCGGGAGAAACAGAGGAGGTTGACTTTAGTATGCATGGATCCGTGCTGTACAGTGTCCTAGCAAAATACAACGTCTTAGCAAAATACAGAACATCAGGCTGTTGCTTGTTGATGTTCTGATTTTGGATCATTGGCCCGTTGGAAGTAGGCATTGCGTGATAGAGAGAGAAGGGCATTGTAGTAGGCGGTCCATTTGGAAGGGTCCTGATACTTGGGAGAGACGAGAGACCTAAGAGATTGGATGCATGGTTTGTTATATCTAAAGGGCAAGTTGCGAAAAGTGCGAAAATCAGGAAGTGGCCTACCAGGTCAACTTCCGTAGGCATGCATCCATGATATAGAGTGTTCTACCTGCCGTATGCTAAGCTCCACACGCCCCTGAACTTGATAATTGTGTGTCTGATCAAGTATCTCATAATATCGCCCGACAAATGTCCAAGTAATGAGTGGAATGGACACTTCTATATGGTTAAATATACAAGTATAGAGGGAATAGTGACCAAGCGAGTTCTAAATTATTGCATCTTTGACTTGAAGAATCTATTTGAACAGAAGCTAGTGTTAGCACAAAGCTCAGTGCTGCATTGTCCATCTCGATAGCAAAAAAAGCGAGCTTTACGACAAGTTGATTCCCACACAGACTTACGTGTAAGACAATGTAATACTACTAACATCCTTCATCCACGGATCATTAACAAACTCTGGATCAATATAGAAAAACACTGGCATATCAACCTCTTCCCCGGCAGCCAATTTCTGCTCCTCAAAGCAAAAGCACTGTATCTTGTTAAAGTACTGAGCCGCTTTCGGCGGTACGACCGAGTACGTGCTAATCCCTACAATATCTTCATTGGTCGGGTTCTTGGCCGTGAAGAATGTCAATGCCGTTTCACCAGGCACGATCGTTATAGATTTAACTATTGGTTTAAAATTCCATCTCATGGCATCTGATGTTGACGAGTCGAATGTGACACGGATGGGACGTGCGTTGGCGACAGGGACCATGGATTCAGGCTCGAATTTATGGCCAGCGGAAGTTAGTGGTGTGCCGTCTAGTCCTGTTTGGGTGCAGATGAGCTTGTAAAGGGGGACTGCTGCGTATGCGAGGCCGACGAATACGACGATTACGGAGGCCGAGTAGTAGACTACTGTTTCTATTCCTTCGGCGTTGGCTTGGCGTGATGCGTTCTGGTATCTGTTGTTGTTGTTTGACTGGCTATGTTGATGTGTTGATGCCTGGTTGAGGTTTGGCTGGTTTGGTTGGGGAGATGCTCGTGGTATCGTGCCGGTGAATGGACGGGATGGGATCCGTATTGGCTGTATACATCCTCGGCTGGGTATCGATCGAATTTCCTTCATGAGCTAGATTCACGGTGAGCGAAAAAGGGTGCAAAGAGTCAGACTCGAAAGGTACAGTTGAGCACTGTAGCTATGTAACTAACCTGTCTGATACATGTCCGGCCTACATTCATCGCGGCCATCTCGTTAGTCTTGTTACTGTGTGTCTTGAACTTTCAAACCCATAAAGCTTCCCTAGTTTGAAGTACAACTCGTGTAATTCCTTTGTTCGATCACGCTCAATTTCTTCACTCATTATTTCGTATTCTTGTGAATGAGACGCAATGACGCGAAAAACACACACGTAAATCCCAAAATAACCTCTATTATTCAAAACATCAACTCCCTCCAAAGCTCTACTCTGGCTTCCTGTAATACCTCTGAGGCACAAACGGCATCTTGGTAACAACTGCCTTTTGCATCCTGCCACGGACTTCAACACGTAATTCGGTTCCAATCTTTTGATTGCCAGCCTTCACCAGACCCATAGCAATATTCTTCTTGAGAACTGGTGACGGACATCCACTAGTCACTGCTCCGATTTGAGCTCCTGATATGTCCAAAATTGGTGCACCCTCTAATAGGCGATGAAGATGAGGTTGAGTGAAAAGCTTCACTTAAAACGTAGTGTTTTTTCTGTCGACCTCAAGAAGTCGAGTACTTGCCTCGAGCAGGAGCGCCATCAACAATCATTCCAATTCGTCTCCTTGGTGCTAGTTTGGCATCTGCGACTTGTGGTAGGATCTTGTCTGCTCCTATAAATCCACCTTCCTTTCTTCGTCGTTGTCCTAAGGCAATTCTAGTGTTATTACAAGCATGCTCATAAGCCCCAAATGACATACCAATAGTCCAAGTCAAAGCACCCTCAACAGGACTAACTTGCTCATTCAAATCATGTCCATATAAACACAACCCAGCTTCTAATCGTAAACTATCACGAGGACCTAGACCAGCCAATTCCACATCTGCGTTCTTCATCAGGATTTCACATAGAGCTGTTACGTCTGTGCTCTTGACTGAAATCTGGTAATTGGAATTGTTGTTTTGTTGCATAAGTTTTGTGTCAGCAGAAAAAAAGCTAAAACGGCCATCAGCAGATATTCACCTCGAATCCGTCTTCTCCAGTATACCCACATCGTGAGGTATAAGTTGGAATACCACTAATCTCCATGAATCGACTCGTCATGAATCCCATAGTAGTCAAGTCGTCGTGGACGAGTGATTTCATGACTTCTGCTGCTTTGGGACCTGTGTCAAGAAAACATGTCTGAGTATCCAACGAACAAAAAATCATTTCCTCGAGGATTGTCCACGCACCCTGAAGAGCAATCAACGAAGCACCACTCAAAACATCCACATGTACATCCCAACCTTTAGCAACAGTAGCCAGCTGCTCTGATATATGCGCCATATCCTTTTCAGCACATCCGGCATTCGAAACAACGTAAAAGGTATCCTCCGTTTGCTTGTTGATTACTGTATCGTCGATAATGCCTCCGGCTGCATTCGTAAAGAGCGACAGTGTTGAAGATGAGACGGGGAGGCCCTTCAAGTCGGCGACGACGAGATGTTCCAGGAATCTCAGACAGTCTTTTCCGCTCCATCTAGTAGAGCGAAAAAAAATCGTCAGATGGGACGAAGGATGTTAATACGATGAGCAAACCACACACACGTACTGTGTTTGTAGCATATGAGATACATCGAATATGCTAGCCTTTTCACGAGTATGTAGATGGGAAGCTAGGACGCCCATTGACTGATACTGGACTGGCATTTCCCAGCCAGCAAAAGGAACCATCTTGCCACCATTTGCGATATGGAAATCGTACAAGGCTGTACGCTTTAATGGTGCCTAGATTTAAAAATCAGATTGCATTTGTTAGTATAAATGCTGTGAATATCTTTCAAATATAACATTCTTGACAACAAGGATGAAGGATCTGACAATCACAATCAGCAAACACTTTTCAAATACTAACAGAAAACCTACAGCATCAGCAGCCGAAGCGAGACCTCTACGTGTCGCCGATTGTAGAGCGCATGCTCTAGTCACGATGCGACTTGTCAACGTTATCTGCATTGTCATCTTCGGTGTTTGAACTTTTTGCAAGTTGTGCGTCTTGCTGCTTTTGCCTACAATGCCTACATGTCAAGCAATCAAATGCAACACGTGAAGATGAGACTCGCTATGAATATCATATATACAAGACGCGATCTGGCTGTATCATCCTTACGTGTCTGTATTTTGAATCTCTTTTTCTTAAGCTGCTAAAACTTGCCAGAAAAAAAAAGTTCAGATCAAAGCTTTCTCACCACAATACAAGCAAAAAGGGATGGTTGTAGAAGATCCCGTTTCTGAACTGTTTGCTGCATGCAAATCCGCCGATACAGTTCGCTTAGCTGCTCTATTAAAGGCTGGATGTGATCTCTTTGTGACCGATGAAGAAACTGGACGCTGGCCTTTACATTACGCTGCTGAAAGTGGAAGTCTAGAGTGTGTCCAACTATTAATCTGTAAGCTCGTTTGTCCTTTGTCTCTGCTCATGCAAAAGCTGACATTTGACCCCTTTACCAGCAAATCATCATCCCTGGAATGTAGTCGACAAACAAGGCATAACCGCCGGTGAAATCGCAAAGTCGCTACATTTCGACATTTATCACGAACTAGTGGAGGAGGGTGTCCGTGCTGAACTCATATTTGGGCTTATTGGGCGTAAAGAAAAGGACGCAGATATGAAGGCCGCTGATGACGATAATGTAAACGAGACTGATGCAGTAGAGGAGAATGATGAGGCCAAGGACTACTTATCTCGTAAGTTGATGAATCTTTGGTTTGAGAGCTGGAATAAGAACAAATGTACAAGAATCGAGAGGATGATATTGGAAGTCATCGCAAAGAGGCACCCCTGGCTTGGCAGGCCGATTATTTGGAATGACTGCTTGGACGGGATGGAGTTTGGTGGCAAGCGCTATCACCAGATATGCTATTGGCAAAGCAAACAGAGCACAAGCATTCATTTCGTTGAAGCACTTTGAACCATTTCGAGTCTTGTACCACGAGCCAGCATCGATTGATGTAGACGACGTCTCCAGATTTCTTTTCCAAGGTTAGTTAACCAACAAATCTCCCCCCTTCAACTCACAGAACCCCTCCATATTACGCCAGACAAAATCCTCGACGCCAACAACGACGCCGTAATGATGGAATGGGAAACCCCACTCATGCAGCACCACGCCGACATCCTCTGTCCCATCTCAGGCCTCCATGTCCTCAACGTCGGCTTTGGAATGGGAATCATAGACAGGATGCTTCAAGCACATTCCCCAGCATCCCACACCATAATCGAAGCACATCCAGACGTGTACAAGAAGATGGTGCTAGACGGATGGACGACCAAACTAAACGTGAAGGTTGTTTTTGGGAAGTGGCAGGATGTTATAGAAGACTTGGGTGAAACATATGATGCGATATTCTTTGATACATTTGGAGAGTACTATGCGGATTTGAGGGATTTTCATGAGCATGTAGCTAATCTGTTGAATGATGGAGGGATTTACTCCTTTTTTAACGGGTTGGGTGGCCATAACGTATTCTTTCATGATGTGTATTGTAGAGTTGCAGAGCTGGATTTGGAAGATATGGGGTTGTCGGTTGAGTATGTACCGATACAGTTTACACCGCCGGGTGATCAGGTCTGGGAAGGTGTAAATCGACCATATTGGGTACTGGGGCAGTATAATCTGCCAGTGTGTAGGCTCATAACAGATATATAGAAAACCATCATGAGCATGTTTAAACTGTTACTGAAATGAACTGTATATAACATGATATAAAAAATACACTCAACCAAAAATTAAAAAGAATTCTCAAAACCCCCCGTTTTGCTTGACTAAAACATTATAAAGAAAACACACAAAACATAACCCACTCATTCATGAACATCCTCCTCAATCATAATCTCCTCCTCCAACATCCTAACCTGATCCCTCCCAATCCACGTCATCCTACTCATCGTCTCCCCATTACTCATCACATTCTTAATAGCCTCATCAATAGCATTATTTACTTGATCTACGTCAAAGCCTCCTTCCAAATCATCCAAATGTATTTTGAATGATTGCATAGACTGTCGTGCCAACGAGGTAACAATCTCAGTAACCATTTCGTGATCTGGTTCTGTACCTCCTTCTGCGTCTTCGATGTACCTATCTAGTACAAGTCCGTCAGCATTGGTCGTCGTCGTTGCACTTCCTCTGCTACTATTGCCATTGTTGCTGGAAGGCGACTGATGCGGGAACCGGATTCCTGCTTCACGGAGTTTACGCTTCACTAATTCATATACGAGATGCCAGATACGGCGCAATATAATAGATTTGCCTCGTGATAGAGCACGTTCTTCACGTCCCTTTGCATACATCCCCTCCATTGTTTCATCATGATGATTTACCACAGGACGAGTGGGCGATCCACCTAATAATTCACTAGCCGGATCGGTTGTGGAAGGGGTCTGCTTTCTCCCTCGAGATGTCGTTCGAGGTGGGACTGGTATTGCTAAATCCTTGTAATTGATGATAGAGTCGTCACTCCACGACGACCTGGTAATATTACGTGGGGAGACGGCTACGCTGCTACTAGCAGTACTGGAATCAAATGCGTCTAGTTTGGGTCTCCTGCGAGGTGGCCTTACCGGTGCTATACTGCTACTACTGCTGCTGCAACTAATACTGCCAAGATGGGTATTGGGTTCAGTAGCAGTTCGAGTTCGATTCGGTCCTGCTGCGGATAAACGAATATTGGGCTCAGTCGCAGTTCGGGTGCGAATAACTCCTGTTGTCGGTACAGGTTTATATAATGGTTCAAAGGTCGCTCGGCGGTGGATGGTTGTTTCGACCAGAGTGACCTCTTTTAGTAGGTCGTCCATTTGTTTAGATAATGATGATTGTGATTGTGTTGTTGTTGGCATAGCAGTTGTTGTCGACATGATTTTGGCTGCAGAAGGCGACGAGACACTCGGTACCTGCTGCCACGTATTAAAGTTTGAAGCAATCTTGGCCGGTGATAAGTCTCGGTGTATGTTTATTAGCAGCGGTGATGAAAGTGGAGTTTTCGAACCGCTTGTGCGTAATGGGTTTCTATCGGAAGCAGATACAATGAGAAAAGTGCTGGCTTGGAAGGACGTCGAATCATCGAAATGCAAAGAAAAGCACCGGCAAGTGGCTTGCTGCATACCTCTTTGGTCTGACTTGTTCCGGCGATGATATCTCACTAGTATTTTTAAGTCTCAGCAACCGTTTAGTAGCGAGAATCGAATCCAATAATTCAGCCAACTCTTCGACAGCTGCTCTACGACTATCAGCCGATGGCGTACTCGGCGTCGTATCAATCTCATGCTCTGTTCCGAAACCAGATTCGTACCGGTGCAAATCCTTATAGCATGTACGCCCCTCCTCGTCGTTCTCAAGATAAATAGACTGTACTGCCGAATCCTGATATCGGTGTCTTCGGAGCCCGTCCGTTACTCCTTCCTCAATGTACTCTGCATAAGCGACGTTAGGAGTCAGCGGACCATGCTGATGGGCAGATGAGAGCGTGGATGCGAATGATGCGACCGATAAGCGTGGGCTGGGTTGATGGACTCCGACAAGCAGCTTTTCTGGATGAGGATTGTTTGGTGGTGTAAAACTCTCAGTTTCGTGAGTGTTGTCGGTGAGGATTATTGGTTCGACTTCAGTCGTCTTTCCTTCCTTTAGTAGAGCGACTGGTCGTCCATCTGCTACTATGTATTCGTACGATGCATATCGGCGGTTTTTGAGGCTGTTGGTCGATGGTGCCTTGTTCAGTAATTTCTGTATTGATCCCAACATGGTTGATGCTTGATAGACGACCAAAGGAGAGGTCAATTGGGGTGTTTAAGACGGGGATCAATTAAATTATGGTGAATCTTGCGTAAGAGAGCAGGGATCTGTTGAAATCTATCCGTTTCGCTGTTGAAACTGTTTTAATAAACACATGGTTTGCCATTGTAAAATGCAAAACAAGTCATCAAGATACTTACGATTGAAGATATAGGCAGCGACGGGATATTATGAGATGCTCGTACAGGCGATTTCGCTTGTGTGGATGATCTTGCCGTCTTGAGAAACAAAGTGTGACCGTTCGTTGATAAAGCTGATATCTCTAGTCGAGACTTTGGCACCCAACACTACGCGCAGCTACCGCTATCTATCAATGTACTATCTGACATTCGTTTATATGTGCATAGACGTATATTTCGCAAAGTTGCATAATGGCAGATTTTCTAACAACTGCCGGACATCGTGAAGAATCAAAAACACGATTCTTGTTGCTAGGGGTAGTGACATGAATGTGTATAACATGACCCGAGATCAAGTCGATTTGCATTATTAGATTCATCTCTGTCCTATCAGACGTGATAAGGTGACAAATCTACGTCTGATCATGATCGATTCAATCACTGAAGCACTATCATGATGCAACAAGTGGGTGGATCTGAATTCTATCGGTGAAAAAGTGAAGATGAATGAAATTACTGAACTGCACTACTATTGAATTATTACACTATAATCTAACCCTTGAGTCTGTCTTTTGTTGACTTATTGGCTTATTGGTCAGGCACTAAGACATTGCTATATTGCTATGCAAGGTGCAATGGTAATTGATTCGAGTTAAGTGATCGATGAAAGCCAAGTATACGCAAAAATACATATCTCGTAGTATCGTTTATCCTGCTTGAGGCCTCGGAAGCTTTTTGGCCTAGTTTCCTCCTCGTCAATCACAGAAACAGAAAGCCGCAGTCCCAAAACCTGCGATCCCCGACATTCCAAAGACGCTTCGCAAGAAATCACATCCGCCCTCCTGTTATAAATTCTTTGAATTACTCTTCAGCAATTCCTGGCCATGCCGACCACTTCATGAAACTACTAAATTAAATCAGAATGGTTGCTGACGATGATAGTATTGATCTGGGTGAGAGTGCCATGAAGGCCGCCGCACCGACGGAACCAACTTTAGAGCAGATTTTATCAGAGTATGATGCTGTTGGTTGGTGGACCCGGCGTATTACAGTCAAGGCAATTATTGAAATTGCTATTTGTTTTCAATTAGGGAGAGTTTCAGCCCGTATTCGTATCGACAGTTTCGAGAGTATCTCAGGCTTGTAGAGCGGAGCGAAGAAAATATTGAATTCTGGGAGTCCGTCGTTGGTGAGACACCTTGGTGCTCTGCATTACAGCAACTGCAATGCTAAATCCTTACTTTTTATAGCCTACTCTACAAAATACGCAAACTGGCAACAACAACTCAGCGACAATCTAGCCTCCAAATCACCATCTCGCTGGGCACTCGCAACCCGAGGATCAGGGGAATCCATGATAGGATCCGACATTCCAAATGTTCCTCGAAATGCCTCTCGCAATCACTCTATAGCAGGCTCGATCGGAAGCAGGAATACCAACAGAGCTGTCTACAGCTCAAACCAATGTATCGGAACCAGATCGGTACAACGATCTCGAATGAACTCGACGACGTCTAGTGTGGGCGTGCTTCGGCCATATGCCAGCACGGTGCAGCCGCCCGACATGTCATCTAGTGGAGACATGGAATCTGTGGTAGTTGAATCACGGCCGATAACACCTCGAGTGGCTCCGCAACAGCCAGTACAACATATGCAGCAGTCGGTGCCCTCATCACGAGAATATGTGCATGTACCACCAAACCTGCTCGACACGGTTAAGGAAAGCATGCTGTCCAGTGTTTGTCCGAGTCCCAACATGCCTGCATCACCCGTCAACCCGACTGCAGACACATGTCTACCAGCCACATCGCTGAGCAGCCCCATGCTCGAAACTGCCGTCCAAGCCCTGTCGCTAGCAACCTTCCCATACCCCCAACCAGCTGATACCGATACTTCTCAAATACATTTCGGAGGCGTCGCATCCATGCCACGACGCTCCAGCAGCGTTGCGAAACCAAACATTATCGACCACCGTCGTCCATCTGCTCCAAACGTGAATTCAGCAGTCGTGTTGCCTATGGAGCCATCAAAACAAACCCCCAGTGTCCGAGTCTCGAATGTGCTCACCGATGCATCCCAAAACAGTATGAACAGCTCACAACTGGTGTGTCAGACAAACATGTCACCCACCGTTAAACGCCGCATGACGAAATCAAACCATAATTCAGCATCTGTGCTGCATCTTGCCACTGCTTTTCGATCCAAGAGTCAGATAATGGAAGGTTTGAAGAATGAGTTGGAGCAAGACTTGTCTCTCCTGATCGCACAATTCGTCATACCGAACGCTACAAGAGAAGTCAATCTGACCTCAGCCTCGAGAAAGGCAATACTAGATGCCATTGACGCAGGCAACTTCCCGATATCGCCAACTGTGTTTGAGCCATCCATGCACGAAATTATTAAAATGCTGCGAGATTACTCGCTGCCGAAATTCTTTGAACATCAACGTCGCAGAAAGACTGCCCTGATTGCCAGGATACTAGACTGGCTCGATTGGTTGAGGCACAGGAACTCGAGACGGTTTCATGTTAGGCTGTGCTTCATGCTGATATCGATGTTGCTGTTTGCTATGGTGCTGGTACTCCAAATACTGCTGTGTGGATCGGTGTACTGGAGGACGTTTGAATTTGTGCCGATATGTCTGATGGGACTGGCAATAATTGATTGCTGGATACCTGTCGTTCCAGTCAAAGGTAATGATGTTAACTCTCGTTTATGATTGCCTTTATTCATGAGTCTCACTCTGTCCCTCGTCTAGTTGAACGAGTCAGAGACGCCAGCGCTACAACAAAAATCATGGTCGAAATGCCAGCCTCACCAAGCCTGTATCTCTTTGTCATGGGAGACATCGCAATATCCATCCTCGGCACCCTCGTGTTGATATTCTCTGTCCCACCAGGTTTCCCTCCTCCAATACAGACTTGAAAACATTTCCTACTACACAGTTTTCTGTTTATATATACATGATAACCAGTGTTTCAAAATATATATTGCCATATAGTATCAAACCAAGTTCTAGTATAGTGGAGGCACATCTGGATCATCTTCAAAGTCAGGTTCAGCAGCTTGAGCGATTGCGCCCTTCCGTTCCACAATCTTTGATGCAGAGTGCTGTTGTATTGGCTTACTTGGTTTAACAGCAGCTTCCGACACAATATTACGATAATCAACAGCTGCACCCGTCACCATTTCCTGATATCTGCTCAACTTCTTCACCGGTTCAGCACTTTTACTGATTTTGCCCTCATCCAGTACCCGTATCCTCCTAACATCCACGTCTTTATGGCCCGCTTTAATCATCGTTATTACCAATTCACCTGTAAGACGGCTCCGTTCACATAAGACACCCTCGGATTCCACCTCTTCGTCAAGCACCAGCTGAAACACTTTGCCCTTGACCGTGACGGTAACATATGTCGAATGCACGTCCACGTCAATAAGACTTGTATCCATTAGTTTGGGTAGTTCTAGATGTAGTGCTAGCGTCTGGTTGGTATTCGATACATGGAAATTCCATTTGCCTTGATTTTTTTGTAACGGTGTTCCGTCATCTGTGAACAGCTTTAATGGTGCTTTTATGGGACGAAGTGGGTCTGGTTTTGGTGGTTCCTTTTCGTTGAATTGTTCAATGTCACGGGCGGCTTCTACACGGGCGGCAGGAGTATATGGGACTGGTTTCTTTTGGAATTCTTGCTTCTTTTTCTCGAGTCTAGTGAAGGATTGGAGAGTACAGTTAGCTTTATATTTGAACGATCATACTGTCCAACGCCTAGAATCGTTGATTTCAGACGAATAGGCGTATGCAACTAGAGCTTCGACCAATTACACTTCACATGGCTGTTACGACAATGGCAAGAGACGTGAACCATGACGCCAATTCATATGAGAAGCTTACATTTCTTCCTTGGACAGATCGCCTAGATCCTCCAAAGCTTCGGGCTCCACGACCACTACTGGAGTTTCTTCCACAGCATTCAACCTCTTCTCGCGATCCTCTATAAATCTTGCTCGTATCCCATCGAATACTTGACGAGCCTGGATTCTCTCTGAGCGTTCAATCTCTCGTCCATCTAGTGATATCAGTTGAGGGAGGGCTGTAATGACGAACTCTCTATAGCCCGGCTGCTGACTACATGGATTTCCCACCAGGTATCTAATAATATGAGAACTGTGGTGAGTGATTCAAAACAATTCATAGCGAGTGTGTCACTCTTACAGTTCCCGCAACAATTCATTCTTGGCCAATGATTCCACATCCAATGGATCCTCGATAAAGTTTAGAGTCAAGTCCAATTTACTCAGTGATTCACAGCCTTCCAGGCCCTCCAGTTTTGTGACATTGTTGATTGCCATGTTGAGATAAGATAGTTCTTTGAGCTTGTTTAGGTTCTCTAATGCATGTGGATATATTAGCGCAGGGCATACGGTGAATATGCGAGACATGCATTACCAAGTTTTGGAATGAGATTGTTTTGCAGAAAGAGGATTTGCAAATGTCGGCAGTAAACATCCAGATTCTCAATCTTTTCCAGATCGAATTGATGGAGGGTGATTTCCTTGAGCGTTGATAGTTCGCCATCGTTGTGTTCTGCTCGTTGGCGTAACAATTCTTCATTGACTAGTGGTTGATGTTGGGAATTGTGTTGGTTGGCGATTGGCGTTTACGGTTCCAAAAATGGATTGAAATTCAATAATGATATTAATTATGATGGTACTTACTTTTTTTGCCCATTATGATTGATCTACTATCTACTGTGCTCTAAGGATGGTCAATTTGCACAGTTTGGTTTGGAGTTGCTTCTTGTTGTTTCAAAGAGCAGACGAGATAGATCCGATATAAAATATATAGATTCAAGCAATATGAAACTTGATCTTCTCTGTGGATTTATAGACTTGATACGTGAATGTCGTGTTTTTGCTGTTTTTACTACTTGAACAATTGACAAGTTACTTGATTTCAAGGTCAGGAGCAATCAAACAAGAGGAGTCTCAATCATACTCAATTGTACGTGATTTGACACGTTAGACGTTACACTGCTCTTCGTAATCCTCAAATATTCTTGCCGGTCGATTTTTTGACACTTATTAGAAAACAGGTGAAGGGAAATGCCTCCAAAGCAGAATTCAAAGTAAGATTGCCCACCTAGTATTTACTTGTGGTCGTTTCATATTGTCAAGTCCCGTGAAATGTTTTGTCAAGCTTTGTTGGTTTTTGATTTGCAATATTGAGGAAGGTGTTGAATGAATCCAAGATCAGGACATTCACTATTACGACAAAGATCATCGTGAATTTGGTCTCCTCTCCTCTTTACAAACCAACTACTATGAAGCTATTGCCAACATCAAACGTAAAACTCAAAACATCCATTCATCTTAGAGCTGTTGCCGCCAACGAGAAGAAGGCAGCTGCAAAGTCAGAAAAGGATAAGGCTGCTGCCAAATCAAAAGAAGATCAGGAAGCCAAAGAATGGAATGACGGTGCAAAGGGCTCCAATAAGAAGGAACTGGCTGAGCAAAAACGACTGGAGGAGCTCAATAAGAAAAAGGAGCGAGAAGCTCTCTTGGCTGCTGAAGAAAAGGGTATATTTGTCTATACAGTGTTTAGTTGTTATATGTCGGGCAAGGACAACGACAGCTGTCATTATGACGACTCCAACAGAGGGAGTTTTTTTCTGATTATCTTCCACCTCTCTTCTCAGAACTATCAAAGAAACCAACAAAACCAATCAAAGAGCTTCGCGGCCCTGACAAGGTCGCTGCTCGAAAAACTCAGCAGGTTGAAAGGGCTGGATCTTCAGACGCCATTGAAGAATTCAGTGCATCAAATGTGGACGATGCTCTCGACCTCTTGACTATATCTGGTGCAGGATCAAGCTCGTCTGGCGGGAGAGCTAATGAGGCTGTTGAGAGGCATCCTGAACGACGAGTAAGTTATCTAGGATTGTTATAGCATACTTTTCTGGCGGAATTCTTTGCATCTCGGTCGATTCCTGATAGCTCTTTCTACCTTCATAGGTCAAAGCTGCATATGCAGCCTATGAAGAACGCGAACTGCCGATACTCAAGGCAGAAAACCCAGGTCTCAGGTTGAGTCAACTTAAAGAAATATTATACAAGAATTGGAAAAAGTCGCCAGAAAACCCAATGAACCAAGATACCGTCAGCTACGATACAACGAAAGCAGACGAACGTGAAGCCATCGCTGCTAAGAAGGCTGAAACGATGGCTAGGTTGCAAGTATAGGACTTGTTTGGATGAGGCCAGTTTGTGTACCTAGTATCCTTTTTGTTGTAAAAAAACCACCAATACTTTTGCATTATGAAATAATAGAGCAGTTTCTGAACAAAACGATGAATGGTGTTTGTGTTTAGATGAAGACATGTTTGCCGAATATAATTCAATGAAGACAGGTATACCTCCTCTTTTATTACTTCGTCTGGCGATGTATATGGCCAAACCCTTGGTACTCAAAGAAACGCCGTCTGGCGCGTGTGCTTTTGATAAAGCACGTTTGGCAACAGTGAATCAATCTCCCTGGTTTCAAGAGCAGTATGTAGAATTTACTTGTTAGAGTGTCTTATTAAAGATTCAAGAGTGAGGGGTTTAATAGGAGACAAAAAAGCCAGAACGACAGTAGTCTAGAGTTCAAGATGGTTTGCAATCATAATTCTTGCCCTGCCTCTTACCATCTACAATCTAGCAATGTGACAACTAGACAATCACCACGATTAAACACAATCAAACGAATAGCAATTTGCGGACGCTTAAATAATCATGAAAGTTGATGATGATTGGCTTATCAGCCGTAACCAAAGAATTGAGCAGCTGAGTTGGCAGTCCGTGTGGTTGACCAAAAGGCACCAAGAGTCAGCCCAAATCGCCGAATTCGACGACGAAAAAAGACAAGATCAAAAGATCAATTTATACAATACTGTTCACTGGTAACATTGAAAAGTCGGAAAACAGATGAAAAAGACCAGATTAGTCTCTCCCTCATCGGCTACACAGATCAAGATCTAAACTACCCATTGTTAAAAAAAAGTGGACAACGCGACCGATGATGACCTTTCACGAGTCGAATATCAACCATTCAATCTTTCCAGTGTGTCGTCCCAAACTTATAAGGTTTACTAACGACTCAGTACTCTTCACAATATTTCAAAGTCATATACCTGATCTGTTCCAAACAAAGCACAAGACATCATATTCACGCCCCTCATGGAAAGTAACGAGTCTGCATTCAATGGGAAGACCTCAAGGCCATCAAAATCCGGACTCAGAAACCGTCAGGGTTTCCGTGCGCATTTGGGGGTACAAAAGGATCCGAACATGTTTCTAAAATGACGAAACTGTTTCCGTGCAGGTGTTCCACGAGCAGCTCCAACGATGACGAGGATTGCTTATTGAAGAGGCCGCAGTATCTTTAACCTACGAGAAACGACATGTTCGTCAAAACACCAGCATTATAAAAGCAAGCCTTTGTAATTTTTTGAAGCACATACACCAAGATCAGTCCCCGACAGGTACCTCCCAATGATTTCTAATGGCTTGATGATTTGGACCTAAGACTTAACAAACAACTCGAGCGGCGTCTTTTAGAGCCCCAGTTTAAAAGAAAGGATTTTTGGTGACGATTTGCGGGTGCTATGACTTGTCCCAGATTGAAGATTTTTTGCCCTAACTTCAAACCTTCAAATCATACTATCAGCCCCTATCATCCCATCCTTCTCACATTGCACAACCAGTCCGTAAAACACTCAAACCCATCTTCTCAAAACACCAGCAATGAGTTAGTATCCTTATGTACCGACATTCTATATTTGCTAGATAAAAAACCATGTCTCTGCTATTTCTGAATACCTCTCTGTTCCATCCTTGCAACAATTCCCATTCCTTATTTCCAATCCGCAAAATCAAAACACAGGCTGTACAGAGAATTCAGGCATATCCTGTCCTGTAGCCAAGATATACTTTTGATGTTCGTGAATCTTGGCCAAATACTTTGCATTCAATGGAACAACGTCTGGTGCAACTGCCACGACTTTTGATGCCATTGTTAGAGCACGTATGGCGACAGTGAATCGATCTGCCTGGTTTAGGACCAGCATGTCGAATGGTGTTGTTGTAGTTCCTATTTATTTGCGGAAATAAAACAGTGATAAATATTGGAATAAAAAAATCGAAGAAGGAGAATTTCTGAAAGTTTGGAACAACTCGGACTTATAACTTTTGGCCAATTTCATACCTTCTTCGATATATCCAAGCACAACCAAACGATCACATCCAGCAACGCGATCAAACAAGAGCGATTTGACGACACTTGGATAACCATGGAAGTTGAAAACGATGGGCTTATCAGCCGTAAACAACGAGTTGAAGAGCTCAGTAGTCAATCCATGTGGATGACCAGAAGCACCAGGATCAGCCAAAATCATCAAATCTGGAACAATAGCAAAAAAAGGATCTAAGTTGTTTGTACAATGACACTTGAAACCAATTTCTTTACCAGTCACATTGACCACTCGTACACGCAACGCAGGTGCATCCTTCTTCAATAGAGCAGCGGCAGCGACAACTTCCATCGTAGTCTCACATCCACAACCAACCAAGACGACATCTGGATTGACGCCACCATCAGTAGATGCGAATTTGAGGATACCTGCACCAGCGTTACAGTGATGTTTGGCTTCTGCGTATGTGTTGAAGTATACTGGGACTGGCGACTTGCCAGAGACGATGAGATTGACGTGGCCCTTGGATCTCATACAGTGGTCAATCTGCATGGTGGGAAGGTGTGAAAAGTTGGAAATCAGGAAAAAAAAACTCTCGTAGAAAGACGTGAGGACTCAAGAGTCAGTGGATGACTCACTGTAGCCAATAACGTGTTGGCATCTGGAGGCAAATACACGCGAGATTGATTTGACTTGAGATTGACAACAGTATCAATGAATCCAGGATTTTGATGACTGAAGCCATTGTGTTCTGAGTAAGAATAGGTTTATAAGCAAATGTTATTGATATACGGGGAACACGGGCTGATTTCAATTGAGGGTTTCAGCTCACCTTGTCGCCAGAGAGTGGAAGATTCAACATAATCTAAACGAAGAGAAGGTTAGAAATCAAGCAAAAAAGCGAGCGGACTCTGGTGCAATGCTGGATTGCTCACTAAGCGACGATAAATTCCTTCTCCAAGGGGTATCACGAGACATCTTGGCAAACTTGGAATATTGTACCATCATGGTAGTAATAATACCCAAGAATGCTTCATATGAGGGAAAGAGGGCAGTTCGACCTGAAGAGCAGCACATGCTGGTCATTAGCACCTTACATTCATTTTGACAGCTCTTTCTTTGCAGCATAAGTACCTGTCAGCGTATATCCCTGCATCCAACCTTGACAGTTGTGTTCTGAAAGGATTTCAATGACACGACCACCACTGTTGGCAGTGACTGGATCAGGTTGGAAGTTTCGGGTAGTTACTTTCAGCATGTCGCCAAGTTTGTTGGATTCCATTTCATCAGGTGAAAAGAGTCGGAAGCTCTTGGGGTTCCTGGAAAGAGAATGGATGATGTTAGAATTGTCAACAAAAAAATCGATTCTGGAACCCAAGTACTTTTGAGTCAATTCGGCCAAGTATTTTCCAGCAATGCCCATTGCGCCAACCCACTAAGAAACATAGGATATGTTAGAATTTTCATCTAAAATATTACTCTACGACTGGATGTACTTACTTCAGTTTCATTCTTGCTCTCCTTGACTGCAAACTTTGATGGGTCTGGCGTGTCAAGTTCTTCATGGACGGCATAGGTATGAGGATTACGTCTAACGGAAAGTCAAAATTAGCAGGAGACAAACAACATAGTACCGCAAAAGCCATAAAATATTGAGTGTTGCGTGATCAATATACCCCATTCGAAGCATTTCACTCGGCACAGCATCCAAAACCGCAGCAATCGGAACACCATTATCATCAAACAGCTCTTCAGGTCCATAACTCTTCAACCATTGATTTAAACCCTTGAATTGCTCATCATCCGTGAATGGATTTGTCAATGGGATTTGATGAGCTCTCCATGATCCTTCTACAGGCAGACCATGAGTGGCTTTTGGACCATTCCATCCTTTGGGTGTTCGTAACACAATCATGGGCCAGCGTGGTTTCATGATTGGAGAGCCTGTACGAGCTGCATGTTGTATGCGGCGGATTTCAAGGTAGGCCCTAAGATGATGCCAAAAAGATCAGAAACAGAATTGTGATACATCACAAAGTGTGTGGAGAAGACACAACATACCATTCCATAGAGGTAGCAAGATCAGCATCAATGTCTGCCATATGCTCGACGATGCGAACTTGGTAGCCAAATCCAGTGAAGAGGGTAGCGAGTTCGGCGTTTGACATGTTTCCATATATCGTTCCTTCAGCAATCTTGAAGCCATTCACGTGAAGAATCTATGGGAGATGTCTATCGTGAGCTGACTTTTGGCAAACAAAAAACACTTATTTTGGATCGTGAACATTATTGCGCTTTTCCTCAAGTAAGCCTTAAAATGAACGATTGGGTGATTTTGGAACATCATTTCACATTTCCACAAGTAATACTCAAAGGTAACATTGGCCATGTTGACAAGAAAAATTGAGAACTGTGACTCACCGGCAAGACAGCACCAGATTCTTTTGGATCAATAAACTTGTAACCATTCCAAGATCCACTCAAAGGTCCAGATTCCGCTTCTCCATCACCGACTACACAAGTGACAATCAAGTCTGGATTGTCCATGACTAACAGAAAACAGACATTATTCATATGTTGAGTATTCCAAATCTTGAAGCTTTCGACATCTCGTGTCAAGTCCCACTTGACATTCGGTGCCCAAATATCAATTATTACAACTGTATCCGAAACCATTATACTTACTTGCACCAAACGAGACACTCAAACAATACCCCAATTCACCACCCTCGTGAATAGTACCGGGCACTTGTGCATTGACATGACTGGGAAATCCTCCAGGCCACGAGAATCCAGAAATCAAAGCCTGAGATCCATTATTATTCCATGCGTATTTTGGATCAAAGAATCCAAGCGTGTTTTCCAAAAACAAGTTTGCGAGGATTGCAGGAGCTCCGTGACCAGGTCCAACGACGAGGAGGACAGAGCAAGAGTGTTTCTTGATGAGGTAGTTGCAGTGAGAGTATCTGTACGATAATGTGGTTTGGGAGATGTTAGATACACCGCGTGCTTTTTCGGATAACCGGATCAACAGGTGGATGTACTAGTAGCCATCAATTCTGATTAAAGCAAGCGTTACGTACACCAAAGTCAATCCTGGACAAGTACCCCAATGGCCCAGCAATCGTGGTTTGATGTCATCGACCTAAGCAACGTGATAAAGAAGTGTTAAGGTTGGGTGAGTATGAGTCACCAACGCGAGGCGCCTTATGATGATGGGGAAACATACTTTGAGATCTTGACGCAGTAGTGTATTCTTTCTGAGATATAGCATTGCAGCTGTAATATAGTCGGCGGCTCGTCGATATAGCTTGAGTGCGTCAAGCTCCTTGCCCTAATCGACAGATGTCAATGCGCTTGATCTCATTCCGTTCGCTAGGAAGCAATAGAAAATTACAGATGAAAGACAAGCACTGAATGAATACATACCTCGCTCTTCCTTGTAGCAGCAATGTCCAACACGACGTGTAGGGATTCAACATTTGGGAAAGCTTCGGGAACGACAAATGAGCCTGGTGGAGCTTTTGCAGCTTTAAGATCAGTAATCTCGACATTTTGCTCCAAGGCAGATATTTTAGATGCTTGTTCCGCCATCCTCAAAGTCTTTTGGGTCTTTTTCTTGAGTTTGGTTGGATTTTGGTTTTGAGGTATTTGGGGGTATCCGTCTTGAGAACATGGGGCGTTCGGTGATATCGGTAGGCATTTGGAGTTATAATCACGTCCTATTTAGACCTAAGAAAACGCGTGAATCAATGTCTGGAGCTGGTTCCGACTCGACTTGAACCAGTTCTGCTGATATAGACTGCTTGCATCGTGAACTCGCTGGCTCGACCTTGCACGCGTTTTCAGCAGCAATAATGAGGGAGGATCATGGAAATATGGCTGAAATTGCTCGGACCACACGTTGTGCTCTATCCAGACTCGCCAAAGCTGGTGGTGCTCTCGAGAGAAAGATTCACTTGTTGCAACATACTCCCATTAAAATGTCGGATAGTACTCTGGAATTGATGGCTGGTGAGCTGAACTTGATATATACGCTACATTTGGATGCATGTCTTGTTACTAACTTGAATGCACTCGTCTAGTCTTTGCTGTCTCCAAACCGCAAACATGGCAATCAGGTTGGTCTTGTTGGAAAGACACTTATCTTTCTCAGACCCTCTTTCTAAACATTCACTTAAACTCTAGAATTCGATCAAATCTTGGAGTCCATCGCAGAGACATGTCAAACAGAGTAAGATAGTCTGCAAACATTTGCCAACTGTTGATGCTGATTTTGAACTCTTTCGCAGTGGGATACCATGGACATCACTGAAAGAGCTCATACGATACAAAATCAAACAAGTAAACTGCTGCGTCATTGTTGATTGTGATGACAAGTATGTTGACACGAACTCTGACATAGAACGTACATGCTGAAGACAAGATGGGCAGAGTAAACGGTCTATTCAACAAGGGAGATACCGTATCAGACTACGAAGAAAGGATTGATCAAGCACTGGACTCGTTCGAAGAGTAAGCCTTGTCGCTGTGTTGAACTGCCCATTGATGCAAGAAAAGGGTCATAATCATAGCTACCACAAGATGCTAACATCTTACATCTCACTCAGACCACCATTCACAATCCAACGAATCTGCGAACTAATAACAAACCCAGACCAACACCACCGCAACGTATGGGCATACCTCAGAGCCCTCGAAAAAGTGCTCCTCGTCACATCAACCGAACTCGACCACCAAGTCGTACCATCAAGCTCTGCTACATCCTCACCACTGCCTACAGCTGCATCCATGGAAACTGGTAGTAGTGTAATGTCGCAGCCGACATTACCAGCTACACAAGAAGGGGATCCGATGATAATGTCGCCGCCACGTGTTGGAGAACTGCCGCCTGAAGTTGTCGCGTTGGGACCGAATCCTGTTGCCAGTCCGTTTGCGTCATTGGTGAGGCCGGCTACGCCTCCTGTGGGTGGTGATATGGGGGATCCGATGGATACTGATTGACCAGGTGTCGGTTATATAGTTTGCACATTCTGTAGTATAATAATGAATTGGCCAAGAAATGGATATTACGAAGTGATATACTTCGAGTTGTCGCCCTGGCATTACAGTTCTGGGAGGAAATCATATAGGCTTTGACTCGCTTTTTGTGCTGAGCTGTACGCTCGCTCATCTCAACTGTTCAAAAACAACAATTTAACTGTTAAGGAGACCTGCATTTTAACGAAAGGAACGCCCCTATACTGGCTGCACTAAACTTGCCTCGTGATGCAACTGATAGCACAACTTCACGAATGGCAGCTGTAACTTGCATCAAGTGCAATTTATTGCCATCCATTCGATTCAACAGTCTACAAAGCAGTAAAGAGAAAAAATTGTCGAGTTGGTTGCACCGCGCCAGGAGAGTCTCGAATCCGTGCTGGTGATCGGCCTCAAACGGGACTTTCGGGAGTATTAGACCTTGTTCCCCTCAATCTTAATGATCAAAAAGTTACAAGAACTGCAGCCCAGTTTGACTTCTCCTATATGATTAATGTCAGAATGCGACTGATTGCAAATTTCATTTTTGCCCAACTTACTTCCAACCTTGCCAAATGCAACAGATTACCTGCTAATGCATCACTACTCTGTTTCGTACGAGGAAACTTCAATAATGATCAATCAAAAGGAAACAGATTGAATTGGGTTCCTGTGACGGTTTATTATGCGAACTTTGTAGTATAATGACATGCCAAGGTATAGTCGACGAAAGGCATGTGCTTCTAAAGTGATCTCCATGACAGCCAGTTCTACGTGAAGGGAAATCGTGTCAGGCAGGTACCATAGTTATACTCGATAACATGTTTTTTTTCCTCGCTCACCTGTACACCTGCTCTTCTCAACCCCTCTACCACAACACCCTTGCTCTTCTTGATGCGAACTTGCATCTGATAAAACCCGCATGTTCTACCTTCACTTATCGCCCCATCAGATGCAACTGACTGTACAATCCCACGGATGGCATCTGAAACTTCATCCAACACCATACTCCACCTCGTAGATTCAAAATTCTTCAAAAATATTTGTGGAGTGGGATGAGTCACTCCATGAGAGTCTCGAATCAGTGTTGGTGTTGGTTCTGAAGCGGGATGGTCGATGAATGATGTAGTTGGTGCTGATATTCGTACATCAAAGTTATCGATATCCTGGAAGAGTAGCGGAGATTCCATTGGATAATCGAATTATGGGCTTTTCTGCTCAAACCTCAAGTCGAACTTACGAGGAAGACAGCCAAGCTGGATTTTTCCGAAACGATAGCAAACGAAAAACTCACGTTGAATGGACTTGAGCCATACACCTCCGAGTCCGTTGTCCCTAAAAATTGAAAGGAGTCATGCTAAAGCCATTGCCAAACCGATAAACATCTTCTGATCTTACACTCAACAGCCACAACTCGTCCTCCAAGATCAGTTTGACGTACAATCCGAGGCAAGCTATCAGTAGTAAACTGTGGAGCATCTAGTCTATCTGCTGTCCTCATAGTCCACCAGTTCTGGTCTTTTGGCCTCTGCATAGATTGTGTCGTGCGTTAGTCACGCAAAAGAGACGTCATCAAAAGACCAAATTCATTACATTTATGAAGTCTGCAACAATCAAATGAAGTGCAGATTCATCAAGACAATAAACTGCTGGAAACCAAGTGACAGCACCATGCGTCTTGTGCACTGCCTGAGCTAGCAACCCAAAATCAAGCAGAGTACTGTCCATCGTAGCATCCAATCCAACATCTATATCCGCCTCCCCTTGACTACCAACAATCTGAATATCACCCAATGATTCAGATGCAGTGGATTGTGTTGCTGCTTCGTATATACGAAGAGGTCGATCTGCTGGTAGAGCCGATACAGTTCCTAATTCTTTCGGTTTTCGAGACGGCACTTCAGACTTGTATCTGGCAAGCTCCATTCGCAGCATTTGTTGTGTGCCTTCGACATCGTTTTGTGGGTATATGTCCAGAGCGATTCGGTATGCGACACGAGATAGGCCTTTGGGAATCACTACAGAGAAGAAAAATTGTGAGAAGATGGCCAACAAACCCTCGATTGTCTCCAATGTGACGTACATTCAGGTACGAAATCCCGTGTAATAACATCTCCATACTCTAAATCATCTGTAAGCCAAAACACCGAATATGGGATGCCAACAGTCGAGTCAGGCTTATAATACAGGAAGGTAATCATTTTCGAATTGGGAGTTTCGGAATGGGTTATTGCACTCCCCAGTTCATCACACATAAACCAAACTGTTTGCACATTCACGGTATTATCTGAGGTTGCCCAGGCTACCGAGTAAGTTTGTGCATACCTATGTTTGCAAAAGTTTAAGAGCAAAGCAAAAGTAAAACTGGCCATTATCTTGAAGCACGCGATACTCACTTCCAGATACTGTCAAATACTCTCTGTGCACGATCCTTGACATCCGGTTTACGTTCCTCACCACCATTGATACTGAGCTGCTGGGCTATTTGCTGATGCAGCGAGTCCATTCCACCATCATCTTCTTCTGGATGCTCCAGACTCGACAGAGCATTCACGACTTCCCAATCAGCCTTCTTTAAGACGTCGCGAGCTTCCTCTTCACTAACACGAGCATGAGTCGATACAAGCATGATAAGATCCTGTGCATCTTCAGGCTCGTCGTCAGTTTCTTCTTCGGGCTCTTCTATAGGAGGCAATCCCATCATGAACTAGGTGATGGATTGTGCGTCAGACACGTCTGTCGATTGTAAAGTTCGTTTTTTTGACCAACATACCTCCAACCTCTCTAGCAGCAGCAAGTTACCAACCAACTCATCCCGCAACTGCACAGTAGGCGTAAAAGTCCAAGCATGATCGCTTAGACTTAGCGCAGACTCAGCTTCCAGTTTTCCGACAATCAATACCAGATCAAACCCTCCACGTAAGCTCCCTGTTTTCTGGAGCATGTAGTATCCAGCTGCATCGAAGATCTCGCTTGTTACTTTAGTGAAGAGCTCCTATGTAATGAGTGAAATGTTAGTCATTTTGTAGCAAAATATGAAGGATTCAAAGCTTTACAGGATGCAGTTTCTCAGGAATGTTTGAAAGCTGCAGTCGATGCCTTGCAATGAATTCATCGTATGCAGCAGCTTCTCCTTCATACTCGGCCATCCTGTTCTCGGCTAGTTGGTTGCTGGGCTTGAAATTTGCAGGTTTTGGACATGTTACGAGTCTTGTTTTGGACGCGTCGATACTGTCATTTCACGCGTCAATACCCTCTTACATGGACATCAACGCTATAAAAGCTACTGCCTCTTGGAACTGAAGCTCTGCCTCGCGTCCTCGCAGAACAAACAAATCCAAATATGACATTGGAGCCTTCACAGGTCGTGACGGATGTTCGACCATTCTCAGAGTCGGGCCATGCAATGTAAGTTCCATACTTTACTGAAATTTATCACGCAACTGAAGGAACATCATCAGATCGAACACTTCCAACATTGTTCTGTAGCTTCGTATCAAACCTCCCACGAGAACTATCTGATACAGACGTCAGAAAGACATTTCACCATTTCGGGAAAATAACTACTAGTTAGCCTTGTCACCTTTCCACCTCTATTTCTCATCGAATCCAACCAAACATTGCTCCGTCTATTTAGTCTCAATGAAATTCCGCGACGCTGAAAACTTTGGATGGGCAATCCTCTATTTTGCATCCGAAACCTCTGTTGAAATGGCTCTCTCCATGCACGAGTACTCTATATTGGGTAAACAGCTGGCTGTTACGAAATACGATATACGCAAGAGTCAAACAACAAGGAAGAGGAAGGGTAGTAGCAGTAGGAAGAAGCAGGAGTATAACGCTGTAGATCCAGTGGTGCTGCTACAAGGTGGTGATTATGAGCAGCATTATGGCATGTGGAGAATGTAAGAGCACATTCTTTGTGTATTCAACATCCGACATCCACAGATTGCTGATTTTTCTTTCTACAGACACCAACAAGTATACTTTACAACCACACCGCCATATCCACCATACATCTCATCCGTTGATCCGTACAATACTCGGCCGCCATCCATAGACGAGCTACCTCCACAGCTCCCAATGGACCCGACACACCCACCAACAGACCACCTCATCATCCCAACAACACGAATCTCAGCCCTTACCTCCATCCTTGACATCTCATCGGCCCGCTACGATACTTCCACATCGTTGGCCCTCGAGTTAAGCAGACACGTCACGCCTCATGCACACCTCCATATAAACACACAATGCATGAATGGAGAATGGCCGTCCCGCACTGCACAGTCCTACATTTTAGATTGCATCGATTCGCAGATGCGAGTCTCGAGAGTAGAAGAGAATAGTCTGAAACGGGTAGACGAGACGCTTGATACCTTGATTACAGAACTGGAGGGTGGGATGGAGACGTATCTTGTTGATATGACGCTTCGGTCTTATTGTAGAAAGAATGATGGTGACGTGGGATCGACAGGCTGGTGTATAGATTTTGGGATGGATTGTTTGTGTGGTTGTGATGCCATGTGTAATCAGGACGCGACACATGAAATACGAGGGTATGAGATATTGTCGAATATAGACTATGCTCCACTTAGGTATAGGACTATTGGGAGCATCAAGATGGAGGCTATGAAGCGGCAATTGGGAGGGATTGACGACTTTGAAGTCTTTCCGTAACAAGAACATGTGTAAATAGAGCATACACTGTAATATTTAATCAGCATCCCTCATTTGTAATCTCAACAACGCTCAAACAAAAGAAAGTGATGCGAAGTGCTTGTATTGTAATAGTTGCGACAAATCTAACTGATATATCCTAATACCAAACTAATAATATATAGTATTTTCTCATATGTACCGCGTGAAAGTGAGCATTGCTTCAGAATCTATTTTACTACTACTGCCCGAGTCCTGTTGTGTTGATGGTCCAGGTGGTGTAGTCACTTGCTGTTGACCAACACTGCCAGAATCGGATCCTCCAATAGCAGAAGACGACGCTGTCGACGTAATATACCTCTGCCTAATCCTTCTAATCATTCTCAACCTCTCTTTGACATTCCCACCACCAGCACCACCCAGGAAGATTTGTACAGCGATGTTGGCGTGTATGGCAATCTGTCTTACGAATCTCGCTAGACATGCTCCCGAGACAAGCCGTGGTTCAGACAATGGTCCTATATCTGGAATGTCTGGTCGCCGTTGCATAGATACTCGATAGTACGAATTACGATATGTCGATGGTAGTGTTGCAACTATAGGTATTCCACTGGCCCGTTCAGCTTCATCTTCAAGTACCCCACCGACAACTGATAAAGGGTAATCAGCATCCAATGGCGTTATAACGAGATTTATATGATTGAATTGTCCAGGTAGAGTGTCGAATTCATACTCAGCTCCAGACTCATTCCATACCAAGATTATCGAGTCGTTTCCTAAATGTCGTTTCTTGGCTGTACATCGCTCGTCATACGACACTGTTGGCATTAATGTGGCGGCATGGAAGATGACTTGAGCACAATCATCTTGCCAATATACTGCATGCGTACCATCTATATCATCTCGAGTGTCAAGCCCACCTGTGTTGACATCCCGTATACCTTTGAGTCGAATCATACTACCCAACGATCTCAATAATAAGCCATATGCTCTGGATCCTTGAGTGTTGGATAATATTTCAGCCTCCTTCTTCTGTCCAGGCCCTACATACAAGACACCCAACTTGTGCAAGTCGACTACAGGCGTCAGGTCCAATACAGATATAAATCGAGCAGTCATATCATCATCAGCCAATAATCGTGGCACTTCATGAGGCACCATATCAGGGTATGGCATTATTTGAGCAAGTAGAAAGACGGGATCTAGAGTAGTGTTATTGCTCATGAGGTTTGATTGACTACCAGTATTAGAGGTCAAAGCTCTTGATAATCGAGATACAGCAGTATCTGCTGCAATGGCTGGATCTGTCGTTTGTGACGAGATGGATGACCCTCGTGATCGAGGAGTAGACCGACCTGATTCAACTTCTGATTCTACTGGTAAGGTTGATGGCAGAGCTGATGTGGCACTACTACGACCATGAACAGATCTTTGTCTATTCAGGTTTTTTGATCCTATTCCTGCACCAGCAGACAATTCCACAGACCCCCATCTTTTATGTTGTGCCTTAGGTATATTACCCTGACTCGTAAAGCTGTCAGACATGCTAGGATTATCTTCTTCGGCAACAGGATCAGATACTTCACGGACATTCAAAGAGCCTCGTCTCGTCAAGTTAGAAGACTCTTCAAACCGGAATCGATTATCGAGCCTTACAGAGAAACTAACCCATCCTGATGCTCGTCGTATAGTTACATCACTCCATCCTCCCATACTAGTTCGAATCGTCAACAAGGCATTTCCGACAATCCATGTCTTGCTAAGACCGGCACCACTAATATTTTTAGAATCCGTTTTAGATTCTGGAGGCTTGGGTGTGCAATCAGCAAACGTATTCTGAATCATCATGTCCAATATCATTTCTACATTCTCATCCAATACCAGAGGCTTCTTTTCAGACTTTTCATTCTTTTCTATCTGTTGCTGTTGTTGCTGCAACGGTAGCATAAAGTAGTGCACTATGAAAGGCACATAACGACGTCGTTCTGATACCTTCATGGCTGTAAACCATACAGTCACCACATGATAAGCCATATTGAATAAATACTGCGTCATTATGTTACCAGATCCAGCACTATTCGAAACACCACCTCCTGTAGAAATATATTGCACTGCCATACCAAACACTCTTTTAAAGTCTCGTTCGGTAAAGTTGACATACAAGTCTGACAATCTAGCCAAACTCGACAAGAATTCCAGTATGAGAGCTTGAGAAGGCATTCGGCTCAACCTATCTAGAATTCCTGGCCCAAGTTTGGTCTCTGGTAGCAATCGCGTCATACTACTGGGCAACTCATACAAGCATAGCGTCAAAGCTTGCAGACACAATCTGGCATTCGTTGGACCTCGATTCAATCCAGCATGGAAGGCCATTACTACTTCGTCTTGTACCTCTCGAACAGTCAATAACCGTCGATGAGGAATCAAAGACAACAAGAGTCGATATAGTGCTGAATACAAGTCAGCCTTACGTGTTGTCTGTGGCATATCCAAAACCGATGCTGCGACTTTTTCATCTAGGATAGCACGACATAACTGTTTACGAATATCTGGTAGTGTCTTGTATGCACCAGCCCAAAAGTAGATATTTTCCATTTGAGCTGGTAGCTGATTTAATACTAGTGAATATATTTCCCATGACTTTTCACTCATAAGAACTTCTAGAATCGTGGCAGCATACAAGTCGATTGGCAGAGCCTTTACTGCGTCGATGTTTACAGGTAGTGGGCTGGTCGATGTTGGCCGTGGGTTATTATTTACAATGGACGCTATTAATTCTTCATAGCATACGACTTGAGGACTGGTTATTGTATCTCGACGTGTCCACCATTTTCTTGCTTCTTCTAGTTCTGGCATTGGATCCATAGGAACATCATCCTTTTTTGTTGACTGTTGTGCATCGTCTTTTTTTGCTCCAACATTACTCGTAGCATCGTCCTTCTTGACTACTGTATCGACTGATTTGGTAGCTGGAATAGACGATGGAAATCGTACATGGTATCTAGAATCTGCTCTAATCTTCATCAGAAACCTTAGAGCTGTTAATCTAGATACCGTCTCTATGCTGGACATTCCAGCCACTTTGACGATAGCGGAAAAGGCTGATACAGATATGACGGGTGATGCATTCAGAAGCCCGATTTCAAACAAGTCCATTAAAGCCTCTAATGATAACGAGTGCAGGGGTTTATCTGTCTCAGAATCCACTTTAATACCTAATATGAATTCAGCTGTTAGCACTTGCAATGGGCGACAATTTGGCATCTGCTTTTTTTGCACATACTGTCCGTTTTAGTGGTATCACCCTGCGGAGACAAAGAATTCGTGACTGCTGACTCTAGTAATACCGACACCAAGTTTGTCGCTTGGTCATCATCAATATCCACTACCATGTTGAGGATGAGATCCACAATTGCTGTGAAGACATCTCGATCCGACTCTTTACCAAACGAGACAATGAGAGGTACAAACACTCTATCATACAGTTCGTCACGTTCAGCAGGATGAATGCTACTGAATACATTACTTAGCATCGCGACAAACTTTTTTCGTATCAATGGTCGAGACTCGTGCATATAAAAAGTGTTGGAGATATTCGACAAGACCTTGATTTGATCGTCAAGATCGACCTGCCATAGTGATATTATTATATGATCGAGTAACATACTGGCGAGAGGAAGTGACAGATGTGGCGCTAGTTGATATAAGAGGTCATAATATAAAGTTGAGGAGGCTCCTTCTAGTTTCAAGTAGACGTCTACCACACCGTTCAAGACGGTTTGGTAAAACGTTAATAGAGTATGCAATGCACCTAATCGTTCAGACATATTTGTAGCTCCTGCTGGCGAATCGAGTGTTTCTCCCACTCTCCACCTATTCACGGGCTGTGGAAGCGACGCTTGAAGTCCTGATGCGTCATTCCAGCAGCGTGTGAGTGATATCAATATAGCGATGATGGCCTCCCATTCGAAAACCGTAAGATCCTGACCTTTGACATCATCTGCTGCTGATTTGCTGCTTACTGATGGTTCGTCCAATTTTGACGTTCCATGATTTTTAGCATCACTCCTGACTACAATATCGGGTTTGGCGCTTAATATTCCATACTTTTTCACTAGTCTAGATATCGACTTTAATATTTCAACATCCACCAGGTCGTTTGATCGAGATGTTACGACTCTGATAAAATACGATAGATAGAACGATCTCGAATAAAAGGCATCTTTCACTCGTTGTGTACCCCAAGTAGACATGGCTATAGAGAATACTGCTCCTCTTACAGTGATGTGCGACCACTTGTCGACTTCTTCAAGCATTGTGCATAGCAAGACCATACATCTTCTACCACGTGGACTTTCGAGGAGTGATTTTAATATATTCCAGCTCTTGCTTAGATGTCGTTCCCAGTTGACTGTATTACATAGCGTTTCAATCAGCCGTGGCAATACCGTATTCGACAGTGCCTTTTGTTGAGCAATGACCTCCAAAAGCGAGAGAGCTGAGGCTGTTACATCTGACATGGGCTTCGTACATAAATTACAAGCGGATATCACTAGTTTATCGGCATTACCTGGAGATATTATATTTGCCTTTACGGTCTCAGCGGCTAGCGTGAGTATGAACGTCACCACACTCTCATCTGTAACATCATCACACGATGATAGCCAATCAGCCAATATCGGTACCATATCCAACTCGAATTCCGTCAAATCCGTGCCATGCCTTGACAGTGCATCCAGCGACTTTATCTGTCCATTCGTCGGAGTCGCCTCTTTCGACGACAGAGACGTGACTGCTGTAAATAGAGCAGATCTCATACCAGCCACATTACCCACCACATCATACTGTTCCTCAAGAAGCACGTTGATGAAATCTAGAATTGTGACTTGACCCACGAGAGGCTGAAGCAGCGACCAGATATGCGTGACTTCTGAGGGAAGCAATGATGCGGTAGACTGTATATATATACATAAATCATGGAGAGCACTGGAATCGCCTGATGATGGTGCAGATGCGTTGAAGCGATCTAGGATTGACCTCAGACCACCTTCGTGATGAGCAGTTGATGCTGGCGGACCAGAGGTTGATACAGACATTGATTTGTCATCGAATGTAGCCTTCTTTTCCATGTGCTGCCGGTATGGGCTAGTTGAGAACATGAGCATATGAAAATATCGTGAGCTTAGGGTGTTTTGATGTTGCAGATTTGGCGACTTTTACCGTACCAACACGATATATTTGAGGGTAAATATCGATTCTTGTTATAAGCCCGTATATAATTCCTGCGTTTTCTTCTATGCCAAAACCAGACAGTCAGCTTCAAACTGGACGAAATCAAGTTCAACAAGTTTCGAGAGCTTTTACCAAGCTAGAGCGATGAGGGCAGCTGAAAAACAGTATCGAAACTGCTATTTTATATCAAGATCAATACTCTGCTTGTAGGAGCCGTTCCTTCCTCTGATTGGCTAATACTTAGGGAGTTGCGATTTGTCCAACAATTCGAACAGACAACAACCCAAGCTTTCATTCAACATTACGCGATGGCTTCCCGTTTCCCAAGCAGTTTTGAGCAGGAAACCGTTAATTGGAGTATTTTGTATTTTGTACCGTTAAAAATATGTGAAATCTATTGTTTGTGGGTTTGACTCATTTGATGCCACTATGCTATTATCAACAGCCTATGCATTTCATTATATTACAATCTTGTTACGTCCATGCCACTGATGACGTTGATGGAGCTGAAGAGGTACGTTCTGCTTTCAGGATTTGAATATTTTCAGCATGTCGTGTTTGCTTCACTTCAGTGCCCAAGAGACTATTTCCAGACAAGGTATAGACTTCCAGAGTAGTTACCTGTAATCTCTTCCAATTAGCGTGATAGATATTCAGACTTGTCGTCATCAGCTTCCCCGTTCGTGTAGTTGCAATGATCTTGACGTCCTCAGATGACACCACACCGCGTTCCCAATTCAGATATTGATGTGGGTCTAGCTGAACTGCCAGAACGTTAAAGGTATCAGGGGGCGGAATGGGTGGTAGAGCTAATTCCACCAGATTCGGGCAATATTGTACTATTTCCAAGCGCTCGAATACTTTCGACGGTTGCGAGTTTGTGATCCAATCAGATTTTTAAATGATTTCCGCTTTTCTGGATCAATTCGATTGCTATAGGTGCATCTGCGGGCACTTCCAAAGTATCAGGGGTTGGTATAGTCGTAATTTTCGAGCGTAGGAGATGTCGACGCACCCAAGTATATTCGACGGAGACTTGGTGCATGACGTATAATGACATTGTTTGTTTGTCGTCGTCCATAATTCCAGTTCCAGGTCTTCCAGCTTGGCATTTGCCCCTGCTGAAGCCAACGAACTCATGGCAAACAATCCAAGAGTGATATACTACTAAGCCCAAACGAGACATTCTTGAGATTTATATAGTTCGATAGAATCCAACAACCATCCAAGGATCTCAAGTCGCAGAAGTTGATGACAAGTCCAAGAGTGAAGGATTTCAAGATGTCCGTGCTTGCAGATCTGAGCGCCAATAGCATTGTTTGTACCACTTCAAAGCTAAACTTAGTAGAGTTCTTGGGCCAGAGGGTAAAGCTCTCGACATTTGTATAACGCTTGGGAATGAGCAGGGTGTCTGGTGACGAGTCATTCGTAGATTTCGATGTTCAGTTTCCAGTTTGGATTCCTGGCTGCAAACGATATAGCTTTATGATTGCTCATTAGTTCGACAGCAGGTGCTCTCACGCTGCGACAAGGCAATATCAAGGGCAGCTTATCCAGTTTTCGAGCATTACTAGCACGTCAAGGAAGGCACCTTCTACAATGACTTATCGAATACTACAGAGACTCATCAGATCACATATGCATTGCTTGTCCAGATAAATGGGTGCCTGTGCAATTGGTCGAAATATATGTAAATTAAATCTTGCTTCTGTCTATAGAAAACTTGAAAAGTTTCTCACCTGGACTCGTACTTAATAGCATTAGCACCAGTATCGACGCTAAGTATTACTAGCTTCTTGGTATGCTTAAGTGCGTCCTGTCCAAATCTATGTATATTTGCAAGAATTGCGTCCAACTGTTTACGCTTGAAGAGACGGCCTGTTTCTTTAGGAGGTGGCAAGTTCTCGTATACTATTCGAAGAGCCTAAAATAAGTGAGTTTCGTACAAGCACGACATCATCGTTCGGCTAGCTGATTCCTCAAAATCAATCTTACACATTACATTCAAATCTTTTGACACCAGAGCTGCTCGTGCCAGAGTCTTAACATCCATGATTCCATCATATTCGATATATTCAAGTATCTTTTGGACTATCTCAGTTGGCAACACGGCGTGCTCTGCTACTACTTCCATCTTATTCGATTTTTTGGATGTTTTGAAGATTCGCTGCAGCAGCACAATGCCGGGGACGTTAATTGATGAGGACCACTCGCGCTATATTTTTCTTCTGGACGTGGTTTTTTTTGCAATTGATTTCCATGACACAATTCCACCACTCTCTCAGCGGAACAGATTCTCGCCACGTTTGAATGTTTTCACTTCTCCGACACGCTATCAACATTAATGGTCTATACAAGGATCGCACCAGCAAATAATATTAGTTATGTCGGATCTCTGATCTCGCACCTATCCTACAGCTGCATGCCTCGTAAACCCCATTTGCGTATGTTTGCGCACTTTTGGGGCACAGGCTGTTCTCGTTTCAAGTGCGCTGCAAATGTAACTAACGTATGCTTGCTACTCTTTTATGATCTTGATTGCTAATAATGTATTGTAGTTTATTCACAAGTGTTTTCCAATTTGTTCTGAGGTTCGTACAAGTAATTATAATAGTATTTGATTCTAATCGTCCAGCTGAAGCCTATGAAGTTTCACGGATGTTAGCTCAAAAATAACAGAAAATTTAATCTTCAGTCAAGCCACTTACAATACAGCAACACCTCTCATAATCCAGTGCTTTTCAGGACGATCAGAGGGCAACTTTATAGGAATCACAAAGTTCGTAGAGTGACCAGTAGTACTCAGCACACCACGTCGTGCACTTGTTTTGTAGACTGGACAATTATATACGGGCTTGTCCTTCAAATCTGCTGTTCGGATTGGCTTGAACCACATAATGGGCATTAAATCATACAAGATCTTGGGTTGAGATTCACCAAGGACGCCCTTTTCACGATTCCATCGAGCTCCTTCCAAGTAGAGACCTCGTACATACACACCGTCTTCTGGTGCTTTCGCTGGTGTATCCATAGTGCTGAGGACTTCAAATTCGAGACCCAGTTCGTCAATAGGGATTGTGTATTTACGGGCATAGTTTTGCAGAGTTGCTACAGAGAGTTTCAGGAGTGTCAGTGATCCATACACTATCATGAAACGCCAGAGTTGTTTGCTTACCAGTAATAAAGGATTGCGTAAAGAAAAATCCAGACATCCAGAATACTTTGGGACAACCATGCTCATACCAATCATTAAAGAACTTGATCCTAGCCACTAAATCAGACACATATGCAGCCAATGGTTTCAAACTTGGGAAGGATTTAGCAGCCCATAAAGCTGGCACTTTGCCCACAAGCATACTCTTGGTCACTTCTTCTAGATCGGCAGACATGACTACCAAACCCTTGATTGCTTTACGTACTTGAGCCAGCGAGTCACGGATAATGGCAATCAATCGGTTGAATCGAATCATTTCTTGCACTAAAACAGTATTCATCGATTCGTTATATGATACTGGATACTTTCTCTGAGCAGCTTCAACATCAAATCCTGCTGGGACACGGTTTAATATATCCGCAGCGACTTCTTCCAAGATTTCATCTGACGTCTTGCCACCACCTCCACCACCACTAGACTGTTCTTGAGTTACAAGTACGGAGTCAAACAAGAGACGGGTCTCAGCTAATTGTCTGGCAATATCACCATTGTCGTGGATACCAAAGACTTCAGGTGACTGATTGAGCGGTAGCGACTTGATGTATTCTACCATATCGGGGTACTTGCCCTTGGCAGGAGCAAAGTATTGACCAGAAGGACTAAACTTGTATGATGGATCATCCAATATCTGAGGACTGTAGAATTGAGACAGCACATTATTGAGAGTTCGACGATCCCATTCGTCAGTGACACGACCACCATAATTACATTCACCAGTCAAGTAGCTTAAAGCTTTAAATGGTACCTCTGCATATTGGTCAAGCATCATCTGTAACTGTCTCATACTAATACGTAGATCGGATTCATTGAATTCGTACGGGATATTCCAACCTAATGGGCCAAAGTTTCTGCGCTCTTGTACAAGAGCATGGAAGAAACACAGACCAAACAGCATCTTCTCCCAGGCATTAGCCTGAGTACAGCCAGTATAGAATTTGTCGTCCGAGATCGGATCACTCAAATAACTCTTTAATAGATTGGCACGAATACCACGTGGAGGTTCATTTGTCATTTTTACACCACCTTGCAAGATGGAAGCGGGGAACTTCGGTGATGGATATGACGTTAACCACAATCTAAAGTCCTTTTGTACATTGGCTGCGCCGATTCCTGACATGTCTTCGACGATCTTTTCCAAGGATCCAAGCCATGAGACTGCCAAGTGACAGTTCTGTAATACGACCCAGGTGCCTGCTTTTTGAGCATCTCGGATCATGGCGGCTGCTATAGGTCCTTGACCTTGACCGAGAGAGATTGATTGACATCTACTACCTCCAAAGCCCTTGTCTTCGGCAAACTTCAAAAGTCTACGTGGAAAAAGTGAGTCAATATTCAGTCATCAGCAACATCGAGACTTTAAACTCACTGAGCCATTGGATCAACTCCAGGGGACAAGACAAAGATGAGAGCAGACTTGGGAGATGAATCCTCGTACGATCCGGCCAAGTCAAATGTCGGAGGCTCAATAAATTTATGCGATAACGATGCCTTTACAAACTCTTGTACACCCGGTACAATTCGTTCAGGTCTGAAGGCACGTAATATCATCAGCCTTCTAAAGTCTCCTACTGAAGCCCATTTCGGTGGCAGTGGTGCTAAGTGTGGTTCTGGGCTTTCTGCAAATGGCTTCCAGTCACTTGGACTAAATGTTTCAGCAAATCCATTAAATGCTGGCATATCCGACATTCTACATATTTCAGTCCAGGCTTTTTCGGTAATAAACGATGGATCTGGATTTGGCGTAGCGGGAGCTCCAAGAGACAGACCACCTGTTAACAAGAAGGTGAATTCTGTTTCGTCTAATTCCTTTCTGTTTCTCATGACTGCTATAGTCAAGAGTAGAGAGAAGAGCAGCTTGTCCTTTTCGAAGAGTGATCGACAGACATTACAATACAAGGAATACATAAAGTACGAGTCCAAGTTCTTGAGACGTTTCTTTAAATCCTTGGACTTGTTGGATCCATTGATGGCAGCGACGAAGAGATCAATAAACCATGTCAAAGAGTATTGGTACATGGGATCGATATTGGCCAGATCTGCAATACAGAAGAAGAGTGCTGACGAAGAGTTGGCGATTGGTCGATATGATTCACGAGTGTCATCAATCTTTCGTTCCGTTTCCTCGGCAATTTTTTGTTTTTCGAACAGCTCGACTGACAATACTTTAGAAGATGACAACACTTCAATGGCAGTTTCGTTTTCTAGAATATTGCCTTCAGCAGAAGACAGAATTTCTAGAATCTTGTCTTCAATCTCTTTGAGACGACGCTTGTTGTCAGCAGACTGCAAGATCAAGGCAGTCTTTTCCTCTTCTAATTCTGGCCTTTCACGAGTGACTACAGTACCCAGTAGTTGATCTTCTAGACCTTCTGGCGTAATCATAAAGTTGAGTAGAGAGACCTTTACGGATAATTCGGGCAAGTAGTGTGGGTTACGAAGCTTGGTAGTTATATACAGCCTAAAGTTCTCAGAGTATTCGATAACAGCATCTCCTAGACGAATACACATGGCACCACCAGATCTAAAGGTTTGCTTTTGCAAGACGGAATCTAATATAGGATCTAATTCCTCCTTGACGTTTTCTAGCAATACGGGCGATCCGAATTGAATTGCATTCTCGAGGTTACGGACATAATCAGCATCAGACAGCTTTATAATGACCAGATTACGTTCTCGTTCCATATTCTTGACCCACTTGTTCGCTTGACCTTGTGGATCAATCATCAACGGCCAACGACGTGCGTTTTGGACAATGATACCATTATCAATCGAGAATTGATCTGTTGGAAGACCTGCAATAGTCCATGCTCGGATTTTTATAGGGTCTCCCAAGACTTTGGATAACGAGAATGAGTCGGCACAAGGAATGGCAGCTGCTCGACATCTTTCCACCCAATCAGCTGCTCCTTCCGCACGATAAATCTTGGTAAAGGCACCGAGATACGCCAGTACACCAGCAGATATGAGTACATCACCAGTGAGATTTACATATGTGCCCTCGAGTTGAGCAACGACTTCAGTCCAACGTTGCTTTTCACCACCAAGACCACCCAAAAGCTTCTGAGCACGGTCAAGTTGTTCACCGCAGTTCTTGACTTCACGTTCTAGACGTTCCTTTTTGTTTGACAAGGCAGTCAAGTTCTCATTCAAGGCTTGCAATCTCTCCTGTACAGCCTTCAAGATTGCTCGTTTCTCTGTAAGACCTGCCATAGTCTCAGCCAATTCAGATTCGGCTTTAGCCAAAGCTTCCTGTTTAGGTGCTACTTCTTTGGCTACACGATCATAAGCCTCCATAGCAATAATCCAATTACACAATCCTTCGGCAGCTGACGATGCAGATCTGACCTTGTCGGGTTTAAAGTCGGGATTGGGTATAAAGGTGGCTCGAATCTTTTTAATAATGGCAGGTGGAATATTATCTTTATCAAAGGATTTGAGCTGCTCCAAGAATTTAGGATCACCCAACATTTTGAGTGAAGGCTTCCAGTAATCAAACACCATACGACCGGATCCACTAGGATCAGGAATCTTTTCTGGCTTTATATCCTTCATGGTACATACAGCTTCCATGACAAGTTTTACACCATCTGGAGGGTTCTTCATGGTCTTGACCAAGTCGACATCAGATTTCTTCAAGGTGTCAAGAGCCGACAGAGCTGCATTCAATAGTGGCAGAGCCATAGCTAAATCTGACTCGCACTCATTCTTTATTGCTGTAGCTTCATCAGCCTTCTTGGTAGCTACAGCTTCGTCAGCAGCGACAATGGTTCGAGTAGATTCAACTTCGACGGATTCCTTGGCAATCTTTTCCAACATTTCAGCGGTTTCTTCTGAAGTCTTTCGTAACTGTGGTTGCAAATCGGTCAATTCCTTTTGCATACGTTGTACTTGTCCAGCAGCAAACTGCAGTTTCTCCAGACCAGCTGCATAACGATTCTTGATTTTCAAGACTTCTTCTCGTTTCATTCCTAGTAGAGATTTATATGCCAGCAGCAGTTCCAAATAACTGGTTGGCGTGACATAATTGTATCGAGACAGCTTTTGACGGAATTTAGCAGACAGGGCTATTGTCGATTGATGGAAGTGTCGACACATGGCTACTACGGCGTCTCGAGTATTAGCTTCCAAGTCTACATCAGCCAAGAATTGACGTGCTACAGCTTGCAGAGCTTCATCGGGCCATGATTGGAACCAGTCAATGGTACAACAATTTACCAAGGCCGAGAATTGTCTTAGACGTGATCTGAAGGCATCACCGATAGGAGACATACAGAGGATGATATGTAGATTATTTCGTACACGACCGACAAAGTAGTTGTATATGGCGGCTGGCGATCCATCACCAGCTTTTCCTTGATCGGTAGCATCGGGCCCACATTTTTCTATGATGGCCTGCTTTTCGTCGTTGGCAAATATGTTAGGCACATCGCCAGAGTTTAGTAAACTGGCAATGTCCTCAATAAATGACTCTTCCTTGATTTGAGAGTCAGTAAACAGGAAGACGGTGGGCTTGTTCTCGGCTCCAGCCAACATGAGCATCTTTTTCAAATCATCCCTCCATTCAGCTTTTCCGTATGATTTGGAGATTTCAATCTGGAAGATTTCGTATTGCGACATAAATGTAGCAAGCTTGGCCAACGATTGTCGACCACTTCCACCAACACCGACGAGTAGAGCGTTACCACCAGGGAGACGCAAGATACGTAAGATACGACATATGTGTTCAATGGCGAATCGGAAGAGTACTAGATTAAGTTTACTCTTTTGGACCAAGTTGTACTCGCCGAGTTGGGTTGTTACCGCTGCGGTGACTACGTTGATATCCGTCATTTCTATATATGGTGGTGCTTCGGCACCCTTCTTGGTCAAGAAATCACCAAAAAGCAGATTTCCAACATCTGTCTCCTTGACTTTGTTTCCATCATTGCTGCTCTTAAAGACTGATTCAGAGCTCATTCCGAATTGAGAAGGTACAAGATCCTTCATAAACTCAAAGATCTGAGTACGATCTTCTTCTGTTACTAGACGATCATAATATACTCTATATACTTCATGAGCCCATAATCGAATGACCTTCTTCGAGTCTTCGAATGCCTTTGGCTGACATAAAACTACACCCTGGATGACACGTGAAAAGTCACGCAAGTTGAAGGTATAATGGGTCTTGGCTGGTGTTGGCAGTAATGTAGATACAGCCCATTTATATACAGCGGCAGTAGCATTTACTATTTTGCTGCTTAGACTACGTACTTCATCCGAGAATTCCATACGATTAAAGTGCCAGTCTGTTATCGTGTTGAAGATTCTAGCCATGGTCAAATCATCAAAGGCATTGATGACAATCTGGTTGAAGTGACGCATGAATCGAGGAGTTACAAAGTTACGACCTCCTCCTGGTGGACCCATTGCAGCGACTAATTGCACATCTACTAATTCCAGTCTAGAAGTATCCTTCTTATCATACCAGTTAGCATGATCCAGGAATTGACGGAAGAGCTCTATAGGTGGCTGAGCACCATACGTTTCCTTGGCCGGCATATTGAGATCATCGATAAAGACCAGATATTTTTTACCAAGTGGAGCACCAAACACTCCTTTACGACGCTTATCCAGTTTAGCCATCACCATGTCCTGGATTTGGTTTGCACTAGTTCTTGCAGAGAAGGCGATAAAAAGAGGAATGTATTTTTCCTTTGACAATCCATTCAGCATCTTGTTGGTAATATATTTGGATTTACCGGTACCAGTTGGACCAACCAATACAAACGACTTGTCGTGTGTGATGAGCACGTCCATCAAATAGCTGTATCGAACAGTATCTTTGGTTGGTACGATAATTTCGCTAAAGTCGGCAGTTGGTGATATCGGTGTGTCTTGAATAGTGCTAGTCCAAGCTACCCATCGTCCAGGCACACCAACTTCATACATATAATCATATACAGTTCCGTCCTTTGGTGGCAATAATGTCAACTGAGTGGGCAGACCATCAATTAGAAGTCTCAACGATGCATCGAATTTCGACTGACTGGCCGAATCAAGACTACCACCTACAGACCAGAGCAGCGAGAATATGAATCGACATTCCAGCGACTGCTTAAGCTCATCGTTCATGGTGGTGAATTTTTTGAGGTCGTCAATAAAGCTGTCGAGTAACTTGATTAACGAGTTGACCAAACTGATTTCGGATGTTGGTGCCAGTTCTTTGCATTCCTTGCGGACAAACATAAGGCAATGAGGTACCATTTGTTCGAACAGGTCTGTTAGGCGTTTTACGAAGTCTGCGTTGAGGGCTACAGTTTCGAGCCAACTTGATACGAGTGGTCGCCATCCTAATCTGTCTGGCTCCATGTACACCATACCACAACGAGATACGGTAGCAGGCTAACATGTTGTGAATTTTGTAAGCAATACTGTTCTGATTCGGCCCAGTAGAATTTAGAACAAAAAGATGCGAAACGCTAGGTCTGTACTCACTGAAGCGACAGCCAAATCCATAACCTCAAACACCAAACTCATGGTATTCGACAGCTGAATAATCTCACCACTCATAAGACAAAGCTTCTTATTATCGTCCAACACGGTATTCATATTCTCAACCCAGACGGCATCAACAGGTCCATCAAAGATAACCCATTTACGGTCTGGACTGGGACTTGATGCATAAGCACGGAAACTGGTAGCTAGCACACCATCAGTCCATTCATGCGATATAGGATCAAACTGACCATACAGTTGACCCATAGGTATAGCTTTCGGGTTTATGACTTTATGCTGTACTCGAAGCCATTCCGATTTATCTCCCTTTTCAATAGCTAGATCGGTCAAGGCATCTGCCAGGACTCGATACGCTGTTGTCTTGCCAGCAAAAGGTTCTCCTACCAACATGTATCCGTGACGAACCAACATCATTTCGTACAGCTGGATTATCTTTTCTACGAATGCTGGGATTGGCTGCAAGTGCTGCTTGAGACAATTCTTATTTATAGCTTCTTCGAGAAGGGCATAATCGGGTTTGGGGAGTGTTACACCAGGGAACAAGTCGGATGTGATGCCTCTAAACAGGGCGATATCTTGAGACAAGAATTTCGGCAAGTTTACGTCAATGATGGATCGTAGCACGACGACGTTTTCGTTCTCGTCCGGATATTTGAGCTTCAAGTTACCGGCAGCCGTCAATACAGATTTGACAGCTCTCATACCATAATCGTAGTGATCTTGCGATGACAATTGCTCAGAGCACAAACGATATGTGGCGGTAATCTTTCGTGCTAAATTACGAGCTTCGATAAAACCACACGAGTAGAGTGTGATTTCGGAGATGAGGGTATAATCGGGAACCTATAGGAGAAAAAAGTTTGCTGTCAGAACTAAGTTTTCGACACTCTAATTCATTCGAAATATGTTCTCACCATCATTGCAACAGTTCTAAAAAGTGCCTTCAAGTTATCCGGCAGTTCAGAACGACCAGCATAACCCGGATTCATGGTAATAAACACAGCACAAGACGTATTCAACGGCAGATTGGTACCTTCAAACATAAACGTCTGAAGCTTAGCAGCGATAGCACGCTGAATCGTCAGAATCTGTTGTGCAACGACAGACAGCACTTCCAGATCGATACGATTAAATTCATCAAAGCATGCCCATGCACCAGATGAAGCTAATCCCTTGAAGAATTTACCCATAGCAAGGTAATCAAGACCATCAGAGCAGTTAAAGACGACACACTGCTTTGCAAGTGCCTTGGCTAAATCCTTTGTCGTTTCGGTTTTACCGGTACCTGCTGGCCCTTCTGGAGCACCGCCGAGATTCAAATGTAGAGCACCGAATAAGGTACGGTAACAACGATCTGTCAACGGCGTAATAACTAGACGTGGACTGTTTCCTAGATATTCATATCCGTATCGGCGAGTAGTGTTAATCATTTTAACCTCGACTTGACTCTTTTCCCAGTAATATCGTAGCTGTGCCAACCACGAGAAGTCCTGTGTGTCCTTGATTCCTTCTAGAGCTAATTGTGTGGCTACATCACGAGCATGCACATCAATGACGACCAGAGCTCCAAGAGTCAGACGGGCCATCTTTGACAAGTTACCACGTACAAGTTTAATTACTTCAGACAAGTCTGAATTTAATTTTTGGACGTATGATTCAAGTCCCTTCTTGCCAGACATGATGCCGTTTTCAACACCCCAAGTCCAAAATATTTGGCCTACACAGAGTACTACCTGGCCAGGCCAGTCGAGTACCCATTGTTCTCTTGGAGTATTCGAGTATGCATGAAAGGCATTCTCAGTGACAGAGTGCACTGATTCCAACATCATGCTTTCTACTTGGGACAGCCACTTCTCGACAGAGCCCTTGGCATCGTTTGTAGACACCTTTTGAGTAAGTTGTAGCTCTTCCTTTTCACTGGAATATAATGCTGTGATATCCAAATTGTCGTCAAAGTTGAGAGATGCGACACCTTCGAAACATTTCTTGAGATGTGGTTGGACACGAGTGGGATCTTTCGTTTCAGAAAGAATCTAAGCGACGAAAGAGTCTTAGCCACCTCTCAAAACCAACATTGAAATCGGTGTTGCGAACATACCTCAAGCATTTCATCATTAGACAAGAAGAAGAATCGAGGAAAGAACAATCTCTTGATTTCAAGATACGAGTTAAGACCTTTCAAGATGGCTTCCAAGTTCTCGTTACTGCTCTGGAGCTCAGCTACAAGACCGGGAATATCCGTTACAACCAAAATCTTGTTGTCTTTGTTGACGGTCTAATTTTCCAAGTAGGAGAAGCGATGAGTAAAAATTGCAAACATGGTATCGGACGATCTTTTCTTCACCATACCTCCATCATCTTCCTCCAATTAGTATCAACAGTCTTGAATTTTCTTCCTTCTTCTGGCATCTGAGCCATAATATCTTCAGACGAGAAGATGGGTTCCAGATACAACCAGGTGGCCTGTACTTTGAGCCATTCATCAATGACTTCTTGAGTAGTGAGCAATTTACGTTCCCAGTCTTTAATCTGTTGCTCGAACGGTTTAATGTACGGTGATCCACGCATGGATTGAGTCTTGACGATTTGATCATCAAGTAATTGTTGAGCTTCGTCAACGGCAGACAATATGAATGTGCCAGTCTCGCGGTATGCGATGAGATTAAATGTGAGGGGCTCCCAATCGGCTGCCATCTTTGCCATGTTCTTTTCGAGAGTGTATTCCTTGGATGCAGAGTCTAGATTTGAATCGTGAAATGTGAGTAGAAGCAAAAAAGGAGGGACAACATACATTCTATGCTTACCGCTGATTTCCTGGAACTGCTCCAGACATGGCAACAAGTCGTGTTTCAGCATCTTACGCAACGTTGTCTGTCCATCAGGTTTCATATTCTGACCCATGATTTGAGACATACGTGTCCAATGACGGTCCCGCATGCCAGGATTACAAAGTACCCGTACAAATGGCACATTCGTAATAAACTCATCCAGCTTTTCTTTAACTTGAGCTGCAATAGCAGTAGGAGCAGGTGCTTCACTCAACAAGCTAGCCACCCGATACATTTCACGACGAAGTGAATCAATCTCTGCTTCGATTGCCTCAGCTTCCAATTCCAGCAATGGACCATCAAGCCATCGTTTATAAGATTTCTGGAAATTGACGGATATGGTATATAATGCCTGATACGGCTCCAAAGCCAACAAGATTGTTTTACGTTGTGGGTATGCCGTGACTTCCCATCCGAATACGTTTTCTTCTCTATTGAATTCAGCAATGGATTCGGCAGCTCCTTTGAGTTGCTTTTCCATGGCCGCAGCTTTTTTGGCATAAAAGGGCATTTCATCTAATTCGCCGACATCTCGTAGAGATTCCACCTGTTTGGATAATTCATCCAATTCAGCAACGAACCGGGTTCGTTGTTCGACGAGTGAGGTTTCGGCACGGTGACGAGCTTCAGTCATATTGCCTTCATACTGTTCTACGATAGGTAGTAGACGTGTCGGCCATGTGAAGGCAGCATTGTTGAGCTTGATGTAGCTTTCGGATAAAGCCGAGAAGGAAGCTATGTATGTTAATCGTTTACGAGCTTCGTCTAATTCTTCCATTAATGCCGGAATCTCCTTGGCTCGGACTTCTTCCATGTATACCATGAGATCAGCCATTTCCTTGAAATCTGCCGGCACATGGAGAGCACGTTGCTCGATAGCATCGAAGCGTGCACAAACCCTTTGAAAAGAAATTACAATTAGTTTCAACCCACCAAAAAAAACCGTTACGTGAGATGAAGCAATAACTCACAATCGCTCAGCTTCAGCAGTTTGCTCCGTGATATTATTCAGGTATCGATTACTGAGCTCAATAGCCCTAGCAGCAATAGCCTTATGCAACTCTTCACAATTAAGCTCAATCAACGGCAGCTCATTGCGACGACGACATCCCATGACTTCGGTAGCGATAGACCTATATCTCTCTATTTCAGCAGAGTACTCTTTAAAGGAATGCTGCTCTTTGAAGAAGACCTCAACAGAGGCATCAGCTTCATCCATTAACAGAGACTTGTACTTGTCATACTTGCTGACGAAGCTACGTGCCACGTCAAAGCATTCGGCACAGTATGCACGTAGTAGAGCAGCTCCTTGTTCAATCAAAACAGCTTCAGGCTTGATGCGGATCTCGTCATTAGCACCTGGTGTTCGGAATGGATTACCAGATGTAGCAGCACTGGTTTCATTCGTCAATTTCAGCAAGCTTTCGGAAGCTTGAGAGTTTATGACAGCATCGATTTTAGGCATGGATTCGACGGTATGGATTATTAGTTCGAAGCCTTCCAGTACGGCTTCTTCTACATCAGACAATGGTGGATCGAATTCTGGTGTACGATCTCTGAGCCAAAGACGGACTTGGAAGCGTGGTGCTCGTGGTTTTAAATCCATTAGCTCTTCCAATATATCACCAGATGGAGCAGCAACTGGATGAGCAAATATTGTGAGGTAGTCTGCCAAGGATCCAGTTATGATTGACAGGACTTGGTTGAATATTAAACCGTTTCCAGCCCTGTATAATCCAGCTGGTGGACGTTGGAAATCCTTGTTTTTACCAACAGTAAAGTGATCCAGGAAGAGACGAAGCACTTTGACAAAATAGCTAAAAAAAATCGGGAATCAATTTCCTCGTACTGCCATCAGACAAATTCAGACCCAACATACCCATTGATAAGCTTCTCGCGACACTTATCAGCCTGAACCATAACCATGGATCTAAATCCACCAATACGGAATGTAGGTTGTTTACAAACTTCTTCCGAATCAACCAATCGATTCAAAGCATGAGGGCCCCATTCTGCCAACATGCCACGAATCACACCATGAGGTAGATACAATTCACGTTCAATCTTGGTTCTGTTTTCCAAGAACGACGCACGCCATCCAGTCGGCAATGAAGGTTTGTCTTGTGGCAATGGGTAGATTGCTTCTGCGTCAATCCTAAACCAAAAATGAGGACACGACGGCACAGAAGTATATTTGCATGGCAAAGCCTTACTTGGCATTCTGAGATCCTTTTTTGCGAGGTTTAAGGATAAAATCGACTAGTAAAAACGACCAAATGTAAGCGACTGTTTTGAAGCAACTAACCAAAAAAACACTGATGGATTGATCCCAAATTGCCAGAACAGGACTCACCCGCAGACCGCTTCCCACTCTCACTGTACTCTAGCCTCGTCTCCTCAAGCAACGATTTGACGTCCTGTGGAAAGCGATTCTTGACCACTTTTGGTATCAACGCCAAAAAGTTGTCAGTCCACTCTGGATTCAGTTGAGCGGATGTGTGTGCTTTGATGTTGGAATCAAAGTATGTGTAGAAAGCCTAAAATTGAGAGATTGAGTATTGCGTTGACAAGTATAATAGTCACTGCATACCTGCACAATAGCTCGTTCATCATCGTTCGAGTCGTCAGACTTGGAAGCTTGAGCAGCCCGAGTTATACGTGAGTCGGGAAGGTAATCGCCTTCCATGTTTTCGAGGAGTAGTTCTGCGGTATCGTCTATTGGGAAATTGTTAGTCAGCGTGGGGAAGAAAACATGGCTTGCCTAACCCAACATAGGTACTCACCAGAATCTGGAGCTGGATTGCTAATTTGTTGATCACTAGCCGAAAACTCGACTTGTCAGCGTCAACCCAAAATAAAATTCAAACGACAACACCCTTGATCTATACACACTCACACTAAAAAGTGCACCAACTTTTCCTTAAAACTCCCACCTTCTCCCGACCCCTTAGATCCAAACCCATTTGCCTCCTCGTCCTCTTCAGTGGACACTCCAACACCACGCTGCAGTGGTTTGGGCTCGTATCTGACGCTTCCTTCCTCGAATATATAGGAACGGTGTGCTGTTCGTCGTGGCGGTGGAGGATGCACCTTAAGACGAGCCAGTAATGCATCGGCACCTGTTGCTGGTTCAGCGGCTGGATTTGCTCGTGCATCGCGAGATGCTCTTATGAGTTCTACATGAAAAAGATCGTGTTTGTCTGTTAGTGACTTCTACCCCAAAGAAGTTTACGCAAGATCTGCCACGTAAATCCATGTACCTTGAAGAGTCACCGCCTTCTTCATAATAGTAATCTTTTCATTCTGATTTACCGCGCCTGGTAAATCAGGCAACATTGGTTTTCCACTCTCGTCCGTCAGTTTTCGTTTAATGTTGGCATTCGGGACGGTTTCTACACCGGCTGAGCGGTATGAGGGCACTTGGTGGGTATATGGTGATGATGATAGTTCTGCTGCCGCTGCAGCAGAAACGTCACTTGGTTTCGGTTTGTCCATAACCAGTTATAAGTTTACTTTTTGATCAAACACTTGACTGGCGCAAAACCTACAGAGAGGTCCTACAAAGCTGTATAGGATCCAAAGAAGCCCTATCAGTATCAAATTTACACCTGTCACTGATTTCGAGGGTGTTCCTTGGCCCAGAATACTAGTTTTATGCGTTCTTTGTCGTTTTGTGGAAAAGTTGCAGAAACCGTGTATACAACACAGTTTCGTGATGAACTGCAATCATTGAGCGTGCAAGCTGAATCTTAATTTATTTAGAAAAATTATATGCCAACTACGATCATGTACAAGGTCTTCCGTTTTCTAAAAAGCCTCCACGTCAATTATATCATTATCATCGTCTTCCTGCTCAACATGCGATAGATCCCGCGACGGAGGTTCCACCACAGGAAGATCTCCCTTCTTATCTACATGATCCCCACTGTCTGCGGGCTGTTCCACAATCACTGGCTCGTTTTTCAATATTGGAGCAACCTGGACCAACCATGGATTCCTGACAACTGGAGCTTCCACCATTTCCAAGTCCATATCAGGCTCCAATAGTATTGGGAGAACCATATCTTGACCATATTCATCATCATCAGAGTCCATTGTGTCGACATCTACGAACTCGTCATTTCCTGGAACAGGTGCTCGTGGAGCCTCGACCTACAACGAGAAGATTATGTCATCTTAGCTCAATTGTAAGCAACTCAATGGAATTACATACAACAATATCAAACTCGTCTTCTCGTTCTTCGTACTGCTGACACTCGTCTATCTGTTTGAAACCTAAAAATGTGACTAGTCAGCAAAATATACTTATGGAGAGGAGACGCAATGCTTCGTACCTGGCAAGACAACTGCCCATGCGTCCCGGTAATCTCCACCCCACACGTATATACACTTTTCGCTAGATACAGAGACCAATGTTGGTCGTTTGGGATGCCACTACAAAAGAAACAAGACCATATCAGTACAAAGACACAACACTGTAACATGAGACCACGCTGGCTTACCATCACATTCAATAAATCCTCTCGAGGACCTTCGAGACCTTTGATCAAGAAGGCTGTCTCTGTTTCCCACATATAAATGTTGTGTTGACCTGGTGCCGCAGATCCTAGTTAAGGAGATGTCAAGACCTTGTCTTTGTTCATAACAAATCTCCAATATGTTACCTGCATATATATATGCTCCATCATGACTATATCCACAGTTTGTGAATACAGTCTGATTCGGTACTTGTTCAAGTTGACGAAGTAATTGGAGTTGAATAGGTTTGTCAGGAAGGTGCTGTATCGAGACTGTCATGAGCGAATCTGTACATATAGCAGCTTGCCTAACGTCAACATGTGAGTTTTGAAGGCTAAAAAAGTGACAGCTAAGGGAGACTTACGTTCGAGAAGGATTGAGGTCAACACTTTTTACAGCAGATTCTGATATCTGAATACTTGTGGTGATCTGAAAGGTACCACGAGTGAGGATGCCATTCCTTGTTTCAAAACCTGTGTTTTTACTCACCGTCAGAGACTTCACATGCAGAACCGAAATCGCTCCTTGGCTATTTCCGAGATACAGGTATTCTCCTTTGCGATCAAAAGATCCCGTTGTGATATATACACGATCAGTGGATATGCTAGACGAGGAAAAGAGTCAGAACTCGTATTGTCAAATGTGGTATAAACTAGCATACGTTTGATCTGTTGATAAGTCTGGTTCCGCACTGATCTTGACCACATGGCGTATAAGTTTGGCATCAGGAGAATCTGGTAGATCTACGATTTGAGGATTTTCTAGATATGGCGACAGCGCGAATTGCTTTTCTTTTGGATGCATCTGAGCCCACAAGATGGGAGAGTTGAAGGCAATTTGGAACTTGATGGATCCATCATACAAGTCCCAATAGATGCAATTTGAGTCACGAGATGCTGATAACAGGTATCTTCCAGATCGCTCAAAGCTGTGCCCACAAAGGAGACTATGGATTGAATACAAGCGAGAGAGCTTTTGTCAAAACAAATGGATCTTTCATACCTGACGGCGGTGACTTGAGCAGCATGAGCAGCGAGACTTCGTATTGGTTGGCGAGTATCAAAATCCCAAACTTGAACTATTCCTTTTAGTGATCCAGTAGCGAGGAATGTTCCATGTTTGCTCAAGTTGATGACTGTGAATTCATCGCCTTCGAGCTTGTCTTCGACGAAATCAGGCAGGACATTTGATTCTAAAATATAAATAAATGAAAAATGAATATTAAAACCATCGTCTCTAGTGCTGAATGGTTAAACTTACCAAGAACTGCCAGATTCATCGTGAGTAAACAACAACCCAAGCTGCAAGCTTAGAGGAATGCAGGACTATATACAGGATATAATCACGTCACTGACACGCAACAATGCAGAAGATCGTATTGTTGCCGTAGCTGTACTCGATCAACTGTACCAAGGACTAAGTGCGAACGATTTGAATGTTGACGACTATGGACAGGTTGCCAGTGCAAGTGACGGTGCTTGTCGATTATGGAATATCGCAATCAAATATCAGCAAAATGATATCGATTTATGTGCTAAATGTAATCATTTAATCGGTTATTGGTTGAGATACAAGACATCTAACCGTGATCACTACTTTAGTACGTTTGGTGGCATTTCTGATACTGAATAGCCTATCTGGACGACATCAAGATGTGTATCAAACGAGTATGATTCAAATCTACATGGACTTAATTCTTTGTTCGAGTGTACTCACGATCCAGTATAGCCTCGATCAAGCTGGTTGACGCTGGTTTGTCAACATGTGACTCATTGCTGGATGCTGGCAGGATAGAGCAGGCTCTCCATACATCCAAGCTACTAGAAAAGGTTGTCGTCGTCTGAACCTCACTTTTGCTACCTCATTCACGAAGCTTACCATTATGGGATTCTAGAACCATGAACTGGACACGATGAGCTGGCAAGTCTTTTTTATCGAATGCTCACTTATCGGTGAAGGCACGCCGAATACAATGGATCCCTCGTATATCTCTGTCATCGGGGAGACGGATCTTGAGGCAAGCAAACAAGCGATGCAGTAGGTGCTCACTTTGTAACTAACCGCACCATCAACAGATAGAACGTTGCATCTTCAGACTGTCCAAAGTATGAATTCGGCAATTTTTGCGGTCAAATTTCTCCAGAACTAAGGCATCATCTACATTATTAGTGCATTACAAACTTGGTTCACACCAACAAGGACAAGGCCATGATAGGAATTCAAACAATGCAAACTATACTTCATTCAGCTGTCGCTTCTAACAAATGCAGGCCTGCATGGGCAGATATTTATGTAAGCTGGATGTCGTTTATTTATCGAAAACGACTGCTAATTCAAAATTATAGGTAAACTCGTGGATATACCTCTCCTTTGCTCAGAGCATTGATTCGGCCAAGCTCATGAGTGTAGTTAATACGCTACGTGAACGGAATCTGTCTAAATCATCCGCCATCATGGTTTTAGCTCTTCGTGCTTTCATGTTGGGTGGAGTGTCTCAACAGAACCTGACTTCAGGTACAAGCACGCTGTGGTGCCATGGTGTTTTTTGCTGACACCTTCTTTGCTTCAAGTCGTCGCAGGATTGGACCTCTCCAACAGTCAATGGTCGAAAATGCAAGTGTTGTTTCGTGTTTCTCGCGAAACACACTGTAGACTGACGGCTATCCCCTCGCTAGTTTGCTTCGCATGATGCAAGATTTGGCCAAGATGGATTTATCAGCTGCTGTGCAAATCATGATGCTTGTCTCCTTTCCTGATGAGTTGCGTGCCAGGTCTGGCATCCTCAATCTAGACATGCCTTTGTTCTTTGCTCAGTAGACCTTTCTCTCCTTCTTGAAGGTTAAGCCTGTCTCTGGTATTTATTGCTACGCAGACATCCCATTCATGTCATATCAACGATGTGGACAAGTTGCTGCAAAGTGGTAGATGAGCGTTTTGCAATGTTCTTTTTTGGTCATTGCTCACACAAATCATCACTTTATAGACCCATTCTTACAGAGGCCTAACGATACACGATCGACCAGCTTGAAATCACAATATGCTGCTTTAGTATGGAAGGCCGGGCAACGAGAAATGCAGTCTGGACGATTGACCATTGCTCTTCAATGGTTTGAACTGTTGCTGGATTTGTTACCTCCTGATCGGAAAGCCTTCATGGAGAAGCGGCTCGAAGATTTGTATAGTGAGACTGCAGTACAGCGTACAAGAGGTTGGTCACATAGCATTTAACTTTGCCCGGCCTTTTTACTAAATCGACCACTTGAGATACAACTCAAATGCCCGACGAGGATGTTTCGCAAGTATTGAACATCGACGTGACCGCAATAAATGCAACAACTGTGATGTTGCAATGTCAGCGGTTGATTCCAAGGTGCGTAACGCTGTCTTCTCGATGAAAACAAAACAGACATTAACTTTGAACTGCCTTGTAGTATAAAAGACCCATTGGCCATGGTTCAAGCTCTCAGAAAAGGCTTGGCTGCAACTCTACTACTTCCAAACGACGATAATGTGGAATGGCTGATTCGACATTCTTGGAATGCTGCCATCCATAATGCGTCCCAAAAGGCCGTCGCTTCTGAATGTGCTTCGATTGCATACCAAGCTTTGAGGATAAATCCACATGAAACAGCTACGATTCTTCAGCAGGTGTGTGATCGATGTTGAGTGATGCAGCGCAAATGAAAAAATCGCAAGTACTTTGTACTCTATCAATAGAAACGAGTGTGTTGTTTGTGCAAATTATCAGCCCTCATGTCACATATCAGAGACAAGTCTTCCAATTTCCCTACCGACGTATGCAATACAGCTTTGGGAGTGATCGAAACTACTAGACAAGTGTTGAAACGATTGGAAGAAGTCACTTCGAAACAAGATACCAAAGTTGGAGAGGCTCTGTTGCTCTATGAGGTATGATTCAAACCAGGTGTACTGCATTTTTGGCAGCGATTGATTGCTCACACATGCTTTTGGTTAGTTCGAGTGCCATATTATCTTGAAAAGCTTCCAAATTCTACGTGCACTAGTAAACAAGGCTGATGATGCTGTCGAGACGTCCTCCGACGTTTTTGAGAGAATGGCAGGCATGCTCTGCTACTGTTTGTAGTCATGTCATGTACAAAGCTATTTCTTGACCTCCAAATTAATTAGGTCTAGTCATACGTTCTGAATGCCCAGCTGGAGGTACAGATTACTTCGGTTTCTATAACCTATATTTCCACCACTCTTTTACACAACATTTCTAGTCTTATTTGGTGTCATTCAGTCAGTGTTGGACTGTCTGTTAAAACGAGGTCGAGTAGATATTACTAAAGTTAGCAAGTGGTATGTTGTGGAGTTAAGGAGTTAAGAATTTAAAGTTTACATCACGTTGTTTTGGCTGCCTTCAATGCAAAACAGGTTCCGACTACTCATTGAGATTGCGCTTGCTTCAAGCCAAACGGTTGCTCAAAACTTGTTTCGTCAAGTGTACTCCATCATGGAGTCTACTACTGACAAAGTAAAAGTCCCAAGTTTTGAAGCTAGTTGAGTTTGAAAATATGCCAAAGTCTGACTCGTATCTCTATCTTTAGTATCCTCAAGATGAGATCTTGTGGCTAGCTATATCTTGTTGGAATCTCGCAATGTCAATCAGGTAAAACTGGTGTGAGATTGGAAAGTCACATCAACGAGAAAAAAATTCGTCCCATGAACAATTTACAACTAGATCCGAAGACACAGATGCAACTTCGACCTACGAAATGGCTTTATCATTTGCCAAACATTTGAAACATGCTGACGTTTATGAACAGTTGAATTCTGCTTTTGAGGAAATGAAGGGAGAGGCCTCATGAATTGCGAATGAGTAATCAGTTGAGTTCATTTAAGCCTTGACATTTGTATTTTATTTTCATTTTAAATAGACGTTAAGGACGAGGTCAAGAAACAACGCTCAGATTGTATTCAGATGCAATATTCTTTGACGTTTTTACAACTACGGAAGCGAGAGATTACATAGTCGGGATGAATGTCATAGTGTATGTTTGGACCAATGCTCACGTAAAGTCTTCTGCATCAGCCAAATGTTGAACCGCATTTACATCGCTAAGTACGTCACAAATTTAGGTCCCACCAACAAAAGCAAGGCCATGATAGTGTGACTGTGAAGCTTCTGAGTAAAGCGGGTTTGAGGTTTGAAGTTGATCTTCGACACGGGTACCAAAATTATGACACAGAAAGGTATAGTGAGTATGGATCTCTTCATTTGGTGAGAATCCAAACGTTATTAAAGCGATTTCAAGGTCTATGCCTTCAAGAATGCCTCTTTCAAAGAAGCCATGGCTTCTAAATGTGCTGCTATGGCAGATCAAGCTTTAAAAAACTTAGAAAATGCTACAATTCTTCAGCAAGTTACGTAACTTGTCGTGATCGCCTTGCATGCTTGTAATGTCGAAGGAGCAATTCAAGATCGTTAGACGAATTTGCCGTTCAAGGTGCCAACAAATACAAGACAGCAGTTGATTCTGCTTTGAAACTGCTTTGGAAGACACGAAAGGGCAAACATCATCATGAAGTTCAGACTTGGCTGGGAACGCGCTCAATGGGTGTATCGTTAATTATTGTATCTGTGTCATTGGAATAAATTGAATAAAAGCCTATAAAGGCACGAAGTAGATCAAACCGACACATTCAGTCAAGTTTCGTATATTCCCATATATTCACGTGTGTTCAACATTCCAAGAAAAACAGGACGACCAGCTCGAACAAGAAGAGAGCAAATAGTCAAGGTATAAAATATCACCAGCTTACACGGGCATTCAATATGATTGTAAGTTGCTTCCATTTCCACTCTGCACCAGTATTCTTTGGTCTTTTTTTCAAGCCGGCTTATGCTTATTTCATGTTTACACAACAGGTCATCAAAGCTTCACTTGGCGACGAGATTCGACGACTGCCAATGAGCAGATTGCCTGGGTAAATTCTCATATATTGTCATCAAAGTCGTGTGGTCGTTGTAAACTCTTTTAACATCAACAACTTATTATTAGAGAATTAACATTTGACGAGCTCTGTATTATCATTGGAAGACTCTTCAAGCTCAAACAAGGTCCAAATCAGGTGGACCAGATGACTTTGAAATATGTGGATGAAGGTCAGGAAATCCTCCCTACTTGGATCTATGAACTCGTTCTTTGCTCACGCATGTCTATTGGTAGACGGAGACAAAGTCATTCTCGAATCTGACATTGACATCAGCCATGCATTGTCAATGAATTCAGTATTACGTGTTATTGTTGAACGTCCTGCTGATCAGACTGTCAAAAAAGGTACACGATAGATTCAATGTTTTTTGATTCGACACTCTATCTATATCAACTGGTTTTAGTCACAGAGACTCTATCAGCTGAGAGTCTAGGATCTGTTGATGCAATCAAAGCATCTTTGAACGACATTAAGGAAAGGGTTGAGGTTGCTTTGAAAGCGTTGAGCTCTGCAGAAGTCGCTGGTGCTGCCGGTAAGCTATAGTTTGAACGTTTCGGCTCTTTTTGCATATAGGAGCGTGATCAAGGTAGCGCAAAAATATCTGACCCTATTGTGGAATTATGAACCTCTCTAGGTGCTAAAACGTCACCATCATTCAAGACCCTCGAACCAAAAGACTTAAGCCAGTTCCTACCACCACCTAGTACACCACAACCACAACCGCAAGCTCAGACCACACCCGCTTCATCACCGCCTAGTGTACCACAACAGCTTGCCCCTCATCCTCCGCAGCAGATTCCTCAACAACAACAGGCTCCTCGACAGGAACAACAAGGTCCTCCTCAACAATATTATTATCAACAAGGACCTCCTCAACAACAACAGCAGCAGCCCCAACAGCCTCCTCAACAACCTCCTCAACAGCAACAACATCAACAGCAGCAGCCTCCTCAACAGATCCCACCATACTACATGCAGGTAATGGAACTTTGTATTGAAACATGACTTTTTTGCATCTCTTGATTCGTTGCTTCTTGAATACTTACACAATCTTCACCTTCTAGCCACCACCACAAGGGGCAGGAGCTCCTCCACCTCAACAATACAATTATCGTCCTCCTTATTCGGCTCCACCACCACAGCAGCCATACTACCGATGAACGGAATCATATATAGTGAAAACTTTTGAAGGTGTTGAAGAATATACTTGTATTTTGATTTGCTGACTGTTGAGGAATAAGCTGTAGAATAAATCGAATTTCTCGCTTATCCATTGATTTTTTTCAATCTTGGCGTGTTGCTGATGAACCCAGACGATGCTCTGATTGAACTTTGAAACTTCAACGTCGATTCGCGCAGTGATTCTAAGCATATGTCTCGTAACGAACCAATGAACGATGAAGTCGCGATATCGTTTGCTGCCAAGAATCCGAATTGTAAACTCGACATTGATATATTCGAGGAATTACCGATAGCCTCTGTGCTAAAGGCCTTGCATTACATACCAATTGAAGCCTTTACGAGGCACCCTGACGGCATGGACTATATGGACTTTGATACAATTAATTCCATGTTGTTGGCCATTAGGAACTCGAGTACTGAAAGAAGCTTAAAGTCTTTCGATTTTGGCTCTACGCTTGTCAGATATCTTCCTGGAAACGTCCTATCAGCTAACTGCTGGGACTTGTCTCTGTACGTCAATCTGAAGCGTATCTGCTTTGGTCGTAACAATGGGTGCCTTGCTGAATGTCTTGCCTTGATATTCAACAAAAGCAAAGGCCAACCTCGAAGATTTAGAGCTACATAGCTGGTCCACATCAGAAAATCATGTGATTGCAGATCTCGTAGCCCGCCATGCGCCAACTCTACATCGCTTATCACTGGCCGAAGCGGTCCCCGAATTCCTTTACGATTATGATATACCCAACTTGGACACCCAACTTGGACGACTTGTACTTGGAGACCAATCCAGCCATGGCAGCCCAACTGCTACGTAGTAATGGCGATCGTCTCAGGATTTTGGACTTCCAGAATTGGGAGGATGATTTGGAAGCTTTGGAAATAATAGCAGAGTGCTGCCCGAATCTAGTGGAACTGCATCTTCTACCTCTTGTTGGCCTTCACCTTATCAAAGCTGCCGCCACTCAATTGAAAAGCTGGAAGATCTGCATTAGGGCGGGCATCATCTGTCTCGTGCAGCTGTGAATGATATTGCCATTATAAGAGCTCAGAGGAAGAGTAAGGTGTGTCTCAATCTCTATCATGGTGATGAATGGGCAGCAACGTCAGAAGATGCTTCGTTGGAAGTATATGGTTTATCTTGCAGGAATCTGCTGTGGACGCAGCAGAAGCATACTCGTCGAGCACTATATTCGAAAGCTGAGTAGAACGTGTTGTTGCAAGAGCTGCGAATATTATGAATTTCACCAGCGTAGGTGTATGAGAATGTGAGACAGAGATATGCTTAACAATTGTTCTAGTACGATTGGCTAATGAAACCAATATAGTTCCCGTTACTTTACAGCATCAAAACAAGGGTAGACACTGAAGGGATGTGACTACAACGTCAAGTCACTTCCATCATTCTCCTGATCTTCCCCATTGAACAGCAATACAAGGTCTTCCAATGTTAGCCGACCTTCTCCCTTCTTCATCTTCAATGAACGGCCATCCATGGCTGCATCAAAGATCTTCTTCTTGCGCACTTGCAAGGCAAGAATCCTCTCTTCAACCGTGTTGTTGATCATAAGACGGTAAACAAAGACGTGCTTCTGCTGCCCGAATCTGTGGACCTGTAGACAAAGTATTGAGCTTTGCGTCTAGTCACGAACCATGTTGTTATTGAACGTCAGACTTACTCGGTCACTAGCTTGAGATTCAACTGCAGGATTCCACCAAAGCTATCAAAAAAGCCATACACATATTCGTATATTTGCTTTGCTCAAACAACAAGATGTCACAATAACTTACATCCATTAGAATGACATGATTCGCGCATGTCAAGTTGAGTCCCAGACTTCCACATTTCAATGAAATCAGAGCAACATTACAATCCTGGTCGGTTTCAAAAATATTGACTGCTTTGGAGCGGTCAGTTGCGCTCATTCCACCGTCATACTAGAGCAAAAAAGAGGTAAGACATCTCCTTGATGAAGCAATCAGATATCACTGCAACCACAAACACGTACTCTGATGAATTTGAAGCCCCTCCTCTTCAAAGCAGAGCCTACGATATCGAGAACTCCAAGGAATTGAGAGAATACTGTAAAGAAGCGTGTTTGGTTAACAAAGCACAAAAACCAAAACATGCCTTGACTCCATATCAACTCACTGATTGTCTTATCCCCATTACTTGCTCGGCGTGTCTCCTCCAAAATCCCAATAGCTCGATCAATTTTCGTAGAAGAAACAAAAGACGATGCTAAATCTTTAAGTACTCGTAGCTCGTCATTCACATCAACCGTCCTCTTCAACGACGGATGCATTTGGTATACAGTCGACATTCCAATAATACAATCCTCCGACGCAGGACCCCGACAAGACGGACAGCACTTCTCCCCTTCTCCAACATTAAAGAAATCTCGAATACATTCTGAGCAGAATGCGTGACCACAGTTTGCGAGGATGCTGGTGGATTCCGTAACAAGACCCTCTGGATACGCAGCCAAAGAAAACATCTTTCTGAGCCTTGATGTAGTTTTGAGGGTCACTGTCGTAACAACAGCTTACCAATGCATATTGGGCACTCTTCAAGCTCCTCATTCTTGAGCCGATTCAAAGTGTCGAGATGCAAGTTTTGAGCCAAACGTTGCTCATTTGACAAGTTGCTGCTGCCACCGCCAGCGACAGGAACGTTTTGAGATTCGGCAGGCTCAAACGTCTGCGCGACAAGAGCAGGATGGCAACATGATTGTCGCAGACGAAGCAGCAATACCAATACGTTCGTGTAGTTCTTCATCACCGTGCCCTGTAACGAAATGATAGTTTGAGCGGTGGTTTCAAACAAACAAATATCCCGTTGTGACATTGATTACGTCTTTCAAGTACTTATTAAACTGGAGACGAATGTTTTGCTCCACCGCCTGATAGAATTCACGTTCCGGTGGTGTGAAACTAGTGTGCCAAAAGAGTCAGAAGTGCTGGAGTGGAGAATGCTAACAACCAACCATGTTTACTCATTCGTATCAATCCTGACGACTTTTGGGGGCAGTCGAACTATGGGAAAGCCATCAAGATAATCCTCTTTGGTGCGCCGTAGACATACAGCTGAACGAAAGAAGAACGGCTCATGAGCAAAAAAGGGTGTTGATGGAACGTGAAAATAGGGAAGCTCCAGATTCTCACACACCTCTTAAGATCGCATTAACTCGTTTCAGAGCAGTCTTGTGTCGTCCATTTCTAAAAGGTTTAAGGATTTCCTCTCGAAACTTGTCCCAATCGTCATAGGGTGCAATAGCCAGAAACTTGAGCAGTGGGTATAGCTCGTCAACTATGTTTGTGAGCATCAAAAATAATCAGCAAGAACAGCCAAAACGACACCAAGCACTTTTTTATGGTGCTCACTCTTGTTCTCAATCGGCGTCCCACTCAAACACCACCGATATCGAGCTTTTAACAAGGCCGCAGCACGAGCACCTTTCGTGGTCTTGTTTTTGATCTTTTGTGCTTCATCTAGCACAACTCGATACCATTCAGCCTTCAGTAGTGGCCCATATTCATCTTGCTTGAACGTAGATTGCTCTGCGACCAGATTCTCATAGTCTGCATCTTCGGCATCCTGTCGATCTGCAGCACTACGTCCTCGCGTATTGAGTTTCCTGGTCTTGTCCTTTTTTGGTTCTGGGAAATCACGAGTCCTTGAAGATGGATCTTGTCATGAGTATAGTGATCTGTGTTGAAGTAACCCTTGGCAACTTACAGGAGATCATAAGTGCTAATTACCTAAACGAAAGTGTTTAAATTTGTAAGTTAAAAAGGAATTTAGAACAATGAAACAGATAAATGGCTTAAATTTTTTACAATATCATATTGAAGTATTTGCTCTAGCTTTCTGAACCGCTTTGGCCCTTGATGCTTGTATACAGTAAAGGATCCTGGTATAAGCTTGGTCAGAATTTCGTTTTCCCATTGATTGACCAAAGCTAACGGCTACAAGAGATGTTGGACAAAGGGTCAGAAACACACCAAACGCCGACGGGTTTCTTGTGTTGAACGGGTAACTGCGACACTAACCGCGATAATTAGCGTAGATTTAACTCGCGATCCAGGTCCCGGCTTGTTCAGACAAAAGGTGGCCAATGCTTGTATCGTCTTTCCCAATCCCTATGTTGCAACAAAGAATGTTGTCATTCATCAGAAATAGCGTATAGTATGAAGAACATTCTCATCGAAATTCATCAATCCGTCAAATTACCATATCATCAGCAAGTATCCCACCTCTACTCCCCTCTCTCTCCGTCTCCATCCGAAGCATCCACTCAACACCCAATTTCTGATGCTCGAGCAAATTGATGACCATTTCACGAGGAGTTGCGATCCTCCGTTCTCTCGGAGTGACAGATTCATCGGATAATGCAATGGTTTTAAGCAAATTGACTAGTTCACGAACTGAAGCTTCGTCGTCTAGACGTCGTTCGGCTGGTAAGGCGTCGGAGTCTTCCACGTTTCTGCCAGGTGTTGGAGGAGGAGAAGGCATAGACGAAGACATTGGTGGATATGGTGTAAGAGGATGCTGATGGTGTTCTCGTCTTGAGGGAACTAAAGAAAAGGCGCACCATGCAAAGCAATTAGGCGTACCTTCCGTCACACAAATTTGAACGGTTTTTGAGGCTCAGAGGAGAGCAGTCATGAAACCTCCTATATCGCGGGCTTCAATGAAACTTGGAGATCCAAGTTGAGCCAAACAGATCGCGTCCTTTTAGACTCTCGTTTTGAGTTTTGAGCAACAAAGCCGTGACCAACATTTTTTCAAAGTTTTCAACAAAAAAACAATAATTGGCATTCTCTCCTTAATGATGCTGCTGTTATAGAGTGAAGTCTCATCGAAGCTTGTACAAGACTAAAGAAATGTCCATACATGGCTATCAGCCATCAAAGGAGCTTTACGAATAATATTCGCATCACTAGAAATGCCAAAAAAAGTGAGTTCTTTGAGCCCCCCCCC